CTGTTGTACTTCCCGTTCGTTATATTGCCTAAAGGGCAGCTTTACTTCGGTATTGCCTACATTGGTAAGGAGATGTCGTCAGAGAGCGACCGCTCGGAGCATCGGCCCTCTCCCGGTGCATGTGGAGCAAGGGGCCCACTTCTTACACCGGGAGATGCAAAGGGAATACCGGCGCCGGCCGCAATGCCCACTACCGAGCTTGTCTGGAATGTGGCAGCCGGAAGGCATGCCGATGTTGATGATGCAGATGTTGGAGAAACTGTTGGGGACACCCAGAGGTCTGCCGTTGCGAGGAACTTCTGGGCCCCAACATTCAATGGTAAGGAGGTCAGTGAATTCCTGAGGACCTTACATTCGTTGTTTAGGAACCATGGAATCACGCGAGAGGAGGGCAAGATAAGTGCCCTGTGTGATTATGTATCAGTAAGTGTGTGTGAGTGGGTAGAGAGTCTCCCTGAATATGAGGAGGAAGGACTATGAAGGATTGGAGAAGCGGCTCCTAGAGGAGAGTATCGGGACCAGGATTCAGCACAGGCCAAGCTCAACATAGGCTGGCTTGGCAGGTTTGTTGCTCAGAAACGGTCAACAGATGACAACTTGACCAAGTATGTTCGCGAATTTAGCAACGTCTCTGGTGAACTGATGCGCTGAGGCCAGCTGGTGGAATTCTTGAGAACAGAGATGTTCCTGCAGGGTCTGCCGGAGGAGGTGCAGGTTGAAGTGGTAAGGAGGGCGAAGATTAGCCCTCAGAAGTTCGAGACTATGAAGTTCGCAAGGGCCCGGGAGGCAGTTGAAGAATATCTGGAGGAAGTGGCTGGATTAAATTTAATTCGGCAGGGTCATGAAGGGAAGCTTGCGAACTTCGCAGAGGAAGTGTCAGCTGCGCATAGCTTAGTAGTTGTGCAGCCAGATGGGCGAGTCCCAGATGAACAACGACAGCCAGAGGACAGAGAACCAGTGCCTACAGGGAAGCGGCAGGTGCCAAGAACAGCCCCGGGAACAGGAGACACCAGGAAACGCTAGATGACCTGGCTGAACGGATGAGGAAAATGGAAATCAGCCTCATGGAGGTGAGACAGAACGACTTCCGAAGACATGGGCTAAATGACATACCCAACCGACGGGGCTATGTGCCAATCGCGGGTGACCAATGCCGGTTCTGTCTGGAAACAGGTCACACCAACATACGGGGGGACATGTCCACGGTACCAAGCATTGGCTGCCCAGGGTCTATGCCATATTGCTGGAGATGCCAAAGTCCGTTATGGACCGATTGGAGGGGCCGGAGGGGTGGAGGTAGTAAGGGTAATTACCAATGGTAAGAGCATGAAGGAGTCCATTGAGGAATATGGAAAGCAGCACCAGACTGGGAATAGTGCAGTGGGTTATGTACACAACATGTTAAAAGAAACTGCGTACATTGAGGAAGTGGAGGAGGAAGATGAAGAAGGATTTATGGAAAGCTTTGTTGAAATGGAGGTTAATGCGCTGGTCAATGCGGAAAAGAGAAAGATAACCCCAGAGGGGCGTGCAGACCCTAAGCGACGTGCACTGGACGATGTGGCTAGGAGGGAAGAAGAAATTCCCATCTTGAAGACAGTCCGTCCAGGAAGATATGAGGAAATTGATGAACCTGACGCAGATGTGGAGATGGAAGATCGACCGGACTACCGAGTTAGGGATGTGGAGGAAGGTTTGAGAAGATCCTTTGGGGGCCCCAAAAGCAAGAGTTCCCCCAGAGGAAAGATGCTCCGAAAGCTAAGCTTAACAAATTGGCGGATGAGCTGAAGAATTCAACGGACATTAAGGACATACGGAATCGGATTCTGAACACCACGGTGACATTGTCACTCCAGGAGCTGCTAGGGATGTCTGATGGGCTGCATCGGAGCCTTTTCTCAGGAACCCGACAGCCGGTGACAACGTCTATCGAATTCAGCAAAGGAACAGACCCAGGGGTCGTTGCGCGAGTGGGAAACTTAGGGATGAGAAGCCGCAAGGCGAACCAGATGGATTTGGAAGAAACGAGGGTATGATGATGAAGGACCTCCGTTATATGTCTGTGGAACTCTAGCGGCGTGGATCCAGATACTGGAGGATCCACAAAGGGTTCAGGCATTGCTGGATGGAGGTGCGGAAATCAATGTGATGCAAGCCTGGCTAGCGGAAAAACATGCGCTGCCAGTCACTCTGCACGCCAAAGGAACGATGAGAAGTGCCAACGGAGGTCTCACGCCGTTTGTTGGAATCTGCGAGCGGGTCCCAGTACGGATTGGGAGCTTCCAATATTATGTCCCTTTCTTCATTGTGGACACGCGTGGCGGACATGCAGTGGTGCTGGGGAGGCCATTTGAACACATGAGCCGTATGGCGCACACGAACACCAGCGTCCGGGGCGGTCATCACAACGATTTATTCAATGGACAGGACGAAGGTCGCGAGAATGAAGGGTTTCACCCCGGAACGCGTAGGATGGAGACCCGGAGGGACGTTTTCGAAGATCGGAGGTTAATTGGAGAGGAGCCGGGAAACTAGCCGCTGGGTTTGTACCGGGCCCAGGACCCAGCGGACAGAGGGGCTCAAGGCCATCATACCAAAGTATGGCGGATGTTATGTCACGTGATGTTGGAGAACGGACATACATGAGTATTGCGGAGTTGGAGAAAATGGCTCCAGTACGGGAAGTGCGGTTCCAAGCCGGCCCTTTGCTGGGATGGAAGTGGAATAGAGCCACGGATAAGCCGACGTGTGGACTTGGTGACACTGAGACAGCAGTATTTGGTAAACACCAAATACAAAAGGAAAGCAGATAAGGTCCTGCCAGTAAACAAGCCCGATCCAACAGGGGCGGCACCAGTTGGAAATGGGGACTGGCGGTTGAAGGTTCTGAAGAAGTATTATTCGAACCAGTGGTCAAGAGTGGAGGAGGGGTCAAAGGGGAATTTCAAAGGAGTGTCATTCCCAAAATATCAGGGATCGCGAGAGGGTCACGGTTGACACCGGAACGGGTGACACGATTAAAAATAGGGTTGATAAAGCCAAAGGAGAGAGAGCTCCTCATGGAGGTGTTATATGCGCGGGAAGCAGCACTAGCTTGGTCGTTCGCAGAGATAGGGCAGGTGCGCGAAGAGGTCTGCCCACCAGTGGTGATACGGACAGTTCCCCATGAACCATGGCAGGAGAAAGGATTCCCCGTACCAAGGGCACTGAGGGCCAATTGCGGCAAAGATGTGCCAGGAGAGGATGGAAAACAGGGTTCTGGAGTATGCGTTCAGCCCATACTCAAATAAGTGGTTCCTAGTGCCGAAAAACGCTGGACCGAATGGGGAGAGGAGATATCGGTTGATAAACAGCTGCACGAGGATGAATGGGGTCACATTGAAAGATGCCAATATTCCCCCTTCGGCAGATGATTTCGCGGAAGAGTACAGTGGCATGGCGGCAACATCAGTGATAGACCTGTTCTCAGGGTATGACCAGATTCCGCTAGATGCTCGTTCAAGGGATATGACGGCGTTCCAATCGCCATTGGGCCTAGTTCGGCAGATGACCTTAACTCAAGGCTGGACAGGGGCGGTGCCAGTGTTTTGCAGAACTGCGGACATAGTGACCACAGATACTAAGGATGAGGTGCAACTCCCACCAGATCCAGGTGGAGAGCCACGAGTTTGGAAACCTAAGGTCCCAGGACCGGGAGGAAGGGCTGCATCGCCATATGTTGACGATATTGCAGTAAAGGGACCAAAGACTATGTATAATGAGGAAGAGGTTATGCCTGGGATTCGGCGATATGTTTACCAGCACATTCGCAACATCGATCGAACCCTATACAACTTGGAGTTGGCGGGGCTCACCGCATCGGGAGATAAGCTAATGTTATGCCAGCCTGCGGTCAAGGTGGTTGGGTATGTGTGTGACTATAACGGACGGCACCCTGAGGCGAATAAAGTGGCCAAGATACTGGATTGGCCTGGGTGCAGGAACCTCACAGAAACGAAGGCATTCATAGGTGTCGTGGTATATTATCGGATATGGATCAAGGACTTTGCTAAAATAGCTGAACCGATATATGCGCTGCAACGAAAGGGAGCAGCATTTGAATGGGGGCGAGCACAGCAGGAAGCAATGGACCAACTTAAAGAAGCACTCACAACTGCTCCAGCCCTAAGGTCAATTGAGTACCCAGTACAGCTATCTGATGGAACCATGTCAGAGGTTGGAGATATTATTGTGGCAACAGATGCTAGTGGAACAGGTTGGGGGAGCAGTCCTTATGCAGGCGGAACCCAGATCGAAGAAGAGGCATCCAGCCCGGTTTGAAAGTGGCGTTTGGACAGGAACAGAGCTAAACTATGATGCTGGTAAGCTTGAATGCCGGGGAGTTCTAATGGCGCTCAAGAAATTTCGGTCGTACCTGTATGGGGTGCCCTTTGTTTTGGAAACGGATGCAGCTACGCTGGTTGCGCAACTGAACCGCACTATTACCGATATCCCCAGCGCGGTAGTTACTCGTTGGATTGCGTGGATTCGGATGTTTGACTTCACAGTACAGCACGTGTCAGGAGTGAAGAACTCTGCTGCAGATGGGCTATCTAGGAAGCCAGTTACCCCAGAAGCACTGGAGGAAGCGAAACAGGAGCATATGGAGGAGTTCCTAGACAGGCAGTTTAACCTTACTCTCCATGTCAACAACACCTCGCATAATGAAGACAATGAAAGGCACACAGAGGAAGGAGGGGGTGGGGTAAATTGGCTCACCAATAAAGAAGAATGGTCTGAAGAGTCCCTCCAGATTGCAGAGTGGCTACAGACACTACAACGGCCAAAGGGAATGAATGCGTCCCAATACCATCGGTTTCGAGCTAAGGCATTAGGTTTCATGGTCCAAGACGGCTATTTATTCAAGCGAATGGCAGCCAACCAGCCAGTACGGCGAGTAGTTGATGATCCCAAGCGACAGAGGGAGATTCTCCACGCGTTACACAATGATAGCGGTCATCGTGGCAGAGAAAGCACTTATCAGAAGGTTCGAGGCGCGATACTGGTGGCCAAGGGTTTGGGAGGATGTCAAGGACTGGTGCCAGAGATGTGACCCATGTCAGCGAGCGGCTGAGACTCGGATAGGTGAGGAGATGACGGCAACCCAGCCCATGGGGCTCTTCCAAAAATGGCACATTGACACCACATACGTCTCACGGAGAGGTAGTGGTAAATGTGCGTTGGTTCAAGCTCGAGAGTCAGTTTCAGGTTGGGTGGAAGCTGAAGCTGTGGTTGAAGTGACAGCGAGGACTGTTGCTAGCTTTGTCTACCGCAATATCATCACTCGATGGGGCTGTATGGAGGTTATGGTCAGTGACAATGGCCCAGAGCATCAGGAGGTCTTTAGGGAGCTTATGAAGAGGTTTAAGGTGAAGCACGTTACAATCTCACCGTACAATTCGCAGGCCAATGGTTTTATCGAGGTCGCGCATCGCATGTTCATTCTTGGCCTGAGAAAGCTCACTGCAGGCTTTGCCAAGGGCTGGGACAAGCATCTCCCAGCACTCCTCTGGTCAGAAAGAGTCACCATTCGCGATGGGATTGGGATGTCGCCGTTTCATTATGTTGTTGGCTTTGACGCGGTGTTGCCGGTGGAGGTGGAGGTCCCGACCTGGAGGACCCTGCCTTGGTATTAATGGAGGTGTATCGTTGGTTGGTCACTAGCTAGATAGGCCTACGTGGTGAAAAGGGTCAGCGAGGGCGGACCTATGCGGCAGAATCCCACGTGATCCAACACCCCCGAGCTGGCCTAAAGACTAATCTAAAGAATTTAAATACAAAAATCGGCCTCTATGCAGGCCTTCAAATGAGAGAATAAAAGCAAAATTAAGCAGAGAAATGAGAGGTTCTGCTTTGGCCAATCAGAAGCCGTAAATCAGAATAGAAAGTATAACCAAAATGGGGGAGCAAGCGCCGCTTAATGTATGCCGGTGAGTTCCAGGAAATGATTGAATCGTTCAGTTTGGAGAGGTTTTGTCAGGCCATCTGCTGCCTGTTCTTTGGTAGGGCAGGTCTGAAGTTTAACAATGCCGTCTCGGACCTTCTCCCGAACGTAATGGTAGCGTATGTCAATGTGTTTGGATCTCTTGGTGGTGAGCTCGGCTTCAGCCATGGCGTGAGCACCTTGATTATCGATATGAAGAGATATTGGTGGGCATTCAGTTGGGAGCACATTAAGCTCGTTGATGAGATTCCGGAGCCAGAGGGCATCACGGCTGGCTTCGCTTAGAGCCATATACTCAGCTTCGTTGGAGCTAAGGGCAACGGATGTTTGCTTGCGGCTTTTCCAGGCAATTGGGGCTCCGGCAAGCAGAAAGATGTATCCAGAAACTGACCGGCGGTTGCCTGTCAGTTGGCCACCCCAATCAGAGTCGGTATAACATTTTGGCATGAGGAGGTCAGATGTAATGGACTCCGTGGGTTTATGATAGGTAATTTGCCGATTGATGGAGCCTTTAAGATAGCGTATGGCGTGTATAAGGGCACGCCATGCTTTTTAGGTGGGTTTGGCGTTATATTGGGATAGTATGCCAACCGTCTGGCTAAGATCTGGCCGGGTTTTGGTGGCTAGCCAGGTAAGGCAGCCTACACCACGTTGATATTCTTTGGTGTTGACTGTAGGGTCTGGTTCATCATCAATTATTAGGCTAGGATCCATTGGAATCCTAACAGGATGTGCTTGGGCTTGACCAAAAGAGGCAACAACATCTTCAGTGTAGTCGGCTTGAGATAAAGAAGATGAAGTCTCAGACTGGGAGATGGTCATGCCAAGGTATTTGGTAGAGTTTCCAACTTCTTTTATGTCAAATTTGGCGGAGAGAGTCTCCATAAACCAGATGGCATCATTTTCATGTTTAGCATAGACTTTGAAGTCATCCACATGGGTGGTCACATAGAGTTGGGTCCGGGTAGTGTGGATCCATAGACCAGAGTCATATTCAGAGCATTTGAAGCTGATTTGGCGTAGAAAAGCACCCAGAGTATCATACCAGATGCGGGCAGATGGGACCAATCCATAGAGGGATTGAAGGAGTTCACAGACAAGATCTCCAGAACCTTCTTTGAATCCCTGAACTTGGGTCATAAAGACACGTTTGTCCGTGGGCATTTTCCCATTTAGGAAAGCAAGGGTGGCATCAGCTTTTCGGGTATGCCAGCCAAGCAGGGTGGCCAGTGCCGTGAGGGTTCTGGTAGTATTTTCATTTACCACTGGTGCGTAGGATTCCATGAAGTCCTTATCAAGTAGATTGCCACGAATGACCCAGCGGGCTTTAGCCTGATAATCCTCTGAAATAGGTATGCCGGGGATTTCTTTCTTTTTGTATACCCACCGGCCAGGGATGACTTTGGTCCCTGGTGGTAGGTCAGAACGGCGAATGAGTTGCCAGCAGCCTTTCTCTTTAAGTTGGTTGACTTCCTTTTGCATGGCAGCTTGCCATTTAGCAGCATCAGGATGGGATATGGCCTGCTTATAAGAAGTAGGCGTGTTGTCTTCTGATGAAGGAATGGTTGAAGTGGCAAAGTAAGCTAGGGACATGCCTTTGGCAGGTCGGAGCCATATATCTTGGTCATTGAGAGGTTCATCTTCAACTAATTGAGTTGGATTTTCTTCGGTAGGGGTGCTGGGACCTTTGGGAGTGGTAGTTGTAGGATCTTTGTAATCCTCATCAAATATAACATCATTGGTGACAAAGACGGTGTCAGTTTTAGGGTCCCAAACACGATATTGATGGCTACTAATTTGGCCAATGAGGAAACAGCAGTGAGAACGCGAATCAAGCTTATTTCCAGGTTTATCTGGTCCATGCCGATGGACCCAGGCTGGACACCCCCAACGGCGATATCCAGGGAGTGAAGAAACGGATGAATTAGTCCACGCTGCCAACGGAGCGCGATAAGGGCTGGGGTGTATGTCCTTGTTGATATTCACCCCCCCAGGAATTTGGGAATTGTATAGGATGGTAGATGTAGGGAGCCGATTTGTAAGATCTGTGGCATATTGGAGAGCATCTACCCAAAAGCGTTCTGGTATATATGGGGCATCAAGCATCATAGCTCGGGCCCGTTCAAAAAGGATCCGGATGCCACGTTCACTAACAGCATTTTGCCATGGTGAATATGGTGAGCTTGGTTGCCATTCTATGCCTTCCTGACGGTAGGTTTCCATCCATTCAGTGGAGCGGAATTCATTATCAGAGACTAGGTAGGCAGGGGCAGTGAAGCCATGGTTCTTCATATTTTGAAGCCAGTTCTTGAAGGCGGTAATGGCTGCACTTTTTGTCTCAAGGAAGAGGATCCATCGATAATGTGTGGCATCGTCGGTAATAAGTAAGACATATTTTGCCCCAATTCGGCCAGGGACAACATCGTTAGGGTTGTCAAAATCAAGAGTTTGTCCACCGCCGGCGATATCTAGATGGACTCGGGCAAGGGGTTTGGTAACTCTGGACCTAGGGACCTTGCTATAATAGCGTGTCTGTCTAGCCTGTATACAGACTTCACAAAATGGGAGTTCTTTAGAGCCTTTGATTTCGATGCAAGACTCAGGATCTCGGGCGAGGCGGAGGAGATCGGCTTGATTGAGATGGCATAGGCGTCGGTGCCAGGCCATGATAGGTAGGGATATCTTAGTAGTTCGCGGCTTCCCTAGAACCGGGGTCTCTTTTGGAGTAGGAGCTTCAGCTGGTGTCTTAATTGTGGGAGCCTTTGCAGGTGGCTCTTCTGGGCGGTTAACTTCTTTGCCAGACCGGGTGGTGACAAAGGCATAAGAATTTTCTTCTTCTCCAGGAGATAGGCAGTCTTCAAGGAGGTAAACATTGTTTTTGAACAATCGGGCTTGGAATTCAGCTCCAGATGGTGTGGTAATCAGCTTGACTTCACAATCTAGTGTATATTGAAGCCTAAAGCCTTGTCGTACAAGCATGCCTTCTGAAATGAGGTTGGAAGTAAAGGAAGGAACATGGCGGACGTCTCTTAGGATCAGAGATCCGTGACCAATATCTATAATCACGGTGCCAATGCCTTGAGGCATAGAGATATGGCCTTGAGCACCTTCCATATAATCTGTCTCCACCAGATCGTGCTTCTGCAAGGCCTTGTAGGTTGCAAAAAGCGAACGGTCAGGTGTAGAATGGAAAGAGGCACAGCTGTCAACAAACCATTGATTGGAAAATGAGAGAGTCTTTGCAGACTTCACAATAGCAGATTTGGCATTGGAGAGTTTCTTATGCAAGACAAGTTCCTGTGAAGCAGGGTGATCCTGGTTTGATTGTGGGTTTGCTTCAGATTGTTGCTGAACACGGAGAGCATTAGCCATAGTAGTATAGAACTTGCGTCTATACTCTGGTGCTTTCTCAGGATGTTTAAAATAGCATATAAGTCCATGGCGATTTCCACAGTGATCACAGTCTATAAGTGTATGACGAGATCTATCTTGGTTGTTGGAACGTTGAGGAATTGTGTATTTGGTTCCAGATGCTTGTTTTGAATAACTGCGGTTCTGGGAGTTCTCTTTCTGTTGGTTTGACCGGTCTTGAGAATGAGTATCACGGAATTTAGTGCCGGTTCGAGTAGATAATTGGGTCTGGATAACATTAAGATCCAGGTTGGTAACCGGAGCACGGCCAGTAGAGTAGACATCATCTAGCTTACTCTTGATAAAGGCGCGGTTCCAGTCCCGGAGACCTATAAAGAAGAGGTCATGTTTGAGATTTTCAAAAGATTCTTCTCCAATAGCGTGTAGGCGGTCAAAGATTCGATTGAAGGATGACTGGTAGGTGAGATAATCGTTATCCTTTATATAGAGCTCTTTGAGCTCCATGGTAAGAGCCATTCGCTCTTCACCGGTGGATTTGCCAAAAGTGTGGCAGCTCGGTCCCAAAGACCATGGGCAGAGAGGTCATATACGGTGCCTAGTTTATCAGAAGCAGGGGTTGTCATGGCATTGAGCATACGGGCTCTCATGACAATGGCTTTTCTGTGCCAAACTGCAGCATCAAGTGGAGATGATCCAGCAGGAGGAGAGTCCTGGTGAAGAGTTGTAATAGCATTGAGAATACCAGCTTCTTTTTGTATGGCAGAGCTCCATGCATCGTAATTATCCAGTGTCAAGATGACACGGCATCGGTCAGGCAGTAGCGTATCGACATCGGCTTGGACAAGGGCAATAGCATTGCTGATATTTGTGTCTGAGGTATCTCGCAGAGGCGGTTGGATATCCATTGGTGTAGTATCTTGGGTTGTATTTGAAGGCAAGGAAGCTTGTGGAGTATTAGACTGGATGATAGATGCCAGTTTTAGCTCCATTCTAGCTTCACGGTCTCGCATATCTTGTTCCATCTGATCCTGGCGAGCAAGCATTTGTCGCATCATATCAGCAAGATCAGGGGTAAGTTCGTTTGTGGAAGCCATGTTGGCGGTATTGGTAGAGCTCAGATTGGCTCTGGAAGGCGTTGGGGTCTCTATCTCTTCAGAGACAACTGATGAAGAGGTCTCGTCTATATTCGAGGACTTGTTTTGGAGATTTCGGCGACGTGATCGTCGTATAGCAGTAGCGGGAGGCGTAGTAGGTTCTCCTGACATGCTCAGGTTCGGACCGTATCTGGGATCCTGGAATTTTTTTTTGGAATCTGGGGTATGGAATTTTGGTTCAGCCAATCAGAGGGCTTAAATTGACCACTTATACGGGCCTAAAATAGCTCATATTTCCGAGCAAGAAACGGGCTCATAACCTAATGGAGGTGTATCGTTGGTTGGTCACTAGCTAGATAGGCCTACGTGGTGAAAAGGGTCAGCGAGGGCGGACCTATGCGGCAGAATCCCACGTGATCCAACAATAAGGTCCAAACACGTGACGAGCTCCTAGCTCTACGAGCTCGCCAGATTGAACGACGTGACGAAGATACACAGGAAGCGCAGGCGCGGATTGTCCGGTTCCGTGAGAAAGGACGAGAGCTTTATAATGAACGCACGAATACTCGATTGCATGCATTAGAAAAGGGGGATTTGGTGTTGGTACACAATACACCATTGAACAAATCCCACTCTGACAAGCTTGGATTTCGATGGCTTGGGCCATTTCGTATTCAGGAAGCTCTTGGAAATGGCTCCTACAAAATTGAGGAGCTAGATGGCACAGCATTCCGTTATCCTGTCCACGGGAACCGGATCAAGATCTATTATAAACCGCTGCCTCTGCCAGAGGAGACCTCGAGCGCGCAAAGTACCACCTCAGTGTCGGAGGACGAGGGAGAATCCATGGGTCACAGAGATGATGACGATTGGAGACTGCAGGACCTTATCCCAGAGGGGGAGTCCTTTGCAGTCGTCATCTGAACGCAATCTCAGGAGTTTCCCACACGTTGCTACCTCTACCGATGAGGGCATCTGCTTTCAAAGGGGGGGGGTAGTAGTGTGTGGTGGATTCAACACACAGCTACGGAACGATTTCAACAATTAGATTCCATGTCATTCATTATTTGTATATTTCATATGTTGCACTTACATTCTACCTGCTTTGTTTTTGGATTTTTGGCACTAAATTGATAGCTGGGAGCTACCGGAGGTTTGATGTTCAGGACCGTCATACAAAGGTATGAAGGAAGATAGGAGCCTACAGGATGGTGGGAGGCATCAGTGCCTTCATTGAAAGGGCAACAACTGGGAGGGATTCACCTCCGTCAACCGACCTCAGGAAGCCCTTCGTCGTCGCCACAGAGAAAAAGACAAGGCATACCATGTGGTGAAGCCCACGGCCGGAGTACTTAATGGAGGGTTTCCTCCCAGATAGTTACGAGAAAGAGAGCATTCTTTTGGTTTCTAGGTTGCTTCACTAGTATCGTCGTCATTGTATAGAGCGGAGCGAGGCTCCTTCGTCGTTGTGTTTCCTTTTATCGTTATATCGTTTTCTTGCTAAGATCATTCGGTGCCGTGTGGTATAGTGGCATCACCTTGGTATATCCATTCCTGAGATCCCTCGATCACAACCTGGTTCCTGTCGCAGGGAACAACGCACGTACGCCCCCCCTTTACAGCACTTGCAAAGGCGGCTGAGTCCTAGTGAATTTTTGATAGGTCCGTTTTATGGAGCGAGTTTATCAGATTGTGAGGCGTAATCATGTTGGAGCTCAGGCCTTTGCAGCTCTCGAGTAGGCGAACCAAATACAAGGAAGTTCATCAGCAAAGACAAGGCTGAAACGCAGATACAGTGAAGCTAGAAAATGATTCGATCATATCAGCCGGCTTACCATCGCTTCCTTCACCAGGATACCCATCGGCGACTAGGGAAAGCGCCTGACCTCGCTGAGCCTAGACATGGCTCATCTATAAAGACACAACGTTTTCCTCTTGAACAATCCAAGTTTCTGAAGCTAAATACATTTCGCTCGCAAGCACTTTGATAGACTTACACACTACTGCAAATCCCCATAGGTAGATCTAATATTCCTTATGGTGCATATTTCACAAACAATCTTACTGACTCGGGCACCTATACTTAGGAAAATGAGTCGAGCACTGAAAGACGGCGCTGAGGCGCTGAAGTCATGGGTTACCGCATCCGTATCCCGAGTCACAAAGATTGCAGCAGGCGGAGGAACTCCTGGTACACGCGCAGCACCAGCAAAGATGGCCGCGAATGACGCCAAAATAGGGGTGAGACTGGACAACGGGGAGCTGGTGACCAAAGATGGGAAGATGTACAGGCGCTACAAGCTACAGGCAAACAAGAACGCATCGAATCCGACAATCAAGGATTTGGCAGCACAGAATTCTCACCGCGTCTTTGCTGAAGCAGACGTGCCTATTGATGACTCGAAGTCAAAGGAGGAGAAGATCGACAAGCTTTTTGACGACTTGTACGACGACATTGACAAGAGGATGATGGGTTAGGCGTTGTACATAGAGTTTTTTTCTGTGCACTGCATGTTGTCATTTTTGGGCTCGGCTGTAGTTCGGATGCCATTTCCATTTTGTATACAGAGCTGCTAGCGCGCCATTTTACTTGATCTCTCCTCTCCATATTCCACACAGAAGAGATTACTGTAGATCGTGTTGCCTGAGCCCTATACTGGGGCTGCGCAAGGCTACGTCTCCAGTTGTGGCGTAGCGCGAAATTCTGCCACCACTTACCGCTCTATTTTGTTTTCCAGTTCTCTTTCGCTCCTCCTTCACCCGGAAGTTCCCCAACTTCTCGACTACCCCACCCCCGTCTCCGCATTCGTCCCACCGGCTCCTCATGTGGCTGTCGCTGGCGGACTGGAGATGCTCTAGTATGTATTACCGCTGGCTCGCAAGTTTGCACTCAGCTCACACTGCTCGCTCAGTCTACCTTTTAGAATCCAGTACCGGCCCGCCCGACTGATGATGATCGCCCAAGCCCGGCAGCTTACGATGACTAAACCCCCTTCACTGTGCGAGCGTACAGCACATGATGGAACCTTTTTTCAATTCACCCGCGGCCGATTCCTCACCGACGAAGCCAGTGAATTGGCCAAGAGGTACATCCGTTTTGACATTGATGAGCTCGCTCGCTTAGCTGTTCGGGCTGCAGAGGCTGCAAGTAATGGGCCGCGAACATGTATCAGCATTGAAAAAATGGCAGATGGAATGCACAATAAGGCTATACGCTTCACAATGGACAATGGGTTCCAAGCAGTGGGCAAAGTTCCGAATCCGAATGCTGGGCTTCCGCACTTAACCACTGCCTCGGAAGTCGCTACTATGGACTTCGTATGCATATCTTCCCTTCTTTGTCGTGACTATTCACGAAGTGTTAACATCAGATAGATGAGCAACGTCCTCGGTACGCCAGTTCCCAAAGTTCTTTCGTGGAGTTCTTCGACCGACAATCCTGTTGCGGCGGAGTACATCCTAATGGAGAATGCACGCGGCGTACCACTGAGTAGCCTGTGGGACAAACTTGGCGCGCCGGTTAAGTTCAAGGTGCTTGAAAAAGTCGCCTCCTACCAGGAGCTCTGGTCCCAGGTTTGCTTTTCGCAGTATGGGAGTCTGTACTACCGAAGCGACCTTGACCAGTCAAGTCCCAACCTCCAGTACACGGATAAAGATGGGAATCACGCCGTCGATGAGAGGTTCGCTGTTGGGCCTTCGGTGAGTCGGCCGAATGTCGATGATGGCAGGGCAAAGTTGGATTTTGACCGAGGCCCCTGGGATACCGTAGACGCTTATGAACGGGCAACTGGAGAGCGCGAAGCTTATTGTATCAAAAGTATGGAGCAATTGCCACGATCGCCCATTGCTATTCATTATTCGGGGACGTACCAGCCGTCGCGCGAGACAAAGCTTTTCGCGATCGAGAGCTACCTCAAAGTGGTAAATTTCTTACTACCTGAGGATGAGGACATATCAGCGTCCTGCATCTGGCATGATGACTTGCATGTCGAGAATGTCTTTGTCAATCCAGAGGATCCATCAGAGATATACGCCTTCATTGATTGGCAATCTACAGAACTCGCCCCGCTATACCATCACACCATCGAACCGTATATCCTAGACTACAATGGCCCAGCACTCGAAGGCCTCCTCGACCGACCGAAGCTCGCCGACGTCAAAGCGCTGTTCCAGGATGAACACGACCAAGCAGTCGCAACCCGCAAAGCGGAGTCCTTATTTACTAGCATGTCTCTGCTCGCGCTTTACAGATATCTGCTGCACAAAACGATACCCCAGTTGTTCAAGGCTCTCGAGTTCCGGCAGACAGACTGCTTCGACTTACTTCTGTTCGCACGGAACCTTCTTGTCGACGGCGAAGCTACCTACCTCGGACTCTTAGCCAAGCAGCAAGAGGAGAATTGGGCTGGTGTCCCGAGGATATCGAGGACTGGAACAAAGGCACCGCTTACGTTCTCGCACGATGTTCTCCGGAAGATCAAATGTGATAGCGCAGGCGCTTCGGCAGCGATGGCGCTGATGGGAGACGTGCAGCGCATGATTGGCAGCCAGTATTTCCAGGCCCGGGGATTGGTGAGCCACGCGCAATTCGCGGAGCTCGAACGAATTCTCCCCAAGGCGAGAGATGACTTTGTGCGGGCGCATGCGCGCAACGAGAAAGAAGAGCTGGAGCTCTCTCGCGCGTGGCCGTTCGATTTACCGGATCGCGGTGCGCAAAGAAACGCAACAGCTTGAACCACCAAGGTCATCTCAAGTGACAAAATTAGCCTTGGGTCAAGGCATCACTGGAACCAGAGCTGCTCTCTACCAATCTAGATGAAACGATATGACAATTGGCTCGCGCCTGAATAACGGTGAGAAGGAACGTCAACAGATACAAGCACCATACATCAACAATGACATTATCAGCCACTCGTAGCCGAATCAATCTTCTCTAGAATTGGATCCGTACTTCCATCATTCCTCATTGTTGACCACAAGCGATGAAGGACTATACACATAGTCCAGCTCTATTAGGGCGATAAATTCCTCCTTTGTCATCTCCCTGCTGTCCAGGAGTTCTTTCTTCTCCTCCATCTTCTCCAAGGCTTCATCGTACTTATCCAACTCGTTCACCTTCCGTTCTGCGAATGCCTCAAGCTCATCTGCGTTGTCAAAGTCTTTCTCACGTCTAGCCCACTTGTCAACCCCCAAATGTCGGCGCAGTTGTACAAAAGGAAAGCTACGATGGTTGTTAAAGCTGAATGAGAGGAGCATGTGCAGCCACATGGCTCCTGATGCTTGCGACCACTTGACAAGACTGGATAGCTCTCTGTCTTCGTGTCCTGGCAGTTTTGCCTCCTCCTCCTCCAAGACACGTATGAAGATTTCTAGGTATTTGAAGTACCGGGTTGGGATCCTGGGCAGTTCATCACCCTTGCAGTCCCATGCGCTGTTGACAGGCCTGTCTTGAAGAAGCCACCACAGTGCCGAGCCAAACAACTGAGCAGGTCCAATATAAGAGCACTCGAGGTCCACTACTCCAACAACAGTGACATCCTCCCTACCATGGACAATCAAATTTGCTAACCTGAGATCATCGCAAATCAGTTTAAACTTGCAATGGTCATACTTTTCATTGACAAAGTCACGTATCAGACTTTTAAGGACCTTGAACGCCACAAATTTGCTTTTAGCATCGTAAAAACCAACAACTGAGTTCGGCTGGTGAATGAGCTGCTCCCAGTCCTGCCCAATGACATATTGAAAATACTCAGTCGTGGTTGCAAACCCCTGGGCTCGGTCACCTAGACATGATTTGCTTAGATTTCATCACAGCATTGAGGATGAGAAAGGAGAAGGCATACCAAAAGTGTCAACTCCTCCATTTTGTAGAATGCTATGTGCCTTGAATGTTAGCGGCTGTGGGAGTGTATGGCGTTGTGATTCAGGCTGCAGGTAAGGCAGGCTGCTAATCCAGTCAAAATCAAGCTTGAAAAGCTGAAGAAGGAAGTTCGCCAATTGCCTGTAGATAGCCTCAACCTCACTATCACTGATATCCTCCTTCATGGCTCTGCTAGGGCTCTCGGCATTGGGGTCCTGGAGGAGGTCGCTAAGGCTCACTCCATCAATGAAGTCCATCATGATAAACGGCCCGAGACCAAGAGGGTTGCTCGCAGCGGGACCCCACACTTGGATTTTCAGCACGGGAATGGTAGTCCTGCTGCGGATGATACTCAGGGCCGTCACCTCCATGGCAACTTTCTCGTCGGCGTAGTTGTCACTGACCATTCCCTTCCGTGGGAAACGAACCATCCAGGCGGTGGCATCACTGAAGATCATCTTCATGCCGGCATTAAATGAACCATGATGAAAGGTACCGTCAAGTTGACAAGTTTGTCAGGATGGAAAGTTGACGCCCACTGGCAGAGACGGCCAGTTATGTGGGTCTCATTTATTTTGTCAACCCAAAGCTGCCCTGCACCCCATGCACGAGATCGACAAGTGCATTAGTGTCCATCACGTCGGAAAAGGCTTCAATAGTTGTGAAGTACCGAGGAACACGATTTTGTAAGTTGCTGAGATTGTCAAGAGAAATTCGAGGTGGACGAGGGGGCTGTAGTGTTTTATGATCAGCCACGCAGAAGATCTAAGTGCCCGCGCCACTCTTTCTTGGTGGGGTAAATCCTCATCATCCTACTCCGTACAGAGTTACGAGTAAACATTTTGCCAAGACTTTGAAACAACCGATCCCATGGCTTGGATCCCCAAAGCACCTTGATTGGGCAGAGCCTGCTACCAGTAGCTTTACCTAAATTTTAACAGGTTTATGCTTGATAGATAGACCAATCTATAGCTTCTGAGGTAGGTGGAGCCTGAAAGAGAGTTGAAAATAGGGCATGTGTCACGGAACTCAACTAGACGATGAAGCCAGAGAACCAGCATATCACAGGCAGAAATTGACTAGACTGCTGGCATGCAGCAGATGGTAGCTGAAGTCGTCGTAGGGGCTCTACTGCCACAGTAAGATGTAGCATAAAATAGACCGGGACTCACACGGTGGTTCCGGCATAAATTGGTGTGCACACCAAAAAAGGATATTGCTCTATTTCCTACTCGTTTTACATCTTAGAAATACGAATTCTCGGCCTCCTTATTTAAGATACGGATCGAAGAACTAAGCTTCTGCATCACTACCTTGGCTTAGACAGTGAGGCTTCGAGCAAAGTGAGTCTTCGAGCAGATTTCCACTTTAACTCACTCTGACAAAGATTGGAGATGTGCAAGATACATGTCACTACCACCCGTTATTCTAGATGTCCTCCATCCTGCACGAGAACGAGGCGCATTCTGTGACCACTGGGTGTCCGGCCTTTGCAGCAACCGGACAAACCTGCCAGGACCCAAAAGAGCAGAATCTTGGACAAACGACCACACGAAGCGAGTGCCCAGATCACAGGGACGAGGGGTTCGCAGAGCACGATACTAGATAGGGGAAGATACAAATGATCTATAGTTAATTAATCCTGAAGGGAAGGACACGTCGCAGACAAAGCTATAGCGAAAGTTCTCTTTCGATTGCCATGAGGCCATCATGTACTTGAACTGAGTCTACCTGTCGATGCCAACACTGCATGATAATATTTCCACAAATGACAGAGCACAAATCAGGGAACTTGTCAACTTCATAAAGTCTCTCAACCTCACCACTAGCTACTTCTTCGTAGGGATAAGAACTGGTCATTATAAAGTAGATCAACGACCCTAGACCGAATATATCATCCCCAGATACTGGAGGAACATTCCAGTCGTAGCCGGGAGGTCGAAATCTTATCGCAGGGGTAGCTGATGGGTCTGAACCGCACAGAGATGCACCGCCAAAGTCAGCAATTTTTAAATCCAGATGAGAGTCTAGGAGAAAGTTTCTTGGTGAGAGGTCACAGTGTATAACATCCAGGTTATGAAGGACCGTTAGTGCTTCAGCAGCTTGCCTGCTCCATCGAATACGAAGTTGAAGAGTTATGTTCTGATGATTCTGCCGAATGTAGTCTCCAAGATTTCCATTCTCTAGATACTCCAGCGTTAGACAGCATGTTTCTTCGTCCCAGCAGATTAATCTGGGCACGCGTGGATGATCTCCGATCATGACATATATTCGGGCTTCGACATGCATGTTCCGACGGTGATCCTGTTCCTCAGGTGGGCAGTATGGATTTGGAATGGGTGTCTTCATGACAGCGCCCGACGGTAATCGTTCAAGGATGGCAGTTCCCCCCCAGGCTAAAATCTCCCCCTTAGTGACATATATGACTTCCCCATGACGTGGTTGTGAATAGTTGATAGATTCGGCAGAAACACATATGTAAGTGATATCATCAGGATAAGTCTTCGGTGGTTGACTCGATTCAAGAGATGGCGTGGCTGTAGTCTAATAAAACAAAACGGTAAGACTAGAACTGACATTTTAAGCTGAGCTAGACTTACATTTTCTGGATCAGCTTTGACGAAGTTGCCTGGGTGTCCAACATCCGCTTTCCGTGGTTGCTGCTCTATGGGACTGCCAGGAAGAGAGAAAAATATGCTTGCCTTGTTAAAAATTGAGGAGAAGAGGTGGTAAATATTAGAGCAAATCGACCGTAACCATGAGTATAATGGAAACATGGTCGAAATCTTGAGAATATCAGTATCATTGAGATGCAAGGTTGCAGATTTTAGGATGTACACTGATTGTCTTCAGCAGCCCGAAAGCCTTGCTGATGGTTAAATAGTTCATATCAATGCCAGGCCAGATGATCGACCGCATCGCGCCAGGGGCACTTGATTCTACACCTAATCAGCCACTTGGCATCCCCTGCTCTGATCACGTGTGACAGATTTTTGTTTCTTAGTCCGCATTACATGACGCCAAGCCGACAATGTTGGGAGGTTTGCGTTGGGTTCCTAAGCGAAGCTTTTTATGGCAGCGAGATAATTTCAGCTTACATTAACTAACATACTAGTGTCACCGTTAACCCCTTCGGCACGTTGGTAGTATGACCAGCATGCGGAGATAAACAACCCATCCAGAAGTAGAAAAGCAGAAGCATAAGATACAAGCACATTTACTTTAACTGCTGACTGGATAGGACTAAATCTATGTATTATTGCCGCATGATTGTTGCAGGGAAGCGCCTTGATGAAACTGAGCATACAATCTTCTGAATTTGTCGACTCTCATCTAACAACCTACATTACAATATGTGGGCAATATAAGCAGATACAGAAACAACAAAAGCATAGTCAACGACTGCATAGAATAGACAGGATTACGTCTGCAGATCTTGATGGCCATGGCAATCCACCGGTCTCCTGGAGCGGGGCGGGCGGCCCCGTGGTCTGAGATTTCGTCCGCTACGGACTATGTCGCCCCCCGGCCGTCGAATTCTGAGTTCCATCGAATAGCGCACTTGCAGAGAGCTCTTCAATCTCCCTGGGAAATGTTTTGTGATCTCATTCCACGACAGACGATCAATCTCCTTCAGGTCAATCAGCAGAGCATCTTCACCGGCCGAAAATTGAGTGCCCTTGATGGCTTGGCGCCTAGCACATTTCGAATCAAGCTCCTCCTGTCCGCTATAACACCTCTGATGGCTGACGGTTTTGGCCTCAGAGTCTGTCGGAAAGAAGGACTCCTGGTCCTCCTGAAAAGAGAAAGACCAGACAACTTTGGACGAACATACTTCCCTGGTGAGGAAGCCCCGGATCGGGATGGTTTGAATATTGCCTAGACTGGTAGAGGAATGCTGAAGAGTCAATGCACCCCGTCAATGTGAGGTAGTCATAGTGGGTGAGACTCTTTGAGGATCATGAGTTTGACGTGGAATGCGGTGTACAGAGTTTGGTCTTGGTCCCTTCAATGGTCTTCGCGATAGATGTGGTTCTATGTCAACCTCGACCGAACTAGAGGCCCCATCAACGTAGTCTTCGTCGGCAGAATTGTCCGAATCAACATCACTGATCGGCCCAAGCTGATGCCTTCTTTTACGAGTCAAACGGGTCTTGCAACTCAACCACTCCGAGGCATTTGATGTGGGGGAATGCCGTACAGGAATTACCACCGATACCAACTGCTCTGAGGGTCTGTGAGACGAAAGTCGAACAGATCCCGGCAATAAATCCACAGCATTCCTCAAGGTTTCTTGTTCTCAAGTGAATCAAGCAGGCGTTGTGAATTTGTGCGCATCGTCTTCGCTCTCTCCCTTTTCATGACTCTCATGGTCCTCATAGCTGGCAGTTTGACCTGAACTTTTGTTCTTGGCATTTCCAGTGTCGTTCCCATCGCAGTCTGTGACCTCTCCAGAGCCGTGATCCGACAGCGGTATACTCATAAGATTCCTCACGTGCTGAAGCGGTGTTGGAGAACTACTGTTGCCTCATCTCCTGTCTGGTGATTTTGGTCACAAGTTGGGAGGGTTATCGAGCACAAGCTGCCATAATGTTGGATGCTGTTGTTCCTGTCCTGGTCGTGCTGCTCTGCATCAGATCAGTCATCATTCTTCGGCAAAAATCTGCATTAAAAGGTCAACTCATGCTCAGCTTACCGCTAGAAGTGCGCAGCCTCGAAATTGATGGATTCAGAAACCAATCATTCCCAGAACAATTATTGGCGGTCTCGCCTCTCTCAATGGTAGCTGTCTTGCCGAACGCTTGCAATCCAAGGTTTGCCAGTTCTCTGTCAAATTCATTCATGCAATACCTTGTCTGCGCTGCAGGGTAATGATCTAATGTTGGTTCAAGGGGTCCATGTTCAGTTGAATCTAATGATTTAGGTTCACAATGCTGTAGTACAGCCTCAGAACAAGGGCGTGGAAGAGATAGCCCTGTCCCGTGTGCGATCGCGGTGGGTATGACAAGCGCTTAGGTAAAGGCGGGTGATATGGGATGATATTGTCGAGGGAGATGAAAGTCATGATTACGGGATTATGGAATAGGATATCGAAAGGAAATGATCGAGAAGTGTTCTGGCTGTTGGTCGTTTCCAAATCAGAGATCCGCGAGCGCCTCTTTATATCACGACCGCTTACCCCCCGTCACCAATAAAGCACTTCATCTGACGAATTCTCCGCGTGCTCTTTATCCCATGGTACAGCGGCTATCCACATGCGACGATCGCTAGACGTATGTCCCAGCAGTCGCTTCCAGGTCATTGCTAGCTATTTTTAGACCTTGCTGAGTGGGATGGAAAGGGGCCTATGCATGAATTCGAGTAGGCTCAGCTCACAAGGAAGATCCGGTTCAGCCAATCGGTCCGAGAGATGCAAAATTTAGCCAAATTGGAAGAGCTGAACCCCTTGAAGTCTGGAGCGAGTCGGTATATCTACGAAACCGCGTTTTGAAGCCATCTTGCATGGAATTGAGGTATTTCCTTGCATCAAGCGTCGTCAGCTTCCAATGAGCAGAAAATAGAGCGTCACCGAGGAAGAACATCCTTGTTATGAGGCATTTTTTTAACCTTCGGTGGCATGGATACTCGAGAGATGATGATAATGGAGGGCCGTGTGACACGTCGTCTATCCAATGGGATATCCATTGCCTTCGTCAATTACACTGAGAGAACAGGCCTGGCAGCATTCGAGACTGCAACACCCGATGATAACGGGACGGGACACTCGACCCACAAGCCAGGTCCTGACGACATCCCGTCCTTTCCAGGATTCCATGGTACGCCAGTGCCGCTCTGCGCCTTCCTGCACCGCTGCTGTGCAAGGTAGTCCTCGCAATTGATTGGACAAGTTTGACTTGGGTTGCAGGTTAAGTGCAATGCGCATGGCGACGGTACGATGACGGATGGTACAGACAAAGATTCCAAGACAGCTGAAATGGCTGCCTGATCGTGAAAGGGAGCCGCTCTCTGGAGATGCTCGCTCCGTCTTGCCTGAAGCGTTGATGGTGCACCGATGAGGAAATACAATCACTCTTGAGATTGGTGGACATGACTATCTCAACCGGACCTGCGATGCAACGTTGGCGCAGGGGTGGCTTCCAAGGCATGAAAGAGGCGGGAATGTGCTGCATCAGCCGTGGGCCGCCTGTGCTGCTGACAACCAGCTGTGTGAACGGCGTGTGAACGCGAAAATTTCAGAAAGATTTGAGGAAGGAGAGGCCATGGATGTTGGAACGACGCACTCGCGGTTTATATAGTTCGAGGTCGGGCAGAGGGGCGGCCATGCCCGATCGGGAGCAGCGACGGGAGCGCCAAACCGGATCGGGTAACGCTAAACCGGACGTGGTCACGCCAAACCCGAAATGACAGGGGCGCGTCTTCCGGGCGCGCCGGCACAATGGGCATTTGTACTATATATATCCCACTATTTGCTTTTAATTTAATTTTTATTTTTATTTTTTTTATTTCTATTTATATCTCTATTATTCTTAACCCTAACCACTTTATCTCTTTCCCATATTATTTCTTTAATCTTTCCTAATCTTTCCTAATTTTCTTTCTTTTTTATTATATTTAATTCCTATATTATCTAGCTTTATATTATATTTCTTTATATATATATATATTACTGTAAAGGGGGGCGTACGTGCGTTGTTCCCTGCGACAGGAACCGGGTTGTGATCGAGGGATCTCAGGAATGGATATACCAAGGCGGCGCCGCTATACCACGCGGCACCGAACGATCTTAGCAAGAAAACGATATAACGATAAAAGGAAACACAACGACGAAGGAGCCTCGCTCCGCTCTATACGACGATAACGATACTAGTGAAGCAACCTAGAAACCGAAAGAATGCTCTATTTCTCGTATCTGGGAGGGAACCCTCCATTAAGCACTCACCGGCCGCGGGCTCCACCATACATTAGTATGTCGGAGTCCGCGGTTCTACGGTGTTCCAAGATAGGAAATATGGGAGATCCGGGGTTTCGCAGTGCCCCCGGCACACTACCTATTATATTACCTTATTTGGTTTAGGGCTTTTTTAAACCTGCTTATATCAGCAATCCAACTGCACTAACGTATCCGGTAAGCGAGCGGCCACTGTAAGCGAGCGGCCACCTCTCCGCGTTTTGACTGTGGTCAAAAACCTCACTCATTTCAACCACCAACCATGCCTCCAAAAGCACATCAAATTTCAAAAGATTTAATGGAGCAGGAGGGAAGGGTCCTACTTGCTATATCTGCTTTAAAAAAGCAAGAAATCTGCAGTATTGCAGAAGCAGCACGTGTTTATAATATTCCGCGTACAACACTTCGAAGACGACTAAATAGCCACATCTTTCGAGCAGAAAAACGCGCCAACAACCATAAGATGACTCAAAATGAAGAGGAATCACTTATACAATGGATTCTCTCACTGGATCGACGTGGAGCACCTCCCCGACCTTTGCATGTACGAGAAATGGCCAATATTCTACTTGCTCAGCGTGGTACTACACCAATTCAATCTGTTGGAGAGAAATGGGTATACAACTTTATTAATCGACAAGATCAGTTGAAAACACGCTTCTCAAGACGATATGATTATCGATGTGCTAAATGTGAAGATCCTAAAGTTATTAGGGAGTGGTTTAATCGTGTACAAATCACTATAATGCAGTATGGGATCACACAGGAGGATATCTACAATTTTGATGAGACTGGCTTTGCTATGGGTCTAGTAGCTACTGCACGAGTAGTTACTAGAGCTGATTATTATGGGAAGGCCTCTCTTGTACAGCCAGGCGATCGTGAATGGGTTACTTCAATTGAATGTATCAACTCTACTGGTTGGGCACTTCCCTCATGCATTATCTTCAAGGGGAAGGTCCATATAGAGGGTTGGTATCAAGATTTCAAGCTCCCACACAATAGCAGGATTGAAGTTAGTCCTAATGGATGGACTACTGATGAGATAGGCCTTCGCTGGCTTAAAAATCTCTTTATTCCTGCTATTTCTAGTCATACAACTGGGAAATACTGTCTTCTGGTTCTCGATGGCCATGGCAGCCATCTTACACCTCAATTCGATCAAATATGCAGTGAAAATAATATCATTTCTATCTGCATGCCTGCGCATTCTTCCCACAAGCTTCAACCTCTGGATATAGGCTGCTTTTCACCTTTAAAAAAGGCATATGGGAGCTTAGTGGAGCAGAAAGCACGCTTAGGAATCAATCATATTGATAAACTTGATTTCCTAGAGGCCTTTCCACAAGCTCGTGACAGTGCTTTTCAAGCAGAAACTATTCAAAATAGCTTTGCAGGTGCTGGCCTAGTTCCATTCAATCCAGATAGGGTGCTCAGTCAGTTGGATATCCAGCTAAAGACCCCTACACCACTGTCACGGAGCTCAACTAGACGATGAATAGGATGCTATTCAGCTATCTAGGCAGCTATCGACGAGAACTTCAAGCATGGAGAGGAAGGAAAAAGGGAAGAGATCTACGTGAAGCTGGACGACGTACTCCTATCCACGCGCCACGCTAATCCAAGTAAGGAAGCTCACGTGCTCGTCCTGGTCTACATGGCAAGGGCCCTGACAGTTTGGATATTCAGGTGGACTCGCCGGAGTGTGATCCTCAATGAAAGGCGGATTGGTTCCATAGCCATTTGCATCATGTAACCATGCGATATCTCTGTTGACTCTTTCACGTGTCCCCAAATTAGCCATATAAACGATTTGAGTTCTGCTGAGGTGGACCACGGCAACTGGAAGGTTGTTCTGTTTCTCTTCGGGTTTATGCCCCAAATCGACATCATAATCTCTATTAGAAATATCAAATGTAAACAGTACGCGAACGTTCCATCTCTGGATTGCTAATAGCCTTGTATCCAGTGGAGTGTCTCCCCTTGCATCGTATATTCCCTTTTCTTTGATAAGTTGAATAGCAAGTGAAATAAGGGATTCTGGTGATTCGCAAGCTTGTTTCCAAGATGGACTCATGTTTGACACAATGACAAGCACGCGCAGTGGATTTTCTTGCACCATTGTTGACTGAAATTCTTAGCTATTTCTCTGGCAGTTCAGAGGAAGCTAGCAATCGATAGGCCACTTCTTCGTGTAGGTGTGAGATTGCTCTAATGTAGCTGGGCTTGCAAAAACTGTAGATTCAACGTGATGGGGAGAGTGTGGAATAGAAATCAAGCTTTGAGAGAAAAGACGAACACCACTCCTCATATATGCTCGTGCGGTTCGTGACTTACACCTCCTTCGGTCCATGCCTATATAGCGAAGGGGCGGTGTGGTGGACTTGTTAACTTGGTAAGCCAAGCAGCCAGGTTGCTATGATGCAGGAACAGCAAAACTAAAAGAAAGCAAATTGGCACGTCAGCCTGACGCTACAGAGAATCGCTTTGCCTAAAAGAGAAAACCCAGTTTACGACTGGAGAGGGGCCAACAATTAATTGTGCATGATTCTTAAAAGCTTGCTATTTCTCATTTGAAGATCGCCGGCTTGAACTGCAAAATTGACTGTTGTCCAAGGCTCGTCAAGAACACGAAGGCGCAGCAATGGAAAACATATTTTCTCCCTGCCAAGAAAACGCAGCATACAGTCTTAGGGTTTGGAGTTGTAGCGCTTGTCAGCTCTAAAAAGATAGACGTCGCAGAAGCCTTGTTTATGGGAGCGAGGATAATCATGTTGACGGACCCGAATACGCAGGCCTTTTCCCCATTTCGGTAGCTGCCTTAGTGTGGAGAGGGGTTTTGTGGAGAACGACTCTTGCTCTATCAATACGCCCCCCTAATTTTGTCACTGGCCGAAAATGATCGAGCTGCAGGTTGGTCGTAATCACTGGCGCTTTGATGTCGGGGGGCTGAGTACTGTTGTGGAATATGCATGTAACTCAGGGAAGAAGGGCAGAATGAAGCTGTATGGACTACACGTACGTAGCCTACTAAGGAACGGATGCCATTCTTTTCTGTTCTATCTCAGTCTCTCTCTTCTTCTCTATATAATCAGGGGCTCGGATTCTCAGGGGTTGGGGAGAGGGAGCCAAGCCGCCATACCACGTGACCTTTTCCATATCAGATAGTTAACTATAATTTACCACGCTTACTGTAGCAATTTTAGTTGCAATTGTGCCGCTATAATCCGCCGTAAGTACCGCCATGGTCCCATACACCCCACCCATTTCCCCTTACCCCGCCCATTGGTTCCGGCGCCCCAACGCCCTATAGGCAGAATTTACGACAAAGCCTCTAAATCACAGCCTAACAGACCCCGACAAATCGCCTTTGCAAAATCTTTAGCATCGTTCTCCCCAAATTCGTCACGCTGAATCCACTGAATGCGAGAAATCTTGGTTTGTTGCACCGTCAGGGCCACCTGCTCACGTCCCGTCCAGCTCCTGTACATGCGCAGCATGTAGTTGCCCTGCGCGTCCGGACCGTCGGCGCGCAGCTCCCACTTATCGTCCATGTCCTGCGGCCAGAAGCCCTTAAGGAGCTTGCTGTGGTCGGTGCTGGAGATAGGGACGTCCCATGCTGCTGTGGCAGGGTTGGCCATGGGGATGTGATCGGGGCCGGAGGTCTCAGTCATGACGTCTCTGGTTGTGTGCTTGAGGCGGACGAAAGAGTGGTGAGATGAGATCAAACAGTCCGAGAAATGATTCCAGAGGCACGGCGGTTTGTTTAAACACGCGGCTAATGAAGACTGAATGTGATGGAAAGCTTCCATCAATCGATGAATCCAGGCAGCAGGCCTTGCTCTTAAGAAACCGGAAATCTCGCGAAGTAAGCAGTGGCACAGACCAAGTGTGCCTCGAAGCGCCGGGGCTTGAGAGGCCCGGAGGGCCACGATTCGGTTGGCTTATGGTCTACATTCCCAGCGCTACCGTGCGTGACATGTCTAGAACTCTCCTGAAGGCATGCGTCCTTGTGCCCGAAGTCAATATACTACCCCGGTGATCACACTGCGCGACTTATACCAGTATGGCTCATTGCTCTTGACGTTGAACTCCATGAAGCAGACTCTTCAGGTCTTCCTCTTCAGCACATTGCTTTCCCAACCTCTATTGCAGTTGCTGCAGTCTGTTCTATGCCAGCAGTTCTATGCCAGCATGAACATCAAGCTAAAGTATGTGAGCAGTGCCAAGCAAGTGCAGCAGTTATCGACCTCCTACATCATTTCCGACACTATTTCCGACTATCCAGCCAAGTTTCCGGGCGAGGAGGTCCGCCTGAGATCGCAGGTCTCTTTCTAGCCTTGCCTGACACAGGCATCCTGTGCAAGGCACCTCAGTTGGCAGCCTCAGGCCTGCTAATTTAGTCACGTGGACCTAGAGTATTTATAATGGAGGTGTATCGTTGGTTGGTAACTAGCTAGATAGGCCGAAGTGGTGAAAAGGGTCAGCGAGGGCGGACCTATGCGGCAGAATAACACGTGATCCAACAATTTAGCAAGGGCTCGCACCGCACCGCTGAGTGCGAACCTCAGCGATTAGTTCTACAAATAGAGGCACCCTACATTCCATCAATTATCTTCACGTACCAACCGGTCCGCCCATATCTGCTATCTCAGCATGCTGTCGCACACCACCCGCTTACATCCTGCTAGATATGTGCTATATGCCCAGTCCCATGACGGGCTTCTTGTGACTACGATGGACTGAGGATTGAAGGACATTTCCAGAGTCAAGGTTCTTGTGAGCGTCACCGTTGTGCAGGAGGTCCTGTGGTTGGAGAAAGAATCGGATGCGGCCAGCATACAGTAGGCGAGCCTTGCTTCCTAAGAGCAGGTGTCCAAGCAGCAGAAGGATACTACTATACTTGAGAGCCAGACCATAGCAACCATAGGTGATATTGGTCTAATCCTTTTGCCATGACAGCCAGAGATATATATCTACCGAACGTTCAGCCCTTCTGCTACGTACATGTGATACATACCCTAAACTAGATGCCTGGTTGAAGTGAGCACCAAAGCAAGAATTCTAAATCGGTGTTCACCATGTAAAAATGTTCATCCAGCATCCACTGTAATTAATCAACTTGATGCCATACGTTCCGGGATACGAACGCCCATGGGCTCATCCATACAAACACACATACATGCGAAACAAACAAAAGACTAGTTCAAAGCAGCATGCCAGGATAGATCATCATCGGGCTACACATGTCTAGTCACAGATAAGATCAAGCGACCTCCTTCTTCCCCTTCTTTCTCACTACGCGCCCAGTAGCAGACCACGGAAAATGGAGAACAGGAATGATAAAGAAGCTATTGCTTGTATCAGCAATACCGGCCAGAACATTGTACCAGGCGATAAAGGAAGTGAATAGGCCGAAGAAGCCGCCGGCCTTGATGACCTTGGTGTTGGGATTGCCCTGTATATCGTGATGCAGGTACCCAATTGCCAGGAGAAGCAAGGTGATGTCGACAAAAAAGAAGAGCGAAAAGAACACCACTGTTGACCTTAGGGTGCAGAAGAGGAGGATCGTGGTGAAGATGAACCAGCCCTTCATTCAAGGAATAGGTCAACAAAGCTGCACATTGTACATTGCAAGTTCAAGCAGACATGGAGACCACATACAATCAGGAAGAGACCGAAAGAGTTGGCGAACATGCTCGGGTCTTTCTCAGTGAGCTGTTCATGGATCCTGAACCCGCCAGGGGTCAGGATGATGCCCAATGACATCCAGAAGCCGCCGTATGATGATAACGCTGTAGCACCAAATGTGTTTCCAATGGCCATCTCCCTGTGGTATCTGTCAGTGCTTGTTACGACAGTTGAGGGAAGAGAAGGTGTGCTATAAAAACAGTCATACCACATGCCCGCTGCCAACTGCACCAAACCACCATACGCAAAGGCAAGACCAACAACAATATTGGGTTCCTTGATATTCCGTACTTGCATGTTGATGGCACTTAGCACGAAGACGCTGAGTGCAAAAGCGCTCAGGCCCAGTGGTGCAGGGTTGGCGATTTTGCGAGACTCGACAGATTTGTAGAGGCCAGGCTGGAACTCTCCGCCAAAGGCAGGCAGATATGTCTCTGTCGGGTTGAGCTTGGCTAAGGGGCCGTAGCCAAAGCGGGCTGCTGCTCTGGCGATGTTGTGTTCCTCCTCGGTCATGATAGGGTGGAGGAAGTCACTCTTGGGGCCACTGGAGCTGCTGCCGGTGGTTACGGTGTTGTCTAGGTAGTTTGTAGACATGTTCGCTGATACTTGGAAGTAGGGCTAGGAGACCTGGGGAATGGACAAGGAGATAATCTTCTTCGGTCAGGGAATACTGGTTATTGAACCGCATGACCACGGGAACCGTGAGGAATATATGTCTATCACCTAAAGCATCAACGAGGTCCAGAAATACGCAATACAAACTGCAGTGGCTCAGGCCGTCCCTGCAGAACGCCCGAAGCGACAGTTTTACCCCCAGGATAAGGATCCAGGTCGGGGCAAGTGGAGCAGCCCGGTCTTCGTTTACCTTCACCCCGCAATATCCAGATATGGAGAGAGTGCTAGAACTCATGCTTGGTAATGCAGATTCATGTCTGTAACTGGAAAATACGAAGCTCGTGCTATTAGTCATAATCATGCCATATCTGCAACCCGTCAAAGGGAGTACAATCGACTGCGGATCGAGACGACATGCTTCACCATCGAGTGCATTGGCAACAGACGATGGATGGCAGTCAACCCAGCAGATGTCTTCAATCATGGGCACCGTCCGTTCTATCCAATCATTAGCCAGTCAGTCTGCGGTAAAGCTGCAAGATATTAAGCTTCAAATAGCCTCCAGAAAAGTGTGCCCGAAACTCTATCCCATCAGAGTTGATGACACCGTAATTCGTCCCCAGATTCGTCTCGGCTGAGCCCATCGGCATTGGGGACTCGTGAATGCCAATTAGATAGCGAGCTGCAATACGAACAGTGCACATCATTGCAACCTAACAGATCATTGTCCGCGAGTCATGTCCTCCCCAAGAGGATACACGCGTATTAGGGTAGTTTATGCTGAAACAGGGCACTGCGCTCCGCTGCCAAGTTCTAGCCGTCATCTCGGTTCGGTGGAACGGAAGAACGAGGTTCTGTCCTCTTGCAAGTTGGAACCCCTTTCTTTCTCCGCTTTTTGGCCTACCCACTCTCCCGGGCTGGTTGGGGTAGATCCGGGGCTGTACTATTAGGGTGAGGTTTATGGGTATTCAAAATTCCGTGTGCTACGCGGGGGGATACTTGGCCCAGTCGTGTAGCGTGCATGGAGTCTGCAGTGTCTACCATGTGGTGATGCTGGGATTATCATGTAGCGGACGTTAAACACTGCTCTAAGACTCAGTCCACGGCAGGGGACTACATTGTCACTACAATCACTTCCTCTCAAACGAAGATTGAGGAAGTATGTATTCCGACATAATTTCAACATAGACATGGTTATCCCAACAACCTGGGCATTGTCTTGCCAGCACAACCTCCATCGTAGCCTCTAGCTCTTGAGGATCACTCCGCAAATGATGACACACCATAATTTGTAAGGGGCACAGTGCCTAATCAAGCTGAGCAATCGGCAGCCACTGGGCAAATCCATTACCAAGTTCTCGTGTTTGCGAGACGCCGAGCCAGATGGGCTGGCTCTACTCTCCTGCAGAACCAATGTTAAGCTAGCGTGAGCGCCATCAGCCAAGATCCTGAGCTGAGTGTGCCACGCAAAAATCAGGAGGGCTATACAAGTGCCTACAGATCATGATCGACACCAAACACGTGAAAAAACAGGAGGCAATAAACCCAAACGATGCGGACTGACCTTCGATCCAGGAACCCAGTCCGGGCAGGGGCTAGTAACTGAAGCGGATTAGGAACGTCTGGGTCTGGGATCGTTCCTAGTCTTCCAAGAATTGGTCCCAGGAATTGGTGTCAAACCCCATAAACCTGCATGTATTTCAGAGACAGCACTCTCAGAGCATATGCAAAAGGCCTTGCCATAGCATAGAAACATCTTGTAGACGTCAACACGCCCATGGGCGTGTTGGTGTGGGTATTTCCTCTGTCGTTTCTGGCGGATTTCTGTCCATGGGAGGTTCCAGTTTGCCTCAAGCGGTTATGGGGACTAATTCCTTCTTCCTCCCATGTTCAGTATTCGTCGAAATAGATACTAAATAGCATAAGTTGTCTTTATCTTCTTCCTGTTCCTAGTATCATTATCAGATCGGGCAAGAACTCCTTATCTGCGATACTCAACCCTCTAAAGTCTTCCAGGAGGCTCTCCGCGTACAGCTGTAAGATTCGTTGCTTGTCCCTATCCAGAGATTCGATGTCAGTATGCGCTTTCACACGGCCCAGGGCCTTCATCATCGCGGCATGAGTCCTACCATCCGTACATCATTTCCCTCTACCGGATCCCATGTCAAGCAACGGTAGGTTTCTCGAAGCGTGCTCCTCGCGGCGCTACTGACGCTTTCTCGGAACCAACCCCATCCGTTGGAGACATGAATTTCTTCGTTCCGTCGGATGCACTGCATTCCATTGCGGCACGGACGATTTCTGATTTGTGTGTCTCATATTCAATGCGCTGCTTCTCTAAATCGCGGATCTTGCTTCCCATTGTGGAGCGTGCTACAGGTTGCTCCGGTCAGGTGACATAGAAGAAAAGAGAAAATAGAAAATGAACAGCAGACCCATATTTCCGTATTCCCTTGTCTTCATCGTTAGGTATTCATTCCCAAGTGGGCATGCGAAACAACTGGACCATATCAACTCCTTGTTCGATTAGGGAATTGCAGCTGATGAAGGGGACGTACCATTGCCCGGGTGAGTACAACTGGCAAGACGCCGTGCGGCTGGAATCAAGTGATGAGGGCTTTGCTGGCTGCAGCAAGGTACGCAGCGATGCAGTCTTGCAGTCTTGCAGTCTTGCCGTCTTCTGGTCCAGCGTTTGATGGCGAGATTACCAAGAGTCAATAAACTTCAATCGCTTTGATATGGCTCATAAAAATAGCACGGCGTGCCTGTACCGCACTACCGGTTGACCCACCAGACTGAGATTTGCCCCTCCTTTATCATATGGATTTCCTCTGCATAATCGGACAATTCGCATTTACCAGAGGGGCGCCGTTTTCGGCAACTGCCCCGTCTGGGTTTAGCGCCCGTCCCGTGGCTGCCTGATGCGGTTTGGCGCCGACCCGGTCGGGTTTAGCCTCCCGCGCTATACCATGCAGGGAACTGCCGCCTATGCCCGCCTTCACATCGTCCGCTGAACTATATAAAGTCGCTGGTGCGTCGCTCGACGACCACCTCCTCCCACATTCTTTTACTTCCTCTCGCAGCGACGTCCCTCGGCACCCTGCTATCCTGTCCTGTCCTGTCCTGTCCTGTCACGCGCACCGGACCAGCCTGCTCCGACCCCCACCTTCGGAGATGACCGTCCCTCAACAAGGACCGCTCAGCCTGTGTCTGCCCACCGTCGACTTGCAGCCGTGAAACCGCCGCGTCACCATGGACCGCGTCCGCAATCTGATTCCCTGATATTACTGGAGGGCTCAATTTGGACTTTGCTGTATGACCTGGAAGGACGTCTCGAGGAGGTCCCACCAGGCAGCCAATCGTCATGTCCAGCTGGCTGACGGTGCTTCCCTCGGTGCCATCTAGCCTCGACAAGTGTTGCCTTTGCGAACTCGGTCAGATCCTGCAAACCAATGGCGAAAATGCCTCAGTGGTGCTGCCTCTCGCTCGCGATGGAGTTTAGGAGATTCCGGTTGCGTAACCCCCCCAGCACTGGAAATGATCGTTTGTTGGTTGTGCTTTCTGATTGCCTCAAGCGAGAGACGGACACGCCCGATGTGGAATGACGTGGTAGTATGCAGGACGAGTTGCGAAGAGCGGTCCGGTTGCAACCTGTGGTGGGAAGCCCGTTCGTGCCGCTGCCAATTCCTAGCTAGGCTGACTTCGCAACGCAACGATGCCACCGGCGAATCCTGGATTCCTGTGTTACGTGGCCACTCCTTCGGTGGAATCCCCGCCTGCTAATTGGACTGCGCTGATGCTGAACCTGTGATCGTGCGTGCGAAGTGCCGATACACTATGCATCATTTCCACACTCCGCTTTTTGGCTATGGCGGATTACGGATTCGAGCAAGACCAGACCGATAAACCTCCAGTCCACCCCAAAAAGCGGATTAGGAGGGGCATGTCCGTATGTTGGATCTATTTTTGTGAAAGGTATGCTTTCGGGTATAAATACCCATCCATCACCCGGAAATTCGAGCTTCGACAGTCCTTGTTTTTCCATCGCTGCCTATTCCTTGATTCGTCCTCTCCCCATCTTCTCTGGAATCTCCCAATAGTTGTTTTAACAATGTCTATCAGCCTTGATAATATCAACTTCTGCTACCAATACCCTCCGCCTAAACCGGTTACTACCTCTAGTTGGAAGCCATATCAAGTCCCCTCAGCTTCAGCGCACATTCCACATCGAACTTGCCTCCTTCCATCTAATCCAGGCTTCTCGAAGGCAAGCGCTCCACCAGAGACCACCCAGAGTCCGAGCATCTCACCTAGTGGAAATACGATGGGGATCCGCAATGAATTTGACATCGGGATAGAAGGTATGACTCTGGTAGAACCCAGTTCGAATGTGTCAGAGAAGGGTCCAGGGACGCGCCAGGCTTGTGGCTTCCTCAATGAGACCGCTAAGGATATATTCTCTGGAGCCTGAGCGCCTCTTCATCCGGTGCTATACGCAACCTGCGGTGGATCCGTTTCATAACCTTACTAATTCTCAACGCTTTCCAGCTTCCGCGTCAGAGCCGGCAGAAATCCAGACAAGCGATGGCGATAGCCGCAAAACAGCTCTTTATGAAAAGGTTACTCTGGAGGATATCTCGCAGGAGCAGTCGGAGGAGCAGGCGTCCCTCTTAATGCAGCCTGCCATGTCTTCCGACTCCAGACTGGATACAATTGAGCAGGAAGTTCCAGGTAGGCATGATTTCCGGAGATATGTTAATATGACCTTAACATATGATAGTCTTGTCAAGGGCTAGAACTCTGGGCTCGCCTGAAGAAAGTATCCAGGTTTCACGGATTTCACGCCAAACCACTGCACGATCGACGCCGGAAATTTATGACGATCTATGTGCGCGTATCTCTCGGTCGTCCTCGATAGGTGTCCTGGAGCATACGCGCAAACTGGGAAGAGAACCTCGAACTGGAAATTCCCACATTGAAGGGAGCACCGTGGGAGCCTCTCGGGGCCAGGAAGCCACAAGCTATGGGGCCAATGATGCAGGGAATAAAGCAAATTGCACGGAGAGCCTCAGATACGGACTCGTTGTGTCCGAAGACCAAAGCGCAGTTACAGGCGGGAAAGATGATAGGGGGGGCGCGGCCTCCGGTTCTAAGAGACCACCCATCAGACAAAGTTGCCGTGTCCGCTGTCATCCGCAGACGAATATCAGAGAGCCGAAGCGGATCAGATTGGTTTCCGAGAACTCACCAATCCGTGAGCCCGGCCGACAGACGGCCACGATGACCAAGAACACTTCGTCCTAAACACCCTATGTTTGTGAAAACTCTAACAAAGATTATGAGAGCGAAGGTTATCCGACATTGACATCCAGACCCATTGGCGAATCAAACGAACGCCTGGGGAAGAGATGTGGGCATTTGCCCCAAGTTGAGGCAACAGCAGGATGTACTTCGGTGTTGGCCGATGACACCACGGGAGAACATTCAAATTCACTCCAGAGGCCGCTGGACGGCAGCTTTCCGTCCACCACTGGTGAAGCCCAGGAGGTTTTTGGCCGAGGAATTTTGCGTATCCAACCCCACGGACCTCGGAATGCGTATGTCATCACTTTTCTGCCGGATGTCGTTCAACCGGCCTCTACGCCATCGACGTCCGAGATATCTTGGGAGAAGCCGCCCCACTTAACTAACCGTGGACGGGCAAATCCGTTAAGTGCCCCCGTGGCAGACAGTGTGCCAGGTGCACAAAAGGACCTTCCCATCGACCCTTTGATTCTCGCCGATGATGGGCCTTGGGAGGCGGGAGATCTAGATCAGCCCTTCTCCCTGAGCGACGATCCTAAGCCTTCGGAGACGGTATGTCCATATCCAGACCCTCCACCTCTTTTCTCCAGTGCACTTGGCCAGCGAGACTCTGTCGTGATAGGGCAGGGCAAAGAGGCTCAATTTATCAGCTCGCCTCACGACCGTCGCAGCGTTGCGGCCTGCAATCGTGCCCCCGGCAACCCTCTGAGTCTCACCCACCGTGGTAAACAGTCTAAACCCCGCAAGCGAAAGCTGCGCCGACCGGATGGACCACCGCCCAAACGGGTTCGAGGCTCTGATACGTCCACCGCAGAGGGGAATTCGTTTGCGGCGCTCCATACTCACTTCCTGTCCCTGCCGCTTGACAAGCGTTTGCAATTCCTCCCTTGGTTGTTGGAGGGTGCCCTGCCATATCACATGCCTAGGCCTGATCTGCTGACAACTGGGAACGGAGATGCGTGGCCAGCAAGTCCCCTGACCCAACGGTCCGATAGTAGCGAGCCTCATGGCAGCTCGAGAAAGGGCCTGCCTTGGTCATCTGAAGAAATAGGGCTCTTACTAAGGTAAGGCTGAGGAAAGACGAGAAACGACCTTGGTCGGAGGTGACAAGATTATTTTCGGACCAGTTTCCAGGCCGGAGCCGGGGCTCCATTCAAGTATTTTGGAGCACGACCCTCAAGAAGAGAGAACTTTAACACAGCATGCCTTTTCATCAATTAATTTTCATTTTTTGTTTCAAAATCAATCTACATAGTGCGATATGTGTGTTTATGGTGAAAGCAAAAATGTTCAGTAATTTTTTCGGTGAGCCTTGTTAGCTCTGCAGCCTCAGGACAAGACCAACGACATTCACTTAGAAGTTGTGGCGCATTAGCTCTGCAAAAATGATATACAAAATATCCCAATTCGTTTTGCCACCTGTATAAAAGTCAGTGACTAACGAGGAATCTACAATATTAGCGGTGTATTTCATATGTATTTCCCGCTGTCTGCTCTCTTCGTTGCCAAGAATTACAACATCGCCAGTTGTAGTAAGAATCGGCTCCATAGTGTAAGGTTTCAAATATCACAGAGCTCATCTCTCAGAAATCGTCATTACATTAATGTGCGGTAACAATATTATCAAAGCCACTAGCGCGCCGCATAGACTTTTGGTGCACACCTCCGTAGTTGCCTATCATTTTAAATATAGTGCAAATAGGTCTGAATCACCTGGGTGTCACAAGGGAATTGATATCGGAAGCAGAAAATTGGTTACACCGATCAATGGAGGAACCTCCGATTATGTGGCCACGTCGGCCAAATATTTGATAGTTAAGCACTCAAGCACTCATACTTTGGGCTACGTTTAGTAGAATATTATGGTTTTTCAAGGTTCTACTACGTGCCTGAGTCTCGTGCAATTAGGCCAATCGACTCCCTCTGTCCATTCTCCTGAGCAGACCTTCGAGTACGGACTCTTCCCCGAGAATCCACTCCAATCCTCTCTACTAAGTAGGGGCACTCCATTATCTATTTTTCAATAAGTCATAACTCTGCCATCGTCTTCGATCTGCTTCTATTGGGGCGATCATGAGTTGGCTAAAACATCATCCCCTATCTTCTCTGGGCACTGCTTCGCAGGCCGGATCGGATAGTGACGAAACCAATAAATCCGGAGACTGCTCAGACACCGAGTCCACATACAGCAACGAATGCGCGTCTAATGGTGGATATGGCACGGATGATACTCTTTCCGTTACTCGGGTGTTGGAACAGCATGGTATCCCTTGCTGTCTGGTTGGTATAGCTGCCCTCGTTTTCTACGGCGCTGGCAGAGTTCGTGATGTAAGTCGCTCAGGAGCTGTATCTCCTACCTTTTTATGCAAAGACTAATAATAGTATCTGTCTCATGTCGCAGGACTGGGAGATTTGCGTTCCAACAGAGCTCGTGGGTCAGGCAGCAGAGCTACTACAATCAGAACCATACGCAACGCAGTATCGCCTAGTCAAACCGTGGCCCTATTACAGTCCCTACTCTCTTATCCACACATACCACCGGTTCAAAACCAGAGGGATTAATCATTACTTCTTCCTTGTTCCTTCAATCGACATGCATATTGACTGTGACCCTTCCAACTTCACACGCAGTCCCAGAGGGTTGCCGTATCCCAAGCTGGATGTCTTTATTCAAAGCTGTTTAGACACCTGTGACATGCTCCAGCTTTGCGATGTTATAGACGGTACCAATGTTTCAGAGGAATGGGGCGAGAATAACCTTAATCTTGAGGGTACTAACGATGTAGAATGGGCCAAAGAAAAGAATAAGAGGGGAGAGGAGTTTGGCGGAAAGTGGGCTCATTCTCTGTTTGCCTGGGAAGGACAGAGAAACAAACGAGAGATGTGGCAGTCATTGGTGCGCACCAAAGAAGACAGGTTGGACTGGACAAAACCCAAGGATGTCTTTATAACTCAATATCGTGTTATAGGCGCGCCGGATCCCTGGACAGAGCTATCTGACATGTCTTAATGGTCTCTAGCGGGGTATTCAGTCTGTTTTATCAATAGCTCTATCTGAACCTGAGGGGAGCTGAAGGGTTTTCGTGGAATGTCCCGGGAGTGTATATTAGAAGGTTGCCACCAGAACCTCAACTTCTAACTCTATGAAATAACAATAACTAGTACTATTTGCTCAGCGTACATGCCCTGCATTTTTGTTACTTAGGCTCTCTTGGATCAAGGTTACGACATGCAACAGGTGTCAGATATCCGAGTTGTAAGCATTCATCCATCCATAATATAAGATAGAGGCTATATAGCGTTACAAAGAAAGCATCTTCTTTACTTCTTCACGCCTTGTTTCGCTCTTCTCACCTGAGCCATAGACCTGATAGAAACTTTCCCGCATATTCTTATCTAAGAATTGACTCCCCTTCGCGATTTCATGACCATATCTAGTCAAGAGGAAAACTAGATCGAGAAAGTCCGAGTGCTTTCTTCTTGCGAACCACGCAGTAAGCTTTGTCTCGACTTGCCATGTAATATGGATAACATTCACCCGGCTCCCTTGTGGCGTTTGAAATGATGGAGGAATTGATTCACAAGATTCCAACTCGCTGAGGTTGGGGGTTCCTATCGCACCTATTAAGACATTAGTAAGTGTACACTTGAAGCCATGGCTGACTGATGTCAGAAAACTGTTAGAGGTCACGTGTATTCTGCCATATTAGACCGCCCTCGCTTGGCCTGACACACTAAAATAGCTAGACCAACCTAGATAGATACAATACAAGCAAGTTGATCCAACAGGTTATGAGCCCTCGCGCTCGCTACGATCGAGAGCTTCCAAAAAAGAAGATATTAAGTTGAGTTTGAGGGTTGAGGATGGTAGAACTCGATATTGTCAAGATCAATAAGAATTCTTTGCAGTGACGGCAGAGTCAGACTGAAAAGGTGGAAGTGAAGCTTTGACGGCTGCTGGAATGATAAAGAGTGTTCACTGGGAAAACCCAAGGTTTAAGGGAAGGCGTTACTACGTATTGTTTGCAATATCCTACAGTCAATAGCATGAGCTTTTTGAGTCCCCAAGTGCATATATGACCGTCGAGTTCTGTGGTGATTTCAATACTTTCTCAGGCTTGGGTCGCAAGGTAGCATCGCTCCAGTACCTATCAAGTCAATGTAAAACCTGGTATTTGTCTGGGACAGGGCCTTCAGACCATTCAAATTGACCGATAACTAGTTAACTAACTATGTGAATCAATTTGAGCAACCTTTTGGATGGCACAAGAAGGCGCATACAGTACGCGCCGCGCGGGCTCTGCAGGTGTTTACCCCCAAGTCTGGTCGTTACTGCCTCGCCGTCCCGAGGTGCCTCGTCAGATCCCACTCCAGCCAATGGTTGTTGGATGAGCGTGTTGAGTTGTGTTGTCTTTTGCATTAGCGGGGCTTGTGACTCGACATACATATACTAGCGTTAGCTGGGGGTCAATGCAGTTTCTGATCAACAGATCCCACCCTTCAAGGCAGGAGATATCCCGGCACCCGGCGGTACAAGTTGGTATCGCTGACTGAGATGTAGCACTCGGATGTTTGCTGGCCTGATCGGTTTCCGGATATTTTGGCTAGTGTTCCATAAACTCCTGCAATGATCAGCTCGGTCGGCTTGGCATCCTAAATCATTCCCGTCAGCCAGTGAAATCACTCGGGCTGATGGGAAGCGATAAGGCTGAGACAGTGAATCATTTTGTTGACCAAATTAGTGCCGAGATCATCCAACTGGGCGTGGAGATGTGCCGCAACCTTGTCACTCGTGGAACACCTTCGTCGCTCGTCGCTGAGAGGGTGGAGTAGGCATTGCACCAGTTTTACATTTCCTTTTCAATAATCAGATGCTGCGCCGGTTCCCCCTGCTTTCGGCAGAGGTATAAATAGAGACAAGAATCTTGTCTTGGGACAACCATGACGAATAATTTCATCCAAGGAAGCTTCAGGCGCGTCAGTTCGGCAGGCTGTAACAACTGTATCATTGCTGTGTGACATCTCCTGCATAAATCTCACTTTACGTGCTTGGGAGGAAGAGCAATCTGTGGGTCAAGTAGTAATTGGCGCCTGCCAATAGCTTTCCACATCTCTCTATCACATCTCATCATGTTGATACGACAACTAAAGTCTCAGGTTGGTGCCTGCCCAATCGGACTACTTATTCAGAATATGGCAGGGTGCTTGATTCCTGATCTTTATTTCAATCCAACTACCTAGCCACTCGTCAATCAGTTCAGATCGTGATTTGCCCTAGTACTTGCTAATCAAGTTTCATCTTAGCGCTCCATGAAGGAAATCAGAACTTGCTATCCAATTATCTGACCTAAGCTACGCGCTGAGCTGCGGAGTGATTTAGAAACAACCAGCCTTGGCTAGGACTATTATCTGCGAGTGAACACCTCTCTGCTTTGGTTCAACTTGGACTTCAGAAACGCCTGCATTTAGGCAGCTGCGCGCTAGCTGCTTGGCAGTTTGAGGTCGCCTGCCACAATCAGCGACTTGTGCTTTTGAAAACATCAGAGCGGCTAACAGGACGTCGCCATTAGGTATAAGAGTAAGTGCTGTCACTTCTCCAAACTTAACCATCATTTGCCCATGTTCCAAGCGACATGCCAATTGGCTACATTGCGACGATCACAGAAAACGCCCCAGTTTCATTTTTCACGTGTCTGGAGGGAGGCGTTTTGCATGTTCCCCGACTACTTAATGGCAACGATAGAAGGGTGAGAAAGAAGAGACACTATTGTTGTATTAACTCTCACTCTTCAGAATTCACATTGCCTTTACTGTTCGCAAAATGTCCCGGGCTCTCAAAGACTTCAAGGATCTGATGATACGGGAAGGCCAAATAAGCAAGCTGTGGAAGACACATTCAGCTGGGACACGTATCGCTCCCCCAAAGAGTGGGGAGAAGGATAAAAAATGGCAATTGCGGTTGGATGCTGGAGAGGTGAAGGACGGCAAGAAACGAATCTACCTCCAGGTCAACTCTCAAGCTTCCAATGAAACACTCCAGAAGTGGGTGAAGAAGAACACAAGCCATGCCAATTTAGCCTCTGGAGACATCAATATCAATGAGCCAGAGGAGAAATTTTCAGATGCTTTCGACGAATTTTGGCAAGGTATTGAAAAGCAAGCAAAGGATAATCTGGGTTAATGGTATTGACCCTCAAAGCACCAGATGATCAAACAATTAACTTGCCTATAGGGACCTTCAACATGAGGTCGCTTCGAGCCTCATTCACTTGCCCTTATACCAGCGGCCGAGTCAATTTTTGCAATAATGCGGCCATCATTATCCCTATTTCCACGCATTCCACCTATGAAAGTCTGCCTTGTCACACTCTGTCAATATAAAACCAAAGCTTCTTTGCTTCCTCTTCTGGTACCTCTTCGGATTCTTTCCGAATATAAAGTTGGAACAGTTCGGTGTGTCTTGCTTGCACTTTGTTAAAGTCAAGATGGGGCGGTACCCAGCCGTCATCATCTGAATGCAACAACTCCTGTGTATATGCTTTTAGTTTTTGCCAATCCCTGTACCGAGAAAGCTCAAGCCTGTGCCTTAATAAATCGTCCCTTGTAATTTGGTACGGACAAGGTTCAGAGAGACCTATTTGGCGCCACTTTTCGGATATCTGGACCAGAGAATCACGGAGCGGGATTATCCCGTGCTTCCACGTGTTTTCGGTCAAAGAGAGTAAGTCTCGTGCGACTGAGTCGACTTGAGTCAAAGCCAAGTATGATTCAAGGTGATTCTTAGCAAGTGCCGCTTCGTAACATTTTGATAGTAAAGCCTGGTCTCTCTCTGTTATCGCAAAAGCTTTCTCGTCCGAGTCCATTTCGTCAAAGTTTGGCGGTAGGTCTGGCTTGACAATCCCAATTTCGTAATTTTCAGGAGGTCTAATGAAAGACGGCCACTGGACTTGCATGAACGCAGGCATGATTGACACAAATTGCCAATCTATTATGCCAACGATTCTCGTAGGGTCCTTGTTGCAAACAAATATATTGCCCAAATGAAGGTCCCCATGCCACAGAGTTGGTCTAGAGAAACGCTGAATATAGCCCACTAATTTCGGTATAATTTTCATAGCAGTTTCCAAAATGTGAATATGTTCGAGTTTAGCGCCGAAATGGGGTCCACGAGGAACGAGCGTCGAGTGTTGCACATGCGCAAGGCCTCGATTGGCCAACGCAAGACAAAGGTCTGAAAGTCCCGCCCCTATCCGGATACACATGTTAGCCTGGGTCTAGTAATATGGGAGGCGCAGATATGACAAACATGGGCCAGCATAATTTTGGTTGCCAAACTGTGGAAACCACGACGCATTATAGGCGGGGCCAATACAATAATCGTCATTTATAGGGATCACTTGACTTCCGTCTTTAGTTGAGTGACGGAAATACAGATTTCCATAACCAGGAAACTCCATCGAAGCCAACTGACTTTCCAGCTGAACCAGGTTTTGAATCAGCTTGAACTGTTGCAGCTGACCCATCTCACCCCATACATCAACTAACTGCCTCCCGTTTACTTTCTCCATCACAATGTACTCCGACCCGACAGGATTCGAAGAATCAGAGCTCCACGCAAGGACTTTGGGAACTGGAACAGAGGTCTGAGACCTTACTACCGAAAAACCATCTGAATTAGCGTGGAGACTCGGCAGACGGCTCAAAAAAACCTACCATATTCCAAGGAAGCTGCTTCAGATGCAGTGCTATACTCAGCGGGCACAACACTAGGACATGGTATCTTCGCAATAATCTCTTTTCCATTTTCAGCTGTTATCAACAATGCTTTGTTGAAGCCACCCTCAAGTTTATCAATTTTGGATATCGGTGAAGACACAGAGGGCAAAGACGAAACTACTGTACAGAGAGCCTCGAGATCAAATTTGGCGTATCGTTTTGATATTTCGTGCTTCTCATTGACCAGAAATCGTCCGTTCGTGTATTCAAAAAGCTGCTCACACTGGATAGGCTCTCCTAAGGGCGGATATCATTAGACGGAGAAGTTATTGCGATTCGAGGGGCATACCGTGACTAGTCAAAGAGATGTTCCTGGACATGGATTTGGGAGTTAGTATTGCCTTTTTCAAAATTCCGGTTCGGATTCTGTACATGGCTGTTATTCAGCACGAGGACTGAGATTTGGATGAAGATTGCATTATCGCTTTCTCCTTTTCGAGCTTACAGGGTCGAAAACATGGCCGCAGGAGCCGAAATCGATTATGTAACGGTCTTGGCGGTCAGGTGATCAAGGCCATCAATGGAGATTCATAATTCCAGGAGGCCTCCGTGGAGTGGAGAATCGAAAAAATCCGACCTACTAATTGTCATCCAGCGCCTCGCTCAACCTGCCGATCCATCTGACATACCAATGGTTGCTTCAGGGATGACTACAGGGGTTCTAGAATACACTCTTTCCATTTCGGGATTAAATGAAGCGCCTGGAGTACTATATAAACCTCTATACAGACCGTAGTTAGGAGACCAACACCTTCAATTCCATTCGTTGCACAGTTCGTTGTCACCTGACCCAAATCCAGCACTAGTAGGAACCTCTTGTAGCTCACAATATCCAATATTCAGAGTCCACTTTGAATCGCTCTAAGAGTCTCTGTTAGTAAAGAATAAATATAAACTCTACGTTCTACCAGTAACTGTATTCAGGGAGTGAAGCAAGGTATGGGCAACTTCTGGGCATTGAAACCGGTCGTTTGATTCAACTTCCCAGGATTTTCCATCGTCTTTACAATCTTCTCCGTACTTCTCCAAAGGCAAACGGGTTTGACACTTTAAAAATAGCCAATAGGACTACCCCTTTTCAGTGGAGGCACTCGCCTCCCAACCGTGATATCAAATCGTCACAATCCCAAGATAAACTGGCGCCAACTTGCATGCATGGTATCGTAATGATACCCCGACAGGTTGATTCTTCATCAAGTGACAGCGGTGACGGTTCTTGACCACATTCTCATGGGATACGAGACCAAACAAAGTTGGGGTTGTCTGAATTTGACAATTCTATTACTAACACATCTAAATCCACTAGGGTAGATACAAGATCGTTCTTCTCAAGTCCTCCCACTCAGCCTGGTATATCTACGTCCTTTGATTGACTTGTGGCCGGTTAGGTGAGTATCGCACGTGTTGGTTTGGTGGTGAGGAGGTCGTTACTGGCTAAGCTCGCTCCATCCCTCCTCCCTCTGAGTTTTGTCAAGCACTTCGCTGATCGGGTTACAAACTTCAGATTTCTCGACCAACGCCCTTGCAGTGATTTCCGATCCCTTCCAGCAAACCTCCGACCGAATTCCTCCTCGATCTGTTCCCATTGAAGCTTTCTGTGTACCAATTCACGGAGAAGCTCGTCTTCGGCATCTGAATAAGGACGGGCCCGCTTGCTGCTAAGGAATGAACGAGATGCTCCTGCTCTTGCCCTTGCCCTTGCCCTTGTTCGAGGGCCCCCGCCTGCGGCAAGTTCAGCGTACCCCAACACGGTGCACGCTGGCTTCTTTCGACTGTGACGCTTTGATCGGGAGATTTTAGATGGGCTACACACGGTAGTCTCAGTCACAGGCCGGGGGCCTCTGGATCCAGAGAAAGTGGTCTGCGATTCTTCAACCAACTGGCAGAAAGTGAGAAGGCCCTTCGGTCTCAAAGTATCGGACAAGCCACCGTCGCTTCCCTCAGAGAGATGCTTCGTGTCGCGAATATCATTATTTCGGCCATCATCGGCATCACCGGGGTGACTCTCGCAGGACAGGCCTATCCCACGAACTTCGAATGTAGTTGAACTTGTTTTGTCGAGGCACGGCCTGTCATCCCTTCTGAGGGCCACTGAAGCCTCACAGCTCTCACAGCTCCCATTGTTCCATATCCAAGAGAATAATTTGTCGGGATGGGGCAAGTCGTCGCCGTCGATGTTGCTTGTCTTGTCACAGTCATTTTCTGGACGGGGTAAGATTACTGATAAGCAAGAGCCTCGGGCAGCAAGACGTGATAGACCTGAACGAACCTTCACTGGATGGACAGATGACGCTCTCTATGTGAGGGCCGCTAAACACCCCAAAGGAAGATGCAGTTACGTGATGGTGCTCAAAGGGCCTTTCTCGATCGTTGTTCACAAGGATGGATTTGCCATGGTCAACGTGCTGTGCCGCCATGTCTCGCAGTGTGGTTACAGGCTTGCGGGCAGGGCTAGTGTAGGCATGGAAGTGCATGGAAATGGGAGGTTTCGGGGGCAATGGATGATCCATCAAGGTCGAGGGACGTGAAGCTGGGAAATTGCAGGGCAAAGGAGGGGAAGACAAAGGGCCATTGTAAGAAACTTGGCGATCCATCCTGGCAAACGAGCAAAGTGGGAAGTAAAGTGTGATGTTAAGGAAACTGATGATGCTGTCTGCGTTGCTTTTAAACTTGAGACGGACGAGGGTATTTACAACCCGCAGATCAGGCGACGACTCAATTCCCAGGTCCTCATTCTAACGAAGAGAAGAACAACACCCCCGAAAGCTGAACCAATGCGGAGGAGCCCGATCCTGCTCTCCTGCTCGCGCGCCTTGGATCTTGAAATGGTACGCTGTATTCCTCCAGTGCAATCGGCCATTCCAAGGGATTATTGGGGCATTGTCCGGAAAGAGTAAATGCTGGATGCACGGCGCGGATTCGGCGAAGCCCATGTCAGCCTCGGAGATCAGCGAATATTCCACAGGAAACACCGCAACAGCAAATAGCCATGCTTGCAACGTCATGCTTTCCACAAACATCTATCACGGGGCGCAGGAGACCGGATAATCGAGGACCAATCGGCCACTAGTCGGGCAAAGGAAGATTCCACGAATGTGATTGAGGGCAGCGGCGATGATGGGAGGACAGCCAGCGGAGTCATGGATGAGGCATTTATGCCATTGGATATGTTTCTCCGAGGCCCTTTTCTTGTCGTCATCCATACAATCCCACCGCATGCCACAACGCGCGGGATCAGCATGGCTGGGACGAAAACGAAGGTGCAAGACAGGAAACCGCGGGAAAGGGGGAAGAGAGGGGTAGGCATAAGGCGTAACGCGTAATCAGCCTTTGTTGGAGCCTGTTTTGGGGGTTTGGGGAGTCAAGACTTCTTTGGTCGAAGAAAGTCGAGAGGTAAAGAGTAGATACCCTAGAAGACCAGCAGGCAAAGCGAGGCCCCCGATAAACGAATTCTCTGGCGGTAGCGGCTGGAGGCACAAAAAATATGAATCATTTCGCTAGATTCAAGCAAAAAGGAGAAAAAAATTCAGCTGAAAAGCCGGCCCAAGCGGACGGGGTAGAGCATCTGGAAGTGGAGGGGACGAAAAAGGGCGCAGCCGCAATTTCCGACGAGAAAAAGGGGGCGAAGGGGGCGGGTAATTTTGGAGCAGATGAGACGACGGGGCACGACAGGGTGAGTGCAGAATATGGGAGGGGGCATGGAGGAAGAAGAAGAAACTGAGAGGAGAGAAAGTCAGAACGGCGAGGACGGTTCTTATATACTCCGGGGTGCCTCGGGGCGGCGATGACGATACGGTGTATCGGAAGGCTATCCCTAAAGGGGGAAAACTAACTCGAAAAGGCAATTCACAGGTCCTCATTTTACAACCCAAATGCTGAACCTGCTCCCAAAACAGCATATGCTTTTGCTTCTATATCTCATGATAAAGAAGACACCCCCGTTACTACCCATCAACCCAAAAAGATACCATTAACCATGATGGAATGGCATCGGCGTCTTTGTCACCTTAACCAAGCTGACCTTCTTCGGCTAGCACGAGATCCCTACTCCTGCGTTGCCATACAAGGCTCTAAAGAGCTACCTTTTTGCAACACCTGCTGTCAAGCCAAACAAACTCGGTCCTACAGCAAAAAGCCTCGTGTACGCTACACCAAGCCATTATCGCGTGTTCACATTGATATTGCTGGTGGCGGTCATACACTAGATCCAGACTCAATGAATGATGAAATCACTCCTTCCCGTATAGGAGCCAGATATGTGATGATAATCACAGATGATGCTACACATTACAGATGGGTCTATTTCCTTGAAGCCAAAAGTAATGCAATTCAAGCATTCAAGACCTGGTTGCAGCTCATTAAAAACATGGGATTCACCTCACCTGCTTTCCTAATATCTGACAATGAATTTAATTCCAGCGAATGGCAAAAGCTGTACCAAACTGAGGGTATAGATTGGCAGCTAGCTAATCCTTATTCCCCTTGGCAAGATGGTGTCAGTGAACGAGCTATTTGAATTATCTTTGAAAGAAGCCGTGCTTTAATGCTAGATGCTCCTCATATCCCTCACTGTTTTTGGAGTGATGCTATCAATGCAGCTACATGGCTTACCAATCTTTTACCAACTTCAACGCCACTATACAATTCAAATGTCCCTGGGGGAGTTGATACAAATACTATGATCAAACCTTCCCCTCACCGTCATCCCTTAGGAGCTTGGTTCAACGCCCCAGCTGATTTTACATCTTATCGCCGTTGGGGCTGCCCAGTTTGGGTTCACCTACATGGCACTGAGAAACCAACTCATAAGCTTGATTCTCGTGCTAAACGTTGCTACCTGATTGGTTATGTTGCTCATAACATTTACTGGATTTGGGATCCTGAAAAAGATACTATCTTCAACAGCTCAGATGTAACTTTTGATGAAAATTATGACACTGAAGCTAATAATCATTCTTCAACTCCTCTAGTTGTTGATACCATTCATCCAGATAATCTCCCAACTACAGTTGATCCTCCAGACCTGATACAATCCAATTGCGAACCAATATCTATGTCTGATGACTGGATGATTCCAACTAGCAATTTCAGTTTTGCTGCTGCCATACGATCCAAAAATCCCTACCTACCTGATGACACGCCAACTTCATACCGAGAGGCAATGAATCATAAAGATAGAGATAGATGGCAAGCTGCAATGGATCAAGAGATTAACCAGCTTCATGAAAAAGGCTGCTGGCGTTTGGTTAAACGAGCTGATCTTCCTCCTTCTACAAAAATCACACCTGGTCAATGGATGTATAAAAAGAAGGAACTACCAGACAGCAATGGCTATCTCGCCAAAGCACGCTGGGTTATACGCGGAAACCTTCTTGACAAAGATTATATGGAACGCTATGCCCCAGTCATCACTGAATCAACTTCAAAACTACTATTCGCACTTACTGCCATTCATGGTTGGCACATCTGTCAAGGAGATGCTGTACTTGCCTATCTAAATGGTAAATTACCCCCTGAGAAGCCTGTCTACATGACTCAACCACTTGGCTATGAAACTGGTCAAAAGGGCCAGTATGTTTGTGAGCTCATCCAAGCTCTCTATGGCCTCACCCCTTCAGCCCGAATATGGTATGATACTCTATCTGTTTCATTGAAGGAATTTGGTTTCAAATGCTCCAATTATGACTCCGGCTTATGGATACACCAAACTCGAAAAAATCTCTATGTTACCACCTATGTTGATGATTTCAAAGTCATTGCAGCCACAGCCGACAATGCTGATTGGTTTATGGATACCCTTGCTAAACGCTTTGATATCAAGGACCTTGGAGAAATGAAGAGATATCTTGGTGTCAACGTTAAATACAACCAACAAGCCAAAACACTAAGTCTCAGCCAATCTGAGTATGCTGAGGACCTTGTTACCTCTTTTGGATTATCTGATGCCCATCCGGTACAGCTCCCAATGGATCCAGGCTTGATTATTGATGATGACCCTGATCCCACTATCAACGTTAAGGAATACCAACGTGGTGTTGGATGCCTTGCCTGGTTGGCAACTAAAACTCGTCCTGACCTTAGTCGTACAGTTGGTGTTCTATCACAGTGGAACTCTAAACCAACAAAGAAGGCTTGGGCAGCTCTGAAACACGCCCTACGATATCTCAAAGGAACCATTAATCAACAGATCACCTACCGCGGTTCTGTTGACCCTATCACCAATCAAGACCTGATGCCAGTGCTCTACTCTGATTCTGATTGGGGTGGTCCCCTTACTGGAAATCGACGCTCTGTATCGGATACATCCTAATACTTGCTGGTGCACCAATTGCCTGGCGCAGTCAATGCCAAACCTCTGTTGCCTTGTCTAGCAATGAAGCTGAATACATGGCTGCTAGTGAAGCTACTAGAGATGCCGTTTGGATACGAAACATCATTAAAGAACTCGAAGTTATCTCCCCTGATGAAGAACAGCCTTTTCCACCAGTTCCTCTACTAGTTGACAATCAAGGGGCGTTACAACTAATTGCTTCTGACCTCACTACCAAACGCTCCAAGCACATCGATATCCGCTTTCACTACGTACGCGAAAAGCTCCATGAGGGCGTCATTGAAATAAAAGCTTGCCATACGAGTGAAATGGCAGCTGATGGTTTAACTAAGCCTCTGCGCAATGACCGGTTCACTACTTTTCTCAAGCTAATTGGGATGAAGGGACGTTTGCTACCTTGCAACACTGAGAATTCTGATTCAACGCCTCTCATTGGCTGAAGGAACCGGATCCTATTGAAGCGCATTTCAACGATCATCTTTTACTATGTAATTTAGCACTATTTTTTTGCTGTCAGGCTAGCTCGTGCGTGGGGAGGTGTTAGAGGTCACGTGTATTCTGCCATATTAGACCGCCCTCGCTTGGCCTGACACACTAAAATAGCTAGACCAACCTAGATAGATACAATAGAAGCAAGTTGATCCAACAGGATAGGCGTATGTATGGTCGTATTACTAGGTAGGCCTGCCTGTGCCGTGAGATAGGTAGCGAGGGCGGTCTAGGACGGCAGAACCTCACGTGTACTAACAGCTAGATAGGGACTGACTCCGCCGACCCCTTTATGAATACAACCACGTCCAATCCATCAGTAGTGGCCCACTGGCTCAGGCGATGGATAAAACAGACCAATGAGAACACATTTATTAATTCTTGGCAGGGCAGACTACTGCGTAAAGTGGAGATACGATGAACATGTTATTAATATGAGAACAATTGATATTTTTCTCTGGTTTCCTTCGCCTTGGTCGATTGAACTGCCGTTGTATCGTTTTGCCTGTCTCTCTCTAAACCGTCAAGCCCCTCGCTCTGTCTGTCACGATGGGATCCACCGAGCTTCCTTATATCGCGACTAACCCGAAGATCATCTTTTTCACTGATTTTGACGGGACGATCACCCTGAAAGATAGTGAGTTTCCGTCTTCCATACTCATTCACTTCAACCGTCTTAATCGATGAAATCGTCCATAGGCAATGACTATTTGGTGTGTTCTTAACCAGGATCCTAGTGCCTGGAATATCTTCCGTCTGACCGTGGACTCAACTCTAGACCGACAATTTGGGCTACGGGTATACGAAACGCAGACAAGGAAACGAGGATGTCCTGTCTGGGAAAGCTACTTTTAGGTCAGTTGATGATGGTGATCGCATGCATGGAGCGTCAGCTAACACTATGGCAGGGATGCTTTCCGTGACATGTTAGACAGCGTCAAGCCTGGCTTCGACGAGTGCATCCAAGTCCTAAAAGAGAATATGCAGCTCGACCCATACTTTACCGAATTCTATTACTGGGCTAAGGAGAACAATGTCCCGATCGTTGTTGTTTCGTCGGGTATGCGCCCGATCATCAGCGCGCTGTTCGAAGTGTTGCTTGGCCACAAGCCAGACCCCAAGCACCTGGCCATCGTCGCCAATGACGTCGAGAGTCGCGACGGGAAAGATATCAACAGCCCTGGGGGTTGGCAGATCAAATATCATGATGACAGGTGCGCAGGAATTCTTGCCCTGTGTGTTGTACGATTGCTTATGGTTGTATAGCCATTTTGGCCACGACAAGTCCCTCGAGATCAAACCTTACGCTGCCTTGCCTGCCGATAAACGCCCGACTCTTCTATATGCCGGAGATGGTGTATCCGACTTGTCAGCCGCCGCAGAAACCGATTTGCTTTTTGCAAAGAAGGGTCATGGTGAGTTTTTTGCTAATCCCTAGTTCCACCAATTCGGTGCCCATAATAACGCACTTCCTAGATCTCATCAAATACTGTGAGCGCGAGGGGATGCCATTTACCATATTTGAGGATTGGTCCACCATCCTTGCTACCACCAAGGATATCCATAGCGGCAAGACCTCGCCCAAGAAAGTTGCCGAAGAGGGGTTGGAGAAGAGGTAATCAGTATGCAGAATGATCCTAAATTCAATAGTACATAGTAAGTATGGATCACGTCAACGCTACAAATGGGCAGTATATTGCAGATATGACGAAGGAGAGCCCTGAAAATGGATTGAGTGATAGTTTCACGACCTAGAAGTTGCCCATGTTCTACGGCACCGCTCCAAAGCAAAACAAAAATATCCATTCATGGCTCGCACTGCCCCTTTGGTCATTCCTGGGGGTCCACACAGAAGCACAGAAGAGCAACACATTCCCCCGGCTCAAATGCGTACTGGCGAAGAATTCTCTGGTCAATGGGTCCTCTTTCGCCCTTCCAGGCTTCCCCTGCCTTAGACAGCACATGCGTAATCTGGATCTGATCCAGGTAGTCTTGAGCAAATGTGTCTCATTCGGCGCGTATCAGTATGTCGTTTTGCGCTTCGTTTCATCTTTGCTCATGTTGGCATCTTTACCTCCAGGATGCCAGCTCAAAACGCCTATAGCATCATATACTTTATCATTGATAATAATCCCGCAATTATCCTCAGCGCAGTGCTTTTCGATCTCTTCCCCGGTAAACTGTTTCTCTCGAGCTGAAGCCCTACAGAGCAGTGCTGGGAGGCAAGTCCAATCCATCCTCATGCCATATCCCAAATCCCTTGTAGGCAGCCTTGTGTAATTGTATATTTTCTTCCTTCTGCCACTGGTCTGCCTTGTATTTTCCCTTGGGTGACCGCAACCAGCCCACAACAGAGTCGATGGTAAATCCAACCAGGATGATAATGCCACCAAGACCAATTATGAGTGAGAGTCCTAGAATAGAGAAGCTCTCATAATCACCCATGTTTCGAGCAAGCTGGCTGCCGCATAAGGTGAGGCCAACAAGATCATTCGGCGGGTCGTATAGCCAAACTGGATCACCAGGTGGGTTTGGCTGGTAGTTCCTCGGAGTAGTAGCCCATTCGACGGCCCAAGCTTGCTCTTTGGCGAGCGAATTGTTAAACCAGCCTTCAACTTCAAGTTGCCATTGGCTTACAGGGAGGCTATATATGATGTTGTTGTACGCCAGCTGGGACACTGTTGAATCAGGCCAAATGTCAGTTATGCCGGGTGAAAAGGAAGCCACATAAGAGACAAAATCACAGTGCTCTGCTCTAAATAAACTAATACTTACCTTGTAAAGCACTCGCTCCCCGACCGTCCACTACAGACTGTATATTCCGACGAGTAGCCGTGGCTAGGAACCTCGTTATCGTGTTTAGTTGTATCGGGTTGAAACCCAGTCCGTTACGGTCCACCACATCATTCCAACAAGACATTGCACCCCCGAGCACGGTGCAACCTGATTCTCCGTCAATGTTGGGGTTGCATACTTGGTACTGATCGGTGCACCCGAGCAGAGTCACGTAGTAATCTGAAGTATACAAGGTCAAGCCATCCATGGTTTCCTTGATATGGGCAGACAGCCACGGGTCGTCAACGGGAGTGTTGTACCATATGCTATTTGCGGCAAGCATCATCAATGTGATGTCTGCATCGGTCTGATTCAACCTCGGATCGGGGTTCCAGTATCCAGCAGCTAACTTCTCGGAGAGACCAGACGGAGCGACCAGGGAACTAGACTTCTGTCAGCGCTACATTGTTACGACTGGAATGAATGGAAGTATCCTGCCTCAATGTGTAGCCAAAACCATCAAAGGCAGAATTGATGATATACTGGAATGAGTAATTTGTGCCCGCTGCTGGCACCGGTCCCGCATAGATATAGTCAATTGTACCCAATGATGAATCGTTTGCCGTTACTGCAAATGGTTTGCTGTGGATAGGCGCGCAGGTGGCAACTCGTCGAAACTTGATACGATCTTGGGGCCGCTCATTGATGCCAAAGTCGAAGTGTGAATCCAGCAAGCCAGTGTCTAATTCCAGGGCTGAGTGATCATTGTAGGCGCATATTCCTGAAGCAAATGGACACGAGGCATTCTGATTCCTGTTGAATGGAAGACTATTGCGGACGTACTGGCCGCAACCCAGTGATGAGGCGCCTTGGTAGCACTGAGTCACATAAGTTGCAGCGTCATGCGAATCCGCCATGTTCTTGCCATTCATGATCCTCAATCCAAGGGCGCTCGGCGTCAGGTTCGACATCAGAACGTTTCCGCAGTGAGGGCCAATGATGATGGTGGCGTTTCCGGGGAACTTGGTAACGTAGGAGGTGAAAATACCCGAGACGCCAAAGAGGAGAAGAATGCCAGCGGGAATCATTGCAACAGGGAGGGAGCGTAGGATGCTTCCATGGCGGCCAAACCCCAACATCAGGAGGGACCAAGACGCAGCGCCAGTGCTGCTGTTGCGCAGGATGACTTGGCGTCGATAATGCAGGATGTCATGACGCTGAGCTGGGTTTGTAGCCCATACCTGGTGGAGGGCAAAACCGGTGATCCTCCAGAACATGCCTCCAGCGAAGGAGACAAAGATGGCCAAGAACGCAGTTAGATATCCAGCGTCCTTCTGACTCAGGGTCAACGTGGCTCCACGGACGGCACCATGAGACCAGTTGTGCCAGACACCAGTGAAAGTGTGAACCGTGTCCGCCATGGCGACGATGAAAAGGATATAAATCCGACTTGAGAGGTCGGGAAGGCCTTTCGGGCGTGCAAGGGTGGAAGAGTACACAGTTAAATGTCATCCAGAAGGCATCTTTGGCGGTGGCCATGATAAATCCCCAGCACAGAGTAACCATTCTGTTCATCCACCGCAGGCTGTAGGCGGATTCCGTAAGAGCCGCATACCTGGACAAACGCCTGGGGGAGCGATGATCCGAACACTGCTTTTCAGCTCGCCTTCGGGACAGCCAATTAATTGGCATGTGTACCTTTACAAGAATCATACAGCCCCCAGCGGGTTGAGAAACACGAGCGCCCCGAAAATACTGCCAATCAAAAGAAGACTTACGCGAGAGTCTCGGGATGAACGACGGGCCTGGCCGCTGGGATTGGCCAAGAAATACGATTTCGTTAAGAAGAGAACCTTCAAACCGCCGATCTATATCTGAAAGTCGACGGTTCACGGCGATAATGGGTAAGACCATCTGCGGCGAACACTTGCTGCTTTGCCAAGGATATGTGTACAATATTTGTACACTGTACACAACGGAATAATGCTGGGAACAACAGTATTATATGATAAGGCACATAGGACGGAGTGAACTTCGCACCACGGCCCTGGTCAGGCCTCCAAACTCAAGCCCTAAAACCTCAAGCCCTAATCCCCAGACCATCGACGTGGTCATGTCCGAATCGGTAACCTGGGTGGTTATACTAATGGCTGAAGCCTTATGCCATGGCATTTTCTTCTTTGCCAATAGGTTGTAGTACTGAGGACCGAGCACTCTGTGCAGGACACTGCGCACTCTCTTCGGTTTGTGCTCAGGGCCCTCGTATGCTGATGGGTACACGTCACACCCAGTCCTCAACTCCTCGTGGCTGTCAGATGCCTCTTCAGAGAGGATCCTGTTCCATCATATTCGTTTGATTATCGTTCCACGCCAATCCACTTCTGTCCGGCCCGTCCAAGAGACCTGGTATGCCACCTGATTGCCAATCACAATGTCTAGGTGCTCCTAGCGTAGCCCTTCCCTCCCGTCGCTTGCGTTTTACGGCAGTTAGCTAAACGCCAATGCACTCGAAGGAGCACGAAACTCCACATTATCCGGGAGGTTATGTTGTTCTGGGTGAACCAAAGTACTTCCGTGCGGGTCAGGGGAGCTGTGGAAGGTATAAATAAACAGTAGAGCCTGCAGGCAGCTCCTCGCCCCATTCTTTCCTGCGCCTGAGTTTCCTCTTCATCCAGGTCTTTAGAGTTCAATCGTCTCCCTTGCTTCGTTTCTTCCTTTCTTCCCATATCAAGCAAACATGCGTTTCCTGGCCATCTGTGTAGCAGCCCTGGCTGCTCTTGGGGCTGCAGCCCCAATCTCGGTAGGTCTACAGGTCTTGTCCTCTGGCATATGGTTTACTGTCCCCTTTCCGCGAACGATGCTAAGTACTCGGTGGCTCTCTTGCCACAGGATTCGTTACAGAAGGCAAGTTATCGCTACATCAATGCCAATAACTGGCCTTGCCATGTCTGCGTATGGCTGACGCAAACAATCGGAATACACAGCGTCAATTTAGTGTTTCGAACGCCACTGGAGCAGTAGATCTGGGCTTTCTGAACGCAGTAGGTATTGCCTTTTCTTTGTCCGTGACGAGCCGATGGGGATATATTACTTACATTGATAAATCATAGCTCGTAAGTCTCGGTCGAGCCTTTATCGACGCCACGCGTGCAGCTAACCAGCTACCACTTGCAGAAAGCGGTAGGTGGCTCCTTTTGAGGTGCATAACTATCTATCAGAATATCTATCAGAAGGCCAGGGACGCCGGCCATGGATGAAAGTCGGTCAGTAATCCACTTGCAGCTTCAAATTGACACATATGCTGGCAACCTCTATATCGCTGACCAAGGCGCATATCTTCTAGGAGAATCTGGTGGACCTTTGGCTGACTTGACCCATCCGATTCAAGGCCCAAGAAACTGTAAGTGCCTTCTGGGTTCCGCTAACTAGGCAAGGCCTAACACTGCTTAGGCAGCTGAAAAACAGCAACTCGAAACAGATGCGCAGCAGGCGGGCCATGTGCTCCTCATATGACCACTGCAGAATGGCTTGCTGGCATTCATTCTGGGGCTATATTCGGTGACAGCAAGAAGCACGTATGTTATTGCGTTTGAGAATAGTACCAAGGCGTTTCATCGGAATAGCAGGAAACTACCGAAATGCACCACGGTATGAATAGCGGAAAGTATCGCTTCTGCGCCTAAGATAATATCATGAACAAGCCGGAGCCTTTTTTCGTCACGACTCCAGGCACGTTTCCCCTCTTCCTTTCTCAAGTCACGGACAGTAGTCACGGACAATGTTGCTGCAGCTCCTCCGAATCGATTCTCGAGCATCAGCTAACGGGTTCCACAGATGCAAGGGAGGGCGGCAAAGATGGGATATTGCATGGAGCTCTCTCGTCTTGGGGAGAGTTTGATCTTTGCCGGTCTAGTTGGTCTTGTACCAAGGTTAAAGCAATCCAATACATTTGCATTCATGGTAGTTTATCCGGTCTTCGAGTAACTGGGCGCCTAATTACCGTGCCCTACAAGGCCCCTTGATTAGCTATGCCGACTATGCGTGCGTTGGCCATCGTAAAACCTAAAATGTATTCGTATTCGTGGAGTTGAAAAACTTTACGATGATAAATACCCCACCATGTTGCTTTTGTCAGGCCACCGGAAATATACACAGTATATCTGCAGCGTGTACAGCGCCAAGAAGGCGATCCAGCATGCATAACCCCGACTTTGCTGGCTCGTTGGAGCAATATTATATGGATCTGCCTCAATATCAACACAGGCGGCAACTGCGATAGGTACAGTGGTGTAACTAGGTGCCTGTTATCATATTGACATGTACGCTTTGATTTGATTGAGTCGGTGCTCCGTAGTAGATCATGCCTGCCCATGTCCATTCCAGGAGGGCTCTTGCTTCAAGTACTTTTTGTTGATGAACCCGCCGAGTTGTTTAGCTAGGAGTTAACCAGTTAACGTTAACTAGTTTAGGAAGGAGGAAGGAGGGAGGGGCTGAACCCGCAATAGTTAGTTCTTGGCGAGTCAGCCAAAAGGGGAATGCCGTGGCTTAGCCTCTGCCCGCACTGTGCTTATGGACAGTTCCCCACTAGTTAGAGTGGACACGTGCCCACAGATAGTTTCTCATCTCTTGTTGGTAGTTCCCATGGTTCAGTTCCTTCCTAGTTAGCTTCCATTAGTTGGATAACTACTCATTTCCACTATGAACACCGCTCATTTCTATGCCATTGGGACATTTTCTACGAGATCGACTGGAAAAAGAAGCGTGGCTTCTGACGCTCTCGACCGCCACCACGTTCATAGGACCGTCTATCCCTTGGATTAATTCTGGCGAGCGCGTCGTTCTACGGAGAAGATTGGTCCCTCACGCAGGCAAATGGGACCTTGTTAAGGCGCTTTCCTGGCCGTGGGAACGGGAACTTCTATCCCCCGATGCTCTATCGCTTAGGACAAATGTATTTCTGCGTTGAAAGGACGCGGGGTGCAGAATACATCCTATTTCTGAGACCGAGCACAGACCTCACTGCGCCAATCCTCGACACTGGACCCGAACATTCAGGTACAGTTGATTGTGTCTGTCCATCACATCTACAGGAATTTCGATCAGTTGTTTATCGTTTTCTTCGCGAGAACAATATCCACGTACAGCCGCCCAACTACCACAATCTGGTTATATATTGGTGTATCATCGAAGATGGATCGGAGGTCCCCAGTATTTTGGCAGTGGATCAGGGCGGACTCGCTCAGGGCGGACTCGCAGATGATCCAGCCTAAGCTGTGGCTACAAAGATGATTGCACGGGTTTCGATATGGCGCTGCTGGGTGTAGCGCCAGCGCGAGACACTTGTCATGGTCAATGATCTAGCTTGAAGAGGCCTGGCCCATATTCGGGCAACGTCCGCGTCATATCCAAGGGTCCTAATGCGTGCGGTCGGGAAGCCCACCGGGAGAATTTGCCTTGGCCAGAAACATCCATTCTGATACGACCAGGTATTTTCGCGGTTACCCGTCAAGCCGTGGATGAAGAAGACAATACTTTCGTACATCCGTCAGCGGGCTTAGGCGTTAAAAGGAAACGGTTCACAGGATGAGGAATCCCATAAAGTACCAGCCTTCAATACAGGAGCGAAGGGAAGTACACTCATAGCTTTATTGAAATTAATATTTCGATTCTTTTTCTACTGGATATTTCTCGTGTTGGACGATTTATCACTTGAGGAGTATTCGATCTCCATCAGCCTTTCACTTGCATCGTCTTATGGGCAAATTTATGGGCATTGGTAAATTGATGGGCCCGGGAAATTTGAAAACGGTTAATCTGGCACTATTGCCAGGCCACCAACACAAAATAGACCAGCTGGACACTCATCCATAATGAAAAAATACACATTGAACATCATCCTGAATGCCCTCATAGAGGTGGTGGCATCCAAAGGGGATCGCGAAGAAAATACTACACTCATTGTTGGCTTGCCGCAGGCGAAAGTCTCGGAGAATAAAAAGCCTGTATAGTGACATATAATACTTCGCGCCAATTGAGAAATGGCGCTGACAGGACTCAGGATACGTTTTCCATATGGGCCACAGTGCTTTCTTTCTGATTCTCATTGCGCAACACTTTTCCGTCTGCCAGTTCCGCGTCGATGAAGATGGCAGTGTTCCGGTCTCTCCGCTCGGCCTTGCTCCTCTTCACTGCGTCCCATGCTTTGGGAACCACCCGCCATTGGAATCTGCGATAGAATCGCTCGTCCGTTTTCACGTCGTGGCCTTCCTGGTCGTCGGGAAGGAACAACAGATCGATATTCTCCAGCGACAGGCCGGTCGTTTCGGGGTAAAAACACCATACAATGATGGCGGCAACAATGTTAAAGATGGCAAAGATGATGTACGTCTTGTATCCGATGTTCTTGAGAGCTGGGGGGGTAATTTCAACGACCTGAAACTTCGTCAACAGCTCTGGCAATACAGTAACAGTGGTGGACGGGATTCTGCTTACCAGGAAGTTACCAAGAAAGTCGGCTGCCGCAGCCAGGCCTGCTCCTTTGGCGCGAATCTTGAGGGGGAGGATCTCTGCCGGATAGACCCAGACACAAGCCATCCATCCTATTGATCAATACGGTTAGAAAAGAAAAAAAAAGCGAAACGGGAGTCTATGGATTGAGGGAAACGATGGAAACGATACCCCATGTGAAGCATGCTTCAAAAGCGAAGATGAAAAATACAGCAGCAATGTTCGACGCATGACTGTCAATGCGGACGCAGATTGCCTCACACACCAGAACAATGCACATTCCAATTGCCATGGAGATGAATAGCCGACGTCGGCCAACGGAGTCGATCATGTACCACTGCCAATTCTCAGCTAACCCGTCCATCGGCCATCATAAAGCATATTCGAAGAGGACATACTGTTAGGAAAGAAGCCAGTATGTACCAGATTTGGAGAAACCCGCCGACGAATAGTGACTTCTCCTGGGTCATTCCAAGACTGTTCTGGAAGATTGTAGGTGCATAGTAGGTAACGATGTTAATGCCTGGGGAAGTAGAGAAGGGGGTCAGCAAGTAGCGAGCGGCGACAAAAAGCCGAGGAGGCTAATCAAACCTGTCATCTGTTGCATAAACTGAATTCCTAGGGATAAATAAAACCGCTTGTTGGCAGCAACGCCGCCGTCGCGCAGGAGATCCATCCATGAGCCCTCTTCTTCCGACTCACGTTGGACCGCGGAAAGGATCTCGTCCCTCTCCGCACAAACAATGGGATCATCTGCAGGCCGATCGCGAAGGGCGGCGAGGACTGCAACGCCTGCTTCCGGTGACGATTTATTCCACATCAGCCAGCGCGGCGAGTCGGGGAGAAAGAAGGTGGCGACCATGCAATACACGGCGAAGACCAGCTGGAGACACAGGGGAAATCGCCATTGAACGGGGCCATGACAGAAGTACAAGCCGTAATTTACCCAATAGGATATCACGATACCCAGCAGCATCTGGGTTAGCTGACAGGACAAGTGCCAGCCACGGTCCTTAGGCAGACAGATCTCACTCTGGTATACGGGGGCAACTGCGGTCAGATACCCAACGCCTATTTCGAGGAGTCACGGTTAGGCTCTGCCAGTGTCTGGTACAGATTTGACGAAGAACGCACCGATTCCGGTCACAACCCGCCCGACCATCATCTGAATCCTCTCATAACAGGAACCCATGAGTATGGTGCCTATGATGACAATGGCCGAACCAAGGATCATGGTACGCCGCCGGCCAAGTCGCTCTGCGAAGCAGGCAGCAAAGATAGCACCAAAGAAAGCGCCGACATCATACAACGCGGTGATTGTACTGAGCATTAGCGTGCTGGGATGGCCCATCTGCTGCAGCCAGTACTCAGAGATGTCCACTCCGGACATCACACCCTGGTCATAGCCGAAAAGAAGAAAGGCAGAGGAACACACGGTGGTTATTGCACCGACCAGGGGCTTCCCCCGAAGCCAACTGGGGCCGGGCATAACATCCATGATGCTTGTGTGAGATTAGTGAGAATCAGCAATAAGAGTGCACCGCCAACAAAAGCAGGCAGAGGAACAAGATCGAGGCGAAAAGCCACAGACCGTCCACATTAAATACAGATCACGGCATTTTAAGGTCCCCAGCTAAGCTTTCCTGCTGTTTGTGCGACCCCCACGCCAAGCGAGCAGCATCTCTACCCCGTCCACCGCGCTTTATGGGGGATGTGGAGAAGCTGGAGTAACCCCGAGTTGGACATTTTCTGAGGCGAAACATGGAGAACATGGGGTGTGTCTCAAGTTCCAGCACGAGCACATGTATTTTCACTTCTCTGCCTCGTTTTCTGAGCGGCCATTGCCGAGCTGGCCGATCAGCACACGCCATTGTTTGCCCACGGCCTAATTCTCGGGGAGGAAGCCGATGGCTGGAAGCGTGAGACGAGTACGAAAATCCGCTGGGAGTGAACCCCCACGCGGATGAGCTGTGATAGATTGCGATGAACGTCATCGGCAGATGTACCCCATAGGCAGTGGATTAGATGAAGTCATTTTTCTGTCCACGATAGGCGATGAATGTGTGCGTGTTTCAGTCTACGCGGGACGTTGTGCAGCTGTGCTAGGCAGGGTCGATTTGCATGAGATCTTCAACAAGAACAGACGCGGGATGCTGCAGATTCTCAAGCATCGAATTGTCGGAATCACGCCTTCATTTGACTGCCCATGGTGATCCGTAAGCGTTGTAGGATTGAGGATTTATCCTTCCTGGCGCCGTCGTGCCATTTATTGTCCCTGCGACCGCCACCTTCGTCTGGTGCATCCCAGGAAGCACGAAAGAGCTGCTATGCCATGGAAGTGGACTGCTGCAGATCGCAAGACGAACAGACAGGCGTCGATTGTCGACAACCCAGTCTGATCTTCTCCGGGCAGCCGTCTCCATGGCCCAAAGCCAGGGTCTACCCATCACTCTCATCTGATCCTTTTCATCTCGATCATGGCCTTCGCCAACGGCCAGATTGCGCAGTGCCCGCCTCACCCGATCACCCTCCGTGAAGAGCATATTGCTCCCGCAGAGACGACCATCGTCATCCAGCAGTACTCTAACCGCTGGTACTCCAAGTTCACCGTGCGAACGACCAGCGGCACGCTTCTGTTCACCGCAGACCCCAAGTCGCTCCGTGTCCAATGTCGCGCGCGAGTTTGTCGACGCGTCGGGCCTCCCGCTTTTCGAGCTCCATTCGCGACGGCTGAGCCGCAATCGATGGTCCGTCACGTTGCCGGGAGGGGTTGGACGACTCTATTGTCGGGCGAGATGAATGTTATGTTGCGGAACCTTGCGCCTGCACTGTTCGGTCCGACAGAGGATGAAGCGACTCTCCAGGTCTAGGCGAAGGATACGGCGTCCAGTTCGAAGGCAGGATGATCATCGACATCTCGATCGGAACTACATTTCCGAGACAGTCCTAGACATATCCTCGCTATGAACTGACGTGATTCGGCGTCCGAGTCGCCCAGGAAGTGGACGTAGCTCTGGTGAGTGTATCTATCTATCTGCAGCTACAAAAGTTTCTTCGACGATATCTACGGCTTGGCCAGCATTGACTGACTGTAACCATGAACTACCAGGCCGCGGCTATCGCAGTCACGCTTAGTGAAGTGACCCCCGGTTGATGTCCACGTTCCCCGATCCTCGTTACAATCCACCCCGAGTCGGGTTGCGGTCTACACCTTGCTATTACTGCGAGGGGACGAGTTCGATACAACAGCGGTCGCTGTAGCGGACAAAGAGCATGGATTCACGCGACCATTATTTCGTATTCTTATCTGTTGAGAACTGTCGGGGTCGGGTTTGCTGCACGTATACCATGTGCATGTAACGTGGCCATCAGAGTTGAATGGGAATCCAAGCCAAGCGGCCTCGATACCTCAAGACCTCGAATTCGGTTCGAGGATAAGAGAGTGGCTCGAGCTGGGAGAGGCGCCGCAGAATGGCATCCGGAGGTGTATCCATGCAGAAAAGAAGCATTGGTGATCTACGCGGCCACGAGAAATGTCACCGTTTGTATTGCCCGAGTCAGCAATCTCACCTGCTTCAAGTAAGGAGATCCCCCAAATCGGCACGTTTACACTTGCATCAGCGAAATACCACTGCAGACTGCTGCCGTTCCCCCAGTGCTCCCAGAGTTACACTGATCGTCCTCCTTATGCGCCGCCGGCCAATGGCATGATGTGACGGGAAGACGATGTTACCCTGGACGGGGACGGGTCCGTGCCAGGCTCTTATCTGCTATTCCTGTTGTTCCAGCCGATGAGGATTTCCCCCGTACGAAGGGTGAAGAATAGAAAGAAACATTACTTAATCCGGCCGTTGAAGGCACCGTGTGATGCATCCGGCACTATCTCCAGCGTCATCCCTGTCCGGTGCATGTTGCAGCTCTTCTTTAACACCAAGTTATCTCTGACAGCTTATGCCCAATAGACTCTATTTCTGTCAATTGGCTTACGGTCGGAACCCTTGGAATAATAATAATAATAATAATAGCTGACCCGACTTCTGCCTTTTTTTTTCTCTCTCCCTCGTCAACTACCACCTCCATCATCACCATCGCTGATAGCCGACCACCATGGCCGGGAATGACAAGTCTACTGGGCCAACTGACAGTCCTCCTCCTGAACACATCAATGCGACCACCGGCGAACTAGAGCTTCCTTCCGGATGGATGTACCGACGGTTCAAGATCGGTCGCTTCACGACCCCCTGGTACGCGTCGCCCAAGTTCCAGCTGGGCACCGTCGCGTTCGTCTGCTTCATGTGTCCCGGCATGTTCAACGCCCTGGGTGGTCTTGGAGGAGGTGGTCGAAAAGATCCTCACTTGGTCGATAAGATGGTGAGAACTAGCGTCGCTTCTACCGCTGCAGCGTTGAACTGTACGTGCGCTTCCCGACGGGTGCTAACATGGTCCGCTGGTTGTTCCATAGAATATCGCCCTCTACAGTACCTTTGCGGTCGTTGGCTTTGCGGCCGGTAGCATTGTCAATCGTCTCGGTGTGCGTCTCACCATTGCCTTTGGTGGGTTGGGATACTGCATCTACGCCATCAGTCTGCTGGTGTCGCTCCATGCTCACGTAGATGGATTTAACATTTTCGCTGGGGTTTTCCTCGGTATCTGCGCTGGCCTGCTGTGGTCTGCTCAGGGTGCTATAATGATGTCCTACCCCACTGAATCCCAGAAGGGAAGATACTGGGCGTGGTTCTGGGGTATCTTCAATGTTGGCGCCTGTATCGGGAGTTTGGTCAGTTCCTGTTTGATTCTTTTCCCTCGAGAGCCTGGCTACTAACCGTGACCGAGATAGATCCCCCTGGGACAAACAGCCGACAGCAAGGAAAGCACCGTCTCCGTGGGCGATGGGACTTACATTGCCTTCATCGTCCTGATGTTCTTCGGTGCCATCCTTGGTCTTTGTCTCTGTAATGCCGACAATATTATTCGTTCCGACGGATCTCGTGTCATCCTGATGAAGAACCCCAGCTGGATTTCTGAAATCGTCGGTCTGTGGGATACTCTCCGTGCCGAGCCCTTTGTCATCCTGCTGTTCCCCATGTTCTGGTCTTCGAACTGGTTCTACACTTACCAGCCCAACTGCGTCAACGCCGCCCGCTTCAATATCCGTACGCGCTCCCTGAACAGCTTCCTGTACTGGTTCGCTCAGATCCTTGCCGCCATGACCATCGGCCCATTGTTGGATATCGACCGCGTGCGTCGCACCACTCGTGCCCGCATTTCGCTGTGCGTGCTCTTCTCCCTGACCATGGCTATCTGGGGTGGTGGATACGCGTATCAGAAGAAGTATACGCGAGAATCCGTCAATGCTGCAGACTTTGTCCCCACCGACTGGTCCACGTCGGGCTATGTCGGTCCCATGTTTCTGTATCTCTTCTATGGCTTCTTTGATGCGGTCTGGCAGGGCACTGTCTACTGGTAGGTTTATATCCAACTCTCCCCTGTCGTCTGCCAATGCTAACGCACCGCGCAGGTACATGGGTGCGCTTGCCAACTCCGGCCGTAAATTGGCCAACCTGGCGGGTTTCTACAAGGGTCTGCAGTCTGCCGGCGCGGCTGTCGCGTTCAGTATCGATTATCACGAGGCATCGTACATGACCGAGTTTGCCACCAACTGGGGTCTCCTGGCCGGTTCACTTGTAATCGCCATCCCGGTGGTGTTCATGAGGATCAAGGACCATGTTCCAATTGAGGAGGACCTGAAGGGCACCAACGAGACTCTCGCCGATGTACTGCCCGTGGGGCACACGGAGAAGCAGGCAGCGACTGCGATGCAGGAGGTATAATCAGTACGGAACCCTTTCCCAGAAACATTCTCAACGGACATGATGTAGGTCCTGGCAATCTTTACGACATCCATGGATGACGCCTTAGTTTTTTTTAATAGCCAATTGATATAATTTTTGTTAGCGTAGGCAACTTGTCCATTCTGGAGAGAGAGTGTGTGAGTGTGAGAGTGAGTGTGAGAGAGAGGCAATGCATACCAGCCTACTATGGGTTTTGGTGTTGATTGTCGAAGGACCAAATACTCTTACAGAGAGCCGAATACGAGATCTGTTGTCCCGTGGTTCAGCTTCTTCCTAGTTAGGCTTAGCTCACGTTAGTCAGCATGAGTGTAGTGTTGGAGGTCACGTGTGTTCTGCCTAGTTACACCGCCCTCGTCTGCCTAGTAGAGCTAGTTCCGCCTACCTAGATAGGAATCCAACATAAGACATACCTCCAATAGTGATAGTCCCGACTCCGCACCTCCCTAGATCAACCAACTCAGCGAGTTTGTGACCCATCTGGATTATTGATATTTTGTTCGACCCACAGAAAAGCCAATTTAATCAAATAAGAAGATGGTCAGCCGAAAATACGACGGTTATAATAAAAACGATGCCGCTTTGCTAGGCCACAGCCCCCCCCGAACGGGAAATCTTGTTGTTGGGTTGTCACGTCCGGTTTCCAGTTCTCTCCACATTCATTTCGAGGATGCGGCTGTAATGCCTCCGCCGTTCTTGTTCGTGGCTTTGGAACCTGCCATTGCTGATGATCACTGCTGCCCCTATCCAGAGCCCACCTGCAGGCACAGATGAAAGTTCGTCTGAGAGAATTTTCTCCTCAGGGGCCTATCTGCAGGTTATCCACATCGCGCTGCGGTCAGCACAATTAATGGTTTCATTTTCGGTATCCGACCTCACACTAGGCGCTGTTACTAATTAACAATCAATGAGGCTCTGTTCCCAGCAGCACGACGTGGATAGTAATATAAAGTAGACACTTCATTTCTTCGATGGGCGTCAATTCCGTGCTCGTTGCTTCGTCCGTTTCCCCCTTTCGCCCTGTATACATCGCCTCTGGCCAACCCATTCGCGGCTCTCTGCCGGGCCCTGTCTTCCCCATTACTCCCGTTGGACATCCCTAAAATGCGACACTCTAATCTCAGTTGGTTCAGCCTGCTGGGGCTTCTCATCCCCGCCGCGTTGGCCCAGGATGGAGTGCTCCGACTGCCCATGAGGAGGTCCTCTGACCCAACGACCATCTGGCGCGAAGCACCAATGCCGTCGATCTCCCCGTCATCAACAAGAAGATTGAATATATCGTGAACGTTTCTATCGGAACCCCGGCCCAGGTTCTGGAGGTCATCCTGGATACAGGCAGCAGTGATCTATGGATCCCGAGTAATGACTCGTGCACTTCTACCGTTCCCTGTGTTAGCGGTTCCTGTAAGTGCATCTTGCTGTCGCGTCAACCTTGTTGAGGCAGATCGGCTAACCACCTCTTCTTTGCGTGACAGTCAACCCTGAAATGTCCTCGACGTTCAACGAGCTCATACCCGATGGCTTTGGAATCCAGTATATGGACGGGTCGGGGGCCAATGGTGATTTCTTCACGGACGTGCTGGAAGTGGCCGGGGCCAGACTGACCAACTTCACCATGGGCCTGGGGACCGATCTCTACAACCAGACAGGCGATGAAGCCGTCGGCGTGCTGGGTATTTCCTACCGAACACTGGAAGCCGTTACGGACGGCAGCACCTACGATAACCTGCCCTATGCCTTGGTCAACCAGGGCATCATAAAGACCGAGGCGTACAGCCTATGGTTGGATGACAGGAGTAGGCTACACCTTGTCCGTTTTGCCTTTTGATGATCCTTTTGCTGATGCCATTGCCTAGATCAACTTACCGGCAGCATCCTCTTCGGTGGCATCGACACGGCCAAGTTCATAGGCAGTCTTGAAATCCTCAACATCCTCGCACAGAACGACCTCATTCAAGGATTCTACGTGAATCTGAGTTCAGTCAGCATCGAGACCTCCAACGGCCGATCTATGCTCACCTCCGAGGATGCTCCTGCATTGCTGGACTCGGGCACCTACGCATTGTTGGTCCCTACGGATTTCCTTCTTAAATTGAAGTCCCAGTTCCCCAATGCTAGCGTTGACGAAGATGAATCTGTCATCATCCCATGCGCTGACCTCGAGGGCAAATATTTGAGCTTCCAATTTGAAGAATCATCCGCCGTCCTTAACGTCAGCCTGTCCGAGTTTGTCTCCACCAGCCCCGGCAGCTCGGATTGCGTCGTCGATGGCATCGGACTCAGTGGCGACAACACCTTCACCCTAGGTGATACTTTCCTGCGCTCGGCTTACGTTGTTTATGACCTTCACAACAGCCAGATCGGAATTGCCCCTGCAAGCTTCAACCCTCATTCCTCGAATGTGGTTACTTTCTCAAGCAGGGGCGCTAGTATCCCTACCCAGACTGGCACCGGGGCTACTGGGACTCCCACTGCTACGGCGATTTCCACGACTTCGGCCACTGGTTCCTCCGCTTCTTCTTCGGCTAGCAAGGGTGCAGCGGTATCTGACCACTCCTCTGTGTCCGTGGGTCTGTCCCTGGCGGGTGTACTTGGCATTCTCCTTCTCTAGACATGGATCGGAAATACTGCGTTGTCTATAGTTGTTGGGGTTCATTTGCACCGGTAGCATCGATCTTCTTTCCATATTTGTACTTTTAGGCCTTTCTTTTTATCATGGCATGTGACAGATTCCCCGGCTCCTGTGTTATTTTCTATTTGACACTTCGACAAACTATCGAATAGCCATTCGTTCAGCCCACTACTGCTGCATACGCGACTCGTACTTTTGAGGGCCCGTAGGAGCGATTTTGGAGCGGTGTCTTCTGTTTGTTCCTGAATTCAGTAAGTTAAGGTGGGCATTATGATCAATATAACAGATAGTAAAGACAAGTCCATATCTGGACGATGCTGTAATTCTTCTGTGCTGTTCTCAAGAAAAGTCGAATTGAAAAGCAGTGCTGCCTTCCAAACACAGCAACAACTGTCAGCTAGGGTAGGGTAGGGTAGGGCAGGGCAGGGCAACCCCCATCCTTGGACGTGCAGTATCCACGCACTGGCCGGATTGCCGCCACGCACCCCCCTCTCGTACTTCTGCACGACGCTGTGTCATAAGAACACGAGAACTCCACGGACGAGCAGCTCAGCGATGGCTTATCTTATTAACGACTTATCTATCTGCCAGAAAGGCCTTTTCTCTCTTTCTTCTCTTACACTTCCCCCTTGGGATCCAATTCGATGCATGAGTCCAAACGACACAGAATGCGACTTCCTACACCCGTCTTAAAGGCTGAGCTGCCTGTTACTCCAGAGGATGCGCTTCAGGGTCTTGTCGAGTCGACGTATACAACTTCCACACTGGAATTCTACCTAAATGGCACTCGCATACAGCTTCAGAACCCCAACCCCCATTGGACGCTCCTGGATTTCATCCGCTCGCAGCATGGCCTCAAGGGAACCAAGCTGGGTTGTGGAGAGGGAGGCTGTGGCGCCTGCACGGTAGTTCTTCAGACTTCGGACTCATGGGGAGCTGGAAGGATTCGACATCTCGCGGTGAATGCATGTCTGTATCCGCTAATCGGAGGTACGTGTGACAACCTAAATGGAGGACGCACTGGACTCACCCAAGTCAACAGTGGTGGGAAAGCATGTCATCACCGTCGAAGGTCTAGGCTCAGTTAAGAATGCCCATCCACTTCAGGAGCGTCTGGCGAAACTCCACGGCTCACAGTATGCCCATCCCGATGCTGGACGTATGACTCTTACGCTGACCCGCTACCTAGATGTGGGTTCTGTACCCCTGGCATTGTCATGTCCATATATGCCATGATTAGAAACGCGTACGACCCGCAGTCCGGCAAGTTCAGACTGTCTGAAAACGACATTGAAATGAAAGGCCACCTGGACGGCAATCTATGTCGGTGCACAGGCTACAAACCCATCTTGCAAGCCGTGAAAACATTTGTAACGGAAGACCTCCGAGGCGAGCTGGTGGCTAACGAGTCTGTGATAACTGAGACACCCCCTGAAAGGGCCGAAGATGGTGGCATATCCTATCTGGGAGGATCCTCAGACTCTAGTAGTGGATCATGCGGGAGACCTGGAGGCTGCTGCCGAGACGACCCCAGCAGACAATCCTGTTCATCTCCATCCTCAGAAAACAGAAGCCGCCCATCATTTTCTTCTGATGAGGGATCATCCGAAACAAGCCAGTCTGATGAGGATTCGAAAAGGCCGGTTAATGCTTCGACTCCTCAGTTCAAGTTCATCCCCTACGTTCCATCAACGGAATTGATATACCCTCCTGCTCTGCGGAAATTCACCAATCGCCCAATCTGCTACGGTGATGAAGCCAAAGTCTGGTTCCGGCCAGCGACCCTACAGCAACTGTTAGAGATACTGTCCATCTATCCCTCAGCAAAGATGGTAGGGGGTGCTAGCGAAGTGCAAATTGAAGTTCGCTTCAAAGCTTCGAATTATCCAGTTTCCGTTTTTATTTCCGACATTGAAGAACTCAGCGCTATTTCCGTACCGGATGATGTGAAAACCATGAAGGAGCTTGTGGTTGGTGGTAATACGCCTCTAAGCGACCTCGAGTCGGTCTGCTACAATTTGGCGGCAAAGCTTGGCCAGCGAGGCTCCGTGTTTGGTGCCATGGCTAAGACGCTGAGGTACTTTGCTGGACGCCAAATCCGGAATGCTGCGTCTCTTGCCGGCAATATCGCAACCGCTTCGCCCATATCTGATATGAACCCGGTTCTGATGGTATCGAACGCTACAGTGGTTACTAGGACTGCTACCGAAGAGGTTTTGCTGCCCATGGCTTCCATGTTCCTGGGTTACAGGAAAACTGCGCTGCCACATGGGAGCGTGATTACGCAGATTAGAATCCCCGTTCCGGCACTGGGAGTAACGGAGCTTACGAAGTCTTATAAACAAGCCAAACGAAAGGATGACGATATTGCAATTGTCACCGCTGCCTTTAGAGTGCGGCTGACAGGAGAAGGTATCGTGGAGGATATTTCCCTAGCATATGGAGGCATGGCACCTACGACCGTTTTAGCCAAGGATACCGCCCAATGCTTGATTGGAAGGTCATGGAAGTCCTCACAAACCCTTCATAATGCCCTGCAGAGTCTAGAAAAGACATTCCGTCTGCCCTATGGTGTGCCTGGGGGCATGGCCGCATATCGAAGGACTCTGGCTCTGTCGATGTTCTTTCGCTTTTGGCACGAGATAGTGGCTGAGACGAAATTGGGTGATGTTGATCCAGGCCTTGTTGAAGAAATTCACCGCCAGATCTCTTCGGGCACAAGGGACGACGTGAACCCCCACGAGCAAAAAGTCGTGGGTAAACAAGTACCTCACCTGTCTGGGCTAAAGCATGCCACCGGCGAGGCCGAATACCTCGACGATATGCCCCATCAGCATCGTGAGCTGTATTGTGCCATGGTGTTGTCAGAGAAAGCCCATGCGATTATCAAGTGTGTTGACTGGACTCCAGCTCTCAAACCAGGTTTAGCGCTCGGTTACATCGACAAGAACAGCATCAGCCCCGACAAAAATATCTGGGGATCTATCGCTCATGATGAACCCTGGTTTGCCACAGATAAAGTCTACTCCCATGGGCAGCCTATTGGCCTCGTGTATGCGGAAACGGCATTAAAGGCACAGGAGGCTGCGCGCGCCGTGAAGGTTGAATATGAAGAGCTGAAACCGATCCTGACTATTGACGAAGCGATTGAAGCAAAGAGTTTCTACAAATACGGGAAGGAGCTGCGCAAAGGTTCTCCTCCAGATAGGCTGGATGAGGTGTTTGCGAAGTGTGATCGTGTCTTTGAGGGCACTGTCAGGATGGGTGGACAGGAGCATTTTTACTTCGAGACAAATGCTGCGATGGTAATACCTCACACCGAGGACGGCTCAATGGAAGTATGGTCGTCAACTCAAAACACGTATACATCCCCTTTGCTGCTCTCGATGAGAGGATTCTTTTTGTTTTTACTAACTGCCTCTAGGATGGAGACGCAAGAACTTATAAGCAAGATTACTGGCGTACCCAGTAACCGTATTAATGCTCGGGTAAAACGAATGGGCGGTGGTTTTGGAGGCAAGGAAACTAGAAGTCTTCAGATCGCTGGATTACTTGCAATGGCCGCGAAGAAGGAACGACGTCCAATGCGGATGATGCTGAATCGGGACGAAGATATGATGGTCAGTGGGCAGAGACACCCTTTTAAGTGCCACTGGAAGGTCGGGGTAATGAACGATGGCACGTTGGTGGCCTTGGATGCTGACTGCTATAACAATGGCGGTTTCTCTCTCGATATGAGTGCCTCTGTCATGGATCGATGCATGACTCACCTGGACAACTGCTATCAAATTCCAAATGTACACATCCGAGGCTGGGTCTGTAAGACAAATACGCACAGCAACACAGCATTTCGTGGGTTTGGGGCACCGCAAGGCATGTTCTTTGCAGAGAGCTTCATGAATGCGATTGCCGAGGGCTTGGGCATGGACGTCAACGAGCTCCGGCTAAAGAATCTATACAAGGTTGGAGACCGAACACCATTCCTTCAGAAGATCGACGAGGATTGGCATGTCCCTCTATTACTGGAGCAGGTCCGAAAAGAAGCACGGTTCGACGAACGCAAGGCTGAAATTGCCCTTTTCAATTCTCGCAACAAGTGGAAGAAGCGAGGCATCTGCCTTATCCCCACCAAGTTTGGCCTCTCCTTCGCTACGGCCATCCACCTGAACCAAGGAGCGGCCACTGTCAAGATATATACCGATGGTTCCGTGCTCCTTAATCACGGCGGTACTGAAATGGGCCAGGGCCTATACACCAAGATGGTACAGGTAGCTGCGCAAGAACTGAATGTTCCTATAGATTTAGTGTACACTGCAGACACGTCGTCTTACCAGGTTCCCAATGCCTCCCCGACTGCGGCGTCTTCAGGAAGCGACCTCAACGGTATGGCAATCAAGGATGCGTGCGACCAGCTGAATGCTCGCCTGCAGCCATACAGGGAGAAATTTGGACCGGATGCTTCATTTAAAACAATCGTCCACGCGGCATATTTAGACCGTGTCAACTTGGCCGCCACTGGGCATTGGAAAATGCCCAGAATCGGGTATCATTTTGGAAATTATGATCCAGAAACGGTAAAACCGATGTACTATTATTTTACACAGGTAATGCTGCATCACCAAGTTGCAAGTGACTGCAAGTGACTGGTCTAACTGCAAATGCTGACAATCGATAGGGTGCTGCCTGCTCTGAAGTCGAACTCGATCTATTAACGGGCGACCATACCGTCCTCCGCACTGATATTAAAATGGATATCGGCCGGTCTATCAACCCAGCCATTGACTACGGGCAGATTGAGGGCGCCTTTGTTCAGGGCCAAGGTCTCTTCACTTTAGAGGAGTCCCTCTGGCTGAATAATGGATCCGGCCAGCTGGCGACGCGCGGACCAGGAAACTACAAGATCCCGGGATTTAGCGACATCCCACAGTCCTTCAATGTCAGTTTTCTGCAGGGTGTTTCATGGGAAAGTATTCGGTCTATCCAGAGCAGTAAGGGGATTGGTGAACCGCCGCTGTTCTTGGGCTCGACAGTGCTGTTTGCATTGCGGGATGCATTGCGAAGTGCCCGGGATGACAATGGGGTACTGGAGCCGTTAACATTAGATTCACCGGCCACGGCTGAGAGGTTGCGGTTGTCAGTCGGCGATGAGCTCGTGAAGATGGCGACGGTACTACCCAATGAGGGGGAGAAACCTTTCTTCGTGGGCGCTTCTTGGTAACTGTTCACGGATATGCCGTTCTTTCTTGGTGTTTAAAATAGCATCGTTCACTCTTCTACCACACCATTGGGAATGGGGCTATCGTTGCCATCAATTGATCTAATTCTATGGAGTGTATTGTCGAAATCATGATCTTATTATGCTCGATGCAATTTGAGTTATCATTATTGGGATACACTAAGCGCCATCTAGGTTAGCAGATGAACCGATCCCCGTCGGGCAGGACAGGCCCTAGACGAGCAATTTAAATTAGCCAATCGTGCAAAGCATTGATTCATTCGTGTTACTTAGGCAGACAGCTGTATTCAGTCCCACAGCGCTGTTTATTTTTATGGGCCTCTCATGATGCGACATTAGGCCGGAACCTGAAGCGTTGTCCTACGCCCAGCGCTAGCTGAAGCCGGGCCTTCGGTGCTTACGGACATACTATCTCAATGCTGAACAATGTGGCCATTATGTACTAGGAGGAGAAAGTGAGGGGATAATCATGGTCATTGTCGAAGACAAGGAAATACGCCGCCGAGCCATCTCTCTTTATCCACCTCTTTCTTTGACGAACATTCTACGATACTATCCTGATATGGTCATACAGAAATTCTCTCTCCATTCCCACCGATAATTTGGGAGAGTCAATGACGCATACATCCCATCTCGCTTTATCATCTCCGACTTCTCGGATGAATGGTTTGTGCTGGCCTTGCAGTGGAGTTGTTGCATGGTCCACACCAATCCATATTGATCTGTCCGATTCCCTGTTTTCGCACTGGCAAATGTCCCAGGTAGAGTTGGAAAAGACCGGAAATCGCCTGCCAATGTTATCTCACTTGTTGCGTTTGATGGTTATGGCCAATTCCAAAATCCAACGTTAACGATTTCGTTTGGGAACTTACTTGTCGCACCTCTCAAGCACAATGCGGCCATGAACCTCGTGGTTTTCAGCACACAGCGGCAAGAAATGCCCCTTTTTCAGTAATTCCAACAAAGAGCACAGGATTGAGATCGTTTACCATGAGACCGCGTTATCCGAGAAAACCACAGTGTTAGCATCCGGCTTCTCGGCCGTCTGTGTTTTTGTCAACGAACGTACCACCGCAGAGGCTCTCAAAATTACTAGCAAAGGGCAGAACATGACTGCTTGCTCTTCGCTGCAACTGGATATGATAATGTGGATCTTGCCGCAGCAGAGGCAGGGGGGATCACTGTGACCGCGTCGACCTGGCGCAGTTTGCGAATGGCGACAATACAGTGGAGAAATTTGTTGTATCAAGGAAGAATAAGTAAGACTATATACGGTAACTATATTCTCGTTCCTCATTATTTTCTCGATTGCCTATTCGGGTAACACACATAGCCCTGATCGATGTCTTATACAAGACCGGATCCTTCCTGTCCGATGTTTCCCGGATCAATAGCACTGCTGTCCCATCCCGATGAAACATGGATGCGTGTAATTCATACCCCCTGCTGCTGGCCACAGCTTGCCCTGAAACCATAGAATGCCCCAAGAAGAAATTCTACCGGCGGCACGGCGCTGATACATATTGGCCGTTATTCCTCACTATTCCGAGAGCAGAGGTAATGCACCGAAAAAAAGCTTCTAGATGGCGTTGCAGAATAGCTGAATATGTCTCGGTACTTAATCATGGCAGCTTCGGCGCGAGCTGATTATCAGGGAGCTCCGTACCATGGTAGTGACCAAACAGAGTGACGACAGCCTGACGGGGTGCCGGAGTCGTATTTCGTGCGAAAACTCCATCTTGGAAAATAGGTAACAACAGAACACTGCCCACCCAACGCGCATATCAAGCACAATTTCGACGGCCAGACGTAGAATCACTTGGTTGATATTATGGCCCAGGAAGAATCGATTCCGCAGCGCATGAAGGCCTTGAGCTTGGTCGAAGTGAGTTCCACAGCAGCTTTCTCATGATTAGCTTGCAGTTCCGGTGTCTAATGATCAAAAGTAGTTCAAGGAGAATTACCAGCTGCAAACCGATGTTCCTGTTCCAGTCCCGGGACCGCGAGAACTCCTCATTCGCGTGGTTGCATCCGGCTTCTGTCATACCGACTACCAGGTTTACGAAGGCGCTTACAATTCAAAACTTCCGATCATAGGCTCCCATGAGGCAGCTGGCAGGATAGCCGCACTGGGCCCTGATGTAAGCGGAGACTGGAAAATTGGTGACCGCGTCGGGGTGTATTTTATTAGGGACGCATGCGGTACCTGCACAGATTGCAGGTGGCATGCTGTAACACACAATGGGGATCTGTGTCCACGATATTGTGCAAATAAGACTATGGTCGGTATAAAAGGGGCAGATGGCGGCTTCGCCCAGTATATGATAACGTCGGACCTAGCAATTTTGAAGCTTCCGGATGACATATCGTTCGAACAAGCGGCACCGTTGATGTGTGCAGGGGCGACGGTGTGGAATGCGCTTCTCGAGGCCAACCTCCGAAAAGGCCAAACAGTGGCCATCGTCGGAATTGGTGGTCTAGGCAACCTTGCAGTTCAGTTTGCCAAAGCCTTGGGTTATCGCGTTGTCGCCGCCAGTCATCATGACCCTGATCTATCATGTCTTCCGCCAGCTCTGAGACCGGATATCGTTGTCTCTTATACACAACCTGATTCTGCCCAGGAAATCACAGAATTCACAGAAGGAATTGGTTTGGACGCTGCCATTGTATGTACGCCCAGCACGGAAGCTAATGACTGGGCAGCGCACCGGCTTCAGCCCAGAGGAATATGCGTGGTGCTAGGGTTGCCTACCAAAGGGTTTCATTTTGATGCCTTCAACCTTGTCTTCCGCCAGATTGTGGTCAAGGGTTCACTGTATGCGGATATTAATGACCTTCCTCAGATGCTGGATGTGGTTTCGAAACATAAGATTCAGAGTCATATTACCGTTGTGCCACTAGAAGAAGCTGAGGAGCTACCCGAGAAAGTTGCTGCCCATGAATTGAGAGGGAGAGTAGTTGTCAAGATTTAATTGTTTTGTGGATTCCACCCCGGCCTATTTTCTAACGATGTGTTATCAAACATTTATAATCCATCCAGATGTTGACTTAGACGATGGTAAATGGTTCAAGTTAAATCCCTATCCTGCCAATTTCTAGCCAACGGTATCGGTAGGGAAAAAAAATACTCTTCATACTTCCATTCTTGTCTTCGAAGCGTCTTTGAGGAAGTGTATGTCTGGCAGTACACCCAGCGACTTATAGCATTATTGAACCATATGGCCTGCAGTATCAACCACTTATGCCAATAACCGCCTTAGCAGAAGGTATGAGATTCAACAGCATTTCATTAGGTTCTTGGCCTCCCCAAATCATGTTAAGGATGCGTAAGTGGCAGAGCGTAGGATGGCCCTTGTAGCATATGATACCCAGCAAGGAAGCAGGAAAGACTTAGGTAAGACCATAATTGACACGCAAAGCAAGCGTGTTCCACCATTCTGTCCAGTGCTGGGAAGACGTGGATCTGCATTGTGCCAGAGCCCAGGTCGGAAGTATGGAGCGACAGCGACCTTCGGTAAGGCCAGGGAGGTCTGAAACAGCTTGTCCAAAGCACGGTAGATTCAAAACTCCACTCAAGCTTTTCCGGAGTAGATGTGATTGTCTCTCCCGTTGACATAACCGAAGATAGTCTTCCGATCTATGACGATGTTCGGCGAGCAGACACATACTTTCGGTGATTTTGATTTCTGCAAGAGTAAGTAGTAGCAGTAAAGCTAACCATTCTGCTGTCATAAACGCGTACTCGGAGTACTCCGCCGATGGAGATGGAGATGGTAATTGAAAACAATGGCAGAATGCCACATCAATGCAGTCTCCAGAGCAGTCTACTTCGAGCTGCGGATATTCTCTTTGGTGCCATCTCTTTCGCCATTGAATGAGTTCGGTACACAACTGTTGGCAATGGAATTGCATTCTTAGTCGCTCTGTCCAATCACAGTGGTTGGTTTCACTACGCAGATGGGGGAGAAATGCATATACAACTGTCATTTGGGCAGCAATATCGTGGAGGTAGTCGCGTGAAGTTTTGGTGCTCTTTTCCCATGGCAGCCGCATCCATTCCGGGTCTGCAAGGAATATTCTTTGTTGGGCCGAAAACGCGAAATGGATCTGAATAAATCGAGTCAGCCAGCTCTGGCACTAGGGTAAGCATCCTCAATGGCATACAGCCATCTCACGGATCTTTTTAAAAGCTACCAATAGACCGCCCTCCTGGAATGACTTCGGCGATTGGCTCTGCATCAGAGCGAGTGCCCCTTTGAGATGTCCGGCCCATCCAGACTCATAGATGCCCGTGGGCCGTTGCTGAGAGCCTTCGAATAACGTGAAAACTAACGAGGTGACGACCAGGAGAGCGCCTTGAGGCTGTTGGTTGACATTTTGAAGGAGACGGCGAAATATCTGAAGGCTTGCATTATATGCTGACAGACTGAAGACAAGGTACATGCTTTGACGCTTGGACATTGACAATCGCATCGTTGCTAGAGAAATCAGAGCGAGATCCAGGGCCTTATTCTGCAGACCCAGTTCCATGAAACCCGCACTCCACACGTCTGGTGTCCGCCCATAGATGGCATGAAACTCGGTCCACAGTACACTAAAGTGTTGCTGAAATTCCTCCGTCGTCAAATCAAGAATGCGCAGGAATACAGCACAATCGCGACTGAGAGCTGATGTCGCTTTGACATCGACATCCCCTGGTGTCTGTTTCGCTGAAGCAATAGCCCTTCCAATCAGGGGCTTCTTAGGTGTCTTGATGTTTTGAGAATCGACATTGACGAAAACTCGACTTCTTGATGAGACATAGCCCCCGCATTGCCGCTTCGCCTTGATGCATGTTCCGCATTCCGGCCGAGTTCTATCACACTGGCTCCTGGAATTAGTCGGGGTACTTCATGATATCAGATAGCACAGCACATACCGCTTTCCGGCGGGCACGACAGGTGGTGCACGGCGGATCCATGGTGGACATGAATTGATAACTGCGAGGACAAAGGAGGATAGATCGATGATGAGGTTGAAAGTGTTGATAATAACGAGGGGTCAACAGCGTCGAGGACGAACACAAAGCTGATGCCTGACGGGCACGTGTCTTCTGCCTTAGCCGTCCTTTCCCTTTTGGGCATATCGGACCGCGTCTGACTTCAACGTGTTTCACAGCGATGATTCCTATGGTTATAGTATTATTATTATAATTAGTAGGTGGCAGCCGTCTTATTATTGACTGCGCCTTAGACTTTCTTCAGAATAGTCTCCTGGCAAGGGATGATCCCGCATTCTGAGCTCTCCTTCGGAAATCTAACGGACCTTCCGAATCCGGTAATCGGTTGCGCGCGTAAGCATTGGGAAATGGCTTGAGGTATACACACCAACTACAATCCACAGGTTAGTTTGAAAGACACCTTATAACAGGCACTTGCGATAAGTACCTCTGACATGCTGACGACATGAAAAGAATTTCACCGGAAAGAAACATTGCAGTTTCGACTCATCCCCTGCCTATTCATCCAAATACTTCTCCCAGAATCATCTCAGACTTTGGCAAGAGACCATGGAGTCTCAATTCCTGAAACTGTCGCTGCAGACTGCCATTTATTACTCTATTACCAAGTCGCCTTCCACGCCGGATCATGATTCAAAGTCGCCACTTCTCGTTTTCCTCCATCACTGGGGCGGCTCGAGTGCTACCTGGTGCCAGCTGGCCTCACCAGAATCTCTAGTATCCCTCAGCAATCGTTATCCTAGTGTTTCTATGAATCTCCGGGATGAGGAAAATCAACGGGCCCCGTGGAAGATGCCACGGCAAAAGACTACTCGATCACTCCAATGGCTTCCGATGTTATCTCTGCCTTGGACCATATGAAGACTGACCCACCGACAACTGCTCTGTTCAACAATGGGATCGGTCTTGTTGGCCATTCTATGGGAGCCAAAGTTGCAATAGCCACTGTTCGCGGTGTTTCGGATGATAGGCTAGGGCTCATCAAAGGCCTGGTTCTTGTGGCGCCGGCGCCGGCGACTCTCGTTCTGCCAGGCGCACATACCATTCCATCTTGTCTTTATTATGGAGCAAAGGCAGCATCTTCTCCTCCATATGCCTGCTAGCTATGCAAGTTACCAAAGGCAAGTTCCTGTTGGCTACCATGCGGTTTCAAACTTAGTCCTTTCACCCCACGAACTCCGTTATTCCGTGTTGCCAACACGCTCGATGAAGGATGAGGTTGAATATAGCTACAGCCCTATATCTTTCAACGAGATCCTCCCTCTTATTGGAAGGACGCCACTCATCTGGCGTGGGAAGATCTGGACATTCCGCAACTCCGTAGTTGCCACGCCCAAGCAGCTCCGTAACTCCCGCGTCTACTGTCCACGCAAGGCGGATCCTCCGGTGCAATAATGTCAGAATCTAGTTAACCGTGGAGTCCGTAGAGAGTATATAAAAAGGTCCGCGGCCCTAATTCTTCAAGACCGGATTCTACTTGGGAGCAGAGATATACTTCGTTTTCTACCCGGTCTGTGCACCATACATCCTTTACTACCATAAACAAAAAGAAAGGCAGAGTTTAGAAGGCCGGCATCACACAAAATGGGTTCAGTCGATATCGTGCCCTCCGAAACCCGGCTTTTCAAGCCACTGAAAGTGGGCAGGATGACGCTGCAGCATCGGATCGTCTTCGCTCCCCTGACGCGCTTCCGGAACGATGATGACCATGTGCCGCTCCCATTCATGCAGAAGTATTATGCGGACCGCGCTTCGGCGCCTGGCACCTTGGTCATTTCGGAAGCAACTGCAATATCTCACAACGAAGAGGGATCACCGAACCTTCCTGGCTTCGTGTCTGCCGGTCAGGTCGAAGGCTGGAGACGGATCATCGACGCAGTCCATCAGAAGGGATCCTTTTATTTCCAGCAGATCTGGGGTATGGGCCGCGCATCGGATCCGAAGTACATGGCTGAGCGAGGCTTCCCGTACCGGTCGAGCGGCGCGGTGGCTATGGAAGGAGTTGGCGTCACGCCCCGGGAAATGACAGAAGAGGAGATTCTCCAGACGATTCAGGACTTTGTCAGCACTGCTAAGAGGGTTGTTTCCGCCGGAGCAGACGGGGTGGAAATCCACTCGGCACATGGCTATCTCCTGGACCAGTTCCTCTCCGACAAAATCAACCAGCGCACCGACAAGTGGGGTGGTTCGATAGAGAACAGATGCCGCCTGACGCTGGAGGTTGTGAAGGCCGTTTCCGAGGCTATTGGTGCGGAGCGAGTTGCTGTTCGAGTATCCCCTTTCGCCGGCTTCCAGGGATCTGAAAAGTCCGACATCAAGGAACTCTACACCTATCTCATCGGCGCACTGAAGAAGATGAACAAGAAATTCGCCTACCTGTCTCTCGTTGAGGCGCGCGGAGACCCTGCCGTCCTCCTCTTCAACGGCAAGAAAATCAACCAGGAAAAGACCTTGGATTTCATTCTAGAGGCCTGGGATAACCACACGCCCGTCCTCGTCGCCGGAGGCTACAAGCCAGATACCGCAGCCTGGGCGTTGGAGGAGCGCTATAAGAAGTGGGACGTGCTCATTGGATTTGGCCGATACTTCATTTCCAACCCGGACCTGGTCTTCAGGATCCAACATGGCATCGAGCTGGCCCAGTACGACCGGTCGACCTTCTACGTCAACAAGTCGGAGGCGGGATACAACGACTATCCGTTTTCCGCCGAGTTTGTGAAGGCGCATCCAGACGCCTAGACGATTGCCGTCGTGTCCTGGATTTGAATTGGGTGGAGGATTCGGATTCGGCGTGGCGTTATGTTTATTCGGCTTTATTAATCGTGTGCATAGTCATTATTTGTAAGCGAGAATGAAAAACTCGAAAACTCCGCAACTCCGGCTTATGCTGCTTTGAATCCTGCTTTGAATCCTTCACAATCCAAGTTTAACGAGGAGGCCAGGAGGCCAGCGGGTCAGGATCACTGCTGGTTTCTCTCATTCCTCTCCGAGGCCAATACCGGAAACCACCACGATGTCAACCCTGTCTCTCGGCTTGGGCGGGAGTGTGGCCGAGACTCCGCTGGCGACAAAGCGGACTCGGAAACAGGTCTCGCGCGCCTGTGACTGGTGTCGGGCGAGGAGGATCAAATGTGACCATGGACGGCCATGCATGGCTTGTCGCCGGAGGGATGCACCATGCACGCACGGGGGGGTTGATCAACTCAGGACACTGCCGCAGGCGTTGATGTAGGTGCCAAGCCTGATATCCCGGCAGTTATAATAATAATCGAGCTTTGTTATCTAATGCGGAGCGGCCCATGTAGGGAGGTCGATAGACTGAAGCTGCGAGTGAAGGAACTGGAGGCTGAACTGGCCAGCATAAAATCACCGCATCAACATCAACGACAGCCATCGTCCATCTCTGCATTCGGCCATACACCTGGCCTTTCGACGTCGAGTCCGGACCATCCACTCTCTTCGCAGGATGGCTCATCGCAGGCCTCAGCCCGGCCAGCGTCCTCTCTGACCAGCCCTAACCAGCAACCCTACACACCCCATTCCAACCCAGAACCCTCCACAAGACAGAGTCCTCGTGTCGGCAGGTGCCGGTCTCCGCGTGCAGACGCGCATCGATGCTGGGGAGGCATTCACTTTGCTACTGCGCGCTCTCCTCACAAGACGTGGTACGGACCGCCATCCCTGTTCTACTTCATCAAGCGCATCACCACATTCCTGAGCTCTACGCTGCAACAGGCGCATTCGACCGACGAGATGCTCTTGCACAACTCGGCAAGCACGTTGTTCAGAGGGCCAACGAGCATCCCTCTGCTGGACGCAGCTCGTCGGGCCACCCATTCGACGGAAGAGTTTCCCGCAGCGGGCGACTACCTGAGTCCCACACAGGAGGAATATTTCATCGACCTCTTCTGGCAATCCTACCACACCACCTTCTTTCCGATTCTGAACGAGGAGGAATTCCGGAAGCATTATCGGTCCTTGTGGATGACGTCCGGCAACGCGCGGAAGCCGTCGGCGCTTGTTGACATTGTTCTGGCGATGTGCATGCAGTACGGCGTGTCCATGCTGCCGGCTGTCAACCAGAAGCCACTCGTGGATATTGACGCCTCCGTTGCGGGTCGATGGTATTACCGGCGCTGCCAGATGCTCCTTGCGTACGAACTGGAAGCCCCGACCCTATCGACGCTGCAATGCCACATATTATGCTCCTCCTACCTGTGTTGCGGATCGTTCCAGAACATGTCGGATAGCGCCTGTGCCCTTGCCGTACGCATGGCCTGCATGCTTGGGCTTCATCTGGAGCCTCCCGCCTCCATGCCACGGCCCGAGCGAGAGCTGCGGAAGCGTCTGTGGTGGGTGGTGTACATCCTGGACGCCAAACACTCCATGAAACTCGGGCGTCCGTTCCTGATACATGAGTCTACTCCTGGACCGAGCTTGCCGGACGACCAATTCGAGGTTGCAGTCCAGTCCGGATCCCATTTTGCCCCTCTCGGGGACAATATCACCTGGCTGAGTTTCCTGGTTCAAACCGCGACACTCTTCCAAGATGTGCGCGCCGCTTACACGGCTTTCTACAGCCGAGATCTGAATCTGCGTGAAGGCCAGTCCATCTGGGATGACTTACAGGCCATGGAGTCGCATGCAGACTTCTTCCAGCCCTATATGAGAGACATTGAGCAGTGGGCAAGCCAGGTCCCTGATGCTCTCAAAACGAAACGCCGCGACGAAGGCATCCCCTTTTCTACAGATGGATCCAGCTTAGAAATCGAGCTGTTTGCGCCGCTGTGGATCCAGCGTCAGCGCCTACTCCTGGAGCTGATGTATCATAATCTGTGCATAAACCTCTACCGTCCCTTTATCTCCTTTGTCTGCTCGCCGATGCCCACGCTGGCAGAACAGATGGCGAGAAAGTGTGCCCTCCATGCCATGATGTTAACCCGGATCTTGCATCAGGTGCTCTCGTCGTCATCCATCTTAGCTGGCTGGCACGAGGTATTCCAGTGGCAGTGGAATGCAGCTATGACCCTGATAGGCTTCGTCCTTGCCTATCCACTGGGTCGATCAACGCCCGAAGCCCGACGAACTGTCGACCTGTCCATAACAGTGTTTGATATCTTTGGCAGCAGCTTTGCCGTTGCAACCACCGCCGCCGACATTATGCGCAAGTTGAGCACTAAGATCGACTCCCTTCTGCAACGGTGTCAAGCCATACACGCACCTGCAGGGCAAGAGAATAATGTGCCTACGGCTCCGACTGTCTCGAACATTAGGACGCCTGAAGACAGACCATTGACGTCGGATACTTTCATGCCACCCACGGCCTATGGTACTCCGAATTTGGACGATGTAACTGCCGCGTCTATGCAGGACATGTTCCAAATGGCGTTTTCCGTGGATCACTGGAGCAATCTGGATATGCTCTGGCCTAGTATGGATGGGTTTTTCCCCGAGCAAATTTCGTAATGCAGTTTTCAAGCTTTTCCTCGTCTCAACGTCTTGAGCACTGTATAATATAGCAAAAGTTGGTTAGTTGGTTAATTGGGTTTAGGATGTCCTCTTCCTGTATATGAGCGCGGCCCGGAATCTATAAGTGCATGTACTTGCTACGTGGTTTTCTCAGGCACTGGCACCAAGTCATAACTTTGAACGCATCTGGTATCTATTTGGGATCATGCCATCGTAATTGAGGATAGGGCATATTTTGATTTCCATCTCACTCACAGGCGTGCCCTTGTTCTACACGGCAGCAATCAGAGTCCACATATCTGCCCCAGCGAGGCTGTGTACGCGGCCGTGGAGCGTCTTGGCAGATATAAAGATCATCATTTTGCGTGGAGAAAGCTCCTGACGATCGCCTCGCACAGTTCTTTATATTTATAATTGACCTGGTTGCCCTTTCAGAGTTCGGCTACTTCCTATGATCTACACTCCAGGTCTTCCATTGCCGTTGGGAACTCAAACTTTTCTGTCCCCGTCTTTATCAACAATATAGCTCTCCCGATGCGTCTCACTATTTCTACTATCGCCCTCACTCTGGGAATACTCACGGCCGCAAATGCTCTGCATCAACCGCATGCCGCTGTCCATGCACGAAGCTCCCAGTTCACACCGGCTACAATCTCATACGTGCCCAAGCCGCTAAACACCGAAATCGAGGTGAATGTCGGAGGCGTCAAATATGAGCTCGAGGCTGCTCCTACAGAGATCGAGGCGGAGCTTGAAGCTGGGCCTTTGGAGGTCGAGGTCGAGGTAAAACCCTCGCAGATCGAGGGGGAATTGGAAGTCGGGTCCTCCAAGATCGAATTCAAAGCGAAGCCCACCGGCATTGTGGTTGAGGGCAAGCCCGAGGATGATTAATTCCAGCTGTACTTAAGTTAACTTTTGACTATCATATCCATTCATTTGCTTTTCATGCAGGATCCCCGTAGCCTACGGCTAGGTAATCTCCAACGTCGTCGTAACACGAATCACCCCTGGCATCTGCGGTGCCATCTCATAATCTGCTCTGGAGGCAGACCGCCACTCCCCCTTCTGTATCTCCGTCGCTTGGGATGCTTCATCCGATCTCTTCCCTCCAGAGATCTCATGTCGGTACCCTGTCGCCTCGAACGACCCCAGAATGACTTCCTCGCTAGCTGTTCCTGTAAGCTTATCCGTCTTGCTGCGACTCCGGTTTCTTGACCTGGCAAGCGAGGTAAGCCGCTGTCCAATTCCTGATTCGGCCTTGCTAAGATCGTATGTATTATATCGCTCATCGGTATCCCTTGAGTACCCGATCCAGCTTCTCTCGCTAAAGAGAGGTTTTATCGGCGCGGCATTGACAGCAATTATGCCGACGAACTAATATACAGTGACTGTGTTAATACATTCAGCTCCTGCGTCCGCGTAAAGAATCTCGTACCGTCTCTCGAATTGCCCATATAGTGCTGTTGTTGATGCCCTTGATATCCCTCAGAGAAAGGACGCATCGTAGCAACGCTGCAGCCATGATGAAAATGCCAGAGCAGAGGAGGAGGCCGATGATTAATTTCCTGAATGCATTCAGTTTTTTGTTCGATACGTTAGGGACGTCGTAGCCAACCTCGTGATGGTGATCTTCACTCTCCACAGCAAGGGAAGGGGGATACAGACGATAAGCGCATCGGTGCTGTGTTCAACAATATTAATACCAACAATGCGAGTGGACGGTCCAGGATTATCGTCCTACCTCATATTCGTCACGACAACACTCAGGTAGTTGGCCCTGTCGACAGTACAGGTTGCTCCAGAGGCAATGTTAGTAACGTACACGGACAGAACGATCGAGTCGATTACTCACAGCCAGGATCAGGATACACCTGCCAATTCTTGTGGATCGGCCGACAATGGGCCAGGATGATCACCATCACGGCTATGTAGCAGTTGACACAGACGATAGCTGTGATCTTGACAAGCCGTTGATAATTCAGACCCATTCTGTGGAGACGTCAGCCTATGTCATGATGATATGTATCTGTATCCAACGGAGGCCGTACGTGATGCGGTTGAAGAAGAATAGCACGCATGCCTTCAAGCACCAGATCAGGGTGACATAGCAGCACCATCCGGCCAGGAGACACTTGGAGCCGATTTCGAGTTTTCGCGTCTGTTCAGCTGAGAAGTGCGCACGTTGTTCGTCGGTATACCCTATATTCGTGCCATATTGGCCTCCAAGTTGTCAGTTGCGTGTCAATATACACCGTGCGAAGAGCAGATGGATATACCTATTAGATCAAGCATCGACACCTCGGCCTGAATGATCAGAAGTGCCCTTGGAAACCCAAAAAAATAAGGCGAGAGAAAGACTCACTGTCCAAAAGATCAACACCAGGAGAGCAAAATAATCATCGCCCTGCCATCCTTTGAGCCCGACAATGCGCCACCGGGCAAAGAAGCGAACCAGCAGAACGAAGACCCCTATGCCGTACTCGATCCAGGCCTCTCTGCGGAAGGAAGTAAACGACGACATCGGACGCGTGCGAGTTGTCTAAAAGGGCCGCAGCATCTTTGGTCGCAAGCCGGCGGCATCCGCCATCTATATAACCACCGAAGTTAAACCATGAAATAGGGGCATGTTGGATGGGATAGCCCATGCAGCCGTAAGGCTATTGGGTTTATGGTGAGTCCACCCTGAACGGGGGAAATACAGACTAAAGGCTCTGGCTTCTGTTAGCTTGTGATTTAGCTTGCATTTAGTTTTATTGCCCCAGAGCCCCTGAAGCGTCGTATTCGCTGGTGAGACGGCAGCGGAGGAGACCGTTCCCCGGCATCAAATCCGGGGTAATATGGGGCTGCGGAGACGCTCATAGTATGACTGACAACAGCTGATCGGAATTTTGCTTGATATTTTTGTGCGCTGCATTGCCGGTGAGGGGATGCTCTCGTAGGATCATGCACATGCAAGTACTAACACGTAAGATGACTTTAGTGGTGGCGTCTTATGTTCTAAGTCTCTCCTTGCTCTATTTTTATATGAAAGTATACTATGCCCTAACCCTCCCTGGGCTGCTCTAATGTAGTTAAATAGGCGAGTATTTCCCCGAGGGCTGAACCCTATTGGGAACCCAATTTGGCAATATCAATTCTGAAGACTGTTTGTTAGGACCTTAGGTCTTGCTCGTGACCAAGAAGAGAACTGGACCTGCAGAAGCAGTATCAATCACTTCGAAATACCGCCAGCTGAATAAGCCTCAAATACCCATTGGACATGATTCGAGGCAGACCAGATTAATGAAGGAGATCCTGGTCCAGTACTATACAGATTCCTCTTTCGACGCACCCGAACGCGACCGGCACATCATCACTCCGCTAAGTGTGGCACAGCCTCATCTTCCGAACGAATTCTTTTGCTTGCAGAGGACATCTTGGGGTGCTTCACGCTTGGGAGGGACTCAGCTGTGGTGAGGCTGCTTGCGGTGGAGAGTCTTAGGGCAATGGAGACTGCTTCAGATCCGCAGTGTTCGCGACTTCCTGTTGTCAGGGGAGAACTTGAGGGGCCAATGTAGACCCAAGGAACTCTGGACGCTTTCGGATTCGTTTATAGCTCTGTTCATTCTCTGGCTTGGGCTGATTTCCCCATTGCAGGGTATTTATTCCCTCGAGGGCACCCTGTCCGGCACGTGGTTGCAGATGTTAACTCCAGCTTGCACCACCTCTTTCGCCTTCATTACCACCAGAGGGAATCAAATTTCATGGTTTACTGTGCAGTACTTAAAGAGGTTGCGCCAGCTCCTGCGGCTTACGGCTTACGCATGTGAGACTTCTCGTGAGCTCATCAGAGCTGTGTACACCGTCGGGCACTCAATTCGGAAATAGGCCTGTCTTACTAATGAGAAGAATGCAGGGACGCTTATATACGAGTGTATCCCCCGAATATATTGTTGTTACGGACACTCAACAGTGTAGGCAAGAGCGGTCAGAGCCATGGACGACATTAGGAAGTACAAGCTGTCCGATATGGACAAACTGGGAATCCTCAAGAGTGTGAAGGTCTTCATATTCTACGAACTGCAGCCCTCCATTGATCCAGACAACTTGATTGCCTCTATAATCGAAGGAGTGGAGAACGCAAGCCGCCAATTGCCCTTCATGGCAGGTAATTTCCAAGTCGATGACGGCGAGCTCTGCATCGTGACTACGCCAGGAAGCCGGATAAAAGTCAGCACTCGCCGATTCGAGTCCACGGAGCACAAGTCTCTGACCCTCTTGGCCAAGGACTCATTCTCCCCGAATGATCTGGACCTTGCCCAGTTTTCGCCTGAAGAGCCAGCGGCCGACAGGAATCCGGCGTGTGCTCTACAATTAAGTCTCGTCGAGGGTGGCCTGGTCTTGGGATTCAGAATGAACCACGCGGCCGGGGACTGGTCGTCCATTGATACATTCCTGTCTCTTGTCTGTCGAAGCTGCAAGGCGCATCGGGAAGGCCTGAAGATGCCGACCTACATCCCAGACCTCAACAGAGCCCCATACAACGCCTCAGCAACGGACCCAACCATCGCGAGACAAGACCTGCTGGAAAGACTCCCAACTTTTCGTGTTGTGGAGAAGAGCCAAGTCAAACCAAAGCCACCCCCACCCTCCCGATCAAGTCTCTACAGGGTCTCGGAGCCATCTATCCAACAGCTCAAGGCGCATTGTGCCCCATACATGAGCCGAGTAGACTATATAACCTCGTATGACTGCATCTCTGCCCTCCTCTGGACATCAATCACATGAGTCCGGCTTCATCTTCACCCGGAGAAACCCTCTTCATCGTCCCGCTTTGTGCACCCCATCGACGTCCGCACGCGAGACCTGGGGCATGAAACCTCTGAGCGATACTTCGGTAATGCTGTGATTGGAACTCAAGCAGGCCCATTGACTTCTTCAGCTCTGGTATCAGATGGGGACAGAAGTCTTGCAAAGGCAGCCGGCCTAATACGCCAATCTGTACATGCCGTCAACCTATCCTCAATCAGCTGCATGGCTGCCATCATTGCATCCCTCTCTCCGACGGAGACACTAGTCCCCTACGCAGACTTCGCAGATATGGACATTTCATGAACACTTGGTACTCGGGGAGCGCAGAGAAGTACGATCTTGGGCCTGCCTCGGTTCCCGTTGCGTTCCGGATGCATTCGGCCATGGCGGGCGCTTGCCTGATGATCTTGCCAAATTTCTCGCAGGGAACAGCGAAGGTCTTTGACGTTCTTGTGCATTTGTCGATTGGGGAGCATGACTTGCTGAGGAAAGATGCTGAATTTTCAAAATATTTCGAGTTTGTGGCGTAAAGGGAGGTAATTAGTTTGATGGAGGATACTGTTTTAATTAGGGCTGCCACTTGACATCTATGTATTGTACTTTCAACATCCAGACAGCAGTCAGTTACCAGACTTGACATACTATATTCCAAGCTGTCCATTTGGCACAAAATGCGACCCTCCGGCACATCTGTATCCATTTGCCTGCATAATCCATCGGAATCCAGCTGGGCAAACACCCATCTCTCGCAGTTTCTTCTGTGCTTTTTGCTCCTTTCATCGCCGTTGCTCCTCTGCTTCTCGTTTCTTCCTCAACTGCTCCAGCTTCTCCTCCTGCTCCCTCCGCTCAAGTTCATGCCGGAGACGTTCTTGCTCGTGCCGCTTCTTTGCTTCATCATCTGCCTGTTTGTCTTCGGCATCTGCAGCCGCAGTGGCTGTATCGGCTTCCATCTGTTTGGCTGTGTCAATTTCCTCTTGGGCTGCGCGTTCTTGAGCCAGAAGCTGTTTGTATTCTTTTTCGCGCTCTTCGGCCGCTTTCTTGTCTAGCTCTAGCTGCTGCCAGACGTCGTCCGCAACGCCTGAATCTCGGGAGTCACGCAGCCCGGCGCATGCGGTCGTTGATCATCGCGTCCATCTCTGTAGTAATCACTGTCCTGTCCACCGTGACCTTTCCTTGAGAAATACATGTAACTGTCTTTCGAAAGATGCTCCTGGCCAAGCAGTCAACATCGCGTGCGTTAGCCCAGCCAGGACTCCGCGACAATGCTCCAAAACGATGGCGCAGTTCTTGTGAAAAGTCAGCATTCGGTGCCTCCAAAACGCCCATATCAAACTCTATTCGTTTCTGTTGAATCTTCTTCTTCTGCTTTAGTAGCAATTCCGTCAATAACTTGATACAGTCATCAGGAGCTAGCCCTTTGAATTCAACCGATTCCGGGAAGCGACTGGTTAGACCAGGATTTATGGACATGAGCCGGTTGATATCCGCATCATACCCTGCGAGGATTATGATGAGCTTCTGCGCAAATTTTGGCTTCGTGATACAGTCAACTATCTCATCCATCGCTTCCTTCGCGAATTGGCCATCTGCGAGACGATACGCTTCATCGATAAATAGGACTTTTCCAAGCGCCTTTTCTAATAGCTGCTGAGTCTTTCGTCCAGTCCATCCAATGTACTGTCCGATCAAGTCCGTAGCAGAGCAATCAACGACACTTGCATTCGACAGAAGCCCCATATCGTAATATACCTTACCCATCTTTCTTGCTGTGGTTGTCTTGCCTGTGCCTGTAATGGGGGCGTGCCGAGTCAGTACTGATAATTAGCAAAGGGGGTGCAGAACGGGGTTAAGAGAGTAATCTGGAATAATTCTACCTGGAGGACCACGGAAGAGGAAGTTGAACGGAACCTGCTCTCGAGGATCCATGTCCAATTGTCGCATACTTCTCACCGTCTGGCGATATCCTTCCAACTGCGTTATGATATCTTCGCAGCCAACGACACCGTCAAAAAGCGCCCGGATGTTCGTTTCTGCCCTTACTCCCCTATCAAAATCCTCATCAAAATCCTGCGGTTGCAATATGGACGTCAACGAATTTTCCGTTGACAAACGCTGTTGAAATCTCATTTTGGCCAAGTTCAGCAAGATATCAACCTCTCCGGCGTTCCCAAAGTTTGGCTTATTGCGAGCTCGGCCAAGGACTTCCAGTGCCACTTTTCTCCCTTGATCTGTAGTATCGAGGCCTTGCTGCTTGAGTTTGAGGTCAAAAACCTGGCCAATTTCGTCGTCGGTAAAATCCTCAAACACGAATGCCGAGTCCAGTGGAAACCGTCGACTCAATCCAGGATTCACATTTTGGAACATCTCCTCCATCTGCTCCTTGTAGCCGAGAAGCAACACGCATCGGTCATCCCCAAGAGTACTCTGAACCTCCGCTACGATTGTATCCACGACGGCCGTTCTGAAAATATCACCATTCCAGCCACTGTCATTGCTCCTGCCTCCTCCATACAGTCCATATGCCTCGTCAATGACGAGAACTTTGCCTACTGTCGATGCCAAAATTCCTTTGGTATTCCTCTCAGAATGACCAATATAACTGCCGACAAAATCCGCCGGATTCTTCACGATCACTAAAAAGAAGGTCAGTTAATACTAGCCGTAGCAATACGAGCTCTGTCAAATACGCACCTTCACCGTTCGAAAGCAAGCCGATGTCTGCCAAAATCTGGCCGTACAACTTTGCGACCGTTGTTTTGCCAGTCCCAGGCGAGCCGAGGAATACACGGTTCAAAGTGAATTCCATCAGAGGTTTCTCTTCCAGTTCGCGCTGGTAATTATATTGGATGCTATCCAGCAAAGCCCGAACATTCTTCTTCACCGCACTCAGGCCAATCATGGTCTGCATCTTTCTCCAGGAGGGACAGGTCTCGAGAACTTGTTTTGGTTCTGGCCCGATCAAGTCTTCTCGGGTCAATAGCATGTCATTTACTGACTTTTTCTCCCGTCTCTCCTTCGCAATCCGTTTGGACTGTCGCTCACAGATACGTGAGAAGGTATTCTCGACGGCTCTCGCATTTCCAAAGCCCTCCTTCCCACGTCCGTATCCAATCCTCCGGGCAACAATACGACAGTAGAGACCGCCAAGACCGCCCTCAACTTGCATCTCTCCTTTGTATTTTTTGGTGATCTTATATTCCAGGATTTGCCTCAACTCGTGGTCTTCATAGTCATCGAACTTATACTCATGTGGAAACCGACTGGGCAGGCCCGGGTTATGTGCGAAAATTTTCTCCATATGGCTCCTGTACCCTGCTAGAATCACGACAACCTTACCCGTCAAGTTTTCGACTTCGGCGAGAAGAAAGTCCAGTACTTGGGCGCGGGGGGAATTCTCTCCAGTTAGCTGGTACGCTTCATCGATAAAGAGCGCACCACCGCCGCTGTTTAATAGATTCTCAAGCTGCTTTTGACATCCGGAGACGCCTTCGTTTGCCAGTCTTGAGCCTGTTGTCTCGACGAAACAGCTTCCCGGAAGAACACCAACAGAGGCAAGAAACTTGGCATAGAGACGAGCTACGGTTGTTTTGCCTGTATTCACTGGTTAGATAGTGTCACCAAGAAGGATATTTGGAAACCTTGCCTGTTCCCGGATTTCCAACAAGCACGGAACCAAATCGTTCATCTTTCAAGTCGATTTTCTGTCGAATTGCAGTGTCCACCCGGTCTTTGATGTCGAGGAATTTCTTTTTCACGTCTTCAAGCCCAATCATCTCCATCAATGAGTCTATTTCATCGTTTTGGGCGCCCTCGAATTTCTGTTTTTCCCACTCATCTCTAGCAGTTGAAATATGTTTGAAGCCCCTTGCATCATCTGGATTTGGTTGTTGGGCGTCAGCCCCAGGTGATCCAGTTTCTTCTGTCATATCCCCATTAAGGCTGACAGTCCGGTTAGCTGGGTCATGGCTCTTCTCCGACTTGGGATGAGATAAGTTGTCTCTTCTCTTCAGACGAGCATGATCATCCTGAAGTTGCTGTATAACCCTTTCTCTCTCCTCATTTTCGAACTGTTCCTTCCGTATACGTCTCTCATGTTCAATTTTATCCTGCAACTCAGCCAGCTTCTGCGCATGTTCTCTCTTCCGTTTTTCACGCTCCTGATCAAGTTTCAGGTCCCGTTGACGCCTAAGTTCCTTTGCTCGGTCCTCGGTGTCACATGTACGGCACAGGCCATCTACTTGAAAACAGAGCGTTGACGCTTCATGGCCCCGATTGCATATCCACTTGACGATCTTGTAGCATCGCATCTTGGAGTGATCTGACAGCTGGTGACATTTTTGTGGACATTCATGGACTCCACAGCTGAGTTTCACGCCACTGTTTTGGTCAGCAATACAGCCCGTAGAAGTCTAGAGATTGGTATTGAAAGGGAAACGACAAATGGAAATATGAAGGAAGGGGTAAAGTCCATACCAAGGCGCGGAACAACCTCCGTCGGGGCACTCCGTATCAAAATCCTCCTTGGTTTGCAGAATTGCCGTTCTATCAGGATGTTGTTCGCACTTGACAGGAAGCCCGTCATACAGGTGTCCTTTTTCTTTCAGTTGCTCGATGAAGGGAGTCCAGGCATCTTTGCCTTTGCGGCTGTTGATGAACGTTTTGGAATTACCGACCATAATCAGAACGTTGCGTGCTCTGGAAAGCAAGACATTCAGACGCTGGGGCGCTGCCATAAACCCTATGTTCCCGTCTCTATTACTTCTCGTCAGTGTTGCAATTACGATGTCGCTTTCCTCACCCTGATAATTGTCTATATTTATTCGATTAGACCAGAGAAAAGAGAGTTAGAGAAAAGAAAGTACAAAATAAGAACAACTCACCAATCGTAGATATCCGAATCTTACGGTTGGAGTGTTTCGCGCTGGCTTGTGTCAACAAGCCAGCCTTCACGAGATCGTGAGAATCCAAGTCATTGAGAACGGGGTCATTCTCCTTGCGCAAACACTCTCGAAGAAGCTGAAGCTGTCCCAGATAAGGTGTAAGGACGACTAATTTATCAGTTCCATAGCCCTGCTGACCAAGATACCGCACGATCTTTAGGACGATTTCCACTTCGAAGAGATTCTGCTTGCTTCCCTTGGCCCCTTCATCACAGCGATCAGAAATCTCCATAAAATTGTCCTCAGGGTGCTCATGGTCAATAAAGATAACACGGTCTTGTAAGCCGCGTGGGAAAGGACGGTTCATAGTCTTCGGATCATCCTGCAGATCGGGGTAGGTAAGTTTCTTGATAAGCGCTGAAATCTCAGGGCACATGCGATGCTGCTTCGACAAGGTCGTGTGTGGATAACCAGCCAGAACCAGTCTCTCGAAGAGGGAACGATTGAGGTCGTAACCATCCCCCTTTTCCACAGTCAGGGCGTAATTATCAACCTTCGGTCGGAGCTGCTTGTGGTCACCTATAAGGACCAACTTTTTTGTCTTGGAGTTCATCGCTGTAAGGACATGAGATTCGAGAATTTCACCTGCTTCCTCGAGTAATACAATACCAGGAGACACGCTGCGGAGGTTGTGAGAGTACATGGCAGCCGCTGTGGTTGTGCAGCCGATGATGCGTTTCAACTTCAGGGTTGCTGGTATCCTCTCATTCCACAGGCTTTCCAGTCTGTGCTGGCACTGGTTGTAACGCTGGGCATGTCCATAGATATTCATCACTTTTTCTTCCAGGAGGATATTCGTCCATCGACGGATATGGTCCAGTCGTGTTTCACGGTCCATATCCCACACCCTCCGGGCATCATTGGAAAGGGTCTCCACAAAGGCCTTCAGCTTTTTTCCTTTTTTCCAGTCATTTATGAGACTCTCTGATGTCATTTCCTTTCCATAACCCCCTACGAAGGCCATCCCGTTATCTTGTGAGATGTTGAAAGCGTTGTAGAAAACGGGGTCTTCGAATTCCAGGAAGTCCAAGAAGTCCCGGTTACTGACGTTGAAATCCTCATAGCTTTTGAAATCTTTCATCAAGGACTGCTCTAGGGTATACGCATCAGCTTTGTATTTGTCAATAGCATTCCAGGCGTTTCTAGAACGCGTATACAAAGCTTTCTGTTGCGAAAGAAGAAGAGGATGGGTTCGATTTGTGTATTTGGAGCCTAGCCGGACAATAGCACACTCGTCAATTCCGATATCCATTAGATCCTCCAGGAATTGATCAAGGGCATGATTGGTATAGCAAAGGACAAGGATTGTTTCTTTTGTATGATCGTAGAGAGCTTTGGCCAGTAAAGCACCGATGAAAGACTTCCCGGTTCCTGGATCGCTGTTAGTGCTACACCACACTGGCAAAGCCAGGTAGATGATTTACCTGGAGGACCCTGGATGAGACTCAACCGCTGCGTAAGCCCTGCAATCAAAGACTGCAGTTGGGAAGAATCAAGGGTGACGGGCTTGGAAGTCCCCAGTATGTCTTGGATATTACCGGAGCCATTCTCGCAGAGATCTTCTACGAGCGAAGGAGGCGCAAGATCAAACAGCGCCAGCTGCTTCCCTTGTCGATAGAAGAACAGCTCCTCTGCCAATGTGAGATCCATGGTCTCCTGGAGACATTTCAATACTGGTTCGTAAGCGAAAAAAGGCGTATCGACTAACAAGAACTCCACGTCTTTGTACATCTTCAAGTACAGAAGGGTCTTCTTGAGTGCCTCATCTGCAATCTGTAGTACAATCACGGGGGGATCCGAGGCAAGTTTGTCAATATCTCTATCAACAGTCACAAAGGAAACTATCTCCCCCTGGCGCATCAAGCAGCCATAAGAGCGATGTCTGAGATAATTCCCGTTTTGCTTCAGGAAGTCCCGCCGATCAGTCTTCTTCACGATAGACGTCAGCTTTCCCAGGCCCGACCCGCAACTGAATAACAACGAGCATTGCTTCCTTCGATTGTGGTCACCGCAATCTATGCCGTTGAGGGAGAGATTCCGTAAAATGAAGGCGCGTCGTTGGCCCTTTTTCGGGCCTTGGGCAGTCTGTATATCATTGCGGAGCTCAGAGAGCATATCTTCGCGCAACAGACGGAACTGGTTGTCCAGGTGAGCAGCAATGCGAGTTTCAGGGGCCAGATCAGACACCTCGTGGGCACGGCGATAGAACGGTTTCTCAGTCGAGACGAACTCTTCGGATGTTGGGTAAATGGCAATTTTTCGGAAGTCGACAAGGTCATTGTCGTGACGACCTCCAGGAGAAAAGTCTGGGTCGATGGAAGTATTGGATTCCTTGATCAGAAGGAGGTTTTTGATCTTGTGTCCCAGAGTACGAATCTCCAGGGAGGACGATGTGAGCAAAGAACCATCATCGACAGCATTCTGTGCATCCGCAATAATATCGATATGGTTTGAAGGAGGCAATGACAGGAGTTCCATAAGCATCCATGCAAAGGCATAGATGGCATTCTCGTCCAGGGCTCGATTCTTGAATGCTTCCACGAAAGCATTCCACAGCGTGCGCGGCTCGACAATGACCACCAGCAGGTCCTGGAGGAACTGACCATTACAGAGCAGCTTGACAGCAGGGTCAGACAGGTATCGGATAAAAGGAGCAGTTGTTTTGTTGATAAAATCGGGGCTGACATCAAATCGTAGGCCAGACTGCAGGGTGTTGAGCGCCGAAGTGCTGCCGATGATCCCTTCAACACAGGCAGAATGATCCTTTTGCTCGAGGACGGCTTCGAGAAAGAGCTTCACATCGTTTTTGTTTTTAATCGCCCTCTTCCCTCGCAGGACCGGCTGAAGAACTTGGCCAAACGCCCGGATCGAGAATTATCTGTCGACATGGTGCTTGTGACAATGAGCGAGAGGGAAATGGATAAAGTCAAGGAATCAGGATACTCCCGGGAAACCAAGATTTCTCCCACATCCCAACGGAAAATGTTTTATTTTATGCCTGGCTTCCTGGGGGCATTCACTGGCAGCATTCACTGCCATGCAAGGCTCTGTTTCAGGCAGATTCCGCTTCATCCACGGATGTTGTCGCCCAATCATCAGATCTGTCAACCTCCAGCTACTGTGCCAACGTCGCCAACTATAGGCAAATTGCAGGCGGTTAACAGGCAGAAGCAGGGATTGTATAACAGTCCTTCCCTGCACATTTCAGCGGATTGACGTGGCCACCAAAGGAAATTTTGGTCGACGCCAGAAAGCACCAGCACCAGCATCCTACCTACTTACCCCTCCAGCTCTAGCGAAGTCATTTTCTCCATCCAGAATCTATCTATTTCTTTTCAGCCTTTCGCTATGTCTAGTCCCTGGCAGAGATCAAGTGGCACCTACTACAGCCGCAGAGGAGGATACAATGCTGCGCCGTTGTGGAGAAGATGGAAAACAAAGATCCCGCGATCCCCATCTCCTGAGCTAGGGCAGGTCTTGACTAAGATCTATCGAAAAGACTTGATAGAATCGACAGCTGACATTGAAGGTCCTCTGCAAATCACGAACTGCCAGGACGTTGCATCTTACAACTGGTTGAACAGGGGGAGCCCGACAATACTAGTTCCAGGTAGGTAGACACTCCGCTTCCTAGACACGGCGAAAATGGGTGGTGGATTGACGTCTAGTAAAATTCCAGGAGCCCCCGCGGAATGGAAACCTCCTTCGCAGACTATACAGCTTCAGGAAGACAGTGGACAATACTTCCGGGACCCTAACGCGGCCCGTTATCCTTCGTACCCAATGCAGCCAGCCGTCGAAGCTGTCTTCATGGAACATCCAAATTTTCCAACAGCGAGTATTGACATCGTTGCGTGCGGGAGCACTCTGGGCAACCTACTCCGATTTGTTCGACGTACAGGGGGCAAATTCAGGTTCATCGTTGAAGTGGTCGGCTCCACTGTCTTCTTCGTCCGACGAGAAAACACGCCCACGGAGTTAATCCCGAACGTCTTTGGCTATGGACACGCATTCCCCGAAGCATATACCATGTGGACAGAGGAGACCAAGGGGTCCGGATCCCACCAGCGTATAGTGCGGTATAACTTTGCAGGGTTGGACTGTCTGGTACGATTCCAGTCGGATGGCTTTTTCCCTGATCGTATCCCCAAGGATGACAAGGAACCCGATGAGTCCAAGGGCAACAACGATTCAAACGACGACCTGAGTGCTATCTTCTCTGGACTGGATGTAAGCGAAATCAACACCACGGTTCCCGCTCAGGATAACAAACTGGACATCCTCGCCGGCGGGAAGCGAATACCGTCGAGCGCAGTGTTCGACCTTAAAACGCGAGCCATCGGTAAGAAACATATAGACACTCTTGGCCAGGAAATACAGCGGCTTTGGATAGCACAGATCCCGCATTTCGTTCTTGCGTTTCACGACCGCGGATTGTTCGATAAAAACGAAATTCACATCAAGGACGTGCGCGAGGACGTCATGGCCTGGGAAAAGGATCACCAAGAGAGCTTGCTCAAATTCGCAGTCTTGCTACAGAAAATACTTGCCCTCGTGCGGAGCTTACCCGATACCCGACTAGAAATCTACCGCGAGTCAGCGGAAGGACCCCTGGAACTGCGGCAGGCCTGCGAAGACGTTCAACCAGCGCTGCCGGAGGATCTAGCAAACCGGTGGATCCTGGGGACGCAGGCGAACGAGCACGTGAACGAGCACGAGCACCATTTCAGCCCTGAAGATGAACAGGAAATATCATTAATCGAGTGGTCGGACTCAGACGAGAGCTCGGTCAAAGATTTGACCGCTTGCTCGGCGGATTGTGGCTACTGCGGTCATTGCGGTTATTAACAGCCAAAGCCAATAGCGAACTCAAGGGTACACCGTGTGGAATACGACTTCAGGTTTCCTGACACTTCCAGGCGCCGCTATTGGCGACGTCGTATATTCTCGTAAACGCGAGGTTGGATACGCCGAAACCCCCCGCTGATCGACAGAAATATGGATCGTCCTCGGCCATAAATCAGGGGCCGATTCCAGTTCCATCCTGCTGCCGTTTTCGTGCCTTTTTCCGAGACTTGCGTGCGCCGGTACTTCTCCCGAAGAGTCGAATTCTACATTCAGTTAGACACTTTATTTAAATCTCCTCGAGTACAGACTGGGCAGATGGTGATTCATACTAGGATTTGCATGGTTTTCAATGTACCTACCCAAAGACTGAGTGACAAGTGAGACCTGAGACCCAATGATTATTTTCCGTTAGAATACAGTCCAGGGTTCTGGCTCGCAGGGGCCGACGCCACGAACAAGAGTAGAGTCCGTGAAATTCTTCAATTCTTCAGTCAGCCAGACCGTCAGCCTTATGGAATCTTCGAAGATGCTTACACCACATAAGAAATGCCCTGATCATGATCAAAGGGTTCCGGCACACTGGAAGAATGTTCGACAGTAAGCTCTATGCAGGAAGCCCAAGGAGCCTCCTCTCCGAGAAACCTGGAAGACGTTGAATTGAGGCTTACAGGTGCGGAGAACGAATCAGGCAAACACCGTCGAGGCCAAGCACGCTGTAACCACTATATTATTATTATTAATAATATTAATAGCACATGCGTCGAAAGGCATTCCTATCTGGGAACGGCTCCGCAGGCCAAGCAGACGGCGTTGCGGAGAAAGAGAACACGCCGTCGAAACGCGCTGTCCTGGTCGATGCCGACTAGACAGCGCCTGTCCACGGCCACATACGTCAGTTGAAAGGCTAAATGCGCTGTGTTCATTTCCGTTGCACGCGGTAATTGGTGCAGAGTGCGGAGGGATGCAGGCAGAAGCCATTTCAATGTGTATCCAAACGATATACGCCAATCCTAACTTCTAAGACAGGAGTAAAAGAGCGACCCCGATCTCCTTCTTGCTCCCATATTCAGCAAGCCGCCGACTCCGTCCGTTCAAGCCAGTTCGGTTAATTTCCAAAGTTAAATGCGCCCAATCTAGAACGGAACCAAAAACAAACCCTTTTCGATCGACACATAGCATACAAACGAAACATCAAATCATGCGGCCGTCAATTAATCCTAAACGGTGTGTGGGCAGAAGCGGAATGAATGGATTCAAAATCGCGGTATTATACTACTCCGTATTAAACCTTCCATGCCAGCGAAACGCCTTCTGGCGGGTACGGACTCGAACTCATCGGGAGGATGAACTCCCCGGGGTCCGAGCGTTTGTCGCCCAGATCGGCGAAAAGCGGCTGCGACGGCCACGTTAAGTCCTGTGCGTCGTAGTACCCGGACATGTACGGTGAGGGGGGTTGTTGCCAGTGTTGCGGCTCGAAGCAGAGCGTGTTGGCGTGGGGGGTACCGGCGGATGTGGAGTGCATGCCCGCACTGGAACCAGCCCTGGTTCCCGCGAGGTCAGGGTCGATGTGTTCCGACCAGGGGAAGAGGAACGAGGGTGTTGCGGGCACGGGAGGGAAGGCAGTCTCGTAACAGTCGTAGAGCGGTTGGGTGAAGATCTCCGGTTCGCCGTCGTACGCGTCGACTGACCGTCGGGGTGCGAGAATGTCGCGTTCTGAGGGGGAAACACCGATTGCTGAGGATGCCGGGCTCACACTGCCCGACAGCGGTAGGGGAGCTTGCAGGAGTCGTTGCTCTAACGCTGAGATGGACTGTGGGGAGGAGGATTCTTGAGATTCGGAACGGTGACGCTGTCTCATCTTCTCGCCTGGACAAGCAAGGGCTGTCAGTTCTCACCGAACGCAAACGAATCGAGAGGGGACTCACGGTATTTCCTTTGGGAAATGCGGTTCTGGATGCGTCGTCGCTCAGTCCGGTCTGCGACCTTGGTCCAGTCTTCGCAATCATCCTTGGTGGGTTTTGTGCGCGACGAGCGAGCAGGTCGAGAACGGTCGATGTCTGCAGGGGGCATTCCGGGGGCGATGATGTAGAGTTGATCAGAGCAATTAGATGGTGACGGTGATGGTAACGGTGATGGTGATGGTGATGGTGATGGTGATGGTGGTAGTATAGCAAGATTAATGGCTACGGGTATAGAAGACAGCGATGTGCTGGGAAACAACCACCCAGGAGAAGGATCCTGTACTTATACACAACGGCCAGACCAGGTAATTATCCAGCGTCACAAGGCAGCAGATATTTTTAATCCGATCGTCACCGTCGAACTGGATTGATGCAGAGACGGTCCCGCGCGAAGCTACCGTCTACTAGTCACCAAGGCTTGTTTCCTGTCCAGCCACGAACAGAAAGCAACCCTGCGCTACGGGGTCCACCCCCAGGGCGTCTGGGATCATGATGCTGTTGCATCCATTGAATTGCTGATTAACCCCGAGACTCAGCCCTGGCGTCGGTAAGAACGACACTGCGTGTCCACGCTATCTCCGTCCTGCAACAGAGCATGCTATCCTCCGCAGAGCCAATGACCGGCCAACACCGCAGCAACCGCGGCGACGATCAAGCACTTGGCTAAGGACACTGCAGAACGCGCAGGATCAGTTTCAGCAATGGGATCAGTGAGTCACACTGGCCCGTCCTGTCCGGGCCACGCCGTCTGGTCCATGCACGATTACGATTACCAACCAGCCGGGAGGAGGGCAGGGAGAAGCCGGTTGAAGCCTCAATGTCCATACTACGGAGACAGCTTTAATTCCGCATGCCAGCAGCATCAGGCCAAGAGGCTTGGTAAGCAAAGACCACCCTAGTTACGAACTATGTAACTAGTAGTTACATGTCCTGAAGACACGCTGGACAGGGATCGGCGCCGGCGCGAGATACTACTGTAGCAGCGTGGGCGCCATGGACCCCGCGAGCTCACTGCAATCGGATACACGCCATGCGCGTCTTGATTTCCTTCTTCTGGTAGGCCATTCGATTGGCCTGGGGTCTGGAGTTTATCTCAGAGACCCTCTTGTTCAGGTTTCCCGGGGACCGGAGACAGTGGTGGCATCATCGACGAATGTAGGGCATCCATCTCCACCCGGAGATGGGGATGGATGGAGATGGAGATGGAGATGGAGAAGGGGACTGCTACCGTAGCCCCTATCGCCCGCTGGCAGTGTACAAACAGAGCAGAGTCAAGATACAAGCTGTTCCCTTGAGGCTTTCACCGCTGCGTCAACAGTGACTCTCATCTTTCACTGGCCGCTGGCCAAAGTCTAGCGGTCTATCTGGATCTTGCGATGTGATTCAGCTCTCGCGGGGATCCCTTCACCCTGCCGTATCACGGCCCTCGCAGCCAATCTCCAGGCCCAGCATAAAAATAGAATCTTTAGTCAACTGCTTAATAAGGACGCGGAGACGTACGATCGGCATAATGGCGTTGGTGCCACCATGCAGACGTGCTTAGGATTTCCGGATTCCGTAAGGCTGAGCTCGATTAACTCGCGAAGCTTACTAGTTAAACCAACGGCCGGACTGGCATCAGTCGAATAGCCTCATATCGTGTCGTGCCATTTTGTTTCATTTTTGTTTCTGCCCATGGTTGCCTATTATTAGGGCTGTGTTGCAGTAAATAGCATGCCAAGCAGGCCGGTGAAGTGAGACCTCGTTCCCCCAGGAAATGCTACTCTAAGTTACTATTGACTTCAAGGTTATTAATATCTCTTACTATGTTTGGCTGCACGGCCGTCGCAGCTTCGATCTTGGGCTTATTGTTTACCGTTTCATCGCGGCGTTGTCATCTGAATTTCCTCGTCGCCGAAATTGGCTCCCGCGTCCATGGGTCAATCACACCCGTATTATCATTACGGCCTACCTCACTGCATGTGCTGGTTGCTGAGGAATTGTTCTGTTTTTATCATCTCCTGCTCCGTTGGTCGGTTGGAGATCATCAGGTAGAGAAGGTCCTGCCGGTGGCAGTCAGTTCGGCAATGCCTCAAACAGCCCCGGGGACGATCAATCAACTCACCTGCTCCAGGAACTCCGCTTTCAGGCGTCCCATCCGTCCTCGTTTCTCCGGCGGGACATACTTCTTCTTCTTCTTTTTCTTCGGCTCCTCCACCGTTCCCAGCATCCCGCCAGACAGCATCGTCAGCAGAGTGGATGAGTTGGCGGGATTGTTCGGATCCGCCCAGCGATTCCGGAACGTAACGCCCTGCATTGCCAGGGAAGAGCTGGGGTGCTCGGCGGCCTATGGCTGGAGTCAGCGTCATATGCGAACTGCGGGGGAGAAGACCGACATACGTATTTCGCCTGGGCACGCCGGTCAAAATAGTCCGCTGTGAAATGCGCCATGCGCTCCATCGTGCCTCCCTCTGGTTTGATATGGGGGATGTCGCGTTCGGAGAGGAAAACCAGCGGCGCCGCTTGTGGGAGAATGAATTCCTGTTCCGGGAGCTTCTTGCGGCCGAAGAATCCTGCTATGCCACCGCGACGCACGGGGGCCAGCGGAGTCGGAATGATTCTGGTCTCGCCGGACGTCGAGTCGATGGTCACCTGTGCAGAGGCCTGGTCCGGTCGCCAGACCATAACGACGGCAAAGAGCCCTCGCGGTAGGAAGAACTCGCGGTTCATGCGAGTGAGAAACGACTCCGTTCTGTCTAGATCAGCCGTCCGTCTTTTTTTTTTTTTTTTTTTTTCTTTACCGTCCCTTCCTCTTGCCGACGGGAAAACTCACTGGAAACCTCTCTGGGCCTTTTTGGCATAATGCAGAGCGATAGGAACGGCCGTCGACACGACAAATGCCGTCATGTCCGGCACGAAGCCAACACCGAATGCGGCAAGGTTAATTGCATCGAAACATCGCGACGACTGAAACGAGACGGTCAGCTTGTACCGCTACTGACACCAACGGAGTGGCCTATACACTACCTTACTGGACGCGTTGAACTCCGTCAGGAACCGTAAGAATGTATCCTGGTCAATGCCATAGTTCTGCAACACGGGGGAATAGGCCAGCATGAATCCACGCTTCATATCTTCCGGCCTGCGCTGGGGGATGATAATGGGACAGGTAAGTCGGGGAGGGTGTGGGTGAGATGGGGCCCGGCGACTGCTGCTCGCTGGGGATCGAGAGGAGGCCTTGTAGCCGTTCTGGTCACAGCGCTCCGACTCCTCGTACGTCGGTGGTGCGTCGGATGCCAGACTGCGCTGGACGGGTGCATTCCGTGCATTCTGTGGATTCTGCGCATTCTGCGCATTCTCCGGATGCGGATAGGGAGCATATCCCATTCTCGACTGCTGCACCAGGCTCGGGTTATACGTGTATCCCGTGTATCCGCGATTGCCTTGAGACGGCGGGCGTTGGTCCTCGCACTGAGCCTGGATAGCCTCGACAGCCAGGCCGATGCCCGCACTGACGAAGCTAGCGAGTTTCCCCATAGTAGATGTATTGCACTAATGTCACTGGCGTGGATTCACGATATTATCGGGTGGATTCATCCTAGTGGAAACAGGTGGATGGCTTGCGCTGCGTCGGGTTCGCTGCAACCGAGTCGATTCGCGTAAAATGCGCTCCTCCGCAATGAACAGTCGCGAATAGCGCTGTAGATTCGACAAGCGTACAGTCCAGCTTCAATAGTGGTCTGTTAGAGGATTCTTGGCTCCAGACGGGACTCCTGGCCCTTTTCACTCTGACGGTTCCGACTCTCCCGGAGGCGAGTATAAATATAGAAACGCCTCGAATTTGCCCAAAGAGGCAGTGGACCAGACTCATAATGCTGCTGCTACGATTCGCTCCTCGCTGCAGGGTAAAAGCTTGTTTCTATCGACGGTAGAATGAAAAAAAAGAATTGCTGCCTTTGACCCGCTCACTCAACGGTAGCCACGTATCACCACCAAGTCGGCAGATGGACGGAACTCTTGCCCGCGGCAACCTGGTAGTCACTTATTGGTTGTGATTCAACGCGCAGGGAAGATCCCGTATGAAATCCATCGGACATGGGAGAAAGGCGCATCGATCTCAGCCCTGCCAAGATGTCTGACAGGAGGGACTGTCTTAGCTTCGTGGATTAGCCTCGTGGATAAGCTCGTGGATGATGTTCAACTCCACCGTGAGGATCTTGGCCACTTGGCAGGTTCGTCGGTATGCTTATGGTCTTCTTCTCGGCCGTCTACGTGCAATATGTGTTATGCTGGGTCTGATGAGCTCGAGGTCACTCTATACCTGCCTTGTCATCTGCGCGAGCGCGAGAACTGGGTTGAAGGTGCAGATATATATCCGGCATTTTTGGACGGCTCCGCGGTGGCTGGAAATATATATTTGAATTTGATGCTACACATTCTACCTCCTTCATCGTGAACAATCCCATGGATTCGGCATGAATTCGCCGTGAAATCGTCCACCCCTGGCTTATCCTCGAAGCATGCACTAAGCCATGCCATGTCTTGACACTGCTCTGCATGCTCGGATGCACCCTCGACCAGATACGCCAGGACTCCGACAGAACCCAGAAGAGTCGGAATATTCCGTCTTGCATATATTCCTTGGAAACCACCAGATGGGCTTATTCCAATCGAGTCAAGTCATGCGCCACGTGGAGAGCGCGAGAGCGTAACCAGCGGTAGGACGCATTCCAAGGCTACCGGAGCAATGCACGGTCGAAATTATGCCTGGAAGGGTAGTCGGTAATACCTGCAGCATTTCTTCAATGCCACTCTGCAACATGGAAAGCATAACCCTTCGATGAGTGGCCCTTGTCCTCAGGCTATTATTGCTCATTGCCCAAACCAACCACAGCCGCAGATGGCATGCGTAGTTTACCACCACGAACGCACCAGAGTACCCCCCTTTCAACCAGAAATCGGAAGGAAACCGACAAAACGTACATTCCAGGCCGCAGAAAGGCCCGGATGCACTCTGGGCTAGATCGTATAAGGATAAATATCACAGCATTGGTGCCAGCACTGTCGCTGATGCCCAACATGCTCCCTTTGCTAGCATGGCGACGAGAGCGGGCACAGCTAGGGCCTGCGAGGTGGTGAGAGGAATGCGTCGGCGGCGAACAGGTCCATTTCCGAGCAAGCCACAATCAATGGACATACTATGATTTGCCATTTCCCAGAGACAGTGTCGGATAGTATCTGCCCTGGACATGGACTTCTGTGGGGCCATGAACGCCATGGTGGTGTCCGCGTACAGTTCGCAAGCGGCGACTTGTCCCACTCACGAGAGCGGCAATTACTCGCCGGAACGTCCACTGAAGGACCAGAGGGCCAGGAGGAGGAGTTCATCATCATCGATCCTAACTGCAATGGCACTGCAATGGCATGGGATAGCCGGACTACATGGAACGAGGAAGCACCGCAGAAGGGAGAGAAGCATGAAGTATCCCCCGACACGACAGATCAGTCGACAGGACGAAAAAGATTTGCCATTGCCGGATCCGAGATTGGGCCGGATACTGTTTCTGAGTAGGGGAAGACGGAATCACATCGAGATCATCGTGTCTGCAGACACGATGCAGCCAAGCGACGGGATCGGCAATAGGACGACCAGAGTGACCCGAGTGACAGGGTGGCTGTCGACATTAACTACATGGAATTTCATGGAATGACTCGAGCAGATCAGGAAAGAATTCCGTGCGAACGTTGTCATGGCTGCACCGTCGATGACCTGTTCCCATTCCACGTTCCACTGCGGGAGACCGTGTTTCCCCTTTGGGCCAGGATCGATGCATGCATTCATAATGCATAAGGCATAATTCATATTACATACACGGGGGGTGCTGGAGGACGCTGGAGGACGCTCGAGGACGCTCGAGGACGCCTCCGGGATTCCCCGCACCACGCACCTCTTTCTCCTCTCCAGGAAGTGGACAAGGTACTCCACGGAGGACGCCGACAGACGAGGCTGAAACCGAATCGCAGTGACTGCCGTATACCAGTCATACGATGGATGGGAGCAAAGGTACCAAGGAAGATCCGAACACGGTCATGACGTCCTGGACGACCACGGCGAGATCTAGACACGGCCAGCGTGACTCGGATGCAGAAAGCGAGCGTCACGAGTGCAGCTAGGATCAACAGGAACTGCCAACTATTGATCCTGAAGCCATCCGGGCCTGCCGACTGGCCCGTGGGCACACAGGCTTCTTCGTCAGGATTTGGCGCTGCAGATCGCCCGGGGCCATTGGCCCAGGAGCCTGGAGGCAACGGGCCGTTCTTCAAGTGGCAGCTCACGCCATGACGCTGTCTGCCCTGTCTGTCCTGTCTGGTTGTGTGATGCGCGACCTGCCCCAGGCCGGCCGCGCCGAGACAGCGGATCTGCCTCCATTATAACCACCCAGATTGCCTAAATAGGCATCTGGCCTGGCGGCAGCTCGCTTCGGCCGACGCCCGTCTGCCACTCACGACACCCCAGGCCTGCCATTCCCGTGTCCTCTGGCCTGGCTGGTTCCGGTTGTTTCCTTCTCCTCGACGACGCCATGCTTCTCACCCCGCCGTCGCGGGAAATCGATCATGGCAAGGATGCAGGGTAGTTAAAAAGGGAGCGCCCCGTCCCTGCTCCTCGTCCTGGATTCTTCCATGCACCATCGCATTGACCGGATTCTCTCATCTGAAGCACCATCATCCCATCTCCATCCAGAATGGCTCCTTCCATAGTGCCAGGACTCCTCCGGCGTAACGACGTCTTGGACATCAACCCTCCGCCCGCCGCCGCCGACATCCACATCACCGCTCGCGGTGACGACTGGCTTTGGACCGTCACCGCCGTCGACTTCTTCTCCCTCCTGTGCTTCCTCGTCCTGCTGTACATCACCCCGCGTACCGACCGAATCTTCCACTACCTCACCGTCCTCCTCATCATCGTCACGGGAGTCTGCTACTTCACCATGGCCTCGGATATCGGGTCGGCCGCCGTCCCCGTCGAATGGCAGCGGGGGGATCACGACGTCCGGGGAACCGCAAGGGAGGTCTTCTGGGTCCGCTACTTGGACTGGTATGTGCCCGCTCCTGCTCCGTCCCCCACGGGGGGGTCTCGCTGACGATAGGAAACCCCGCCAGGTTCTTCACCGGCCCCATGATCATCATGAACCTGCTCCTGACCGCGGGCGTCTACTGGCACACCATCCTGTACACCCAGCTGCTCTACATCGTCTATGTCATCCTGCTCTACGTCGGCTCCATCGTCCCCACCACCTACAAATGGGGTTACTTCACCCTGGCCATGGTCGCCCTGGCCCTCACCCTGGAGAACATCGTCTGGGCCGGCTGGCGCCACGCCTCGGCCCTGGGCGGCAACGTTGCCCGGCTGTACCGCATCCTGGCCCCGAGCCTCGTCGTTCTCTGGATCCTCTACCCCGTCGCCTGGGGTGTGAGCGAGGGCGGTAATGTCATCGCCCCCGATTCCGAACACATCTTCTACGGTATCCTCGACATCCTGGCCAAGCCGGTGTTGGGCGCCGTCCTGCTCATCGGACACATGAAGATCGACATCACCCAGCTCGATCTCCGCCTGTACGACCGGGTGCCGAACGAGGGCGAGGCGAACCGCGCCGCATACAACGAGAAGCGCGACCATCTGGCGCAGCACGACATCGAGGCCACCGCTGCTGGCGCCCCTGCTGCAGCTCCCGCTGCCAACGGGACCCAAGCATAGAGAGAATATCGATTGACCACCATAGATATCTATCTCTGGCAACTAGGACACAATTTAGGTCTGAGAGACGAATGACGGCCCTTTTTTTTTTAAATCTTTCTTTTGGGCTTCGCTGTCGACGGCCGCTGCACGACCGAATGCGTATGAAAAGGCTTTGAACGAGTGCGATGTGGAAGGGAAAAAAAACAGATGGCCGAGAAGCCTATTATTTTGACCATGTCGATCTTTAATACCCGTTGCTGTTGTCTATACCTAATCGTAATAGTCGAAGACGAAAGAAATGAGAGATATTGTGACATTCGAGCTTTGTCTTGTTTGTTGTCTTTGTTCTGTTTGCTTGTTTGAAATATTGTAATTCCATGATTCGGTATATCATTTCCCCGAGAGCCCCTCCGTGGGGGTGGGCTGAGTCAGCAGCACATCAAACCACGTGACGTCACCTGACCCCTCCCCCGCCGTTTCTTTGGCGCGGTATGTCAACAAGACAGGAAAGAAAGTTGAAGAAAGACATGAAGACCTGAAGACAGGAAGATACACACAGACGCGAAGAGAATGCCCTCAATTGGATTGCCATCCTACGACGACTCAACCCGCAGCTGGACGCAATATCCATACCGGCGCTCGTCGATCCCCATCGAATCAGGGTCCAATGGCGTGACGCAGACCCAGCAATGATGAAGCTGCCCGCCGGGGCTTTCTGGGCCGATGGAGGGGGAGCTGCTGCTTGACCCACCACCGGCTTGAAGTTGCGGTACTTATTTGTCTTGCGTCTCCTCATCCTGCTTCTCCTTTCTTCTTCCAACTACCCTTTGGATCATCTTCTATCTCACGACCTCGTTTACTGCCCACGCGTTCATCATGTCTCTCGGCAGGAAAGTTACCCTCAACACCGGCGCTACCATCCCGTAGGTCTCCTCCCCGCCCTTCTCTTCCATGGTACCTCGCTCCCTGGATCCGTCTGTTCCAGTTCCACTGATCGCTCTCTAGTCAGCTTGGGTTTGGTACCTGGCAGTCTGAGCCCGGTCAGGTCGGTGAAGCCGTCTATGAGGCCCTCAAGGCCGGATACCGTCATCTGGTATGTGCTGTTTTCCTTTGCTCGACGTCTTTTAGTGCCTGCTAACGATTCCCAGGATTTGGCTACTATGTACGTTTCTTTGGCAACAAACCCACCGTGAGTACCACAGATCGGGCCATTGACTTTCATACAGCTACCAGAACCAGAAGGAGGTCGCTGTCGGCATCCAGAGAGCCTTCAAGGATATCCCTGGTCTCAAGCGTGAGGACCTTTTCATCGTAAGTGCATTTTCGCCAGAAATGGTGGTGGAATGGCCGCTGATTACGAAAAATAGACCTCTAAGCTCTGGAACAAGTGAGCTCATGTTGTCGCCGACTGTCTACTGGAATTGTTCTGACACCCTCTTAGCCAGCACCGCCCTGAGGTCGTAGAGGCTGCCCTGGACGAATGCCTTGCCGAACTTGGTCTTGACTATCTTGACGTACGTTGGTGGTGCACGTCAATCAATCTCCGCAAATGACTAACCGGAAATCAGCTGTACCTCATCCACTGGCCTGTGGCCTTCGAGAAGGGCGACAAGCTGTTCCCTACGGCGGAATCGAGCAACGGTGTCGTCATTGACAATGATGTCTCTCTCGTTGACACTTGGAAGGGTATGCGCTGCACCATGACGGCCGATTATACATGTCCATCGCTAACGACAGACAGCCCTTCTCAAGCTCCCTAAGAGCAAGGTCCGCTCCGTCGGTGTTTCTAACTTCACCATCGAATACGTAAGATACCGGTCGAACCTGCATGTCCATGCGGACGCTAATTTTCTTGCAGCTCGAGGGCATCATCAAGGCCACGGGCGTTGTCCCCGCGGTCAACCAGATCGAGCGCCACCCTCGTCTGCAGCAGCCCGAGCTGATTGCATACGCCAAGGAGAAGGGAATTCACATCACCGCTTACTCTGTGAGTAGCATGCTCGATCCGCATGACATACAGGTTCCGCAGTTCTGTGCTAACGGCCTAGGCGTTTGGTAACAACAATGTCGGCGAGCCCCTCCTCATCAACACGCCTGAGGCGAAGAAGATCGCCGAGCAGGTTGCCAAGAGGACTGGGAAGACCGTGACTGGTGCCAACGTCATGTAAGTCCGAAATCCACGTGTCGTCGACATTACCCGATTGGTGCATGCACTGACTGTACTAGTCTCGCATGGTCTCAGGTCGGTGGCCACAGCGTCATCCCCAAGTCGGTCACTCCATCGCGTATCGCCCAGAACTTCCAGGAGGTCGAACTGACTCCTGAGGAGATCGCCGAGGTCGATGCATTGGGCAAGAACAGGAGGCGTTTCAACCGCCCCTACAACCTCTGTATGTTCTCTCTCTTTTTATGCTCAAAGTGCCTGAGCTTGCATTTCTGACTGGTCTGCAGACACGCCGAACTGGGATATCAACGTCTTCGGCGAGCCTGAAGAGCAGGGCGCTAAGTACAAGGTCAATGTGGGTGCATAAACTGTTGATTTGTAGATTCGCAGACGGTTAGCAATGTAAATAACCACCTGCCCTGGACGCTTAAAAATAAAATAACGTGTGAATGATAGTGCGTTAATATTGAATGCTATGTGTATGCACTAAAAATCCATCGGATTCTTCATAACAAACTCCTCTGAAGTCGTCCACTCCACCAACTCCTTGGACCGCGGCCCACAATACCCTCCTCTCCTCCTCCTTGCTCATCCGAGCTGGAATCTAACGGATGCGGTCGCGTGTCGAGGACCAGCTCGTCCTGATATTTCCAGATAGGCTGCGGAACTAGTCTTATTATTCTTGAAAACCCTGCTGTAAACGCCGTTATCTCCGTCAATCTTTACGAGCGGACAGATGGCATCGCTCCCCACTCCGTACCACTTACTACCTTCAATGTTTCGTGCAATTGCTGGCAAGTTGTCGATCTGACTGTCAGCAGTATGGAAATGAGCACACCAACATTCGCCATCTATGGCACGATTATCCACTCGCTCAGTCTCACTGACCTGCAGATCCAGGAGAATACCCTGGTCCTGGTCAAGTCGGGAAAAATCCACTCCCTCGACTCCCCAGTGTCGACCGACCACGTCCCGACCATCCTCAGAGACAGGGGCTACACCGATCCAGTTCCCGTCAGATACCTCGAAAGAAGCCAATTCCTGATCCCGGGATTCGTGGACACACACAATCATGCACCACAATGGGCCCAACGAGGCATCGGGCGCGGCATCTCCCTGCTGGACTGGTTGGACAAAGTCACCTTCGCCCACGAGGCTAAATTCAAGGACCCAGCTTACGCGCGACGCATGTACTCGTCCTGTGTATCGGGCTTTTTGAAGCAGGGCATCACGACAGCCAGCTACTACGGCTCGAAACACGGGGATGCATCCAAGATCCTCGCCGAGGTGTGTTTGGAGCTGGGTCAGCGCGCGTTAGTGGGCAAGTGCAACATGAATCGCCACGCGCCGGGATGGTACAGCGATGAATCGGCGGAGAGTTCGCTAAACGAAACTAGAGATTTTCTGGATCATATCTCCCGTCTTGATCCGGGTCACGACCTGGTCCAGCCGGTATTGACGCCTCGATTTGCCATTTCGTGCGAGGAGCACCTGCTCCGTAGACTGGGGGACCTCGCGGCCGAGAACCCCTGGATGCCGATCCAGACGCATTTTAATGAAGCGCGGGACGAGATGGAGTTTACCAAGTCGCTCTTCCCGGGTTTCAGGAACGAGGCGGATCTGTACGAATCCATGGGACTGTTGAATAGTCGGTCCATCCTGGCGCACTGCATTTTCCTCCAGGACGAGGAGATGACGCGTCTACGGGACCTGGGATGCGGCATTGCCCATTGCCCGATCTCAAACACATGCATGAGCGTGTACATGGTTGCTCCGATACGGGAGTATCTTCGTCGCGGCATCAAAGTCGGGCTGGGCACCGATAGCGGGGGCGGGTTCTCCTCGTCCATGCTGGAGGTCATGAAACATGCGTTTCTCGTCTCGAATGCACGGCAGACGAGCACCGACGGCAAAGATGCTTCTCTGTCGCTGGCAGAATGTTTCTTCCTTGCCACGCTGGGCGGGGCGCAGGTCTGCGGGTTGGGTGAGCGGATTGGCAATTTTACGGTGGGCAAGGAGTTCGATGCACTTGTTATTGACGGTGTCGTTGATGATGGGGTCATGGCGCCTGTTGAAGATGAGGATGGGATTGGCATTGTCTTTGAGAAGTTTCTCATGACGGGGGACGATAGGAATATTGTCGGTGTTTTTGTGGGAGGGAGGACGGTGAGGGAGCGAGCGTAGGGCATTCTACCCTGCTACCTTCCTTGATATAAGTATCTCTTCAGCCCTGGAGAATACTATCCAGATCTAAGTTCATCTTACCCAAACCGTCCTTCAAAATAGACCCTTAACCAGGGGACTAGGGCTCGGCATCCTCCACGTTGCCGGTCTGCATCAGCCCGAGTACACGTACATCCTCTGCGCAGAAACCGAAAGACTTGGGCACCACTGCCCGGGTGGACGTGATCCAGCCAGCTGGATGTCACGCAGGACGAGCAGATCGAGAATGCTGAGAAATACGTGGACAGTCTTAATCAACAACGGAGACATACTGCGCCTCCCACCCCAGAACAACCCTCAGGGCACACGAAACACGCACAACGAACTGCTACACGTAAACCTCAGCTCAGTACCGGCAATAATCGGCTGGATTGGCCGGATCCTAAGCGAGTCTCGTACGGGCCATTATCCTCTTCTCAGCAATCCTGCACCAAATGCAGGGGTGTTGGAAATGACTCGTCTCCGCGTTTAATAGTGCGTCGGGCAGCGAGGGCTAGACGACGCACTGAGCAAGGTTAAAGCGAGAATTGAGCATCGGTGAATCACTGCTGCAGGTCTATCACGCTGATCCTGTGTGATATCGCTGCATGTGCGAAGACACCGAGGCATCTCTAACCCCGGTCAGGGGCACAAGCCGAGATGATTGGGAAAAGATGACAATTGCAGTTGAGCCAAGATAAATACTCATAGAGATAAAACCAAATGTGTGCTTTCTTTCTCTTCATTCGATATTAAGTGCATCCTGGATACGTGGTACATACAACATGATTGCAATCAATTATCTCGCCATCTGGCTGATCACCAACCTCAGCGCATTTTTCACCACCGTCCATGCACAGTCAGTGCCCTCCTCCGAATGCGCCACGGGCATCCATGCAATCCTCGCGCGTGGAGAGGGCGGCGGCGATCCCTTGAACGTCCTCGTCTCCATATCCAACTTGATCCTCGAGCAGATCCCGGGCTCTACCACCCTCGGACTGCCCTATCCATACGGCAATGAAAACAAGGCTCAAGCGGTGCACGACGGTGCATTAATGTTCCAGGACTATGTTCAGCAGTACGTTGCCAGCTGTCCGAATGCGAAGATACTGCTGCTGGGGTATTCGTTGGGCGCGTGCGCCATGATGGACGCCCTCTGTGGCACTAGTTCCTTCTTCTTCGACCCTGTCTCAGCGCTGCAATCGACATATGCGAAGAATGGTAAGAAGAAGAGCAGAAGGCGCTTCTCGATATACGTTCTGACCCTGCTGCCACAACAGTGATCGTGGCCGCTGCATACGGAGATGAGACGTACGTTCCTGGTATGCCCTGGAACACAGGCAACTGCACCATCGGACTGGGAGTAAGTGCTGTGTTCGAGCTCCAGCTTGTATTCATGAGATGCAGCCTGACAGTCCGGCCTAGATTTTCCCTCGATTGAACCCGCACTCTTGCGACCCGTTCGCGGCCTCCCTCCACAGCTACTGTGATTACGGGGATAGCCAGTGTTGCGCCCTGCTCCCCTGGGATGACAATGCCGCCCACCATACCTATGTAGACAAGTACAACCAGGCTGTGGTGGACTTTGCCAAGCAGCGACTGGCAGAGGTGGATGGACCCTAATTGAGTATGGGTATAGGGCTGTTGCGTCCACGGGTGTTCAGCCGCTTAAAAGCCTGATGTTGAATTGAGCTTTACATGAATGATCACACAGTACCATATAATGAAAATCCAATATTACTATCCTCTACGCCTGTGAGATCATATCTCGCACGGCTTCTGCGAGCTCAGCCACCAGTGGCCCGCCTCTAGGGATGGTGTGGCCTCTGCCAGTGTCGAATATCTCGGCCTTGTCGGCATTGCAGACATTGTAGAGGCTCACTGCACCATCGCGATATGGATCTATGTATATGTCAGGGGATCCTATTCTCCATCTTATTGGGAGCAAGCAGGCCTACCATTGGCACCGACTACATGCAGCGTTGGGATATCGATGACCAGGTCGCTGCTATCACTCAGAACGAGTGTATTGTCGGCAGCGATGGGCGGCCATCCAGTGAAGAACAGAGCGCATTTGATCCTCTTCGGTCTTCCGGTCTTCCTGGACTGTTCCTCTTCATCGATGAGCAATGACGCCGCCACCGTGGCACCTTCACTGTAGCCCACGATCCCCTCGATGTCCGGGTTAGCATCCAGGGTGGCATGCAGATAGCGCATGACTTCCTCCCTGTTCCTCCACGATGCCGGCCCTCCGCGAGACAGAGCCCGCATGACATCCTCTGGAGACTGGCCGGCAGGGAGCTCGCGGATCCGCGTTAACAAGCCGCTCTCTGCACTTCCCCCGTCCTCCATCCACCGGTAGTGTGGGCCGATGCCGAAATAGTCCTCGAATCCTGCGCCCGAAGCATGAGTACGGGCACCGATCCATGTAGGCAGAGAATATGATTCCCGAGGCACTTACCTGGTGGCGGATCGACCACGACAGGGCCGGGAATATAGTGGAACACGGCCGCATTATCGGCCTGCAGCTCCTTCTGCAGAGGGCCTAGCTGGACGCTGATATTCTGTGTTTATTCTGTTAGCCCGAGGCTCCCGTGAGCTAGATTGGAATGGATAACAGCATAGATAGTCGCCTACATCAAGATTGCCAATGGCACCGTGTAGACAGAGGAAATGCATGGTGTTGCGCTAGGGTTACGAGGGACGCCCGATGCAGGGAATTGAGACACACCACCGGTTGATATACAGAGTGCAGATTGATGCTTTCCCGGACCTACAGCCCTGTTTTATCTCGCTTATGCATGGCTACAGGTTCTGTCACGCCAATGCCCAGTAAGCTTCAACCCACGTGTATGGACCAGCACATCCTCGGCCAGCAGAATGTCTCTATTGACTCGAGCATTCTAGTCTATGTTAGAGCTCTGCCAGCATGTGATCTGCAAAGCAGGCCCTGCCTAGACCTAGATGCGGCGCTGGCTATCAATTCAACGTCGGGAGATGTGTCGAAACGCACGGCATGCGAATACGAAACTACCAAGACTCGATAACGAGATTTAACGTGTTAGAGACATGTGCTAATTGCAGCAGACGCCGTACGATGGATAGGAACCCGCTGGATATTATCCTTTTGCAATGGATAAAAAAGGTACATTGTGACCGTCGTTGATATCACTTAGACCAATCCCCCTAGAAGCCGCTGCTATTAGGGCTTCGTTCTTCCCCATCCACCATTTCTTTTCTTCCCTTATTGATTCATTAGTCTGGTTCTTTACACGACTTTCTACTCACTCTCTACTGTGTTTCTCGTCGTCCTCATCATGGGCAGTCTTGATGACTCTCGAGCCGACTCGGATCCTGGTCCTGCGGCCCGCAGCATCTTACCGAACGGTCCCTTGCAGCCCATCGCCATCATTGGATATGCCTGTCGCCTGCCGGGGCAAGTCTCTTCCCCTGACGACCTATGGGAGATGTGTACACGCCGGAGGAGCGGCTGGTCTCCCATCCCGCCAGATCGATTCTGTGCCGAAGCATACCACCATCCGTACGCATCCAAGGTCGGGACCTTCAATCCAGCTGGAGGCTACTTCTTGCAGAATGATATATCGCGTTTTGATTCCCCCTTCTTCAATATCACCGCCCAGGAGGCCCAGTCCCTGGATCCGCAGCAGCGCCAACTCCTCGAGTGCGCCTTCGAAGCCCTGGAAAGCGCCGGCCTCTCCAGAGAGACGTGTTCCGGAAATAAGATAGGTGTCTTCGTCGGCGGCAATTTCTCCGACTATGAAGTGAACAATACGAGAGATGTCGAGACTATTCCGATGTATCAGGCTACGGGTTGCGCGCAGGCATTACAATCTAACCGCATCTCATACCACTTCAACCTGCGAGGACCGAGCATGACCGTCGACACGGCCCGTTCCTCGTCTCTCGTCGCCTTGCACTATGCAGTGCAAAGCCTGCGCAGCGGAGACGCGTCTGCTGCACTGGTGGGGGGTTGCCGATTGAATGTGCTGCCGGACCTGTTTGTGTCCATGTCCATGTCTCAGTAGGTTTCCATTCCTAGCAGTTAGGACGAGGAAATTCTGACCCACGAAAACAGGCTTTTTAACGATGAAGGGAAAACCTTCGCTTTCGATGATCGAGCGCAGTCCGGATTTGCACGAGGCGAGGGCGTGGGCATGGTCGTATTGAGGCCGCTCGACGATGCCATGCGCGATGGGGATCCAATCCGGGCAGTCATAGCCAACACCGGCGTGAACCAGGACGGTAAGACACAGGGAATCACACAGCCAAATGGGCAGGCCCAGGAAGCTCTCATCCGTGACGTCTACCGGGGCGCCGGCCTGGACACGCGGGATTGCGGATTCGTGGAGATGCATGGCACCGGGACCAAGGTGGGAGATCCCATCGAGAGCCATGCGGTATATCAAGCCCTCGCCCAGGGACGTCCGGAGCGCGACCCTCTCTTCATCGGATCTGTCAAGTCCAATGTCGGACACCTCGAAGGCGCCAGCGGCGTTGTTTCTGTGATCAAGGCTGCTATGATGCTCGAAAAGGATCTTATTCTGCCCAATGCTGACTTCCAGACGCCGAATAAAAAGATCCCCTTTGAGAAATGGAATATGAAGGTCGGTGAATCTCATTTTCCTTGTCGTGAGCCAGACAGCCGGGCTGACCGGTTCATTGCAGGTGATACCGCGCACTCGCCCCTGGCCCAGGGGGAAGAAATACGTGAGCGTGTCCAACTATGGCTTTGGAGGTACCAATGCGCATGCAGTGCTCCAAAAGGCCCCTCTTCCTACTCCGAAGCGACAGGTGGAAGAGCGAGAGACGGAGGATCCCAAGCGGAAATTGGTTCTCATCTCGGCCAGCAGCACGGAAGCCCTAAAGACTCGCATCAAGGACCTGGGAGTGTACTTTGAACAACACCCCGAGGTCTTTGAGAAACGCCTATTCGGAAACCTCGTCTACACTCTCGGCAGCCGACGGTCTCATCTCCCATATCGCCTGGCATTATCCGCTACGTCGCAGGATAATCTCGGCATCCAGTTGGCCCAAAGACAAGCCAGCCCGTCCCGAGTAACAGGGTCCCCCAGCATCGGCTTCGTGTTCACGGGGCAGGGAGCCCAGTGGGCGCAAATGGGCCTTCCATTGATGGACGTGTATCCCATCGTGGCATCCGTGATGGAGGCTGCCGATGCCTGCTTGCGCAAGCTGGGTGCGAGCTTCTCCCTCCTCGAAGAAATGCGCAAGGGCGAGGAGTCCTCCCAGATAAATGCACCGCATATCAGCCAGCCAGCATGCACGGCTTTGCAGGTTGCTCTCACTACGCTGCTCGGGTCTTGGGGCATCCATCCGGCGGCCGTCGTCGGCCACAGTTCTGGCGAGATTGCTGCTGCCTTTGCGGCGGGAGCCTTCAATCTAGAATCCACCATGGCGTTGGCGTACCATCGTGGACAGGCAACTCTTACGCTCAAGGAGAAGCATCCATCGTTGAAAGGTGCAATGCTTGCTGTGGGCATCGGTGAGGAGACTGTCCGGCCAATGCTTCAGCTGCTTCGTGCGGGATATGCTACGATAGCCTGTGTTAACAGCCCATCAAGCGTCACGGTCTCCGGAGACGAGGAGGCAGTGGTGGAGCTCGAGCAGATTCTCCAGGAGAGACAACTCTTCTGTAGAAGGCTCAAGGTCGATGTAGCATATCACTCCTCCCACATGAAACGGGTGTCCAGTGAGTACCTGCAGGCCATTCAATGCATCCACCCTTCTACTGTGCAAAGCGCAACCTTCTTTTCCTCTGTCAGTGGCTCTCGGACTGAGACCACGACGCTCAACCCGGCGTACTGGATAGCGAATCTCACCTCGACCGTACTGTTCCCACACGCTCTGGGGGAAATGTGCTCGGGTGATGAGCGGCCACAGTTGCTGATAGAAATCGGCCCTCACTCAGCGCTCAAGGGACCGGTTCTTGATACATTGAAGTCTCTAGGGCAGAGCATCCCCTACGCTTCTGCGCTAATCCGCAAGCAAGACCCAACGGAGTGCGTGTTGAACGTCGCAGCTACCGCGTACATGAGGGGATTGACTCTTAACATGAACCCAATCAACTTCCCACGGACCGGCGCTGCCTTGCAGTCCGTCCTTACTGATCTGCCTCCTTATCCCTGGCAGCATGGCACACGCTTCTGGCATGAGCCACGAATTGTGCAGAAGCACAGACTGCGCGATGGCAGGAGGCACGACGTATTGGGGCTCATCGCCAACTATTCAAACGATCTCGAGCCGACGTGGCGGAATATAGTCCATCTGGACGAGGTACCCTGGCTCCGTGATCATTGTATGCAGGGCATGCCTGTCTTCCCTATTGCCGGCTACGTAAGTCACGGATCTATCTCTATTCAACCCCTACTCGCCATGTTCACTTGCTGATAATCCTTCCAGTTATCCATGGCCCTGGAAGCGTCCAGTCGACACGCCAGACAACGTCGTCTTGCCTTCTCCCGGTTTGAGCTGCGAGAGGTGATGGTTGTGGCAGCGCTGGTCCTGAGCCATGACTCAGGCGTCGAAGTCACCACCTCCTTGCGACCGCATGCTGAAGGTCTGCGAGGATACTCGAGCACCTGGGAGGAATTTAGAATCTGCTCCTGGGAAGCACATCGTGGCTGGACTGAACACTGTCGGGGTCTCATTCGCGTTGTGGACGAGAAGGGCGGAGCTCCATGGGAGGAGTCTGAGGTCAAACTTGGTCGCCGGGAATCGCAGATCTCAGCCATAAGAACAGCTGCTACTCAAAAGATTGACTCTTCCACGCTCTACCAGGCCTTGGAGGCGCTGGGAGCCGGGTACGGACCGACATTCCGGGGAATGGAGGATTGCTTCGCAGATGCCCGCCATAGCTACGCTGGTATCTACGTGCAAGACACCAAGAGTGTAATGCCAAAGGGTATTGAGTCTGGGTTAAGCCATCACCCGGCGTTTATAGATGCTTTTATCCACCTCGTCTGGCCGATTCTGGGACCGGGACGTGTAGAGCAGGGATCCCTCTACATGCCCACTTCCATCCAGCACGCTGTCATCAGCTGCAAAATGCCTACCTCTCCTGGTGAACACATGCTGGGATACTGCACGTCCAGACAAGACCAAGTTGTCGCGGAGCCCGTCCACTTCGACCTGTTTGGGACGGCCCAGGACTCGGGCGATCTCCTTCTTGCTCTTGACAACCTGGTTATGAGCCCTGTTAACCGCTCGGAAACCGGACCAGAGCAGCAACAACGGAAGCTGTGCTACAAGGTCGAGTGGCAGCCATTCCTTATGTCGACGGTGACGACCAATGGCCATTCTGAATCCATGAATGGACATGTTGAGGCTGTAAATGGGCGCTCGGAGACGACGAATGGATACACCAAGACAAACGGCACCACTGTCGTCCATGATGCTGCTGGCAACGGCAATGCGAGCATCCTTACAAATGGATCGAGCAAGCGGCCGCTTGATCTTAACGTCGCCGTGTTTGGCAAACGTAACGAAGTGACGGATGCTCTTTGCAGGACCCTTGCAGCTGCTATAGCCCCTGATCCCTTGATATGCGATTTGGAGGATCTTGACGGCGCAGGGAAGAATGTGATTATATTGGAATCAGGCACACGATCACTCCGCCATATGGATCCTTCCTTGCTCGCCCGGCTGAAGAATGTCCTGCTGAGCGCATCTAAGATCCTATGGGTCTATCGTACCGATGTTCCGGATTCCCAGATGAGCGTTGGATTAGCACGTTCCGTGAGGTCTGAAACCGTCGCCCACGTTGCTTTGTTAGGGCTAGATCCCTTGCATCGCGAGCAGAGTACAGCCGCATTGATCGATGTGATCGGCGCCATGTACCCTAAGCCAGGGGTTCCGGCATGCGAAGAATTCGAATTCAAAATGCAGGACTCTCGCCTGATGATCCCCCGCGTAGTGGAAGACACCGTGGTCGACACGTTTGTCGGAAATGAGACCATTGAAGCAGCCATATTCCCCCAAAGATATGTCCAGCCTGGCCGGCGGCTTAAAATCCAAGTCGGCACAGTTGGCCAGCTAGACACGCTCTTCTTCGTGGATGATCTTCCGCCTGCTCTAGGCCCCGACGAGGTCGAGATTCAGGTCAAGGCCACCGGTGTGAACTTCAAAGACGTCGTCGTGGCAATGGGCCAGCTATCTCAGCCATACATCGGCATCGAATGCAGCGGAGTGGTCTCATCGGTAGGACAGAACGTCAAGCATGTCCGCGTAGGGCAACGGGTGATGGCGATGCCTGAAGGCGCGTACTCGACCTACGCACGATGCCGGGAGACCAGCGTCTACCCCATCCCAGCAGACCTCTCCTTCGAGGAAGCCGCCTCGATCCCGGTTGTTTTCTGCACTGCCTACTACGGGCTTTTCGATCTGGCTAATCTGCAGTCGGGAGAGAGAGTCCTCATCCATGCCGGAGCAGGAGGAGTCGGCCAGGCGGCCATCATGCTCGCACGGCTCGTCGGTGCAGACGTCTTCGTGACCGTTGGCAGCTCGGAGAAGAGGTCATTCCTGATGCAGCACTATTCCCTCCCCGCGAACCGCATCCTATACAGCCGGGATACCTCCTTCGCATCTGCAGTAAGAGCCTTGACCGAGGGCGAGGGCGTCGACGTCGTCCTGAACTCCCTGGCGGGTGATCTGCTACGCGAGAGCTGGAACTGTCTTGCGCCGTTCGGCCGGTTTATTGAAATTGGAAAAGCAGATATCACGAAGAATACGCGCCTGGAAATGCTGCAGTTCGAGAATAACGTCGCATTTGCATCCGTCGACCTCACCAAGGTCGCGCAGAAACGACCCAAGCTAATGCGACGGCTTCTGAGCGACGTCAGTCGCTTGATCACTGATGGATCGGTGCGCCCGATCTCCCCTGTTACGGTTTATCCGATTTCTGAAATTCAGCTGGCGTTCCGGACATTGCAAGCAGGCAAGAATACTGGTAAAATCGTGGTTGTTCCCCGTGAGGGCTGTGAAGTCAAGGTAAATTCGTTCATTCTTTTGGGCTTTCATGGTCATTTAATCCGACTAACCTTCCAAGGCCGTTGCTCCTAAGACCCCAGTCCGTCTGCTACAGGAACATGGTACCTACATCCTAATCGGGGGTACTGGAGGACTTGGTCGGGCCATTGCTAGATGGATGGCATCGCGTGGAGCCAAGCATATTGTGCTTGTCTCCAGGAGCGGAGCATCTACCGACGATGTGAAGACGACAATCCGCGACCTTGAGCTCCTGGGGACCCAGGTGATTGTCGAAGCGTGCGATGTTGGCAGCATGGAATCCGTCACTAGACTTGTTAAGGAACAATTGAAGGACCTGCCTCCAGTCAGAGGTATCATACATGGGGCCATGGTCCTCCGGGTACGATATTCTTCCTCAGCGCCTTGTGAAATACAGAGAAGTCGAGCTAATGCTTTGCAGGATGCCTTGTTTGAAAACCTGGCCGCGGACGACTTCGAGGCTGTAACCCGATGCAAAGTGGACGGTGCCTGGAACCTCCATCTCGCGCTGTCCGAATCACCCCTGGACTTTTTTATTGCTCTCTCCTCCGTCGCAGGAATTGTTGGCAACCGTGGACAATCCGCGTACGCAGCTGCGAATGCCTTCCTGGACGGCTTCATGGCCTATCGACGCTCATTGAACCTCTGTGGTGTATCGATTGACCTGGCAGCGATTGCAGATGCCGGATATCTAGCAGACAGCGACCCGGCTCGCCGACAAGAAGTGCTGAAGAACATCGGCAGCCAGGCATTGAACAGCGTGGACGTATTTGCGCTCTTGGCTGCTGCAATTTCTGGCAAGCTGGACGATTCCTGCAACGGACAATGCATCACCGGGCTGAGCGTGGAAGACACTACTGCTGAACCCTTCTGGATCCACGATCCACGATTCGCAACTCTCAGGACCGCAGCACAAGCCGGTCTGGGAGGCGTAGGGTCGGACAGCAGGCAGGCTTCCCTGCGGACATTGCTGGCGACTGCATCCTCTCGGGAGATTGCCCTGGACTGCTTGCAGGAGGCGCTTGTCGTCAAGTTGGCTGACGTGCTTACCATAACTCCGGATGATATCGGCGATGGTGTATCGATCTCATCGCTTGGTCTTGACTCCCTCGTGGCCATTGAGATCCGGAATTGGATTGCGCGGGAGACTGACGCCAATGTCCAGGTGCTTGAGCTGCTGTCTGGTAAGAATATCAAGCATCTTGCCGAGATGGTGTTGGCCAAGTCAAAGCTGGCACAGCAGTTAGGATAGAACTACGAAGTTGTATAAAGGATGAGAATGTTGATTACGACGGAACTTCTACTTGGTGTATTGCAATAGGATGGTCACAGTATAGTAATTAATGAAGCATCTCTACTTGCGTATTGCAGTGTGCATGCAGCTCTAAGAATCCTCGTAAACAGTCCCATCCTCCCTGATGAGAAAAATACCCTGGTAACAGTCTTGGGGCATCACGGCCTCCTCCGAATCCAACGGTCATTTTACCTTTGTCCGTCTTGTCATCATCGGCACTGCTCTCTGCAGAATCAGCTTGAATCTCACGACACAACGCGGCAACCATCAAGGCAACAACCCTAGGCTCGAAACGCGGAGAAGCAGGACAACGAGTCGGAGGAGCCTCAAAGGCAAGGAAAGCCTCTGTATGCTTCTTCGTCGAGGACGCCCATCGCCCTGGAAATAATTCATGCGCGTTTGGACTCCAAACGTGCTCCCGTCTCTGAGAAGCCGCGACATCGGCGACTATTCTCGATGCTATGTATGGAGGCGGTTTCATGAACGTCCACGCGCGCAGGACCTGCGGAAGAGGCGGGTGAAGACGCAGCGCTTCGCTATAAGATCTTCAATAAGGATATCTCCTTCGTACATCTCCAGGCTGAACTGCTCTGTTTTCGGGTTATGGAGGAAATCGACAAGCGCATCCTGCCACTTTGGATGCTGGGTACCAGAGACGAAACGGATCTCGAGGAAAGTTGCAAGAGCAGCGCGCCAAAAGGCTCATAGGCCGCTGGATTACGTTGAATGGTGTCTCTCGTCGCTCGCCAATTGGGGCGTTTGGGATCACGGCCCAAATGGCACGTTGGAGTTCGAGGTTTTCGGGTAATCTCTTTATCATATTAAAACCTCGCGTTGATTTCAGTGCGTTGCTGATAGCTTCGACGAGTTTTCTTAGATCCGAGTCGGAGTACGTATCCGGTTCAACGTCGCCGAATACATGGAGGATGAGCTCTAGCGTGATCGCTTGGATTGTTGCCGTTAGATTGAGATGGTTTGATTCATTGCTCTGCTGTCTTCTGGTGGGACCTTGTGAGACTGGAAGCACGCATGTATTTGATCCTGATTGAACCGAGCCAGATCCCTCCACTGCTCCATCACTGAGGTCCATCGTATCCTGCAGCTCGAGAACGCACCGATCCGCGTATTCCTGGAAATCGGTGTTGAAGGGATTCTCGATGCGAAAGGCCAGATCAGCGTGTCCGTACGGTGTGGTTCTCGTCAGGAGAGGGCTCGGGTTCCAATTCCTTCTCCCATATGCACGGTATCCGGCGAGGAATTTACGAATGGCGCATGGTTTGGTAATATGAGGCCAGAGTTGTCCAAGGGTAGGCAATGGCTTCAGGGGCTTCTTCCGGCGCTGTTTGGGCACTGGCTGGGTTCTAGGGGTTGGGGAAAGCGTAATATCAGGATAGCTATGACTAGCCACGATAGGGCTATGGTGATGATTAGTATTGGAAGCAGCATTCGATATGATTCTCTGAGATTGTCCTTAGGTTAGTGAATTGAAGGGACTGGGATTGTTATGAGGAGGTTTAGGGCATGTCGTATCAACCCTTGAATCGGGAATCAATCTGGAGCTGAGTGAGAGAGATAGAACGCTCAAGCAGGTGAATAGGTATATATAACTGAGGACGAGCATTGTAGTATATGCTCCATTGTTACGATGTCTCTGGAGGCAAAGCTGCAGAAGTCATCTTCCTTTAAGACAGAATCAAAGCACATCGGTTGATTCCGAGCAGCGAACAGTAAGGGATAAAGACAAAGCCGAAGATTGACGACATCCAGCATCTTCACGGTCTGCTGCAAATTATAATTAATTGATGCTTGCTAATCATCTGCGGGGTATGCCGTTAACCGCACTTCGTTTGATTCTGCTGTAGACACAACCAACGAAGAACATCCATCCATCAAGCACTCTCTTCACATCGGTTGTCTGAAGATGACTGGCAAGGTCAAGGTCGCCATCCTGGACGACTACCAGGGCATCGCGCTCTCTCATTTCGCCCATCTGCAGTCGCGCGTCGAAATATCCAGTTTCCCAGAGACTCTGGACCCGCGCGATCCCTCGCAGCAGAAAGAGTTAATTCTCCGGTTGCAGCCATTCGATGTCATCCTGACCATGCGTGAACGAACACCATTCTCAAGCGAGACTATCGCCGCACTGCCGAATCTGAAGCTGCTTCTGACGACGGGAACGAGAAACCTGTCACTGGATTTACCCGCATTCTCAACCCGCGGGATCCCCGTAGCCGGTACGGTGGGGAGTCCCCAGGCTGTGGGCTCTACGGTGGAACATACCTGGGCGTTGATCCTGGACCTTGCGAAACATGTCGCGCGGGACGACGCAGCCATTAAACATGGCGGCTGGCAAGGGTCCCTGGGGATCAGTGTCTCGGGCAAAACGCTGGGACTACTGGGCCTGGGCAAGCTGGGGTCACAGGTAGGCAGGATCGCAGTGCTGGCATTTCACATGAAAGTCATCGCGTGGTCGGCGAACCTGACGCAGGAGAAAGCCGACGAACAAGCTTTTGCCCAAGGCTTGCCTGCCGGTAGTTTCGTCGTTGTGCCGTCCAAGTTGGATTTCTTCCGGTGGGCTGACATTGTGAGCATACACAATGTCCTGTCTGATCGCAGTAGGGGGATCGTCGGTGTAGAGGAACTGGCTGCTCTCAAGCCAACGGCATTGCTTGTCAATACCTCTCGCGGACCGCTGATCGATGAAGCGGCACTCCTGGAGGCCCTGCGTAAGGGACGCATTCGCGGCGCGGCTCTGGATGTCTTTGACACGGAGCCTCTACCTGCAGGCAGTCCGTGGCGGACGACGGCCTGGGGGACAGAAGGCCGTAGCGAAGTGTTACTGACGCCGCATACGGGGTATGCGCAGGAAGAGGTCCTGCACAGCTGGTACGATGAAGAGGCGGAGAACCTGAGACGATGGCTAGACGGAGAGGAGCTGCAGTGGAAGATGAACTAGTGCATGGGGTGCTGGCAGGATTGCGTTTGCATGAATCAGTCAACATGCAAGTAATCCTGCAGATGCAAAGTAAATCCTGCGTGGGACAATGCATGTGGTGGACCGTCGTGTCACTGTGCTATTCGCAAACAAAAGTATAGACTGAAGTCAATTCGAGTTAGATTCGACGGCCTTTCTTTGTTTATCCGAGCTATGAAAGCTACATGGCATGAGCTGTACAGCAGTCCCTGCAGCCCTAATCTCTGTCCAACGATGTATGTATCGTAGTAACTCTTACTACATCATTGGGAAGAGAAGGCCATGGCGGAATTGATGCTAGAAATCTCCTCTGTGTATGGAGTACTCCGTAAATCCTCCCTCGTTAAGCGATGCATTTGTCCGTTCTAGGAAATATGCCATACTACATATTATTAGCCTGCATCCATCTGCCCGATCTAATGCCCGACAGCAGTTGGCTTGCATGTGCCTGGGGTCAACCAACCCCATTCGACAGCCAGCAGCAAAATCTGCAGCAAAAACGGGGCTCAATATACGTAGTGGGGACGAGCGGCCTAATCTTCATTGTCCGGAGGCAGCAATCGAGAACCGATAACCTCGGATGAGTTTTCTGGTGCCTGGATTCTTTCTTGGTCCTGGAAAACACACGATTGGCATTGCTCGTATGTTTTCATATGTATGGCCTGCTTTTGGGGCTCTCTGAATCAATCACACAATCGATTCGTAACGTGTCCATAGGCATACGGACCACGGAGGACGTTGCAGCGACAGAGCAAGAGGACCGATACCGAGGCTGGAGAGCTGCCGTCCGGTGTGGGGGAAACAGCTCACATTATTGTGCTGGACTTTGCAGCAACGAAAGAGCCAAGACGGACACTCCACAATAGCGTTTCTTCTTCCGGACCGCGGTGACGCTGCACTGGGACAACCAGGATTTCCTTGTCCCCGCGACTGAGACCTGCAGGGCCCCTCGGCACAATGGAAGGCATTGGAATATGATTGAAAGGACGAGGAACATGGTCCTGCAACACGCAATTGACTCCCGCAGGTAACCATGCGAGGCTTTCCCCACGCTGGGGGGGAATGTGGTGTATAAATAGACGCATTCTGGATGCGAGAAACGGGGAAGGATGATTCGGTTCGTGTGAATAATTCCCAAGGAACCGCGAGCTTTGCAACGTCTTCGAAGTGACTCCCATCCCAACCTTCCAATCCTTACTTCCGCAGTCCCCAACGCAGCATCAACAATATGGCCCCCGCTATCACAGAGACAGCTCCCGCTGCGCAACCCGCCTCCCTCACTACCCCTCCTCCCACCCATCCCGATAGACTGTATGTCAACTACAGCACGAAACAATTCGGCAGCGGTGCCATTTCCCTAATCGACCTGCCCGCAGGCGCCCTCTTCGCCAAGATCACCACAGCCACGCCAGCAAAGAAAGCGTACACATCGGTGCAAACAGGACCCAACTCGCACATCGAGCTGAACTCGGACCTGGTCTTCTGCAACCATTCCTGCGACCCTTCTCTCGTTTTCGACATGGGCAAGATGGAAGTGCGTGTTGTGGACAACCGGCCGTTGAAAAAAGGTGACGCCCTCACATTCTTCTACCCGAGCTCGGAATGGGAGATGGATCAGCCCTTCAACTGCAACTGCGGCGCTGGGGACAAGGTCTGCAGAGGATGGATTTCCGGTGCCAAGAACATGTCCAAGGAGGAATTGCAGGGATACTGGCTGAATGACCACATTGTGGCTTTGTTGAAGGAGCGGAAGTGAGCGGTAGATGAGACGATAAGTCAATGTTGGAACTGGATTGATTGGGAATCCTGAATTCGCCGTCCTGACTCTCCTTGAGTCTGTGAACGAGACATGCAGGAGGAGCTCGACTAGCAGACGCGTCGAAAGGGAAGGACGCGTAGAACCCTGTCCACCCCAGGGATTTTGCTTCTTCAGATATACCACTCCCGGATATTATGGGAAAAGAAAAGAAAAGAAAAGAAGAGAAAAGATGATGATTCAAAGAGGAAACAAATGAAAAACAATCTCATTTCTAGCCACTGTCCTGCTGGTTGTACTTGATGCATATGATGCAACTCATAGATGCTCTCCATTTCTCTTCCAGCGAAGTTTCATTAGATTTGATAAACTCAGTCGGAAGAACACATATCTAGTCGTATTTATCATTCCGATCTAATACCAAGATGCAGTCCATATTCTATATTGATAGACGAATAGCATCATCTTTCCCAATCCGGACTGGTGTACACGTGATATTCCAATCATTTTCTGGCTTCACCTCTTTTCTTCTTCGAACAAACTTCTGTCTCGGCACTACTCATCCTCCAGGCCTGCTCGAGGGGCCCTACAATGCCAAGCAACAAACCGCGTTTGCAGCTGGCCCTCTATGCCCGCCCCAAACACCCCGATAGTCCCCACTACGCCCTCTTGATCACCCCCAAGATAACAGGCCAGTATACTAGTACTACAACTCTGCCAGCCACAAAGTTCCACGTCAAAAACACCCTGCAGAATATCGACTGCCAGCTCTCACAACCCTGGAGATTCGAGCGGATTCCCCTGTCCGATCTCTCCCGGGATCCACGACTTCTCGCCTGTTTCGTGATCGGGAAAATTGCCCCCAGAGCCATCGAAGCGGTTGAGAATATTATCGCACAGGTTCCGGTGTACCAAATTGATGATCCGGACCAGGCGAAGGCGCAGAGCTTTAATTGCTGTACTTGGGTGGAAGACGTGTTGACTCAACTGCGCGGTTCCGGCCATGTCGCTCGGCTAATGGACATGGACTGGCAGACTGTTCAAAAGGAGGCGCTGGCATACGTGGTGAGCAAGAGAAGGGAAGGCAGATGGGACGCTGGCAGATGTGCGGATGACGTTCCTGTAATGGATCTGTTGACGGGGACAGAGCTTGTCCCTTGAGGCAAGATTTACCGTCTCCTTTGAGAGACGTCTTTAATGTTTAATTGATATACCTTTTATTGCCAGCGTTTTTTCAGAATTTCCATTTCGGGCAGTTATGAGGCTCTGCTGGGGTCCCTTGGGCAAGACCGGATTGGCCACAGAGTACGTTGTTTGCTTGATGCATCAGATGTACGTTATGCATGTCATTCCAGACTGCCGTGCCCAGAATTCAGTATATGTGGTTGGTGAGAAGGTGAGAAGGTGCCAATTTGATCACAGCTGACGTTTAGGGGACATCTGTCTTTGTCTTGACGGGATCATCTCTATGTTATGGTATTGATACCAGAGTTATTTTTGTGAAGAATGCTTCGAAATTCAGACACGCAGTAACCTAACCTTACATGAATACTTAATGAAAAGGACACATTAAAGACTTACCTCCGCATGCCATTGGATACTATCATTTACATGAACTCTTCTCTTCCCAGTTAAACGGCAGTAGTATGAGTACATACTCATTGACAATCCCATTCAAAAGCCAGGGTCGTGCAAGAATAGTAATCTCCTGGATGCGTGGCCTCTTATTCTGTCCGAAAGGATTGTTGAGGCTGCAGACAAATCTCTCGGCCTGACATCTCCGCTTAGAATCCTGTTTTGAATGGTGATTGTTCAGGGCTATGACCAGATTATTCTATATGCGTGGAACAGACTGCCTAGGCTGTACCAGAAGGGTTAAAATGTACTATATTTTTCTTCCCCTTGATACATGAATAGATACTCAGTAATGAAAATCCTACCTTGTAAAGATAAGACAAGCAACAACAGAACGCTCATCATTGAAGCCGATAAGGTGGCGGCCAAATCCCATTCGGTAGAGCATCAGAAAAGTGTCGGTTATTGATGTCATTGGCTAACTTGCGAAGGTTCTCTCTCCAGCTCAGGGCCATGTAAATACGGAAAAGTTGCCTTGTGTCAAGCGTGCGAGCAACGCTGGGGCGATATGCTTGATATCGATCTTGACAGGGTCACCAGTATCGGCTGGCTCCCACAGCCAAAGGGCCATTCGTTCGTAGGCCAGCGGGGAACTTGTCTTGAGAAGTGAACCGGCTCTTCAGCTCGCTGACTGGAGTTACATCGTCCACCCAGTATAAACCTAGTATTGATCACTTCTTTCAAAGGTGAGGCCCTGTAAGTCAACGAGTGGTGAACCGCAGTCAGGATCCGCTGCTTGTATGATTCCCACTGCACCATATCCTCATCAGCTGTTCCTCCAACCCTGTGGCCTCCTTCAATGCGAGGATATCAGGGTGGTGAATGGTTTTGTCCACCAAGCCTGACATGGCCAGCCGCACGACAAACGGCCATCCTTTTCCTCTCAAGGGTGACGGTTTGTGATTGTTCTGCATCAGTGGGGGAGACGGGGATCATTGATGGCGCGTTGATAGAGGGCCAGCATAGCTCATCGAGTGAGGCGTTCTATCTAGAAGTTCGATGGGAATAGGAAATTGGATGTCAGTAGATGGATTTCTTTTTTTGGATGAAGAGTAAGAGAAATGCAAAGACGCTGCAAGGTTGAACTGGTTGGCGTCCTCGTCATCACGTGGTCTTCTGGTTCTTTACAGGAGACCAAGTCCCGATCTCTATAAACATATATACATATACACAGACTATATTCAAAAGTGCCGTTACAAATTACCACCCCTTCCCTGGACATTCGCCCAGATGTCCACCATGGCAACCAAAGTACTAACAACCGTGGTTACTCCAATCGCCAGACTGCTCACGGGAATCCAACCGAGAAAGGAACCCGGAATGAGAAGATCGCAGCTATCAACGACAAGACGTCTTGCCTGCGGCGATACAGACCATGCAGCAGTCTTTGACTGTGTATTTGTCCCTGTTTCCATTTTACCAGTTTCATTAGACGAAGATGACTTGGATTGAGGCTTTTCTGTTTCCCCATTACTCTCGTTCTTTGTCTCCGCGGTTTCTGGGACAGTACCAGAGAGCAAGGGAGACAGAAGGATCCATAACCCGCCCATGATGGAGAGCAAGATACCGTAGAACCAGAACCGGTTCGCGTGGAGAAGGATATCCTTCGTCCAGGTCGGCGTATAGAGCTTCATCGCATGTAGCTATGCCAGGTTAGCACATCCTTCTCTCTCATGGTGAGAAAATGAAAGATAAAAGCGCAGTAATCACAATGGTAAAATCCTCCAAGAGAAAATACATCCCCAGACAAGTCCATTTCATCGAGTCGATCGTCCTCGTCACCATACCGGTAGAGGGTCCAGATCCCAGAAGCACATACACACGACTGAAACAGTCTATGAAGTTGAAGAAACGGAAGTATCTCCTTGCTGTATATTGTCAGATAAGTACAGTAAAATTCCTTAAAAAAAGAACTCACCAACAGAAACATCCCCCCTAGCCCTCCACAACCGCCCGGCCAACTCATCATCGACCCCAATTTCAATCGCGGCCCCTATCTGCAGAAAGGCCTGTAAGAGGCGCAGAGATTTCTCCAATCCAGGATTCGACTGCATGAATTTGATCCATCGCTTTAGGAGGGGTATATCCATTTCCTGCTGCTTCTGCTTCTGCTCCTGTTCTTGTTGGTGCACCTTTTGGGATGTGTCTGCCATTGATTCAATTTGCCCGATCTGTTCTTTGACAACTATTTCATCAGATATTAAAAGGTAATGGATATTAGGGCCAAAAAGACATGTGAATACATATGGCGACAGATCAATACATGAAAACAGCTGAATTGATCGAGTTCGGTAGGAGGGGCACACTCACCTGTGAAGATGTTATTCGGATTGCGAATTTCCACTGATCGTGCCATATCAGCACGGATATCAGCAATGCAGATCGATTCAACAATTCTACGCAGTGAAAATCCCATGCACAGTTGTCCGTTCGGGAGTGGAGACCAATTACATCCACTTCTTGAATCATTAGTCGCATATCATACGGACGGTCATATGGGTGATAATGTAGCTATTCAACGTGAATCGATTACCATCCTGGATTGACGCCTCTACAAACATAGCATCACCGCCCTGTCCCTCCAGAAATATCCTGGCCCAGCCTGTATCCTCCGACTTTCTCCCACTCGACCTTCTGTCGCGTAACGGGCAATTGCCTGCGCAGACCCTTGAACGCTCCCTCTGCCATGTTTACGAACGCACGGTTGAGATTCTCCTGGTAGTCTCGCTCCGCAGCAGCAATTCGGGAGATGATGGCCTCGGCGGAAATAGAGGGAATGGAGATTTCGACCGGCTTGGTCGCATTCATTGCTACATTGCCATCTTCGTAGTAGTGGACGTCAACTTTGATATTGCCAGTCACGGTGGTAGATGATGAAGAAACAGGGAATTGATAGGTAGCGCGGAATCGGCCATTCCTGCAAGTATCCCATGCCAATTAGCTACCGGCCAGAAAGAAACGATCCACAGAGCGATGTGGCAACAAACCAGAAGTTGTTTGGTGAGTATTTATTCGCAACCACCACAAGGGCCACAGCGGAATCGTTCTCGATCGAATACACACCATAGGAGGAAGAGGGGTAGTGTTCACGGACATGCGCACCGAGGGCTTTGAGAAGGGATTTGCTGAGGAAGTCAGCACCAGACGGTCAGCAGTAGGCGAGTCACTCACATCAAATCTGCATTCTGCGAGTCCAATGGATACGACTGCACAGAAGATGCTCTCTACCGAAGACTGTCAGAAGATGTCCCAGGAAATAAACAACAAAGGTTGTACGGCATACCTGCGTGACATGATCAAACACAAACGATGTATGGCTCTCAGAATCATAGTACCTCTCTTCATCCACCTTATTGTATTCGCTAACGATGACCTGAACAAGCCAAGCCACGTCAGCGACTACCTCAACCTCAACCTCAACAACCATGGAACAACCGCAGTTCAATCGATAGAACCGGGACACATTGTAAAAGCGGAACAAACCTCCTGACTACTACCGGGAAGCTTCACTGTCACCAACTGCGTCTCATTATACCGTTGAAATGCGGGCACAAGCGATGGAATGATATCGGGGCCGTCGGACGTAAGGGTCTTGACATCTGCAATTGCGGAATCGACCCGTCAGCGATGGTTCTAGAGAAATAGAGAAACCCCATGGCTGCATCATATTAAATGCACAAGAATCAATGGCAGCGCATGTGGCACAAGGCGTCCGCGTTCGAACCGATCGAACTAGAACAGGGGAAATGCGGGGGGGAGGATAAGCATACCAACAACGACCTCTTCGAGCTAAAATCACGGCAACATTAGCGTCCCCATAGAGTATCAAATATATAAAGGAAAAAATAAAATCATTGAAGCGAAAATCCAATCCGATAAGACCAGATTTCGCTCAATTGAAGTGAACGGAGCTCAAACTGGAGGAAGCATACCTCGCCGGGCGGGGCACCCTCAATAAAGGAGGATGCGATGTCGACGACTGTAGACATGGCGGAGAACAGTGTCACGCAGTCCACTGGGGTGTATAGATGGTAAACTGGAGAAATCAGTAAATAAAAACGAGCGTGAGCAATGAAGAAGAGGAGGTGATCGTGTTGGGTAGAATGCACATCCTCCACTGACGCTGTCTCTCCACTCCTCGTAAGCGCCACAAGCGCCGCATTACATACCATTACATACCATTACAGATGCTCCATCCTGTTGAATTCATTGGAAAGGCATTCGATTGAACCGAAAATGTGATCTTTATATGCTAGACAGTAGGCAAATTTCAGTCCGATTGAGAACCTATCAGAATCCTAAGAATATCCCAGCGCCTTGTATAAAGAATGTACTGAGAACAAAGCCAGCAACCAAGAACTCCGATCGCATCCTGTTCAAAAGAGAGAGAAGACAGCAGATAAGTGCTTTGTACGCCGCCCGAAACGCAGTATGCCCACTGGTTGCTATATAAATAAGGACAAAGAATGAGGAAAACACAGAATCCCAAGCAGCATCGTAGCGAGATCATGAACCCCAGCAGGGATCGGTTATTCAATACTCATATTCATAAACCCATCACTAGTCTCAGTCATTCCCTGTAGTCCAACCCGCTTCAGTGTGCCCGAATGGGGTGCACTACCCCGGCCGCCATTCTCGTGACTGCCAGGACGTTCCGGGAAAAGAGGTCCAAGGGCCGACTTGGGCGGTGGGCCCCAAATGTTATTATTATTATTGGCGTCTTTGACTACCGGTGACTGGGGAAAGATTGGACTGCTCTGGGCGCTCATGCTAGGAGACACTGCTCTCCGCTTCAAGATATTTGGGTCAAGATCATCTTCTCGACGCCGCTTCCTCGTTTGCGCCATGTTGGCAGTATACACGGAAGAAGTCTGCGAAGGGGGGCGATCCCATGGCTTTGGAACATCGATTGTCGTCGACGGCGTCATATCCATGGCGTTGTCGTCCTCTGAAACCGATGAGGGGTGAGTACTGCGTGCAGGTGGTGGGGGTGTGCGATAGCGACCATCAAAGGAGTCCCAGAAGTTCGGTCCGGCCGAGTTTCTGACAGCCTGGCTGTTGAAGCTATTTTCGGTTGGGATAGTAGCTTGAGACTGTGTCGATGCATTTTCAGCATCCTCGATTGCCGCAGAAGGGCACGAGGGCTCGATGGATGGGGAGGCATCCAGGGTTCGCGGCTCTGGAGGAACGCTCGGTTCGCTCTCACGAACCTGGCGAATGACCTCTGCTTCACGTTTTGCTTCGCTATCAATGGGGGCGGCTTCTTCGAAAAGAGCCGCTTGGATCCGTGCAAACCCTTTTGTTTTGGGCTGTGTTGAATTTTCCATCAGCTTCAACTCCATGAGATGACTTCTATCTAAGCAACGAAGTCCCACTCACCAGTAAACTGCTACGCCGAGTCACTGCCCGTCGAATAACCCCAAGCGGCCCACTACCGGGGCTCGACGTGGCCGCAGGGCTACGACCGCGCCCAAAGCGATTCTCTCCGTCATCACTTATATCCGATAAACGCAAGTCACCCGTGCCTAGACTGAGGCTCTCCCGTCGCGGCGGCTGGAAACCGCCTTTCGAAGTGAAATACCCCCCGTTCGAGCCCTCGATGCTTTTAATCACGGGTGGTGAAAGGGGCACTGGACTGGGCTTTGAACTGTTACCACTGCCGCTGCTGGAACTGTGTCTACTTCGATTTTTACCAAGGCGAGCGCGTTGGAAACTCATCAGACTTGCCGCTGTTTGAGAATAGCCACCCATCCAGTCATATCCAGGGCTAGGTACATTGCCCGCAGAGAATGGGTTCGGTCCATTTCCAAATTTGCTCGCCTGCGGTGTATTGGTGATCATCATGTCGTCGCGATCACCGATCATGAACTCATCATCATCTTCCTCACTGCTGCTAGTATCGGACTCCATCATGTTGACGCTTGACACCGAACTCGAGATTGCCGTTCGGTCAGCCGGACCCGAGGTCGAAAACGGATGTACAGAACTCGAGCCATGGGAACCACGGCGCTGCGGGATGTTCATGCCCCTACTGGCGATGACCGGGGAAGAATCCGGCGAGGACTCTGCCAGCGTAGAATGATGCAGATTTGTACATGCGCGAGAGAACTCCAGTCCACGTGAACGTCTAGGTAGCACAGATGCAGGCGAGCCGTATATATGGGATGAATCGAGCTTTGGAGAAAGCGGTGCCCGAGTAGCTATGGATGGGGAACCAGCCGTTCTAGCAGGCAGTTGGAGAGATAACGAAGACTGAAATGATGGTCTCTGCGGGGTTACTGAGCTCATGGATGATATCGAACTGTCATCTTTACTCTCTCGCCGGTCAAGGTCCCCGGAGGCAGGCTGCCTTGGAGGCGTGGGTTTCTGGGCGTCAGATAATGAACGCGTCTTTGGCCTGGTCTTTCGGGGCGTCTCGAGGTTGTTACCACTGCTCTTATCCTCCTTGGGCTCTTCTGTAAAACTGGTTTCGCTGGGATTGCCTTGTTCTATCGGTTCGTGCAAGTGCTCGCTTAACTGACTTTGGAATGGGGAGGACAGGTTGCGGGCGAACGTAGACGCAGATGTCGATGTCATATTCGGTATTGTAGTATCTGGATTGAGCACAGTCAAAGGTATCGAATGCTCTTAACGCATGGTGAAGGCGCCTTCTCGCCGGAGAGGCTAGAGTCTCTAATTGAGAATTGAGATGGAGAGGTTGAAGCCACAGTACGCGCTCGCGGGAGATAACAGCAAGAGGGGGTCGTTTACGGGAACACGGGAAGTATGACTCGTATTTCTTCAAACCAATAAACCGGGTAGAGCCCACTAGGAGATGGAATGGACGCGTCTTTCGACCGAGAAGAGTAGCAAATTGAAGCGTTCGCGACGATAGAGGAACCTGGGAGCCTCCTCAGAAATGTGACGTTCGTCCGGCAGAATAGCGCAACTAAGGCGGTGAGACAGAATATCCTCATAGAAATACTTCCAAGGTTGTCTGGCTACTCGAGAAGCTATACAGAAAACGTTCATACTGAGTGATAATTGGGCAGAAATCCTCTTCCTGCCCCAAGTGACCCAAAGAAAACTATGCAAAGATGACCTCCAGCGCCCAAATTGTAACAATTGCATCAACACATGTAACTCCTACACCCTCGAGACAGCGGTAGCCGTAACTCAACACGAAATAGAGGCAGTATGAGAATAAGAAGAGAGAGAGAGGGAGAGGGTATACATGAGCTGAATCATCCAGAGACATGATAGTATATACCTATGCTTATATCCGTTCCAATGGCACATTACGGCTCGTAAACATCAGGCACCATTCATGCCAGGCTCATCGCAGTGCTAATTGGTGCAACATACCATTCCCAGTCGTTGCAACTCGCAGGGTCACGAGAAGATCCCACAGAGGAGCCCTGGAGCATGTCAAGATCTCTAGCTTGCCATACTTTAGCGATGACAGCTCGCGTCCGCGCAACATTTGAAACAGTGGACTCTGCCATCGCTGCCAATGCACGCAAGACAAGTGGCCGTCCATGAATAACCGTCTCCTTGTTCGAATCAGACCATATCTCGTCGTTCAAAGGGTCGAGTTCCACGGCAGCAACAAAGAGCGGCCATGTTATGCCGACTACAGCTCTGCGGTCAAGGAGTTCCGATACGTGTAGCAGAATCGTCCGGACGTAGTCAGTTACCAATGTTGTGGATGGTGATGCACCGTATAGTGCACAGTGAAGATAAAGTACCGCCGCCAGTCGTTTCAGTTCTGCGGCTGTTCTGAGGGTGCTGTCTTCGCAATCATCTGGCTCTTGTACCAGGTTTTCTAGTTTATACGCCAGGGAAGCTGCACGTTGCGAGAATGCCGGTCTGGCTGCGTCGGTCATAAATTGTCTTCTCGTACGACTCATTTCGGTGATAGAAGACAGGATGGATGCTAGCTCTGGACTGCAGCCCATCCACGTGTCGATAATACGTCCGTTCTCTTGCCAGTAGTCGCTTCCAAAAAGCACTTCCTCGCCACAGGCGGTTCGTCCCATGACATCCTGGAACGCAAAGAAGGACTCTGCGAATGCGGAAACAGGGTCCTGTGTCTGGGTAATAGGTGGTAATGAGAGTGTAACGTTTTGTTGTCTCCTAAGCCGAATCAATTCTTTAGCGCCCTTTAGATGGATAGTCCAATGCTGGTCACAATTATCCACAATCTCGCAAAGACAAAGCATCAACATGACGACCAATACTTCGGGGTCCGCAGAGCATGATGGAAATCCTCGGGTAGTCAGGCGTTGGCGAAGATCACGCAAAGCCGACGACTTCAACCGGAGACTAACGGCATGATATGACGGGTTGAACCGAGACCAGTGGCATGCCCCCAAGGCCTGGATGGCCCTAAAGAGGGTTGGCGATGCGGTCAAACAGAAAGGAAGGATGACCGACGCAAATGGGGACGTCGACCTAGAGCTTGCAGTGGTGCGGGGGCATACTTGTTGAAGATAGTAGTCGAACAACTGGATCTGGGGCGACTCTGAGAGATGAGGGAATAAGGGTAACGATTTTCCGGGCCCGGGTAGCTGTAGTTGCAATGGTTGAAAGACGAATATATCATCGTCGACATCAGCAGTCTTGCCCACGAGGGACATCTGCATATCCTGCGCTGAACCAGCGTCGCTGTAGCGAACGATAGCGTTGGGGTCATCGGCCGCAACGGGCATCTGGTGCGGACGCTCGAATGTCGAGACGCTGCTATTGATGAAAACCCAACTCCGAATAGGAGGAAGAGGGCACCATTCCTGCACAGCGGATAAAGGAGCAGGTGAAGATGGAGAGAGGGATTGGCGTCGTCCCCCAGCCTGGGCTTCAGCAACAGGGGAGCGAGACTTGCTCCAGACGCCGGCCCTGCCAAAGGCCTGCCCACGACTCACAAACTCAGATTCCCATTTCAAGATGAGTGGAGACGAACAGACGAGCCCCTTTTCCCGACAGCGGGTGCAGGATGGCTTCCTCTCATCGCAGCGGACCCGACTGAGGCGGCATTCTCTGCAGCCCGTGCGAGTTCGGGTCTTGACAGGACCCACGCGGTCTGCGGCCCTTTTGCGCGGCATCCGACGGGAAAGGGAAGGAGAGAAATGTTACATGGCCCAGCAAATAATTTAAATGGTCTTAGAGATAGCCGCGAGCACCATCGACCTTTCCTGGAGGGGTCGGCGAGACGCAGCTAGTGTTGGGAAGACGACAAGCTCCGGGACGGGAAGCGGCAATAAGGCAGGTCAAAGCGAGGTTTTAGATAGTACTAGCAGCGGGCTGCAGGAGAGAGGTAAGGAAGATATGCAGATGCACCGAGATCAGCGAGGATATCATGACTCCTTTCGCTCTGCCTGTAGCGAAGCCGATGCTTATCAGGTCGTGGAGGAGGAGAGGCGCTCTTGGCGTGGAATCCTTCCAATCAGCGCCGCTGGTTTTCGGGCGGAGAGCCCCAAGATCATGTGATGTCATGTGACAGTGAATTACCATACGGTTACAGAACAACTAACTAGTTATCGTATTTATGCCTGAGTCATACAATCCATGAATCCATGGCGTCATCATTTCATAGGGCAACGACAGCAACAACAACTCATCCTGACTCCTCCACTATTCCCATGTGCTCGGTCCAAAGGTCTGGTTCACCCCCAGCTCCTTCCACGGTGTCCCCAACCCGTCAACCGTCTTGCTGTTGATAGTATTACCCCACCAGGTGAATGTCGCTCCCGGTAACACCAGGCAAAAGAAGATCACAATCGCCGATACTGCCACCCCGGAATCTAGAGCAGCAGACAGCACGTAGTTGTATTTGGCCCACCAATGCGGTCTTCGATCTTTGATGAACTATTTGGCGTTAGCGTCTTGCCAATACATTGTGGCATCCGGGTGGATTCTTCTGCTCACCTTGTTGAAGATCAAACTGACCACAAAAGCTGTCGAGTAGTTGATTCCGGTCTGTGTGATATTGTTAGTCCACGGAGGCACCACAGAAAACAAACAGGTTATCACGTACCGCTGGTGGGATATTGCCCGTGCCTGCAAAGAAAATCGGCCAATGGATGGCATTGAGGAGCCTGTTATTGGGGAATTTCTTCCGCGCAAAGAACGTGATAATCGGTAACAGAGCCCCAATCCAGAACATATGCAGAAGACCGGAATACATCTTGCCGATATTGTACAGTCTCTTCGGTCCAATTGCTCCCCAGAAGATCGAGCTGTTGTAGTTGACTCGTCCTTGGGGGCAGGTGAAGTTGTCCGACTGGTGACTCGAACAGACATCCTTCACATGGCCCAACATCCACAGTACAACGCCATCTTAGACGGTCACCGTTGTCAGTAAACGTACACAGCATGGAAAAGGGTTTCGGAAGAAGAACATACTCTGAGTTAGGGCACCGAGAACGCAGGCTACAAGCTGTGCAGTAAACAGAGTTCGACGTGGAATCTTCATGTAGAGTCCCAACTAAAGAAACGGTCAGAGCAGAGTCGAATAGTAAGACTAGCATCTGGATCATACCTTCATATCTGCACTGTAGATCATTGCTTGACTTAGGCCAGTATACGCGTAGAATTTGAAGATCAGCATGACCAGCGGTTTCCCCTCAAGTACATAGCCGGAAATAATCTCTCCCAGCACTGTCAAGACATTACTGTTCAGGTTCGCCATGGCATAGACAGTGCCAACAGGGATGACATAGAGAGCCGCCAGAGCAAGGGTAAGGAAAAGCCCCCACCAGGGAAGCTGCGTATGCCACACATACTGAGTGACAATTGCGATAACGACTACTATGATCTTGAGATTCAGTTAGCAGAGGGAGTAACTTGACGGGTTCCTTAGAGCTTACCGTCATGATTCCATACCACCACCACGGAGCATCTGGATAGCGGGAGACCAATCTGGCATGGATATCCTTCTTGCCACCACCCTTAAGTGTATTCCAGATATCCTTGCTGTGGTATAGTGCAACATGGACTAATACGCAGCTAAGCACTGCAAAGCCAGTGCCATAAGCTATGGCAAAGGTTACGGGAAGAAAGATAGGGCTATACGCGCGGTATTTTGCCTCATCGAAATTTCCAGTGCCATCTAGGATCTTGGATGAATTGTAGATATTGCCAGTATTGTCGTAGGCATCAGACCCAGTTAACGGGAGATATGCGCTGTAGAAGGTGTTTGTGTAGTACAGAATAGGCGCTGCTACTGCAAAGATGCAGAACCAGCCAGCAAATACATTTGCCTGGGCCCAGAACGGAACAACCAGGGGAGATCCATTGTAGGCAATTTGACTCCAGTCAAATGTAGTAGGCATGTAGCCTAGACCTGTTGACATGCCGAAGAGGTTGTTGACCACCTTGCTATCTGTTTGAATGTCAGCGACGGTGTCTTTTCGCTTGAAATGAACAAACGTAGGACTTACGCGGAGCCGCCCAGCAGATAAATGCGAAAGTGCTCAATCCGGTAAAGATGAATCCAGGGAACCAGTACCAGACGAAACCAGTAATAAAGACGATCAAGAAGAACTTGTACCTGGTGACCTTCCATCCATCAGCAATGGGGTTTGCACCACTGTGAAGCGTTTCAAACAATGCCGCGTTCGCAAGGGTGGACGGCCAGATCATCTGAGGAGGCTCCACGATGTATTTGTAGGCCAGCCCTGCAAGTCCTAGACCAAACAGCTGCATTGTCAAAGATAGTAGGATCTGATAGCCGACCGGAGTGGGCATTTTGAGAAATGCCTTTTGTCCTTGGATGATGGCCATGGCCTGTCATCTTGTCAGTACGTCTGAAGGATGGTTCAACCCGGCAAAGTATAGCTCACCCAGGACTGTCCAAAACTCAGGTTGGACATGATCGTGATCACAGCATGTTCCTTGATGTTGAACTTGTGATCCGGGTTGATGACAAGGTCCCACCGTCCAAATAGACGAAACGTCTTCACCGGCAGTACTTGCGCCAGCAAGCATCCGAAGGGGAAGCTGATCAACTGTGCTACCAACGAAGTGATAGTGACGCTGGGATATCGCATCGAGAAGAACTGGTTGACACCTGTACCGACCTGTACGGAGTAGTTGATACGCATGGTCAGTTGGCAGCTCACCACAATAGCAGAGCGATATTGCATACCAATGTAAAAACGACCCCGAGAAACCACATTCGCAAGGTGTTCACAGGCAAGGTAGGGTCGTCGGTATTGGGGACGTTTGCTCGCACTTCCAGGTAGGGAGAGTTATCCGAGTCGATGGTGTACTCGACATTTTCACTTTCGCCTATGGCAATCTCCATTGCCTCGTCCGCGGTGATATTCACGTCGTCCTTTTTGGGAACATCTTGACTGTGATAGTCATATGTTTCCTGAACGTATTGTTCCACATCGTCCTGCTGTTGAGGATGCATGGCTGCTGGGGAAGTGAGCGGCCAAACGAATCAACCCTTGTAGAATAGGACCTCTGGCAATGAGAATATTCAGGTTCAGGGCCATGGCTTCTTATATCTCTGCATCCAAGCGTCCAATCCTCCATCAAGCCATCCATGCCTCCTTGGCTTCGGGGCTAACTGGCTCAAGGGAAGCCCCTATCTATCACAAGCAAGTCCGTGCATATCTGTCATCGAGATAATGCCGGTATATTCTATTACCAGATAAGAATACAGATTGAGGCGAACATGAAGCCTCACGGCGCGATGCAGCAGATGCCCAGAAGTGCAAATGGCCGTGCGGGACGGTGGAGGTAAGGTCCAAGCGAGGAGTTGGCTGACGGCGATAACAACCCCGGAGATGGTCCGAGGTTATCTGCTTTACTCTTATTCTTATTCTTATTCTTATTCTTCTTGTTAACGGCATACCTGAGGCTTCTTGTTCGAAGGAAGCTCCAAGCTGACTTTGAGCTAGCCTTACGGCATGGCTTGCTCCAAAAACGCCACAGAAAGCGATATGGTTCTGAGAACAATCTAGGGGATTCTTATCTGCTCTTCTGCTTTCTGCATTTTTTCAAGATCCTTGGATAACACTGAACACCACAGATGCTATCCCGGACCCCTTCTGATGAATGCGAACAGAACGATGCTTTTCGCAAATTAGGCTTTATGCTAGCTGTCTCCGTAGATTTGAGCCCTACATAATAAGAATAAATAAATGAACGGTGAACAGTGGCAAGATCGTACTCCACAAGCGCATTTTCCCCGATGCTATCCGCATATCTCAATGTTAAACTTTGGAGTCAAGTTGCTAAGCAACTTGCAAGATAGCTATACGAGGAAGCAGGAGAGTTGGCATATCATTATCCCTTTTGTTCATGCTCTTGCGACCAACACGGCTTCCCCAGGAGTGACTGTTGTGATACGCTGAGCGGATAGTCCCTTTGAAGATATATCAGAGAGGGAAAAGGTGATATTGCCGAAGAGAAGCTAGATCTATGGCTGTTATTGACCCGAGTCACATAAGAACCCTCAGATACATCATCCTAGTTCAAACGGCCGTATATTAGTATTGGTTTATAAAACTGAAGCTCAACCGCCTCCGGATGTTGTTCGGATCTGCTCCGACGGCATCGTTGCCGAGAGGATAACCGCATCTTCATGGGAACAAACCAGTTAAAATAATGATAATAACATTCTATGCATGCTTCCCCCGCTGTGGGGGATTGATAAGTTCATTGTAGCCCAATAATGGAGGAGCTTCATGCATCGCTTGGACCTTCCTGCCCGGCCTCCTCTCAGTGTAGCTGATCCGGCTGCTCACCGTCCCGCTGCATGCTAAAGCATCGGTGTAGCTGCATATAAAGGGTCGATACTGACTGAAAGTGGCTCTTTCAGTTTCGGTTTCGGTTTCTTCTTCCTCAATAGCATTAGGGCTTCTCTTACTTTGTCCCGAATCTCCCTTCCCTTCATCGGCCCAACATGGCAGTTACAAAATCCTCTTCCATTCTAGTCATCGGCGCAGGAACATGGGGTACATCTACAGCTCTCCATCTCGCCCGCAGAGGATACACCAATGTGACCGTGCTAGATCCTTACCCAGTACCCTCTGCCATTTCCGCAGGCAATGACGTGAACAAGGTCATCTCCAAGGGCCAGTACAGCAGTGACCCGAACCGAATGGACGTAAACGAGATCCTGGGCAAGCAGGCCATGGACGCATGGTTCAACGACCCCCTATTCAAACCATTCTACCATGACACGGGCCTGTTGATGTCCGCCTGCACCGAGACAGGAATGAAGAGACTTGGAGTACGCGTACGACCGGGCGACAAGGACGAGAACATGGTCGAGATGTCCACGCCGGAAGAATTCCGCAAACTCGCGCCTTCAGGCGTCCTCAGGGGCAATTTCCCCGGTTGGAAGGGATACTTCACCCGCTCTGGAGCCGGGTGGGCGCATGCTCGCGATGCCCTGGTGGCTGCTGCGCGAGAGGCGCAGAGACTAGGCGTCAAGTTCGTTGCTGGCTCGCCTCACGGCAAGGTCATTACGCTCATCTTCGAGAACAACGACGTCAAGGGCGCCGTGACGGCTGATGGGAAGATCTGGCGTGCGGATCGCACCATTCTTTGCGCTGGTGCCAGCGCAGGCCAGTTCCTGGACTTCAAGCAGCAGCTGCGTCCGACAGCTTGGACGTTGGCTCATATCCGTCTTGAGCCGCACGAGCGGCCTTTGTACAAGAATATCCCTATTATTTTCAACATCGAGAAGGGATTCTTCTTCGAGCCCGACGAGGAGCGCGGAGAGATCAAGATGTGCGACGAGCACCCCGGATACACGAATATGGAGCCCACCCCTGACGGCTCGTCACTTGCCAGCATTCCCTTCGAAAGGACCCAAATTCCCAAGGAATGTGAGACAAGAATGCGAGCTCTCCTCAGGGAGACCATGCCTCAACTGGCAGATCGTCCTTTCAGCTTTGCCAGAGTCTGCTGGTGTGCCGATACGCCAAACAGGGAATTCATTATCGACCAACATCCTCAGCATCCATCTCTGATCCTGGGCTGCGGTGCATCCGGACGAGGTAAGTTATTCCATCTAAGCATAAGACTTAGTATGATCTGACTAACAGTCTATAAGGCTACAAATACCTACCCTCAATCGGCAGTCTTATCGTCGACACCCTGGAGGGCAAGGTCTCGTCCCGTATTCGCGAGGTCGTAAAATGGAATCCTGAGGGTGCCGTGAACAGAAACTGGAAGGACACGCTCGGGAGATTTGGCGGCCCTAATGAGGTCATGGACTTCCATAATGTCAAGGAGTGGACTCATTTGAAGGAGAGGAACATATCCAAGCTTTAATTAATTGCACGGGCCGGGGCGTATTTTGCTAAATCTGTTTTGTCATCTAATGAAAGAATTGGATAGGAAATAAAAGCGTCTGCTTTCTATATTACAGAGTGGAACAAACTTGACGGGGTACCATGCGCCAGTTCCGCCACCGAGAAGATACCCAGAAACCAGATCGAAAGAAACCAATAAAGTATTTCATGAGAGGAATGAATCGTGATAGTCAAAGTGATGTTCCTGAATCCGGTCCAAGGTCCATTTAAACCAAACGTAAAAGAAAAAGAGAACGAAGACTTGAACTAAACTACACTACACCCCACGAAGAGTCTCCCCGAAATAGGAACCTTCCTCACGGGACACAGCTTGTTCCTCATCGCCCGGAAGTTTCCCCGGTCCGTCAGGCCCAGATGCCTCTGTCTTATTGTACGGCGTGTTACACCACGCAGACCGCAAAGGGGGATAGTAACGGCGATATGAGAAGTATGCTATCAGAATACCCAAAATGGAACCACAAGAAACATCATAGACGTCGTGCCTGTAATCCTGAAGACGAGACGTGGCGATCATCACCGCACAGAAAAGGGGTAGGAGAGCTAGCAGGCACCGAAATAGATCAGTATGGGGTCGCAATGCGTGCGTTTGGCCCGAGAAGAAGCTGCATTGCGCGTGTTAGGAATAGTCTTGAAGGATCTCTCTCTCTCTCTGAAGATACTCAAACGTACAGAGACAAGTATCCAAATCCAGCGAATGCAAAACTACTGTGGCCACTGGGAAAGCTCCTCCATCCTTCCTCAAGGATGTGGTTATTGTCCTGGGTGCAAACTGTGTATCCCACCAACACATCCTTGGGGGTGTCTTTCGTAGGCTTACAGCGAGAAATCAAGTCCGGACGAGGCATTCCAACCGCATTCTTAATCACATCCGTGACAAAGGTAGTCAACAATATTGCCGCTAGGAAGCCCAGGATAGTGGCTTGTGTTTTATGAGCACCGGAACGCCCTAGGACGGTCCAGGTGAGGATGATAAAGAGCGGAATAACACCAGCATATATAATGCACCAGACTGGGACAGGATGAGTGTCAACGGATGGTTTCTAAAGGAGAAAAAAGGAGATATGTCCTTACATACGCTGACCCTCTCCACCACTGCGAACGGATACTGTAGATTGCGATCATCGAGGGAGAACAGCTGGTAAAAGGGCGTCACGAATATTTGTATCTGAGGACGATAAATTTGTTAGTTTCTCGGTAAGCATATAATTACTCGAAAATAACAGCCCATAGAGTTTTAGTGACCTACAAGAACCCATGCTGTAAGAAGGGAAATGAGTGCGATGTAGTCCACCGCATAAGAACGTCTGGAGAACCGAACAAGAGCACTCCCAAGTCCGACACTGTTTGAAATGGAAATGGCCGACCCCGGGGACAGGGGATTATAAGGCATATTGATAGATCAGTCGACGAAGCAGGCCATTGGAAAGATGCGGTTGGATGATCGTTGGAAGTAAGCTGAAGACAGCTGCCAAAAAGGTACGGAAGTAGGCGCTTCCAAGTGGAGAAAGATGATCACGGAGCGCGGCCCGATCTGTACCTTCTCACCTCCTGCTTCCCAGCTCCATGCAGCTTTCACCAGCACTGTTGCAGAGCAATATTCAGATGAAATATCCACATCCTTTTGTCAGGTGCATAGATTGCTGACTGCAAAAATCATGGCTGAAATCGGACAGCCTAGAGCAGTCACAGCTGCCTTCGCGCCGCCTCCCCCGTTGTGGAAGCATTTCACACCAGAAAACCTCAACAAGCTCGAGGAATTCAAAAAGGAGGCTTCAAAGGGTGAAGATGGGAAACCGCAGCGAAAGAAGTGGACTCCGGCCGAATTGCGCGCTCTGGTTCTCCCACCAGAGCTAAGGTTTCTTGTCCCTCCCGAGATTCCTACATCTGGACATTACAGTGTCTTTGGGGAACTGCAAAGCGTTTGTCTCCTATAAATTTCATTCGAAGCATCTTTCTGGTTATTTGCCTGACTGAGATTGTTCTGCAGCTTTCAACCGCTCTACCTTCTTTAGAAGAACAAGGCATCGAACAGCTTTATCCCTCCCCTCCCACTACCGACGGTCGCGAATCTCCGCAGAAGCCCTCTCGACCTTTAAACCACGCTTATTATCTTCTCAAGATCAGCAAGTCTTTACTTCTGAACTTTCTTGAATTTGTTGGCATCTTGTCGATCGCTCCCGAGCAGTTCCAGTCGAAGGTGGAGGACCTACGCAACCTGTTTATCAACGCGCATCATCTTTTGAATCTGTACCGGCCGCACCAAGCACGAGAATCATTGATTATGATGATGGAGGAACAACTTGACCGAGCAAGAGAGGACATCCGACAAATGGACAAGGTGAAGGCTGAGATTGAAGGGGTTCTAGAACAGCTAAGGGCCGAAGGTCTCGACGCCGACGCTGCTGGCCAGGCCGTATTCAAGGAGGCATCTGAACATGCAAGTCGAGGCGAAGATGCTATAGAAGAATCTCGATTGGTATGGGATCTCATAGAGGAGAGCAATTGAGCTTAGACAGATCTGGGGATATCGCATTTTCGAGATTGCATTTCTACGCATATGAGATTGATCGCAAAGCTCTCCTATGCATCGGTTCAGGTCTACGGAGTCAGCCTCGAGCAGTGGAATCAGCGAGTCTCGCCAAGCATATCGCTCCTGGGGGGAGACAGCTATGTTGGTCGAGTTGATCTAATACCGAAAACGGCAACGGAATATGTATCCATCCGTCCCATCACGTGTTGCGCTAGTGACTCGCTTAAAACCGCTGGAATTTTTTTTTCGATCTCGAAAACATTCTCATTCTCCTGCGCTACTGAACTTGGCTCCTTGCGCTTCATATGGATTAATGAGACATTCCATATCCAATGGCCTTGTTCTGAGACAAGCAGATCTCTGTCCACTGACGATTTGTTTGTGGGCAACCTCGTCGGACATCATCGCCTTCAATGCTATATAAGGCCAACACCATCGTCGGACGGCTCTGCCGTAGTTAATTGGTAAGTTCTACCCCGTTGCAATTGTGTATTATGATGATTGATGCTTTTTTTATGTTTCAACCCCATATGAAACCACAATATGTGGTTCTTGATTCTATTGCGCATCTACTATCTGAATACAAACCCACACATTACTTTATTGACTCGCTGTCTGATGAAGAATGTGGCTAACTCGTTCATTCTTTTAGGTATCGTTGGTAGATATGGCTTGTGATTCTCCTTGCCATCGAGAAATGCATCTTACCCAAGGAATTTCTTGCATAGAAGCTTCTAGTGGTTACTCTTCAATAGCCGATATTCATAGTATTCAATGAAAGATTGTGTGCCACCTAGCATTCAGTCGAAGGAGCCATCTGCCTCTAGATAAAATTATCTCATCGTAGCAAATGTTTCAGGGAGCCATTACTGTTTGCCTTTCGTTTTACTATCCAACCCAACCAGTTCCTCGATGGAGCGTAGCGCTCTCCATAGACGAGAAAGATCTAGTATCGTTCCGTATGTTAGGCCTGAACATAGAAGAAACGAAATCATCATAATGCGGTCGTCACGGTCGTTTTCGTGCGCAGCTCCTCGCGGCCAGAGGGCGATAACGCTACTCCATACTCCATACTGGGACTGCCGTCGCTCGAATTGTGATCGCTCGATGGATATCCCGGCTCCTCGGTAACTTGGAATTGCTTGTGCTCCCAGATCTCCAGATGACCAGGCGAACGTTCCACGTCGTTCTCACTGCTCGTGCGAGAGAGGATGCTGCGCATCGCAGTCGATCTGTTGGAATTGTTTGCACGCATAGTTGATAATGGCATGCTACTTCCACCACGCTGGCTGGTATGGGTTTTGCGCGTCCGTGAGAAGGAACCGTTGGAAAGGAAGTCGCGGGCGTTCAGCAGGCGTCGGACCAATGGCCAAATGTGGGGGATGTTTGCCACGATAACCGCTGTGCCGGCCTCACGAACGTACCAATCGACCCATTCTTGTCCGTATGGTTGCGACAGACTGTAGTATTTGGAGAGGATGCAACAAATGATGACGAAGGCTCCTAGTGAGAATAGGGCGCAGAGCGTGAGTTTCTTGATCAGGGTCAATCTGGCCCTGATGAGAATCGGTAGGGGAATGAACAGCATGAGAAAGTCGGATGAGACGTTCAACGCGAGAACGAGGATGAGATGGTTCCGGTAGACGGAGCACTGTAAGTTCGCCGGTGGAACGGACCAGTAATTGGAGAAGGGACGGCACCATAAGGCGAAGAAGAGGATTTCGATCACGATGTAACTGAGAGCACAGAAGCCGCCCATCAGGATGACTATGCGATGTTGGCTCAAGCCCATGCTGTTGTGCACGAGAGAAGAACAGTCAGCTTCGCTCACAGAGAACAAAGTATGGGGGTTCGACAGCATACGTCATAGTCGAATATAACAGCAACAAACAGCCCTTGCATCCCCAGATCGTCGCTAACCACATCTGTTCGGTAACTATGACCAGCTTGCTGCCATAGATGCGGTCCGGGATAGATTCCGGGTCGATTTGACCAAACTGCGACGGAGGGATCTCGTTTGTACCATGTTCGGATACGAGGATGAGAATAGCTGTGAGAATGACATAGCATGCCTAGTCACCAAGGCGACTGTCAGTGGACGTGCTAGAGCTTTCGGAGGGAAAAAGATCCAAAACGGAATTCTGAAAGGGCCGGACATACCACGGTGAACAGCATCAGACCATCCTCCATTTGCAGATTCTTAATAGACTTGTGCATGACCCGGGAGACGTATCGCAGGAGAACTATGGCTTGGGATTAGCTGGTTGTTCCTGCGACCCCAGATGTGTTGGACAAGCAGAAGCATACCGATAGCCAGAACAACACCAAGCCATGCCCACGTATTTGCGTTGGCAGTCATTGTAAGAGCAGGATAATCCACGAGACGTCAGCATCTATACACATCCCAGGCCGGTAGATAGCAGTCCAACTGCCGTTCGTGCAGGTGCTTGTGATGGTGGGTAAGCTGGATATCTATATCTATTAAAGGTGACAGGCATGGTGAACCATCCGAATAAGAACCGACAGCTGGCGCAATACGCGCGACCCCGAAGGTTACCGTAGGGGTCGGTTATAGAGTTTGCTAGGGATCCCGGGCTCCATGTATACATTTCTCTCCCACTGTGCACTCCACCCTCGATGGCCCATACGTACGCCTATACGAGACGGTCGAAGCCTTGACAGCATCCCTGACACTTCTAATGGCCCGTGGAGCATTTCTAGAAGACAATACTTAGAGATCATATCATCTCGCTTTGAAATATGTTGCTCTCCTCGCTTGCCGCGCGTACCCGGAGATTGAGAATCTAGGTTCCCTCACACGGATCAATAAAGCCCTTCGTACCCACAGAAACAAGCGAATATTTGGCAGTGCGAACATACCCACGTCCAAGAAGCAGGTGGAGCCCGTAAGAGCGTCCACAAAAATCGCCTCATCGGATTACCGATTATCGGATCAGCAGAAGAGCCAGGCAGATCATCTGCATCTTCCAGTTTCCACAGGGGTACCTCGATGATCGCCATCCAACTACACAACTGTTGACTCTATGGATGAACTGCGGTGCTGAATCAGCTGATATGTCTCTCCGCCCTCCAGGAAATATTCTCCGATTATGATCATCATTAGCGTTCTTCGTTGAGATAATCGATATGGCGTACCTCGTATAATAAATTAAAGGGCGATGGAAGATCCCTGTATCCCTCCCTGTCAAGATCTTCCGTGTGTTCTTCGAAGGAAACGCGCAAGCCACGGTGGAGCTTGGTGGACTCCACCTCCAAGTGCTGCGAATCCTTCTAGTAACATATTTGCTGTACTCCGTACGGAGTACTTCTTCCCTAAATGAGAATGTGCACTCTTCCGGGCATATCCTCGCTTCTTCCAAAAATGGACTAGCTTTGTACTGCTTATATAATACACACACTGTCTTCCTCTACAGTGTACGGAGACAGCGTATTTCTCACCGAGGAACAATGCTGCACCGTCCAAGACCTGGTGGTCTGACTCGTCTGCAACCTGCGCAATTCGACTCGCTAACAGCTGAAGTCCCGGTTTCATGGTTCAGCTTTAACTCTCAACGAAGTTAAAGGGACCTTGCTGTACGAGGTGGGGCAGAATACGTAGCGATGCGTTCCTGAAATTGGGGCGTGAACCCTGAACTTAAGGTAGGCACTGCAACCTCAGGCCCACTTATCGCAACCTGCGCAATTCGACTCGCTAACAGCTGAAGTCCCGGTTTCATGGTTCAGCTTTAACTCTCAACGAAGTTAAAGGGACCTTGCTGTACGAGGTGGGGCAGAATACGTAGCGATGCGTTCCTGAAATTGGGGCGTGAACCCTGAACTTAAGGTAGGCACTGCAACCTCAGGCCCACTTATCGCAACCTGCGCAATTCGACTCGCTAACAGCTGAAGTCCCGGTTTCATGGTTCAGCTTTAACTCTCAACGAAGTTAAAGGGACCTTGCTGTACGAGGTGGGGCAGAATACGTAGCGATGCGTTCCTGAAATTGGGGCGTGAACCCTGAACTTAAGGTAGGCACTGCAACCTCAGGCCCACTTATCGCAACCTGCGCAATTCGACTCGCTAACAGCTGAAGTCCCGGTTTCATGGTTCAGCTTTAACTCTCAACGAAGTTAAAGGGACCTTGCTGTACGAGGTGGGGCAGAATACGTAGCGATGCGTTCCTGAAATTGGGGCGTGAACCCTGAACTTAAGGTAGGCACTGCAACCTCAGGCCCACTTATCCCGTGTAATGGTTCACGTACACGTGACTATATCTCAAGTTAGTCATCGGGTTTGGTCACACAATAATAATGACACATTCCTGTTCCCACTTCATTATTATTATTGTTGTTGCTGTTCTTGTTGTTGCTGCTGCACCCAGTCTATTTTTATCATGGGTGCCCCTTCAGCTGTCATCGAACTGCAGCCTCAACCCAGCTCCTCGGGTAATAATAGTTGCCATAGTAGTAACCAGGCTTCAATCATCGAACACTGCCACTTATCTGTTGATGCGGACATTCCTCCAACTGCGGTTGCGGCCTTGGAAAAATGGAATAGCCCGCGCTTAAATGTCTACCGCACTTTCGCGACCTTCTGGAGCTTCTTTGTGATGGGAGCCAATGATGCTGCCTATGGCGTGAGTAGACTTTTGACTTGATTCTCCATCGAGAATAACCAACAGTAGCTGAGCATCAAGGGGAATGAATCCAAAATATTAGTCTTTAATTCCCTATGTGAGTAGAGCATATACTGTCTCGTGCAGCGTTCTAAGGCAACACCATCTCACAATGCAATGATACTCAGCTAGAGTCGTACTACCATCTGTCCTACACCGTCGTGTCGCTGGTCTTTCTTTCTCCCCTGGTGGGATACATGTTGGCTGCCATCGTCAACAATAAGATCCACGTGACACTCGGCCAGCGAGGAGTCGCTGCCATCGGCCCTGCTTGCCATGTCATTGCCTACGTGATGAATTGTCTCCATCCTCCCTATCCCGTGCTGGTGGTGAGCTTCGTCTTCGCCGGGTTCGGGAATGGACTGCAGGATTCGGCCTGGAATGCCTGGGTTGGCAATATGGCCAATGCCAACGAATTCCTCGGCCTGCTGCATGGGCTTTACGGTGCAGGTGCCGTGCTGAGTCCATTAGCTGCTACATCTATCATTACCAGGGCCCGTCTGGGCTGGTACTACTTCTATTATATCATGGTAACATAGCCCAGATAGATACCAGGAACTTCCGTGTATGCGTAGTGCTGACTGCGCCGTGATCATTCCAGTTAGGATGCGCTGTGGTCGAACTTGCTGCCTGTCTAGCTTGTTTCTGGACTGCTACCGGCGCCGCCTTCAAGCAAGCTACCGCTCGATCTCATGGCGACAGCGAGAGAGGGGGTCTCAAGACGGCCCTTTTCAAACGTCCCTCGGCCAGGGTAACATGGATCTGCTCCATCTTCCTCCTGGGGTATGTCGGTATCGAAGTGGCTCTGGGTGGGTGGATCGTCACTTTCATGATCAAGGTCCGTCACGGCGGCGCCTTTGCCAGCGGCATGACGGCCACTGGTTTCTGGCTGGGCATTACAGTGGGACGGGTAACTTTAGGCTTCGTGACGCCCCGCATTGGAGAAAAGGTGGCCATTGCGGTAAGGCTGATCTAACATCCCTTGCAAAAACCGCGGAATGTGCAGAGACGCTGACACAGAATTTGCTGTTGTCATCCAGGCTTATATCCTATGTGCGATGGCCTTCGGCCTGGTCCTGTGGCTTGTACCTCAGTTCTACGCGTCCGCGATTGCCGTGTCCCTGCAAGGCTTCTTCTTGGGTCCGTTATTTCCCGCAGCGGTAGTCATGACAACGAAACTCCTTCCGCGACATCTCCACGTGAGCTCCATCGGGTTCGCGGCCGCATTTGGAGGAGCGGGTGCTGCGGTTCTTCCCTTCCTCGTGGGCGCAATTGCACAGGCTAGGGGCGTGGAGGTTCTACAGCCATTTATTCTGGGATTGTCCGGTGCTATTTTCTTGCTTTGGTTGGGTTTGCCGCGGGTGTCCAAGCGGAATCTACTGGACTGATTAGCGAACAATTTTAAAAGGAAACCACTTCAAGATCGCATTGCGCTGATCATGAATGCGTGTTTACAAACCATGGCTGGGAGTCTCCTTGGCTTTTTTCTATGGCCCTCTTGGTCTGTAGAAAGAAAGCCATGTTAAGCAATGCACCACTTCTTTGATTTACCCTGTTCCCTATTACTCCAGTATCGGCCACATGGGCTTGCCATGATCAAGGCATTTCGACAGTCGGACAGAATGCGTAGATCGGCATGGTGGCGACTGGGCAGATTATCTGATAGCCATTAGAATCCGGAGCCTGCTAATAACTGTCACTAATCCTCATGGGCCCTCCGTATTTGCCCGTCTTGATTCTAGAGAGAGATTTTGAGGGAAAAGCCGAGGTTGACCGGGTAATGTCACATGACATTGTGAACTGGACGCGGTGATAAAGGCGGTGGAGGTAGAACTGGCAGTATCATGTGACAGTGACAACATGCAGCGGGTTTTCCGGGTTTTCCTTCACATTTTCTTTGCCCGGTCCGACTTGCATCGGGAAGTCTGTAGGATGCAGGCCGTGCCCCGCGACCAGTTTACCCGACTCACCACAGCTGTGATGCTGTGAGTTCTGGCATCTGGGACAAAGGTAACAAGATCACCCCAGGAAATCGTTTAGATACGAGAACATGACATGTGATGCGGAGAAGACTTCCCACAGCGGCGACGCCCAAACAGGAAACTGGTCTCGGCCGAGCCGGTTCCTGGTTTCGGAGTCCCATTGAGCCGAGGCATTCGCCGTGTTAGGAAATCCACCTCTCGGCTTCTTTGAAGCTGACGGTTCACTGCCTTGGGTATTCATTTCTATTTTATTACAGGCCTGTTCCCTTCTCATCACTTTCTCTGTTCAACAAAGGAAACAGGCAAGATCCTTGTCTTCATCTTCGTCCCCTCTCCACTCTTCCGAATTTCAACCATGTCTCCGCCACCGGCCTGGGTCAAGGCCTTGAAGCCTGCCAGCCCCCAGGGGTCTGAGCTGCTGGAGCAGGAACGCGCTCAGTCCAACGTCGCTGTTGATAAGCTCGCCGAATTGCTACATACCAAGGATGTGTTAGACCGACAGGACCGACTCGTGGCTATTCTCTCGTCAGAGAAGGTTTTTGACAAGTCCCAGACACACTCCCTGGGACGGGTAGAGCGTCTCCAGCGTGCACTGGCCAAGGGTAAGCGTCTGCAGCAGCTCGCAGTACAGAATAAATGGTCACAGGAGGAGTTCTATGCGGCCGCCGATTTGATCGGGGAGCCCACTCCTTATGGTCTTCATTCGACGATGTTTCTGGTATGTCTTTTTGCCTTGGTCGTTCTATGTCAGGGCACCATCAGCTAATGGCTTTATTTTTGATACTTAGGTTACCCTGCGGGAACAAGGTACACCAGAACAGCACAAGCTTTTCCTCGAGCCGGCGACGAACTACAAAATTATCGGATGCTATGCGCAGACCGAACTCGGTCATGGATCCAACGTGCGCGGACTGGAGACTACCGCCACGTGGAATCCTGATGATAAGACGTTTACCATCAACTCTCCGAGCTTGACGGCGTCAAAATGGTGGATTGGGTCTCTGGGAAAGGTTGCAAACCATGCTGTGGTGATGGCCCAGTTGTATGTCGGTGGCAAGAACTACGGGCCACATCCGTTCGTGGTCCAGATCCGGGATATGGAGACACATGAGCCACTGGAGAACGTCTACGTCGGTGACATTGGTCCTAAGTTTGGATACAAGTGAGTACTGCAGCAGCAGAATGATATAGATCTTATAAAACTGACCAGCTTCCAGTACGATGGACAATGGCTTCCTTCTCTTCAACAATGTCAAAGTGCCTCATATCAGCATGCTGGGTCGCTTTGCCCAGGTTGACAAGGCCACTAATAAATATGTTCGACCATCAATGCCGACGCTCATCTACGGAACTATGACATGGGTGCGCTCCAACATCGTCTTCCAGGCCGGTTCAGTTTTGGCTCGCGGTGTGACTATTGCCACCCGTTACTGCGCTGTCCGGAGACAGTTCCAAGATCGCGATGCTACTGACCAAGCCAGCGAAACCCAGGTTCTCAACTATAAGATGGTGCAAATCCGGCTGCTACCTTTGCTAGCAGCAATGTATGCTCTGCACTTCACGGGCCGGGGTATGATGAGACTGTACCAAGAGAACCAGAGCAGAATGAAGGCTGCCGCGCAGGCTGATCAGGAGAAGCGTGGTGCTGGTCCTGAGGAGCTCCGAGCAGGCGCCGACCTATTGGCGGATCTCCATGCCACTTCGTGCGGTCTGAAAGCATTAGCCAGTACCACAGCAGGAGAAGGTCTTGAGGTCTGCCGTCGGGCCTGTGGTGGACATGGATATAGCAGCTACAGCGGTATTGGACCCTGGTATGCGGACTACTTGCCCACACTGACCTGGGAGGGCGACAACTACATGTTGACCCAGCAGGTCGCCAGATATGTAAGTCACGAGAAATCCCAGGCCATTATTATTGCTCAAGGCAATTTAAGCTAATATTAGCCGTTTGAATTTAGCTGCTTAAGGCCGCCCGCGCAGTTCTGGCTGGCAAGGGTACCAACAGTGACACGAGCAAAATCCTGCAGTTCTACCTATCCCGTCGGGAGAAGGGTGGCTCTTTCGACATCCTTGATACCGACAGCGACATCGTGGCCGCCTTTGCCTGGCGCACGGCACACCTCACATTTGAGGCCCTGAAGCACCGGGACGTTGGCAAGCGGTCATGGAACAGCCTCCTTGTGAACTTCTGGCGCTTGTCCACGGCGCACTCGCAGTACTTGGTGGTCAAGAACTTCTACGAAGCCGTAAACTCGCCTGAAATAACCGGCGCGTTGGACAAGGAGACAACAACAACTCTCCACAACCTCTTCCGCCTGTATGCGCTCCACACCCTGGAGCAAGAAGCAGCGGAATTCTTCTCCTCAGGTGCAGTGACGACCCACCAGATCTCCCTGGTGCAGACCAAGGCTGTGATGAAGCTCCTCGACAATATCCGTCCCCACGCTGTCCGACTCGTGGACGCGTGGAAGTTCCCGGACTGGCAGCTGGATAGCAGTCTGGGCCGATACGATGGCAAGGTGTACGAGGATCTTTTCAGACGGGCCAGCGAAGAGAACCCAGTGAACGACCTAGTATTCGATCCTTATCCGTGGAACGCGAATGTTCTGAAAAACCAAGCACCAAAGAGCAAGCTCTGATTTTTTGTTTCTTTTCTGTTCTTAATAGTATATAGTGGATGTTCGATACCTTCGCTTGTTCTTTTCTTTCTGTTGATATGTCTTGGCTATATGTGTTCTTTTTAACTATTGTCATTTTGAATTTAGGGCAAAACATAAAGGCTAATGGACTAGACGAGCGATGAAGAACTAGATACCTAGGGGAAATACAACTGCTCTGTCCTGAACGAAGTGGGTTCTTCTTTTATTTAAGATATGTATATATCAACGACGCATCCTACCCATTCCAGATGTTAAAGCAGGCCACTCCAAAACCCTCTCTCGGTCATGCACCATGCCCGTATTAGCAGTAGAAAGACACACCTCTCCTCCAGCAGCCCGGGATATCATTTTCTGTTCATACTCTCTATCCTCGAGTGGAAGGATATGTAGAAGAAGAAAACCCATGTCTTCGGTTCCAAGAGCATGATGCATACCGAAGAACCCGAACATCCACCCCCTCAGAAGCTTACGCAGCTCCTGCCGACGAAGCCGGTGAAGAACGAGGCCGGGATGGAAGTCATCAGCTCGCCGGATTGCGCATTCAGGAAGTTCGGCACGTCTTTCTCGGTCGTGGGCTTGCTGGGGTCAACCTGGATGGATTGAATGCGCGACCAGAGGCACTCTGAGATGAGAGATTGGAGACACAGTGCTCCCAAGTGTAGTCCCATGTTCCAGTCTCGGGGGGTGGGCGTCGAGTCTGTCGTGTTTCTCGACGACTCTATGCATGGAATTGCCTGTCTGGTTTGTCAGTGAAGTATTCCTAAAATGGATTAGTCACGACTCCTAGTTACGTACCCTTTTAATCCCTGTGCCAGTGCAAGACCGGTGCATCCTGGATAAGCTGGTTAATGTACTTTGCTATAGGGTGGCATACTCGCCTGCGCCGACAATCAGTACTGTCGTAGATTGCATATTTCAACAGTAGATGTTAGATAAGCGACAGACTCTTCAGAGATGATTAGAAACAGGGAACTGACAGTATAAGCTGGTGGGGTCATAGGCTGTAGAGCATGTACATCATCAAGATCATCGGTCATGCATCAACGCATCCCAACAAGGATAGATATCCTGTTCCCCTCCATCTTATTTTAGAAGACCTGAAAAAAGAAAATGGAAAATCCCCGATCTGCCCCGCTGATCCTGCAGAATCCTGCCGCTAATGATTATCCTGCGAGGAAGATTCGTTATTTGTCTTTCATTGCCGAGTAGATACTGCATGTCGGTTAACCGTATTACAGTAATAGGCTTGGTCTTGCATATCTAAGGTTAGTATTAAATTGCTTCCCCGTTTCTCGCAATCTACGGGGTAATAAGGTTACTCCCCAGGCCCTGTGGGATCCAGACGGGGCGGGCTACAGCCTAACGATAATAAAAACGTCGAGGCATTCCATAACAAAGTCTATCAAGGGGAACTGGTGGTTATAACTATTTTAGGAAACATAAACAGTACCCGAAATCCAAATTTTCAGTCAAGATATCCGATTCCAATCATCCAGTCCGTCTAAGAAAAACACCAGAGTCCGAAGGGATTAAAAATTAGAATCGCTGGCAGGGGAGCAGCAGTCAAAAGGATTGTAAAAGTGAAAAGATCGGAGATGCCAGTCAGTCAACGACTATGCGGACTGCTCTGAAGCGGGTATAGGTTTCTCGGCCAGCGATGCTAAGCGGAAAATATGTCTCAATTGTGCGTCATTGTCTTCATCGATGTAATCCACAATGGCGGAGTCTTTGCCAATGTTAGAACAGAAAAAACACATCTTCATGCACCAAAACGGCGAATAATAACTTACGAATGGTAGATCGATTGTCAAACATTACAATTGTTCGCGGCTGCCACCGCACCCGAGCCTGGAAATCATGGCCCGTAATAATATGCTGAAGGAGGAAGTCAAGCAGCCATCGCATCTCCGGTTCCTTGAGGCCGTTGATCTTGGTGATGAATTCGCCGTTGAGGAAGAGACACTTCTCACCCGTCACTGGATGTACACGCACCAGCGGGTGTACGGTATCGACAGGATCTTTCCGGACCAATCCACCCGTCAGGCGGGCATGAGCGATCATTTTCGACGATGTGTGGACAGCCTCGAGATTGTCCAGGAATGAACGGAAGGTTGGAGAAAGTCGTCTGGTTATTCATGTCAACAAACAATGAAGGTAATTCCAGAGACAAAAGAAACATACTTGTATGCAAGATCAGTGGCGGCAAAGACAGTATCCCCACCAACTTCCGGGCCTTGCAGGAGGCCCAACATGACATAACCGGGAGGCTGGATTTCATAGCTGACATCCTGATGCCACAATGTCGTGGTCGTGCGCTGTTCAAGGAACCGCGAGATTTCCTGGCGATTGCCGTCACGGTGGATGACATGAAACCCGGGGTGGCCTCGAACTGTGCCCGACACGGGCTGGTAATTGGGTTTACCAAAGTAACGCATGAACTCGGCCTGGCGTGCAGGACCAGCATCGATTAGATCCTGATTGGGAAAGGCCACAACTTTACGCTCAGAGACAAGGAGGGCAAGCTCATCCTTGGCTGCGTTAGACAGCTGGCTCAGTTGGACCCCTTCGACAACGCTGCCAAGTCTGGGTTGGATATGTGAGACTTTGACTCCGGGGGTGAGCAAGTTGGGCTTTGTTTTGTCCTTGACTCGCAATGCGGGGTCCTCGTAGGAGAAATGGGGTAGAGGATCGAACCATACTGGGTCCCAGCTTGGTAGATACTCTGGGTAATGGGTGTTCGCGCGAGATTCCTTAGTGACGGAAAGATATGGAATGTTGATATCGTAACTTATTGGCTCTTCTGTCTCCTTGGAGTCGACCCCCTGCGGCCCAGCTGGCCGACGGGCAATTGCAGTAGGAGCCATGACGATTCTGCAAGCTTGTGTGGGAGTCCTCTACTAGCGCGGTTGGCGTGGAGATGAAAGGATGAAGAAGGATGAAGGCAGAGAAATGATGTGGGAAGGAAAAGTAGCGATTGAAGATGAAAGAGATGATGGCCTTCTTGGGGAAGGCAGTAACTTTTATAATGGCATAAGGCAATCCATGCCTCATCGCATCACACGTACACGAACATCATCGTTCCTTTACCGGACCTGACCTGATATCTGATATAGGCGCCGATGATCCCATAATAGTTAAATCCTATCCATAGAGCCGGCAGATGATACGGCCCGCTCCACAAAACCAATCGGCGGAGGGATTACCCTGGCCGCTGGAATAATCGCATCCCTTTCATCTCCTTGCTTCCGATTCGCAAGAGGGGCCTGATAGGAATCCAGATTCATCATTCCAATGTGGGTGAGCGCCATCATCCTTTTCCGTTGGGACGGGGGGGACGGACGAAATCAGTCCGCTGCGATAAGCGAAGGGGGTGTGTAGCACGGAAGAGACGAGCAGAATAGTCTAGCACAAAGGGGATGGACATTCCGGAGGGTCGAGACATGTTTGAAACGCCCATCTAATACGACATCCGTATTATGGGAGAAGGTTCAAACGGCGCATGCGGGCTGCAGCAGGTTGATGCACCTGGATGCAGCCTACATAGACTATCGTCATATTGCAAGCCCCAAAGCAGATCCATGTGGGTAGTGAGTGATTGGACCCGGCTCCCCAGCAGTCTTGCAAATATCAATAGCTGCTGCCAAGTCTCCACGCCAGCTAAGCAATGGCCACTCCTTGGTCCCGGCGTCTTCCGGAGCTCTGGCTCTTGTTATACCAAGGATCTGCCTTCTCATTTTCCAATTCTTCATTTAATTTTCACCGCTCAATCGTAGAGAGAATATGGTGCGAATTGTGATGGGCTATGCGAGCTGCACCATCCTTTGCGTTGTTGCCGGGGTGTGAATGCCTCCGAATTGCTCTTAATCCCTTGAGGCGACGTCGGCCGGCTCGCTCGCTCGCATGCATAGGTATCTCGCATTCAATTCGTATAATGAATCATCTTCTCGATGCAGTATTATGCAGTGTTCGAGGTCATGCAGCTAGTCCCTCTGCCCGTCCATCGGTGGACCCGATGATGATAAGGCCGTGAGCAAAGAATGGGCCAAAAAAAAGCCATGTCCTTCATCGGCAGTGTGGCGCGACTTTTGGGCTTCTTACTGTTCGCTGACATATGTTTCTTTTCCTGAGATGGCTTTGTTGGCGGCAGTTCCAGACCACCAGGCCTTCAGCTTCAGGGCGATGCCAATATGGACAAGTTCCTCATGCACCGCACATGCCACGGCTTCCTCGGCATAAATTGCAGATCATATTTCTTACTATCATCAGCACAAAGCGGCGTCTCTGTTCGTCCGGACACCAATTGCCAGTCAAAGCGAAGAGGCGTGATATCGAGATACCAACTATACACAGTGCATGGCCCATGAAAAATTGCTACACCAAGCGTATGGCCATGACTGGCATGCACCGGTGCAGCTTCGATGCAGCTCTCCTGGACAGAACTTGGCATTTACGACAGGATCATTGAGTTTGGTTCTCCGAGGCAGCAAAGTTTGCGCCATCTGTCCCGAGAGCTACGTAATCAATCAATCTTGTGCTGGAAATGGCATATTCCACGGTTCAGCCAGGCTGGATATGCTTCATGCCAGCCGTTTTCTGAATCGGGGGTACTCATCGGCTCCGATTCTGGGACGCTAGAGGCGAAAATCATTAGAGGTGAGTTGGCGCTAAAAGCCCATGTTTTCCCGACTCATGCGGGTTCATCAAATCAATCAAATTATACGGGCCCAATCCTGCGTCCGGAAGCTAGTCTATTGGGCCCATGGCACCGAGTCCCTCGGTTGTACTCCGTATACCGCAGATCAGAAATTGTCGCCCAAGATCCCAACGGAGTTATACCTAATATGTCCTTCGTAGTCCGTATTTGGAACTCCCGTCAAGCCAGAATCCCGGCCACTGGATAATGACTATCCCATAGCGAACACTGTACCCTGTACACAGTGTGCAGGGGTTGTACATGGTTGCCAGAGGCCATCGTCGTCTGGATCCATTGACTATTTTCTTACCGTCGATAGTTGTACCTAGCAGAGCATGGATTTTTCATCGGAGAGTCAATGGGCAAGGGCCAAGCTGATAAGCATATCCGAAGTCGGCCAATTTCTCAGAATTCTCCCATGAGTCTCCTTGGCTTTGTGAGCTGTTATCTGTCGGATTTGTCATATTCATTTCTTCCCTCACTTTCAGCTTCGCTGCCGAATTCCCGAAAGACATGCTGGCTCGTCCAGCCAGAAGAGGAGTCGTCAAGTCTGTAGTCTCCCAGCAGTAATAATCACATCAGTCATGCCCTTTTGAACAATGAGCAGAAGAGGAGAGTCTCAGCAGGCGTAGATGCGGACAGAGTGCTAAAATTAATCACATCTGTTGCATGGTCCACACGACTAAGCTTAAAGTTTGTTCCTTGCAAGTTATGGTGAGGAAAAAGCAAACATCCTCTTAGTCGAACGCGGACGGATGCTTCTTTTGACTGTCACTCTTGGATTGGATCGAGATCCACGTCGTGTCAACAACGTGGGGTGTTTTTCTTTTGGTTCGCGCTCTTCGTTCGCGGTCACCTGACATTTCCCTTCTGGGAAAGTCTCCTCTTCTGCGGAGTGAGCATCTGCTCCGCCTAGCTTACCAGACGGTATTGATCAGATAAAACTGGCCATTGCCTTTTAATATTGCCCAACAGGTAAGATACGTTGACAACTTCCATGGCGATCTTGCCCAATGTGCTAAGTTCTCAAGGTCAGTGATCTCCGACCGAATCGACGGCAGCAGCGCAATGGCAACGACGCAGGTATCTCTGTGGTCGCGCAAGACAGATCTATTATATTTTATCTTCTTCTTAACTCATGTGCCGATAATTTTCTGTGCGTGCATCCTTATACCTACGTGTATGCCTTGTCTCTGACCGAGCATGCCAGTGATCGATACTGTTTCCCTCTTCCCTCCGTCTCTCCGAACCAACCTCTCCATCAAGCTCCGCGAATTCTACGTGGACAGTTTCCATGACAAATTTTTTGAGGAACCGCAGCCTGTCTGGTTTACCGTATTCATATGGATGGAGCTGTTGTACCATGCACCGCTGAGCGTTTGGGCTGTTTTGGGCCTCTGGCGAGGTGCGTAGTTCCGTACTCACTCTGCTGACTTGCTGCTCCCATCGCTAACATATGGACAAACGACGAACCAGACGACCCACTTGTCCCTGTGCATTTACTCCCTTGGGCCGTACAGGCATTCGTTACCTCGTTGACTTGTCTGGTAGATGTCTGGAACTGGGAAGATCGTACCGTGGATGAGAAGACGAATATCACGATGCTCTACGCACCCTATGTCGCTCTTGGTATGTCTCATGTTTCTTCGTTTTCAATGCTTCCATGTCCCAGCTCTTTCTCTCGGCCTTTACTAAAACAGGGCCGATAGGCGCATGGATGGCACTGGACATGTTCTACAGGCTGCGTGGCCGAGTTGTCCAAAAGAGCAAGCGGGAATAGGGGCCGAAATCGAACCTAAAGAAGGTGAACTACTCCTTGGAGGTAGCGTCCCCTGCGATTGCGTAGCCATATATTTCCCTTGTCATAGTACCCCCACGACTGACCTGAAACACCAGATAATGTCGCTGCATATGTCATGGCAGTTTGGAGGGCTTCAATGTATAGAATACCCGTGGTTAATGGGTGTCTAGTAACTATGGTGGTACGGTAGTGGCATGGTTTCCCAGAGTTGCCTGATGTTGGGCTGAGATCGAGCATAGATTATGTGAGCGAACCAGAGCGAACCAGAGCGAACCAGAGCAAACCAGATGCTCATAACATCTGATACCAGGGACCGCGCAACGCTTCTTTCCACGGTACGGCGATGTGCGCAACATGAAAATCTCTGAATCTTTCCCAATCCACGGGACACTGTCCCTGAGCAGAATAGTTATGAACAACAAAAAAATACTTGTACATGGATCCATTTTAACCAGCGGGGCGATAAGGGGTCGTCCGTCGTCGTCGTGGAGAGAAACACCTGAGAAATACCGATGACCTCATGCAGTGGGACCACTGATAGTTACCGGTGAGGCTGCACGTGCTGCAAATTTCATGTAACGCATACTTATGCGCCACGGCCCCTGGTCCCTCGTTGCAGAGAATTCCTCCCGCAGAACATCACAGAAAAAGACACACAGCCAAAATGGTCTACACGATTGTCGTCCGTACGTCAATCCCGCTCTCCTTCCATGTCGGCTCAGAACGTCTTCGCTAACCAGGAACCACAACCATAATTCAGACCTCCGGGCAAAGCCCGACCAGGAGAGCATTTCTAAGCTCCACGCCAAACTCCTCGAAGCCTCCGCCGTCTACTCCAAGGACAAGGAAACCCTCTCTTGGTTCGTCATGCAATCGGTCCACGACCCGCAGGACTTCACCATCGTCGAGCGCTACCTGAACGAGGGGTCCCAGAAGTACCACCTGTCCAACCCCTACTGGAAGACCTTCGACCCATACGTGATCCCGCTGTTGGAGAAGGATATGGATCTGAGGAGATTTGAGGAACTTGTTCCTGCCAGTGAGCATTAGTGTCGCATCACCTTTGCCAACTTTATGCGGGTCTAAATGAAGTGAAATGCCATCTATGAATAGGATTATAAATAGCAAGCAAGCAGCATTCACATATTGCATGCGTCGAGAATGCCTAGCGGCAGCGGGATAGTTCTTGCAAGGCTATGGCAATCAATAACAGCAATTTTCCTCTCTTGAGAATGAAGGCCTTGGCGTTGAATGGATCTGAGACAGCAAACCAGTCTGGACTCGCTTTTAGAACAGTAATAGATGAATTCCATGGTATTGCATCCACCACAGCCTTAATCATATGAACATGGATCGTTGTGCAGTGCTCTGGCATCTTGACATTAGTCCACGGTTCCTCTCTATATTTATCCTCGCCATAGCAAGATTCAAGCAATGCAATGACGTCGTCTCATCTTTCATATTAATTACCCCGCCATTCCCTACAAGTACCGACAGTTTTGCCGGCAGATATCTCCTTCCTCGAACCGTTGCAGGTGAGATGATACTAGCTACAGGATCCGGCTGGATATCTTTTGACAAGCACGCAGTGACTTCTAGCCTCCGGGCTGGATTTACACCGCAACCCACAGCAACAATCTGATGTAACTTGCTACCTCGACTGACAAGATTGGCATATCTCCGTGCTGTTCATGCTCTTTTTATCAGTCTCCGCACAGCAGATCGTTTCTCCAATTGCTCAACGGCACGGAAAGTGGTTCTGCTGCTATGCGACGATGTCACTGTGCCATTGGGCTATCTACGACGCAGAGGCGGATGCGAGCTTCGTCAATTGCCAATGCTACTGTATCTCTAGCAGACCTGTCAGTGCAAAAACTTCATGATGCCGTGAAGAGAGCGCCACGGAAACCACTGTCAGCAGTCATGCTCTGCCCAGCTCGTACAGAATGAAGAACATACTCTCCTTGGCGGCCCTTGGATGGCAATTGACGGCCGCTTTTCAAGGCGTGGAGGCTAGCAAGCTGTCGACGGCTGCCTCCTTGAAGCCGTATTTCAACAACAAGGCATTTGGCTCGTATCCCGGTGCAGCTGCCTTTGATCCGTTGAACCAGTCCTACCCAAACCCTGCCATCGTCTCCATCAATGGCACGTACACCTCCACGCAAACCGGAATCGTCTACAAGTCCCCCGGGAACACAGCTCCTTGATGCCCGATAATTCATCTGCGAAGGTCAGACCATCTTGGTGCCCGCCGACCGGTACTTTTCTGCTTCCATGCCGGTGTCGTCAGACGTCGAACTCTCCACCGTCTCTGGAAATGTGACATATACATATGCGGACAACTCGACGCTCGTCTCGGAACTGCGCAGCTTGCCTTGGTTTGCCTTTCTGACTATCAACCGGGGCGAGATTATCTTCCCTTGCCGGTACACTGCCAATGGTACTAATTTCAACACCTCTCACATCTTCGAATACACTGCAGCCTTGGATCCAAGCAAGCCGCTTCGCTCCATCACGCTCCCAGTCACGACCAACATTACTACGGGTCGGCTACATGTGTGTTCCCTGTCTTTGTGGAAGGCCTCAATGCCATCTGTGCAGGTTCAGTTCGTGCGGCCGACACGGAAATGGACCGAGAAGGGGAATCAGGTGATTGAAATAACGATCAACAATTCAGGTTGGGAATGAATACCCGCCCCGGGATTGACTATCTCTCTTGCCATGGATGGTGTTGAATCAGTGGAACCCGGTCACATCAAGCGACTATGTCCTGGAGACCGGAAACGGATTGACGTGGGCGTGAACGGTGTATCGAACGGGACAGCAACGGTTCTGACGGCTGGCGGTCGTTCTGTGTACCAGCAGTCATTTTCCAACACCTCCGTTGGATTGACCGAATGGGCATCCGACCTGGCTAGTCTCTCGCAGCATGAGAGCCCGCAATGTTTGACGATGCCAAGTTCGGCATCTTCATCCACTGGGGTCCATACTCGGTTCCCGGATGGGGCAATTCGACTCCGTGGGAAAGTTATGCAGAGTGGTTCTGGTTGGTTATTTTCTTGTCTTCAGTTTTACGAGAACCGTTGGAACTAATTGACTCTTCCAACTATGCAGGTGGTACACTACCCATCGAGCAGCAGACAAACCAGATAGCTACGAGTACCGATTGAGAGAATTCGGCCCGGACTGGAACTACGATGACTCCTTCACCAATTTCACCGCAGCGAACTTCAATCCCAAAGAATGGGTTGATCTTATCCATGCAACTGGGGCCAAGTACTTCGTCCTGACTACCAAGCACCACGATTGTTTCGCCCTATTCAACGCCTCCAACACGACAGACCGCAACTCCCTCTCCACGGCCCACACCGTGACATTCTCCATGAGCTCCTCACCGCCGCAGAAACCTACCAGCCGACTCTGCGACGCGGTACCTACTTCTCCCTGCCGGAATGGTTCAACCCCGGACTTCGAGCCGTACGGGTATGCCCAGCTGCCGGGCAATACCTCCACCAACTGGCCTGGGATCATCGCACGGAATCCCTACACGGGGCTTAACGAGCCCTACACAGGCCACATCCCCGTGGTTGACTTTATAGCTGACCTCATGGTCCTGCAAATGGAGATCCTAGCCTACCAGTACTCCACAGACATCATGTGGTGCAACTGTGGTGCCGCAAACGGGACCGCCCCTTTCGCCGCAACCTGGCGGAATCACGCCCGCGCCCAAAATCGACAGGTGACGATCAACTCTCGCTGCGGCATCGCGGAGGTCGCCGACTTCGACACGCCCGAGTACACAGCGTTCTCTTCCGTGCAGCGCCGCGAGTGGGAGTCCAACCAGGGCATGGATCCATACAGCTACGGCTACAACCGCGCGACGGCAAGAGACTCGTACATGAACGCGACGATCATCGTACACGACCTCGTAGACATGGTGAGCAAGAATGGGAATTTCCTACTCGACATCGGGCCACGAGCGAATGGGAGCATCGTCGATGTGGAGGCGAGGAATCTTCGGCTTGCTGGGGAGTGGATTCATGCGCATGCTGAGGCCATTTTCAACACGACGTATTGGTTTGTGATGTCTGAGATAGCGGACGAAGGTGTGCGGTTTACGCAGACGGATGATGCGTTCTATATTTTGTTTCTGAAGAAGCCCGGGCCGGTGTTGTATATCGATGCGCTGTTGCCTCTGCTGGAGGGGGGCATGGTGACGGTCATCGGAGGGAAAATTGATGTGCCTGTATTATGGGAGAAAGGACAAGCAGGCTCCCCTGCTTCTGGATTCACCTTCTACGTCCCCGAGGCATTATGGGAGACAGCAGTATTGCTGGGTTCTGAAGATTCTGTACCTGGCTAACCCTGTTTAAATAAATAGGCCCGGACCAGCAGGACACTAAAGCATAGTCAAAGCCCTTACCAATAACGAATCTCTGGCGAGCAATTTACGAGCATTGCGGATTAGGCCTAGGGCTAGATGCAGAAATGAGTAGAATCCTCCCCCTTCTCTCGCAGGACCAGCAGCAGCTTTTCTGTCTCGTCAGGGCCATGGTCAGGGAAGAATACACTACACCAATAGTAGTAATCTTCTTTATGAGGCGACAAGCAGTGTTTATAATGAGACGGTATACCATTATTACTGCTGCGCATCGGATTGAGAGTATTAGTATTATGGACTAGGGTGTGGTTGTGCTTGATCGGGGGTGTTTGGCGGAAATGGACAGTCCTGGGGAACTCTTGTCGAGACCGTCTGTTTCTCAGGAATTGCAGCGTAAAGGATACGGCTATTTTTTGTCATTTTGTTTCATTGCCTTAAAGATGTCTAAGTCTACATCATGCAAGAGATGTTCAATGTATGTATAACTGGCCTAATGCGACATATAGTGCCTGTGTACATATCCAGGAATGCCACGAACAGATCACGGCGAGCCTCATGACGCTACAGTATATGGCGCTAGAAATCCGGGGCAATAATTTCCCTTGCTCAAGTGTCCTGTCTAGGGCCGGTATGGTTTTCATATGGAGTATAGAAACGGCTGTCCAGAAAAACAACGCCTCTAGAGCCGATTGACGTAGAGATGGCAAGTTACTCTATCCTTAAACCCATCCTCGAAATATTACCGCTGCAGCAACGCAGACCGATGCTTCGTTTTAAGGATGCGAAACAAAAAAAAAAAAAAAAAAAAAAAGAAATGGAAGTCTTCTACTCCCATTGCTTCATGGTTCGCCGTCACCGGACTATACCGGCCAAGAACCAGGAATCCCGGGACTCGTAATGGTTGCGACAATACCGGGCGTCATTTGCGACGAAATATAGGTATAACTTGGAATTCACATGTCTCAAATCAGAAACCCAATGGCACCATCTAGGTCGCCCTCGGCAGCATCCAAAGCGCGAACCGCCTCCTCCTCTGTAAATCCCAGTTCAGTTATCTTCCCAATCGACGACTGCGGCCAACGTGGTGAACGTGCAGCGCCAATACTCGTCCCCGGCGCAACTGAAGATGTTGGTGCGCTAGCCTGGCTGCCTGCTTGGTGGGTCACCGCGCCTGTCCGCGCCCCGACTTCAGCACCATCAGATCCCTTCACTATGGGTTCATCTTCCCACTCCTCCATGAGATGTTTAGGGATATCCGCTTCTCCGAGGAAAGGAACGGCCTGATCTTGGATGATGAGGGCATTCTTCTTCAGATCAATACATGCCTGGTGTCGCCTCAGCATATCTAATCCCAGTAGAAGGTCGATGTGTTTCCCTTCCATAACGGTGAAGGAGCACGGTAGGAACAGATTCCCAATCTTTATCTGGGCAGAGTGCACCCGGCCAATTATGGCAGCTGTGCCCACACCTTTGGCAATACCCCCATAACGTCTATCTACTAGACGCATAATGTTACACGCCGTAGCGCATTGTGGTGACATGATGGTGACTTGGGCACCTGAGTCGACAAAAGCATTGAGCTTGTGGCCGTTGACTTCGACAGGTATGTAAAGCATCGTTACGTGGCCGAAAGCTACCGTAGATGTAAGCAAAACTAGAAGCTATAGGGAGGCAAGGAGATAAAATAACAGAAAGCATGACCTACATTCCGGATGATGTTCCATAGCATTGTGCAAGTTCTCCGTCACGGCATTCTGACGAATGATCTCCTCAATCTCTCGTTGATTCTCAGGATTGAACGGATCTGCATTTAACATGGCAATACGTGCCTCCTTCTCGGCCTCCAACTGAGCTTCCCGCCGTTGTTGTGCGAGGAGGACCTCACGAAAGCGCTGGGCACCATCGGCCGCATCAGCGAGCTCTGGATTCTGCCTCCGCACAGCCTCCCGCACGCGCGGGTCGCCCAGAATGTGCAATCGAATCGTCTCTGGATCCGGAGTCATGGCTGCTTGTCTGCGCTGCATATTCTGCTGTGCTGCCGTGGTAGCGCTGGAACCACCAATGCTTCGAGACGGGGGCGGTGCACCACGCAAGGCAATGTGGACACCTAGCATATCTCCTTCCCCGATTCCGATCTGCTCAAGTGTGCGCGAGTTATCGGCAAGAAGTTGATTGTTGAACACTAGGCTCTGCGACTGTGGTGGAATCTGCGTTTCACTCTCCACGATGGCCTTCAGGAGCTCGACAGTCATATCCCCGCCAACTTCGAGAGAGATGATATCGGAGTCGGCCTGGTCGGATTGAATCACGCTCACTGTTATACGCCTATAAAAGATCCACCAGCAGTCAGCAGAGATCCAAAGCAGCTGGAATAGAATAGTATCTCTGGCGAATGGCAATTGCCCCCTTGCACTTACATGATGCGGGGATAGCTGGAATCCAACAAAGTACGGACTACACGAGTTGGCGCTTGTTATGGTGTACCGCGTAGAGATATAGACAAAATTCAAGATATCACAAAGTGGTCACCAGTACCAGAGGAGGATAAAAGAAACGGAAATTGTGAATGGAAGAAAGAGAGAAGCCGTGAAGTTGTTTCGTTTACTTGGAGTGGAGGGCTGCTGAGGGCGAAAGGAGGGGGCAGTGGCGGAGGATGGAGAGAGACAAAGGAGAAAAGTACGAAGATGCAGGCAACAAAAAGCCAGAGGAAGAAGAAGATGATGATGATGATGGAAGACAGACGGAGAGAAGAGAAAGGAAGGGAAACGAGATCGGGATGTCGCGGTGGCCAGGGAAGAAAGAGACGGTGACGGCATGCAAGGCGGAGAGACACGCTGCCAGAACTGGCATCCCGCGTCCTTCTCTCCAACACTCCTCCATACTCCTCTTCTCTCTCCTTCACGCGTCCGCGCGCGCCCTTCCCTATTCCTGGGTCCTGGCATCGGGTATGCCCGTCGCTGGCCGGCGAACGTCTCCCCGAGACCGTGTTTGTGGCGAGCCTACTGATCCCGGTATATACAGACAGAAGAGAAAGGAACCTCTCAGTATTGAGGCTGCAGGGAGGTGATGCATATGACATCACGCGCGTTCATGGCTGACAGGGAATCAATGAAACATAAGAGTCTGCAAGCAGACAAATCCGGTAATCCTGGGAGAGACACCAAAGCGCCTCCTGGCTCCCTGGCTAAACGCAATCTTATCGTCGTTGCACAGCGGGCATATACAACGTGGCCGCTACGCTTGGTCAAATACAAGAACATGGAGCTTGCTGGGACGGACATGAGGATCATATCGCTCATCTATCAGGTCGATATCTAGTAGAAAGCAGGCCCCAAACCAGACATGATCAGGAGGGAATCAAAAGTCATAGCTACTTGGAATCATGGTCTACCTCTTTGCTTCATGCATCATACAGGCCCTCGGAAGAAAACATGTTCGCCCCCTTTTCTAGCAAAATAAACAAAAAGAAACGCCATCTTTGTACATAGATCAAATGGAAATCTTAACAAGTCAGACATATGTCATTCGCTCGTTCGACAGATTCAAAACCCTGGCTCATACGGTAACAACCCACCCGTCTTCCGCTACTGCAGTATCTGTGCGATTCTCGTCCGCAACATTTGTACGGCTTCCAGCTGCTCCGGGGGGAGCCCACCTTGTTGCAAAAGAAGCAACATTTCAGAGACACGTTCGGCCACTGCATCACTGCCAAAAACAACCCCGCCAGGACGGGAAGACTCGTAAAACCACCGATTAACCAGATAGAGAAGATCCGCGGCGACATATTTCCGATTGGATCCCTGGAACGGCACCTCGTCCGTATAGTACATAGACTCAAGAACGGCATAGATCGTTTCGTGGGTAACTCCAAGGTCCAGGAAAAGATCCACGACCCAATTCGGCGGCGCAACGCCACGCTGGTACTCCAACGAGTACCGTTCCAGCATCGGTATGAGCATCGGGATTGAAAAGACGGTCTCCGACATGCGCAGACGACCTCCTAGACTGCGGACCTTGTCAATTACGGCTTCATAGGGTTGCGGTGTCCCGGCTTTCACGGTCTTGTCATGCAGGTCTTGTAGCAGATGCTGCCAGGTGGCCCTGATATCTGCCGCATTGCGATAATCTGCGACATGGAAAACCTGCAGACAAACATCATAATAGCTTCCGGAGTCGGCATAAGTATTAAAGAGCTAAAAACAGCATCAGCATTGTGGATATTTGGGCGGAAGATGCATTTAATACTTACTATAGTCATGGGCAGGATAGGCCCATCCACCTGTTTGAGGACATTAGGTTTTTCATTATCGGGAATGCGAGCATCATCCTTGATACGTTCAAGAATATCGTCCTGAATGTTCGCCACATCAATTAGATTGGTGATGTCCTGTAGAAGTCGTTGCCGATTTTGCCGGCTAATGCCTTCAGTGAAGGTGGAGGCATTGGCTCTAGCACGGCCGAGATACTCGATTCTACGAGCAAGGGGGAGCGCGAAGGCACTCTGGGCCAGCTGATACTGTACATCTGCAGCTTCAAAGAACCGCTGAGATTGAGCATAGTACCGCCACAGAAGGTCCGCATGCGAAACGTCGTCGGCAGACTTGCGCTGCAGATAGGTGACCACGAACGGTGACGATGTCTGAAGCAAGCGATCGCTCCAGCCCTGTTCTAGATACCAGTCGTAAAGGCTTGTCAAGAAAAGCTCGTCGGTAGAATCCGAAATGACCGCATATGCTTCATTCTTGCGTTTTGCAATGGTAGTAAGATGACCATCAATAACTCCTGGGTCGTTAGCTGCAAGGCTGTCGACCGCAAGGATGACCTTAGAAACAAGGTCGTAGCATTGCTTGCGAAATTCATAGTACTCTTTGCCAGTATCCTTCAAGATATCGCCGTTAGCAACCTTGACAAAAACAAAGTCAACAACAGATCATGCTTACGTCTGCACGACGCCCTCCCATAAACCATGCAAGCCCCAGGTTCGCCCTGTCCGAATGTGCTGCGACGGTCAAAGCAAGTTGAATTGCCCCTGTTGAGAAACCTTTAGCTTTTGCATTTAGGGAATTGCTCACAAAACCACCTACCGGCGAAGAACTGATTTTCTATATAGCTTTGCACGGCCGAGACCAAGTAGTCCATCGATAGGCCGTCAGAAACCCGCTGGAAGAGCTGAAGGCTTTCATTGAGTAGGTTACGACCGAGTTCAGAGTTAGCACCGGCCTCAGAGGCTCTTTTTAGGAGCTCCTGAGCTTTGAAAATAACGACATCCTCGGCACTGCAGAAACTGCCACACCGTCGCCTAAGCGCGTCGGCGACGGTTTCAACATTTGAACCTTTGGCAATGTTTCTATTTACGATTCCTTTGATCAACTCCTTTGCAATATCATATCCCTTATTGGTACTGAAGAGCTCTTCGAATGTGAGTTTCAAGAACCGCTGTTTTGCTTCGTCCGGGAGGGTCGACACGATCTCATCAACTCTCTCGTCAAAGAGAACTAATACGAAGGAAATCCCCTCAATCGTATGAGAAACCAACTGAACAAGAGAGTGAAGAGCGCGATGCTCCGCTTGCAATGCAACCTCTTCTTGTTTGGTCCATACGCGAGCGAGAGCTTCAGGCCCGCTCAATCCTTCAATAAAGTTTCGGTTCGACTTGAAGAAATCCTGTAGTGCAGAAAGGTCTCGTTGGACGCTCTGGAGTTTTTCGGGTTTGATAGACGGCGAAACTGAAAGCGCTCCGTTTGGCCCCTTTCCAACCTGGGCAATCTCTTTCTTCCAGATTGAGCGTAACAGCCTCGAAATGTACAGGGCGATTCCAGCATGCCTTGGGGAAGGAACAATGGTATCGATGGCAAGAGTCGCATTATCAGCAACCGCGTTTTCATTTAACATGGGCTTTCCGCCATACTCAATGAAGACTTTGCGAGCAAATTCAAGGACATGCGGATCATTGATCTGGGAGAGACGCGAGTCCGAGGAAATATCCACTCCCTGGCCACATGCAACGGCTAAAGCAGTTGCAAGAGTCTCACTGCGGCCATAAGTGCGGATGAAGTTTTTAACTTCGCCCTCAAGCCCCTCATCACCACCACCGCGGCGTACCAACGTAGCAAACATGTCCACGAGGCGTCGTCGACGAATGACATGAATGCCAGAGTTAGTCAGGATGGCAATCTCGGTGGTTGGGTTATCAAATTGGACAGCGAGTTCATTGCCGAATCCACTGGGGGTATTGGCAGCTAATACAGGAGCAGAGCAGAGACCGATATCTTCAGCTTTGCTATCCAAGGAAAGCCAGATGGCAGACTCGCTAGCTTTCCCAGGAATTACTGTTTCCTGAGACCGTGCAATGCGACCCGAATCGGGTGAAGAAATGAAAAGGTCATCAGCTTTTCGAGTAGGGTCCTTGGAAACGAAACAGAAGAAATACCCCGGAGGGAAACGAGCTGCAAATCGTGTTGGCTCCAAGGAACGGATGGGTACTTTAGAAGTGAGGGATGGCTGGAATCTGCTCTGGAACCCCTGATTGACAGGGTTGGCAGCGGCATTCCCATGTGGAGGAGTTTTAACATGGTGAGCTTGCATGCTCGTCGGCGCGCTGGTCCCATTCGGCATTGATGACCAGCTGAATGATCCAGTCGCACTTAGATAAATGCGATATCCCGTGGCCGTTGTCGCCACAAGATGATACCTTGAGGCTTCCGCGGCAGAAATAGGACTGATGGAAATGATTTTGATCTTCGGGTTGAGTGTCTCATTTGAAGTGATTATATGCCCGATGTTTGCGTAAATGTCTGCAGCTGGTTTGGTAATAGCGAGGACGAGAGAACCATCGGGTTTCATGAGAAACACTCTGATAGTCGATAGAGAGGAGAGTGTATAGAGGAGTTTCCTGCTGTCATCAACCACCATTTGCTCCACGCACTCGAAAGGTTTCGTGGTAAAGCTCAAATTAGGTGTAAATGACGCCAGACGGGGCCTCGTATGGTTTACCTTGTAGCACCTGCCCTTAAACCATCTCTCTTCCTGGTGATAAACGAGCTCGTAAACATCATTGTCAGAACTGCCACCGAAGAAGAGACGGCCAGTAGAGTCAGAGGAAGCAAAAACGTGAATATCCAAACCCCGAATCAGTGTCGCCATCCCCGTCTGATACAATGTGACTTTGGATCCACCTGAAGCTGTTTTCTGAAAGCCCATCCCTAATAATAGGACCTCCGCCGTTGTTGATACGACGAGCAAATGCGTGACCGCGGGAAGGAACACTCCCGCACGAGGTTTGGCAAGTTTCACTGCATTGATGCTGTTAGGCTGTTCCTCAAATCCAACCAACTGAGGGTTCGGGTTTGTATAGTCCCAGAGATACAGGGCGTTGTCAATGGCTACCCACGCATGCTGCAACTCAGCAAACAGGCCCATGACCGTCGAAACTTGAGCCCGGTTATACTGGTCGAAGATGGGATCGGGGATATTGTACATCTTTACTTTCTGGAAAGGCGCCCATGATGGCGAGGCCGGAATGTCGTAATCTGAAGAAAAACCTTCTGCACAGAGTTGTCAGCCGAGTCCTGCTAAAACAGCTGCACGATGATCATCGTCTTACGGGACAAATAGTTATCGAGGTCAGGATACCGCGATTCCTGGATTAGCGTATCATTGATCGTCCGAGCGGCGCGCTGTTCTGTGCTCAAAGTCTGAATCTTGTCCTTCGAAGCAGCTGGGGGAAGCTTGGGAAGAGGAGCTGGGGAAGCTGGTTGCTCGCCAGTCCCCAGGGTTGCCCTCGGGCTGAAGAATGGCCCATCTTGAGCAGCAGCTGGAGGAGCTGGCGTCTGCTGATAAGTCCCTGGTAAAGGTCTCTGCGGCGTGGCAGGTGTAGCAGGCGTGGGAAGGATTGGATAGGACATGATTCTATCTGGAGCTCGCGTAAAGCTTGGGGATCGTCGCACTCCCCTGCTAGATGGAGGCCGTCAGCGTGGAGATGAAGAAACTGAGCAACAATTAAGCGGAAGATGAAAGACGTCTGCTAAAAGGAAGACTAATTAAGATTAACAGGCATAAGGATTCGAGTGTAATTGACAGGTACCTGTCTCTTGAGAGCAGGAGGCAGCAGACGAGTTTGGTAGGAGAAACAAAATTGTGCACAGGCCATGGCGGAAGTGCCTCTGCTGCAGCATTCCGCCCTCAGTGAATCTGCCCGGACGGAGGACATTGATTTCTATTGAACCCCCAGAAGTTCCAATTGTTCTAGCATTCACCCTGCCGCTGTAACTGTCTATTCGAAATAATGTCCCTATTTCTGTCCCTTAGAGGAGTCCCAACCCGTCTCAACTTCCGCTCACTGTCCGGACGATGGACTTCGACCGCCGCAAGTCCGACTACGCCTCCATTGCTGGGCAAAATAAGGGCAGATCTCAAAACCGCAATGAGGGCGAAGGATAAGACAAGGTACGGAACTGTCTACATATTTCCGGTCTTTGGTCCGCTGTTGTCTTGTGGATCCCGTTACTGAACGCTTAGGGCTGTTTTAGATTGGATGTCCTTCGAGCCCTGATATCGGAAGTCAACAATGCTTCGAAAACACCCTCTCCGGTTCAAACTGACTTGCAGCTATTGTCGTTGATCCGCAAACGAACGGCAGCTGCGAAAGATGCGGCACAACAGTTTGCAGCGGCTGATCGGCTGGACCTGAAGGAGAAAGAGGACGCGCAAGTCGTGGTGCTGGATGAATATGCTGCTCAAGTAGATACTATGAGCCACGAGGATATCAAGATTGTCGTTGTGCAAGAGATTTCCCAATTGAAAGAGGCAGGTAAGAAGGTTGACATCGGATCGGTGTTGAAGTCACTTTTTGCTCCCGGAGGAGCTTTGGATGGCAAACCAGCCGAGAGAGCAGAAGTGGCCAAGATTGCAAAGGAGGCTGTCTCCGCAGCATAAACACAAGAGAAATCAGCTTCAAACATTGTATATTAGGTTCTAGGATGTTTCAATCTATATTCCCAAAATTTCCGCAATGTAGTTGGGCGTCTATTAGCTCTCTCATGGCAATGAAAAGTGTTCGGATGCATTATTATATCCAGGAAATATCAATCCACAATGACGCGAGAAGCTGGATTTTCTCAGGCGCCCGATGAATGCAAACAAAGTCGTTGAATCATATATAGTACATGTCTCTCAAAAACGCCAAACACATTGAACAATATCCCACGTCTATACGCCATTCCCAGTGTTATTTAACTCGCAAAGTGTCACACTTAAAAGAGGAGCAGCCCGAGAGCACCGACAGAAGTCACGACGAGGCCAATCCACCAAAATCGGTCCGGATCCATGATATTCTCGAGCGTTCCAAACGTGTTCGCATCCTTTGGCGGCTCAACTCCATGAATGAAGCTTCTCTTTGCCTTTGCGGTCTCGGTAACCACTGGATTCAAGGTAGAGGTGGGCAGCATCTGCGGCGGGTTGTAGACGAGGTACATCGGATGCAGAGGAGATCCATCAACAGATTTAAGGTCCAGGCGCTGGACTCCGTGGTAGGGGTCTTTGTAGACGTCGAACGACTAGGCGCAACACAGCATTGTTAGCACAGGCATCCCGACATGGCTATCACGATCATGTACCATAAAACTCTCGGTCTGGTTGTATCTTGTGTAGGTTGCCTCGTCTTGATTACCGCATGGATCCGACAAGAGCTGTCGGCCGTCAACGGCAATCGGCTTTAACGTCAGTGTGCCATCGCTGTTCACGGAATAAGTGCCATGCTGCCACTGTATGATACCCCTGGGACAATCAGGGCTCGTCGCTAGCCATCCCCAACAAGAGTCAGAACGCGAGTACACGGAGAAGATCGGCCATGCAGAGAATACTAACGATTAGCAAGAGCGCGATAGTATGCCTCTTCAAAGTGTCCGTCGGAAGTGAAGGAATACGAGAAACCAGTATGCTTCGGTTCGAAGAACGAATCATTGACAGGGTTATAGAATCCCTAGGGGGGGGGGAAGCATCCGAAATCAGCAATCAAGAGTTTTGCACGCGGTTTGAGCGCGAAGAGAAAGAAACAGCATACCGGACCTGTGATGACGCCGCGGGATTTGGTGGACCATGTCCCTACAAGATCAGACGCTGACTGGGCGCTGACAGCTGTGAAGCAAAGAGCGAAAAGAATGCAATGCGCGATCATCTTCAGCGTGTCTGTGTATGGCATGGAATTTTGTGGTAGAAAGTCTGTGAGAGATGCAGATCATAGGTGTCAAGATGGTTGATCGCTGCTCTTTTAAATATATGGCGGAGAGAGAGGGAGTTGCGTGCAACCAGAAAATGAAAGCTCCGCCAGAGATCCTTGCCGAGCGTTTCACGAAACGATCATCTCGGGAGCATATCCGCATACGAGAGATGCCGACATTCATTCCAGACTCTAGTACTCCCACAGTAACAATGGCTGGTGTTCAGACAGCGAAGAAAGAGCTTCGCAGAAAGATGCGCGAGGCGCTTCGGAGCATACCTAAGGACTCCATCGTCAGTCAATGTCAGAACCCTGTCCCTATTTCTATCCTGATGTCTGCTACGAGGTTCTGACTTGCTACAGCTGGAGTCGCTACGAATAAGCTGCTATCGCTCCCCGAATACCGAAATGCCAAACGGATAGGCATATATCTCTCTATGCCTTCTGGGGAATTATCCACAACTGGCATAGTCCAGAGTGCTCTCAAAGAAGGCAAAGATGTCTACATTCCTTACATCCACAGCGCGGTGTCCTCGTTGGCGCAGCAGAAAAATTCCATAATGGACATGCTCGCGTTACGATCTCTCGAAGAGTTTGAATCGCTCGAGCCAGATAACTGGGGGATTCCGTCGCTCAAGCAATCTCAGGTGTCCAGCAGGAAGAACTGCTTCGGAGGATACGGAGTTTCGCCTCAGGAAGATGGTAAAACCATGAATGAGAATCATGGCTTGGATCTAGTTATCATGCCAGGAATGGCTTTCGATCGTGGATTTAGACGATTAGGCCATGGCAAGGGATACTATGATCATTTTTTGACGAGGTACTCGAAAAAAGAAGTGAACAGCAAGACAAACACGCCAAAATTGCCCTTCCTAGGTGAGAGACCCTCGTATTCGAGAACAAACAAGGAAGAAACGTCCCTTAACAAAATCCACCTAGTCGCCCTCTCTCTTAAGGAGCAACTGCTTCCTCCAGCAGAGGAAATACCGGTTTTGGAGCACGATTGGTTAGTAGATGCCGTTATTGTCGGTGACGGCCAGTTTCTCGTCCACGAATGCCGATAGACCATCAAATAGATTCCCTCCCACAAAACATAACCATTCTCTATTTAATGGATGTATAAAGCAGCCGCTCAATGGTAAATCGTAAGATATCACCCGGGAAGAGTCTTTTTTTTGTTCTTTTTCCTTCATTGTAAATGGTCGTTTTCTTCAAGACGATTGGACAGCCTGGATCAACGACACGTTGTCACCCTTCAGCAGTATTTGCCCTGTGACGGAAACGTTTAGCCCAGATAACATGCGATGTTCGAGAGGTAAATACTTCCATACCTAGCGATCTCCGTTTCTCTTCTTCGGTTTTTGTGGGTAGCCGGACCTCAACCGCGTCGTCAATAACCAGGTTCATGAACTCGTCGAATCCCTGTTGCGGTGGTCAGTCAGAGGTTCGACACAGGGCAGTAAGCGCGTTTCAGACATACTCTGATCTTCCCTTCTATCCGAAAAGCAAGCTGCTCGTAGAGCCAAATGGAAACAGTCGTCCTTTGCTGTAGAAGCCTGAAGATAAAATGGATCGGTGCAAGCAGTGTCTTGCGACCAGCTCCAGCTCCTCCACGGCTGGCCATGACGGGTGTGCGGCACGCGTAACGATCAGAAATTAGACAAGGTGTATGTGAAACGCGCAATAAGTTGTTGAAACGGCAGATTCAAGGAGGAAGACCGATAGGTAGACGTGCAATGGTCGTTGAAGGGAACCAAATTGGCCGGGAGAAGCTCCTGCGGACTTGCTTGTTAGGAAGAAATTACTTAGCGGCTCGGACTGCCAACGGGGTCACTAGGTACCTCATCCCGCCCTGTCATTTTCCTCTTTGGTGCCCACGGAATCGCCACTTCTTGATGCTCTCCTCTTCCTAATGTCCCTCTCACTCTCCTCATTCACGCTCCTTTAATGAGATTTCATGACTGCAGGAATTGATAGGTGTTGTCTTTCGCAGCCCGGCTGACCCCTCTTATCTCCGCTTTCCTGTTACTACAATTCGCACCAAAAATTGAACCATCCCACTTCAACGACCATGGCCAGTAAAGATGGAGGCGCAGGACAGGCCTTTGGTCCTGTCTTGGCTGCCGTTGCTACGATGCAGGGAAATGTTTCACGATCTGAGAAGACGCAGGCCCATGAGTTTCTTGAGAAGTTCCAAAAATCAGTATGGCTTCCTGCCCCTCCTTCCTCTTCCAGATATTCTTTGGACTTCCAGGAGCAAGATTGGATTTCCGAAGAAGAATAATAATAAGGATAAGAAGCAATCTGGCTAGGAATCAAGCAGCTGACATTGCCTATGTTTCCTAGATCGAAGCCTGGACGACTACCCATCAACTGCTGCAATCCCCCGATGTCGATGTGGCAGCAAAGCTCTTTGCTGCAACAACCCTGAAAGGAAAGGTAAATTGGTATTTTTATTAGTCGTCTGTATGATACGGAAAGAGCTGATATCCGTAGATCATATTTGACCTGGATCAATTGCCTGCGGAATCGCTACTGGCGTTGAGAGACTCGGTTCTGGGCTTACTCGTGGCCTATGCCTCTGGTCCCAGACCCATTCAGACACAACTCTGTGTTTGCTTAGCCAGCCTTGCGATTCAGATGACAGGATGGAAAGACGTTCTGACTGTTGTCGGTTCAGCACTAGGTGGCGGATCCATGGATTGCCTCCTGGAATTCCTCAAGATCCTCCCTGAAGAAGTGATGGAAGGCCGCAAGATCAACTTGAGCGTATGTTAGGTCGACCTGAAAATCACCTCCATATTGTCGTCTTACGATCAATTGAGACGATGGTATTTAGCATGTTTTCATCAGTGTTCCGGAATCTAATTCGTCATCATCACCTAGGAAGAAGAGCTTACGCTACGGACAACGGAGCTCTTAGACGATAATGCGGAACAAGTTATGAACCTCTTGATTCAGTATTCTCAGTCATCACGTATGTCATACCTCCCTGGAGTGCTTGATCGCCCGTACGCCCACTGATTTTCTGCAGCCTCTGCCTCAACAAATCCCCATCTACTCGATTGCATTACCTCGTGGATGCGTGAAATTCCTGCTTCGACTATTGTTGGATCTCCCTTATTGGATGTCATTCTAAAGGGCTTGGATAATGATGTGTCTTTCGAATCTTCTGTGGATTCCATCTGTACGCTCTACAGGGATACACGAGAAGTAGATGACTCGCTCTCGGTCATCCAAACATTGTATCCACGAATAATGTCGCTCCGTCCGAAGATCGCGGAATTTGCCGAATCTGAAGACATAGACGCTTTCAAAGGCATTACGCGACTTTTTGCGGAGGCGGGCGAGGCCTGGGTGATTCTAATCGCACGTCTTCCCTCTGAATTTCGGGGCCTTGTTGAAGCAGTTTTGGAATGCTGCGCTTGTGACTGGGAGCGCGATGCGATTTCCCTTACTTTCATCTTCTGGTATGAACTGAAGCAGTACGTGACTTTGGAACGATATGCGGAGGCACGAGTACTTTTCTCAGACATCTTTTCCAAGCTGGTTGATATCATGGTTAAGCACATCCAATATCCTAGCCCTGAGGATGGTGAAACCGATTTGTTTGACGGTGACCGCGAACAGGAGGAGAAATTCCGTCAGTTCCGACACTCTATGGGTGATGTCCTTAAGGACTGCTGTGCTGTAATTGGGGTCACCGAATGTTTAGCGAAGGCATATAATATGATTCAGCAATGGGTGTCAAAATATGCGTCGCAGGCTACCCATGAACATGTCCCCCATTGGCAGGAGCTTGAAGCGCCGTTGTTTAGTTTGAGAGCGATGGGCCGTATGGTTGACCCCGAGGAGAGCAGTGTTCTAGGGCAGGTGATTCCCTTGATTGTGCAAATACCGGACCAGGAGAAGGTACGGTTCCAGGCCATCATGGCTCTTGCTAGGTATACGGAATGGACGGCGCAACATCCAGAGACGCTCGAAGCGCAACTGAATTATGTCATTTCTGGTTTCCAGCATAGTTCTCAGGAAGTGGTCCAGGCCGCTGCATTGGCCTTCAAGTTCCTTGGTACAGACTGCCAAAAACTGCTTGGAGGTCATATCACTCAGTTACATTCGTTCTTTGAGTCTGTGCTGGACAAGCTTAAGCCTGTCAGCCAGGAGGAAGTTACGGAAGGCGTGGCGGCTGTGGTTTCAGTGCAGCCCCTTGATAAGATTTATTCTACTATGAAAATGTTCTGTGATCCCATCATGGCCCGAATCATGAACCTGGCAAATAATGCAAAGGATGAAGAGGGCCGCAGGGCTGTCGCCGGTATGTGAAGAATCACCATTGACGCTCTGGGGAGAGACAAGCTAACCTATCCTAGATCATCTCCAGTTAATCACCATTTTCGTCCAGGTAGTGTCACCTTATGTTGGTCCTAACGTGGAGAACCCTGCAGTCAAATACTGCGGAGAGATTCTTCCTATTATGACTACCATTGTTATGAATTTTACCACATCGAACCCCATTCTTGAGCGCGTTTGCCGTTGTTGGCGATCTATGATCATATCATACCGGACGGCCATGATTTCTTTACTGCCGACTCTGGCTCAAAGCATTGCAGGTGGTTTTGAAGTGTCCAGAGAAGGCTGCTTTTTGTGGGCCACAGATGCTGTTGTTCGTGAATTCTCCAATGGAGCTGTCAACGTCGACCAGAACACTAGCCAGGCCGTGTATCAGTTTTATGAGCAGCAGGCTATTGCATTCTTGCGTATCCTGAACGATCTACCCCCGGAAAACTTGCCAGATGGTTAGTTCTTCGGTCTCCCTTGTCTGGAAAACGCCTTGTCACTGACTGTTTTCGATTTAGTGATTGAGGACTTTTTCCGCCTTTCATCCGATGCTGTTCGATACTACCCCAAAGAATCTATTTCTTCGTCGCTCGCGGTGCCGATTTTCTCTGCAGCCTTGAGCGCCCTCACTTTGCAACAGCGTGAGCCTGTTATGGCAGCGCTTCATTACTATCATGACCTCCTAAGCTTTGCCTTCGACATGCCAGCTGTGTCCGACTTCCCTACTACGGAGGGGGAAGTGTATTCTAATCCCGCAGAAGTCCAACAAGCCGTGAAGCAACTTGTTCTGTCGCGGGGACAGTTGCTCGCGCAACAACTCCTTACGGGGATGATGTTTACTTTCCCCGTCGACTGTGTCCCAGATGCGTCTGGTATTTTGATGACAATGTTCGACCTCATCCCACAGGAAACGGGAGTCTGGCTTCAAACAACACTTCAGATGGTCCCAGCTGGGTCCCTTAAACCTGGCGAGGCAGAGCGACTATTGAAAGGCATCTCGGACAAAGTCGCGTCCGGCGAGGTTGGAAAGATCCGGGCTCTGCTGCGAGGTCTGCTTCCTTTTTTTTTTCACCCTTTTTGCGCTTGTGACATGCTAACCTTAACGTGCGGTCAGACTTCACGAATTCGTACCGAAGACGAAACGTGGCTCCAAGAGAAGGTTTAGGCCGGTTGGAAGCTACCCGGTTCCGGTTTAGCGGATAGCTGGCCCGGCCGCTTGACGAAGGACCGAGTTGTTCAGGAACGGCTGGGGATCCCTCAATAAAATAATCGCGTGTTGTGGATGTCTCTTTCGGTCGGTTATGCAGATCCCGTACTCCTTCGACCCGAAAACTTGCGCTCCTTGGGATCTGCTGATATTCGAAGCGTCAGGAGACCCGACAGAGATCGGAGGGGGGCAGTTCGAACAGGTCTTCTTCGCTGCATGGCAGCATCATGTCTACGAAGCGCAGCGAGATTCCATTTATCTTTTTGCAGCGGATGGCAGGGTCTATGATACGAGAGCAGCTGCGGCCAAACTAGTAGCGGCACGTGATGTCGCCTGAATGTAACAACATAGTGTTTATTTAGAAATCGAAACGAAGGAGATGAACCATACATGGGCAATGCGTTGATTCTGAGTCTGCTAGTGGTTGGGCTAGGGTAGTCGAGAATAGAGTATGCGATGCTGCAATGTATGGAGACCTTACGACGCCCTGGTATGGGAACCGGAGTAAAAGCATGCCACTTCACTATGCGGACCGCACTGCTCCATGCTTATTATTATTATTATTATTATTAACGACGTGAAGATGATTATGATTTACAGCGTACGTGTCAAGGAATAATCCTTTCTTTCACCGGACTCCAGCCGTAACGAATGGTGGACTCAACAGGGCAGCCAGGAAGAAACATGAGACTCGGCCGACTTGGCTGCGGCTGGGAATTGCCTTGACCCTGAGTCTTTACTTTTTCTTTTTACCTAAGTCATTCCTGCAAGGGCCACTGGCATGATTATCTTGAGTCTTGGGCTATAAATGTAATATCAATCAATATCGGCGGAGGCAAATTTTATAAATAGGCCGGGCCTTAAGGCAGCGATCATCGACAGCATCGTAGGGTACAGTGCAGGTACCGGTGCGCGCCGGCATATCTGGCAAGCTGCAAGTGATACTCTATAGATCTAGATAATATCTATTATCATCTCGAATTCTATACGTCTTACGGCAGTCGACTCCGCGGGGAAAGAAGAGGTGGCGTAGTCGGAGAGCGCCAGGGGCCGAATGACGCTCCCTGGGATCTGCTCCTTTTCCTTCTCCCGTCCGGCGAGAGTCATAGTATAGTCATGCTAGAAACCCGGGAGAGGCGTGCATCACGATCCAGATCCCAATGGCGTGGCCGATCGGTGCAGCGTAGTATGCAGTATGTAAGTAGTAGAGGGCCTAGTGGCTGGGCGAGCTCACTGACACCGTTCCAGAAAAGCCTTGCAATTAATCTGAAAGCACCCCTTAGGTCGTCAGGGCCACCGTCAGCGCCTAGGAGGCCGGGAAATGACACTGGAGGCCCAAGAACGACGATGGAAGCATTCGATTTTTTTCCATCTCCACAGCCGAAACTAGCTTCGCTGGGCCGGCGCATCTCCCGAGTGTCCAACAGGCAAAGCTTTCCCTCGCTAGGCATGCAGGATGAAATCTTTGGCTTCCGCGGCTGCCGCTGCTGGACCTGAGCGCTGCGCGCTGTACGTCAGCTGTACGCTTGTCCACTGACACTGTTCCAGCATACTCTCGGCTGCAGACAGACACGATAATACTTACCGGATCCAGCAGGTGCTAGGTCGCAGGACACGAGGTTGCGATATTTTATTGCGCATTGCAGCGCCCGAGGAGAAGGATCGAGCAGGCGTGGACATGGATGCCCTGGGAAGCAGTTCGTCGGATGCAGACCCGAACTGCCGCATTCTGACTGTAGACTGCGATAATCATATAGGATCAGCTTTGCATTACTACACCAGTATTCTAGTGCGTATGCATGGTTGCAGTATCTAAGTCTGAGCAACCGGGGTTGTATGCAGGAACCTTGGCCGGCCGTCTTGGGATCTCACCTGCGAAGTCACCATTTGTGCTTCATGCTGTACATGACACTGTCCTCGAGTCAAACCGTCGACACGAAAGGGAGGAAAAGAAGGTTCAATGGAACGGACGCTGTAATTCCAGACGCATGCACGGATCTCTGGCAGAGTACAGGAAGGACAGGACATGCCTCACTGTTGCAGACACGATCATCCGATGCTCCCCAAGCAGAACAGCCTCAGAAAGCGCAGGGGAGACGCTCATTGATCAGAAGATTTTCTGCTCTTCGCGGATCATTTTAGAGGGAATCTTATTTGATGGTATTATTATTGCCTCGTCTCCGACGCACACGCCCTCAACAAGCAAAGTCAATCTGCTGCCTCCGTCGCCTAAAAAACGTCACGGCCTCCAGACCCCGCCAGCCGTCCTTGTCCTTTTATTTAATCGCGCTTCCTGGCGCTTTTCCATCGATCCTGTCTTTGCTGCCTGTCTTTTCTGGTCTGTTCTTGTTTCTGACTGACGACGGACGCCGCCTGTGCTGTCCTGTCCCTTGCGTTGGCAACCCTTCGCCCTTCTCCGTCGGACTTCTCCACCTCCACTCGCATCGTCATCATCGTCAGTGTCGACATCCTCAGCATCCATCTGTTGCTTGGATTGACCCTTGCTTGCTGAGATCGATCTACCTGGCAGGAAAGAGAAAGAAGAATATCCATCTTCAGATCTCTCCGTTCCTATGGCTCTCCGCGCTAGATCGAGTTCATCGTCGTGACCCCCTACATAATATATATAGCCCACTATTGCGTTTGCTCGTCCTTCTCCAGCACCTGGATACGAGCTGATGGGCTCGCTGAACGGAAGTGGATTCTTTGCGGGCAATCTTCTTCAAGGCATTGGGTAGAAATTCGTCGCCAGCGACTGCGGTCTACATACATGCATTCCACCATCCCCACCAGCCAGCCAACCGACGATCCAGTCAAGATGGCACTTGCTGTCAGTGCGATGGCTGAATTGAGTCAAGTGTCCAAATCCTACCGGAGGCAACGAGAGGAGGATGGAACGGCAGTGGACATTGACGTGCCCAATTCCAATTTGGCCCTCGACACCCCCACCAAGAAACGGAAACGCCCCCGCAAGATCGGTCCGGAAAAGAAGTTTGAGTGCAAGTACGAAGGATGCGGGAAGAGCTACTCTCGGGCAGAGCACCTATACCGCCATCAATTGAATCGTATGTCCCATAAATGCCTTTCTCCTCTGCCCCGATGGCGACGTCGTGATTGCTGGCTAACACGCTCTTTGATTTACTATTCTAGACACGCCCAAACAAATATATCGATGCGACTTTCCAGACTGCTACCGATCCTTCGTGCGACAAGATCTCTGTGTTCGACACCGAGAGAGGCATACCACCAAGGGCTCCCAGCTTCAAAAGCGTGACCACTTCGCTTTCGGGGCCGCCGCCGCAGCAATTGACAAGTCTTCGGTACCCCGGAGCCATGCTGCTCTGGATCGTGGAGCACAGGCAAATGGCCTCAACGATAACTCATCTCCCGCTGTTTCGTCCTCCACTAACGGGATGTCACCGCCGCCGCCGGTGGCCCCGATCTTACAACCTGCTAAGAAGAATGGGGAACGGGTTAACACTAGTCACCCCCCAGACTATGCGAATCGGCAGTCTGCCGCAATATCCCCAACATCTATGCCATCACCTATGACGGCTTACAACTATCAAGCCGTTGCCGCTCATCCTCATGCCGAAACGGCCGATTCAATTGTCACCCGGTCAACCAGCGTGAGCAACAACACGGTAGGGAACTCCCCTCCGACTCAGTCAAATACCACGTACAGCCCATCGGATATCCAGGCACCATATGGCAAAGTCGGTAGCCGTCACTCTGCAAAACTCTCCATCAGCTCCGTCGACTCCGGACGAGAGTCTCGTCCGTATCAGCCGTTATCGGGACCCGATCCATTATCGGCGACATCTACTCGAAATCCCAGCATCCCCTACCCCATGACCACAGGGATGGATGGGTCTTCGATGCTTAGTCCCACTGTATACGCATCTCAGCAACCAAGTCTGCAAATGCCATCGCTTCCCATTAATCGGTACCAGGAGCTCTCACTGCCCGGGCCTACTCCCTCGACGACCAGCCTCGGTGGGCTGGATTCGGTCCCAGGAATGATAGCACCTGGGGCTGGCATAACTGACGCCGGGTTCGATTCCCTATCATCCTATGCCTACCCGCTCTTTGGAGGCGAGACCTATAATCGATCACCCTTTGCAATGGTTGATGACTTTGCTGCGTGGCTTTTCAACGAGTCCGGGCCTGGCTCTTCCCCTTTGAATTATCCCCCCACCGCTGGCATAATGCCAGATTACTTGGACCCCGCACACATCCAGAACCCGTTCTATGCCAATGATCCTGCATATATGAATTCTTTTGGAAATGTAGTCCCCTTACAACATCCCATGAGCATGACCAGCATCTTGGACCCTGGATCTCCACAGGCTGTCATGTCGGAGGAGAAGCGACAGGAGCTTCTGGATCTCATCTCCACGCGCTTTAACGAGGCTGCGTACTCGGCAGTGGCCAAACGCAAGGATGCCTTTTTGGAAGGGAACATCGATGATGATAATCATATTCTGAGCTTGCGAATGATGCAAACGTATATCGGCTCGTATTGGTTTCACTTTCACCCCCAGCTACCGATTCTACACAGACCCACGTTCTCCGCAGACAAGACCCACAATTTACTCCTCCTTGCAATCATCACCATCGGGGCATCGACATTGGACAATGCATACGGCCGTGAAGTCTCTGAGACTGCTTCGGCGTTGGCCAATTTCATCTCATGGCACCTCAGGTGGGAAATATTCATGGACGCCGATTTCCGACCGCCCGCCAAACTCTGGGTATTCCAGGCGCTTCTCCTGCTGGAAGTCCACGAGAAGATGTACGCCACACGGGCACTGCACGAACGGGCACACATTCACCATGACACTACACTGACCCTGATGCGGCGTGGCAGTTCGTTGATTGACCGTTCCGCGTTCGAATCCCCAGCGAGCATGAAAGAAGACCGACGCTCCGCCTCGGGCTCGATATCCGTTTCTGAGACGACAGCGGAAGAATCCTGGATCCACTGGATCAAAGCGGAAGCGACCAGACGTGTCGCGTTCGCAGCATTTGTTCTTGATTCGACACACTCGACAATGTTCGGACATTCTGCGAAGATGGTGGCTCATGAGCTGCGTCTCCCGTTGCCGTGTGATGAGGTACTGTGGTCGGCGACCAGCGCGGGCGAAGTGGCCAGGGTACAGGCTAGTCTTCACGCGAATGGTGTCAAACCTGTTATGTTTCTGGAGGCGCTCAAGCAGACCCTCAATGGACAACCCGTGCGGACGAATGCCTTTGGACGTACAATCCTCATGGCCGGTTTGCTTAGTGTGAGCTGGCACATGAACCAAAGAGACCTCCAAGTCAGCACACTTGGCGTCGCGCAGGCTCTGGGTGGCCGAGATAAGTGGCGATCCGCGCTCCTTCGGGCGTTTGACAATTGGCGGCGGGATGTCGACGAGGCACTGGGACACACTGTTCATACACCGTATTCGAATCGGTATCCGCCCCGAAGGGTACTGGACGAAGATAACATCGTGGAGTCTCGGGATGCGCTGCACCGGCTGGCACATATGGCTTTACATGTAGACATCATGGACTGCCAGATCTTTGCGGGAGCACGACGACTGCTGGGCCGGTCGATCACGCCCAAGGACTACAAGATTGCAAAGGAGAAGATGACGCAACGGTGGGCGGCCAAGGCCTCCGCGCGGGACGCGGTCTTTTACGCGCTGAAATTTCTATCCGAGTGTCTCCTGGGTAATGAGAGTGATGTATCACCGCTGACTCCGGAATACTGTGCACGCGATGACTACCTAGTCAATCGGCCGTGGGTGCTATATTTCGCGGCGTTGGTGGTATGGTGCTACGGATACGCGTTGGAAGGCCCGATCAATCCGCCCATGGAGCTGCCGACACCGGTGGACCAGCGACGTGATATGCAGGAGTTCTTGCGGCGCGTTGGCGGCGTGCGCGAACCGAACGAGTTAGAGACGTTGACCGGTCGAAACCGATGTATGGGCCTTCTGATGGTGCTGCGGGATGACTTTATGCAAGCGCGATGGGAATTGCTGGCCGAAGGGGCTACGTTACTTGGGAGTTGCATTGAGAAGCTGGGTTCGGGCAAAATCAACTGAGGGTTCTGACATTATTATGTTTCATGTCTGATATCCGCCGCCTACGTTTCTATGTGTATATATTTGCCTTTCTTTTTTCTTTTGTTCATGCGCTCTTTGGGTCTTGGAGTGGATGGATTGATATCCCATGGTTGATTGATTTATGACTTTTGATACATACTTGGCAGAACTATGGACCATCGAGGAATATCCATACATTCGTAAGCCGTCGTAGTAAGAACTGAATCTGCTTAAGCCAGATAGCTTGCAGTCCCTCTGCAACGCGTGGCTCTGAGATCGTGCCAATATCGTCGGTAGTTGTACTGAGAAGGGTATCCCTGGGCTGTCAACACAAGGGATGCACCTTCACTATGGCATCCTCGAAACCTATCACTTCCTATTAAATCTGTTCTCTACTAAGTACTGCGTCTCTAGCCTTGCAATGCATATCAAGGTTCCAGTTATCGGCGTCCCGCAGTGAGTCGGCCCACCAGTTACCATAACAACGGCTGAGCACAGTCCAGACAAGGACAGTCAGACATTATTATCGTCTCTTGACTGCATCCATTCAACTTAATTCAATCCAATTCCATCCAATCCAGCTGCTGTCGTTTCTTGCTTTGAGCAGCCATAGCATTGCGTGTCGCTACTCTGTACTGAACTCTGAACGCTGATTGATCTCGAACCGCGAACTACATCAACCCCTGAGTTTTTCCTGTACGGTTTGCAACCATGGTACGTCCCTGCTTATTTCATTCTCACGTCGCAAGACTGGACGGAGAGAGCAGGAAAGGCAAGGGAAGGAAAGACCTCTTCCAGTACACGGGAGGCAAGAGAAACAACCAATTGCCATGGATGGCTGGGGTTGAATCCAAGCCGTCATTATCCGTGCCTTGAGCTGCGTTACGGTTCAGCTCAGCCTTTCCCTGTTTTCCTGTTGACGTCGAGCCGTTTCCCCCTCCCTTTTCTTTCTTATTGCTTTGTTTTCCCCTCCTTCGCATTACCTTGCCTCCACACTGCTTCTGTTTACCTTTCACTCTCCCTCAACCAACCTGACTCTGCATTTCAAAATGTCCAACTCACATCTCGATCAGTCCTCCACAAACTACAAGGAAGCCTTCTCGCTCTTCGACAAGCGCGGAAACGGCAAGGTAGCCCTCGAGTCGCTCGGGGACCTCCTGCGCGCATGCGGGCAGAATCCCACCCTCGCTGAGATAGCGGATCTGGAAAAAACCGTCGGTGGTGACTGTACGTGTTCTGTTGGATATATTCGATATATCCGCGATAACAACTAACGTCTATGTCCGACAGTCGACTACGAATCCTTCATCAAAGTCCTCAACCGTCCGGGGGGTTTCCGGGAACCGGATGAAGTGGAGGAATACTGCCGCGGGTTTCAGGTGTTCGACAAGGACCTGACAGGGTTCATTGGGGTAGGCCAGCTGCGATACAGTATGTTATTTGCTTCCGGTTGATTTGCGCGCTGTCGCATCGCTGACTGCAACAGTCCTGACGAACCTGGGCGAGAAAATGTCCGATGAGGAGGTCGACGAGCTTCTCAAGGCTGTCGATACTAGTTCCGGCGAGATCAACTATACTGGTATGTCAAGTTGGAGCTTTGTGGGTATTGCTTAGAGTGCTGACTGAAGAGACAGACCTCGTCCGCACTATCCTGGCTAACTGATGAGCTACGACTGTCCTTACGTTCTCGATTCTGTCTTTCTGTCTGACGTGTTCACGACGATTGTGGTGTCTCTAGGAGTATAACCTTTTACGATGTATTAATCAATGGAATTCTCTATCATGTCTATTCGCGCTTTCGTCGGGGTATCGTAAACATAAACGATTCATCTGGGAGGGTCCCATAAACCATTTATTTCAATCGTAGATCTATCGAATCCACATCCTCCACTCTTTATCTCGAGCGCTCAGTCTCCCCTCGTCCCCATCAGCCAGAGCATCCGTCTCCACCAAAGACCCGGGAAGGATATACACCACTTTGGGTTCACCTGGAGAAGCGCTCGCATCGTCTCCGTCCTCTCCACTCCCGGTAGTACCCGTTTCATTCTTCTTAACCGTCTCGGGGAAATGGATATGATCCAGGAAATACCCCATAGCAACACCACACCGCCCACAGCGCAGGAAAAGCCGTTTCTCAAACCCATCAGACCGCCGAATGAGGGTTCGGGAGGGATTAGGAAGGATGGTCGATAGAAGGATCGTTGTATGGTCGATTGCGCCTTTGGTGTCGGTGTCTTCTCCAGCACGTTCGACCTCGTCATCGACGTCGTCTTGTGCGTTTTCATTTCCATCATGATCCTCGAGCGTCCTCGTCTTCTTCTTCGTCTTCTTGGGTTTGGATTTAACGGGTAAAGGTAGGATGAGTGCCCTATCGATCCCTCCTACTCCCGTCCCGTCTCCTTCTTCATTCCCTGTTCTTATATTTGCATTTGCATTTGTACTGTGGGCGGTGTTTTCATTCTCATCCGCTTGATTGCTTTTTCGTCGTGGGAGCTTCGACAGGTCTCTTGTCGTTGCGAGGAGGAGGTGGCTGCAGAAGCGGCAGTGGTAGGTTCGGATGGGGAGGCGGTTTGTTTCTATTTCGTTTACGTCTGTATTGTCTGGTTGAGGGGAATTAGGCTGAGACATTTTATGTTGTGTGTCTCTTTTCATCTGTTTTCTGTTGCTGGTGGGTTGAACTTTGAAGCTATCGACGATGCTTCTGCTGTGGGGAAGATCTAGCTGCTTGGCGTTACAGCAGATCCGCCACCACTATCTCAGGCTCTCAGCACGCTTCAGGCTTACTGAACGATGGCTAGATATAAAATCACCTGCTTGATATTGCATGAAAATACCCGGAGTTTAAACCTTGTCTATTGCGAGTGAAGAACTCGTAAACCAGTGCTTAGCATCATATCAGCACCCATCACAAGCAGCAATTCATCCATTATATATCCCTCTCTCTTTTGCGTTGGAGATGATCTGATTGTCTGATATATTTCTCTTTGCTTACTTCCGACTTCGCAATCAGACAGAAATGTTAAACCTAAATAACTTGCCCGTTACATATGTTATGCTTACTACCCGGTAGATGATGAAGGCTATTCCACCCCAAGGTAGTATGTCTCATTGGACGGTTCGTTTATGGCGTTGCTGGATGCACACGCTCACTGTCACTCAGGCTTATGAATGACAGATGTTGCATTCAGTGGGATGAGAAAGTATAAATACTTGTCGTCAGCTCTAGTTGTACTGTCTCATGTTACTCAGTCATTAGTGTTTGTACAGTCCTGCTCAATTTGCATGATATTATCAGAATTGTGACTTGATTCCCACACTTACGTACCAATATAGCTGCTCCTCTTGACTTCACTGTAAGATTTATCCAGTTATTTATGGAGGTGGATATTTATCTAACACCTAAAGACATTCCACAATGTCATTAGTAACGAGTTGACATCTACGCCTCAAACCCGCCACGGCCTGAACCCAGCAAACAAACAGCCAAATGCCGAGGTGCCTGTATCGACACAGGAAGATCTCGATCACGCCGTTGCCGCAGCCCCGACGGGATTCAAGAAATGGTCCAAGGTCCCCCTGGAAGCGCGTCGTGCGGCTCTACTCGCCTATGCCGATGCGCTGGACGCACATAAAGACCAATTCACCCAGCTTCTGACTCAAGAGCAAGGGAAGCCACTCAGCCAGGCATCGACTGAAATAGATTTCTCTGTGGTGTGGATTAAGGGTGCCGTTGAAGTGAAACTCACCGATACTGTCATCGAGGATAGCAAGGAGCAGACGATCATCCAGAGATACACGCCGCTGGGTGTTGCGGCTGGTATCGTTCCATGGAATTACCCCATCATTCTTGCAATTCAGAAGGTTATTTCCGCGGTTTACGCGGGGAACTGCATCATCATCAAGCCTTCGCCATACACACCGTACTATGATCTGAAGCTCGCCGAGTTGGCGACGCAGTTCTTCCCGCCGGGTGTCATTCAGGCGTTGAGTGGTGATGATGATCTGGGTCCGATGATTACTGCGCATCCCGGGATTGACAAAATCTCCTTTACCAGATCAACAGTGACTGGAAGAAAAGTCATGGCGAGCTGTGCGCAGACACTTAAACGGGTGACGCTGGAGTTGGGAGGGAATGACCCGGCTATTGTTTGCGAGGATGTTGATATCGATGCTGTATTGCCCAAGGTATATCCTTTTCAAACCAGAACAACCATTGCAGTGGCTGACCAAATACCCTGCAGATCGGAATCTTCACCTTCCTCACCTCGGGTCAGATCTGCGTCAGCATAAAGCGCATCTACGTGCACGAAAGGATATATGACGAATTCTGCGACAAACTAGTCGCCTTCGCTAAATCACTGAAAATCGGCGCGGGGACGGACCCAGATACCTTCTTCGGACCTATTCAGAATGCCATGCAGTACGAGAAAGCAAAGGACCTGATCGGATCCATCGCGAGCGAAAACCTCACCATCGCGCTGGATGGCAAGATAGAGGGACCGGAGGGATATTTCATCCACCCCGTGATTGTCGATAATCCGCCGGAGACGTCTCGCGTGGTTGTCGAGGAGCCATTTGCGCCAATCATTCCCTTAATGAAATGGTCTGAGGAAGACGATATGATCGCGCGTGCCAATGATACGGGTATGGGACTGGGCGCGTCTGTCTGGGGTAAGGATGCGGAGAATTGCTGAACAGATCCAGGCGGGCATCGTCTGGATCAACACTCATTTTGAACTGCGGCCGCATGTTCCAGTCGCGGCGCAGAAGGGGAGCGGCATTGGTAGTAAGTTTGGGGTGGACTGGATGAAGTCATTCTGCAACTCGCAAACAATTTGGATAAAGAAGGATCTTTGATGCCGTAGAAGCAAAGAATGTACGTGGTTGAAGCGAAATGTTGCGGTGATGGATCTCCACGCCCTACGGTTGACATCAATAATTATTACTTCGAAATCGCTATCTTGGTCCCGCCATGATAAGCGTCTGGTATTAAAGCCAATTCCTCTGTACCTAGTCCCCGTATCCAGCTCTACAGATTACTTCGTGATACTTCTAGGCATAATGGCCGCCCGCACGTTCCTCGCATTCCAGCACAACGCAAAGCTGCACACCCTGCAGACGATTGTGACGGCCGTCCGCCCCTTCACAGCCCTCGAAGAAGCCAACCAGCAGCTGTTCAAGCAAGGGAGCGAGAACGACCATGTCGTGGTCACCGAACAGACCATTTTCCATCCGCAAGGGGGAGGTCAGCCCTCGGACGTGGGCGCGATGACAGGATCGTCAGGCACATTATTTACAGTGACGGCGGTGCGCATGGACAGCGTCCGCAGCGGACAAGTGCTGCACCTGGGCTATTTCAGTGGCAGTGACACATCCCGTCTATTCAGCAAAGGGGAAACGGTTCAGCAAAGCATCGACGTGGAAAAGCGCCTACTATACTCCCGACTGCACACGGCAGGCCATGTCCTCGGCGCAGCAGTCCGACACCTCCTGGAGAAAGAAATCGCGGATTTCGACGAACTGAAGGCGTCACATTTCCCAGACTCAGCGTCGTGTGAGTTCCAGGGCGTGATCGAGGGGAAGTGGAAGGATCCGATTCAGCAGAAGGTGGATAGCTATGTGGCTGCCCGGATGCCGGTGGAGGTAGAGTGGTGGGATGAAGAGGACTTTCGGACACGCGGGCTGGAGAGGTTGATTCCTGATCGCGAGGCAATGGGATTGACGGCAGAGGAGAAGTTTCGGGTGGTCAATATCGTGGGCGCGGAGGTGTATCCGTGCGGAGGGACGCATATGGATTCGACGGATCAGTGCGGTGCGGTGGGCGTGAGGAAGATTTCGAGGAGCAAGGGGAAGTCGAGGGTTAGTTATGTGGTGGATTAGTATGTACTTTTTACTCTCTAAAGTCGCCCGTAACGGCCTCATAGATCGACGATGCGCTGCTCATGATGGCCACTCTCTCGAGGTACAGGACCTAATCCAGCTATCTCGGGCACGCAAGTGCTCAAAGGATGGTTCGAAATCCACGCATTGCCCGGCGGTAGAATATTCATCAATTGTAACAGCTTTACCAGCATCCGCGTTATAAGTCGTAGTTTATATAGTAGACTTTGTGGACTGGAATGTGTGTATTGAGCTAGGCCTAGCCAAGCGTGTTGGATCACGTGGGGTTCTGCCGCATAGGTTAGGCCTATCTAGCTAGTAACCAACAATATATAGTTACCTCCATTAAAGCGACGATCAAGTCACGTGATCTCCAACTAACGACGTGGTGGAAAAGGTCAGCGAGGGCGGACCTATGCGGCAGAACCCCACGTGATCCAATACTAACTGGTAAAGTCAACATATCCGGTTCAACATTTCTACATTACAATAGAATTGGACGCTTGCAAATACATGTCCCGCGTCCTTTTCTATAGCTATGAAGTGCTAGGAGCCTATATTCTACACCATGGAGTCCACAATATTTCAAGGTACAGTCCGTTGACATAAATGAACAGCTTAAAATAAGCCCTGCTGGCCCAATGTCCACCGTCGAAGCCTTGGAGTATTTAGATTCCCTTCTCACTAGGGAGATCTCATCAATCTGAACCTATCCTTCGAAGCACTAGCAATTTCCTAGCAACCCCTTTTGTATGGTGGTGTCCGGAAGAGGAGGACACAGTGGCCATAGAAAATCAAGGCTTGGTGATTCCTTGATACAGCATGACAATACCAAAGTATCGATCTCAATTATGACTACAACCCTAACCCTGTGCCCTAATTGCCCTAGTCACATGGCAGGAAAATGTTGGGAGGGATTGCAGACTTCAGAGTCGAGAAAGCAACTGACACGCCACGCGGATCTTATCATGTTCGACATCGCCATCCGGAGCATGAAGCCGTCATCAAGTTACTGTTTATTATTATTTTACCTCAGCCCAGCCATCAATCAGTCAATACAAATCTAACAGTACTAATAATGACAAGGCTGAGCGGACGACCGGATGGCTCACCGCCCACGAAAGCGTTGGGGACCCAACAAGCAGATGGATAGGCTCGGCTCAACGAGAATGCTCTTGACTATACGAAGAAATAGCAGACAGCTTCATCTCATGCTTCTAACCTCTCCCTGCTTCTCCCTGCCGCTGATTGCTGCTGGAATCCTCTCTGCATCGCCGGAACTGGCCCTTCGCCGTGGCTGATTTCTCACACCACTGTACCCTGCGCCGCCTGGCCTCATCATAGCATCATCCATCTCCACTGTACCGAGCCATTCACTCCTCTCCCTTGCCCCAACCGCCGGCCTGTGGGACCTTGGCTGGGGTTAGCTTTTTTTCCCTCCTGCAGAGTATATATTATCTTTATATAATCCTCCGTCCTTGTGTTTCTGCTGAGCTCTCCTCTCCATCCCCCTCCCTCAACTACCTCACTCCTACACCCTTCCCAGAGTGTGTCGAAGCCGGAGGGCAGTCCCGCCATGTCTGCCAAATCCACAGATGCTGCCCGTCCTCGGGTTGGTGACTCCAAGAAAGTCCATATCGCTGATACCGCCATCACCCGTTCCAACTGGTACAAGCATGTCAACTGGTTGAACGTCACCCTCATCCTCGGTATCCCCTTGACTGGTTTGATCCAGGCCATCTGGGTCCCCTTGCAGCTGAAGACCGCCATCTGGGCCGTCATCTACTACTTCTGGACCGGTCTGGGCATCACAGCAGGTTCGTGCTCTCTCTACCTCTCTCCTGTGGCTCTATTTGGTCAGTACTGATTTGTGTGTTCACTCCAGGTTACCACCGGCTATGGTCTCATACCTCCTACTCCGCTACTCTTCCTCTTAAGATCTGGCTCGCTCTGACCGGCGGTGGTGCTGTTGAAGGCTCCATTCGCTGGTGGTCCCGCGACCACCGTGCCCATCATCGCTACACCGACACCGACAAGGACCCTTACTCTGTCCGCAAGGGCTTGATCTACTCGCACATCGGCTGGATGGTCATGAAGCAGAACCCCAAGCGCATTGGCCGCACCGACATCTCCGATCTCAACGAGGACCCCATTGTTGTCTGGCAGCACCGCAACTACCTCAAGGTTGCTCTTAGCATGGGCCTTGCCGTACCAATGCTCGTTGCCGGCCTGGGCTGGGGTGACTGGTGGGGTGGTTTCGTCTACGCTGGTATCCTGCGTATCTTCTTCGTTCAACAAGCTACCTTCTGCATCAACTCGTTGGCTCACTGGATCGGAGAGCAGCCCTTTGACGACCGCAACTCTCCTCGAGACCATGCCATCACTGCTCTTGCCACTCTGGGTGAGGGCTACCACAACTTCCACCACGAGTTCCCCTCAGATTACCGTAACGCCATCGAGTGGTACCAGTACGACCCGACCAAGTGGTTCATCTGGCTGTGGAAGCAGGTTGGTCTGGCCTATAACTTGAAACAGTTCCGCGCCAATGAGATCGAGAAGGGTCGTGTCCAGCAGCTGCAGAAGAAGCTGGATCAGAGACGTTCCAAGCTCGACTGGGGTACTCCCCTCGACCAGCTGCCCGTCATGGAATGGGAAGACTATGTCGAACAGGCCAAGAACGGCCGTGGCCTCATTGCGATTGCTGGTGTGGTCCACGACGTGACCGATTTCATCAAGGACCACCCCGGTGGCAAGGCTATGATCAACTCGGGCATTGGCAAGGATGCCACTGCCATGTTCAACGGAGGAGTCTACTACCACTCCAATGCCGCCCACAACCTGCTGTCGACCATGCGTGTGGGTGTCATCCGTGGTGGCTGCGAGGTTGAGGTCTGGAAACGTGCTCAGAAGGAAGGAACGGAATACGTCCGGGATGACACTGGCCAGCGCATTGTCCGTGCTGGTGAGCAGGTCACGAAGATCCCGGAGCCCATTCCTACTGCCGATGCGGCATAGGCGATCAAGCTGAAGCAAACTTTTCCTTGTTTCAGTCATGTGAATTTCCTCTTCTTCCCCCCCTGCCCCTTTATTCTGTTTTTATTTTCGTCCTCGCTGAGGGTTCCCCTTCGAAAGGGCATGACGATTACGTGGAATCTGTTCATATTTTTCACATCTCCCTTCCCACCTCGCTGGTCGCATGTTGTATCGCTGTGTAGCGTCCTTTTTTTTTACCTGGCGTATTCCGGAGTTTCTGGCTTCTCTTGAGATATGTTGTGCCGTGCCGAAATGGCCGGCCAGTACTGGACTGATTCGTGGCTGGAGATGCCACCAAAAAGAAAGAAACGGTATCAGAATCACTAGGAATGAATAGATGACATTGATGGATGCCCATGAGTGTTTCCGTAGACCAATGTAGTAAACCTGTAGAAATTTCCGGTCAATAGCACGGAATGCTGTGCCCAGGATTAACCTTGCAACTGACCTAACCTCGTGGCGTTTCTGCGGGAGTAGGTGTGACAAAGTTCGGGGAGTTTAACAGCATGGAATCAATAGATGAATAATAAATCAAAGACGAGTTCGCATTATTTATTTATAAGAGTTCTCTGAACGGAGACTGTCCGAAGACAACAAAAACCGTCCACCGCCTGTTCATCGATCGGGGTCGGAGTTGACTGAGACCTACGTCTGCATCGTTAATTCTCTCTCCACCTGCATGAAGTTCCCTGTTCCTCGCAGAACCACCCAGTTTTGTCCGTTCACGTCCTTGTTCCTGTTGTCTGTCCTACCTCTCGTCCTCCTCGTCATCGTGGCGCCCTCTCTCCGCTTCTCGTCTTCCCCCGCCTTCAGACTCTCCTCGGTTCTGGGCCACTTCCGTCATACACGGCTCACGACCTCTCCCTCATTGCAGCCGCTGACAGACCTCCGAAGACTGTTGACAACAGCCAGCATGGCGCCCGATCATCTGCGTAAGCCTCCCCAGGCTCCTCCTCTCTTCACGGCCACCGCCCAGTCGATCCTCGACGACACCAAACGCCTCATCGACACATCGCGCAAGGTGCAGGATGACGTGGTCAAACATGTGCAGCCCGAGTCGGCCATGTTTGCCAACGTGGTCCTCCCAATGGCTCGTGATCAGAACGAATCCGCTCTAGAGACTCATATTCTGTGCTTCTACCAGGCCGTCTCGACCGATGAGAAGCTGCGCGATGCCTCCTCCGAAGCGGAGAAGCAGCTGGATGATTTCTGGATCGAGGCGTCTATGCGCGAGGACCTCTTCAAGCTCGTTGACGCCGTGCTGAAACGGGGCGAAACACTCGATCCGGAGTCCAAGCGACTCCTGGAGAAGGAACACAAGGACTATGTCCGCAGCGGTCTTGGTATCCCCGCTGGTCCCCAACGGGATCGGTTCAAGGAGATCAAGAAGCGACTAAGCCAGCTGGCGATTGAATTTTCGCGGAATCTAAATGAGGAGAAGGGTGGTATCTGGTTCACCCGTGAGGAACTGGACGGGGTACCTGAGGACGTTCTCTCGGGCCTGAAACAGGGCGAGGGTGAGAATGAGGGCAAGCTCTGGCTGACCTTCAAGTATCCCGACCTGTTCCCAACGATGAAGTACGCGAAGAATGGCGAAACACGGAAACGCATGGCCATTGCCAATGAGAATAAGTGCAACCAGAACGTGCCCCTGTTCCGTGAGGCGATGATCCTGCGTGACGAGGCGGCTCGCATCATGGGATATCCCAACCATGCCTCGTTCCGTATTGAGGACGGGATGGCCAAGTCGCCAGACTGGGTGAACCAGTTCCTTGGAGGCCTGCGGACCCGTCTTACGGATGGAGGGAAGAAGGAGCTCGAGGTCCTGCTCAATCTGAAAAAGACGGATCTCGAATCCCGTGGCGAGCCCTTCGATGGCCGCTTTTATATCTGGGATCACCGCTTTTACGACCGGCTCATGCAGGAGAGGGACTATGCTCTGGACCAGCAGCTGGTGTCAGAGTATTTCCCTCTCCAGACCACTATTGAAGGCATGCTGAAGATCTTCGAGGAGCTATTCGGACTTGTATTCGTGGAAGTCACTGGTGAAGACCGGGACACGCTCGCCACGACGGGCAAAGGTAACGATATTGTCTGGCACGATGATGTCCAGATATTCAGTGTTTGGGATGACGAGGGCGAGGGTAGCGGTTTCGTAGGGTATCTGTATTTGGACCTGTTCTCGCGCGACGGCAAATACGGCCATGCAGCGAATTTCAATCTGCAGCCTGTGAGTTGTTCTCCTTATTCTCATGAAAGTTGAAAGCCGAACTGACAATATGACAGGGCTTCGTCGACGCCAACGGCAAGCGTCACTACCCAGCCACGGCACTGGTGTGCAACTTCACCAAGCCTACAGCCAAAAAGCCCAGTCTCCTCAAGCACCACGAAGTAACGACTCTCTTCCACGAATTGGGCCACGGAATCCACGACCTCGTCTCCCGAACGACCTACTCACGCTTCCACGGCACCAACACAGCTCGCGACTTCGTCGAAGCGCCCAGCCAAATGCTGGAGAACTGGTGCTGGACCCCCTCCCAACTCAAATCACTGAGCAAGCACTACTCCTACCTATCCCCGAAATACTTGGAGGCCTGGAAGGACCAAGTGGAAGGCAAACCACAACCTCCTGAGCAGATCCCACAGGAGGTAATCGACAAGATCATCCGGACGAAACACGTCAACGATGCCCTTCTCAACCTACGCCAACTGCATTTCGGCATCTTCGATCTCACCGTGCACCAGCCGCGTAACCACGAGGAGATTGAAAAGCTGCCCATCTCAGAGACGTATAATTCTCTCCGCAAGCAGATCACCGGCATCGACGGACCGGAGGTTCTGGGATTTGGAAATGACTGGGGTAATGGACAGGCTACCTTTGGTCATTTGATGGGCGGGTACGATGCTGGTTATTATGGGTATATGAGGTTTGTTCCCCCGGTAATATTTCTATATGTGTGTACGTATGTATGTATGCTAATCATGAACAGCTCCCAAGTCTACTCGGCAGACATGTTCTATACCATCTTCCACTCGAACCCTATGAATGGCTCCGAAGGCCGTCGCTACCGCCACCAGGTCCTGGAGAAGGGAGGCAGCCAGGACGAGATGAAGACGCTCACCGACTTCCTGGGCCGCGAGCCAAGATCGGATGCGTTCTATCGGGAACTTGGGCTGTCTGCCACCGATGAGGGATCGCAAGGTGGGCCTGTTTGAGCCTCTGCTTTCTGAGGCTCACTTATTATCTATCATAGGGCTTGATCTAGAAAAAAAAAACAAAATTATAAGTTCTATTCGGAATGTATGCATCTGTGGATTTATATTTGAAGTAATTACACGCCCTCCATCCTCTCCCCCGGCGCAAGCATCTTAATATCATAATGCTCCCCCCTCTCCAGGACGAAGACAGGATCACCGACACGCAGCGTGAACTCTACCTACCTATTGGCAGATTGCTTGAAAGGGATAGACAAAGAATATAGAGAAGAAAATAGACCGGGGAGAAATAAACCGGGAGAATAGGAGAGTGAATACACACTAACAGCCGGAACAAGCTGCATCCCCAAACACGCATTCGTCAGGTCCCCTCTATCGATGCATCGGTAGGATTTCATCGTTCTATCCGGTTCACGCGGGCGTCGTATGCCCGTGTCCGGGTCGACGTTGGGGAGACGGCAGCGGATTGTGCGGCAGACTGTATATTTCTGTCGATGCATCATCTACAGATGAGGATGAAGAGTGCTTTGATATGGCATGGGGGATTTCCATTTTCAGTCCTTGCTTCTTTGACGGGTTTGTTGTGGTATTTAGGATCGTATTCGTCGTGGATGTTGATTGTGCCTCGGGGGAGGCCGAGTTTGCGGCATCCTTTTGGGTTTCTCTGATAGTATGGTGCATTTATATTATGAACGAAGATAAAGAGGATTATTGGGAGGAGAAGTCCGTAGATGTAGATGGTTTGGACTGAAAGGACAGTGTTCAATATCTGGTGCATGCCATTATTGTCCATTGAACCTTTTCAGATTCCCATAAGCAATTTGATCAGTACCACTTCCTGATGCCCTGTTGAAATAAAAGATATCAGAGGATTCAGTCTGATACATTCATTAATATGAACATGGAGTAATGATCAAGAGGTATAGTATAAAAGCACTCCATCACAACCCTAATCACCCGCTAAACCACATACGAAAATGGCACGTGTATTTTGCCATCTCCCACCGCTTTTTGTCGCGTACAACAAGCAGGAACTGAATTACTCGCTCACTACGTCCCTGATGCAGCTGCTGTATTGTTAGAGGGGTATTGAAAGAAAATGAATGGATCATAATAGCATACTGGAATGAATCCCTTACACGGCTGCCTCCATACCCATGGACTCGCATCATCATCGCCATCATCATTTTATCCTACGCAGACGCCATGAATGACCAGGATATCCTGGGTCTCTCCAATTGTGAACCCAGTAAGCATCACATCTGTCTGGTTATATAGTTTTATTTTCTAACACCTGCAGACCGTGTGGTTTCCATCCCTGCGTCTCAATCCTTGCACGCGTCAACCGCGTCTCCAAGCAGTCCCAGTGCCATCTCAACGGGATTATCCCGTTTAGACGAGGCGCTCTGTCCGACCTCCCGGGATGCTCTGTCTGGTCTCGGTCTTGGTCTTGGTCTGAAAAATGGCCCGCAGCGACGAGGCATTCCGTGTGGACATGTTACTGAGATTTTCGGACCGCCTGGTGTGGGAAAGACATCATTAGCGTGCGTTCATTTTTGCATTTGAATAATATCCATGAAGCTAAGCAATTGGATAGTTTAGAAATTGCAGTCAATGCACTCTGTGATGGAGGGAAAGCAGTCTGGATAGGTATGTGCATTTCTTATGTCCTACCCTGCTGGGGGTCTATTTGTGTATTTATTGACGACAGAACAGACACTGGCTCCCCACTACCAAAACCCCGTCTCGAGAAAATGCTTCGTAAGAAATTAGCGGAGTCAACAAGAAACACATCATCTCAGTCTACCGCTCCTACTACTGTAGACGAGATGATACAGAAACTAACCTACTTTCGCTCCCAATCCCTCCCACATCTCCTAGCACTCATCCTCCACCCACCCCAATCCTTCCCAGGCGAAGGAACAACCCTCCTCATAATCGACTCGATATCGGGCCCATTCCCGTCATACTTCCCCAATCCCTTGGAGCTGCGATCCCGCCTCTTCTCCTCCCAGGATGGGGGCAAAAATCTCGATAAATCCCAGATCCAGTGGCTCATGAACCGTAAATGGAATGTCACGGGTGATCTAGCGAATCAGTTGACGAAGCTAGCTGTTACATTTCGTCTGGCGGTCGTGGTGGTTAATCAAACGCAAACGAGGATAAAGGGGTTGCCGCGGGCGATTCTTTCGCCGGCTCTCGCTGGGAGTGTTTGGGAGAGTGATGTTTATGCACGAGTAGGACTGTATCGGGATTTGACCCTCCCTGTATCTCTGTCGGTTGCAGCAAATGCCAATGAGGATAATGATAAATGCGTGGTCGATCTTGATCTCTCTACGAATAAGATTCGATTCGCAGAGGTGATGAAGAGGGGTGGAAAGCCTCTTACCTCGCGATTAGAGGAGAATATCGTCCCTTTCATTATTAAGATGGTACGTTATATTTATTTATACACGGATTGATTATACTGAGCGTTTATGGATATAATATCCGCTAACTATGAAAAGGACGGTCTACAGGAAGTGAGAAATAAGACTCAGACTCAGTCGAACCCTGTCGTTGCATCTGCGTCTCCGCCTCTATCTTCTGGGCTTTCGCAGAATCCTCCTGCGTCACGCCGGTCTACCCATCGGAAACGAAAGCTTGATGAAATTGCAGATAGTCAGGATGAAGACGAAGATGAAGATGAAGGGGGATTCGAGGAAGTGGGTGATTCAGACGAGGAATATGGGTGGATAGACGAGGATACCTGTGATGTTCCTGATGTGTGAACATTGTCCTTACAAGGCCAAGCTTCCTAAGTGTATATAGATGAAGGAATACAGAGCAGAGTTGATTTCAAAATCTTTATTCTATCTACTCTGAATTATCTGTTCCCTAGGCCTAACATGCCAAACTCCAACCAAGAGGAAAGATCCATACGTATCTTTCATGGAAATATGCCAGAACAGTTAACAAGAAAACAAGCGCAAGGAGTCCCATGCCGAGAACCGCGACGCCAACCCTAATCCAACGGAACCAACCAACCGAAAAAAAAAAAAAAGAAGCAGCGGAATTGGGTATCACAGCAGAAGAGAAAAAGAAAATAATCAACAAGTCAACCCACACCGGAAGCTGTCGACTTGACCACCCGAAGAGAGCAGCGTGATCACGTCAGAGAAGCGGGGAAGCAAGATGCTAAATGCCGATTAACCCCGCCATTGCAGCAGCGGCAGCAATAACAGCAAAAAAGGTCGAAGAAATGTAGAAATTCCGTCTTGAAAATGAAAAGATGATGTCACCCACTTAGAAAGAGAAATCAAATCAAGGCTGAAACCGAAGACGGAACTGTCGTCCTCTCCCCTCCTCTCGGACTTTATACAGGAACCGCGCAACGGCCTCCTGTTCCACCAGACCGGCACTGTTGAAATGTTTGCGAACAGCCAAAGAAAGCTGGTCCTTGCTGACTCGCCCCTGACCGATGATATGATTGAGTCGGTCCTTCTGACCATGCACGCCGGTGGTGTGTTGTCTGCTCTCTGACGAATATACGGTCTCGGAGGGGCCCTTCCCAGGTAAGGCAGGGTGGGGATGACTGTTCACATCCTGCTCGTGGTCACGGGATAGCTGAGCACGTCGTGCGGCGATAGATGTTGGAGAGCGAAGGCCAATGCCTTGCGAAAGGAGGATTCGTGAGTACTCCCTGGAGAAGGCGGAGGGGGTAGGTAATTTGTAGGCGTGGCGGTAGTAGTGGAGGATTTCAACGGGCATCTCGGACCAGTCGACCTGGAAAAACAATATGTTAGGAATTAATCCATATCTCATGACTTTATTTGTATCAAAGTATTTCGTCTTGGGTGAAAAATCCATGCAGTCCACCAGGCAACGTACTTTGGGTAGATCTTGAGTCTGTTCGGCAGCCTGAACAACAGGTACACCGGTCATATTAGGAGTGATTGTAGCAGACCTGGGTCCAGAGGCATTTATCCCCTTCCGACTCTTAGAGGAGGTTCCCTTGAGCTCCCTTGTGCCACTGGACGCTTCTGAACGGGAGTCATCGACAACGGAAGTAGCTCCCTTCCGCGGGGGAGCCATGGCAGAGACGCGAGTATGAATAGAAAAAAGAGTAAATCAAATTAACTGGGATAATAATCAAACCAACAGTCTAATCTAGTACTGAATATCTCGTGTGGCCAGTATTCAATGACTACCGGTGCCTGGAAACTCCCACTGCCATGAAGATCCGGCGGCGGAGAGCGGCAAGACGCGGCAGAATCCAACGGCGCGCGATGGCCCTGACGAAAGCGGCATAGCGAGGTAGGGTTTCAGCCCTAACAATGATTCCGTTTCTGGTTAGACCAGAGAAGGGCTGCCCGAGCCCTAAGTCCTAACCTGGTGAGTTGCGGTGAGCCGGAGAGGTCCCCGCCCGGCCGGAACCGCAATTAAGCGGAACGGCTTCTTGTATCTCTTACCGGAAAATAAACCGGGAGTCGAGAGAGTCGGCAATCCCGAAGTTGACATCTGGCACCATACGCCGTGAATGAACCTGACTTATCTATCTTGGTCATTATCAGTCCAGTCTGAGATGAATCATACTACGGTCCGGACTGGCTTGGGTTATTTAGCGATGAAAGTCACTGTGAGGTAGTAATCGAGACTAATAGATACCGTTAACTACTGGCAATCGTGGTTATGGGGTAAAATAAATTGCTTCACTATGATCCGGGGAACGGAGCAACGAACTAAGAGTACGGAGGCCCGGAGAGTCTGCCATTGCGGCACGAGATGATAGAGAAATGCTCGGCTCCACGCCTCAGACCATATGGAGACTCCATACAAACACGTCTCGGCGTAAGCTCGGGGCAAAGGAAGGCGCCGCACACTGCATAGCTGCCCCTGGTCCGGAGTAATTTGGGGTGAAAAAGTTGAAAGAAAAAAGAAAAAAAAAAAGCTTTCAGGTGGGGACATCGAATTACAGGGTAGCATCTAGCATCAGCCTCAGAAATCAGGCAAGACGGTCTGCCGAGGCAGGAGGCAAATCTCCAGATAGGGAGAGGCAGGTAATCACCGAGGCACATTTTTGGTAGGTGAAGAGTCGACAAGGGGTCAGGACAAAGAGCAGAGACACATCGACACATCTAGGCCTAGGTCCAAGGCTACTACTGCAGAGGTCGCATAGTATGTATGCCGTGTTTTGAAGGGATGAATAACGATCACACACCGGCGCACGCAAGATCTTCCTTCTTCGCCATCATTTTTATTTTTATTTTTTTATGATACTAGTCCCGCCAGGCAAGAAGGCGCTGCTCCGAGAACACCCGAGGTCATCCATAGTCTGGATTCGCTTGGCAGGTTAACTGAACAGCGAAAAGCACAACCTCTACGCATGGCATCTACATACATCTACCGTACTCTGTACAGTACTATTCCAACTACAAGTAATTAGCTGACTCATTGTGGCGAGAACTTACCATGAGAACGGAAGAGGTCTCTAATAGGATAATCACGCCTGCCTAGAACGGGAGATTGGCATCTAGCGTACTGATAATCCGGCACTAAGAAGAAATAAGGAGATCGCCGCACATCATTTGGGTTATGGATACAGCGCCATTCCATCAGATGACGCAATAACAGTCCGGAGAAGTATACCCCGGATAGTGGATACAGATATGGAACCTCCGTAATTCAGCAGAAGAAAGAAAAAAGAAAGTCGTGGCAGTACGACGTCCCAACAAAGGACAGATAGATATGTCGAACTTTGTGTGTTCGTTCTAAACTTCAAAGATAGACAAGATAGACATAAAATTCATGCTCTACGGCGCCACATTCGCTAGAAGCCTTATCTGCAGTGTATCTAGTATCAAGGCGTCTACCTACTTCTGGTATGTGTAAGGAGTTCTGGGCTCGCGCAGGGGTGACATGATGGTGGCATGTGAATATCATGATGCCAAGCAAATTTTCCCCTGATGCCTGAGGCATGAATATTATTGATAAGCGGATCGCATACGCACACGGCCATATCCATACGTACTCCGTGGAGAGCAACCAGAAAAGAATAGATAGAAATAATGATTTGGATTGACTTCTCCAAACAAACTGATGATCATTCTGGAGATAATTACCACGGTATCCAATTCCAGCGGGTCTGGGACTCTGGTGTTGTGCCCAGGGTACCCGTTCCAAAAATCGCCAAAACCGGATTATCTGCGCTTATCAGCTCTCGTGTTCACTATTATCATGAAGGAACCCGATTTCCGGAGTAAGAAAAGAGTAAGCCTAGCTTGCACGTTATCTAGCGTAGCATAGCGCAGATTCAGAATGCTGGTGCTCCGTGCACGTCAAAAAGAGGAATTATGTTCGAATTACGATATTGGGTAAGTTGCCCTCTCGTGTAGCATTTTTACTTTCTGATGATAGTAGTAATCAGGTTTTGACTCGTGCGGATAAAATATGATCTATGAACCATGGTTGAATGCGAGGAACGGTTCTTTGCTCATACCCCATGTTCGGCCGCGCTTTTAGAAAAGACAAAAAAGTTAACAAAAAGCAGGAGAAAGAGTAGGAAATGGAATCAAAATAAAATTACCAAAGAAGGAAACCAAAGAGAAAAGAAAGGAAGGCTTACCAATTGGTGAAAAGTTTTCGCATTTTCCTAATGCGACCTCCCCGGGAAGCGCGGCTCCGCATTATCCCTGGTGGAGTAAGTAAAAGAGATAATAGAATTAGAGAGAGAGATAGATAGATGTAACTACTAACGAGGCGCTCTCAATCTCCGCTGCGTGTCGTGTGTCGAGTCGACGTCTGGTTCAGCGCAATCGTATTGGAGGGTTGATTGGCTGATAATCCCCGTTCCAGAATATGTCGATACCCAGTAGTAATTATCAATATGGCCGATCGTGTTTATTTCTTGCTGCTGTCATATTGCGAGACTGGAATTGGAATTGATTCGGTTGCAGTGCAGCGCGCGGTTATCCCCGCAATAGATCTATACACCGCATCAAGCAGGATGATATTGTGCGTACGGAGTAAGTACAGCATACTCTGCAGCTATTGATTATCACTTCTTCTTTTAAAAAAAATATATTATCGAGTCTAGAAGCCTAGAGTTGTTACGCAACAGGGATTATTCTGCAGTGCTCCGCCACATCATACAGTTTCCCCGGATTCCCCGCACTGACGCCAAGCTGGAGGTTGCACCAAGATAGTACGACTATGTACTATGGGCAGCGTAGCAGCCTTGCACTCCGTACTTTTACTCCATTATTTCCCGCAAGCCGCTGATTATATCTCCGTGTAATGTTTTCAAAAATTAAATAAACATATTAAAAATAAAAACAATGAAAAGTTTAACCGCATGCTGAATCTGCGGTGTTCCCATTATTTAGAGTAGGATTGCACGTAAAACCTCGACGTCGACGAACAGCAGAAAACTCACCTTCAACCGTGAAACCTACTATGATAAATAATAGATAATAGATACCGGCAGTCGCTACGATTTTTCGCCTTGTACATACATCATGACTGCCCAAGGTGAAAGGAAAAGGCGTGAGATGTTGCAATCTCTCAATCTCTTACCTCAGAGAATGGTAAGCGACCCTCCTCTGGGCCACGTAGCGTCCGGGGTTCCGTACGATGGCGACCAGTGTCGCATGGACTGGCAGTCTACAGGGAGGGGAAAAAAGAAAAAACCATACCGTCGACAGATACCAGTTCTGGCGGTGACACTTGCTTAGTATTCTAGCAGGGCGTCATGGGTGATCTACTATGACACATCAAACAAACCCTTGTTGGCGCGGGAGGGATGACCCTGCCAATTACAACTGCAGGCATATCTTTTGCGTAGCCGCGATAGGATCTCTGTTCATCTTTTCCCAGGGATGATGATGTGACAGGATGACTGACTTGTGGAACGATCAGCTGCCCAGGCTAGGCTGCATGGCCAAGCGAAAAAGGTAAAAAAGATAATTATAGATGACTCCCTGTGGTGAGGAAGAATGATAATAATAAATAATAATGTGGATGGGAGATTATTCGAACGCAACTGCCGCTGTAAATAAACCGATTCTCTCTCCACGGGGTCTACCTCGAAGAGATAAAAGTACCCCACACTTGGCAAAATCACGCCACGCTGTTGTTAAATTGATGTCGGACTCGACCAATATGATGTAGAGCATCGGTGTTTTCAAGCCATCCAGCGCGCATGGACTGATCAAGACTTGTTCCGTCGGGTGAAACCCGAAATGCAGCAGTTGCAGGATTTCTTTGTTCAAGTGACCGGTGTGGTGATATGTATATATTAATATTAAGCGCTGAGGGAAAGTGGTGGTCAGTGTTATCTTGTCTTTCTGCAAGATAGATAAATAGTTAGAAATAAACCCGAATAATGAGACCGGGGTCATGCGATGTAGGTCTCTCTGCGGTTTGCAGTGTGGTGTACCGATGTGCTCGATAATTGGACTCCCTGGAGCAGGTGGACGGAATGCTTGAAGAGTATTTTACTTTGGCAAAATGGCCATTGCGGTCAACGTGCCTGCAGATCATCTTCATGAACAAGAACAGGGATGAGAAAAAAAAAGGCGAAGGGCCGAGGAGCCTGGGGTTCTCGGGCTGTAGATACTCCGTGTTTTCTTAGTACTGAGTACCTGCACGGAGCATCTCCGCTGCACGCATATTTGAGTGGATTCTTATGCAGGGGTGTCTTGCCTGCGGCGGATTCCGTTTATTTCCGATCTTCGCTTCGTTATGGGGTTATTTCTGTCCTCCATCGCAAGTGCCCATTCTTTCCTTTCCGGGAAACCTCTTTGACGCCTCCTTATCCAAAAACGGAAGGGAAGGCGGGCCTCGGTTGACTCCTTTTCCCAGGCGTTCATATAGCGTCTTATCAAGCTAAGCGGGGCAGAAGCACGACATTTCGCACTGATCGTCCTAATAGTCGTTGCATACCAATATAGGAGCATTTATCCCCTTATCTCTTCATGGAGGCAGAGGAATCCCATGCACCGGACTCGTATTGCTTACCGTCGCTGCCTTATCTCCCAGGTAAATATCCACAGTACCAGTACTCCAGGGTTGACTTTGAGATTTAAATTCAAATTCAAAGCTTTTCCTATGGAGTATCTGGTCCAGAGTTCAGACCCTTGAGGGCGATCCTCCACTAACGAGCTGAGCAGCGCGGCTTCCTGCATATCTTCCAGCTCGCCGGATCTGCTCTGAGATGGTGTGATAGGCATATCAGCACAGCTTCCGTGAGACGAGGACAAGAATAGGACGCGCGGCCACGAATCATGGGAGGTAATCCTTATGTAGAGATTACGGAGTGCCTCGTGCCAGCAAAGCTGAGCTGGTGATGGTGATGTTTTCGTCACGGCTGCTGCGGACCGCAGGACTAGGAAGTTGAGCCGTGTTTTTTTAATTATTATTATTATCATTATTATTATTCCTTGTCTTGGGGGCACGGAGGAATGTGGATCTCAAGATTTCTCCCCGGACCTCCGTGATCAGAAACTGCCTAGGCAGTGCTTAATTACCACTCCTGTCGTAGAATAATACTACGGACAGCTGAAGACCCTCGGCTGGACAGTAAGAAATGAGTATTAAGTACTAAGTATGGTGGTACTCGGTAAAATGCATGGGAAGCCGTCCGTAATCTGGGGATAATCATTAGGTATTGCGGAGAGTCGGGGGTGCCGTTTATTCCGGAGTGGTAGCAGCAGTCGGATTGACTCTGTCTAAAGTGCCACCAACCAAAGTCTACTCCAGATACAGTGTAGATATCGACGCGATGTTAGCCAGGGGCAATGATAGTTGTTCTATTGCTGAGTTGTAACTGACTCGGCGTTCCACCTTTATCGCTATTTTATCTTCTGAAACGTGCACACGACAGTTCTACAGCTCATCACCGTGATGAAGCATGGATAATAAATAGCGAGTCAGCGATAAATGTGACTCCCAGGCTGGATGATGTGCTGGAAGAACGGTGAGGTGGACAAATAGGAGGCTCATCCTAGGCCGCCTCGTCTCATCCATTCATCTCTTGATGGTTTGGTCGACTTCATTCATTCGATGCCCTACGCAGCCTCATTGCAGTGAAACTACCGAGGCAGGTATCGAGGGCCAGTTCTCCGATGGGCCGCGCCAGGCCACCGCATACCCGTTCCTTGCCGTGAGCATGGGGAAGTCGATACATCAGCGTCGACCATGACAGTGAAGCCAGATCGATGATATCTTATTAATACATGGATTATACATCCGCGGACATCATCATGGCGAACTTCCTTCTCCACAATCCTTGCGGGAGAAAGCAGTCATTTTACCCGCACTGGCGAGTTTCCGGTTAATTTTCGTGTTTCCCAGTAGAGGTTTGCTGAAGCGTTTAAAACATTACGGCAATAGCAAAGGGTTTGCTGCAGAACCTCCATCCTCTCTGCCGGACCAAGGTTCTCATCGTATGACCTACCAAAGTGGACAATCCCGTACAGACTCATCCTATGACCGCAGAGATCGTCCAGATTCAAAGAGTCATCCAGGCCGCGCGTAGTCTAGTTCGGGATGCTGTTCCCCAGGTCATGCTGGGTCGTCAGGATGGATCATCTGGATGCGTCTGGCAGGTCTGGACTGAAGTTACATTTGGGTTTGGGGCCTTCCCCGGTTAATGCCCCAGACGATCATTTCGGGGAGAACTAGTAGTACTATGTAGTGAGAAAAAGCTATGTGTCCGTTCGTCAGCGCATCAACTCATGTCATCATCGTTGTCATCATCATTGTCGTGGTCGTCGTCACGATTATCGGTGTATTGTCGCCACTTTAGGTCGAGTCGACCTTATTCTTACGCTGTGTGTTGTACTATGTGTCCGGAGTCCAGACAGGGCTAATTATTAACGTACTGCTTTGTTTGATCTTTGGGGGATCTGACAGTGACGGAGGGCTGATATGATTATGATACAACAGTCTGGGGTGAAGTTTCATTGACATCTGTACGCATCCCTTAGGGAATAATAATCATAATGCCTAAGAAACAGAATAATAATGATAATGATAATATAACCCTTGTCACTCAGAACACCCGCGATAGCCGGGCAAAAGGGCAGCACCGAGAATCTGGCAGAATTCTCGGTCTTTCTCCTGTGCCAATGGCGGCACGTGGTATTATCGGCAGCGCCACGCATGTCTACCATATTTCCACGGCCGATTCATCCGTTTTTCGGATGATGGGTAATTACATAATCCGCCCCAGGCATCGGTGTATCGATCAGGCATTCTCAGTGTGGGATGACGTGTCTTGTATTCTGTGTATTGAATATTCTGAATATTCTGCTGAATCCATATTCTGGAGATTATAATTTATGATAGAGATGAATATTGTCTACTCGAGGAGCATTAATAGGAACCAGGCGGAGGAATCTCCGAGAAGGCACGTTGTCTTTTTCTTTTTCTTTTTTTTTTTTTTTTTTTTTTTCCTTATAAAAAAATTTATATTAAAAATTATAATAGTAAAATATAATATAAAAAATGAAAACCAATGTGGGGATAATGGGGCAAAAAAGCCAGAGCAAAAAGCAAATAAAAAAAGGGAAGCCGGTGGGCGCCTCTTCTCCGAGCCATTGGCTTCCCCTCATGCTCCCCTCCCCCGAGTTCTCTCCGGCGCCCTTTTTCTCCCCCTCCATTCCTTCTTCCCGGCCTCTCGCTGCTGCCTCCCTTCTTATTTCTTCCTCTCTTCCCCTCTCCCCAGATCTTCTCCGTCTCCAGATTTTGTCTGCCTCCCTCCATCCAACACTCACCTACCACGCGTACACTCACTCTCACCAACCTCCACATCTCCACGCCCTTATCCTTGCCTGCTATTACTCGCACATGCCGCCGCCTGCTTCAGCAGTGGATTTCTCCAACCTGCTGAATCCCGACGGCGCTGCCAATTCATCCCAATCCGCCCCGTCCAATCCCACCACCACTGCGCAATCCAACGCCCCCATGGCTTCTTCTGTCAGTCTACTACCTCCCCTGCTAAAGGGTGCCCGTCCGGCCACCGAAGAGGTTCGCCAGGACCTCCCCCGACCTTACAAATGTCCTCTCTGTGATCGTGCCTTCCACCGGCTGGAGCACCAGACTCGTCACATTCGCACGCATACAGGCGAAAAGCCCCATGCCTGCCAGTTCCCGGGATGCACTAAGCGTTTCAGCCGTTCCGACGAGTTGACTCGTCACTCAAGGATCCACAACAATCCCAACTCGAGACGCAGCAATAAGGCCCAGCACCTCGCAGTTGCGGCTGCAGCTGCAGCTGGCCAGGATAATGTGATGATGAACAATACCGGTTCTATGATGCCTCCGCCAAGCAAGCCAATCACTCGATCTGCGCCAGTGTCCCATGTCGGTTCGCCAGACGTCTCGCCTCCTCACTCCTTCACCAGCTACGCCAGTCACATGCGTGCAGCTCCAGGGCACTTTGGACGCGGCGGCGTACAGAGTTTGTCGGGAATGGATATCAATCTTCTTGCGACTGCTGCTTCGCAGGTCGAGCACGACGATCACATTGGATTCCATGGCAGCTACCGCAACCATCCTCTCTATTCCTCTCGCCAGCACTCCAGCAGTCGTCTCCCGTCGCTCTCTGCCTACGCTATTTCACAGAATATGTCGCGCTCGCATTCGCATGAGGAGGAGGATGCCTATGGACACCGTATCAAGCGTTCAAGGCCGAACTCGCCAAACTCGACTGCACCATCTTCCCCTACCTTCTCTCACGACTCTCTATCTCCGACTCCTGATCACACCCCTCTGGCTACTCCCGCACATTCGCCTCGTTTGAGGCCTCTAGGTGCGAGCGATCTACATCTGCCATCAATCCGACACCTGTCGCTTCATCACACTCCCGCATTGGCTCCTATGGAGCCTCAGCCAGAAGGACCTAACTACTACAACACCAGCCAATCGGCGGTCGGCTCCAGCATTAGGGACATCATGGCAAAATCAGACGGTACGCAGCGAAAACTGCCAGTGCCTCAAGTGCCGAAAGTCGCCGTACAAGACATCCTGCACGCCCCCAGTGGGTATTCGTCTTTAACATCGTCCGCGGCGAACTCGTTAGCCGGGAACGATCTAGCTGATCGTTTCTAAACGGTCACCTTTCAATCCATTCTCGTCTCCCATGTTTTAACGTCTGCCATGAATGACATAGACCTGTTTGAAATGCGAATTGAGTGGCATCAACGGTGTCAGCAGGGTCGATTCCCCCCCCTTTCTTTCTATTCCTTTTTCTTACTGTTCTTTTTGCGAGGCGTTTAGTCCAATAGACGGTTGGGTTATTCTTTTTTTTTTCAATTCTGATTTTTTGTGCCCCTCTTGTTCTCTTAATTTCTATGTACTCTCTTCGAATACTGAAAATCTCACGGTTGTATCCGCTGTTGCCACCTTCCTCTTATTCAACCCCAATCTCCTCTCCGGGACCAGCAATGGTCCACCAAACAAATGCACCTATCTGACCACATTCATCTCGTCTGTTCGATCTTTCACCGTGAAGCTTGAAGAAGAGAAAGACAAGAGAGACACTTGCTCTTTGGCAAGACCAAACAACCAATTCCAAAACCGTTGACTTGATGACTTATAGACTGGGCTGGACTGGTCTTCATGTATTGGGCCTGGAAGCTGACTGGCATGGGTGGCTTTCGTCGTTCGGTCGTTGGCGGAGCATCTCCACGATAGACCTGTTTTTCATTTCGTCCCATTCTTAATTGCCTAATTACCACCATTTCAAATGCCTGTTGCTACAAAATGACGCTAGTCGGCCATGTACTTCTTGACTGTTTTAATAGATGAATACCTAGCTGGTAGCTCTATTCCATCTATGGGGTACTGTGTGCACTGTAGCTAGTAGCTACTTTCACATGACACATATAGATGAAGTACCTTCATAGACGCAAAGTACCATGCAGAAATAGAAAGTACCATCCGTGAAGAATGAAATGGAGATGTCTGATTAGAATAGCATAGCACAGCACAGCCAGGAAGGAGTATCGGCCATTCCCCGGTCCTCCTCCGTACCTACCGACTTTCACATGCAAAACAGGGACGAACAATAGAAATAAAAACAACTGCATACGTCAGAGACGAAAAGCATGTGAATATATGGGGTGATAGGTGGATTGGTCTAGGCCTTTTTTTTAAAAAAAAAAAAAAGAAAATAAACAGTAGATGATGGATGTACTTGCTGCGGTGTACAACACAACATACATACACACTGCAGGATTGATTGATTCATATTCTTCTACGGAGTACATGTTGTATTCTTTCTCTTGAAAGAATTGCCCGTGGTTATTTTAGGTAGTATAGCTTCTCCGTAGGTCTCGGTTTATATGTGTATGGTCCACTCTGTTGGATCTTCATATGATTCTACCTGTCAGCCCTGACAGCCTACACATTACATAGTATCTACTATTTAGACAGGTAAAGGACAAATCATCTCATTTCATGCATGAACCCTGAAAGTCTCAAAACAGGTCCTCGTCCTGCTCGATACTGTCAAGTTCACGTTCAACGGGTATATACAACTATACTATATATAAAAAGGCCAATAAGAGTCGGTTGTCTGGTCTCAACCTTCGATTTCAACTTAACCTTTTTTGCCATTGTCATCACAAAGTCAAACCTAGCTTCGTTCCTCTCCACCGATGCCGAATTCATTTCCATGCACTTAATCCAGCCCACGGATCGTTGGTCTGTGCTTGCGATTGCCCTTGCGGTTGCGGTGGGGACTGCCACTGTAACTGCTGTGCTTGCGGTTGACCCTGGTACTGCTGACTCGTCCCGTACGGCCTACCTGGTGCGTAGCTACCCGGTCCTGAAGGATAGGGTCCCGTAGCCGCCGGATATCCGGGTTGTTGGGGTCGGGGAGGAGGTGGAGGAGGGACGTAACCTGGAGGAATGAAGGAGGCTGTCGGTCCTGGTGCGATATTGGGCGGGCTCGAGTACCCACCGTAAGGGTTCGGAGGTTGCGAGAAGAATTGCTGATTTGGAGGAGGAGAAATAGGGGCGCTGTACGGGTAGGTCATTGGGTTGTACGCTTCCGATAATGGAGTCGCCGCGCCCTGCTGGAACGGCTGGCCTGGTATGTAGGAGACACCACCGGCCGGGCCCATGTACTGTCCATACGGAGCTGGAGAGTTGGAGACGGGGGCTGAGTGTTGCGCTGGCGCAGCGGGGTTATAATGCGGCGACGACAACGGCGGTGATCTCGTCGCCCCCGGATACGGGGACGTCTTGGCTGGGCCAGGTGGTGGAGATTTGGCCGTTGACGGTCCAGTGGATGGGGGCTTTTGTTCGGTCGACAGACGCTCCATCATTAGTCTCAGTTTCTCACGTTCCCGATCTTCCTGTTCCGCTGCTCCGTTTGCTCTTTCGCGCTCAATGTCACCCAGGAGTTTTGCCCCTTCTGCCCGTCGGTTGTTGATGAACGACTCGACATTCTTGTTCAGACTCTCCACGGTTTCGGCCATCTCCGTGTAAAACGTCTGCGCCTGATCAATCCCAGAAATGAGGTCGTTGAATGCAACATGAACCTTCTTGTATCGGGCCATGACCGTACTGTGTTGTCGGGCAACGGTTTCGTACTTCGACTGTTCAGCGCGTACTCGCTTGTCCTGCAGCAAGTCGCCATACGTCTTCGTAAGTTCTTTCATTAAAGAGGCTTGTTTATGACTCGCCTGCAGTAGGCGGTTCTGGTGCGGCCTGAACTTCTCCAGTTCGGCTTCAAAGAGCTGACTTTCCTGTCCGGCGATCGACTTTTTATTTAAAATCAAAACATTGGAGATATCATCTTCGCGAACCTATGCAACACGTTGTGAGCATATTCCATAAAACTTGACCGCGAGAGACCTACCTTTTCCTTCAAATCCTTCAATACCTGTGTCCTTTCCCGCTTGATCAGGTTCAATTTTTTCAGTATCTCCTCCACTTTAGCGATCTGCTGTGTCACCGACAACTTGCCCTCATCGTACACATCGTCAAGCAGCGTGCCCTCCGGTCCAAGAGGGAAACTCTTCTTGCCTTGCTTTGAACCAGCTTTGATCATTGCCTGCTGGAAGAGGACATCCGCCTCGTCGCTCTCACCGGCAATACGCATCTCATCGAAATCGGACTGGTACTGTCGGATGGTACTGAGAAGTTGGGAGTCACTTGCGCTCGCCTCATTGATTGTATCCCGATAGTTTCGGATATCACTGCGAAGGGTCGTGTTTAACCTTGCGCTGGGCTGCTGACTCCAATCGGCCCCATACTTAGAGCGCATCTTTTCGCACACGCTCTCTTCCAGGTCCAACTGCTTAGTGCATTGGTCTAGTTGAGATAATACACCAGCTTTACGTTCTTGTAGTTCATCAAGCGCCTTGAAGAATGGTTCATGTCCTGCCATGTCCTGGCACCAGCCTCGAAACTCCTCGTCAACGGTCACCTCTTGATCAATCCCACCCTTCAGGATATTAAGGCTGCCAGGGAGTTTCAGATAATCAAGACTAGCTGCCATTTCGCTATTGGCCACCTCGACCTTCTCTGTCTCTGCGCGGACTAGTTTAGCCTTTTCCTCATCGTACAGACTTGCCGCCTCGGTGACAGACATAGGAACAAGTTTCTGGAAGATATCGGGCCCGATAATCCGCTGGATGTCCTGTCCCTGATAGAGTTCACTGACAGGGATGGCCTTTGCTGCAGGGAGCTTCGCAACGACAGGCAACCCAACTTCATTCGGTACGGCTTGATGATAGATGAAATCGTTGTCCTTGGTCAAGCTGGACAGACGGGCCTGTACATTCACGAGATGGTGTTTCACAATGTCTGTTAGACTCGTCCCTGCTTCAGAACTGAGATTGGAACACGCTGGAGGCGAAGAGGGAAAAGCTTTGGCCCATCCAAGCGCGGTTGTAGACTGCTTCTCAGCAAGCGTAAGCCTGGAGACAGCCATCCCATACGACCCACTCTCCTCTTCTGCAATCGCTTGATAGTAGGATGCTAGAGATCCCATGTGTGCTGCCTTGGCTTGAACGAGGATCGACCACGCCTTCTCAAAGACACCCTTGGAGACAAAGTCTTGCATCGCGTCTCCCGCCTGAGTGTACAGATACGCCGCTTGGCTCGCCAGTTTAGCCAACAATCCAGGTTTTTTGTTATCAGCCATCTGTTTCTCTAGGAAAACCTCCTGCCCCTGTGCCAGTGTGATGTTGATCAAGGTCTTGATGGTGTCCCGACTGAGATCCGTGGACGGCGCATGCAGGAAATTTTCGTTGATGTAAGTGAACATGCCCGCGGATGCTTGGAAGGAGTGGTATGCAGTTTTGAGCCCGACGTCTTCGGCACGGTTCTGGTTCGCGGCATGGCAGGATAAGACGGCGGAGATGTTAAAGATGATGGATGCCTTCTCATATGCGAGGGAGAATTGGGAAGTGGGCTTGTGAGTGAAGGCGTCATACCTGTAGAACAATCAAGGTCAGTCTCCTAGTGACACAGACAGAAGAAGGAAGACGGATAAAGCTCAGCATCCATACCAAGTAAATGAGATTTTGATATGGTTCTCGTCAACTGGGAATCTCAGATCCAACAGCTCCAGCTGTCCGTAATATCGGTAGAGCAAATCGCGCCCGGTCGCACTGTCCTTGCCAGCTCCCCTCATGTCCTGCCGCAATCGGTTTAGAGTAGCGCATTCTTGACTGTATCGTTCGGGATCTTCACCATAGCTCTGCCTAATGTAATCCTTGAGGGGTTGCACCCAATCGATCTCGTTGGTCTGCTTGAGCGGGCAGCAAATCATGGGCGACTGCATCGTTTAACAATCGAAAGGAGCAAGGCGCTCCCATCCAAGAGAAACTGAAGGACAGTGGGAGCCGATCAGAGTAGAAGCCTGCTGGGATGCTTAGGTAGTAAGGCGGGAGTCGATCGGCCACTTGTGTGGGGTATCCGTGGCAGTAAGACTAAAGTCAAGGAGAGCCGATGAGGTGAGGAAATGAGGAAGTGAGAATAACTAGAACAGACAAAGCCCCCTGTCACAGTCATATAACTATCTGAATGTCCACCAAAGAATATTCAAGGTATTGAAGGACAGGAAGCGATTCCTGGGATGGCTGGAAGGTAAAGGGGTGGTTGGTGTGGATTAGGCTGGAGGATGGCAGTGATAGAAGGCTGTGTCACAGCTTTACCTCCAGCAGTGACCGGCATCCCTTGGGCCTTCTACAATGTAAACTGACATACATGATTGCGCTTTCTGAGAGAGGTGTGTCATATTTGTACAACATATGGCTCTGTGTGGAATATCCACTATATCTACAAGAGCATACAGAGAGCAGAGATGTTTCCGGGTGCTATAGTACAGTACATACATTCCAAATCATCATCCCAGTCCATCTATTAATGCACAGATACTATCCAGAAGAGACCCCAAAATATATAGATACAAAGATGTCAGAGAACCCTCCACACAACACAGGGAAACGCCAAACTCGCCGGCGCTGTAGTATTATTGACAATATGATAGCGGAACCAGAGAAATCGGAGTCAGGACGAACCAGTTTGAGCCTGATTATTTCCTTTGATCATCCTTCTCTTTGTCGCTGCTCGCATCTGATTCCTGCTTCCCTTCCTCGCTCGTCGAGGCCTTGTGAGCGGCGTTCGTCAACCTATGCCAAGCAGACTTGAGGAAGCCTTCACCCTTGTGGGAGTCAGAGGGCGCTTCAGTGGCGCTGTTCGTTTAATCCCATCAGCGTTTGACAATGGCCAAGGGAACAGAATTATGAATGACTACCTACCTGTCCTTGCCAATGTTCATAGTCCGCTTGGCCGTCTTGTCGCCCATTTCGTCCGCAAGAACCTCGAGGATGGTCCTCTGGTTCGAGGTTAGATACTTGGGCATAGCAACCTTGAATTCAACCTTCAAGTCGCCCATAGGGTTGAATCCCCTTCCTCGGGAACCAAGCTTCTTCATTCCCATTCCCGACAACGTGATTTTATCACCGGTGTTCGTACCAGTGGCCACCCTGACTTTAACCTGACCGTCCAGTGTTGGCACTGTCGCTTCGCCTCCCAGGATAGCAGTCGTAAGAGGAATGGAAGCTGTGTAAAGGATATCCGACCCAGAGCGGCTGAATCGATGGTCGGGGGACACGCGAATAGAAACATAGAGGTCACCAGGCTTGGTACGGGTTCCAGCAGGTGCAGCAGTTCCAGAAGGAGGCGCATCGCCCTCTCCCACCACTCTCAGCCGCATCCCATCCTCAACACCTCCGGGGATGTCCACCTGGACAGTCTTGCGGTCTCTGATAACACCATTACCATGGCATGTACCACATTCAAACCCTCGAGGAACTGTAAGGCCCGTCCCTCCACAAGCATCGCACGTGGCGGCGACTTGGAAACCTCCTTGGATGAAATGAACGCGTGTCCCAGAACCATTGCATTGTCGGCATTGAGAGCGTTTCGCACCCTTCTTCAGCCCGTCACCATGACAGCTACCACATTGTACTAACGGTGATATTGTGACAGTTTTTGTTGTACCCTTAGCAGCTTCCATGAACGAGATGCTAGTCTGGACCTCGATATCCTCACCAACCAAAATCGATTCTTGGAACGGGCCGCGAGCTCCTCTACCCGCCCGGCGAGCGCCGCCAGTGAAGGCCCCAAACAGATCCTCAAAGTTGATATCCGCTGCAAAACCACCAGGAAAGCCACTGCCGAAGCCATGGAACCCTCCGGCACCGGAGAATGGATTCCCACCGGCTGCGCTGGGATCAAAGCCGCCATTCGAATCAAAGGCAGCGGAACCGAATCGATCGTAGTTCTCTCGCTTCTTCGTATCGGAAAGCAGCTCATATGCTGACTGAGCTTCCGCGAATTTTTCCTTAGCATTGGGGTCCTTGTTGGTATCCGGGTGATATTTCTTAGCCATGCCATAATAAGCCTTCTTTATGTCTCCTGCAGACGCATTCTTATCCACCCCTAGAACCTTGTAAGGATCGGGAATAGCTGCCAGTGGGCGAGTGGTATGGAAAGTCTGGTAATGGGCAAGAGAATAGAGTCAGTCTCAAGCATCGACATCCGGGAGCCGAAAATACATTGTACAGTCCGGTAACTACTTACCCTTGAGACAACGCTTTCACATTTTTTATTATTCAGGCCATCACGCAGGCGTCTGCCGTCATTAGACGAAAGCGTCGAGAAGTAATAGGACCGTGATCTGTTTGGATGTCGAACCGAATTCGAGCCTTGGTTCGCAGAGCATTGTAGAGAAGTCCGAAAAAGGCGTGCGGGAATAGCGGCCGCCTTGGGTAATGCTGCGGCGGCGGGAACGGCGTTCATGGTGAAGGAGAGCGTGCGGTGTGCGTTTCTGTGGCTCCAGCACGGATTCCGGATGGAAGATTGATGGAGATGCAGGACTGGGAAGAGCAGGTCCAAGCAATTTTCGCTCTAACTTAGCCTCTCAATGCCGTCGAACTTTCGAGTCTGCATCGAAAAGTCTCCCGAGGGTCGGAGGAACGTTGTGCCGGCGTGATGATGATGATGAAAGCAGCTCTTCTCCCGCCGGCTTCGGTTATCCTCGAACGAACGACTCATCCCTTCTTCCTTTTCTCCCCTATTTTGCCGCTGAAAGCTACGGAGTGGACTATTATCGTCGCTTCCCCATATTCCACCTTATACCCTCTCTCTTTAATCCTGCTCCGTGTGCCTCCGGGTCGACGTTTTACATAGCTCGCACGTTCCTTACCACACCTTCATTACTGCCAGCATCGCGCATACTGTAGCATGCTCCGAGGCCCGCGTCTTCCTTGGAGAGTTGCGCTCCAGCAAACGAACCGTTCCTTAATCCATCGACCATTCTTCGGTTCCTCCCGGTATAATGCCAACCTCAGCTCAACTTTGATCTCTGCCCGTCTCTCCCGACCTCTCCCTTCTTCTTCAAGACCATTTTCCTTGAGTTCAATACGGCAAAGAGAGAAGGATAATTCTGGGAAGGAGGATACAGAGACGAAAGAACAGGAAGAGAACCAGGAACAGAAGGAAATCGACGGAGAAAATGATGGCCCCGAACCTCGGCGGAAAGGCATAGAGCCTAATCCTCCTACACGACGAAAAGAGAAACTGACTACGGACAAAGATGAACGTGGTGTAGATGAGGATGCAAAGAAGGACACAAGCTCTACTGATGGGAAGGGAAAATCTAACGACACACCATCACCGATTCCGCCCAGCGGTTCCGATTCGAAATCGAGCGGCGCCAGCAACGGAGGTAATGAAGACAATGGGAAGAAAGGCAGGAAAGGATCAGGGGATAAGGCTTTACAGAAGCCGTCTGTCCCGGAGGTCTATCCTCAGGTCATGGCCATACCCATTGCCAAACGGCCCTTGTTCCCTGGCTTCTACAAGGCGATTACTATCCGAGACCCGAATGTCGCCTTGGCTATTCAGGAGATGATGAAGCGTGGACAGCCATACGTTGGAGCTTTTCTATTTAAGGATGAGAATGCCGACGGTGATGTTATCGAGAACTTGGATGATGTATACGATGTCGGTGTGTTTGCCCAAATCACGGCTTCATATCCGCTTCGAGGAGAAGCAGGCGGCGTGACAGCGGTCCTCTACCCGCATCGTCGCATCAAGATTTCCTCGATGTTGCCACCTAGCGATGTTACTAAAGTCGGCGCCACGGATAAGCAAGGCGATGTCGTTGCTAGCTTCGAAGAAGGTGGCCCAGAACTGGTGCCCAAAGATCACTATGAGCCCACATCCTTCCTGCGGAAATATCCTGTCAGCGTTGTTAACGTGGAAAACCTTGCGGAGGAGCCGGTAGACAAGAAGAACGCGGTTATCCGGGCAGTAACTAGCGAAATCGTCAACGTTTGCAAAGAGATTGCGACCCTCAACCCCCTATTTCGAGACCAAATATCTGCCTTCTACACGGATCAGTTCCCTGGAAACCTGAGTGACGAGCCCGCCAAATTGGCTGATTTTGCAGCTGCAGTGTCTGCAGGCGAGCTGAGTGAGATGCAGGAGGTACTTGAGGCAATGAACATCGAAGAACGTCTTCCTAAGGCGCTCGTCGTGTTAAAGAAGGAGTTGATGAACGCACAGCTTCAGTCAAAGATCTCAAAGGACGTTGAAGCCAAGATCCAGAAGCGACAACGCGAATATTGGCTGATGGAACAGATGAAGGGCATCAAGAGGGAACTGGGTATTGAGAGCGACGGAAAGGACAAGCTGGTGGAGAAGTTCAAGGAGAAGGCCGAGAAATTGGCCATGCCAGAAGCAGTCAAGAAGGTGTTCGATGAGGAGATCAACAAACTGGCTCACTTAGAGCCTGCCGCATCTGAATTCAACGTCACTCGCAATTACCTCGACTGGCTTACTCAGATTCCATGGGGTCAGAAGAGCGTGGAAAATTTCGGGATCCAACATGCCACTGCCGTCCTGGAGGAGGATCACTACGGTCTCAAGGATGTCAAGGACCGCATTCTTGAGTTTATTGCTGTCGGTAAGCTCAGGGGAACGGTCGAAGGGAAGATCCTCTGTTTGGTTGGCCCTCCCGGTGTGGGAAAGACCAGTATTGGGAAGTCTATCGCTCGTGCGCTCAATAGGCAATACTATCGATTCTCTGTTGGCGGTCTGACAGACGTTGCGGAAATCAAGGGACATCGGAGAACCTATGTTGGTGCCCTTCCTGGTCGTATCATCCAGGCTCTCAAGAAGTGCCAAACGGAAAATCCCTTGATTCTGATTGATGAGGTGGATAAGATTGGCCGCGGTCACCAGGGAGACCCGTCTTCTGCGCTCCTCGAACTTCTGGACCCGGAACAGAATTCTTCCTTTTTGGATCATTACATGGATGTCCCAGTTGATCTTTCCAAGGTCCTCTTTGTCTGCACAGCCAATGTAACAGATACAATTCCTAGGCCGCTGCTCGATCGAATGGAGATCATCGAGCTCTCTGGATATGTTGCAGATGAGAAGATGGCCATCGCTGAGAAGTACTTGGCACCAGCTGCGAAGGAATTGACGGGGTTGAAGAATGTGGATGTGACTCTGCAGCCTGGTGCTATTGAGGAGCTCATCAAGTCCTACTGCCGTGAGAGCGGGGTTCGGAACTTGAAGAAACAAATCGAGAAGGTGTACCGAAAGGCAGCTTTCAAGATTGTTCAGGATCTTGGTGAAGACGTCATGGGAGAAGACAAGGCTCTTACGGACGAAGGCAAGGCCGCCCAGGAAGAATCATCAAAGGAGCAGGAATCCTCTGACCCTGCCACGCCCCCTGTCCACCCGGAGAAGTCGACCACGGAAACGCCTAGGCATGCACTGAAGGTTCCAGAATCAGTACATCTCAGCATAGGAAGGGATAGTTTGAAAGACTATGTCGGACCCCCAGTTTTCACATCTGACCGGCTGTACGAAACCTTCCCTCCTGGCGTGACAATGGGACTTGCCTGGACCAGCATGGGAGGCGCGGCGCTCTACGTCGAGTCCATTCTGGAGACAGCATTGTCGCCTCACTCACGGCCAGGAATTGAAACCACCGGAAACCTGAAAAATGTCATGAAAGAATCCACACAAATTGCCTATTCATTCGCGAAGTCTGTACTGGCTAAACAATTCCCTGACAACCGATTTTTCGAGAAAGCTAAAGTGCATTTGCACTGTCCTGAAGGAGCTGTCCAAAAGGATGGTGAGTCATGACCCTGTGGCTCTGTTCTTTTGTGTATTTTCTCTGACGTGACTAGGTCCATCCGCCGGTATCACAATGGCGACTTCCTTGCTGTCGCTGGCCTTAAACCACCCTCTCGATCCAACGATTGCCATGACCGGAGAATTGACGGTGACGGGTAAAGTGCTACGCATCGGTGGCTTGCGGGAGAAGACTGTCGCGGCTCGTCGTGCTGGTGCAACCAGGATAATTTTCCCAGCGGATAACATGTCGGACTGGCTCGAACTACCTGAGGTTTGTGTATATACAGATTCTGCATGGGGCTTTGGGCTAACAACATGTAATAACCACAGACGATTAAACACGAGATCGAAGGCTACCCCGTCAGCTGGTACTCAGACGTGTTCGACATCGTCTTTGCCAACCTGGACAGGGAAGCGGCCAACAATCTTTGGAAGAAGGAGCTCAGCGAGCCGTCGTCGAAGAAGCACGATGGAGCCAATGAGGATGAGAATTGAAGCGAATACACTTATCGGTAATATTCTATTGTCTATTTTGGGTATACGCCATGGTATATACTTGCCTGCAAGAGCTTCTTTTCTTTACTTTTTCTTTCCCCTTCTGTTTTCTTGCAAGGCGCTTTGCATACAGGCGTGCCGAATATTCCTTTTCTTGTTCGTATCATGTCAGAAAACGCATGGATCTGGAGTTCCTTTTTCTTTACTTGGGAATTGGCTAGAATTTGGAGCTTGTACTCTTTTCGAGTTTCCCCGATGCAACGGGATAACAAGATCCGGGAAACCGGTGTTGTGAAAGGCAAGAAGAGGTCCTAGGAAGAAGACAGCCAGCTGTCCGTCCTGCCGATAAGTTTGGGGTTGGTCCGGAACGAGCAAAAATCTCCACTCTATCAAAAGCAAGATAAAGGGTTTCATGCCAGTCTTACTGGTTTACTGTGCGCGCACACACGCGGGAGAAGCATACAGAAAATACATATGGGCAGATTGCATCGCTCCATTGCTGTATGATGAAACAGCACGATTAATTCGATCAAGTATCAGCATCCATATGTACAGTCGTGTCTGTATCTAATGATTGTTGCCATGAATGCCGAAGATGATGTTATCATCCACTACCATATGCCTACTGCATGCATCTTGCCGAAGGACAGATGGAGGGATAGGACAAGCTGATGAACTGTCCCCGGTGTTAAGGACAGCTGGATCGGCTGCACTGGCCACTGCCTCTGGATGGGAAGCATCACTTTGTAGCTTGACATTATTGGAGAGTCGCCCATGAGGTTATAAGTATGGTTCTTTTGCTCGCAGCGTAGCCCCTGCAACGCGTGTCTGCAACCTACTGCGATGCAGCACCCTGTTGATATCTCACGGTGGGCGAGGCCAACAGAGATCTAATATTGTCGCTAGGTCTCTCGGAATTCGTCTCTGGATTCATCGTCGTACATGCATGTATATGCATGCGAGTCTACTGAGCAGGAGCTATGATTGTCTGGGTTTAATGCCGCTACGTATAAAACAGGAGCAGCAGAGGCACATGGTCTGATAGTGATAGCGCAAGGAATTACGTAGACAAAGGCACCGAGACGTTCTCAGCAATAGAGGATAATGGCATATTTTTATGGAGCCAGCGCATGACAGATGTAGATGCGTTGTATGTAATATTCTACGGGTGAATTATGAGGTGCTTTTCTAGGACGATACAGAAATGAGGCCATGATTACATCTGGTAGCAATCAATAAACCCGTACATGAATGATATGATAACAGGATGTCGCGATGAGATCCAGAGGGTTGTTGAATTGCATTTTTAGCATTGCATTGCATTGCATGTTGATGGGGTATGGGTGCCAGAAGTGAAGCTCGACTCTAGCTTTGCTCTGAACCATGGAACGTGTCCCCAAGCGTCTCCATAAGCCCAGATCTATCCTCTCATCTCAGCCCAGAAGATCCTTCGATGGTGTTTCTTTTCCACCGCGGTTCTTCCCGTCGATCAGGCAGCGAAACAAGCCTGTCAGGCCGCATTGCGTTTGTGTAGAAAAAAAAAGGTTTTCAGCTTAATGGAAATAACAGACCCGGCAGACTGGGTTTTCTTTTTCCAGTCCTATTATTATTTTTGAATTTGAATTTTTTTTTCTCCTGCCCCTTTTCCCTTGAATCCTCTGCTCCATGCATCGTGTTTGGGCTCGCTTCCCCATTTGTGGGCGGTGAAACACTCGGTTCGCAGCGAGTCTCGACGGAGAGAAGAATAATCAGGCTTCCTCTTCATCAATCATCATCCTTCTCATTTCCAATTAATCCTCGAGTTCCAGTCAGGCTCCTCCAGTCGTCCTCTCTTCCCTCGTCTGCCTCTCGCACCCTCCCGGTCATATCTTCCCTCATGCCCATGCCCATGCCCATGCATCTCCCTCCAATCAATGTCGTGCAACCTACTGATCTGAGACGAGACCGAAAAGACCAGTCGAAGCATCCCGATCCTCGTCAAGAAGAAACGGCCACTCCCGGGATCCCCAGTTTCGCTGCGTGTATGTAAGGACAGGAGCAAATTCTACCCCGTGGCAAACAGACAAACAATCGATATCAATCAAAAGAGACCATCAATAATACAGCAAACGGCTCTTTTCCAAATTTTCACTTTTTCTTATGGACATCGGCGTCTCATACAGCGGGGTACTCTCCATCTCGTTTCCTGAACGGCAGTCGGGCTCGACATTGAGCAAAAACTCTGCCGCATGGCCATCTCCATTGCCGATAGTTCTACCAGCCCATCAAGGTGGCCTTTGGGCATGTCTGCTGTCTCGGAGAAGCACGATCATCCCCACAAACAGAGCATGTGGCATCGGTGGGGTCTTCGGAGGTTGCTAGGCCGCGATGATCGAGGTCACGATCGAAGCCGACATGCTCGCCGTTCCTCCCCAAACCGCAAGCTTAATAGCACCCCTGGTAGCAGCGGTGCCAGCAAGGCCAGCAATGATGGCATTAATAGCGACAGCCGCAGCGAGAACATCACCCGGAGACTCTCCCGCAAGGTGGCTGGCGTTGGTCTTCCCCGGCCTACGACCTTCAAGAGACAGGTTTCGGAACGTCGCGATCGCTTGTCTCCCGCTGACCCAGAACCCCGCCGAGCGGTCTCCGCTGACCGTCAGAGGCCGGGATCCCCACAGCCAACCATGGATCCCAGATTGTCCGCTCCCGAGGTTCAGTGGCTTGGTGAGTTTGAACAGACGGCGGAACAACCGTCAGATGAGAAGAATGAGGTCGATGATTTCACTCTAGAGCCTGAGCCAGAGCCAGAGCCAGAGCCAGAGCCGTTACGTGAGCATCAACTGGAAGATGCGACTGACGGATTTGAGGAGGAGGATGCCACGATTGAGATAGAGCTGGAAAGAAAATGGATCCTGAACCTTAGCATGCACTTCAGGGATCGGTCTGAACGGGAAAAATTTTTCGTCACCTTCGCCGAGACGCCCAATCGATGGCGCAGGGTCACCATCTCGTGCGACTACCGCAATGCAGCTCTTGATTCGCTCGAGGAGGACCTGAAGGGGCTGCGGTACCAGCGGGATAAATGCGCTCGCATTTACGAGTCAATCCGGGAATCCCTGTCAGAGATCCAGTTCTACGACACTGTTACGAATCTGAAACTGGAGACGAGAGACGGCCGTCTACATGTTCATGTGACGGAAGACGTGAATGAGATCATCCCTTATCCTCCCGTCTCCTGTGTTAGACACCTGGGAGGGGCTCTGTTTGTCCCAGAAGACCAGCTCTATTTCGACTCGCACTTGTCGGGATTTGTCTACAAGGTGCAATTGGATGGCAAGGACTTTATCAAGAAGGAAATTCCTGGCCCAGACACGGTGGATGAGTTCCTTTATGAAATAAACGCCCTTCACGCTCTCAGCCACTCATCCAATGTCATCCGGTTTGAAGCAATCGTGGTCGATGACCGACGGGAGCTGGTCAAGGGATTGCTGATTAGTTACGCTGACCAGGGTGCCCTGGTGGATATCCTGTACGAACACAGAGGTGAGATCTCGTGGGAACGACGAGAGCGCTGGGCCAAGCAGATCGTCCACGGCCTATGCGAAATCCATGAAGCGGGCTACGTTCAGGGTGACTTCACCCTCTCGAACATTGTCGTAGACAAATACGACAATGCTAAAATAATCGATATCAACCGAAGGGGCTGCCCGGTCGGCTGGGAACCGCCGGAAATTGCGGCCAAAATCGAAAGCAACCAGCGAATCTCCATGTACATCGGGGTGAAAACGGACCTTTACCAATTGGGCATGACGTTGTGGGCCTTGGCTATGGAGGAGGACGAGCCTGAACGGCAGGAACATCTCTTGACTTTGGACAAAGATGCCAAGGTCCCAGGATATTATCGGAGAATGGTTGCTATTTGCTTGAGTCCGAACCCTCGAAATAGGCTCTCCGCCAAAGAGCTCCTGACTTTCTTCCCCTGAGAGCTCTTTTATGAGCCACATCTGCCCCCGATACAATCTCAAGACCCCAACGTGGCCGTATTAGCAGGGAATCACCCTGGTGACCCCAAGGAATTCTCATATCGTGTTCCGTCACCCGGTCTTCTCAGTCCCCCATACCGGTCAGCCCCAGATTCCCTGGATGACGGGTACAGCTCAAGCCAATGCGGTTCGACCAGGGATTTAACGCCTCCATACACTGAGACAAACGGACACCTTCTTCGTAATCCCGATGAGCCACTGGGGAGCGTTGCGGATACACTAGAGGACCCCAGCATTGAAGATCCTCAGCTAGACTATCCTCCGGCAGGAATTAGTTTTCAGGAAGACTACGGAATCATTGACGATAGTATGGATCGTCCGGAACTTGCACATGACGATTCTATTCAATATTCCGAAGACGGCGGTATCAACCTGCGCTCCACTGCTGATTCGTTACATCGGGAACCTAAGATGGACCAAGTCAAACCCCTGCAGTCATTTAGTGTTCGCACCCATCCTGAAGAACTTGTTGGAGTTGGGGAACACTCTGCTTTTACGAACGATCCACCCGATGAACCGGTAACTGAAAACACACCCAAAGACGAAGAGTCCTCGTTACCTACGCCGACGACTCAATGTGCCAACTCGCTTTCTAAACCAACAGCCTACTCTGGACATTCGTATGACCGGGGAATCAAGAAAGAACGCACGGCTTCAGTGTCTGGCTCTCTTTTTCGTTCCATTTTGCCAATAAATCCTGCTATAAAGTCGTTGACACAGGAGCCCAAACTGGACAGTCCTATTCGATCTAGCTCGGGTGTGGCATATTCTCCTATGTCGAATCGTCTAAATCAGGGCGAGGAGATCCCGACGCAGACATTCTATCTGATTAATTCTCAACTGCCTATCAATCCAGCCATTACCACGCGAGATATTTGATCTCTCCCATCGCGATTCTCTGTATATCAAAATTCGACCAGCAGACAAAGCGAAACAAATTATGAAAGAAAAAAGGGAGAGGCAATTTCTAGCAAAACGTAAATCACGCATGGATCTACTGCCACATTTTTTGCCATTTTAACGCGAAACAATGATTATCAACTCAACCGTCCCTTTTCTCGATACCCCCCTTTTGCTTGCAGTCTTTTTTGTCTTCTATCCCAAGGTGTATATTTACTTTCATTCATTTGTTTGTCTCGCAGAGAGTTCCGATGGGAAGAGCATGAAAATCCATTTGCTTGCTGCGAGGTAATTAATGACCGAAGGTCACGGCGAACTTGGAGTTGGAGTTGTGAACAAAAATTGGGTTCTTGGTGGATAGTACATATTTAAGTGTTTCCTTTGTACATCTCCTTTGTTTATATGCCATTTCCTAGGTTTTATTGTCTTACTTTTTTTGACTCTTTGATTGACCATTGTATATGGTTGCTGTATATTTGATCATTTGTGAAGCATTTACGCGGCTTTGGGAAAGTCCAGTACATGAACATCAATTTCCTTTTACTATTCTCTGTCTTATCCTCTCTTATCTATTTTTTCTACTGATTTTATTGATGAATCGCATACATATAGACCCTTCCACGGACATTACATCAAAACTAGCATACTCTGGATGCATATATATCTCTGCATTATACTAGCCATACAATCCAGAAGTACATACATAAATTGGAAGGGAAATGAATGAATGAATGAGTTTAGATGGGTTGCTGCTCTGATACTGACATACCAGAACATTCCATCCAAACAATAAATATCCTATTTACAACTGAACCGAACGCATCCATTCCACCTTCATTCCTGTTCCAAGAACGTATCAAAACTCCTCTGCCATGGCGTCGCACTCTGCCCGAGACCACGCCCAATCAAAGCAATCTTACACTCATCCATAAGCTGAGCCTTGGATGCGTCGGATTCGGTCCTCTCCATGTCTCGTATCTCAAATATGTCCCTGACAGCCTGGATGATTTTGGTTGTTCCGTCGTCAAGGAACAGGATCCCCTTTAGACGGTGTATCTCGAAGTCAAGAGCTTGAGCTTTCGAGTCTGTGCCGTTCTTGCCATCTCCCGTAGATGGCAGGGTGTATTCCCAGAGTAGAGAACGGAGCCAGGCGTCTATCCTTGGCACTTTCTGGTGTGTGATTGGAGGGTGTGTTATTTTGATTGTTGAGATGGCCTTTTTTTTGTTATTAGCATGGCTAGTATGAGTAGTTTACATAAAAGGGAGGGGGGATCTAACCGGATCAATATGACTATGTCCCTTCCTCCCAAAATCCACATCCCCTAGATGATCATATGCATGCAAGTCCAACACAATCCCCTCAATCTGTGGCGTCTTGCCATGATCCGTAACATGAAGCTTAGCCGCACTGTTAATAGCCGTGACCCGATCCTTGACCGTTTCCAGCTCGGCAGGAGAGACTAAATCGGCCTTGTTAAGAATTATGACGTCGGCATGGGAAATCTGCATATGCGCCATTGAGAGCGCGGGGCCCTTATGCTCATGTTCATCGGCATGGTGCTGGTCCTGCTCCGGCACGATCTCTTCCGGCGCAGGCTCATCCAAAAGATGAAGGATATTCTTCGCATCGACAAGCGTCACGATGCCGTCTAGATAGATGGAGCTGCCGAGGTTATCGTCTACCCAGAACAAGGGGGCGATGTTGCCTGGGTCTGCTAGGCCAGTTGTTTCTAGGAGGATGTAGTCGAAGTTGCCGCGGCGTTCCATGAGGGATTCGATGGCCATCACGCCGGAGTCTCTGTGTTTTGTTAGTTCTTTTCTTAAAGGTTTCTAAGTCGGGGGAACGAGGGAAAATACTTGACGGAGCAGCAGATACAGCCGTTGCCGACTTCCATCCACTCGGTGACTTCCTGGCCGCCCTGGTTTACGGTCAGGGGCTTCTCTATGTCGGTTGCTAGGTAAGATAAAAAAGGAATAATTAGCTATTTGGTCGGTTTCTTTCTTTCTCTTCTGCGCTATCGCTCTTTTTATTTATTTGATCCACATGTCCTCTCTGCTCTAGGATATCCGACTTACTGTCTCCAAATTCTGTAAATCACTTAGAATCATAGCAATATATATTACGGGCACCAAAGGGACTGACCATTCATAATCACAGCGATCTTCTTGCCGTGCTTTTCAGTAAGAATGTAGTTGAGCAGAGTAGTCTTGCCCGCACCCAGATACCCTTGTCATGGCTTGGCTGTCAGCTCTATGTAAACAGAATATCGCATAGAGAAGCATATTATTCTCAAGGCGTCACTCCCATGGGCATACCAGTCACAAGTGTAATAGGAACGCGGCCCCTGTGCTCTGGTCCTTCTGTACATTTTGATAACGGCGGGTCCGCCGTCGTTGGGAGCGTGGACACGTCGATTAGATCGGGAGGGGCCTCATCGTCTTCTATATTTGGATTCATTTTGTATGCTCTTTTTCTGCCTTCTTAAATCAAATATAGAATGGTTGAATCGACGTTGAGGTCTGTTCGGAGAATAAACGCCTGACAGCCAAAGAAATGACGTTGCTAAAGCGGGCAGATTATAGATAGGGCTTAGGGCTTATCCGGAGTGGAGCACCGATTGTCTTGTCTCTCCTGGAATCGACTATCTTACTACCTCCAACTCGCCTTGCTTGACCTCGTCTGTCCTTTCCTCCCCCCAGGCAACGGCGATCCTTCATCTGTGCTTTGTCATGACTGCGGCGGGCATCTCCCAGGCAAGCTCACCTCGCTTGCCCAGTCCTCCTCCCTTTACGGAGGTCCAGATTGGTCCTAAGTCGCCTTCTTTCGCCAAAGACGCGGAGAAGGTGCTTGGCGCGTCCCTTGAGCAGGACGATGGCTCGACGCGGAGAATTCGACCGGGCACAAAGGCTGCAGATATGGCTTCTGGGCCTCCCTTAATTCCCCTTCATCAAGTGAGTTTTGACAACATTGCCTGTGGACTTCGACTTCTTCTCCGCTGACACAATTGGCGCGAAATAGGTCGATTCGCCCTTTCAACTGCAGGAACATTTGAAAGCACTATATAACAGCTATACCAAACCAAAAGGGTCCGATACGGTTATTCCGATTACGCGCGAAATTGCTATACAGATAGCGCAGCCGCCGGAAGGTATCGAGCGAGCGCTCTGGCTTTACGAACTCTGCCGTTTCCTTACGATGAAAGTCAATAATCTCATCATCGCTTTCTTCGCCGAAGATCCTCCATGTTCGTCCCACCTCTGCCCGGAGATGCGCGCCGCCGACTGGCAGTATCTCTGTGCTGTCCATGATCCTCCCAAGTCTTGCTGTGCCATTGATTACTGTTGCCACACGCTGGATTGGGCTACGAACGTTCTAACGTCGCCAAAGTTCTTTCCAAGTCGTCTTGTTTTGGGATCGGAAATAGGAGGCGGAGCACAAGCGAGCATAAGACATCTCACCAATATTTTCCGTCGTTTATACCGCATTTTCGCACATGCCTGGTTCCAGCACCGCAATGTCTTCTGGCAGGTGGAAGGTAATGAGGGGCTTTACATCTTGTTCAAAACCGTTTGCGATATGTATACCCTCATACCAGAAGAAAATTACACGGTCCCCGCCGAGGCTGAAGGTGTTGATGCGCCTAAACCAGCTACTCCCGAACAACCGCAAGGACGTCCAATGGTGATATTGCGAAAAGACAGCGAAAGTTCGACGGCTCCTGTTTCGAATAATGTGGAGGCTCCCGCTCTTGCAACAGACACCAATACGCGACGCCATAAGCACAGCCCATCCACTGGCTCCCGTGTTACGACCATCACAGAGTATAATGAGGATCGCCACAAACTTTCTGAGCTAGACGAGACGTCGGAACTGGGGGAACTCCCGTCGCAGACTCCAGAGACTGGAGACGAACCTACTAATGAACCGTCGGAGAACGGTACCTCGTCCGAGACCAGTGTTCAAGTGACGGAAACAGAGTTAGAACCTTCAGAGCTGGAGCAATCTGGCGCGGAGCAACAAGAGGAGTCGGTTGAAACCGTGGAGACAGAACCGGCTGACGCGCCAAACCCAGAACCCGAGACGGCCAAATCGGAGGTGGAGGAGGCGATTCCATCTACGGAGCATGCTTTGACAGAAACATCCGAGTCTGAGTCAAAGGGAGAACCGGAGATGAAGCCGGAGTCAGAAGAACAGAGGGCGGAACCCGAATCCAGCACAGAGTTAGAATCTAAAACGGAGTCTGAGGAGGCCGAGAAGGCACCTGAAGTGGATTCAACGTCCAAGGCCCAGGACCCCTCGGATTCAACCGCAGAGTCAGAACAAGAACCGGAGCCAACGAGAGAGGAATCCTCTGCTTGCAAGATGGAGTCGGCTCCTGAACCAGCCGCAGAATCGTGAGCGTCATAAGCGGAGACACCGATTATCCTCTTTCTTTTGATTCATACACTTCTTCACTTACATCACTTCATTTTCATGTGCATGCGGAGGATACTTCCTTGCGCTGTCTATACTTTCCATTTATTTCTTACCCGATTATGTTTGTAATACACACACCCCTGTACCAGTGACGAGACGCCGTTTTATGTGTTTAATGCATGTTTAAACTTCTGAGGGATGACGGGATTGATACAGAAGACTGAGAGGGCAGCGGATTAATTTGTAACATAAGCAGGCCGAGAACTCAGTTGTATTTGAGACAATGAGATACCCATCCGTCTATTTTCATTCCTGTTCAGGACTCTACAGAGTTAATCATTGCAGTAATCCAGCTAAATATGTAAATATATCGTTCAAAAATCTACGAGGGCACTTTTCTTTATTCTTTCGGCCATTGCCGCTTTAAGAGAGTGAGCCGGGTGAGTCAGGTGATTCGCTCACCTCTTCAACACCAACACTCACCCTTGACCCCTATCCTCACTTCGTGCCCACGCCGTGTTTCTAGCTGCTTCACTTAGGCATAAATGATGCGTCGACTAGGAGACAGGCAGCGTGGCTCTGAGGGGACAGGGCCCCCACGGCCCCCCCGACAAAAGGCGCAAAGTATTCCTGCCCTCCTTGATTTCTCTTACACTCTTTCCAGACATTGTGGGCAGACGTACGGGAAGAGTGGCCTGGTGGATGGCACGGATTCCGAGCGGAAATATAGTTGTAGAAATATAGGTTCTTGACGTGTGAAAGAGGACTGGGTATATAATCAGACTGGGAATGGAGTGCAGTTAGGAGCCGCGAGTGAGAGGAAGAGGAATACACAAGGAACCCAGCTCCTATTTATGCCAAATCAGAAGGCCTGTGAAATTTGCACGACAATATCTATGGCCATGCACCTCAACACCTTGGATAACACTCTATTCCTGAGACTCAATGTAGTAGCCGGCTGTCGTTTCTACGAAAAGAAGATTCCTCACTCTAGTCGCGATTGGAATAGGGTGATCATTGGATATAGCAAGGACATGGAGGCGTAAGGATGCAAATCGTGGCCGGTGCAGCCAACCGGAACCATCTACCAGCTCCGGGTGAGGCGCTGAAAATCTCAAGGGTTTCAGTTCCAACCAGATCAAAGATAATTACTGGAAACCGTGCCTTTTGCTGACTCGAAGGCTCGCGATATGAGCATCGAACCGCCAGCCTCGTCTGGGTGAGCTGGGAGTAGAAGTCGAGGGTGAGTCTCCTATTGGCCAGCCTCTCGTGATCAGGGTACTTTCATATAATGGAGGTATATATCGTTGGTTACTACCTCAGGACTGAATTCATCGTGCAGCAGCGAGGACGAGTCAGTTTTTACAGAGACTTCTATGCCTAGAGGCCCTTCATCCGTCTCATCAGCGGACATTGTGCCGTCATCAAACGACCGACCTCGCCCACTTAGAAGAACTCAGCAAAGGGACTTGCGACCGCAACGACTTCCCACCGCCATGGAGAGCAGAATATTTGATATGAAGAAACTTTTGAAGACCGAAGCAGAAAAAGTTATTGAGAGGGTCTTGATCTCCTTCATCGATGAAGACGGTCGACTTAGCGATGTGACTCGCATTATCGGCAAGAAGAACGCTGGAGATGAAGAAAGAAAGACTCATCCAATGTCTGGCACAGCGAGCTTTGGCGCTTGAATACACAGAGTGGGAATTAAACGTACGTGGGCTTAAGAAATCGAGGGTGCAGGAGCTGGCTGAAAGGCTCTCAAATGCGAATTCTCAGAATGGGGCACATTGCGCAATATGTGAGGGAGTGCCGCAATTTCAACAGCGAAGAAGATGCGGTCAGGTCAATCCGTTACGGGATCAAACAACTACTTCAGGAAAAACTATTGTCAGATAAACTCTCCGAAGGCATAGAGTGCGAAGGTATAGAATTGGGGATCGCCTTTGCTTACCCAGACTTCTTCACTCTGACGTTCGATCAACAAGAGCTCCCAAATAATATAGAGCAATGAAACTCTGCTGGCTCTAATTTGGTTACTCGTTATATTCGATAAGACGTGATGCTGCGAATCTGGAGGTCGTTTCTCATAGTAATGGATACCGGAGCAATCCGAGTCTGGGTATTGAGGAGCTGACAATATTGTTTTACTCGAATTCAATCATGGATTCCAAGCACAGCTGGGTCCTTGGATGCAATGTGAAGAATATCTCTCATCTGACTGTAGAGTCCCCTGTCTCCACTCTTTCTTCTCGCGCCTCCAGGAAAGATGACCCGTCGTAGCTTATTCACATATGGCGTTAAAGGCCGATAGTAGGGCGTAAAATACCTGTCCATGATGTTATCGAAGTCCACCTCGTCGGCGACTATTCCTCGTTTTGAATTGGCTAGTTTCTGGTCCTCGTCATAATTCCAGCAGTCAAAGTCTGTAGGTCCGATGAATTTGCCAGGACCATCGTAATGGATGCAAATCCAGAACAATACCCAGAAGAATGACTCCAGATCATGCCAGAATGAGTGCTTCTCTCCCAGCAAAAGTCCTATGGCCATGAATGCTCTAGTTCCCGTCTTACCTCTCGCGCCAGAAGCCCGTTCCCTATCTTCTTTGATGGCAAGGTCCAAATCGATAAGAAACGCTGGCCAGGAATGATTGTCCTCGTCCTCATTGATCAACAAGTTCCCAGTTGATATATCTGCTTGGAGAATCCCTGCTTTAGTGTGAAGGGACTCATAACCTTGGAAAAGAAAAGTCAAAAACCTTGTATCCAGAATAACAGTCATTCAGCACTGATGTCTCACCTTCGACGCACGCTTCCAGAGCATTCAAAAGGGCCGCACGAGAACTGGCCTTATATATTGATTTGCCGTAATCACGTACACAAACGCGACGGTGGACGCGATTCTGGAGCGAGAGATCATTGCGACGGACCGGGGAGCTTGAGCAACTTCTCTTGCTCGGCGGTAAGTATTGATCTGTACAGCTTGAAGACCTCTTCTGACCAAGATTGCTAGTCCTTCTCATACCGCCTCGTTTCGCGAGGTCCCTGTGATCGGTCGCTTGCGAGCGCGCCTGGCGCCAATTGGATGCCTTCGTCACGTCAAGGCCTTTGCGGACATTATTCCGGACATCATCGACTTTGCCCTGTACATGGACGGTTTGATGATGATAGTACCTTGCAACGTTCACAACCTCCTGTTTTCCAATGTCTTGCAATATCTCGCCTTCTTCTTCGCGCTCCGGATATTGCCACGAGTCCTTTATAACAATAGGAGTCTTGACAATGTCGTCTACATGGGCTTTCCAGCACGTAGTCGCCCTTCCAGCCACGCAGGATGATGGTTTCATAAGTTTGTCAAGGATCAAACGCTCCGGCCGGTCGTTGCGAAGGATTTGAATGAACTTCTCTCCGTCTGGCGACCACATAATGCTTGGGTCAAAGCCCAGTTGCTCATCGTTCATCATGAGGAATCCCAGAAGCGTCGAAATAAGCTGCCGTGGGTCCTTATTGATATCGAACTGGGGAGAGGCTATTGCTCCTATGCGGTCAAATTCCCAGATTCTCATGATAGGACCACATAACGTAAAACCCAGCACAAAGCGGCGCGTATCTTGGGCGCTGAAAACCTCTCTCACATATCTACCCAGGTCACGCCACGTATTTGAGACAGTGTCGAGTTCTGGGCTGCTCTTCAGCTCACCTGGGACGAGGACATGTGACCAATGAGACAATGTCCTATCTGTGCCCCCGTCGTCCTTTGCAATAGCGACATCTAACTTCCGTTTAGCGACTGATCCTTGCAGTGGCTGTGAAGGCTGGGCTAGGACGGTCCGAGGCTTCATGTCAGGCATGCAATCAGATGCAAGCTTCTGCACCTGACTGAACATCCTAATAAACCACTTCAAAACATCCTTCTCCTGGGCGTTCTTGGGCCAATCTCGCCAGCCAGTCTTGTCATTGTATAACGCATCATCTCCATGTTTACATCTCTGCAAAATGATTCCCGCTGTTTCCTCCAGTCCATCAACATTATGAAAAAAGGCGTCAAAAAAACCAGGGACGCCAATATATATGGACCCCAGTTCTTGCCTCAGTACAGCATCAGTGTACTTTCGTTGTTCCGACGAATTAACAAAACTGCCGGTTGTATGCGAGTGTGGTGTCTGATCGGGAATAGGTGCGGGCTTTGGAGGAGGCGTTGCTTCGATAAGGACTGTGTATACTCTATCCCAGACGATTTCGTCTGTTTCTTTGTTCCATATCGCTTTCAGCAACGGGATAAAATTATCGATATCGAACGCGTCCGAGCTGATGACATAATTGAGGCTTGAGAGATCATCTAGTAGATTTCTTCGACCATTTGGGGACGGAAGTTTTCGCATGTCTGGAAATGCTCGCAACGCCGATATGAGATCCAGGGCCACGTTTCGAAGGTCTATGTCGATTAGTATGGCGTGCAGTGCTTTAATCACCGATTACCACTTCACCTTGATCTTCAAATTTGCTTAGCGAATCTAATGTTCGCGCCAATCCCAAGTCATCGCAGGTCGCTTCGAAGCTCTGTCGAAAAGACTCCAATCTTCGTCCAATTGGTTCCGCCATACTGGTATCAGGCCTCGTGAAGCGAACCATTTTGCGAGCTATTGACACTCCATGGGCGGCGCAAGTATGGTCTTGACAGTGACCGAAGTCCTCTCATTTCAAGGAGATTCAAAGCATCCTTTTGGAAGAACGTAAGAGTTTCGTGTTGGCCGCGTTTGGGCTACGGCAACCCAAGACACGTTATCACGTGATTTATGGTTCCAGTATCACATGACCTTGGTGACCTATTAAAATAGCAAGGCGGATATATACAGAACGTTCCTTACCATGTATTATGTAGAATATGTACTGTATAGATAACTTATCGTAGCCGCGATTTCCGGTTTCATTCTCAAGGAGTTCAACATGGCATTACGATCAAGACATGGCCTTCATTGTGGAGCTTCTGTGCGATCCCTCCTTGGTGTAACCTAATCTCTACTGGCGAGTCTATGTCAGACATTATTCTGTCTCATACTCCTGTAACAGCGTGAGTACTTCATTTTTATTATTGACGGGGCATTGAAGGACGGCATTCCCCTGCGTTGTTATCTACAGTCGGGTCAGCGCCCCTATTAAGGAAGTCCCACGAAGGCGTGAAAATGGAGGGAGGGCTGTGGAAAGAAATGGAAAATATGTCATGCTCCTGAGGGTATGTATGTAGTTCTACCAGCCTGATAATCTATAGAGGCTCGATCAGCGACCTTAGCAGACATAATGGCCTCTTAAAGTGGCAAGGGGATAAAGGACGACCGGTAAGATGATTTTCTTTCGAGTCCAATCAGCATAGTGAGACCGAAGTCTGGGAAGTAAGGTGGAGCAGCCAAGGGCCGAAGGATGTAGGTAACCAGACCAGGGCTTAGGGCTTAGGTCTGGGGTTCGAAGCGTCCAGGTTAATTAGCACATAGCGTCATCGCCTGCTACTATTATTATCTAATTACCCCGCCAAAGCAGCATCTCTTGCTATCTCCAAGTTCCTCAACACCTACAACTACCTTGCCAACGGAGTCATTCGAATCCCCAAACCTCAACACCATCACAATGACCACTCTCAAACCCGGAGATAAGTTCCCTGACGATGTTGTCTTCCAGTAAGTCCACGATGACATACCAATCCATCACCGAAAGCCTTTATTTATTGTCCCCGTGCATGAACAAAGGTACATCCCATGGTCGGAAGATAAGGGCGAGATCACCTCCTGCGGCATACCGATCAACTACAATGCCTCGAAAGAATGGGCGAACAAGAAGGTCGTCCTGTTCTCTGTGCCTGGTTAGTTCACCTGCCACTTGCGGAGTTTCCTGGTTGATCTCTTTCCAGAATTGTCTCGCTGATTGTTATTATTTATTGTATTGTATTAGGTGCATTCACGCCAACTTGCTCTGTAAACCACCTCCCGGGCTATATCGAGAAACTGCCCAAGCTCAAGGAGAAGGGTGTTGACGTTGTTGCCGTTATCGCTTCCAACGATGCCTTCGTGATGAGCGCATGGGGTAAAGCGAACAGTGTCAAGGGAGACGACATTGTAAGTCATGCCATGTTTTTTATCCGAGGTTTTTTTAAAAAACCCTGGATGATACTGATAATATGGTTGTCATAGTTGTTTCTCTCGGACCCGGACGCCAAGTTCTCTAAGAGCATTGGCTGGGCCGATGCAGCTTCTGGTCGGACGAAGCGATTTGCTATCGCTATCAACCATGGAAAGGTTGTCTACGCTGACATCGAGACGGAGAAGGGTGTTGTCAAGGTGAGTTACTCTTGCGGTTTTCAATGTGCTTTATCACGGGCGTGCTGACGATTCTTCGACCAACAGGCTTCGGGAGCTGATACTGTCCTCGCCTCTCTGTAAAATGGTGCAATGACATAAATAGCATATAGAAATGTATAGGGATTTATATACCAAGATATCATGACATGAATTATATATTAAATTTTCCATATACTGATATGACGGTTAGCAGGCAGCTGAAAACAGCAGCACTTGACGCCGTTTTTGGCGTCCCTCTAACCAGCATGCGTGCGTTAATGCCCACAGCAGACCCGGATTAATGCTCCCTCGAGTTGGCCGTGCCTGGTGCCTGGCCCCTTCTCGCCCACTCGTAGTGCAGTCGCTGTGAGGTCACCATCCTTCTACAGAAGTAGTTTCTGTAGGGGGTTAGGGCCCCTTAGCTATCAGTGGCACACTACGATGTGTACTGTATTGGCCCTGGGCATATCGGCCTCGATGTAGTGGTCTTTTAGCCCAGTGAATAGTCAGTTATACGACCGTGGATGATCTATTACAGTAACGATGTAAATTACATCATAGTTAACCACTGCTCATCGTTCTTCCAACAAAACCACCTATTTCTTTCTTCCATACTTCTCACATATTCTCTACAAAGTGATGGTTGCAAGCTATGGGGGCCTGTTTAGACAGTGTCATTGATGGTGGCATCAGTTCATGGTTGTCTAAGGCTTCTTCGGCTGGAGAGAGTCGACCTTCCTTCCCATTTCACCTACCTGCTCATTCTCGCACCTTAACAAGGCTCTTCCCTTTTATCTCCTCCCTTCACCATGTCAGACGCCCCAATTCCCACCACTACCTCCAAGTCGGGCGCATTCATGACCGTGACTTCTGCGACTCAGTTCGACGAGCAGGCTGTTTTTGAAGGTTACATCCTCTCCTCCCTGTGTCAAGTCAAGGAGTATCATGAGTTTGTGTATATCAACGTATCTCGCTCCTGGGGAGAGGTCGCGTTACGGCTTATCGACGAGAAGATCCCGTCTTGGTAAGTCAAAACCTTTGTCTGATCTCCCCTGAAGGTCTTACTCATTCTGGCAGAAAACCCTACAACACTAATAGCCGCACTTTGCGAATCAGAGTCATGCCGGCATAGATCGATGACTGTATCCAAGAATGGCTCACAAAGTAGATGATTGACTGGCTCCTGAATCGGGACATAACCCGAGAAGAAGAGACACTTTTGCATGGCGAAGTCGGCACAAGTCAGTTATGTTATAATTCACTTATTTGAACAGGAACTCTGAGCTAGCTTATGTAGCCCTTGAGTTCAAATGTGGCCCATATAGCGGTTCCAGGAAGGAACCTGACTTCTTTTTCCAAGTTAATGATCATATCCTCCCAACTCTTGCAATAGAGTCCGGCTGGAGTGAGTCAAAGGAACAACTTCGCAACGATATGAACCTGTTGCTAATGGGCGGCAATGGCTCTGTTAAGATTTTCATCATTGTCAAATGGACAAAGTTGCAAGGAGCTCGCGTCTCAGGGACTGTCGAACTCTTTATGAGATATCAGAATGGAATGCCCAGACTGGAGCAAAGTGAGGTATATTTGAGACATTTAATTAATGGTTCACATACTTACTGCCTGGTCTTCGTGCAGATTGTCTTCCCTCGGCCTACCACTGCAAGAGGCCAACGAATAGGGAACCGACGAAATGATCTTTTTGAGGCCGCGCTGTTGGCTGGTCGCAACGGGAATGATATCCTTTACCTGGATGTTGAACGATTGCGTGATCATGCTACCAGAGCCCTCTGCTTCATGAACCTTACTTCTGCCTAGACATGTTCTTAAAAGTTTTTATCCGGTTGGCTGATTCCCGTCGCTCTTATATCTACTATGATTAAGTACTTATTCCTTACACCTATCCTTCCTCCTCCTCCTCCTCCTCGACGTCTATTGTAAATAGTTGCTTGTCGATCAGTCGCCGGACTAAGGAGTAATATTCCCATGATCAGAAGGATGACAATATTGGAGCGTAGTGAATTTCTATAGGTGGCGAGTATCGTCGGCTGTTAGTCTTTAGCTATTCTGAGGCACAACCAATGTTCTACTCCCGCAATGAATGCCATATATTGCATTTTGCGCACCAAGGAACAGTTTCATCGGCCTTCAAGCCTCCAATTGTGTATTCCTTGTTAGACGCGAATGCGGTGGTTCGAGACACATCCATGAAGAGCAAAGCGATTCGGGGAGGCTAATAATAGCAATAATCGCATATGAATGTTAATAAGCAAGTAACCAGATATAGATCAAAGCTGGGGGCTATGCAATACAACCCCCAGTGGAGCTGAGGGGTGCGAGGACGTATAGATTCGAGGGTCAGGCTTATATAGATGCAGTGGATGAGTTGAGGCAGCAGGAGAAGCTGGTGAAAGCAGTGAGAGGGCCATGTTATACCCAAAGTGGTGAATGCTATACTGCAAGAGGCAATGGGATAGCCAGTGAGGGCAGGTGGTGGTGGGTGGCAGACAGAGGTTCAATGAGGGCCGTTTCCAGCGCCCCGCTAACCGTCACAACTAATACTTAGTTATAATTAGTTTAAGAGTTTACTATAGGCATAGACAGCATTTGGTACTTGGAAGCTCCCAGACTAGCCCTATCAGGAAACCCCAGGAAGATAACTCCGCAACTTCCAGAAACCAAGCAAGCCACTCTCCTCTACCCAACTCACCAATGCATCCTACATAGCCACTTATCAACCCATGACCATAACAAGCGAACAAGAAGAGCCCAAAATGTCCACCTCCCTCGCAAGAGGAGCAGGCGCGATCTATTTCGGCCCCTTCCTCGTCACCCCCCAGGTCAGTCAAACGTAGACATCCACACAGACAGAGCCCCATCATCACTACCCAGTCATGAAAAAAGAGGAAAAGAGAAAGGCAAACTAAGAAAATAACCAAAATCGCATGACGAAAAAAACAAAACAGGTCTTCCACCTAACACCCCTCTCATTTGCCCTTGTCAACCTCAAACCAATTCTACCAGGCCACGTCCTCGTATCGCCGCGGCGGGTCGTCGCGCGAGTCCGAGACCTCACACCGGCGGAAACGGCGGATCTCTTCCTGACGACGCGACAGGTTGCAAGTATGGTCGAGCGCGTGTACGGGGCTACATCGTTGAATATTGCAATCCAAGATGGGAAGGATGCGGGGCAGAGCGTGCCTCATGTGCATACGCATATTATTCCTAGGAAAAGGGCAGATTTGGATCATATGGGGGGTACTGATGCGGTTTATGAGTTGATGGATGGGGAGGAGGGAGATATTGGGAGGTTTCAGTCGATGAGGCAGGCGGGAAGGAGCTATAGGTTTTCTGCTATTGAGAGTGAGGGGCGGAAGCCTAGGAGTGATGAGGAGATGAGAGTGGAGGCGGAGACTTTGGCTAAGGAGATGGAGAAGGAGGTGGATTGAATGCTTATTTTTGTCATTGTATGGATTACTTATGAGGGCACAATACGTTATACATTGTTCCTGCTGTTGCGGGGGAACAAGGTTAGAAAATAGAATCGATCTTATATCATCATGTCTATGAGACACTGTAAACAGCTCGGGAAACCACTATTTAGACCGGTATGAAATCGACAAAACCGAACGCCGCACCCATCTTTGCCAATCAGTACCGATGCCACATGAACGCCGTGTACGACAGGCCTCTATCCACAATGTATTAAGAGAACCCCCCTTTATGTGTCATATCAACCTTGTGTGGCCGTCTCCGCAGCCTTTTTGCTCTTCCAGAAATCATCGCGCTCTTTGAGCACGGCCGCCGCCCACTCCTGAACCTCCGGCAATTGAATGCGCTTCGCAACGTGACAGAACTCCGTCAGATCGACCCCATGAGCCCGTTCGTACTCCACCATCTGAAGTAGCAATTCCATCTTGTCGACATCGTGAACAAACTTAGCCTCCAGAGTCTCATTGTCTTCGTACTCTTGGAACACCTTAAAGATTTCGGCTCCAGAGAATGCGCCTCCGGGTACACTCCCCAGCAGATTCCTAGTCAAAAAGTCCATCACAGCTGCTTCCCGACGTGCCTTCTCTGATTTAGCCACATTATCAACAGGAGTGATATCACCAACGAGCAACTCCGCCATGTCGTGGACCAGAGCCATTTTGGTGCAATGGGAAACGTTCAGTCGTGCGGACAGCGATGGAGGTGCTAGCATCGTCATGATTGACATGCGATACATGTGATCGGAAATAGACTCCCCATGGTTAATGCCAAAACGCCGCCAGCCTTCACGTTTTGTCGTCTTGAGGCGTTCAAGGAGATGGAAAAAGGGTACCGGCGATGCAGAGTTCTCCTCTGGTGGATGATGAAGGGTAGATAGAACTGCAAGAGGATTGCGGTCAGCAAACCGGATAATATTAGCAAATGTGGCTGGGCTCTTACCGGACTCTGGGGTCCATATGGCTGCAGATGGTACCTCGGAGCCCATGGTTGGGATGTGGAGATGCGGGTGGTCCAGCTGGACAGGAGAGCGAGGTGTGTAGCTGTAACACGACAACCAAGGAGCTTCCAGAAGCGAAGTATGAGGAGGAAAAAAGAAGATGAAATAGAAAGAGTGGAGAGGGCAATGGAGGGAGGGCACTGCTGGGGAACACAAAGAGAGAGAAGTGAAACCTGATAAAAGGCCGTGGCTGCAAACAGTGCAAACATGGATCGACGGGCATTGCGGCGATCAGTTGGGAAAGGAGCAAAGCATCAGCTACTCCAGTCATTATCCATGCGGAATGTGTCGCTATTGGTAATGAATAGGTAATCTCAGTCTTGTTCCAGCATGCAGTCTTCCAGGCCCGCATCCAGGCCCAAGCCGTTGAATTGGGCTCCCCCTCCTCATGTCGCTCTGTTTATCCGCAACCTGAAGCTGCTGCAGCTGGACCAATACAAAGACTGGCCGGAAATCAACAGCCGTACTTTGTCTCCATCCCCGCAGAACCAGCGCCAGCGGATAAAAGCTGTGGAATGGGCGCTGTATCATCTGTTTGCCATCTGGGACCCTGAGGGCACCCAAAATGTCAGTTTCCTGCACCCACCAGTTACGCAGCTTCCATTCGGCTAAATCCTCCACCAGAAACTACGCCCATTCTTCCCTCCTTTGGAACCACTGCAGTCTGTGAATCTCCGCGCAGCTTTGTTTCGTGGCTTGTCCGAACTCAAGAAAAATGGGGACTTGGGAAGGGAAACTATCCTGCGGAAGACCATGCTGGATGATTGCAAAGGAGAGAAGTTCGATGAAGTACTCGCTGTATTTTCTACTGCCGTCGTCCGTAAGGTCTTGGATGCTACGGAAGAATGGGCCTCGAATCCTGCGTTGAGATTGTCTACTTCCAGAGGGATCACTCTGGAAGAGCACCAGATGATGATACCCCTTATCCTCGCCCATCAAGTGTCCCTCGGCGCTATGGGAGAGCGACGTGCTCGCGTGCGGAGTACTCATGACCAGTTCTCGCAACTGCTGGATAAGAAGAAGGCCGAGCTTGCCAGTCGGAAAGCGAACAAATCCAGTCCTTCCATACCAGACGAACCCACCAATTATGGCCTTATCTCTCGGGAAGTCAAAGAAAACTGGCTTGGCAGCGAGGAGTGGGCTGATACTTTGCTTTACGGAGGAGCGCGGAGTAGCACTGACGGCTTTCTGGAGCTGTCATTTCCAAAAGCATGGACACATGCGAATGAGTCTACAGTCGAGGAGCTCAGTAATGCCCCAATCCAAGATCTGCTGATCGACCTGGAGTCCCGTGTATCACACCAAAGGAGTCGACTGCACAGATGGCACGAATTCAGTGACTCGATTCAGAAGCGAGACGGTCCACCTCGCCAGGCCCAAGTGAATGTCGTGAAGGACTCCCCGCTTGTATTCAGGGATCATCAGTCGCTCACTGTAGCAAGCGTCTCCAAGACAGTCCGAAATCAGGCGGGACATGTTGACATGACGGACGAGGACAAAGTTCTTTTAGCATCAATACGGGAGGCTTTGGCAAAGATCGACAGAAAGCCTCTTTCATCCGACAATGCTAAACCTCCAATACGTTCAACCAAATTGACAAGCGATACGGTTGAACATTCAGATCCGTTATTGTCCCATACGAAATTGGACAAAGTCGGATCAATTTCACCAGCCGACACCAATATAGGACATACCACACCTACTGGGGGCACTGGACTCTCACACTCCAACAGCGAGGAATATAGGGAACGTCGATCTCCCATTGTTCGTATTACCTCAGAATATCCTACAGACCCGGAACCCAATATCGACAATTTCGACTCAGAACCCGCACTACCCGAACCAGGCGCGCGACCTTATAAATTCAGCCTTGTCGAACGCACTCGAAAATCCATGTCCTTGGTCCCTCCACCTAGCGGTAGAGTGCGGGAGAATTATCTGTCACGGAGAGCCCGGCAATCATTCCCCGTGAACCAATTCGAGACTCCACGGAAGGAGGACTCTCCACACCATTCAGGCGCATCTACACCCAAAGACGATTTATTTAGTGAGAATGCTGACTACGCCAGCGTCTTCAAGTCCAGACCACGGATTGCTCAAAGTCCCATTTCTTCACCGGCTGTGCATGTTAGTCCTCTTGATGAATTCGATCTGGATGATAACGGGTCTCCATGGAGCGCGAACCAGGATCGCTACGAACAACAGGATTATCAGGACTCACCTTTAGCTTCTAGGAAAAGGGCATGGTGATGGTTTGGGAACTGCTTCTTTTTTCTAATGAATTCATGGACATTTTTGCTCCACTTTGCTCCTTACGCATGGCATGATTTTGGAGTACTGAGTTTTCATGGGCTATGTTTATAGCGTATACCTTGCATGGTTATATTCGATGGACATACTCTGTACGTATTTGATGGTTCTACGTTGCTGGTTAGTCTCGAGTAGCCCTACATGGTAGTTAATTGACTGCTATAGAGTAGCGTGTAACTATATACTACGATGCTTTAGTAATGACAACAGAAACGGTTAAGGGAACTGAATCATTTTTATACCCCGTAACCTTATTGGTATCATATCTCATTAGCAGCATACAGAAGGTTTCATCAATTAATATATGAATTCCTAACCCACCCCATCAACGCCTCTGACTGCCAGGTCCAATGTATCCACGTCCAAAATCCAAACCAAACAACCCGAAGGAACAATATAAACGTAACGTATTCGTCATATATAAATCACTTGCGTGAGAAATACTTCGACCTCGTCCTTGTACTATTTCTCGTTCGTCTGCGTGTAGCAGGGACATGTTCAGGCTCAGACTCGGATTCGGGTTCGGGCTCAGGCTCAGAAGCAGGGTTGGACCCCGTTGGATTACCCTCGCCATCTCCTGGGTATGATGGGGGAGGGGCAGATAATTCTTGAATGGAATCTGATTTGGAGTCATCATCTGTGTCGTCGATTGAGATGACGTTGTGCTGAGTACCAGATTGATGTTGAGGTTGAGGTTCGTCATCATGTCTCTCCACGATCAAACCTGCATCGTCCCCGTCATCTTCACCGGGTAAGAGGAATCCACCGCCCTGATCTTCGGTGTAATCGTGATCGTGATCTTCTAGTTCAGCATGTTCTTCATGGATATGTCTGTTATTCCGTGCGCTCGCAAATGGATTATGCATATCCCTTTCCTTATCCTTAGAATCGTCGCCGCCGCCATATTCCTCCCTCACACGTTCTGCAATGCGCAAGCCAAAGAGAAACTTGCGCCATGTTTCCAAGATGCGTTTTTCAGCCTTAAGCTGTTCCCGTTTTCTCTTCTCCGCCTCATCAGCGCGCCAGGCGTCCTTGACGAGGTCCTCATTTTCAGCCGCGACAACCACACCCTCGATGATGGGAACGGCCATTTTAGACCCAAACTCAAATCCAGTCACGGCTTCCGCGTAGTCGATTCCTAGCTTCTTGCAGACGCGGACAGTACCTGACCAAGGAATGTGAACAGCCCCTTGGGGCACCATGCGAGGCACGAAGCAGTCGATATTTCCGTATTCATTCTTGGGGATAATACCATTTTTGATCGGATCCGGAATGATGTATTCCGTCTGGTGCTTTGCATAGAGACCTTGTTTGGGCTTTTCACCCGTTTCCCGCTCCATTTCATCTACCTCCCGTTTTCGGAGGAGGGTGACGGCGCGGATTGGGACCAGCTTCAGCGGTGCTTCGCCGGCTTTGACACGGCGGCCTTCCTTATGCCAGCTTTCGGCTGAAAAGCATTTCAAGACGTCACTTCGTTTGAAAATCTTTTCCTCCTTTGCTTTGTCGCCTTTGCCGGTAGTGAAGGTACGGACGTGTTTCGCGCCGGGCCGGATGGCTTCTTCACGGCGGAGGAAACGCTCTAGGACAAATTCCGTCGAGGCTCGTAGGCTCTGGAGAGTATCGCCTTCTTTGGCTGCTTTCTTCTTTTCTGCTTTGGTGGGGACGAGATCCCTGACGTCTTCGATATCATCCACCGTCGTTCTCTTGCTTTCCGGCCGCATGTAGCCCCTCATAGTCGCTCGGAACCAGTCGTATTCATAAAACTTGCCCCTTCGCCCCGGGATAGGGATCTTCTCAACCGGAAGCCGATACCCCTTCGTCTTGCTGGGCCATGTGCGGCGGCGGAGATACCGAGTGGTGACATCCTTGGCCGTGCCATCTGGAGCGTGGGCAACAATGTAACATACGACTTGTTTTGCTCTCTCTGCTTTGGCACCTCGGGGTTCGAAAGCGGCCTGTAGCTCGGGAGTTGTGGCCACGGCGTTTGGAAGAACTAGGGGGTCCACAGGGATGATCTCATGGGTAATGGGCGAAGCAACTTCAGTCCAGTAGATAGGAAATGGGAGATCCCTATCGTAGGTCTTTTTGTTTTTAGTAGGCAGAGGCATTTCACCAATGTCACTGCTTTCTGAGTTCGACCCAGAAGTCTCCGTTTCGGCAGATGCGTGTGCACTTGCAACAGCCTCCACTTCCGTTTCCGCGTTGGGTTTTGCAGTGTATGTTTCAGCCTTGGTCCATCCAAATCCGAGTGGTTGTAGGCTGCCTACGAGTCTTGCCTCCAGGCCTAAAGCGCGAAGGAGTGCCGTAAATAGCTGTGCCCCAACATCCCTGGATCCCTCCATGCGTTCTGCCACAGAGCATAATTCCCCTAGATCGCGGATCCGCTCACCGTGCCGTTCAGGGTCATGGTCATCTTTGTGGAAAGAGGATATTTCAGCTTCTAACTGAGATATTGGACGGTAGCCATGCTTGCGCAGCCCGGGAGCGGCGATCTTGAACTGCTTTTTCCAGTAGGCTGCCAATATCTTGAGTAGCGAGATGAGTGGATCACCACGGCTCATATCAGGCTGCCCGGGTTCTAGAGGAGTGGACTCCCCAGCCCAGTCCCGTTCCTGTTTTCGGGTCTTCTTCGCCTTCTTTTTATCCTTTCCCTCGGGCTTCGGATTCTCTGGAGCCTCCAGACCAGATGCTATCCTCCACTTCCGAACTTCCTTTTTAATGGCTACCGGCAGCTTCTGTCGGAGAATATCGTGGACTTTCGTGTCATTTACCCAGGCGTTGCGCAGAGCGTTGTGGAATAGCAGACACTGGACATGCATGCAGTGAGTCTGGATGCGAATCTGACGTTCTATCTTTGTTGGGCCCTTTTTCCCATCTAGAAGGTCGGAAATATGCGCTTCATTCTTGTTCAGGGTCAACTCGAGATCCTGGGGTTCGTTGGCAGGTGTCAAAAAGGCCGTTGGGGTTGCTGTCGTTGTTTCCATCGCGTCTTCCCAATCAATGTCATCAATCTCGTCTCCATCATCCTGTCCGCCTTTGTTTCCTCCATTGGCTTCGTCTGAGCTGGGAGCATCACTCAGTGATGAATCGGAGTCGGAATCGGGGCCAAAACCGGGGATTTCGACAATAGGCTTGGAGGCAGCATTGACGGGAGATGGCGCCTGGCGTTTGGCGCTGGGAGGGTCCTCCGAGGAGAAACGCTTCCGGGGAACGAAGGGCGGCATGTGAAGGGACACTGCTGGACAGGAAGATGGATGGAAAGGAGAAGGGACTGGATGACGGAGAGATCTGGAGATTTTGATATCTTATCTAATCGGCATCTTGTCTGTGTTGGGGTGGAGCAGGCAAAACACAAGAGACAAAGACTAGACTACTCCGTACAGTGCACAGAGATGAAATGATAATTCACTAGTGGTGATATTATAATATACTTCAGGATATCCTGGCTGTCTCTGACATGGAAAAGACTGGCTAGGATCTGTCTGAAGCCACAGTCTTCTATCCTTGAGTGTGCTGGATGTGACAGAACAATTCGTAATCCCCAGCTGCAATGATATAAATCACCTTGGCATTAATTATTGTCTAATGTTTCTCTTCTTATCCCTCTTCCATTACTGTGTCTGTGTCAACCATCTGTCTTCAGTCAATATACTCATCGACATACTCCCTGAATAGAAAGAACCTGGTACTTGGCCATGGATGCCGCCGTCAAGCGTTTCTTTTCTTCTCCCCGCTTTGCGGTTGCCGGGGCCAGCAATGATCCCAGGAAATTCGGGTATAAGAGTAAGCAGACCATTCTCTGTCTCTGATCATCTCCTCTTCTAACATTCACCACAGTCCTGGCTTGGTATCACCAGCATTCTCTGCCCGTGACCCCCATCAATCCCCGGGGCGTGCAGATATCCTTCACGTCGAAAACCTACGACTCCGTTCCCTCTCCCAAGTCGCTCCCCTCACCATCACAGACATCGCTGTCCCTGGTGACGCCGCCAGCGGTGTCGCTGCAGATCCTCGAAGAGGCTCACGTGCTCGGCGTCCCCGCAGTGTGGCTGCAACCGGGAACCTTCGATGATGCAGTGCTTGATTATGCTCGGAAGAATTTTGACAGCGTGATTGCAGGGGATGGGGGGCGAGGCAGTGAAGGCTGGTGCGTGCTGGTCGATGGCGAAGAAGGTTTGCAGGCGGCGGGGGTGGAATGGACGAGCCAGAGACTGTAGTTGCAACTCGTAGATAGATGACTGGTCAGTGAGGAAATGAGGATATACGGAAGCCTTTGCCGCAGTGGATATGGATAATTTGGATAATATTAAATAGCCTCCTTCCATTCACTCTCAAGACGAATGACGACAGCTACTCAACATGTCATGCTGATGACGAGTTGGTGGTTGCAGAAACCAGCTTGCGCCTCCCGCTCCACTCTCATTGCAGCATTTAATCATGGAGACTTCCATCTCTGACGATCAGAAGAAAATAACCAAGTTATTTCCTCTATTCTATCCATCCTGCCACCAGATTTCTCCCTCTCGCTTACAGAAAGGGCAGTCGGGGAGAAGGAAGTCCATCCATCATCAACCCTCTCAAAGATGCCAGGATCCTTCTTCCTTGACTCGCCTGTTCCTCCCAAGCTTGACCTCGCAGATGCACGAGGACAGCTCTTCCAATCGCCTAAGACTCCCTCGCCTTCATCGTCGCTCTCTCACTCTCTTTTAAGTGGCTGTCGTAAACGCTCTCGTTGCGACGATTCATCGCTATTCGACTCGCAGTCCGAACTAGCCAGCCCCCCGTTGCTGGCGAACACCGACTATCGACTGGCTTTCGGTAGCGACATCCGTCCAGCCCGCTTCGAAAGGCAGGGGACACTCGCAGAACTCGACTACCGTCCCAGCCGCTATCGCGATCACACCATGACCTCCCCGATTGACACAAGCGTCGATTCGCTCTCCTCGACGGAGGCGGTGATTCCCAGTAAGAGTCTCAAGCGCAACCATGGGGACTCGCCGTCTTCCATTCCTCGCAGTGCAAATGGGGGAGACAAAGCACAGGTATCAGCGGCCAGCTTGGGTCGGGCTGTCATGAATATGGTGGGCAGGATGTGGAATTTCTGCTGCTCCGGCCCCTTTCGAGGCTTCCATGCTGGTGGAGGTCGGGGTTATGATTTGACAAACATCATCCCACCAGACCGCATCGATGAGAACGCATTGGGTCATTCACCAACTACGAGGAACGGGGGTGTCTATACGGCAGACATAGCCAACCAGCATGGGAAGACGTATACTCCCGGCAATTACCCAGAAGATGAGATCCAAAAGAATTGGGTCGTTATCCCGAGTCACAGAGAGCGAGGTTCGTTCAACGACCTCAGCCCAGCCACGGCTATGACGGCACGAACCTACCATAGTAGTCCAGGTTCACTATACCGACAACGGCGACCTGGGATGTCGCGCATGGGGAAGAGGACGGTTGTGTCTTCTGGCCCACCCGCTACGCCAAACAAGGGTCAGGCTCCACTATCTACCGCAAAGAGTTCTCTGGCAATCGAAGCTCAACGACATGTCGCCAAGGTACGACGCATAGAGAGGGAAAACGACGCCAGTATACGGCGTCTTAATAGGCAACTTCGTGATATGATCAGGCAGGGGAAAGAAGCCCTCGGGACTCGGGTTGAAATAGAGGAAATGGAGGACTGCGATTGACGGCATGAAAGCCCACCGCAGTACCTCTATTTTCCATTCTTTCTCTCTTCCGTGTACGCCGACGTTCGACTACCTGACTGGTCTAATAATTCTTGATACCCCAGAACACACTCATTTATCTCATACGACTTATTTCTATTAAACGACTACCTCTGATCTTCTTTTCTTTTTTGGTTATGCCTTATGGCCGGACAACAGCGCAGATGTTTTGGAGTACTCATTCTGTTGCAACCTTGTTCTCATGCGCTTTTTTGGTTTTTTTGGGAGAAGCATGGAGTAATGGATGCTGGAAAATCACAAATTGTTTCGAATTCGGACTTACCGTTGACCGATCTTATTTTGGCATGGAATAACAGCAGTTATGTCTTTTTTCTTTCTTGATCTGCAGAATGGACGTACCTTCCTTGGTCCTCGAATAAGTATGGCTGGCTGCTAACACTAGGTTGCTCGCAACGATCACCTAGGCTTCATTCGCGGTCCCAGTTCTCGAAGTTCTCCTACCTTCCAGCTGTCGTAAGGCATAATTCGCCAGTATGGTTCGTTTCTCTCATGCATCCCTAAAATCACAATTATATTCCCGCAGTAATGACTTGCTTCTCCCTTATTCCATGAGGACAGTGCTTGCAAGGAACGTAACCCGATGCGATTCCAGAATGATTATAGGCAACAGACTGATTCAGGCTGTGTGTCACCCGGAGAGTTTCAGGTAAATTCCGTCCTTTGAACGGCGTTCTAATTCTACACGGTACATGGCTGCCTCGGTATTTTAACTAATTGCATTTTCAAATAACATCCAAGAATCTTGTCTGGTATCTCTTGAGACCGTTGTTCTGAAATTATCCTAGAGATCACCTTGGCATTTTTATTTCTTTTCTGACACCTTCCAGATGCTAGATATTATGACCTGGAGTGATCTCAAGAGTCAGAAATGTCAGGCAAGGGCTTGGGCACGACTGCGCGTCACCGTTGATGTTGATCATCGAATACGCCGTCTATGACCCCCGCAGCCCACTAACTGCATCATCCGAGTCCGATCGGGCCATCTCTAATGATCTCTGAGAGAAGAATGTAATTCTGACTACTACAAGATCTATGGTCTCCGCGGCACTCTCTTTCTCTCCGAGGAACCGATCCTCTGGGAACATTGGCATGGCCATTCATTAACCATGTAAATGCTCCCCTTGTTGCACACGACCGCCATATGGCTTTTTGGCGTCTGGAAGACCTGCATCATGGCCTCCTTTCGCATTTATATTTATCTGGCATCCTGCGCAGCTCTTCGCCCCGTGGGTCAGTTTGTCCTGGCCTCCGTGGTGAGGGATACGATACGTCTTCAGGGTTTAGCAGGTCCTCAGGGACGTATGGTCAAGGAGGCCTATCGGCCAGCTGTGTCCAAAAACGCAGCCCGATCTTATATTCAGGTTCTGGTCTGACGCGTGATGCCCGGGAGGTCAGAAGTGTTACGCACCAGAGAATAATGGACAAAATATTCGGGCTGGTCACCAACTTCGTCTGTGACTCTCCATACATACAGGCTTTCCCCCTTAGCCCCTACAAACAACAGTTTGCCCGCATTGTCAAATTTTGCCTGCGCAAACGTCTGGTTCTCGGGCGGGGTCAGAAGTATGCCTCCACACCCGGGATAATGAGCACCTATCATTCTCCCTTTCTTGGCCTTGCAGAACTCCCATACTGCAAAATGCTGTCCTTCAATAGCAACTCTAACGTGCTTCAACTTCCCGGGCAGCGAAAACGCCTGCGGCTCTCGGACCGTGCTCTCCAAATTCAGGCCAAGTCCAACTATGTCAACCTTACGCTCCCCATGGAATTCTCATCTTCCTTGATGAGAATGTTTTGGTAGTTCTCCTATGTCAGCTTCTTCCTAGTTAGCATAGAATATATAGTTCCGTCCGAACCGGGCCTCCCTAGCTAGTCGACCAACTCAGCGAGTTCACCCCCATCAACATGTATTCCGGCTTGAAATCCATCTAGGCACACATGACCTTGTTCGTCTCAACGATCATCCCAGTATGCAGCCAATTCAGGGCGGATACCGGAGTCAATAAAACAGGACTTCACAGTAATGTCAGGTCAGGCTCAACTCAACAGCATCAACGACAGGACTTCCGACTGACAGTGAGTGTGTGTTCAGCAGCAGGCGCCAGCAATATCATTATCGGACATGAAGCCACGTCGCAGGCTTCTAACTAGACGCTTCAACAATGCTGGAACTCTTGGAGCGTACTGAGATAGCTAGAGTCTTTGTGGCATGAGTTCCTACAGCTCTTCGTTTACTTAACTATACATGCCACAGGCTATTAAAGGTATGAAGCCAACCTTTCTTGGCTCAATACTATTTCGCTATACCTTATGAAGCTAAACTTTCAACTGGTACAGTCGTCCCTCAAAGGGTCTCAACAAGAGCATGTCATCCGTTGAGGTCTCCTCAGCCGTGAGATAATTCGAAATGAGCAACTTGGACCCGGTCAGGTTGATCCCATGCTCCGGATACATCCAAGAACTGGCATTGGGCGAGAAGTTCAGCACGACAAGATAGCAGGTCTGTTTCGATCGTCTTTTGTAGGCCCAGATGCGGGTGTTTTCGATATCCAGACATTCGTATCGTCCGTAGTACTACCACAGTGAGTACGTAACCCTTGAAGATAGTATTATTCGGAAGGCTTACCAGTGTAGGATAGTTCTTGCGCATTTTTATCATGGCCCGGTAGAAGGACCAAACTGACTCGGGGGATTTCTGCTGGCTCGCTTGGCACCACTGGTGGCCGTGATCACAGGGTGGAAGCCAGGGTTTGGCGCCGGGGGTGGTGAAGCCACCGTGAGGGTCGGCGGTCCACTATCACCGACATATATTAGCTCTGCTCTGGGAAGAGTCCAGATGAGCTGAGTTGAGTAGAACTTACGGGAATCGGAACGCGTGTGTTGTCTCTTCCTTTCTGGATGATTGCTTTTTTGGCCAGTTCAAGCCTTTCAGCCTGTCCTGATCCTGCAGCTTCACACGCTCTGGATTTAAGACTACTGTTAGCATAAACAAAAACGGCATGAAGAAAGAAAGAAACCTACTCTTGCCAGAACTGAACCGTCTCAATATCCTGATTCATCTCCTCCGAAAACAGTCCCGGGTTCACCATCCCCAGCTCCTGTCCCTGGAACACGAGATTCGTACCCTGCAATGTAAACTGCCACAGAGCAAGCAGCTTCGCACATAGTGCTCGAAACCGTGGACTATTCGTGGTAAACCGGGAGATACCACGTGGCTGATCATGATTCTCCATCCATAGCGTATTCCACCCGCCATTGTTAGCCAGGGTCTCCTGCCATTCGGTTATGATGTATTTCAGTTCTGGAAGCTCCCACTCTCGCAGGAGCCATTTGTCACCATCGCGGGAGTCCACTTCCACATGCTGAAATTGAATGACGAGGCATAGTTCTGGACGGGTCTTGTGGCGGGACGTGTACTCAACCGCTTGGGCTGGGGTGACACCACAGGACATCTCTGCTAGGGTCATGGCGTCGTAGTGGGCGAATACTTCCTGGTACATTTCTTGGAGGTACTCGTGGATATGGGGGCTGTAGACCTACAGCATCAGTCATCTATTTTATCGTTTTGGAAGGTGTTTCATCTCACCCGTTCGCGAAGAGGAAATTCGCAGGTTGCCATTCAGAACCCGGTTTGGAGATTGGAGCATCTGGAAAGTCAGAAGTCTTTGAGACGAGATTCATGGTATCCAACTGTGCCCAGGGTCAGCTGTGATAGATCGTGAGAAGGATATCGCTTACACGAAATCCATCTACCCCCTTGTCCAGCCAGAATCTTAGCACATCATACAGTGCGTTTCGGACATCTTCGCAATCCCAGTTGAGGTCCGGTTGGCCTTTCCCGAAGATGTGCAAGTCTTTCTAGTCAGATTTGTGCTTGTCGAATGCGAGTGGAGGCTGCACTTACAGAACTCATCTGCCAACTCATCGAATTCCCAAACGGACCCTACGAGATTGATAACGACGGGTTAGCTATACTGAGCCAAGGATGAAACATCTCAACTGGACCGATCTACCAGTAAAGGTACTCTCCCAATTATTGGGAGGCACTCGATTCCCATGCTCATCTCGTTTCCCCGGACTCCAGAAATACCAGTCTCTCTTCCCTAGACTGGGATCCTTTCGGGCTCGGCGTGATGTTTGAAACCATTCATGCTGCAAGACAGTCTGTCAACACGCCCAGTTCCCCTTTAATATTTATGATTTGGTCAATCCTCTGCAACCGGTCGAGACTAACTTCGGAAGAGGTATGATTCAGCGCAATATCAAGGATGATCTTCATATCTCTTTTATGTGTTTCTCGGATTAAGAGCTCCAATTCCTCCATCGTGCCGAAGATTGGGTTAACCTTTCGATAGTTGCTGATGTCGTATCTGCGATGATTCGCATTATTCAGTACGGGTTCTCTCTTTCTCGTTGCAATGGGACTTGAATTGACCTATTCCTAGGTACCTACCCCATGTCACACATGGGCGACTCGAAAATGGGAGACACCCAGACGACGTCGATGCCCAATGTCACAAAGTAGTCGAGTTTCTCGACTATCCCGCGTATATCCCCTTTGCCGTCTCCATCAGTGTCTTGGAAGCTCTGGATCAGCACTTGGTAGATGGTTGCCTTTTGCCACCATTTCATTTTGTCCAGGCTATCTATCTCTCCGCAGTCATCTGTGGTGTCGATGTCGTCGCATTTTGTTTTACTGTCCATTGGCACTGAGATATAGTCGAGTGAGATGACGGACACATGCACGCACGCACCGGGAGAGAGAGAGAGAGAGAGGGAATGTATAGAAACTCGTTGATATGCTTTCACACTACGACAGAAGAGATGTGGCCTGCATTCGTTGAATGCATAAACCTTCGTGAACCATATATTTCCAACCCGATGGAAGGTGAGGTAATAAGAAGGTAATATCCAGCTGATGCCGTGGTATGGCGGAAATCCGGTCCCGCCAATTCTCAACCTTCATATTTGACTCAGCCGACGATGGAGGCAACGGTAGATTTGCCTGTATTATAGATCTAATCAATGTGATAATCATCTCCGGCAACTTATCCAGCGCGATATAGAGTTCTGTCCTTTAGCTGTCTATAAAGCGAAAAAGGGGACAGCAGTGAGCTACGTCTGAAGGTATCTGGAACACTATAACTATGTGGTCTTGGGGGATTATCCAACTGATGCATTCCTGGGTAAACAAACATAGCTAAGAAGACAGCAAAAAACAGTATCATTTTCATTAGGAATGCTTTTCTCTATCACGTCATGAGTCATGCATGCATATTGAAAGTTTCTCAAACAACAACCGCTAGACATTAAATCCCAGCCATGGTAGGCTTCATCCATGCAGATATCACTAGGTCCAATCCGATACAAATCCATGAAGACTCCCGATAACGAGCACCATTACACCCAAGAGAAGAAGTAAGAAAAGAGTGGTTAATCAATCAGCCTCTAAAGGCAACGGGAGTCCGACTCGGCACCGCCGAAGAGCTCACAGGCGTGGAACTGCTCGGTGGTACAGACGGCGACGGCGTGGGAGTCCAAAAATTATACGACGTCGGGGCAGGATCATCGGGATAACGCTTGCTCACACCGAACAAGTCGCTAGTGACGTTGGGGGGGTTCTCGAGGCCGTTGACGCCGAGCTGTTCGATTTCAAAGACGCAGCCGGACTCGTGGTAGTTCTTGCGAGTGGCATTCCAGATGTAGCTGTATGGATTCGTGATGTTTACTACGATATTATAGGTTAGCAGTTGGACTATGAAGCACATTAGAGATAATAAACCAGGAATGCATACCTTCCAATGGAATCGCCTCGGCACATGACTCGTAGAGGGATATTCTGGGTGACACGATATCCCATGTCACATTAACCAGGTCACCTTCGATGAAGATAGTGTCGCCAACGGGATAGGTGAAGCCTTCAGCCCGGACAAGGGGAGCAAGGGCAAGGAGGGGAAGACAAATAAGTGATTTGAGGGTCGACTTGAGTGCCATCGTGGTACGTAGAGGATGTATTGAATCAAAGGGAATCAAATTCAGCGGGCCGCTTTCGTCTCTCTTTTCTGGCCTGGTTATACAGGATCACGACGTGGGATTAGTATCGTATCTAGATGGTCTGAAAGAAGAGGGAGGAAAGATGAAGACAAAGAAGAAGACGGCGTAACATAACAGTTTCCGGGGGGTGATAACCTCATATTTAAGACAAAATCTCCCAGTCTCCAGATTTTGTGGTCATTTCTATTTTTAAATAGGTGATGCAACGGATGTCGATCTGGATGCGGTCCATGGTCCACTTGCAGCCGGTGATGTTTTTTTTGTTCCCATCCAACCTCCCGTAGTACGTACAAACTGCTATTTGGAGATGATCTACAGGAGGTTGGGCCATTTGCCAAAGGCCCCGGTACATCGGATACCTGGAAAAGCATCTGAGCCCCATGTTGTTGCCTTGATGGCTGATCTCGACGTGTATGCAATACTCTGCGTGTCTGGAATGCATGCTGCAAGATGCCCGTGGCTGTCAATCTTCACCGTTCGGCTGCGGGTAGTTGTTTGTAGGCACCAGTTTTCTCCATGTCTGGATGTCAGGAAAATGGCAGAATATTTAGAAGCTGCTTCTGAGCCGTCCTTTGCGTTTGTCTCCCTTCGAAAATCCTTTTCTTTGTGATATTTTAGGCCTGACCAGTTTCTTCGCTCGCTAGCTTTCGGGTTATGAAACTCAGGCTGTTGAGGCTTCTGAAAAGAAAGACATGGCCAAGGAGTGGAGAAGGAGACGACAAAGAAAAGTTTGCATCTTCAATTTCATCCGATCATGGGATTCGTACATTTTTCTGTGGCAGCTTGGAGTCTCTGTCCATGGCTTTTCGTGTAATATAAATAATGTGCAGTGTGGTTGTTATCACAGTTGGGCCTGACCAGCCACAAGAGGTGCGTTGTAATCCCCTGCTAGGCACAGAGAAGGAACCAGGAAGAACATGGCTTGAGATATACAAGTCAGAAAATATATGAGGGTTCCTGGGTAAGGGGTTCACTGAATCCCAGTGCAAGGATACTGAGGGATTACGCTGTATATCGGGGTCCATTTCTGCAAGATTTCCTTCTTTTTCCCACACTATCCCTCGAATAGTCCGACTCGATTGTTGCTATTATACTAGATAGGTAGTACTCTTTTGTCTTGATAATACCAGATCAGGGACAGTTGCCAATTGATCTTTGAAGATATCCTTTCCGATCGGGGTGGAGTTGATTGTTCTTCAAGCATATATATACATGCGCATACATTGGATCAGGCCGATCTGGATCGATACAGCTTCTCTTCACTTATCTAGCATAAACGTCTGACTCTCGTCAATCACAAGTCTCCGTGGCGCAATCGGTTAGCGCGTCTGACTGTTAATCAGGAGGTTGGAAGTTCGAGCCTTCCCGGGGACGATTTTTCTGGCCCAATTTTTTTTTACTGCGTCTGACTCAGAATTAAGTCCCTAGAAAATTTCGCGCTAAACGGCCTTCTACCTTGGAAGGCCCTGAAAAACATGATTACATTTGTCAACCACCCCACTGATTAGGGTGAATTTAGGGGAATTATGAGACAAGAGATTTTAGTGTCCTTTTTTTCCCATTGAGATATGTAGGGCTTGGGGCTACATATATGAGGGCAGGTCTTTTCCTGTTCAGGCACTGAGCCTATTTCAACTCTTTTAGCCTCAGATGGATTGTGTATTAGTCTTGGCCTACGATTTGCCAAGATCCGTCTCCGTGGCGCAATCGGCTAGCGCGTCTGACTGTTAATCAGGAGGTTGGAAGTTCGAGCCTTCCCGGGGACGATTTTTTTGGCCCATGGGTTTCCAAATAGTATGTCCAAATCCAATTAAACAAGGCTAATGATGATGGCACTTATCTAGATTGTAAGGATTACTCCAAGGAAAGAATTTCTTTCCTATACCTCCTGAAGCTCGATAGAACTACTTTCGAGGATTTGACTGAGGAGTTTCTTTTTCTTGCTTCTCTATTCGAACGGTGCCTAGAAATTCCAGAATATTGCAACAATATGGGTTGTGCCGGGGGCACTGCGAAACCCCGGATCTCCCATATTTCCTATCTTAGAACACCGTAGAGCCGCGGTCTCCGACATACTAATGTATGGTGGAGCCCGCGGCCGGAGTACTTAATGGAGGGTTCCCTCCCAGATAGTTACGAGGAATTGAGCATTCTTTTGGTTTCTAGGTTGCTTCACTAGTATCGTTATCATTGTATAGAGCGGAGCGAGGCTCCTTCGTCGTTGTGTTTCCTTTTATCGTTATATCGGTTTGCTAGATTGTTCAGTGTGTCCATTCCTGAGATCCCTCGATCACAACCCGGTTCCTGTCGCAGGGAACAACGCACGTACGCCCCCCTTTACAGGGTCAACTCTTATGGACCTCCACGGTTGTACATAGCACAGGCACTCCTGTCCTGCAGCATTCTCAAAACTTTGTACGTTAAGCTGACACATGAGGGAGTAATAGGTAACTATGTATAGTTCTAACCTAATTAAACTAGTGGGACAGCCGAGCACGCGGATACATTTGACAATGGAAGACGTCTCCGTATGTAGAGAGCTTCGAATACCGATAGCTGCGGAATATTCTAACGTCCAGTCATGGTTCAGACCAGTATCATCATTATGTTTAGAAAAATACATACGGAGCAGGACCTCTAGTACATAGTATTGAAATGGTATCTCCGTCAAGATGCGTACGTATGAGATCAGAATAACAAAACGGATCCCCTTCTCACCCTAAAAGTCAGCGCTCGTCATTTTACATTGGTGCTAAGAAGATTTATTATTGCCTTTTGCTACCACCTAAAGAGGCCTTCTGAGTCGAAAAAAAAAGATGTCAAATAGGGTTTGATTCTATAAAGAATAAGAAAAAAACGCCGTCCCCGGGAAGGCTCGAACTTCCAACCTCCTGATTAACAGTCAGACGCGCTAGCCGATTGCGCCACGGAGACTTCTTAGCATTATATGGCTCTAATAAACTATAAGACCCCGCCCAAAAACGTATTCTAGCTAACGGCTTTCCCATATGGCGTCCTATTATTTAAGGCGCAATCCTGAAAGGACTGATGAATACGTATCCCGTTTACAATATCAATCACAGCGCATACACTCTTGAACAGGTATTAGAATATCAGATCCTTACAGATGATCATATGCAGAGTTGCTAGTTTTGACTGCAGAAACATGAGCTCAGTATCAAAACTCGCATAGATGGTACCTATGCAGATAAAAAGGAGAGGAAAGGATCAGACCTTCGATCAATTTATTTTCAGACTTTACTTTAATTTGCTTTGAGGGTGTTAAAGAAATAAAAGCAAAGAAGCCCACTGAGATTGAACACTTGGCTGTGAGGTGGCTGTCTATATTACGTACCGGTATCGTGATGGCCTGTTAAATAATGGTCTCGGAAGGATATTGGTCAAGGATAGGTATATGCAGTCCTCATTGCATTTAAACGTGGAATAGGACTGATGGGAGAGAATAACTCGAGTTAACACAAGTCGGGCAATATGAAGGCTTCTGGGTAAGGGGTTCACTGAATCCCAATGTAAGGGTGCTGAAGGAGTACGCCGTACACCAAACCCCGAGTTTTAGTATTTGGTGACCGTGCAGTAGCACACCAGGATCGATAAAAGATATCGAATGCTGTACATAGAATAGTATAAGGTATCATGCATATTCCCAGAATCAGATATGTTACCGTAAATAAACCTCGCCAATCACCTCGCAACCAACGCTTCGTAGCAGCGTTGAAAGACATCAAGACAAAGACGCTGGAAGAAAAGAAGTTACAAAGCACCATCAATAGCCTCGTTCATCTTTTCCGATTGCACTCAGCGAATGTGCAAGTTTCAGCAGCACAACGCTCTCTGTAGCCGCAAAATAGTTCAGGCTGAACTTCGTGTCAGCACCTTTTATCCCAGACAAATAAAGCAGTAGATAACAACATACCTGTCCATCAATATGCGAAGGTGCCGGTTAAAATGGTCCTCATATTTTTTCAGTGTATCTTCAAGTTTCCCAATCCGCATTGGATCATAGGGCTTTGCGTCCGCAAGGGCGGCATTGCCTGTTGATAGATCTGGGTCGGCTGACGTCAAAGTTCTTCCAAGCGACGATGCTGTCCAAGACGCAAACATGTTACAGCAAGTGATCAACTTGGCGTGTATCTATAATCCGCAATCAGTGACTGCTGCATGGCATGGTGCGACATGGAGAGAAAGAATAGAGGGTGACAACCTTCAGCAGCTTCGCCTGCGTCAACATGCACTCCTTCAGGCAAGTGTCCAGGAAGTCAACATGATCCTGCATCAACTCATCTACAGTCCGGTTCGCTTGCTTGGTACCATTCACCGTCACCTCGGACCCATCCGCATCTGTGCCGTTCACCCTGTTCATAAGGTTTTGCCAGTTGGGCTCAATCACCTCGGCAGTACAAAAATAAAGATGCTGCTGAACAAATACGAGCATTTTGGAGCGCAAGTTCCACGCTCGCCGCTTCCACATCTCCACTCTCCGGTCCGAGGACTTATGCCTCCAGCTAAGAACCTTATTGTGGTCCAGCCACGAAGTAACCAGCAGCGTCTCCAGATGTCGAAGCGATAGGAGATGACGGAAGATGAGTTGATATCGAAGGACAGTTTTACGGCCAATCACCAAGGAGAGAGGGAAAGGCACCAAGTAATCCAGCTCTAGAGCGTCAAAGCCGGCAATATCTTTATCGTCGTCTGAAGATTGTGATGTAGGGGCTTGATACTTTTCAAAGGCCGCCTCAGGATTGTCCTGATCGATTCCCGATACGCTGACGACCTGCATCAGCCACTTCGTGAGGCCCACCTTATTCATGCGCACTTTCACATCTTCCTTAAACGGATCCTGCGCAGCGATACTACCTGGTTGCCGGAGTACCAAGTCTAAAAGGGACTGGAGTTTGCTCTCATTGACGAGTTTGGCCGGCTTTCGCAGCTCTGATGTCCCGAGCTCGAGGAAGTATGGGAAAAAGTCGGCACGATCCAAAAAGAAATAATGCTTGAGAGAGCAAAAGCGAGTTGTAAGTGAGTTCTTAGTTAGGAGAAGGTTTAATAGCGAAGCATTGGCATAGGTATAAGCTGCGTTGACATTCTCCAGGAATCGAGGGTCGTCGAGGGTTTTAGGGACGTCCTTGACTGCTTTGCTAACGTCGACACCACCGCATTCGCGAACCACGTTTAAGTACTTACCTGCTAAGAGTACTTTGTCTCTTACGCTATCCAACTGCGGCGGAACCTCGTTCTCGCGAATCGTGTATCGCTTCTCCCAGTATTCGTCCGTGTAATCTTCTTCAAGCTTCTCTCGTTTAATCCATTTTTGCTCCTTGACAAGGAATTCAGCATGGGGATCCTTGATGCCCCCGTGATGTAGCCACTCATTAAGCATTACCATGTATGGTCGACTAGATTCGCGCAACAGTGTCTCCAGGAGGGTTTTCGTAGTCGGGTCACCCGAATACGTTGTAAGCCGCTCAGTTAATAACCGGAGTATATTTCCTCCTTTGCAAATTTTCTTTGACATTGCACCTGGGACGAGATCTCCTCCCTCCTTGAGCTGTTCGATAATATTGTCCACGTCGTCAAAGTCGACGATCGACTCGTCCAGGTCTTGATCTAGAAGCCCGTTCCGCTTGAGAAGCTCCTGGCCGAGAGAATACAGTTGAGCTAAATATTGACTAGTCGGCATGGTGTGTAGATGTAGGACATGCAATGTGAAATTAGGATTGTTGAGTAGTTGGTTCTCGAGTTGTGCAACAAGAATCAGGTAGTCTTTCAAGATCTTCCGGATAGCGGCGCATAAAGCATGACTGACTGCTCCGCATTCTGCCCGACTCTGAACCTCGACAAAAGCTTCCATGGCACTATAGTGCGTGGCCATTTTCAACATGGATAGGGTGAGATCTTTCAGTGTCGGGTCCAACCCCGGTGCCAATTGGAATATTGGACCACTCAGACGATCCTTTTCCACCGACGGATCATAGGAACTATGGTAGTGAATATATTGGCCCTCGAAGCCCATAAACACGTAAAGCAGATCATCGAGAATCGCCGCCTCCTGCGCATCAAGGGGAAGCTCGCGGAACGGCTTAGGTTGTAGCTGCTGCGGCGCTGCGGACGCCAAAGGAGGCACTGATACGCGACAAGCCAAAGGAGCTGTAGAATGAGGAACAAGCGATGCTTGGGGATTCCACAGTGGAGCTATATTTGATAAAAAAGATTGTTATGATCAATTACTTGAAAGCGTTCGTAACAGTTGTTTAGCACTCACTCTCTACCGGCTCTTTCTGCTTTTTGCGGACACTGACGCTGTTGCTAGCCGGCAAACTGGACCTCTTTGGACGTTCTCCCCGATTTCCTGCATTGACAGACTCCTTGACTGGACTTCTCACCATATTCTCGCTTTCCATTGCGGCAGGACCGCGTGGGCTAGCTTTCTCACCGACGCGACGGGGAGCAACGCGGGGTCGCGATGCGCTCATGTAGCCGGGGTGACGTTCATCGAAGGACATAATCCCAAGAGATTGAAGGAACGAGGGTCACCCAGCATAGGAATAATGATTCAGAGCCTCTAGATGAAATAAATAGGCATTGGGGAGCAAAGAGTGCCGGCTGTTTCAGCACAGTCAATGTCTGGCACCGATTAATGAGTTAGTATACGCCGATTAATACCTGAAACGTAAGGCTGCAACACATCATCCGCTAGGCATCTCCGCTTGCGTCGACTTCGCTGGAGCTCCGCCCTGGAGCTCGTTGAAAGACAGCGCAACACTCCAGCTTACCTCGTCTCAACCTCCACACCTTCTTGATTACGCCCAACGTACGGCTTTGTTATACTCTACGCTTCCTTTTTTATTGTGCTACATAGATAGACCAACATGTTCATCGCGCGATCAGAATATGGTAAGCTCCATGACAACCTACCCTCTCCGATACGGTCAGCCTGACAGCTCTCTATAGACCGTGGAATCAAGTACGGACCCTCTCGAATTGGCCCCTTCGAACTGCAGAGTGTCTCTACTTTGTGCATCATTGCCTAATGTTAACATGCAACAGCACCTTCTCTCCGGAGGGGCGTTTATTTCAGGTCGAATACTCCCTTGAAGCCATCAAACTGGGTTCTACGGCCATCGGTGTATGTTTCATGACTGTGAAGTTTGTCCACATTTGGTTTTTGATTCTGTGGAGGGCTGCTAACGAGCATATCTGACCCCAATAACCAGGTCGCAACGTCTGAAGGTGTGATCCTTGGCGTCGAGAAGCGCGTCACCTCAACCCTCCTGGAAGCTTCGTCCGTCGAGAAAATTGTCGAAATAGACCAGCACATTGGCTGTGCCATGTCTGGGTTACAGGCTGATGCGCGATCCCTTGTCGAGCATGCCCGTGTCGAATGCCAGAATCATGCCTTTCACTACTCCGAACCCCTTCGGGTAGATAGCTGCACCCAGGCAATATGCGATTTAGCTTTGCGGTTTGGAGAAAGCGGTGATGAAGAGGAGAGCGTTATGAGCAGACCTTTTGGTGTTGCGTTGCTAATCGCTGGTTACGATGAAGATGGCCCTCAACTGTATGTGTTGATGGCTCCCAGTTGCATCTGCTTTGCTGTTTTTATTTATTTAAGGGCCGGAACTAATTGGTTTTTCGCAATACAGCTATCATGCAGAGCCCTCTGGTACGTTCTACAGGTATGACGCCAAGGCCATTGGGTCCGGAAGCGAGGGCGCGCAGGCGGAACTTCAGAACGAGTACCATCGTTCCCTGACACTATCCGAGGCGGAGACGCTAGTCCTCAAGACGTTGAAGCAAGTCATGGAGGAGAAGCTTGATGCCAAGAATGTCCAGCTTGCTAGCGTGACCAAGGAGAAGGGATTCCGGATCTACAACGAGGAGGATATGGGCAGGGCGGTTGCGCAGCTTGACGGAAATAATCAATGAATGAGCCCTTTAAAGACTCATGGGAGTGTGGAGGAAAGTATTACAGGCGAAATAATATCGGTTGTACTTTCTACTCGTCTTCCGAATGGCCTGGTATTTTAATCTAGGTACGATAGAAAAAGAAATAGTTTTCAGAGTTTGTCTATTGCCCCAAGGGTCGATTCATTTTTTGAACATGAGATGTCTGGCCTATACACATAGAGTAGCGTTTCAACAAAATTGAGTCCCCTTCTCCAATTTACCGGATTTTATATACACAAGGTTTGAGAACCTTGGCCTCCTCCTCGGGCAATAAATTGTGACGAGATTCATCGGTCTTCTCGATGAACTTCTTCTTTCCAGGTCCAACCCCACTGCCAGCAACGGTAGCATATTTACCTCTCGTCGGCGGTCCGCCCTGTTTCACAAACTCCATGGTCACAAACATTTTATTAGACTTATCAACAGACTCTGGCTTGAGAATGAATCCACGCGCTCTGAAGACGTCCACGAACGCCGAAATATCTGTTTCGTCATTATCCGATGGACGGGCATCTTCAGCGTAGACCTCCGCATCGTCAACGTCAGAGCCATCATCGTCGTCATCTCCGCGCTTGTTTTTCTTCTTCAGCTTCTTTTTCTCTGCTCTACTGAGCGGTTTCTTTGCGCCAATCTGGGCCTTTTTGCGGATGACTTTTCCGAAACGGCTCTTGACCTCGCTGACCCAACATTCGCCCTTGCCGTCACTGCGGAGAACCCGCCATGCCTCTTCCACGAAGGAGACCCAGTTCGTACCCATCAGACTAAGACAGAATATGGCTATATCCACGCTACCATCTGGAACGGGGAGGTTGGAGACATCAGCTTTTGTGATAAGTGGATCAGGGGCCTGAAGGTCGTAGCTAAGGAGATTGAGATTCAGTTTCTTCGCCGAGGGTGTCAGGGTACGGGCCAGTCGGGCATCACCACAGCCAAGATCGGCAATAGTGCAAAGCCCATTGGGACGGCGCGGAAGAGGGCGAGTCTGGAGACGCTTCTCATTATTAGACTTCTTGGGGGCCGGGGGGACCTTTCCGCGAGACTGAATAGAACGGATATAGCCGTCGACAGGGTTTGAGGGCCAGGACTCTTTCACCTGGAGGGAAAATCCTGCGTGGTATTCGTTGAAGAGTTCAGGATTTGACCCGAATAATTCCATTGCTTTTTTGGAGTCCGTAGTATAGAGGGTTTCGTTTAAATGGCGGAATCGCGCAGAGATGAGCTTCTGACGCATAGCCTGTTGCAGTGGAGTGAGCCCTGGCGGTTCCGGGGGTATTGGTACAGCTTCAGAAGCAGGAGTGCCGGTTGACGTAGGATTTGGTTTGGCATTGTTTTCATTCTGTTGTTCATCCTTTCCTTGCTCTTGTTTCTTCTTATCTTCCTTGTTCTTCTTCTGTCTCTTATTCCTCTTGTATTCATTCGCATCTTCCCCTTCCAATGGCTTTGCGTTTAATGCACTATTGTCCTTTCCCTGTTCTGTGCGCTCTCCCTTTGTAGAAGACTCGGCGGCATTCCCAGGACGTGGCTTCCCTTCCTTCTTTCCCTTCTTCGCTTTTACCGACTTGACTGCACCATTCTTCTCAGCATTGGGTTTGCCATTTTTAGCTTCAATAACATGCTGGTACATCTGCTCGACGTTGGCAGTCGTGACATTGTCATTTATGCGCTTGCGTTTTTTGGATTTGGCCGCTTCCTTTGCAGGTTGGGAATCATTCTGAGGCGGCAATGGTGCAGGCTCAGCCTGCTTCTTCAATGCAGAGCTGGGGACGGACCATCCTGGAACGGCGAACATGATGGCACACCTGCATAGAGGAAGGGAGGGACAGTCGTACTCCGTCGAGACTTGAGGCTCTTCCCTGCAGAAAAAAAGTCTCCGAAAACAGCACGGGACTCCGCATCTATCACGTGCAGTCTGCAGTTCATAGTGCACGGGCCCGATCTTATGCTTTGCATTAAGCCTTTATCCTCTACTCTGCACTCTTATGGTATCCATCACAGCAGATCATGGATCTGGAGATGAATCTGCTCCTACGAACCTAGGCTGAAGGTGGCTATAGGCTGGCTCTCAACGGAATCCCCAGAATTCAGATTTGATCAGATGTGGGAGGTAACGCGAGAATGTGCATCGATATCAGCCTAGGGCCCAGGCGTTTCCCCCCACATGGTCCCTGCAACAGTGGCTGAAATCTGCCTTGACCGGCTTCAGTCCGTGCAGTTGGACAAGCCTTGGAGGCTGAATCAAGGCCACTGTTCAGAATATTGGAGATTCGCATTGCTTTCAAGGCTGTCCCGAGCCAAGAGCTTGGCCTTGGGCAAGTCCCTAACTGTGCCGTGCCCAATCAGCACTGGCCTGCCGATACCCGCTGGAGCCTCGCCGATCACCGAGTTGTCGCAACCCCAGGATATTCCCCTTTCCTCTCTACCTTTCGTCTTCTCATCATCTTCGCATCCTTTGTTTACCATCTGAACTATGGGTTCAGATTTGCCATCGTTGCAAGCTGTTGGCTCCCCTTTGAGCATCTACACCGGTGTTACTGGTTACCATCGCAGCATTTTTGACCCCTTCCGTGTTTGCCGTAATGAAGAAGACAGAGATCAAGCCGGAATTGGGATCTGAACGGGCAACCCCTGATGAAAAGGGAAAGGCTTCTACAGCTGCAGCCGTCCCAGACCCGGCGGCTTTGTCCAAGAAAACAGCCCCCCGAAAAGGTCCCAAGAGACGTACCAAAACTGGCTGTCTAAGTATGTGCCATTCAACTGTAGTCCCGTGGAAGCTCTGCCTAGTTAACCTGTTACATTAGCATGTCGACGTCGGCGTATTAAATGTGGGGAAGAGAGACCAATTTGCAACAACTGCATCAAATCGAAGCGGATTTGCGAAGGCTATGCTCCGCGCGTCGTCTTTAAGCATCATCTGCCCGCGGGTGACTTGGGCCCTTTCAACGCCAACCGGCAAAGCCCTGCGTGGGGACTAGGTGCTGGCGGTTATGGAGTCCGTGCCCATCCATATCAGATTCGACCAGACGACCCTGGCCAACGTATTCTGACTACCAGGCACTTTTCCGCCTCGGGGCAATCCGCTTCTCCAGAGGCAGCGGGGCCTCAGATAGCGACAATACCTTCAATGGGGCCATATTATCCTTATTCTCATGAAATACTTATGACAAGTCTAGTAGATTCACGTCCACAAGCTGGTTCTCATCTCCAGTGGCAGGCAGCGACGAGCATTCTCGAGGCAAGTACCATCTATATCCACTCCGAATTGCGACATTTAGCGTCTTCAGCGCTTATTCTGACAGGATATGCACAGCAAGAGCGTCAAAATGCTAGCTTGAATATTTCGTCGATGGGATATTATCCATATGCTCCCCCGCATCTCCTCAACTATGTGGTGCCGCCTGGTCTTGGACACCAATCCCATTCGGTGTCACAGGTAACGAACGTCTTTGCTTTTCCCATATTTTGATTTCCTCCGCAATTAAGATGTAGCCAGCACGTTACATTTCCAAGCTCAGGAGCTACTGCATACTGACGCCTATTAATACTAGCGACAACCCTACTCCTACACACCCTCACCATCGCAATCCTTTACCCCCTACTTGTCATATTCCGAAGAAAACGACGATTATTACTATGATGTTGATTCCGATGATGAATTGCTTGAAGCAGACGACATAGGCTCCTTGGGTCAGATGGCTTCCGGAAACTGGAATGCGCGTCAAATTCCTACCTTTACCGCGTATACAAATGACCCGAAGATGCTTGCATCTTACTATCCGTTCTTTGGGTGCTCCTTGCTTAATAACGCAAGAGTAGTCCGGCTCTTTTTTCATTTCAGGTGCTCCCTCGGGCCATTCATGTCTGTCTTCGAGAGGTGTCCAGCTGACCCTATTGTCAATCATGGCGGTTCTGTTTCAACCCCACTGCAAGGTTTGTGGACAGACACTCTACCGCTCAAGGCGTTGGAGCACCCCGCCTTGATCAGAGCTATGCTCGCAATGAGCTGCTTGAATATTTCCATACTGCAACAATCAGCGCCATCTTTAGCAATGAAACACTACCACTACGCTCTAAGGAAGGTTCGATTTGCAATTGGACTTCCTCTACGACGAAGACAGATTTGTACTCTGGCCGCAATTTTAGTTCTGGGGTACTACGAAGTCATGGCAGCCGATCACCCTAAGTGGTGCAACCATCTTGCTGGATCAGCTCAGTTGATCCGTGAGATTGACTTTGCCAGCATGACCCGCGATCTTCGGGCTCAGCGACGCAGAGTTTTGATGCAGCGGAAGCAAATACTTCGAGCTTACGGACAGCACCAAGATGCTTGGTCGATTAGCAGTATTGCGTCTGAAGAGGATCCATTTGCGGATGAAGAAAGCGGAATCGACGAAGATATCATTGAATTGCTTCTAGGTCGGGCAGTCGATTATGACACTATTAGCTATGCCAATTATCGGCAAGCACAGGCTCCCAGGAAATTCTTCACCCCGAAAGATATCGAGGACTACAGAATTCAATGCGATTTGTATTGGTTGTTTTGCAAAAATGATGTCTTTCAGAGCATGGTCGGCGGGAACCAACTTCTGTATGATCCTTTTTACTACCTTTTCCAATTGAGCTGCTGTTTTTTTTTTTTTTTTCTTTTCTTTTTCCTAACAGGCATACAGACTACCCTATGAGCAGTGGGGCCAGTGTCCGCCTCGCGCAGGCATCGGCAAATTAGATGCCATCTATGGCTCAGCAGATCACCTGTGGCTCTTACTCGGCCGTCTGCAAGACTTCGGCTACCGGGATCGGAAGAGAAAGTTGAGGGTCGCGAAAGCCACTGGAAAGGATTGGGCACCGAGTTCGGGATTTTTTAGATTTATGGCTCGTTTTTCACGGCGCGGGCCTAGCATGCCACAGATTCCTTCCGTTGATCTTTCTGATGATGAGCAAGCGGCCTATGATAGTGCGGAGGAAGAATGGGAATCCATCCGCTCTGCTTTCGAGCTCTTCCTTAATGCTCTGGGCTCTGACTACATGCCTCTATCCCGGGATAAAGTTCTACCAATATCCACCCCATTTGGCCCGGCCCTCAGATACCTAACTGACAAGATTGCCGTTATTTGGACCTTTTATTACTGTGGCCGGATCCTCCTGAACCGACTTCATCCGTCAATGCCACCCGCCATGATGGTAGCGGCCGGGGTCTGCGCGCCTACGACAGCCGAATATGCACAGCTTGTCGGGAACATTATGGCTGGAGTATGCCACCACCCACTCCGGCATAATCTTGGACCGGGAAGTCTAGATCCAATGATGTCCGCGTGTCTTACAGAGATGACAGTTGCCTTCTTCATTGCTGCCGTACAGTACACGGATTTCTCACAGAGGAACTGGGCCGTCACGTCACTTCACGATATTGGCAGGCTTACTGGTTGGGGAACCGCCTACTCCATAGCGTCCGGTTGCGAAAAGACCTGGACCAGGGCTGCGGAAAATGGGAAAGGACCACCTTATCGCCGTTCTGAGGATCACTTTGACGAAGGTAATGATTGCTACCAGGAGGGCAAGATTCAGGGCAATACCAAACTGAATGAAAATCCCGAAAGGAGATGGATTGCTGTTGTTAAGCCTCCAACGGTCCCTTGGGCCTTGGGAGTGATGGGTTTGGAGGACGACATGTCAAAATTGGACCTTCGGGATTAGGGTTGGTAGGTATCCACGCAGTGCATATATATGTATGCTATGCAAGCAAGATATGAGGATACCATAGTACAATGTACAAACTGCAATATCTCACTTTTCTTGGACATCTTGAAGAGGAAATTACAGTTTTTTGAGCTTCTTTTCCAACCTCTTAATAAGGGCTTGTTGCTGATTGAGTTAATGCTTGGCTCTGGTTGGTCAATTTGAGTTCACTTCTGGATACTTGGAGCCCATCAGTCTTGGCTGAATATTCTCTATCTGTGCTTTCAAGAACTGGGTCTGTGGGGGTACAAGTTGGGACCAACCTTCGACGCAATGGGCCCGCGTGCGGTGATAATTGTAAGGACTATTTGCACCCTTGTTGGGATGTTCTCGCTCAGTGTCTGCACAAGTAAGGTCATATTTTATACAATGCTCCATGCATCATCTATTCCTTGCTGATACTGATGTAGAATACCATCAGATCTTTCAGACATTTTTCTATTTTAACTGGTATTGGTTCATGGAGCATCGCTATCTCGCCAGTGGTATAGAATTATAGATGGTTTCGGTGGTGTTCTCTTTCCCCTGATGATACAATCACCCCTTCCCCAAGTCGGCTGGGGATGGTCAATCCGTATTTTCACATTTGTGCTGCTTGTGCTTTGCGCTGCCGACGTGGCATTTTGCCGAAGTAGAGTTCCACCGCGCAAAGGAGCCGAAACAACGTGGCGTGATACGTTACCAGATCCTTAAATCTTCATGGATGGGATAGGCACCATGGCAGTCACCACCGTTGGCATCCTTTTGACGGATCTGGCATACTTCATACCTATCACGTACACGCCAAGTTACTACATCGATCGGCAGCATTCGCATATCGGCTTCTCGCGATTCTCAACGCTGCTTCATACATTGGTCGATGCATGGCGGGTGGCCTGGCTGATCGATTCAGCCGGTTCAATAGCATGAGTGTGTCCTTGTTACTCTGCACGGTATAAGTTCTATGCTTCTGGTTACCAGATATTGTTGTACCGAATTTGGACAACTAGCACTCCTGGTGGTTTTCATACTGCTATTTGGATTCTGCAGTGGCTTCAATGCCAGCTTGATACCAATCTATCTGGGTCGGCTTTGCGAAACTCAAGAATACGGACAATATTACGCCAATTGCTTTACAATAGTGGCTTTGGAGCGTTGGTAAACGTCCCTATTGCTGGTGGTCTTCTCTCAATGCGGTAGAGGCTACGGGTAAAGAAAGATATTAGGGCACTGCTCTTTTCGCTGGACTCAGATACTTGGCCGCTTTTTATCTTTTCTATGGGACTGGATCAGAGTAAAGGTGTAGAATTGGAGAACGAAGTGGTGGAACGTTGGTCTACAACATTGCAGCACTAGTAGAGTTTAAGATGGGTTAAGCAACCATTTTCATGAATTGCTTCACTTCAACCTTGTGTAAGATAGGTCACCTGACCACTCAGTTGTACAGAGGATTTGCTAGAGGCAGCATCTAGGAATAGACTGAATATGATGGCAGTAGTAGAGAGTAATCAGGATTGTTTCAGTTTCCAGTTTCCAGTTTCCGAGCCAGCCTGATGTACTGAGAGATGGTGGATGAGGGAGCTTACTTCAACACTGAAAGTAAGGAACAGCTATGGCTAAGAATAGCAGTAATAGACTGATCAACACGAGCTACAGATTAATCCATTAGATACTCCATTCTGCAATACTGGATGCGACGCTCTGTGCTTAGTCACCTGGATAATCAGATTTCGTAACTATTCAACGTCACATCGCTCATTCCTGTCTACAAAGCACCTCGCTCACCATGTAAACACAACCTCCAATCTCTCAATCCCGCTGGCAAACTCTCTCACACCGCAACCCCTCATCCCACTCCTCCTTCCTCGATGGCGTCAAATCCACAGCTTGCATGAAGGGCCAACGTCGTCTTCTCTACGACACGGCAGACGAAGCGCGTTGCGATGGATTCCGGCCATGCCAAAGATGTAAATCGGATGGCGCGAGCCTTGTTGGAGAGAGGGACTAGGTCGTTGCTAGAGCCATTGCTCGTTTACGAGTGGAAGAAGAAGGATGGAGTGATGGCATGACGATGAAGCGGGGTTTGAAAGGGTTGGCGAGAGAGGTTGGGGTTTCGCCAAGTTATCTTTGTCGGGTGTTTAAGAAGACGATGGGGGTTACGGTGGTTGCGTATATGATGGGGTTTGAGAGGGAGTTGGCTCCTGTCAAGGTAGCAGAGGAGATTGCGGGGGATGATGAAGAGGGTAGGAAGCTCGACTTTGATCTGGATGAATGGTTCTAGACGGAGAACTTTTTGAATGAAACGTCTATGGATTGGCTGTCGAAAGTGAAGCTGGTTCATAGCTGTCAAATGTGTCATTTCAAGTGCACTGGTATGCTGCAATGTAGCTAGCTGCATTGGTGGCAGCTTATACGTCAAAATCGGAGGAATATAGGCAGTCATGGCAAATGACTCCATTGCCTATTATTAGCAGAGTAGCTAGGGCTATGCAGCAAAGCCTGGCGCTGGATAATAGGAGACACGCTGCAAAAACCGGGATCAGCCTGAAACCGCATAAGAATTAGTGTTAGATGCTGCCTGGAGAATGCGTCACTCTTCCTCTTCCGGAGTTGCGCTTCTCTCCTCGTCTGTAGCTTCCTCCATTTCTATTTCCCTTCTCCTTTCTTCCTCCTCTGATGAAACTCGTTATTCTGCGTGTACTCAGCTTTCGTCCAGCCTTCTACTTCTCTGTCCCGAACAAGCTGAACTGAGCTTCTTTACCCGCTATCTTCCACGGAACCAAACCCCGCAGCCTGAGTTTACCCACCATCACCCACGGTTCGTTCACATGCTAAGCTCTATTCTTGACCTGTTCCTGGATTGCTCATACTTATACATTAGCAGCTCTGCCAGCGATCCGGTTAACCTTTGAACCCTTTGCTCGCATGCCTCGACACGAAGACTCTCGTTCACGTGGGCGGGGCCCTCCAGTGATCCCGCGTTACGCAGACGAAGACCGTTTTGAATTTCGTCTGCGCGAGGGAGAACGCTATGGACCACCAGCTCGGCGACCGCACTATGAGGAAGACGAATTTCTCGTCTATACCGATGATCCCCGCCGCCGCGTTGAAAGTCCACCTCCGCGTCCCCGTCTTTTGCGCCGACAATCCTCCTTGGACACCTTCGACCGCATTTCGTCCCGGAGGCGAAAGGACAGTCATTATTACGATCATCCCAAGGTTGTGGTTCCATCGCCTCCTAGGCGCCCCTCACCATCCCCGCATCGCCATGACCGCGATTACTACGAAGACATTCGCATTGCGGAACCTGATTACTACGGGGATGAAGAATATCGTGAGTTCCGCGAACGAGAACACCCAACTTCTAGGCGACGTCGTCCGAGCAGCCCCCCGCGCTTCCGTGGGCATACCTTCGAGGAAGTTGTGGAGAAGCCGTATCCACGTCGAGGCAAAACCCGTATACCTAGGCGCCTGGTGCATACCGGTGCCATCATTGAGCTTGGATATCCCTTTAAGGAGGAAGTACGTGCTGTCGCTCCACTGGACTGCTTTGTTACTGGGGGACTAACTAGCCACAGAGCGACAAAATTATTATACTGGTAGCCCTTTCCAAGGACCAGATCGACGAAGTGATTAGTCTGAGTCGAGAATTCAAACGGCTTCCGGAAGGTATCTAGATGCTGAGGAGACCTGATCTTAGAAGACGCCACTGATCACATATTCTAGCTCGTGCGTCATATCATCGGGCACCACAGTCACCCCGTCGGCCCGTTCATTCTGCCCGTTCCAGTCGTGAAACCTTGATCGTAGAGCCGTCCCCTCACCGTCGCCGGTCCGGGTCACAGCTCCTTGGGGTTTCAACTATCGCCCGGCCGCGCTCAGTATCCGTGCACAACCGCAGTCGTCGTCACTCGTCGCCTCCCCCACACATGGTAGAGCTTCGCGATGGTGACGTTGCACAGTCCGAAGACCTTCGGGTTGGACCGCTCACCGTCATTGCACGCCCTCGCGATGACTATGATGACCATGATCACCACTATGATCGCCACGGTGGGGTGGACATCAACACCAGGACGGAGACAATCGAGGATGACGGTGAATACGAGAAGATTGTCGAAACGCGTAGGGACCGCAAAGGTAGGTTGTCCATGATATGGGAATTTTTCAACCATGTTAAAATTGGGACCCTGACCATGTTGAAACTAGTTCCTCACCCTCGGCTTGTTCGCGCGATGTTGGCGACACTTACTTAGACATGCCGCTATCCTACTGCTATCGACGCAGTGATTCACCGAAGAAACTGGCAGTAACCCCTGCTATTGTGCTAGTATATTTAAGTGTCTATCTATTGCTTGATTTAGGATTCGTTTGTTTTATTCCTGGCAGATATTATGTCTATCTCTGGCCTATTCTCTATGGATTGTATAGATACCCTACGAGTTACGAGGTTTGAAGCGGATGATTTCGGGGTTTATTGCCATGTCTAGTTGTATGGAAGTATTCTGGGAGGCTTACTGTTTACAATGCATTCAAATTAAGAACTATTGAGCAATGTACTCTGCACTCTCCCGTGATGAACGACTATAGCAATATACAATGTGTGGCGGTGCGGAGAGCGTTGCATTGTGGCTTGAGGGCCTCGACGGTGGCTTGGTATCGTCGTCCAGGCCACCGCTTGTGTTGCTTTCCTATCCCCTTCCATTCTTCCCCACGCCCAGAAGAAGAATCATCACTCAGAATCACCTCATCAGTTGGACTGTATTTGTTGCAAGCATGGAGAAGTTCCAGGCATTTGGGAAAAACATCAGGTACAAGCAGTCCTCAGCAACCCCCCCTAACTGTATCGCAGTTTAGTTGCCGAGTAGCTGCCTGCTGACGTCTTTTGAGACAGCGCGAATTTCACGCCCTTTGCGGCGCGGACGCAACAGATGATCAAGGAGCAGTTTGGTCAGGTCGAGGATAAGACGCAACTGCCAGACGAATATATTGAACTTGAGAAGCGTGTGGATGCGCTGAAGCTGGTCCACCAGAAGCTTCTTCAGGTGACGTGAGTATCTTTACTTGTCTTGATTTGATAAAAGAACCCACTGGTTAACGGATGCAGCTCCCAATATTCCAACGAAGCATACGACTACCCTCCCAATATCCGCGAGTCCTTCAACGACTTGGGTCGCACCATCAGTGAGAAGGTCCAGCTGCTCTCTCATGCCTCCAACCCCTCCGAAGTCCAGGCTGCCCTGACTGCCCCTCCCTCCGCGAAGCCGCAGCCCAAGACGTTCAACCACGCTATTGCCCGCGCCGCTCTCTCAGGTTCGCACGTTCTGGTGCAGAACTCCCACGGCGAAGACCCGCTGGCCACCGCTCTGGAGAAGTACGCTTTGGCTGAAGAACAAGTGGGCGACGCCCGTCTGTCACAGGATGCTCAGATCCAGTCTCGTTTCTTGGCTGGGTGGAACACTACTCTTAACACCAATCTGATGTTCGCCGCTAAGGCACGAAAGAATGTGGAAAATGCTCGGCTCATGTTGGATTCGATCAAGGCCAGCAAGAAGGCTGCCGTGAAGGGTGACTTGGATAACCTGAGTGAGGAGGCTCGTGCCGAGATTGAGCAGGCTGAGGATGAGTTTGTTGGACAGACTGAGGAGGCTGTTAGCGTTATGAAGAATGTATGCTTTCAACCTTTTTGTGTTTCATGGGGTCTGGATTGCTGACATGGTGTTATTAGGTTCTTGATACACCCGAGCCTCTGCGGAATCTTGCGGACTTGATTGCGGCACAACTTGAATTCCACAAGAGGGCCTATGATATCCTCAGTGAGCTTGCTCCTGTCGTTGACGGACTTCAGGTTGAACAAGAGGTAAGTTTTACTTCCAATGTCTTTGGTTATGCCCATGGTCTAACTCTTCCATCAACAGGCCAGCTACCGTAAGAGCCGTGAGGGTGCATAGAGCAGCTCTTTTTGTATAACTTATTTTTACTCCTTTTTCACTCCTATGCATGCTATTGTGCTGTTTTCCCCTGCCACGTCCGAGTTTTATGATTGTGATTTACCCGTTTCTTTTCTGAATTTTACTATGTTTTGCGGGTCCTTTATTTCGTATATGCTGTGTTACGGGTTAAGTAGGCAATGGATATTATATACGGCTCGTTATGGGATTGTTAAAGCATGAAATGCCTATTCTGCTGAGATGAATCGTAGCCTACGCTCTAGATACTAGATATTCCTAAGCGGCGGGTACGGAGCAGCCGCTAAATACAGCACGTTCTTGGCATTCGGTCACCTAGCTGTGCCTCCACCAAGTTACAACGTTCATGTTATTCATTTCCCTCCAGGTGGATGCCCATCCACATTTCTCATTCAACGCATTATTCTCTTGATTTTTCTACTAGCGGAACTCCAGGGATTATCCTGTATAATCGAAAAACATCCCATCCACAACCTGAGAACGAACGATACGATACGATCGCCGTCCCTGTCCTCAGTATAACATAACCATAACCTTCTACCATTCCTGTTGATTGAGTCAATTATCTCGAGGTTATACTGGGATTTTATTAGCCGCTCGCCGATAAGGGGTTATTTGTTATAGCCGACGTTCTTTCCGAGCTTCTCTGGACATACCGATTCGGACTCAATTCCCATCCGGATTTACTCGATCTGCGTTATTATTCCTCGCACTGGAAAAGAGCGCGTGTCTTATTTATTCGAGAGCTGGGAAGCCTGTGTCTGGATCTGGTTCGGATATACCTGATTCGCATTGTAGAAAAGTACCCACACGAGACAGACAAGAGGAATTTAAGGGAAAGGGTTGAAATCAACACGAGACAACATGGCGAATGGGTATGTGGTATACCTTTTTATATGTTTATTGTTCTACGGTTTTCGTTTCGATATCCTGATTCGGTGGTATCCAACTTTACTAACTGCCTAATCCGAACCATTTCAGATGGAGTCTATTAGTCGGTCTAGTGGTCGTCGTTATCGCTTCCCTCGCTGCTTGGGTATTTAGTCCCAAGGGCGAGAATCAGACGTGAGCTCCCCTCCACCTTTGCTTCAAAGGAATGGACGATCATGGGTCGATCTCCTATTTAGACGTGAAGACCGGCTGACATGATCGATTAAACAGACTCTGGCGAAGTTCACTCATCCTAGCGTTCGCTGCTTGTTATTTGATGTGGGGTATGTCGACATTGTCTTTTACTATCCGTCTTCTTTGAACCAGGAGAGGAAAGGAGATATGGCTGACTCGATCCATTACTAACGTATGGTGATTTCGTATAGCAATCACCTTCCTCTCGCAGCTACATCCTCTCATCGTCCCGATGAGATCGGATATCAGACCTGGCCGGGTACCGCACTGATCGAGGCAGTTGACTTAATTAATTGAATAATCGATTGTGCTTGTAATGCTTACTTTCCTCCTATGTATGTTGTAACTAGTTCTTTAGAATTCGGGGGGTTAAGGTGCATTTGTCCATTTTTTGCTTTTGTTTCTATCATATCATTTTGTTCAGGATAGTTATTTAGTATCAATGAATGTATTTGATTCGGTTCGATCATGGGAATTATTTTCCTCTTCCTGTCTGGTCATGGTTGTTTCTTAAATGCAAAGATCCAAGACTACCTAGATATATATAGTTATATTTACCCGTCTGGTTGACACATCACCCAAGCTGCTTATTCAGTTGCATTATAGAAATAGAATTTGAATATACTATTACTACATACAGTTATAGGATACAGTGCATACGCATATTCTCTAATGAACGAATATTCAACTAAACCCAATCATGCTCAAAACCGCCTTCTGGACTAACCACCGCGTGAGATGGCCTGCGACCGCCAGCATTGTAGCACGCATGTATCCGCACCCCAACAAGATATACAGTGCTTCGATGTTGTTCAATAGCACGAGATGCGTATCTGCCGCCCCAAGCGACAAGAGGGACGCGATGAGCTCCTGCGAATCCCCGAGGTAGCTCGCGGACGTTCTCGTGACCCAATCGTAAAAGGATGATTGTGATGACGAACATCCGGATATGCTACTAGCTGCTGAAGACGTGGATGGTAGAGGGATGCTATAAGCAGCATTCTGGCCTAGGGCAGGAGATAGGATTGAACTAGAAACTTCATGGCTGCCTGATTTGGGTATTCTGCTGGTGCCATCTGGGCCCCAGATGACGAGGAGAAGAGGGAAGAGTTTCGGGAAACTGCTTATAAGTAGGGCGGTGGAGATGGCTGTCGGGCTTGCTGGGGCTGGAGGCGGTAAGGTCTGGAGGGCCGAAGAGCGCCGCTGGGGAGGTAGGATGGTAGGGTTTGAAATGGAAGAGGTATCGCTTCCGTGGCCAGTCTCTAGGCTCGTGTCGGGACCTGAGGAGGTTCCTCCGGGGTTGTTATTCATCTCGTGATGAGATCCATTCGGCGTGAGTCTAGGAGACCCGGATCCACTAGACTGCTGTTCCGGCACCTGAATATTCACAGAAGACGACGACAGAGAGACAAATAACGGGGAAAAGGGAGTGGATGGAACAGATAGCTCAGTGGAGCTTCCACAACCGCTGCTACCGGTGTTATTGTCGCCATTGCCGCCAATGTTGCTACCAGTGGAATTCGAGCGGTGACAGCTCGGGACAAGAATCGACGCCAATAGCCGGACTGTGATATGATGTGCGACAGTAGAAAGAGCGTTGAGACTCAGGAAGAACAAGTATTGTACGATGATAGGTGTGTCGGAGAGAAATGTGGCCGAGATGGACGGCGATCTTTCGATGCGTGCCCAAGTCAGGTAGACGTCGAAGAGAAGGAGGAGGATGCCTAGGCGAATGATTGAGCGCTATTCAACGTCAGCATGTGTGTGTAAAGAGTCAAAGGGAGCTGGAAGTTGGAACTAGGTCAGGTAGGTCACCCATACATCGTACTTGTCGTCATCTCTTCCGAGCCGATTGAAGAGAAGATGGCGATACACCTGGAAAAGAACTCAATAAGACTGTTACGTATTCCACCAAAGACAATTCATATCTCCAACATACTTGTGGTTTGATCAGGACCAGATCGATAAACACCACGACATAGTCATACTCGACATATTTGTCGGCAAACCGCTTGCAGCGCGGACATTGGGTCAATCGCACCCCTTTGCCCAGTGAACGGTCATCTGCTCGGCTATAGGTGCTGTACAGGTGGGAGACGGGGTAGGAGCATTCGATACAAATGGGCATTGTGTCATGCCATGGTTGTGAGGACTGTAGTGGTAGAGAGTGGGATTTGATATGATTATTACGGAGTATTACAGTGGCACCTTGAAGGTTGAGGCGTGGCACAGTAGGGCGGTGACGGGCGTCAGAATAGTCCCACTGCCACTATTACGGAGTACTATTATTGCCTATCTAGGTAACATTTAACCCTGGTAGAGCAGCACAGGAGCACAGTGACGTATTCTATGTCTTGTATCCTGTATAACTAGAATGCAATTTTGTGAATGTATGCCACTATTCCATTGATTCCCCGTGGAGCATGTACAAGGAGCAGCGCCTGCGCTTATGGATGCCGATGAAGGGGAAGACATTTAAGGACTGATTTGAGAGGCAAGCGGTGCAGAATCGCTCTTCTCCTGGATATGCAGAGTGCCTAAGTTAGGTTTTGATATCATTGTCCTCTTGTATGGTCTCCTCTTCCTAATACGGCCGAGCAGCACACTTGGCAGTGAGCACTCTGTAGCATCTCAGGAAATATCAAAGAGAGACCCGGAGGCCTGGAAGAAGCTCAACCAATACTGTAAAATGATTTCATGCAATCGTCCACAGCACAGATAGAGACTGATCTCTATACTTGTACTCTTGCCAGTGTCTGACTCCCGGCCACGGTTATGTGCCGGATATTAGACCTGAACCTGAAAGGGAAAGCTGGCGCGTGTCCAATGGGTTTGTGGTAGAAGATGCCCCTGTCGCACTGCAAAACATGGTACTCAGCTGCAATAACAATGAAGTATTATAAGATTGTAATCCAGGCCATCCCACTTCATCTGGCCGATGAAACATGAAGGAGGCAATTTAATACATATGTACCGGTACATGCGGCCACACGTGCCGCTAAGGGTTTAGCGGGCCTCGGCCGTGTACCGGTACTCTTAAGGTAATTACTTACCTCATGCCCCGCGCTCTTTGTCTTCACGGCTTCTCGCGGCGCTCTGGGTCCTCTCCGTTTTCTGCAACTCCCAGAACCATACTCTCCAGTACGCTCTCAAGAACTGCGTGTTTGCCTATGTGGTTGGTCTCCTTTCCCTCCTCTTCTCCTCTGCTTGCTATTTCGCTCTCTTCTTCTCTTTTCCCACTTTAATTTAAACCCGTATTCTAGACACAACTCTCTTTGCCCTGAATACCACGTCCATTGGCCGAGTCTGCGACGCACAGGATCAATCTTCCTTCCGCATCCGCCAACCAGCTGCGCCTGAGAACGGAAATATTTACAGGGCTGCCCTTGGCTACCGCGACGCTAAGCCAGACTCTTTATATCTTACGATCATTTGTCCGGCACATCCTACCGGCCGACCTGCGACGCCATGGCTGCTGAACGTACCGATCAGCCGTCGGAAGGCGTGACGCCTTCCGTATCCCACGTCTATAAACCCTTGTCTAATGCGGAGGAATATCCTTTGGCGCTAACCGGTAACGATCTGTCGCGGATGTCCAGCCATGCTGGCATCGCAACTGCCGATGGTTTTGCGCCGGCACGCGATGGTGAGGAATATAACGAGGACGAAGATTCTGAAGGAGACTATGTTGCGCTGAGTCCTGAAGAGAAGAGCGATCTTTCATATTGGTTCCGTCAGCAGCCAGCCCGCCAGCACTCGAAACTGGATGAGCTGCATCCGTTCGTGCAGACTCTGAACCTGTCCAATGTGGATGACTGCGTGAAGGTTGAAAGCGCTTTTCCGGAGAGTGAGCGCTGCTCACGAGAGAAAGTATGTTAACAAGGACAGCAGCCATTTTTGCTTCTGTACCTCACCCTGGTGGCTGACGCTTTCCCAGTTCCTATACCGCCTTACCAAATGTCCGGAACTAAGCCTGGGTCTCTTCACAATGCCAGTTCTCAAGGAAGGCCAACCAAAGCCCCAGCCAACTTTGATCGCACACGTCATCGCCACTCGGACATCGGCACCTCGCGTGACGGACAGGTCCATGCAACTACCATCGAACTGGAAGACAGAGCGCGAGTCGTTTGAGAACGGACAGCTGATCGGACACGAAGAATATGGGAGGACAGTCGCTGTCCACTCCCTAGCGGTGTTGCCCGAACAGCAGGGCAAGCATGTTGGCTCCACTTTGATGAAATCGTACATCCAGCGCATCAAGGAAGCGGGTATTGCAGACTCCATAGCCATCATTGCTCACGAGCACCTGATTCCGTTTTATGCTTCGCTTGGCTTTGAGAATAAGGGCCCCAGTGCATGCCAGTTCGCCGGTGGTGGCTGGGTCGACTTGGTGAGATCCCTGTAGTCTTCATCTCGAACTTTTCGTTCCATGAATTGACAACACGGACAGGTCTATGATCTCTCTGAGTGGTGAGGAGTATGGTCTTCTTATAATGCATTTTCATGACGCGGACATTGTCTTCAAATTCGAGTGTGTCCACTTTGGGTTTATCCCCACCTAGTTCTTCCCTTTCTCCCTGTTCCCCTTGTTATTTCAGTTCCTCTTATTTTTCTTTTAACGAAACGGACCCAAGAGATGAAAGTACAGGAGTTATGATCTGGACTACAAGGCTATTTCCGGGGTGGGCATGGAATAGCTTTTCTTTTCTATTTTTTCTCTTTGACAATCTTCCTGTATTGCACTCGGAATGTGTTGAGGTGGAAGAGCAACTCGGTCTCATCGTGCCAGAACGGCCATCTTTTGTACCATAGAGAATTATGCTCGTATAGACAGAGACCACTATCTTAAAAGATAGACAGTTCTTCTAGGTAATAATGTGATGCCATTGCTGTTTTCGGCTAGGCAGCCCACAAGGCTAAGCCTTCACCGCCCGCAAAAATTACCGTGGGACTATTTTTTTTTTCTGCACCGCCTTGAGGGTATCCAGAAAACTGCTAGGACCGTCAACAGTCTTCTGGACCACTTCAGAGTCTTCAAATATACCGACTCTCCTCCCGTGGCCCATCATGAAGACCACCTGGAAAGACGTAAGTGTTGTCATTATACCTAGATGTGGAAACGAAGCAGTCTGTCAACGTTACTGACATGCCCGCTCAATTAGATTGCGCCCGTCCCGACGAGCCAGGAGTTCCTCGACATCGTTCTCAGTCGCACTCAGAGGCAACTCCCCACGCAGATTCGAGCTGGTTTTAAGATCAGTCGAATTAGAGGTACTTACTCGTGGTTCCCGATTACTTTGTCAAGAATGCGGTAGTTGTTAGGCGGACGAGGGAGACGAGAACACCGTATTGTTTTGATAGCTAGCTGGGTCGCTAATTTTTTTTTCAACTTGCACAGGATTCTACACTCGGAAGGTCAAATATACCCAGGAGACATTTTGCGAAAAGTTTCAGGCCATTCTCGATGGATTTCCCCGGTTACAAGATGTCCATCCCTTTCGTGAGTATCTCTTTCTACTCGAAATCGCCAGGATGTGGTTAAATTTCTGACAACATCCAGACAAGGACTTGATGAACACTCTGTACGACGCCGATCATTTCAAAATCGCTCTGGGCCAGATATCCACGGCCAAACATCTTATCGAAACTGTCTCTCGCGACTATGTTCGCCTTATCAAATATGCACAGTCTCTTTTTCAATGCAAGCAGCTCAAGCGCGCCGCTCTCGGTCGCATGGCAACTATTTGCAGACGCCTGAAGGACCCTCTGATTTACCTGGAGCAGGTTCGCCAGCATTTGGGTCGTCTGCCGTCAATTGACCCCAACACTCGTACGCTCTTGATCTGTGGATATCCCAATGTCGGAAAGTCCAGCTTCCTGCGTAGCGTGACCCGTGCCGACGTCGATGTTCAGCCTTATGCGTTCACCACGAAGAGTTTGTTCGTCGGCCATTTTGATTACAAGTACCTGCGCTTCCAAGCTATCGATACTCCGGGAATTTTGGATCATCCGCTTGAGGAAATGAACACCATTGAAATGCAGTCCATCACGGCTGTTGCCCATCTCCGCTCTGCGATCTTGTACTTTATGGATTTGTCGGAGCAGTGCGGCTATTCGGTCGCCGACCAGATCAAACTTTTCCACAGCATCAAGCCGCTGTTTGCCAACAAGATTGTCTTCGTTGTGGTCAACAAAATTGATATTAAGCGTCCCGAGGATCTGGAGCCCGAGCTGCAGGAACAACTTCAGACGATGCTAAAGTCCGGCGATGTGGAGCTGCTGCAGTTGTCTTGCACAACAACTGAGGGTGTAACGGCTGTGAAGAATGCGGCTTGCGATAAGCTACTTGCAGAGCGAGTTGCCCAGAAGCTGAAGTCTGGAACTGCCAGCTCTGGCACCCCTAGCGGACGTCTCGGTGATGTTTTGGCTCGTATTCACGTTGCACAGCCTCTTGGAGGAGTCACACGCGAAACATTCATCCCTGAGGCTGTCAAGTCGCTCAAGAAATATGACAAGAATGACCCCGAGCGGAGGAGATTGGAACGTGACATCGAGGAGGAGAATGGTGGCCCTGGTGTATACAATGTTGATCTTCGGAAAGACTACACTCTGGCAGATGATGAATGGAAGTACGACAAGATTCCTGAAATCTGGAACGGCAAAAACATCTACGATTACGTTGATCCAGACATCGAGGCCAAGTTGGCTGCTCTCGAGGAGGAAGAGGAGAAACTGCAAACAGACGGCTACTATGACTCTGACGAGAGTGTCGAGGATGCTGAAGATGCCGACATTCGCATGAAGGCGGATTTGATTCGCGAGAAGCGGGTGCTGATGCGCAATGAGGCCAAGATGCGGAAGTCCCTCAAGAACCGCGCGGTCATCCCGCGTAGCGCCAAGGCCAAGAAGGTGTCCGAGATGGAGGCTGCCTTGGACTCGGCTGGATATGATGTCGATGCAGCTTCTGCCCGTGCCAGGTCTCAGAGTCACGCTCGTGGCCGCACCACAACCCGTGGTGATACCGCTATGGGTGAGGATGGTGATGCTATGGATATCGACTCGACCGATCCGCGCCAGGCTATTGCACGGGCCAAGAGCCGTGCTCGCACGCAGCCCACTACTAACCGTCTTGTTGACGGTGTTGCTGACGCGACGGCTCGTAGCAAGGCCGAGCGCCTGGCAAAACTGAGCCAGAAGAAGATGAACCGGATGGCACGGCAGGGAGAAGCGGACCGACACACAACTGCATCTCTCCCCAAGCATTTGGTATGTTGCATCCTTCTATCGCTAGTTTTTTTTCTATTTGCTGACTTTTTTTTTTTTTCAGTTCTCCGGAAAACGTACTATTGGCAAGACGCAGCGTCGTTAGCCTGCTCGCAGCTGTTTCCGTTGACGATGCGATGAGGCCCTTAATTTCCCCTTGTTGTCGGCTTTGGCACCGGTTTCTGAAAATGGCGTTTGGCGGATAATGCTTTTTATTTGATTCTTTTCCTCTACTTTGTTGCCTCTATATCAGTGTGCTTCCAACTGAACATTTACATCTGGGTTGATGAGTATAAAATACCAACGGGTGCCGTGACTGCCCATATTTGACATCTGCAGCAGAAACATGGATAGATGTTTATAAAATCAAGCAAAAGCAACACAACTGGCATGACTATTCCGTGAGAAAGAGGGAACCAGAACCCTGAGGATCTACAAGCTTGTAACGTCGAGATGCAACTTCGGGGCATTTGTCAAAGCACCCCACAACCCTGTCATGAGGTGCTTCTCCATACTTGCTATTATTTAAATTTAACCATTTAACCGTCCTCAGTCCTATTGCCACACTTTTCCCTTTTTCTAGTCCAAGAAATCCTTGTCCAAGAAATCCTTGTCCAAGAAATCCTTGTCCAAGAAATCCTTGTCCAAGAAATATACCCGAAAACGATCAACCACATCAATTGCAATGGTTCAGAGCGTTCTCGACGATATCTCCCACCGGAGGTACAATCCTCTGAGGGGCTCGTATATCTTAGTTTCTCCGCATCGGACCAAGAGACCCTGGCAGTAAGCTTGTCTTTCCCCTTTCTATATATATCTCTTGGACGAAATGGAAGATGGGACTTGAAGTTATCGGTAGAAAAAGAAGCTAATTCAATGAAAATTCAGAGGAGCCCAGGAAACCCCATCCAAGACCACTTTGCCCGCCTACGACCCCGCCTGTTATCTATGTCCGGGGAACAAGCGCGCCCAGGGCGACGTCAACCCCAAATACGAGAGCACCTTCGTGTTCGTCAATGATTATAGTGCCGTCAAGGAAGAACAGGCTGATTATTTACCGCATGATTCCGAAGGAAGTATGTTATGTGTGCTTGGTTGAGCTGCCCGTAAAAGAAAGGAAAGGGGAAAAAAGCTGACCAGCGCAAGGCCCCGAATCATTCTTCCTCAAAGCCCAACCGGTGACGGGGAAATGCTACGTCCTCACTTTCTCCTCGGCGCATAATCTGACCCTGGCCGATTTATCCCCCGTCGAGATCCTGCCAGTTATCAACGCATGGACGGAGATCTACTCTGCGCATCTGTCGCCCAAGTCGCCGCTTGCGCCGCTCGCGTCGGTGACTACGCTGCCTCCTAATTCACCGACGGTGAATCTGACAAAGCCCAAGGAGCAGTACCGGTACATGCAGATCTTCGAGAACAAGGGCGCGGCCATGGGGTGCTCTAATCCCCATCCTCACGGACAGGTGTGGACTACTAGCAACCTTCCGGAGGAGCCTTCTATAGAGCTGATGCAGATGGAGAAGTATCGACGGGAGCACGGCGGGAAACACATGCTTGAGGATTATGCGGCGCTTGAAAGCAAGAAACAGGAGCGGGTGGTGTTTGAGAACGATGCTTTTCTCGTGGTCTGTCCTTGGTGGGCGACATGGCCGTTTGAAACCATGATTATCAGCAAGAAGCATAAGCGGGCGCTTGTGGATCTGAACACGAACGAGAAGGGCCAGCTGGCTGAAGCGATTGCGGAAATTACCCGGCGTTATGACAATTTGTTTGAGACGCACTTCCCGTACAGTATGGGTATTCACCAGGCACCGCTTGAAGGGACGGATGAAGAGATTGAGGCCTCGTATCTACATTTGCACTTCTACCCTCCTCTTCTGAGGAGTGCGACTGTGCGCAAGTTCCTGGTCGGGTGAGTGAAGATTTGGCGTTTCAATTGCTTTTGTATAGCTGCTTTTTTGGCTAACAATAATTCGCAGTTATGAGATGATGGCCGAGCCTCAACGGGATATCACACCTGAGCAGGCGGCTGCTAGGTTACGCGGATGTGCAGGAGAGCTGTACAGGAAGAAACTCGATGGATGATGCTGCTGTTTGCTGAACTTCCAGATCAACTCCCAGAAAAAGATGCATGTGTAGGTATTCTTATGCTTATACACAAGCTCAGCGTAACCGTTAGCTAGTCATAGAATCCATAATAATTACATACGGGGGATGAACACAGCATACCAGTCCAACCAACAAGAAATCCTTGATTCACGCGGACAAATACGCCTCCCTCTGCGTCAACATCCACGTCAACGTCCCCGATGCCACGATCAGCGGACTGATGAACCTCCCCTTCAACTGCGCAGTCCCATGTCCCAACCACTCGCCCACGAAATGCGCCAGTGCAACCCCAAACGACCACGCAGCGAGATCGTATACGGCCGGTGTCGTTATATTGTACGCAGCGTATAACCGCACAATGCCGGTGATGAAGGTCCAGGTTCCGAAGGTGCGTGCTGAGAGGGGATTGGAGGGCGCGGCGCCCGTGGCCGTTCGACCGTTGTAGAGGTCGTTTGCGTAGTCAACTGAGCGGTAGGCTTGGAAGCTGTTGGCGATGGAGACGATGGAGACCTGTTTTGAGTCTTAGTATAGAATTATATTCCAGTAATGGATGTGTCCTGTGTTCCAGTGGGTAGGGCAGTAATATTCAGATAGCACAAGTGTGACACATACCAGGAAAAGCCACTTGGGCAAGTACCCTTCAAAGGGTGGCAAGTAGGAGAGAAACTGGGACATTGTGAGCTAAGACAGCACTGGATTGGTTTGCTTTCTTCCAGGAGACCGCAATTTGTGAAGCAATTCAAGGAAAGGGAAGTAAGTATTGTGAACTAGGAGAATCCATCGGCGGAGAAAGGGGCCGTTTCTGGCCTCGGTCCCCAACAATAATTTTGTCTCTGTGAATTGGGTTCTTTAATCGCATCAATTTCCATACCACGCCTGGCTTCATTGATACTTCAACCTATCTACAAGTTTATAGCCATGGAGTTTCTATCCAACTATACGGGCTGCTTGTCCAATTGGAGTCTCAACCTCCAGCCGGGGTTGCAGACGGTCGGAGCTCTGGTTCTCCTCACCACCGGCGGATTGTTCGTCGCCTGCAGGGCCTTTACCTTCCTCCGGGTTGTTCTTAGTCTCTTTGTATTTCCAGGGAAGCCAGTACGTTCAGGAAATTTAATTCCCCTAGGATATCTTTCTGTCGCTGACTCTTACAAGCTCCGTTCCTTCGGCCCCAAAGGCAGCTGGGCCGTGGTTACGGGTGCATCGGATGGACTAGGCAAGGAATTCTCTCTGCAGCTCGCGCGCGCCGGCTTCAACATCCTTCTTGTTTCACGGACTGCGTCGAAATTGACCGTCTTGGCGGACGAGATCGCTTCCAAGAACCCCGGCGTCCAGACCAAGACGCTGTCTATGGACTTTGCGCAGAACCTCGACGCGGACTATGCGAAGTTGAAAGAAGTCGTTGAATCCCTCGACGTGGCCGTGTTGATCAACAATGTCGGCAAAAGCCATGGCATTCCTACCCCATTCGCCCTGACATCGGAAGAGGAGATGAAGGACATCATCACGATTAACTGCCACGGAACACTGCGCGTCACGCAGCTCATCGTGCCCGGCATGATCCAACGCCGACGCGGCCTGATACTGACCATGGGCTCTTTCGGAGGCCTCCTCCCCACGCCGCTTCTGGCTACGTATTCGGGCAGCAAAGCATTCCTGCAGCAGTGGTCATCGGCTCTTGGATCGGAACTCGAGCCGTACGGAATCACCGTCGAGCTTGTCCAGGCTTACCTGATCGTCTCTGCTATGTCGAAGATTCGCAGGGCGAGCGCTGCGATTCCCGACCCGCGGTCCTTCGTGAAGGCTGTCCTTTCCAAGATTGGTCGCAACGGAGGCTCGCCTACCTATGCATACAGCTCGTCGCCGTACTGGAGCCATGGCGTCATGGCGTGGTTCTTGACCTGCATCACGGGAACGATGAACAAGTTTGTTGTTGGCCAGAATAAGGGGATGCATGAGTCTATTCGGAAGCGCGCATTGCGGAAGGCCGAGCGTGAGAGGGGGAAGAAGAGTGCATAGTGAAGTGATTGCTTCGGCAGCAGTACTCTGTTTCTATCCATGGCACCATTTTTATCGGGGTGGCTATTCCAGTAGTACCTTGTGTTTTGCTGTGGTGGTTTTACGCAGGCATGAGAAGTATCTGTACGAGATGTTCGCTTAAGGACGTTCGATGAGCTAGCTACACTTCGCTGATAGAAATGTCAATGCCCTGTTCAAGTAATCCAAGGTGGTGATCCAGAATAATACAGTGTGGTTGTGTACCATCTCTGTAGACTCCAGACTGCAGAGTGATTCCAAGAAATCCTGGCCAGAGTAGTCCTCTGCAATCCTGCACCGCACAGACAATTCGATCAACCCAAGCACTTGGTTAAACCAAATTCAGGGTCGCAGCATCGCATTGCAGACAATAATGCCCGAAACAAGCTGGGGTTATGTCCGGATTAGTACCAGGCTATGATTTCCCATTACTCCATAATACCCCATCCCGTAACTCCATCTCCAGAGTGAGCAGCGTAGTACGTAGTATCCAGTGGAGAAGAAACCATTCAGCAAATGTCACAGTAACAGCCTGGCCTGGGGCAATTACTCAATAAATCTGTAGATCTCCTGAGGCTATTACTATATATTATATTACGAGTCAGTTAATCTCTCGAAAAGTCTTGGATTACCTCATATTCTCTTTTTTTTTTGTTTTTGCCATTGCATGGATTCTCGAGGCGCCGAGTACCATACTCCCTATCCTATACCCACGGCTGTTACGGAGTGATGCTGTTACCCCGTCAAACCATCGTATCTGGCACTGTCTATATATTCTTAGTGCTCCATATGTACGGAGACATACGACATATCACGGGGTGATCGACAGAGCCGTACTATCTATGGGGATGTGGGCGTTCGGCCAAGCCCCGAGTTGGTCTAGAACCATTCAGGAAGAGGAACAGGTTCTGGTTCAATGGGAAATTTCTGTCAGCCTGAGGTCGACGAGGTTGACCTGCCCATCGACAGCGTACACTTACCTGTTGATCCTCGGTGTAGCAGTAAATACACACCAACTGTTCCAAGCTGGTAGTCCCCAGACTAGACTGGTAAGCAGGTAAAGTCAGCTGGACGATGGTTTAGATGATCAGGAACACCGACATACCGTTGGGGAAGTCCAGAGAGATTATTATCCGACCAACACACCTATCTCACAATTCCCCGTGTGCCATGGGGTTCGCGTATCCAGTTCCGGATTCCACCCTCAGTAAGTAGAAATTGACTCCGTGGACAGCGGGAACAGCTCCACCGGACGTGAAGGAACACGAGGTATAATTCCACAGCGCCAATGCGACAAACGCGGTAGAAAATAGTTGATAGCAGCAGATATACACTGTACAGCACTGTCCAGCACATTGCATGCTGAGTGCAGGAAGGTCCAACAGCAAGTCATGTGACTGTGACTCCGAGAATCAAACCGAGTCCACTCCGTACTTTGTATAGAAAACAGAACAGAAGAGAATCATGCACAAAATAAAGCCAAAAAGAATACGCAACGTCACATCACAAGTAATGACGGGTAAAACAGGGCCACTTCACACGGCCGAAGCGGCTCCCGAGCATTTCCTTTCTGTCGCTCTTCAGTCAGCAAAGCACACAAACCAAGGACAAGCACGACGTCAGTGCTTAACCTGTCGGCATGGCGATCCGCAGGAGCCTTCTAGAGGCATTGGCTGATGCTTGCGGCCTCAAAACAGGTGATGAGTAGGTCGAGCAGTACTACTGTACGGATGACATACATGGCTTCGGTCTTCTGCGCGTGCATAACGATGTCAGCGTACGTCGTGCTATGCCTACGCACATTTTGAGCACGGCGAGCAGACACACACACACATACACAGAGAGAGAGAGAGAGAGAAGAGAGAGAGGGAGAGCCATGTTCGCAGCCTCGATTCGACCATCACTGGCGGTCCAGAAACAGAAACAGACCACCCGCGTTGCACTCCAGAGTAGCATGGCGCATGTTCCATTACCCCCACCCATGCAGATTTTTTTTTTTTTTTGGTTTTTTTCAATCCAGGGGCTTCAGCGCACTGACATGGGGGGCGACCGGCACGCCGAGCCGACTTGAGCACTGGGCCATCTGTATCCTCCGTAGTTACAGACTACAGAATGCAACTGGACTCGTTGCCGAGCCAAGCCCGATCCCGAATGCATCACCTTATCTTGTTTGTGCTTCCGAATTCATGAATGAGCCAAGTGTTCTGCACCTCGACGCATTATGCAATATGCAATATGCAATAAGCAATATGGCAGCACGCCCCTGCCCGCCGTTATTGAGAAAAACACACCAAAAAAAAAAAAAAAAAAAAAAACAAAAACATCTGATGCTGGCCGACCAGATACTCGCATCATGCGCTACGCGATGATTTTCCCGTCTCCACAGCCCCGGGGATGCAGTTTTTCATTTCCTCTGCTGATCATGCGGAGGGTCCATGGCTCATGCCGATGCCCATGCGTCTGCCGTAATGAGCACGTTTCCAGTTTCTTCGTATCCACCAAGAATCATCTGACTGCCGGGATTCTCCTGGTCATGCGGTGCCTCGCTGTCGGACCGAGTTCTGTTCATAGTACTCACTATGGATTCCACGGTAATACTCTTGATCAGGGGCCCCGTCACCCCGTGATGTACCCCGATGCGGACGCTGGCCGAGTTGCCGTGCCGTGTGCTCTCGGCTTGCCCTGGTTGCACACTTCCCGATGCTACTGTTGCAATAACAATAAATACCCTGCTTCGCCTGGACTTTTGCTTCTCTTCTTGCCTATTATCTTCAGACTCCTTCTTAATAACTCAATTGACTCTTGACTCTTGTGATCGGCAAGATTTAATTAACCCTGCTCTTGACTGCCCGTCAACCACCATCTTCTCCAGTCATGGGGGCTTCTCAGATACCATCAAAGTTCCATTTATCCCATCAGGAGCATCACAAGCCTTCCCAGGCCCCGACTCCTACCAGAGCGGACTCGAATATCGAGAAGGACATCACGACCATTGACGACAGCCCCGTGCCGCTGTTGACATGGCGAACTTCCCTCCTCGGTATCGTCGCCTCCATGGGAGGTTTCATCTTCGGTTACTCAACTGGTATGCCTATGGACTCCTACCCCTTGTTCTTCATGACATCTGGTGCTGATTAACGGGTGATATCCAGCTCAAATTTCCGGTTTCACAACGATGGAGGACTTCCTGCTTCGATTCGGCCAGGTTCATCATGAGACTGGCGAGCACTACTTCAGCAATGTCCGTAACGGTTTGATCGTGGGTCTGGTAAGTCTTGTTCCTCCTCTTGGCATTGGGTGTACTACTTTTGAGCAAGGCTAACTGGTTCACAAGCTGTCCATCGGTACCATGGTTGGTTGTTTGCTTGCTGCTCCCATTTCCGAGAGAACTGGTCGGAAAATATCCATCACCTTCTGGTGTGTCATTCACATGGTCGGCATTATCGTCGAGATGTCCAGTGCCACCAAATGGTACCAAGTTGCGGTGGGCCGTTTGGTTGCTGGTCTGGGTGTTGGCGGTTTGTCCACCATTGTCCCCATGTACCAGAGTGAAGCTGCTCCGGTGAAAGTAAGAGCTGCTATTGTCAGGTAAGCTTTCTGCTTTTGGATTAATGAAAGGCCTGTTTGTCTAACCCATGCTATAGTATGTTCCAACTGTTCGTCACCTTCGGTATCTTCATCTCCTACATCGTCAACTACGGCACCGAGAGAATCCACTCCACTGCCTCCTGGCGTATCACCATGGGCATCGGTTTCGCATGGGCCTTGATTCTCGGCCTTGGTATCATGTTTGTCCCTGAATCCCCACGTTTCCTGTACCGCCAAGGCAAAATCGAGGAGGCTCGTCAGGTCATGGCCAAACTGGCCGGTGTCCCACCCAACCATCGCCAGATCGTCTTGGAGATGCAGGAGATGAAAGAGAAGCTCGACGAAGAGAAAGCCGCCGGCAAGGCGCCCTGGTACGAGGTGTTCACGGGCCCAGCCATGTTCTGGCGGACAACGCTCGGAATGGTCCTGCAGTCCCTGCAACAGCTCACTGGTGCCAACTTCATCTTCTTCTACGGTAACACTATCTTCTATGCCACCGGCCTTGAGAACAGCTATGAAACCCAGATTATTATGGGAACTGTCAATTTCGCCATGTCCATCGTCTCCCTGTGGGTCGTCCAGCGCTTCCGCCGTCGTCCCATCCTAATTATCGGTGGCATCGCCATGTTCATCTGTTTCCTGATCTTCGCCTCCGTCGGCCACTTCTCCCTTGACCATGAAAACCCCCAGAATACCCCCAAAGCAGGCACGGCACTTATTGTCTTCTCCTGCTTCTTCATCGCCGCATACGCCGTTAGCTGGGGTCCACTTATCTGGGCTATCTGCGGTGAGCTGTTCCCATCCAAATACCGTGGCGTTTGCGTCAGCTTGAGTACCGCATCCAACTGGACCTGGAACTTCCTCCTCTGCTTCTTCACGCCCTTTATCTCCAGCGCCATCGATTATCGGTACGGTTACGTCTTCGGCGCATGCTGTGCTGCCGGATCCATCATCACCTACTTCTTCGTCAACGAATCCTACGGCCGGACCCTCGAGGAAATCGACACCATGTACGTCATGCACGTCAAGCCATGGCAGAGCAAGAACTGGGTTGCTCCTCCTGCCATCCGGGACGGCGAGAACAGGGTCCCCGGCTTGGAAAGCCACGAAGCTACTCCTGCACACAGTTCGACTGAGGCCCTTTGAATAGGGTATTTGATGAGATGACCAATTAATCGAGCGATTGGATATTGCCTCTATTCTCAGCTTCTAATCTTGTTTTGATATTGGCACTCTTTTGATGAAAAGAAAAGACCAGTACGAGTTTGTTCTGATGGCATTTTGAAAAGAACGTTGATGACGGACGGCCTGTTTGACCTAACCTTGACTTGATTTTTATGAATTAGCATACGAATTGCATCAGATATTAATAGATAATAAATAAAGATATGCATTTATACAAACGAGACTCTCAAATCAGCTGGACAAGTTCCTTGAAAAAAGTTTCACTTTGAGAACAATGTCTAATATTGTTCTGTAGCAACAGCACAAGAGCAATCAATATTGGCAGTTTCCCTGTCCTCCTGCAGGAGGAAAGAAGGAGGGCTCTCTCATTAGGATTGACTGCCCTGCTGCCATTTGTTATCCTGGGACAGATTGGGGTCAAGGGCTGGATGCCCTATTGCTTGCTATGCAGCGATCAAAGAAGGAATGTGACAATCTTCCTCGAAGTTAAAGCATGGATATCGGATCCAGGAAGTATCGGTGAATATTGATCCCTCAGCACTTGTTGTTTCGTTCAAATGTTCCAAGAGAACGGTTGGGATGTGAGAAGTTCTTAATCAAGTTCAATAGACTTTGTGTGATACCATAATGTTACTCAGGCCAAATATATCAAGCAAGTATCACCCGTGTAGCAGAGAGCGCTGTATGCAAGTTTCATGTCCGGCATATTCTCAGGGTCCTTGATGCAGTCTTCCGATCCGGATCGGAGACAGAGAGGGGTCGATTGTGCTTGTGTTTCTGAAGCTATGGATGGGGAACGCAGCTGTTCAACTCGAAAGGATTGCATTGTGACATCCTAGTGTTACTCGGATCAGAAAGACAACTCTCGACACTATCTGCAAATGCTCAACCTCGTTGCCCTGAGGCAAACCAAACTGTCTCCCCAAGATCAAGCAGACAGGTAGATGGACCAGATTAAGCCTTCCAACTCCTGACGCTGGAAGGCTCAACATGTTAGCCCCAGACATCCTAGGCAACTAATGGATAGATAGGAAAAGAAGAAGAGGAGGATCTCCTCAATGAAGATAGGAGAAATAAATAGATGCTCCCCTTTCTTCCCTATACTCTGTTAACTGAAAGGAAATTCACCAACTAGGCAATTCAGTTTCATCTGGAGCGAATATTGCGTGCTTTATAAAGAAGTGAATGTCAAGTAAAAACTACAGAGGACCTGTGAAAATGATGGTTGAAAATGATTGCTACTGGGGCTAGAAACAGCTGCCTTTCCAGCTGTAACGTCAAGCAGCAAGCTGCTGCTTGACCGTCCAGCACTTGTATAGCACCATTATTCCGCACCTCCCAAGACTTTTTCAGTCACCCTCCCAAGTTGATGTAGGCACTCAATTTCACTGAGTTATTCTCCCTGTTTCCACTCACAACTGAAATAATACTGGAAAATAGCTCTCCTCTCTCTTTATGTAGCCTCATTGCTTGCATATAAAATGCCACCTTTTCTCCCATTTCCCTTGGTGCCCTCACACCCTTTGATCCTTGCATCATATCACCACAGCCCTTCCTAGCCCTCAAGTCAACCTTTCTGTGTATTCCTTAAAGAATATAACCCCCACAATCTGGATTTGGGCCATCTCAATGGCAACCCCTCCTGTGACGATCAGCTATAATAGGATGAGAAGAGGAAAGCAACTCGCTATTTGGCCGTACTGTCTAGGAATATCGTACACGAGGAGAAGAAGAAGGAAAGAGGCGAGGGCAGCTGCCTGCCCTCAGCCCTAGCCCTGTGCCCTACTTGCTCAATCTGCTGGCACCTTCTGTCAGGGCCCTTGCCATGTAGACCAGGACGAGCACGTGAGCTTCCTTACTTGGATTAGCGTGGCGCGTGGATAGGAGTACGTCGTCCAGCTTCACGTAGATCTCTTCCTTTTTCCTTCCTCTTCATGCTTGAAGTTCTCGTTGATAGCTGCCTAGATAGCTGAATAGCATCCTATTCATCGTCTGGTTGAGCTCCGTGACACCTTCTAAGACGTGCCAGGGTCACATGCTGACGGTCATACCTCAGGTACGGTCGTCACAGTATCTAGTCAAATAAGGGCTATGTCCAATATTTACTTTCAGAGGATCAAACAATTTACATAAATTTCTTTAATTGGATGTGCAAGACTTTGTGGAAGAAACTACTTCAGTCATATAATGAATACTGGCAATGTCTTTGCCAGTACTTTAGCCTATTCACTTGTCATCATGTCAATGCTGAGGCTACGTGCGCTGTTCCCTGTGACAGGAACCGGGCTATGATCGAGGGATCTCGGGGATAGATACACCAAGTGATGCCGCTATTCCACGTGGCACCGAACGATCTAGTAAGGAAACGATATAACAGAAGAAGAAACAAAACGACGATGGAGCCTCACTCCTATATGACGACGACGATACTAGTGAAGAAACTTAGAAACCAAAAGTATGCTTAATTCTCGATACTATCTAGGGAAGAGGCTCGCCTTAAGTACTCCTTCCGCCACAGGCTCCACCATACCTAAGTATGGCGGAGACCGTGGCCCAGCAGTATCTAAAATAGGAAAATAGAGGATAGGGGAGGGCCCCCGGCATACACGGGGATGTAGGCGGTGTGGGCACAATGATTTGTTTACTTTCCATCGTCCAAGTCATTGATTGCTATCTGATTTCGGAAATTTCTCTGTCATCGCGTGTCTTTGATTAGGTTTTTCTGACTTCAATCGATTCGATTCTCGTGCAAGGCTTTAGCGGAGACTCAAAAGACAATGGCGCTCGTTCGAGCCTCGCTTCGGAAAGAGGCTTGAGATGGACCTTGATCTACGGCTGAGGGGCCTGCACTCTGGGGATAAATGAACTATTGTTGTAGGCTTGAGTTCTTTTCCCTTCTTCTTTACTGCTGAGTGACGTAGCATTGACAGAGCAAAGACGGCCTTTTGCTGGCTAGGGATTTCGGGTATGGAAAAGCTATCGTTCGAGGCCCGGAGCTTTGTTCTAGTATATCGATGAGCAACCTTCTGTAATGCCAACAAATAATATGATTAGGAAATTGGAACCTCAAGACACATAAACTCTAATGCCAACACTGAGCTGCCACATGATCATTCTCTGGGTGGCCCATCACTTGACTTCCACCTGGTGCGAGTGGTGGGTGCGTTATTAGAATAACCTATACGTAGAACCCACCACAGCATGAATCCGATCGAGTACTACTCATGTCGTACTCTCCAGGGTTAGGGCTTTTATCTACGCCTGTTCATGATTAGATTTTCAGCTTTAAAAAGCTCTTAATTATACTTTTGTTATCGACTATCTGCCCCGGCTCCATCGGTGTCTAGCCACTCGTCCACCTCTGACAGAGTAAGCGCAGCACCAGCAGACCTCCCCTCAGTGCAGTTTTTCGAAATACACTTCTCTGGCCCATCATTAGATGCGGATGTTCGCTTAGTAGTACGTTGCCTCTGCTTCCGGAAGACCCGTGTAACCCAATAGAGCAACATGGCCATCACAATATTGAAGCAGACATAGATGCAGAGAATGCCGAGATTCCGCGGATAATCACTGAAATCCATATTCAGAACTTTCAAGAACTCGTCCGTTGTTCGCAACTGGCAGAATTGACAGCCAGATGTGGCGTTTGGGTTTATCAGAGTCCCACCCGCAGTGTACATGTATGGACCCAGGAATTCGCCACAAGTTTGTCCACTTGGAGGATCGAGACGGAGGAGCTCAACGGCGGAGCAGTGAACTTTGTTCCCAGATAATGCTGTTGAGAGCATGGTCGATGCGAAATATGTGAATGGAGAGACTCGATACATGGGGATCCAAGGCTTCGGTAAGGATATTTTAGGTCGGAGGATCCTACCTCGACAGTTAGCGTTTTCACGAAAAGGAAAAAAAAGAGCTCTAAAAGAGTTGCCTACCCGCAGAATACTAGACTCACCGAGAGAAGAGGCGAGGCTAGACTCCCTGCAGTCTCCAACGAGTCAAACATAGTAGTGACCATGATGCTGAACGTAGTAGCAAAAACAGTAAGGAACTGGAAGAGTAGGAGCATGATGCCACTGCGAAGAGTTACGTCGTTTGTGGCTTCGGCGTTGCGATACAGCGCGACGGGATAGTAATAGGAGAGGAACATCAGGAATGCAAGTAGCATGTTGTACGGCAGTTCGACAAGTATACTAGAAAGCATGAAAACTTTCCAAGAATAGATTCGGGACAGTGATTCGCGATTTTCGTAGACTTTGCGATGAAAAATGAATTGCGGCATGCTCTGTAGCACGAGGATGGACATTATGGACATGATCATGAAAATACTGAATGCTTGGTCACTCAAGCCTCGCATGCTTGTTTTTTCGTGCCAAAAACTAAAACCGATAAAGAGGGCCTATGAAAATTAATGAGACCGAGTCTGACAAGATATCGATAGCCTTATTATGGGAGAAGGGTGCCAGCAAAGCATTTCCCTCAACTTACCGGAAGAGTACCAAGGAGCAACTTGGTGTATATATAATTCGGGTTTCGCCAATACTCCTCGAATACACGCTCCAAACAGACTATAAGCTGGAAAATGAACGAAGTAGCAAATTCGCCGCTGCATGTTCGAGATACTTCCCGTGAACTACGGGGTAGTTTTTCCTTCATCATGGTGAGCTCTTGATGAACTGCTCGTCTTTCTGGACTATTATGCCATAGATCAGCCCAGTCAATATCAGAAGTCCCGATAGTATCCAACATCCACTCTGCCGGATTAGCAGTAGGCGGACAAGGAGGCGCCCCGTTCTTTTCAAAGTATTGAATCAGCGAGCCCATTTGGTGGCCAAGTGGTCCGAAATAGACTGTGCGACCGCCTCTGGCCAGCAGGAGTAACTTGTCAAATTCCTGCATAAGAGTTGCTGACGGTTGATGAATTGTGCAGAGAATTGCCTGTCCATGATCTGCCAGCTTCCGCATAAGCTTACAGATCGATAACGCTGACTGACTGTCCAGACCAGAAGTAGGCTCATCAAAGAAGAGAAGAAGCTCCGGCTTTGCAGCCATTTCAACACCGATGGTGAGCCGTTTCCGCTGCTCCAGGTTCAATCCTTCACCTAGTTCGCCAATAACTGCATTTGCATAATCCTCCATGTCAAGAACCTCGATAATTTCATCAACATATGCAATCTTTTCAGCACGAGGAACGCTAGTGGGTTGGCGTAAAAGCGCACTGAATATCATGGCTTCTCGAACAGTGTTCTTTGGGAAGTGTAGATCTTGCTGCTGAACATAGCCAATACTCCGCTGAAATATGGAGTCTCGAGGTCGCCCATTTACCAAAACCTCGCCCGTGACTGCTCCCACCGTCACTCTGTCGGCAAGAACATCTAGCAAAGTTGTCTTTCCCGCACCCGAGGACCCCATGAGTGCCGTCAGCGTTCCAGGTACTACCCAACCGTCCACACTGTCCAGAATGCGTCGTGTGCCATTTTTGATTTTCACATCATAACAAACGTCCTGCCAGTGGAAGATAGCTCGCGGGGACTGAAGGGGAGAACGGTCGCGAGAATGTCCATCATCTTTACGCACCAAAACACTGTCGCCATAGTGGGGCTGCTCTTCGTCCGTTTGGTCAAGCCTTTTGGCGAACGTCAAGGCCTGGCAGCGCGGGAAGACAAGGACTTGAGGTTTCAATGCGTTGAAGCTGATAAGCTCACTTGCTAGGATATACGCAACCAGCGTGATGAAGAAGAAAGCAACAAGGATGATGATATTGCGAGCCAGGGCGTCTGGTGAGTATTCGTAGGTCTTCTGAATATAAGTGTCTCCGTCGACATAGTTCTGTCCAGCCACAGCACCGTTGGCATTGCAGATGACGGACTTTGGGCCCAGATTACTGTATGCGGAGCCAAATGGAATGTACAGTGCACATGCTAAGTGGCGGTCACTAAATTCATTTATCATGAGCGCTTGGAACGTATATGCAATGGGGTTGATATAAGCAATCCATCGGAACCACGGGCGCATGTCGGGAATGGGGATCACAAAACCAGTATAGGTAAACACAGCGAGCAGCATGAGGGCCGAGAGAAGCATTGCCTGGTCGAGGGTGCGTGAAAAAGCGCTGAGACAACGGAACAGATTGGACATGGATAACATGGACAAGATGGTAATTATATAGTAGAGAAGAAAGTGACCCAACCCTTGACGCAGATCCGTCAAGAAATACAGACATAAACAAAACCCACCGCTTGTGATAAACCTCACAGGAAGATCAATAATGATATCGCTGAGGGCTTCCGCAGCCGGCCGGTACAGTGCATATCCTTTATGCTTCTCAACAATCGGCCGTTGCTCCCACACAGAAAGGACCTTCATTGCGCAGTTCAAAGTGGTCATTAAGATTGTGGCAAATAGAAGTGTACCGCGAGGGAAGAGAGTGCTCGTATTATCCGCCAAGCCGTAGAATATGCTAGCCGTGATCAACGATGTTATAATGCTGCTGAAGACTTGGATTACACTTGCGGCGAAGTCAGCTCGAAACCGAAGAGCTGCGCGCCACAAGCAAAGTCGGACCTGGTAAGGGAACGAAGCGATGAATGGGGATCTTTTACTCCCATGATGGGACTTCTCCATCTCACGGGACCGTTGGAATTGCCTCAATTGGTCTCCCCCGAGTGGAAATCTTGCTTGGTAGCTACTGATCTCCTTCAGTAAGGCCATCCGGGTCCAACTATTCTGCCAACGCTCAGCAAATTCATCTGCCGTGCGAGGGACGGATGATTCATATCCAGGTTGTACCCGCCGTTGATCAGGACAGGTCAAGGACGTCAGGAAGTCAGAGGTGGTTTGTCTCTCGGGACACTCGAATCCTATGTCGACGAAATACGATCTGGCTTCATGTGTAGGACCAAAGAAAATTTCTCGTCCCTCATATAGAAGGATCACTTTGTCGAAAAGCTGTAAGATAGAATATACAAATTAGGATCGGGATATGACGAGCTCCAGAAGAATCCCGGTAAAGTTGAGCTTACATCGTAAATGGCTTGTCCCGCCTGGTAGATGGCAACGAGAGCTGTAGAACCCGTGTAACGAGTTGATGTCTTCAGGTATTTAGCAAAGTCCAAGGCAGAGGAGCTGTCCAGGCCCTGAGTACTGTTGTCCCAGCAGCTGATGGTGCTATTGCAAAGCATCGTCTCGGCGATGCTAACCCGCTTCCTCTCACCACCAGAAACACCACGGATATACTCATTACCGACTTTGGTGTCGACAGTATGTGTTAGATTTAAGATTGCCATGACCACATCGCGCATGTGCAATGCATATTGTTCCCGACTGACCCCGGGAAGTCGATTCGCAGGGGTACGCGCGAGAGCTGCAAAGAGCAGCGTCTGACCAGCAGTTAATTCAGGAAAATGGACGTCCTTATCGGCCTGGTAATTGATCTCGCCACGAAATTCGCGTTTCATCTCATCATACGAAATCCCTTGATACTGAATGTCGGAGATCTCTTGGAGTTGTAAGCCTTCAGTTTGGCCAGCCAATGTGCGCAGAAACGTTGAGCAACCGCTGGAAGCGCTTCAGTTAGCTACCAATAATCGAGCATGACTCAACCCCTTCACGGAAGCAAACAACTGACCTTCCAGGTCGTCCCAAGACAAGCAGCATCTCCCCGCTTTCAACCAGACCTTCAAAGTCCCGCAGAATTGGTACCTTGGCTGGTTTTCTTTGACTGAGAAGTCCGCGGATATGGCTTGAAGCCTTGAGCCAGATGTTGGATAAAGTGCTCTGGTAATCCGTTGCCCCCTTGGAACCAAACACACTCAGGTGGCGGAAGGAAACGCCAGCGGTACGACGAGGGTATCGCTCCGGATCACGAGACCTGAGCTGCAAAAAGTTCCTGGCCCATGCCTCTGCGTCAAAGATGCCTGAGTTCGGATTCAATTCTGGGTTTTCATCTGAAAGCTCGAATGGGTTGGTAGGTACATCTTCATGTTCGTTATCATGTCCATAATCAGAATTGCAATATGCTGAGACGCGAAAAATATTGTAGTATCCTGAGAGGTTAGAAATGCGGCGTGCAGCGTCTGTCACTAATTTGGTCTGATTTCCGTTCAAAGTACCCCCCGACGACTCGTGCCATGGTGTTAGCGAAGTAGCATCAGGGGAGTCTAGGTGGGATACATTGCTTCGCGGCCGTTTGGTCCAGGAAAAGCTTTCTGCATGAGGAGAATACATAGGGGTAGGGGATGGATGCTCATGCGGACGCTATGCGATTGTTATCGTTGGAGTTGGATTCGTACATGCCGGAATGAAGGAACCAAGAAGCTGACGACAGCAGATCCTGATAATACCGTGAGAAACAAAGAGGCTGATTCATGAGAGAAGCAGGAAGACACGGCTAAACGCTGGAAATGAGAAAGGAAAGAAGAAGAGCGCAAGGCGAATAAAGACCGCCCTGCACCCATACGGGGGTAGATCCAGAGATATTTCATGATTATCCCCGGTACCGCAGGATTCGGGCAAAGGCAAATCCAACGGGAAAGATCTGAGCTCGAGCTGAGCTTTGCAGGCGTCAAACGAGTGGGGCAATGTGATTCAGGGGTGTCAGAATGCAGAAAAACATTGACGCGGGAGATATATGAATCGACATAGCCGGGCAAATAGAAACCAGAGGGATGAATCCTTTCTTCCGATGGATTAATTAAATAGATTAAGACGATTGCCTTGAACCGTTCTTCCCGATCTGGATTGATTCGGGCTGTGTATTAACTGCAGAGAGCCTCCGAGACAATATAGCTTTGATCGATATCTCTGTATCCGCGTCCTGCATTTTCCTTCGACAAAGGAAGATGCAATCCCTTTGGGAGAAAACAGTAGGAACCTGGCACATCAAGAGAGATCGCCGACAAGGCCAGAGAACATGCAGCACGCCATAGGGTCCCCGCAGTATTTAGGCTCGAAGCTGTTCATTTGACAGTCAGACCCCTGTTTCATCTAGATGAAGATCGGCTTGACTGGCGTGAGACTCTTCCCCCTTGCTTTGTTGCGGTCAAATATCAAGTTTCCAGCTCCCACAGCTGTAGCTTATGACCAGTTTGAAGCAGTACTCTTCTGCTGTGGAGCAGTCGTCCCGATTGACTACGAAGATGAAACAACGCTGCATTTCATAGGGGTCATCACGGATGATCTTCGGCTGAGCAGCCCACATAAACCGTTTCCGCAATAAGGCAAGCCGCGAGCAGGGAGATGAACAAGGATGAATTTTGATTGCTGTACTCCGTAGATGGAGTTGTTTATTAATAGAGGAAGGCTGGGGAGAGTGTGGAGGGGTTGTGCATGATGTAATCGAAAATAACATAATCAGCAACATCTCACGGTCTTTTCATCCTTGTTGGAATCAACCATCATCCATCCTTCTCTATCGGATTGTATCGTCTTCACAATCTCTCAATGGAAGACCGTCATTGAAAGTAAACAGTCGTTCGTAGAAATGGGCGACACGTCACCTTCAAACCTCTACTCACTCCCAAATGAGGTATCATAACACTACTATCAACCCCTCTTCTGCAATAGAACACAACAGAAACAGAAATGATAACCCGTAATCATTAATCAAATGGGATCTAGATCTTCGTCCAAATCCTCTCCCCCTTGCCCACCAGCTCCCTTCTCAGCCTAGCACCCGTATCTTGCCGATTCCACGCCTTGGTCCTCCGCATCCTGCACCACCGTCTCCGCATTGCTGCATCACTACAAGACTACCAGCTCATGCTGGAATGCTTCCATCCCAGCTCGAAACTGACTGAGCCGAACGTCTTCTGCTCCTACCTCGGGACAGAGGGGTTGAGCGACGACGATCGATACGAGGAGCCGACGCAAAAACAGAAGAGGCTTGGCTCGTTGTATTCGCGGTTTCGACCAGAGCGAACGGCGGACCAGGAAGAGGATGAGAGACGGTCAGGGCTCAGGGCAAGAAGACTGGGTAGTACGGGTATGCTTGTTTTCGACGGCGTTGCTGGGTTTCTTAATAGGACTAACCATCATACTCGTCGAGGGGGAGAAGACGAAGGGGAAGACAGTGATGAGAGGCTAGGTCGTGAGGAAAAAGATTCTTCGTTGGTTGCGAAGCGGACTGTTGATCTGGATGGACACGAGCATTTCTCGCAGTTATGCGTTATTGTGCATCTGGTCAAGGTCAGGCCGGGGAGCAGCTTGGTCTTGAGTGCGGTGACCATTAAAGATGGCACTATCAGACTGTGGAGGGATTGGTTAAGCAATTCAATACAGGCGAATACTGGTCCAGAGGGCGGTTCTAACGATCAGAGAATGCTCTGGGTCGACCAGGAGAAGAACGTGGGCCTTCAAATACGCGTCAGAGAGAAGAAATGGAATCAGGACTTCCTCCCTATCCTTATTCACCGTGAGGAGGAGCCTGTCAGCTACGAGGTGGAACTAGAAGGTACGCAGTGACTCCGTCCTCGACTGTGAATTGCAGCTAATACGATGTCTATCCAGAATTACACATCCGGACAACTCATCTATTGCTGGCTGTTGAAAAGTCAGTTGAGGAACAGCATAATCCCTCCCAAGCAGTGATTTTCGGGGCTTATTATAGATGATATGATGTAAATATAGATAAATCTACACTGCCGGGCTACTATATAGTTCCAAAGCCGTTAGACCTGGCCTTCCAATTCCATGGTCCATCAGACGTATGCGATAGAGATCAACAATATCTGTTTTCCGGCAATGGCCAAGTTCTCGTATACAGTAGCATCGTAGGACCCCGGATGAACCAGTCAGCTGCCAAACGGACATGTCAAAGCTGATGCCAAGCAACGTCTTGACATCATATTGTATTTATATTCTGACTTCAGTCGACAATCAAAGAGAATACAATTAATCCAGAGAAACCGTGTTGGCGCTATATCCTTACATTTAGTGAACACCAACATCAGCCAAGATGACAACAACAGCACCAACCCTCCTGTCCAAAACCGCAGCAGCATACCTCCCCTTCAATAAGCACACCTTTACCCCCCTCTCAGCAATAGCCGGAACCCTGTTGGCCCTAACGGCAATCACTCTCCCAGTTGCTTATCGAGACTACAGAAAATTCCTCTCCTACGGACCAGGAGGCGTTCCCCATAACGTCTTCGGGTGGGTGGTCGTGAACCTCATGCGACCACTAACGCGGGAGACACTCAGCACGACTGTGTACGAGGAGAAGATGCAGCAGGGGAAAACAGAGAGTTTCCTGGCCAACTTGCCGGCTCGCGAGGGCGAGAGGCCCGAGATGGGCAGTCATGCTGTTCCACAGAGACAGATGAACCAAATTCCTGATTTGGAAGTTAAAGAAGTATGCATACACTCTACTCCTAATGAGATATTTGAATCATATTCCACGTTAAGCTCTAACATGATGCTAGAAACTCACCCAGAGATACACGGAGTTCGTCTCGAAAAATCCCCATCTCATCAAAACCAATGAATCGCAACTTGAGCGTCATTCCCCTGCAATATTCGTAGCCGATAATGTCCCGCAATCGGATATTGCGAGGAGCATAAATGGCGAGATTGCCCATATTCACTGTACCGGCGAGTTTTCGGTGCATGTTACCTTGTCCCCTGCTGATTGTAAGCTTTCCTCCCATTCCCCATGGATATACATCTGAGATACTCACGAAGAACAGGCAAAAAAGTCATCGATGCAGGCTGGGCCCAGCGCCATCCTTTTTCTGGCTCCCCGATTCTTAAACCTGCTAGTGGTAGTGGAAAACCATTTTTGTCCTCGGAGTATGTATTTATCTACGCGCCACGGAATGATGAAGAGGTTGGGGTTGTGATGAAGATTATCATGGCTAGTATAAAATACATGACTGGTGCAAAGGAGGTTAATTATTAGGTCCATGGGACTATACTTGGGCTATGACAGCTGTTTAAATGGCTTGTGGTGTATTGCTAGTGATTGGATGAATCTGCTCCTTTGTTGCTTGAAAGAACATAATGAGATATATAGTAGTAAGAATAAGTACCTATATGCCTTGAAGTAGTTTCCTTTTACTTTTTTGACTTATACTCCCTCTCGGGCTATTGTTGCAGACTTTGCGGACAGGGGGGCAACAGCAACCTGGACAGCAGAGCAGAAGCACTGATTAGCAGGTGTGAAATTCTGCTCCCCAGTTCCAACAGGATAGGGTGGACATATAAAGAATCTCTGAAGGATCAGAGTACTGGATTTCAATGGGGGTCCTGCTTCCAAACGCCAAGTGTAAAGGTCAATTACAATCGATATTTTGGTCCACTCTAGGTAATTCCTTAGGAAGCAATGATGGTGTGAAAAAACAGCCTCAAACCATGTTATATACGAATATAGTCAATTCTGCAAAGGAAAAGAAAAAAAAAGGTCAAGAGAATGGTGAAGGGAGCAAAGACCGAGCCATCAAACACGCATGCGCCAGACAGGAATATAAAGTGGTTAGCGGATTCAAATGATTGCAAATCAATGTTACTTAGGTAACAGTCCAACTCTTCCTGTGGCTGTAAATCACGTTGCCAATGTTCTTGCTTCTTTCCATTGCATTTAGGATGCTGGCAATAGCTGCATGAGGACAGAAACAAGTCACTGATCATGGCTGGAGAAAGACATAGTTCAATCTGCAGCCAGGATTGTAGGACCCAAATGTTCTGCCATGTCTATCAGATTGAGTGCCATATCAAACCATCCCAGATCAGTGTAGCGCAAGAACCATCCGAATGCCGCAGATTGTTTTTCTGGTGAGATTCGCATCGATGCTGTCTGCAACCTGTCATATTTCATCTGAGATATAGTGGACTGAAAGATTGCGATATAACGCCTCCTCGCGAGTCCTCACTAAGCTGCCCAACTAACTGGGACATCATCAATGAGATTTTCCCTCAAGGGAAACTTTTGGATGTCCCGAGTACAATTGTCACTGAGTCATCTTTGTCGCCAGCAGGCCTGTACTGTACTGATCAAGACTACCATTCAATGCGACTTGAGTTTTGATGTAAAGAGAGAAGCCAAATGTTGATTCGAGCCCGGATCTCTTTGTCTCCATTTCCTCTTGAAGTATCAGGATAAATTAGAAATAGGAAGTTGACAGTTTCGTAGTAGGGAGAGGAGAGAGTGCAGACACGCCATTTTTCTTATCACGTGAATAGAACCTGAGGCACTCAAGTTACCTGCCTCCAAACAACGTGTTGACGCTCTACAGCGTAGTCACTACTCACTACAGTAAGCCTCCAGGCAGTCATCAGGACGAAACGGTGAAAGGGATATTATTTCCCTCAAGTGGACGATCCATTTCCCAGCCAACACAAGATTCATGGGAAATACTAACTAACAGGATGAATGCAGGGGGTTGCTCAATTAGGTTGGGTAATCCCACCAGAGGACACGAAGCACATGGAAAGACAAGGCAGCGCAACAGACCCTTGTCGAATTCTGACCAGCTATTGCGAGTTTAATTTCCACATGATTCTGTGTGATTACGACCCATATTGTTTTCCAATGATGTGATGGATGCGCTTGCGGATATATCTATGTCAATAGCTTCGCGGCCATGTCAGCCCCGAGCTTCCAGATGCTGCGAGCCTCAGTTATGAATCTCAGTTTGCTAGCTATTCGACATCACATGCTGCAACAAGCTGTGTTATTACAGGTGAAGATGCTATGGATAGTATGTATATCTCCAATCCCCTATTCATCTTTGTTCTGGCGCTGACTCGCCTCATTAACTTCATAGCATTGCCACAGGAATCCCTTGGCAAGTCTTGCCAATCAATATCCCGAGCTTTCCTTCCAACAGCAGACTATTGACCATGATATGTAGTGCTATGCACACTAATACTCCTATGCTAACCTAGGGTCGCCGACATTTGTACAGAGCACATTCTGGGGAACCTGAACTAGCATATAGGAAATCTAAGATGCTGATCGCATGGAAATGTTCTTCTGCTCGCGCGAGATTTTGTATTTCCAGGGACCTGCCGAGGGCTGCATCTGTAATCTGTACTGTATAAAACAGTCGAAATTCTGGATGGATAAGATGACACTATTGACTTTCAGGCATTATATCGACCGTGTTATTGCTATTATCAACAATGGCGCCGTGGACTCCGTTCCTGGTTGGGTTATTGTATGCCCTTGGGGCTTCTTCTACCCCATACCAAGACAACACACGGAACCATTGTCAATACCACCAGCGGTCCGGTAAAAGGGCATCCATCAACGCTACAGCCAGAGGTTTCAGAGTACTTGGGGATCCGCTTCGCTCAGCCTCCAGTTGGTGACCTGCGCTTTGCTCCTCCACAACCGGTCGAGGCATCTAGCTCAATCATAAATGTTAATTCATGGGTATTTCCCGTCATCCAGTCAAAACAAAATACAAAAAAAAAGTTCGCTAATACATTCCCTAGGCGCCGTATGTCTTCAAATATTGATCGTAAGGATCATATTTCTAACAAGAGGACAGCGACTGCCCCTGCAATCTTGTTCCAACCAAGCAAGCCTATCTTGCAGGGCCCGCAGGTAAGCCTCTTACAGAGGCTCTGGGACAGGCTGGAGACGTCTTAGACGAGGACTGTTTGACAGTCAATGTCTGGACAAAACCTCAGTAGGGCGAATCCCGCAAAGCAGTCCTGTTTTGGATCTTTGGTGGAGGTACTGCCGTGGCCAATATTTTAGTTGAGATGATCTGCTGACTGTTCCATAGCCTTTTCCGTCGGAAATTCCGCAGGTGATAACTGGTACTCTCCCTGAGGTGTTTCTCATTGGTTCCTGTAGAGAGCAATTGATACAAGGCATCATCCAATCTGGAATGCGGAGGAGAAGAAGCAGGAGAAGCTACAATCGCCTGTATGCGATCAAAGAGCTGGCAAGAGATTGTCGCAGCCATCGAGCCACTGCAGATTACGGCTCTGTTCAGCGAGTTCTCACCCGTGCCAGACAATGTCTTCAAAAACTATGCGAGCCAGGGAGCTGCGGGGCAATTCGCAAAAATTCCCGTCCTGACTGGTACCGCCTCAGATGAAGCGGCCTTTTTTCTCGTCATCATCATAGCGTATATCAACATCACCAAAGAGCAACTCGGCTTGATTCCCGTCGAGATTATTCAGCCTCTGCTTGATATCATCACTACCTGTCCAGCGGCCCAAGCGGCAGCTTATCGTGTTGAGCATGGAGTACCTGTCTGGCGGTACCGTTACGACGGTGGGAACTACTCCAACACCTACATCTTCGACGTCGGAGCCGCCTACCATACCCCCGAGCTCCCTGTCGTGTTCGGAACAGCAGAAGCTGTTACCGGCATTGCAGACAGTGACTATGAGGCCGAGGCAGCAGCATACATGCGGCATGCGTGGGCGACGTTTGCGAAGGACCCTGTCGGGGGCCTATCTGAAGAGCTCAACTGGCCAAAGTACAATCCAAACCCATTATGTACGTCCTACCCTTGTTCCTACAAATGCATCCTAAACAATAAGAGCTGATGATATTCTCCCCCTTGAAACTATTAGCGCCAACGGAAATCCAGCTTAGTCTTGGCCAGGCAACAGAGGCAATCTTAGCACCGAGCGCTGTATCAGATGCCTTTTGCCCCATTGTCAACGGCGTGGAAAACCACCTCTTAAACTAATCCCAATTCTCGAGAAAGTGGTGAATTTGTTCGCGAATAATCCCAACTCGAAGGAAGCGTCCCAGGTCACTGGTAAGTCAAGTCCTGAGTTTCTCAATCAAGCCAGTGCTAATTGCGAGCTTTCTTTTAAACAACTAGACCTACTGAAACAACCCTGGAACACCGAAGGCTCTTTGAAGAATTATGTTCAGAATCTCGAATCACTTTTGGGCTAGTCGAAAGGTTCCCATCCACCTTCATGCTATGGTTTTGTCTGAGCACGAAGAGACAAGAGAAGGGAAAACATCTGTAGTCAGGTGTATTAGACTGCTGATATTGCTGTCATATGCTTCAGACGAGCGGGAATGTCTACTCCAAACTTATTATTGTTATGAACTTAATCTATTAAATGGCCCCATCAGAATTAATGTGCACAGGATATATAATACAAATCTCAAACCTTAAACCAATTAATCCCTACAAATTCAATTCTTTTCGGGCGGAGGCAGATAAGCCTCAGATCCATTGTATCATACTACGCACAGGAAGTAGAATCTGGATCTTCTGTCTTCACCTTTCCACATCCATGGCTCCTTAAGGGATCTCAAGATTGACCTGACCTCCATTGAGGGCCTAGGAAGAAGCCCCAAAAACCTTCTGATTCTTACATTCGCGGATAATGCTTATTTCATAACAGGTAGAGATATGTGCTATGTCTCTCGACGCATTTTATACGTAAGATAAGCAACTCAATAGGCCTATTATGAGGATGCGAAACCAATTTTCAAAGGATCCGTCAACTTTCGGCGAATTTCAAGGGATAAAGTATTAACATGTTCCTGGAGGCCCTCAAGATGCCTTCGATTCGACCCACACGCTTAGAGAGCACGCAAAGGCCTCTTGAAACCGTCTTCGGCGCTTCAGAATTTGAGCTGAAACCCTCTATAGTCGCAAGGGGGTTGACAGTAATATATCGGTTTCCATGCAATGGTGAAATAGTCTCTCCCTATGCCGGACAAGGAAGACAACACACAAGAGTAAGGGGAAGGTTTGGGCATTCGGCAACCCAAACAAATGAAGGAAAGGAGAATCAAAGCGCCATATAATCCCGGTCTCAAGGAGAGCGGGGATAGTCCTGTCGGGGTCGTCCCGTATGTCAGACTTCCGCGTTGAATGCTTGTTGTTGGCTGTCAATGCAGGCGCTTTGGAGACCAGGATGGCAGCCAGGTCTAGGTCGAGCTACGTGTTTACCACGCAAACTCCGTCTTTTCCGTTGGTGTAGGATTCATGCCTCCAGGAGGAATATTCAATTTGGGCTCTTTTTCCATGCATGTTATAAATAGATCTGCATAGACCACCGATCGATATGGTCGTAGCAGACCTTTGTGTAGCACTGTAGTCAATGTCATATTTACGGCTCCGAGGAAATGCATACCAGTGCTATCATCGGCCCAATGGTAGGGGTGGATACCCTTAGTGCGATCAGCTCCCAGCAAATTGAAGAATTGTTAGAACCCTATCGATGTCACAGTTTGCAAGACCTGCGTAGAGTTTCCCGAAAAGGATGCCGACGGAAGGGAATGCTAATTGCCTATTGATCTAGACCAAATGCCATATGTACCCTTGCCTCCAGGAGTCCATGCTCTGTGGGCTAGTAGCCGGCAAGGCCCGCTGCCTTAACAGGAGCCGATGGATGTCGTGCAGAAGACACTGTTCAGCGGCCAGCCACGTCTCGCGGTCGTATGGTAATTTTTGTAACCAGATAACACGATGGAACTGCAGAATCTTCCAGCGAGTAGGATGTATGTGCCTGCAAGGACGCCGAGAAAGCCGATACTAAAGACCACGGTGGCCTCTCGCCACCATCCACCCTCGGAAACTTTTTTTTTTTTTTGTATGCCGGTCGGTACAGAAGCTTGATACAGACAAATGGGTCTGTGCATATGGAGTTAGGGGTGTATCCGAGCCGTCTGGACTGAATTGTCGTTAGATATTTCCATTGTAACCATGGCTCTGGCGCACGACGTTGTGGAGTTCGATATTCCGCGCAATGGCCATCATGCACATATCCCGTTCAGGAATCAAAGAGACTTTTGAAATACGTAATGCCGTGTTATTAGTAGTAGCTACCCAGGACGGCGGGATGAATCCCTGGTAATGACCTGCATCTTTCTTCCGAGTAGTAGTTAAGTACCATGTTCATCTGACCATGTCCATATGGTACTACGATGCTCCGTGTACCCTGTAAAGCGTATCCGTTTCCAAGATTCCTTCTTTCTTTGGCCTTGGTGGAGATGCAACGCTATCGTAATGACTCCACAATTTCCATAGGCCGTCGATGGCTACCGTCAGCATCAAGGTCAAGTCGCTTTGCCCCGCTTAGTGGGCACTCGGTGCATTCAAAAGGCACAACTCCGTAATCCAGTTCATGCCTGGGCCAGCAGCGGAATTGTAGTGGAAACTGCCCAGCAGACAGTGGGCGGATCCCTGAAGACAGGGTGGATGATCGGAAGTCGAAGAAGCAGTCCCAAGTCAGTCCCGGGCAAGCAACAGTAGGAATCAACTCAGAACCACTCTGGCGGGTTTGCAAGCCTGAAGATGAAACCTGATGGGTTGCTCTGATAGATTAAAATCCCGTCTCACAATTTAATCCCCACCTGTTCCAAGGGACGACCCGTTGTTACAGCACTGACAGGCCCGAATCCATGGACGGAGGCTGAATGGCACAATTCAAACTTTCAGTCTCGCCGGGATTAAGTGAACGGGAGCCAACCCAATTCCATGTCACTGGAATTGTGGAAGCGGGAGATGGGAGGCTGGTTCAACGCGCAACGGCGGCAATCCGTAGCACTCCATTTCCCGTACAATTCCCGTGATTCATGCTGATTATCGTCAGTTCCATGCTCCAGCGGTCTCTTCTTGCTCTGTTGCCGCCTGCAGACTTGGGCTAATAAAATCATGACTGGCCAGGTAGATAGACCCTCTTTCCACGCCCCCTTTTATGCCTCCCCTTTTTCATGATTCGTCTGTACCAATACAATGCAACTTATTTGTACCGGTTATGTTCTTTGTTTGTAAAGATACTCGGCATAAAGTTCCGTATCCCGACCCCCCTTAGCATGTTATTGGCGTTCTAGAAACCGCCAGGGCTCCAAGAAGACGATGTATTCCGCAAGTTAATGTATGTAAGTAGAACTTGCGCTATCGGCCCTCAACCATTAATTTCGCGCGCGGGACGATAGGCAATCTTGCCATTCTCAGCAGCCCCTCCGGAGGTTAGCGCTTGAGGCCTTTGTTACTCGGTATGAATAGCGACAGGCGCGTAGAGAAGTGCAATTAGATGCATGAGAGCCGCACCACGTCGCGGTCCTGCTCAAAAGAAGGTAACAGAATGGTCGTTGAAGACTCTCTTCTCGGATATCGACTTCATGTGGGCTCTTCGTAGGTGGCCACGGCTGTGCCACAATGTTGATTGAGTCGCTGTACGGCGTTGTGGCCAGAATAGGCGCTCTGCAGACGTGGATCTCGAACTAATTCGCAAGATGACTGAGTCGGTCTCCCCCTCCACATACACTTAGCACGAATATTGAATCCTGGGCATTTTCCAAAACAGAATGATGAGGTCGGAGGGTTCCCATGCCCTCCTTATACCCGCATATTATTAGCGCTAAGAGTGGCATATTTGCCCTGTGCCCCCATAGAACGCGTACGAAGGACTTTTTCTCACTCACAATAAGCTAGCACGCCCCTTGCCAACGAGATTTCACTGCCAATTGCTCACGAGACGTATTTACGTATTGAAGCTGCCTTGTTTTGAAGAGGACTGCAAGTATTTGGGCCATTATGACGTACCAAGTGTTTCACACCGAGCCAACAGGGTACCGAGACAGGCTGATGTTCTCTTAATCCATTCAGGAGCCTTGAACCAGAAACGGTAGCGCTAGACAGTGCATACCTCGAAACGGTCACAATCCAAAACCGAGAGTATCAAAGATACTCGATTGAGAACCGCGTATATTTCGAGCCCATCGATGATGTATGTGTTGATGTGCCAGTTCCGTCCGAAGACGCATTTTATTTAGTTAATTTTGTCGCTACCACAGGCAGAAGCAGAACGCCTTGAATTACAACACCGTGTGCTCAGCAGAGTTTTCGAAGACAGACTGATTTTTCCGCCAATCCGTCGACCTCGAAGAGTGCTGGACTGTGGTTATGGAGCAGGAGCATGGGCTTTGGACGTTGCTGACCAGTATCCAAATTGCGAGGTGAAAATTCGAGCTGTTTCCACCCTGTGAGTGATCTCAAGTAGCTAACCACCCTGGCTCCAAAAGGTAATCGGTGTGGACATCTCTCCTCACATGAGGCCGGACGATGAACCGGACAACCTGATTCTGCAAGTAGGTATCACATTGTTTAACGGCCCCGAGGAATGCTGAAAGCACAAGGCTGCTAGGGGTCTAGCGTATTGCATATGATCATCGCTTCATTTAACATTGTTCTGCGAAACCGACCGCCTGTCGAGACAAATCCAGACGACCTTTATGACTAACAAGACATCGCACAGGTCGACAACCTAAACCGCCGGTTTACCTTTCCCTCCAACTACTTCGACCTTGTCCACTCAAGACTCCTCGCAACCGGAATCGACCGGAACAGATGGCGGTCATATATCCGTGACATCAAAAGGTATACCCCGTCGCCAAGGGATCTGTCTGGGCCTAGGAAGACAAATAAAAAGACCAATAAAGCTAATCTGAACCTGCCGGTAGAGTTCTTAAACCGGGCGGTTGGGTCCAAATGGCCGAAATATACTTCAACGTCCAATCCGACAGTGGCTTGATGACCGAACAGAATGCTCTTCGAATATGGAGCACACAGTATATGGGTGCTTTGGGAGACGTGAAAGATCTTCGCGTGGGGACACGATTGAGGAATCTTCTGACAGAAGCAGGTCTGGTGGAGGTTGATGCCACGATGATTCCCCTTCCCCTGTCTGCATGGTCTAATGGTATGCCGATCACTCGGGGGGGAGTGTCGCATTAGGGACATAGGTGCTGACCACGTACTAGACCCCAGGATGAGAGAAATAGGTGCCATGAATCGTGAGAACATTCGAAAACTCCTGAAAACATTACCTCTCTATCCGCTCACCCAACGGCAGCACATGCCACGAGAGCAATTTGATGCGCTGGTGGCACAAGCACGACGAGAAGCCGATAGCCGTTCCCTCAAGGCGTATTTCCCTTTGTGTGTTCCTCGTACTAAGAAGAGCTTTGGGTCTCCGTTCTGACGATCCATCAGGTACGTCTGCATCGGTCGAAAGCCCTGAAAGCGCGGCATCGGGGCTATTGATCTGTCCGTTCCCCCTGGAGATCTTATGAGACAGTAAGAATCTTGTTTGGGAGATATTGGCATGACATATTCAGCATATGAGGTGTTTGCGTCGTTTATGGTAGGGTGCCTTGGCGTTTCCACTCCGGAGATTTGACAAGTCAGCACAAGGATGGTCAGTTGAAATTCCAATTCCTGTTGTCATTACCTTGGTCCCTTGTCAATAAACTTCTCCTCGTTCCCATACATATATATATTTTTTGCCATGGGCCAACCATCGTAATGCTAACCCACTGTACGGGAAGTTGACTGAAGGTAAGTGCGGTGCGTGTGCTCCCGGGTTGGGTACTAGCGCCAACGTATAACCCAAGCGGGCTGGGAGAGATTATGAAGTGAGGAGGAAGCCAGAGACTATATAGAATTGTTCATATGAATGACAGTTGGACAGGTCAAAGACCTCACCTGAGGATAGAGTTTGTGGCTATCAAAGACAGGATCAGAGGGAAGGACTCAACCAGCGAACTGGACAGTTACATCAACAGGCCAGTTCAGCCTGCCAGACGAAGAGCGGACTAGACTAGATGAAGAGTCTACCATGGCGGGGACAAAAAGATGGATGCGCACAAGACCCCCCTGACGCGACATAGTCGTCGAGCCCCTAGCCCATCCCCGATCCCCTACAGCGAGCGTACCCGCGCGGATGTTGGCTCTGCTGGGGATCAACGGAGACGCCTGGTTTTCGGGCTTCTAAAATAGATCTGGCTATTGGAGTTTCCAGCAGTCTACCGGAATAGCTGCCGGAGTGGACATGGGTGTTTGGTCCTGCCCATTGGAGTGATGGATGTGCCTGCAAAGGTACGTGGATCTGGTAATCACCGAACACTAGACTCTGCTATTTTGCGTAGTGGCACACTCAAATTAAACCTTGTTTTCTTGTACTTTTCATCCCTGCCGGGGTGGACCGCGAGGGATCAACTTCTAATTAATGGTCGTCGCAGCAGTGCTCATTGTTGATGCCTGATGTTTGTATTCCTTTATGCCTGATTTAGAAGGCTGCAGAAAACCTCGTGACTGGGTCGGAGAAAAAGAAACTCCGAAGTATTTTTGTAGAAGAATTATCCGCCGTCGATCTGCCCAGCATTATTCCAACACGCAGACGCTCAAGATGCCTTCGACGCACAAAAAAGAAAAGCCGTGGGACACGGGTGACATTGATAAATGGAAGGTATTTTTACCTCAGCCATTGCGGTCCTCCTTTCTCTGTTACTGAGCTAACGTTCAAAATCCAATAGGTCGAGCCATTCAAACCCGAAGATAATGTAGCTGGAAATTTCGCAGAAGAATCTTCCTTCGCTACCCTCTTCCCAAAATACCGCGAAGTTTATCTCAAAGAAGCCTGGCCCGTTATCACAAGGGCATTAGAGAAACATGGGATCGCGTGCACACTGGATTTGGTCGAGGGTAGCATGATTGTTAAGACGACAAGAAAGACCTTTGATCCCGCTGCCATTTTGAAGGCAAGAGATTTGATCAAGCTGCTGGCGAGAAGTGTTCCAGTGCAACAGGTCAGTTATTGTTATTGCGCCACTTTTCTCTATTTCTACTCTGGAATCCACTGGGCTTACACTGGCGGCAAAACCAGGCCCTCAAAATCCTCGAAGATGATATGGCTTGCGACATTATCAAAATCCGCAACCAGGTCCGCAACAAAGAGCGCTTCGTGAAACGGCGACAGCGCATTCTCGGCCCGTCGGGTTCTACGCTTAAAGCCCTCGAATTGCTCACGAGCACCTACATCCTCGTACAAGGCAACACTGTTGCCGTCATGGGACCATACAAGGGTCTTAAAGAAGTCCGCCGCATCATCAACGACTGCATGGCAAATATCCACCCGATCTACCATATTAAGGAACTGATGATCAAGCGCGAACTCGCCAAGGACCCGACCCTGGCCCACGAATCGTGGGATCGCTTCCTCCCGAACTTTAGGAAACGCACCCTCTCCAAGCGCAGAGTACCGTACAAGGTTACCGATAAGTCGAAGAAGGTGTACACACCCTTCCCGCCAGCACCGGAGAAGAGCAAGATCGACAAGCAGATCGAGTCTGGCGAGTACTTCTTGTCCAAGGAGGCCAAGGCCCGTGCACAGAAGGAGGAGATCATGGAACGGCAACGCGCAAAGAGAGAAGAGAAGATGCTGGACAGGCAGAAGGATTTTGCTCCTCCTGAGGAGGTGAATGGCGACGGTGATACCGAGAAGGCGAAGAAGAAGGAAAAGAAGAAGAACAAACGCAAGCGTGAGTCCGATATCGACGGAGAAGTTGACGGCGAGAGCTCCGACAGGAAGGAAAAGAAGAAGAAGAAGAAGAAGAGCAAGAAAGAGGATGCAAGCGGGGAAGAATGAGAAAAGTTAATGACTACTTAATCGAGCCTGGGTTTTTTCCGATTCCTTTTTGTTATTCCAGTTTATCGTCGTTTCATGGCGCTAGGGCAGAGCATGGCTTGGAGTTCTGTTTCTTATTACCTAGTCAAGAAATATATATCACATATCATGATTCTATGGTGTTGGCCCTTTGTATGGAACCTGGCTATATAGTCCCATCTATATCAACAGTAGAAATGAGCCACCCACAATATCGTAAACACATAATGCATCCCTTCACTCTATCACATAAAGTCATGCAACTCAACTACCTCAAAGGAAAACCCCCTCCAAAAAGAGAGCTCAAACCGCAGACACCCTCCCAGTCTTCTTCACCAGAAACCTCTCCTGCTCCTCCTGGCTCTTCTTCAAATCAACCCCCACAACCAAAATACCAAAACTAAGCAAACTCAGCCCAAACAGGAAATAAAACGGTGTACTTACATTCCCTGACGGGGTAGCATCAATGATAGCGCTGGACACAATGGGCCCGATAAACGAGGACGTTTTCCCGATGATGCTGAAGAGACTGAAGAAGAGGAATTCGTGACCGCGCGGCGTTACTTCTGAGATCATAATCTGGGAGTAGCTGTACCATGGGCAGACGAAGAGGCCGTAGAAGGCTTGGTAGAGCTGTTCATTCACGTCAGTCTGGAAATATATATCTAGACGTGCTGGACCGCCCAAATCCATACCCATATTTCCCATAAGTGGTGGAATCCAAATCTGTTGGTCCAGATCCCGATCATACCCCAGCCGTCCAGGAGGATGATGGAGAATGCAACGGCGTTGAACATGGTTTTTGTGCCTAGCTTGAAGCGTTGCTGGATGAACCAGAAGGCGTAGATTCCGACTGCCTGTGCTGCTATACCAACGATGAGGAGGTATGTCAATTGCAGCGTGTTATAAGCCACCACGCTGTTCTGCAAGGTACCGATCACGGTGACTGTGGTATTCAACGAGTCTCCAAGAAGAAAGTATCCTGTTAACATCAGCATCGGTATCGGCTCTTCACTCACACAGAGTCAGTGTCTCATACCTATAAGATAAACGAGACTCTGCTTCAAATGCCAAATCTGTGTAACAGCGTAATAAAGCTGCAAACACCCAGCAACAACGATATTTCTCCGTCCAGGATCCAGTCCAGGCCGCCTCTTCTCTATGAAAAACCACGGCAATGACACAAGAAGCCAAACGCCGCTAACGAAAGCAATCAGTACGCTCAATCCCCAGTTATTGTTAGCCTCGCTGGCATTAACATCCAGACCGAACATAATCCCCACGATAATGGCCAGGATGAATATCTCCGCGACAGACTGGACATAGAAGGCGATATTGGACAGCTGGCTGCGCTTCATTGTGTCCGCGTAATCGTATTCCTCGCGAGTGATGTTTCCCGCGGCATATGCATCGGCCATTTCTTTCATCGCCGTCGTATTCCGTGCCAGACCGGGGAATGCTGCCGTCCAGAAGGTCAGGGTGGTCTGGTAAGCTATCAGGCCTACCATGTACAATCCCACGCCGGCATGCCATTTGTCCTCTGTGTGGACGCCGAGCCAGCCAAACCCAATGGCGTAGGCGATGATGGAGAGAACTATGAGGATCCCAGGACGCCAGTTACCGAAGTCCGCAAAGCTACCGATGACCAGGAAGACGACAACTTGGATCGCGAACGAGATGCCGTTGCTAAGAAGTACGATGCTATTGATGGAGCGTCGTGTCCCTGCGAAGACCAGTGTGCCGCTATCCCCTGCTGCTTGATATAGGAGGTTCTGGAATGCTGTTGGAGCGAAATCTATCACTGTTGTTAGCATCGTCAGCGCATATCAGTCCTGAAAACTCACTGAACAGGGACAACCCATTGTTCCCTATGTAGTAACTGTGCCGGGATTTAGCCATCTCCATGACGAGAACGAACTATCAAGCCACGCACGCATAGTAAGCCCAAATCTCCAATTTCGTCGTGCGATATTTCTCATCAAACTGATCAGGAGCAATGGGCTGATCGACATCCTTTTCCAGCACATCGAATTCGGCGATGGGCTTTTTGTTTTTGCCTTCGGAGCCGGTGTCTGCAGATGTAACACTGGTAGCCATGATTGAAGAGACAGAAATGACAAACCACGAAAACAGTCTTCTATAAAAACCGTGCAGAAAATAACACTTGGAAACCAACAACGAAATTAATCCAACCCCGCTGGCCGGGATATGGCGTATCAATGCCGGGCATTTTGTCTACATTGAGACTAGGGCTCTGGATAGGATTACTCCGTACGTCCGTCGATCATCAATAAGAATAAGCACTGCTTGCCTGACGGCTTGCAGGAGGCGTTGCTAGTCGAAGTCAAGCGCTTAAGATTGGTATTATGTCGGAGAAGTCTAGTCTGCTTTGTGTCGGCTTCCAAGCCTGATTTCTTGCCTTGGATCCTGGCCATCGGCCATAAATGCAGATTTGCCCTATATCCCTGAATCTAAGGGCATTCGAAAGGTATATAGACAAAGGTTACAGCTTAGCCCTTCCAGTCTCTATTTCCATCCAGCTTCGCTCATCCAGCTTAGCATACTTCTTGCCGTTCAACCAGTACAGTTTGTCGCCTTTCCAGTCGACCCGGGGATCCCATCCTTTCTTCACCAAATCGCCCTTGGCTTGCTTAAATGTGACGCCGGTTGCTACTCTAGATGAAGAGAATGGTCAGTGTGTGCTCTGGAATCCGAATTGTTCTTCAGGTGGACATAGACATACTTCTCGGTGATCCTGACGAGACGCGGAAAGGCGTACAGGGGAACGCCCTTCTTCCTTAACTCAGAGTAGAGATGGGTCATGAAGTCCTTCTCTGCCGTCTCGGAGTGGTCCTCTAATGTGATTCCTGCGGCACCAGCTTGGCCGTCATAACTGGAAAATAAGTTGTCAGTAGGGGATCTTCCTGGGACAAGGGAGGGGGGATAGAAGACAGCGAACCTCTGCAGTCTGACACCATAAACTACAGCGTCATGCACCCCTGGAATCTTGCAAATATGATCCCTAACCTCGCCAGCACTGACATTCTCCCCTTTCCACCGGAACGTATCCCCGACCCGATCAGCGAACTTGACCCAACCCGACACATCCTGAACGACCAAGTCGCCCGTTCGTTGGAAGAGATCCCCCTTCTGGAACACATCCCTGAGGAGCTTCTTTCCCGTTGCCTCCTCATTATCGATGTATTCCGTAAGCAAACCACGGTTGCGAACACGCCCAATCGCCTCCCCTTCTTCGCCCGGCCTTGCTCGAATACAGAATCCGGTCCTTGGGTCTCGATACGGCGATTCCGTATCAGGATCGTACCTGACGATGAAGACATCGTCCTCGAGAAAGCGGCGAATCGGTCCCGAAAAGCCAACTCGTCCCGCACCCCAGGCTCCCTCGCCGAAATTGTCGAACTTGGCTACTCCTTCCGTTGAGCGGTAAAACTCGCGGATCTCGGGGATGTCGAATCTCTCGCGGAATCGTTCCCAGATTTCTTCACGGAGACCGTTCCCCGTTGCGACGATGCAGGAGTGGTTCTTGTCGTATGGCGAGGGCGGGGTCGAAAGCAGATACCGGCATAATTCGCCAATGTAGAGGATGCGCGTGGCTCGGGAGTCGTGGACGTCCTTCCAGAACTGCGACGCGGAGAACTTGCGACGGAGACAGAGGGTTCCAGCGTTCCCTAGGGAATAGCATAACCCGGTGAAGAAAGCCGTCCCGTGGAAGAGAGGAAGAGGGGAGTATGTGCGGATAGGATAGTATTTACGGGGACTGTTGACGTCGAGACTGAGCGGGTTCGAGGTCACCAGGGTCATCATATTTCGAATCCCGCACGCTTTGGGATTGCCTGTGGTCCCTGAGGTGTAGATCAGCACAGTCAAATCGCTGGGAGTCCTCTTGGCTGCCTTGAGACCGAACGGGGAGAATTGCTGCAACTGGGCGAAAGTTACCAGCTCGATCGCCTCGGTGGCGATTCCATCAAACGAGGAAAAGTTGAATGCCAGATGAGGCAGATCAGAGCGTACATGCGGCGTCAAATCTGGGGTCGAGATGATTGATTTTGCATTTGATACACGAAGGCAATGGAGAAAGGTATCATCTGTCAGGTCTGATCAGAAAGCCGCCCGGAACAAGCGTCGTGTTCTCATTACCTCTGAGATTCACATTGATGAGAGCACCCACAGCACCCAATTTCGAGAGCGCATAAGCCGTCACGACCATTTCGGGCGAATTCGTCATGAACACAGCAACGCAGTCATCGGTCTTGATACCTCTAGCGTGCAGAAGAGCAGCGAATCGATCGACAACTGATTATACTCGGTCAGTCCGGCATATGATATTCTTCGAACAGTGAGGAAGAGAAAACTCACGCTCCTTCAACTGGCTATACGTCCACGTCCTATTCTCAAACCAAAGCGCCTCCGTCGAGCCGTGGCCGTCAACATCGACGACGCGTTCCAGCATCTTATAGATCGTAGCACTGTCACCCAGCTCAGCCATCCGCCGACCCAATCGTTTAACCCATGCCCGATCCCCGAGAATCTGGGAAATATCGGTGGACAGGGAAAGCTTAGCATTGAGATAGGCACCCGCGGCCAGCGACAGGGCCGATGTCAACGCCAGAGACGAGGATAGGGCCATGGATGAGCAGGGGTTGCCGTATTTGTGCTTTTATTGTTATAAAACAGCGACCTGAAATCGAGCTCGAATGAAGAGACCAATTCAGGTCCTGGCTGTTCCCGGAACTAGGAGAGATCTTGTTGCCCATGGAAACAAAACAAGCGTCGGGCATCAAGGGGACAGATGCATATCTATACAAGTGCCTGGACCGACTCGGAGACGAAACACGGGAAGTCTCTTTGCACCGATGGTAACAGTGAACTGTGCCAGCTTATCATCGCGGCACTGGGCTGGGCATCTCACAGCCGATGTGTTCATATAATTGCCGAGGTGAGCTTCCCCGGATCTGGCTGTGAAGTGTAATTAATTTAAATCTCCCGCACTCAGCCCCGCATTGTAAGGAGTATATTAAAGGAAGAAATAATGAAGTAGAATATTATTAGCTGTTGCTGCTCTGTGCGATGTGCATACATAGTAAGAATGATACCTCGGTTGTATGGGTTGTTGTATCGATACCCCAATACGGAAATCCAACATCGAACACCACCATCCACCATCCATCATCCACCATCCATCATCCATCATCCATCATCCATCATCCATCATCCTCATCCTCATCCTCATCCTCACTGCTCTGTTCTGGAAACCATGCTCTTCCACAGGGAACATCTATCTCGTTGATACTGCGGGATACCCTCCATAGCAGTGGCATTCGTCTGAAATTTTAATCTACGCTCCTGCCCCTGCTCCTGCCCAAAAGGGTGCCAATACGGCGCATCCGGGTTCCGGTATCGATTCGGATCCAATCCCTTGATGAAGCTGATCCAGTAATCCATAACGATCGGGACAATGGGAGAGTTGTAGGTGCTATACGAGCAATTAACGCATGGCTTGGTCATGCCAACGCCAAAGATGGCTGGCATTTCAAAGACATGCGGCACTCCGAGCCCCCACCGGATGTTGTCCCAGTCCATGACGTTGTAGCGATAGTTCCACGTATTGTCTGGGCTCAGGTATTTTGCCATTGATCGAGAAATCTCCAGGCCGGGACAGGTGAATGTTGCATCGCCGTATGCTGCTGCTGCGGAGGGGAACCAGGCCGCGCGCGACTCCAAGGGCGCCATTAATGGATAGGTTTTCTTGATGCACTCCAGGTCATTGTTGCTGAGACTGGGGTAGTTGCTGCGTATAAATTCCAGGAATTCTGCCGATGTGGACGCGTTGGCCGCGAAATAAGTTCCTTCATCGGTGTCGTCCCCGACTATCGTGGGTACTCTGGCCATCTTCCCCTGTTGGAAGAGCGTGTAAAGACGGTCCTGGGAGAAAGTCCCATCGACGACCGGCAGGAATGACCAGTCTGGAAGTCCTTTTGCCCCTGGGAATGGCGATAGGACGTCTGCCGATTGCAGGGTTGCTGTGTCCTTGGAGCGAAGACATGCGATGGGATCCGTCGCATTAAGGCAGCCCACACTGGTGATGAACCTTTGGAACTGGAACTCGGATTCATTTACGGTTCGATGTGTCGGGAAGAAGGGTGACTCGCAAATGCCGCCAATGAATAGGCCATCATCGCGGCCTCCATAGGCAGTCATATGGAGAGCAACGGACCCTGCTCCGGCGGAATCGCCATGAATGACAACATGGTTAGGATTTCCTCCAAACTATTTGATATCCGGTAAGAATGTCAGCTTCTACGGGTTTCATACGAAGGCCACGTACGAGCCTGATATACCGCTGCACCCATCGCAGAGCCTTTCTCTGATCCAACAATCCAACATTCAGGTCTCCGTTTCTCCGGATCAATTCACTCGCCAGAAACCCAAAGGCACCGACGCGATAGTTGACGGTGACAAAGACGATACTGTTATTAGATCTTTTTACGATTTCGGTACCATTGACGTTCGGGTCCGTATTGGCCGCAAAGCCCCCGCCCTGGATGAAGAACCAGACGGGGAGATTGGACGCCGGCGTAGCATCTGAGGGAGTGAAGACGTTGACAAACAGACAATCTTCCTCTGCATCGCTATATGGACTGGGCGCGGAATTTCCGAGACAACTTGGTCCCACCTATTACAATAGCCAGGTGAGCTAGGGGAGCTTTATAGGACATATGCCCGTCAGCCCTACCTGGGTGGCATTCTGCACTGTCATGTTGGTTCGACGCAGATCTTGCGGAGCTCGCCATCGCAGATTTCCGACTGGTGGCTCAGCATAGCGCATGCCCAGGTACTCATTGACACCGGAGTCTAGAACAATCCCCTGGTACTTGGAGTAACCAAGATTCACGATGGGAGCCAGAGCCGGGTGGTTTGCGGACCTCTGGACTGGCATGTATTTCTCCCTGTTTGGTGCACCATTGACATGGCTGGAGAAAAGCAAGAGCAGCGTAAAAGAAGCCTCGAACCACATTTTCAACCCGATCTTCGTGAATGGAAAGCATGCCAACCTCGGGAATGTTCAAGCATCTCAAGAGAGCGTGCATTCTTTTTATGTTATTTGACAACCAACAATAAAGCCTGGCTATTTGTCCTCGAACACGGGGTTTGGCAATAGAATCCCCATCTTAGGTTACTTTGAGAGTAGCAGTCAGGAATCCCCCACGCAGTTGTGGGAACCCCGCATATGCAAAGCGATGCAAAGCGCTGCAAGCTACTGCTGTACAACTAATATAAACAACCTTCACCTCGAGAACGAGTCCCTCTGACCAAAACACATGAGCCACTGTTCATGGAACTGCGCCAACCCCGCACTAAAGATGACCACAGGTGGGAGCAAGTCTGTTCCTAAGAACCTAGAGCTTACTCCCCAGGTCTAGAGAAGGGGGCAATGGCATAGCTAGCCGGGGATGGTGTGTGGGGTTTCACACAAGCGTGGAGGAGGCAACCAACAAAGGCGCTGCTTTGATCCATATGCATACAGCGCGGACGCACGCTTCAAAGTAATCGAAGAGATGGGAGGTGTCTTTTACAAGGACCCCAAAGACTGTCCCTGTCCCTATCTTGATCTCCCCTGATACTGAAGCCACGGAAACGGGCGGATGCCACCATTTCAGATGCAATGAACATTAGTAATGCAACAATCATTTGAGCCAGCCCTTCCTATATAATTTAGGTTGGAAAAGCCTCGAATGTGATATGAAATGCCACATACATGCAGTAGCGAGATGTTAGGGCCACATCACGTGCCATATAGTTGGAATAGGTGAGATGGTAAAGCATTTTTGTAGGTTTATGACGATGTGGTGAGTAGATTCCCGGTCAGCTCTGACTATCCCTTTGGCTACCTGTCAAGTTGGACCTTGTGGGCAGGCCGGATGCACAGGAAGTGCGCCAGACTTGGTAGTATATTCAGGACAGATGTTATAAACAGGACCCAACGTATTTCCAGAAATAGCACCGAGAACCGTAAAGAAGATAATAAACAGGACAAACCCCTGTACAAGAGATACCATACAAGAATGACCATGGTAGATGAGTTCTGCTTTAATTGATGCTGGAGGAATCAAGCCACTTTATCGTTGCCCTGATCAAATCTGCATATTGTCACTCCTAGCCCGAACGAATGAACAGTCTGGATCTTTCAGCAAATGCTTATTTGGGTTAGAATACAATGGAAGTATTCGAGTCCTGCATCGTCCACCAAGCTACATCCAACACACATGGCGACAGTTACGCTAGGATGACACAAATAGAGTGAGATGTTTAGGGTTACGGCCCGTGGGGGAGCTACGGATCGTATTGAGATTCACCTCGTTCCCACCAGGCCATCGGTACGTGGATTTTTTCTATTCTACTATGAGCCATAGTCTAGGCTAATCCAGGGCGGCTCTTAATAGGCCTAGATTGTATGTGGCTTCTTCATTTAGTGATGAGCATTACAATCTATCACGTCTTATCCGCATGAGGTGCATCGAATCCCAACACCAAGCCCTAAAACGAGATGTCCACGGCCAGACAAGTACCCCCTTGTCACGCTGTCACCATGAAAAGTAACGTTTAATCAAAATGGGCCCTAATTAGAAATTAGTTTCCATTTCAATCCCCGCAATATGCATATTTTCACTAGTTCAGTCTTGAATGAAGCCTCTCGAAAGCATAAAACAAAGTCTAATGTCACGGTAGCATAACCAGCTTATGCATAAGATTAGCATTCTACAACTCCCCTTCAACCACATTCTCCTAGAAAGGAATTCTATATGGAAATTTTGGAGTCTCAGGACGGATCCCGAGAATCGGAAGTATTACTAGATGGACAATTGGATGTTTAGAAAAGAGGGTGAGGAATGAGTATTGAGAACGGGTTGTTTTCTAACTGGTGCTCCTATGTGCTATACTACTTCAAGCCTTGCCCGTTTATAAGCATTGGCTGTCTGTGATAGATCCTTCAGAATCTATTTCTATATAGCAAGCAATCCACGCCACATTAGACCAAGATCGTAGTTGAATGGCCTCAAGATGAGCATGGAATCGAATATTCTAGATGAACAGTCCTACGGCCAGGCCTGGAATCTCGAGATTGCCCTATCTACAAGTCTTTTTTTTTTTTTTTTTTCAAAAAACCAGTTTAGTAAATCAAAATCCCAAATCCAAGCACGTCTGTCCTGGGCTCATTCTGACCTGTCCTTAACGAACCCTTGTTCCGACACTTTCCCATGGTCCAGAACGACATAATAGTCCGCGTCCTTGATTGCCTCCAGTCGATGGGCAATGGTAATGACAGTAGATTGCCTCAATTCCTCCCGGATGATCTGCTGTATTTCAAGCGATGTCTCATGATCAATAGAGGCAGTCGCCTCGTCAAGGATAACTATCGGGCTTGCGCGGAGGACGGCTCGCGTAAGACCGATTAACTGCCGCTGGCCTTGGCTCAGGTTCCGTCCACCAGCTTCGATATGTGTCTGCAGGGTCCAGTGGTGTCTACTGCAGACGCGGTTCAGTACCTCAGAGCACTGATGATCTGAATACTCTCCAGTAGGATCCAGGTTGAGCCGAATACTGCCCGCGAAGAGGATAGGGTCTTGGGCAACAAACGTAACGCGCGTCCGGAGTGCGTGCGTATTGACTTGCGCGATATCGATATTATCCACCACAATCTGCCCTGAAGTTGGTCGAACAACACCAAGCAGTGATACGGCTAACGTGGATTTTCCACTTCCCGTCCGGCCAATAACCGCCGTTGTGGAACCCCCCGGGATTCGAAGAGAAGCATTGGTTAACGAGGGATCCAGATGAGGAGCGTAGCGAATGGTAACATTCTCGAAGGTAATGTCCTTGCCAAACCTAGGCCAGGATGCCGGGGGATCAATCGTTCCTGGGGGTTCCGGTTCAATATGACGAAGTTCATCCACTCGCTCAACAGAGACAAAGTCCATTTGCAACTGGCCATACTGCTTGCACAGTGCATGAGTAGCAAAGACAAAATGATTTGCTGCAATGAGCACGAATGCAATCAAGCCAGGGGAGATTTTTATATACAAGGCAAGAACAGTCAGGGAAAAAGTTGATATGGCTGACAATCCTTCGAAGCGGTACATTAGCCAGCTCTGGAGAGACCAATAGAAGTGATCCATGCCTTGGAATTTGTCTACAACCGCAATGACCCTGTTTTGAAAGCGTACCTCGGCATGGAAGGCGCGCACGGTTGTCAAGCCATGCAATAACTCTCCAAAGTTTGATATTAAGGGGCTAAGCGACACCATCTCAAGACGCCGTAGACTCTGGGACGTGGGGAGGAATTGTTGGAATACGAGAACGTACGCCACAGTGAGCACTAGTGAAAAGACAAGGAAGCTCGGAGTCACAGATGCAATGACGAAAACGGAAGAAATCCATGTGATTGCATGGAATGCAATAGCTTGGAACTGCTCACTGATATTGCCATCGACTACACCAATGTCCGACGTCAGACGATTCATCAGACGGCCAACAGGTGTGACATCGAAAAATCGGAATGTCGCACGACTGACTCTGACCATAACCTGTTCGAACATCGACTTCCCTGCACAGTATACTATTATCAACATGAAGAGCTGAGCAGCCAGGAGGGCTACAGCCTGGAAAGCAGCGATGCCGAAGAACGCCCAGAGCCAAGGTCGAACATTGTGGATTGGAGAAGGAAGAAGGCCGATGACGTCGGATGGCAATGTGGTCCAATCCAGACCGGACATCTCCCATTGAAAGTTGCGAAAATCGAAGACAAACAGATTCTGATCACCGTATGCTTCACCCCATTCTTTAACGAACCAGGATCGTGCGACTGAGGCCGCGCGATAAAGCACGAGGACTGCCACAAGAATAGCCCACCACTTCAGTTTTCCGGCCTGAATATAACTCCAATAAATCCTGGTCTTGACTCCCCACTCAGCTCGATGCTCTTCTTCAATGAATTTGTCCGGTACAGCAGCAGCCTCGTCCTCAAGCGTAGTATGATGTTCCTGTTCGTCGTCTATATATTGCAGTGCTGGGTCGGTCATATCAATGGTTGCACTCGGCGTTGCGGTGCCATCATGGATTTGGACCATCTGGGTGGCAATAGGACTGACGAGCGTCACCCGGTGTGTAACCAGGACAATGACTCGGTCCTCGGCTAAAGGGCCTGTAAAGCACTTGCGGACCACCGTTTCGGCTGTGTTGTGATCCAGAGCTGAAATAGGGTCGTCTAACAATAATATTCTCGCCCTACTATACATCGCTCGAGCCAAAGCTACACGCGCCCTCTGACCACCGGAGAGTCCGATTCCGTTTTCGCCCATAAATGAAAGGTCGCCGTGCTTGAAATTGGCAAGGTCAGGGAGAAGCGCACAAGCGTCCAAAACCCGCTTGTACCTTCGTTCATCGTAAGGGGAAGAAAACAGGATATTTTCGCGGATGCTCATACTCTGAAGCCACGGAGTCTGCGCACAATATCCTACCATTTCGTCAGGGACGTGGGAGACGCCGCCCAGAAGATCGAGCTCCCCAAGGATCGCTTGTAATAGGGCCGTTTTTCCCGCACCAACCTTACCATAAATGACGGTCAGGCCAGTCGGAAATGTCAAATTGACATTGGAAAGCACCGGTGATACTCTTCCAGGCCAAGCAAACGAGCATGACTCCAGCTGGAAGAAGGAGGCATCCCCAGGCGATTCAACAGTGCGAGTTTCCTTGTCCGGTTCAGACATGAATTCCTCAATTCTTCCCAAGGCAATCGATGCGTTGATCAGAGAGGTAATGAGGCTGGGCAATTCGACTAGACGAGTTTCCCACATAGTGAAAAGCTGGATCGCAGGGAAAATAATATCTATGCGCAGTTGGTGTCCAGAAAGAAGAGTATACGAGTAAAGTGCCACCGCAGGAAATGCGGCACTCGCGAGCGTATTGACGAAGCTAATCGAAATGACACACAAGTTCGTTACAATGCGTAGCATTAACTCGCGGTGTCTGGCTTCCATAACCTGCTTAAGCCAGTGATTTTCCCATCCGTACCAACGTAGATGACGGAGGGCCTCCACAAACTGAGATGTGATTTGCAGTCTTGCATCCGTTGCAGCTCGCCGAACCCGTTCCCATCGAAGGAGGATGCGAGTAATGATAACATTTGCACCCTGGGCAACCAGGACGGTAAGAATAGCCAGGAGGCATGATGGCCCAAATAACTTCCAAACAAGGACAGTAGCAACAATTATCCCGACCGGCTTATCAACCAACGAGTCAACTTCCCAGAATCTCTGGGAAACTTCATAAGCATCACCACGTAGCAAGTTGAATATTTTGCCCATTGAAGCAGCTTCCTTTACGGGTTGGTGATGGCGCCCATGTCTCCTGGAGAAGATGCTAAAGATACGGTTATACCAAGGTTTTGACGAAGTGGCTCCATTTGCAAGAGAACCATTGGAAACTGATTCTTCCGGGGGTTCGGGCTTAGTGTGTTTGGCCTCCAGTTCCACGCCAAAAATGTTCTTTCTCGACAGCGCCTTCTCATAGATCATCATGATCATCTCTCCCCGGCTCCTCTCATAGCAGCGTCTCCCGTACCAGAGAGCCAGCACCTGCAACTGAGTCGCTACAAGGCGAATGATCAGTGCCACTAGAGCGTACGTCAGGGCCACGCGTCTAGGAGAGAGAGGATCCTCCACTGCTTGCAACAACTGCTGCAACAAAATAGGAGTTGAAAAGTCTGTCAATCCAGTCAGCAGTGGCCTAGGTCACGGAGTTCTCCAAATCAGACCGCAGAACATTTGCACCGTGGCAAGAGTAGTCACAATCAGCACATCAATCCCGTTAGCCTTGAGCACGCGTCTTAGAACGGAGCCCCGGAGCAGACGGAATCTCTCATGCAGGCGCCGATGTTGGAACTCATAACCTAGATACCAAACGTCGTCTTCGTGGAGCTGTCTTCTGCGCCCTATCAACATGAGAGGGGCCATCCAGGAAACCGTGAGAAACTGCCAGAGGCGCAGATTGTCTTCAGGACTGCGCCAATGACTGTTTGGCACTTGGCCTACGCTGCTGATATTAATCGGAGGCAATGATGGATCACGGCATGGCATCCAGAGAACGACTGCTGCGGCAGCAACTGCAGTACCGATAGCAACATAATGTGCACCGATTTTGAAACTAGAGATATCATAGCTCCCAGTAAACAACAGCAGCTCTGTTGAGATGGTGACAAGAAAGTATAAAAGTAGTGAAGATGGGCTCGACCGCGGACGCTTGATCGCGATCAAAAGAACAACGGCCACCTGATTATTCACTCAGCCGAATGCCCGCCGGACGGTTGACGGAGTCGGACAAATCTTACCCATGACACGAGGGGAGCCACAGCAGAGAGATCAATACCCGGAGGGATCAATTGAGCAGCTTCTGAGAGACATCCCAGGACGGAGAAAGCGAAAAGAAGAATGGCCCCGACAGGCGGCTGAGTTGCGCCCGCTGGGGCCAGCTCCAGATATTCCTCTGATTTTTCTGAAACGAAAGGCCGGCACCACTTCGGACGCCATTGATAGAAGAACCGGGTGGAAATTGTGTTGATCAGGATAGTTGCAATCACAATAGCAGGGACACAGGAGACATATGGCCTCGCGCAGGTGGTAAGCTGCGCATCAGCGGAGTCCTAGGATTGGTGTTATCTCTACCAGTCATTGATAAGGGAAATGGGGTATTTCTGGATGGGATGAGATGCACGTACCCATAGTGAATGGCAGACGGCAAAGGTGCCATCGAGAGGGATGGCCAGCCGTTGAAGGCGACTCGTCGTCATCGAGGCTGGATGGATTGTCGGAGGAGAGAGACGTAATCATTGATGCGAGAGTAGGAAGAAGCAGTTCTACGGCGGGCGAGAAGCTCACAGGTGCAGATAGGGCTGTCAGCACAAGCCCTAAGCGCCGAGGCATCCACCCCCTCACGGCTCGGCGGACATCGCTGCTCCGAGTCGGTGAGTTGTCCGATGGGATTGCAGTTGACAGCAGTTCGTGATAGTTAGTTGGCTAGTTAGCCAGTTGACTATTCAATCGGTTGATTATTAAGTCCATCAGAAGTCCTTAACTGGTTATAGGCTGTTGTGAATATCGAATAGATAACTAATTGTCGATCAAGATGCGTCATGTCGGCCTTGCTTGCCGTATCCGGAAACAGCGGACTATCAAGGCTCCATATCTCGGTGACATTTTTTTGCAGCGGATTAGAATTCGCAGAATTCTCTTCTCTTTTTAACCTCGTTCTTCCGGATTTTCATCTGAGAAACCCATCTTCTGCCGTCTGACCACGTCTGTGCCTTGTCGGCTTGTTTTCAAGACGAAAATGGCTTTCGTTATCCAATATCTCCAGCTGCGAAAGCGTGTCCTGCAGCAACTGCAAGCAGTCGCCAGTGATACTGAAGCAGCACCGGCTCAAGTCCCAGTTGACGTCGCTCCAGTTGACGAGAAGCCGGAATCTCAACCGAGTAAGATCTGCAATTCTGCCTTCTGTCATATCCCTGGAATCACGCTAGAAGTGGATTGTAACGGTGAGCAGTATTATCGCGTTGGCTGGGAAGGCACAGGTGATCCATTCAACCCTCGCGAATGGTCTTCAGCGCGACGTATTGCTTCCACGCTCCTAGTATGTCTTATTGCCTTAATCACCACCATGGCCTCCGCTATCGATTCGGCAATCATCACAGAGGCATCCAAGGAGTTTGGGGTGTCCGATGTGACTGAATCCCTAGCAACGGCCCTCTATTTGATCGGCTTCGGTGCCGGAGCCTTGGCCTCCAGTCCTCTCTCCGAAATGGTCGGTCGATATCCAGTCTACTTGGGAACCCTCGTCATCTTCGGTGCCTGGCTCCTTGGAGCGGCTTTGGCGCCCAATATTGGGGCCCAGCTCGCTTTTCGCTTCCTTGCTGGATTGTTCGGTTCTGCACCGCTCACCGTTGCCGGAGGGTCTGTTTCCGATGTGTGGACCTCCTTCGAGAAGACCTTTGGTTTTCCGATCTTTGCCATCCCTGGGTTCGGGGGGCCGGTTCTCGGTATGTTGCATGCAGCATTTCCTTTATCCATCTAGTCAAACCTTGTCTACCTCGAACGAGGAGAGGGGACTAACTAGTCGGCACCTGTTCATGTTCGATAGGACCTGTTGTTGGGGCCTACATTGGCTACAGCCCGCATATCAGCTGGAGATGGACTGAATGGATCATGCTTATTTTCGATGGGCTTGTTATTGCAATGATCCTCCTTTTCAAAAGAGAGACATTCGCGCCTCAAATTCTCTTCTACAGGGCTAGGTTCTTCCGAAAGGCTACAGGCAACCCGCTATTCAAGACGGAACTAGAAGCCTCAGGATCCGTTTCTCTCGGCTCCACGCTAAAGCGGAATTTCAGTCGTCCATGGCTCCTATTGACGGAACCCATTGTCATTGCTTTCACCCTGTATTTGACGATTGTCTATATCGTGCTCTTCACTTTTCTGGACGGGTGGGTGGCTCATTTGCCCTTCCAGTATCTGCCAGTACAGTCTTGCTAACTTCCCTGCAGTTACCCATACATCTTTGGAGAGGTTCATCACATCAATGAAGGTCTGTCCAATATCTGTTTCTTGGGCCTTTTCATTGGTATAGTTCTCTCCATGTCACTTGTCCCTATTCTTTACCGTAGAACAGCAAAACAGTTGATAGAGGACGGCGACGACGGCTCGGGTCACATGTTAAGACAGGAATCTCGTCTTTTCTTCGCCTTTTTCGGAGCTCCAGCTATTCCTATCGGGCTGTTTTGGATGGGATGGACAGATTTCGTAAGTGGTCATGTTCTGCAGAATTTTCCCCTGCAATTATTCCTGCATAGGCTAACATGCCGGAAGCCGTCCATTTCCATATGGTCACCCCTCATTGCTTCAGTCGTGGTGGGCTTTGGTGTTATCTGCATCTTCATGTCCGCCTACATGTATATCATCGACTCATACCAGCAATACGCTGCCTCAGCGCTTACCTTCGTTGCGCTTGTTCGATATCTCTCTGCCGGCGGCATGACTGTCGTGGGTATTCCGATGTATAAGAATCTTGGTGTCCACTGGACATTGACAGTGCTGGGAGCGATCAGTGTTGTCGCCATGCCAATCCCCTACCTTCTGTTTTACTGGGGACCAAGTCTCCGGAAGCGAAGCAAATGGGCCGTGGCCTTCAAACATTGAAATAGGAGCTGTTCTCTTAGCTAATGCGGGGATAGAAAGGTGAGAACAACAAAGATTGAAGAAGGATGGAGCTGAGGTCGGATCGAATTATCCATCTTTTTCGGCAAGTGGCGTACCACTTTGATAAGGACAGGGGTCCGGAAGCATGTCTGCGGTCAAACTTCGATTACGGGAATAGAATAATGTGTTGATGGGGGTCGAACTCGCTGAGTTGGTTGTTCTCGCTGGGAGTCAACTAGTTAGTTATCTACGCTGTGCTAACTAGGAAGGAGCTGAACCATGGGAACCACCAACATAATGCGGCTCTGGTTATGTCCAGAGGCGTTTAATATCTGGGAGACTGGCGCTGTGATGCTGGAAGTTTAGGTATTGAGGGATTTTCGGGAGCTATGCAGGGTCTCTTTGAATTGAAGGGTATTGAAGTATAATCAAATAGAATGGTATGCCTGCCAATGATTGATTGATTGATTTATTGTACCACCGGGCCGTTCAACGGAATCCAGCTTTAATTTGTGAAAAGTGTCTTAGGCATGTCAAAGCTGTCAGTGGTTGAAATGGATATTGTACGCAGAGCGCATAATAGGTGGATGTTCCGGGAAGGCTGTTACCCCTTCGTTCTGCATGGAGGACATCATCATATAAAAAAGCATCTAAGATGAAGGCAAGAAATATAGCTTCAAGGAATCCAGCAATCTATTCGATATAAGGCCACACAATGCTCTGTCTGTTTTCTTTTACCACTACGGTCGTGTACGGACGATCCGACTCTTCCCCCTTGATTCATGAGATCATTTCAGTGGTATCGAGTGTTGTTCAAGTATTTAGCAGAGTCAAACTTATGCAATAGAAACACTCTTAACTTCCTGAGACTGTCTATGGTATATGTCTTCAGCCCACATGCTCTACTCCTCACTACCTGTAAGAACCTATTGCCTAACCAAACGTTGGTATCCACTGCTACTATGGGTCAGCCTCAATAAGCCTGGTTTAGTTTCCCCCCCTAGGACCGCACCCTCCTATGCCGGATATAGTCCGCAAGACAGGGTACATTGGCCATTTAAATATACTTGTTCACTGCGTGTAGAAGGTTCACCTATAATGAGTGAAGAGCAAATCCAACATAGGGCACCCAGTGGGTCGCTTAGTTCTTATTTTTTCTCTCTCTCTCTCTCTCTTTTATAACCCGAAACCCCCTGTATCTGGTCCCTCTCTATTCCACGTGTTCTACCATGGGTGATTCAACTTTACACATATCTTTAGCCTGCTTGGCATTCTTCTGCATTTCCTCATTCTCATGCTCAATATACTTCAATGGACGCTTTCTGGAAATTGCATCGGGGTCTCTGATGACGATCAGAGATGGATCAGAGCGGTAATAGGCGTCGAGGTCTTCCAGGGTGCGGTTTGCTGGAGGGAGTTAGCCTTATCAAATACCTATTTGAAAACATGATCAGTATGGAGGGAGTTTGTAATTGCCTGTTTCTGGATAAAAGAAGTAGATAATGGGTAGGAAGACGGCGTTGGTGACTGTCCAGACGATCCAGAATCGCCAGCCGATGTTGTCGACGGCAACGGGCGTGATTTCGACGACAACAAAGTTTGTGATCCTGCATGGATACATACAATGATGAGTATTATGAAAAGACATCTGAATGGGAGAGATTACCAATCAGTAGCCGTTGCAACAGCCGCGCCTTTCGTCCGCATCGGAAGCGAGTTGACCTCAGTCGGATACAACCAGGGAACACCGAGCATTCCCATACCGAAGGCGATGTGAAAGAGAAAGAAGAATGCGATAGATGCGGATCCGTATTTCTTGCTGTCGGGGTCACTCTGCGCAAAGGAGAGCAGGATAGTAATGATCAGGAAAGAAAGGAACTGCCCGAACGTCGAAAACAGCATCAACCCTCTTCGGCCCCAGCGCTCGACCAGCGTGACGGCCAGAGAGGCAAAGATGAAATACGACGTAGCGTTGCAGGCCGTTAGGAGTCTAGCCATGCTATTCGACAGCCCGACGTATTTCATGAGCACCGTGGGTAGGTAGTAGGACATGATATTGATCCCGCCGAATTGCTGCATGAACTGCGAGCCCGCGCCGAGGATCAGTCGTCGAAGCGTCTTTGAATCGCGGCCGGCTTTGCCCAGAAAGATATCCCTCCACCGAATCGAGTTTTCACGTTCATAGGCAATCGTATACTCCATCTCGTTGCGCTGGGTGGCGATGTATGGGTCGTCAACGGGCTTGGCCTCCAGACTTGCTAGGATTTCAACGGCCTTGACGTCGTGACCATGAGCTAACAGCCACCGGGGAGATTCAGGGAGCCATGGAACCGTTGCAAAGAGGATGAAAATGAAGAAGAATTGAAAGGCAATCGGGAATCGCCAGGCAACGGCGCCTCCGGCAAAGGATAGGCCGTAGTTGATCCAGTTTACCGTGGCGTATCCCAGGATGTTCATGGCCATTTCAAGAATGACCAGTTTCCCCCTCCATCGGACGGGTGTCGTCTCTGTTTGCCAAATGGGAGCAGTAGCAGTATTGAGGCCATTACCGATTCTGTAAATCTGTTAGTCTGGACGGTCAGAAATAGGGCAGGATGGAACTAACCCTAGAACAATCCTGCCAACAAACATCTGCCCTAGACTGAAAGATGCCGCCTGGAGAATCACTCCAATGGACATGATGGCTGAACCGAGAATAATCGACTTCTTCCGTCCTAGGCATTCGCCTATTGTGAATGCCACGATTGCTCCAAGAAAACATCCAACGTCGTAAATGGCCGTGACTGTTGAGAGGACCTTGGCTTTACCTGGTCCGACTAAGTCATGTAGCTCCAGGAAGTTTTGCGTGACGACCACACCACCTGTTTGGGACCTGTTAGGGTTTCTTTCAAGGAGGCCAGGAGAATGAAGACGGGACATACTGAAGACACCTTGATCATATCCAAACAGTGTCATGTCAGTGGCACACGCAACCTGCAGGAGAGCATATATTCAGCACAAAGAGATGCCTTGAACGTGCTGACGCGAGATAACTCACGGTGATCCAGAAGACAAGCCATCCTCCTGTCAGCCCGAAGTAGGGCTTCTTCTGACCGGCGACAGTCATCCCACACAGCAATACTTAGCGGAAACAAAGAATTCTCAAAGATAAAGGAGATAGATTTATAAAAGGCATATATAATTGGCCTTGGAATGACTCACTTTCATTGGGGTCTGTGACCTATTTATCCCTAGCCGGCCATCACCCTCCATCTAGCACCTGTTTCTCCAGGAGACCACCATCTCACCTCCGCGCTCCGTGGACAATCCCCCGCGAAAGTTAGTTATGTGGAGTCAGTCCATGGAGGATGTGCGTGCGGCACCCCAGACCGTAAGATTCACGCTAACCATCACAGCCCGGCTGCTGCTGAGCATCATGCAACAGCCTCAATTGGCCCCGGAAAGGGCAATTTGGCAGAACCTGAGCTTATGACATCATGCTGGGGACGGCAGGGATGAGCGGTCCCAGCTGAGAGGAATAGTGCATGAGAACGGCGGTGCCGCAGGTAATCAGCAGTCGTCCATGGAAAGATCAAGAATCTCAAACCGTGGTTTCAGTGCAACAAATAAGCCGGTCTATTTCAAAGTCTAATATCTATCACGTACTAGGAAGCTCGAACAGTTCTACGTCAACGTGTAACCGTCAACGTGTAACCGCCGTCAATGACGAGGTTGGCTCCTGTCATATAGCTGCAGGCATCACTTGCGAGGAACACATAGGCCTAGCGAGTAGAAACGCTAGACCCTAAACTTCGTCAGCCAGAGAAAAAAAGCACAAGAAACGTACGTCTGTTAGTCCTGCAGGATCTGCAATCCTCCCGCCTGGAATCATAGCGAGCCACCGGTCCATTCGCTCCTTTGGCTGCTGGGTGAGCACTGCAGTCCCTGTCAGCCCTAGTTTAGGTTCAATTTCCCATTATACGCAGCCTGGGCAGTCCACATCACCCCATCGTAGTTGACTCTAATTTCCCGCTGCCAAGTCTCCTCCGTGTACTCTAGAGCAGGCGAGTTGGTACACGTTCCAGCGTTGGCCACCGCAACATCCAAACGACGCTCTATGATCGCCGCAATCTCGTTCCATGATGTGACGTCCGATTGGAACGCTTGGACGCGGACCCCTGTGTCTGCGGCGATCTTCGCTGCATTCTCAATGGCATCGGTCGTCGAGGAGTAAACCAAGGCTACATCAACACCGGCCTCGGCAAGACTCCGGGCCACTTCTAGGCCGATTCCGCGTGCGCCTCCGGTTACTGAGCAAACTTTGCGCAGAGGGAAAATTGAGACAGCACTGGTTTGTGCACGCTGGGAGGTTGATACAGGAGCATTGCGGAGTGCAGTGAGGAATGGGGATCGGGGAACTGGGGAAGTAACAGCAGGGATAATCTGGAGAATGGGCAGCAGATACGGAAGTATGGTTAAATAATCTACGGTGTCCTCATTATTGAACTTGAAAGGGCATGGAGTAGAAGCGCGTTAATCCCCCTCTTCGGCATCATCCACAGTGAATGGAAATCCCCCTCGAAATCCACCGGACAATCCAGGGAAAAGAAACAGGAATAGTGTCTGCTTCAGGCAAATTTCCCGACCCCCAGACGGATTTAGTCCGAACACCGTCCAAGAGCGAGGGGAAGTGCATCGCTCTTCAACCCGATTAGTCGCCACGACGCACCGTGGCGTTTCTCGGCTTGTTCCTGGTCCTGATCTCCAGATTATGCTCGCTATGCTCCCCCACGGCCCTTGCGTTCAGAGGCTTGCTGCATACGGATTTTACTATCTAATCCTGCCATGAGCTGCTCACTTCCATGCCCGGGATGCCGGAAACGGAAAATCAACTGTGATGAAAACCGGTCGGAGTGCGGCCAGCGTGCAAGTAGTGGCCGGGTCATGTCGTTATGCCCTTCCATTTCACTCTGCGTATAGTGGTCTGACTCGTTTCCATAGTAAGCCCCTGTTGTAGACCCGGCGTATGTAGTGAGCGTTCCGGATTGAACTTTCCTTCTGTATCAAACATGGATATGGAAGTCTGTATAGCAACACCCTCAATCCGTTGCTACCTGACCTAGTTAATCCAGCAGAACCCGTCTTTTGTCCTTCGAAACGTCAAGGATGCGATGGCTGAGAATCGCCCCAAGCCGGAGCTTAAAGACCCTCAGAACGTGCTGGCTGGTGCATGTTGCGCAGACTGGTATCTGTGGTAGTGACGCGAGCGACATACTCCTGGTGTCTTTACTACCGGCCATACTGACAATACATACGCCCACTAGTATAAGCGTCTGAGCCGATGAAAGCTGGGCGAGAGAATGTGTTCAAGGTCATGATTGCCGGGGTGGAATAGATGTTGTTGTCAATGTAGACAGTATAGACTGCTGGAAATGAACCTCGGCTGTTCCGAGGGCCGTATTGCCGTCCCACTGTTTTACCACGGTTTCGTGCAACGTCGGCATTTATTCTGGCAGTTGTTTCCCGACTGCGGTGTTTTATAATAAACTGCTGTCTCTGATGAGATCAGTAATTCTTGGTTGTCCCTAGCAAGAAAGCTCACAGGTTGAAATCATGTCTTCTGCACAGCAACGACTATCGTCCATCTCAAATCAGCTTGCCGCTGGTGCTGCGAATCCAGCAAAGCAGAGGCTTCTGGCTAAGAATCCAGATGACATTGTATGTTCCATTGCACCGACTAGATCTTGATCTATTGGGTCTACTGGGATATGTCTTGCCCGGCAAATGTTGACGCAGTAACGATAGGTGATTACATTGGCAGTCCGAACGCCCCTTACCAAAGCTAGGAAGGGCGGGTTGAAGGACACCACATTGGATGATCTGCTGATTTCCTTGTTGACGGTACGCTGCTAGGAAGAACCATTCTGGAATGCGATCTAACCTGATCCAGACTGTTCGCGAGAAATCGAACATCGACCCCAATCTAGTCGAGGATGTTTGCGTCGGCAATGTTCTAAGTCAGGGACAGGCGTACATCGCCCGTTCCGCTGTCCTGGCCGCAGGCTACCCCGTTACAACGGCAGCATCCGTTGCGAACCGATTCTGCTCTTCTGGGCTGCTGGCAGTCCAGAACATTGCAAATCAGATCCTGGCCGGTTCGATTGACATCGGCATCGCTGTCGGGGCGGAGAGCATGAGTACCAACCCCGACGGTGGTGCGCCCCAGATGTCCCAGCAGATCCTGTCGCATCCAATTGCTTCACAGAACCAACAGCCTATGGGCCAGACATCGGAGAACGTAGCAGCCCAGTTCAACCTTACCAGAGAACAAATCGACGAGTTTGCTGCAAAGAGTTTCCAGAAGGCTGAGCACGCTCAGAAATCCGGTTGGTTCAATGATGAGATTGTCCCTGTCCATACCAAGGTCAAGGACCCCAAGACTGGCGAGGTGAAGGAGATCGTGGTCGACCGTGACGATGGCATCCGTTATGGAACCACCGCCGAGGGACTCGCTAAGATCCGTGCTGCGTTCCCTCACTGGAAGCCTAGCGTGACTACTGGCGGAAACGCCAGCCAGATTACGGACGGTGCAGCAGCCGTTGTCCTGATGAAGCGATCGCGCGCGCAGGACTTAGGACTATCCATCCTGGGCAAGTTCTGCGGTGCCACCGTCACAGGGCTGGAGCCTCGAATCATGGGTATTGGCCCATCTCGTGCTATTCCCAAGATTCTGTCCAAGTTTTCTTTGACCAAGGATGATGTCGACGTTTTTGAGATCAACGAAGCGTTTGCAACCATGGTAATTTCCCTGCCTGGTCTCATCCTGGGAATTGGACATGGCGAACTGACGAATACGATAGGGTGTCTACTGTGTCAACAAACTAGGCCTTGACGAGTCAAAGGTCAATCCAAGAGGTGGTGCAATGTAAGTAACCCTGTTTCTAGACGAATTGAGACTGCAAGCTGACTGTCACCAGTGCCATTGGGCATCCACTGGGCTGCACAGGAGCACGCCAAGTCGTCACTGCTCTGTCCGAGCTACGACGGCAAGACAAACGGATAGCAGTAACCTCAATGTGCATTGGAACGGTCAGTTTTCCCTCTTCCTGCTTGTAGTCCTGTTCATCAAGGCTGGTTGCTAACATTGCTAACACTGTTGCAGGGTATGGGCATGGCTGGGATTTTTGTCTCCGAGCACTAAGTCCAAGGGCAATATGAAAAGTGCCAGGATATGCACCACTCCTTGTATGAAGTACTGCGTAATTTATTCCCAGAGAGAGCAATCCGAGACATTGAGTCCATGCTTTAACTTTATCCTATCCGTATGCGCCTGCCTGATAAGAGGAGGCTGGGCGCATAGATACGTGCCGTCCTCTGCATCGTGATGCGTGCTTTGAGAGAGGAGCTCATTCCCGTGCGGCAGTAATAGAGCTGTGTGGAGGGATGATGGCTCGGCTCCTCTGCAGAAGTCTTAGACGGTCTGTAAATATATGTAGAGTGTAGACGAGAAGCTGGACGTGTCATCTGTGAAGCCGTCCAAGTGCAGCCTGCGCTATCACCATCACGTGTGGCGGCGTCATCGCCGGCTGTAACTCAAAGCTACTCTTGACACCGCTCCTCTTCTCTTCGTTTCACCTCGTCGCCCCTCTCGATATCCTCTTCCGGTACAGCCATCGTCCTTTGATCAATCTTGCTTTGCTGGCTGTTCTGTATTCAGCTCTTCGTCTGTTGGGTTTCTGGACTCTCCCAACCATGAAGCTCCTCGCCACGGCCCCGTTCCTCCTCCTCAACGCCCTCCCTATCTCGGCTCGAGCCTTGAACTTCTTCGACACGCAATCTCCCATTCGGGTGGAAAGTCTTCCTGTCAACGGAGAAAACCCACTGGAGTATTGCGCGGACCCATCAGCCCACCTTCTGCAGATCGAGAAGGTGGATCTCCACCCCAATCCACCTCTGCCGTATGTCTCCCACTCCAACAGCTCTTAAAGCGCATATTCTCCAGCGATCTTTGCTTCATTTCTGCTTCATTGCTGATAGAAGTATGCTAATGCGTCTCATTATAGTGGCCAAACCCTTTCCATCAAGGCAAATGGCACCTTGCTTGATACTGTCGAGGAGGGCGCTATTGTGCTTTTGGAGGTCAAATATGGATTGATCACTTTGCTCAAGCAACAAGTCGATCTCTGCGAGCAGGTCAAGAATGTCGACATTGAGTGCCCCTTGGAGAAGGGCGATTTGACCCTGTCGAAGGATGTTGATTTGCCCAAGGAGATCCCACCGGTACGTCCACTCCAGGTCATCTTATCCGTCAAGGTTACTGTTACTCTTCACAAGCTAACGTAGTGGTTCTATCCTCGTTCGAAATTAGGGCAAATATTCCGTCCTTGCTGACGTCTACACCAACGACCAAAGACAGATTACCTGTCTCCGGGCTACTAACATCGAGTTCCGGCGGTTCTAATTGGGTTCTCTTTTTCTAGGAGATCCGCATGAACCTATTCTCCGACGAATCAGTTTACCATCACCTATTGCACTCCATATAACTCATGCATTTTTACAAGTGACCGATCGAGTTGCAGCGTGTTAATATTATCCCTTTTTCAATCTGCCTCCACGTTGTTATCTTGCCTGACGAAGTCATTGATATCTCATTGCTACGAACCGTTGTGTTTTCTCTTTTGGAGTATTTTCCCATCGATAGCTTTCATGTTCTCATGTCTTGCTTTAACGGCGTCAGGACTCTGCGACATTCCCCGTCTGCTGATCTGAATTTGGCCTTTGCATGTCCATGTCCATGTCCACTTCTATTCTTAACACGGAGCCTAATAATTCCTAAGACCCTTGTGTGGCCTAAGGGATGATAATATGGGTTAACTTTACCTTTTTTTCCGTTCTGCTTTTTCCGTTCGCCTTGCTCATTTTCAAAGCATTGTTGTTATTGATAGAAGTATAGCACCAGCCAAAGTTGCCTTATCATTATGCCCATCACTAGCCCTTTTCAATGGTTTTCAATGGATACTCTTCCCTGCGACAACTGTATTTCAATTCCAAGCGTATATATCTTGCCATTTGCGATCTATACCTCCGTATACCGAATCTCATATTCCGGAGGCAAATGCGACCTAGTATTGCCGCCCCCCAATTCCCTTGTGCAATATACAAGGAGCTTGAATGCTGTGTCATATTCAATTCAATTGGATTTCTGATCTTTCTGGTATATTTCTCCATCAACCCCCGTCCTCATCTCGTCCATCTGCTTTACTCTCCAAATAACCGCCGGACGCGCTTAAGCACGCTATCTTTCTCCGGATCGTACGGGTGATCTTTACTCGGGATTTCCAATACGGCTGGAAATGCTTCGGAGAAGGAATCGACGGTATTCCGGATGCGTTCTGCGATCTGTTTTCCGTTTCAGAACATAGTTTGTAAGGCAGAAAGGTGAGATTGCAGGGGATACTAGGACATACATGTTGGTTAATGAGGACTATGGCGATATCCTTCCTTTCTTGTGTGAAGTTGTGGAATGTCCGTTCGATAGTCGAGGTTTCGGTCTTCGAGTCAACCACGAGGAAGTTCCGTTGTGAGTCTGGGGGGTCGGTGACATGCTAGATATGGAGATTATCAATACACTTTAATTTTTCTATTCTGGGAGTTGTCTCATTCGTGGGATCTGTTCGGGGGAATCTTCGAGGCAATTGGGGGAATAGACGGACGTACGCCAATGCCAGCTAATAGGAGACCGGTTACGGAGCTGGAGATTGCAGTCGTGGGAGTTAGCGAGTTGGCTTCTTAATATAAAGGTCATCAAACTGGGTTTAATTACTCTTCATCACCGATGACAGCGAGGAATTGCCGTTCCTATATCCAGATGCATAGCACATCAGACATCAGTGTCGCATTCGAGGTGGATCGAGGTACGTACCGAAGCAGCCATGGTGGAGGATGAAAGGGGTACCAAAGGCTAGGAAGGGGATGTGAAAGGAAAAGAAGAGAGGGTCCGGGATCTATGCGATCAATCCCCCGTAGTTCTCCTCGTGAATCCTTCAGATGCAGGAGAGCAAGAGCCGTGGCCTAGACAGTAGACAGTGATGATGCCGGCGTCATATCGATCGAAGCTACGTCGCTTATGTAAGCGTTTCACGGGCAACTCCGCTTGTTTTTGACACTGGAGAATAGAAGCTTGATTCACTTCGTTGTTCTCCTGCTCCAGCTGCAAGACATTAACACCTCTTATTCCTTTGTCCTTTTCCAAACTTCCATCGTTGAGCATTTCAAAACCACCTGGTTTTCCGCTGTTCTTTCGCCGACAACGCTCTACACAATGCCCCGGCTTATACGCCGACGTCCGCTGGCGGAACGCATCAGATCATACTTAAATCCGTTGGATTTTCTCCTATGGCTATCGGAAGAAGTCGATGCAAATGACTGGGATCAGTTTGAGAAGGACTGGGCGCTGCCTTTGGGTATCTTTTTGAACGGGGGTTTTCTGCTTGCCCGAGCGAATAGTCGCGCTGGCAGTAAAGCGATCGATGATGTCTTTGGTGAAGAGGAGAGAGTGCCATGGCTGGGCTGGTTTGTATGCTGCCGTTCCGCTTGCCATCTTCTCGTTTTTGCCGTTTAGCTTGTCACTACGGAGGTCTGACTGTTAATGGAACCTACGTACATGATTAGGCTTCTTTTGTCGTCCACCTCCTCGCCTGTCTCTCCGCATTAAACGCTTTCTACACTGTCTCGCGTAAACGACATTATCGCATGTTTGAAGCGTCTATCGATAAGGTTCCCACGACGCCGTCTGCGCGCCGTGTGCGGGTTGACTCTTCGCCTATGACGGGCTCACCGTTGCGCTATCTTGCCAATCTTATTACTCCCAGCGGCGCAGAGTCGAGAGCGCACCCTGATGCACAGCGGGATGTTTGGGAACTCGCAATCTGGGATCCGTTGCCGATTTGTCTGCGATTGTTTTGTCTGTTCAGTCCCGGGCATGTTCTGGTTTATTGGCTTTTCCTGCCCACCCAGCTCTCTGATCCTCGACCCAGTGTCACGATCGTGACGACCATCTTCTTGACGACTTTGTTGTCGGTACAGATGTCATTCTTATCCTCGTCGTTTATCCAAAAAACGAAAGATTCGGCCCTGGTTCAGAGAGAGGTATTGAAAGAGTATGACACCAAATTTGTGCATCCGCGGACCCAGCCTTTAATGAGAGATGTTGGAACTCAATTCTCGGAGGAGAATGCTACCCACTACGGCTCCGACAAGAAATACAACCAAGTTGATCTGTATACGCCGGCTTTTGTCATCCGACGTGGATTCCAAACCAGCCCCAACCCTAACTATGTCAGCCACGTCGACCCGGAAGGATTATCACCTACCATACGTAAGACAGCATCAACCACGGGCTTCTCCTCGGTGGCTCGTCAGCAACAAGCACTATTCCAGACCCCTACGCCTTCGCGCGATGCTTCCCCTCTTGTGCGACATTCTATCCGACAACCGCAGTTCCGACCGACGCCGACCAAGACTGGGGACGGCGGTAGTCTAGGCATTTATTCTCACGCCAACTCCCCATTGAGGAAGTCAATGTCATCAAGCTTTGAGCGTGAGATGAGTCCATTGAAGCGAGCGTCGAGTCCCCTTAAAAGGAGCAGCGTGCCACCAGGCATGAGTTTGGCGGCGATGCCGCCGAGTCAGCGTCGTGAGACAGGGAGGTTCTAGTACGAAGCCACAAACATGGTATCAGGAGATACGCACAAATTACGGCCCCTTTATTGAATAATTTCCTATAGAATTCTCTGCTGCATACGTCGCATATTGTCATTAAGGTTTGCTTTTATGGTTTGCATTGGGTACGGCGTCTTTGGGTTTATGATTTCCAATGGTTTTGTCTTTGTTCGGTTTCTAAGCTCTATTGTTCATTCATTCTCCCTTTTGTTTATACCGGGAGATGATGTATCAACCCTGGCCAGTCCCCTGTATTCTATATTTATATGGCTCGGCATGGTATCGAATCCATGGTTCGCCGGGACTCCTTGTTTCGAGTGCGGTTCCATTGCGACTTCTTCCTGGTTCATGGGTCGTAACTTCCCAGTATTGACATGCCCATATCCTTGTCTCTATTTCTGCCTTGTGTCCTCATCATGATAGCAATGCCATGCCACGGACTGTTGGTGTGTCTGTCCCACCCTTACCGGGCTCACAACTTTTCCCTCTTTCTCTCCGACGTATTTTTCGTTCATGCCAGAAGGCATTGGATTTCAGCTACATTCGTTTCAGCCCTATGTTTAGTATTTCGTGATTGAAGAAGGTCATCCATCTGCCCAACGTGTTTGTGACTCCTCTCCTACCACTCACACTTAAACTCCATCCGGCCTCAGACAACGGTATAGCAACGGTCGATTTAATCCAGGCCAAGGAAAAGAAACGGGAAAAATAATAAATTTGATGAAAGTGATGAATAACAGTGAGCAAGCCAAAATTACGGGTTCAGGCGTAATCGCTATTAGTGGCATGCACGGCATGGCCCGAGCTGGAGTTCTCACAAGCGCCGGGCACAGAAGTCGGGCCAACATTCCCCATCCAGCCCACCACGATGCTTTCATCGGTTGCATTGCCAACCCAGAACCAAGTACTCCATGCCCCAGGGACCTGCAGCATAAGCACCGCTTGCAAAGGCCATCGGTACGGTTCGCGAACCAAGACGCCAAACCTTGTGTGTCGAAATCTGCTACCTCACACCGCAACAACGCTACTGCGAAGTCGAAATCTACGAGACCCGCGGGGGCCAGGGTCTTGACCAAAATGGAGAGAGGCCACCAGAACGGTTTGTCTACTGCGAGATCGCGAAATAACTTGCGGCATGTGAGATCACGTCTGTCTCGGGAGCCGTCAACAGACGCGAAGCATCGACGTGCTGATAGAGGACGGGAGAAATATGAGTCTGATGAGTCCGGCGATGGCGATCAGCAGAGACATTCACGCAGAAGAGTTCCTCCAGGTGCTCGCCGGCGTCAGACGTCCAAAGGTTCAGGCAAGGAAAAACATCCTGACGGACATGAGCTTTTCACATGGAGCGCACGCCATCCTCGGACTGGCGCTCCCAATCGTCGCATCTCCAGCAGCACCGCCAGCAGCAGCAGTGCCTCCTCCAGTGATGAGATATCTGAAGACAGCTGTGTGGACGAGCCCATTCGCCGTGGCGTGAGCCCGCAGGGGTGGCGGTCAAAAAGGGGTCAGTGCATTCGTCGAGATGCTGGTCATGCCACATCTTCAGCATCATCTGAGGAGAGCGACTCGTCAATAATCTCCAGCGATCAATCGGAGGAACCGTTATCATCCGCGTTAGTGCCTCAGAATGCTGTACGGGGTCGAGGCAAAAAATCTGCCGTTGCCAAACGTCCAGTGAGAAGAGAGTCCCCCCAGTCGGCGCACTTTCAGCTGCAAGCTTCCAACGTGCAGCCAAGCCTGAGGAGAGTTCATCACGATGGTAATGCATTAGTCAACCCTGAGGCTTCACCGCGGTCTATATCTCCGGGAAATAGACGACCTCATTCCTCTAGAGAGTCTGGTATGAGATCGAATGTCGGAAGGACCCGAGTCGTTCCTCCCGATCCACCGCCAGCCCCTTCACCTCCTCTGCCCCCTGCATCGCCCCTTAAACGTTCCCTTCTATATCACGATTCTGATCGCGTGGGAAACGATTCATCCGGCAGACACTGGGAAGACCGTCTCTTGGAGCCGAGCAACCGGATCCACGAATCAGACTCGGACGACTCTTTTTTAGACTATGGGGATATAGACCACCGGGAGCAAGGGAACCCCAACAACATCCGGTTGCTCCCTACGTCGGGCAGCCATTATCCACACTCCGTCGACCTGCCATCCCCAATCTCGGAGAACGAGTCAGAAGAGGAGATAACGTCCCAGCACTCGACCCCGGAAATGGAGGAGAGAGCGCATCTTCACGACGAATGGCGACACCTTTCTCGGAGTTTGAAGCATGCCCAATACCCGAAGCAGTCATCCAAAGTCAACCTCCAAACGGCGGACCATCAGATGCCACGGGTGGTCAAGAAGCCTTCCATGAGCCGGACTCGGCACAAGGAACACTCCCAATCAAGTCGGCATTCGAACAGCCTGGTACATACTCGAGAGAAACGTCACGACGGGAATGCATTCACTACCACACCCACTACCACTCATACTACACATGGCGCCCTGACGATGGCAAAAGGTCATTCTCGGAAAAGCGTAATCATGCCCAGGTCCCGTCGTTCAACCGTAAGCGAAAAGAAGGAGAATTCTCGGAACCAGCCTCAAACGATCTCCATACGATTTGGGTCACGACCTCCGATGCAAGTGTCGCTAGGGAAATCAAGCACCATGTCCGTCACATCTTCGAGAAGCGATTCAAAGTCCGATCCTCCCGCCACAAAGATCCGAGCCCTTCCAGAACGCGAACGCATGAGTCCAGAAAGCCCGCGAAGTACGCATGGGTTCACCCATATGCCAGAGACCGACATGTGGCCTATAGAACACCCCGGCAGGAGCGTGCACGAGGACCGTAAGTTGCCGCAAAATCCTGCTGTTGTCGAACCCAGAAGGCGAAGTATTTCCCATCTTGATCTATACGCGAGAGATCCTCGGGCACCATCGGAGTATCGTCACCATCCGCAGATACCAGTCGATGTTCCTTTGGACGATGAAGTTGAGGAATCCGACGGATATGACGAAGACTCTGAAGATTTCTCCGAGGAAGAAGCACTCCCTCCCCCGGCTCCTCCCCCTGTGCCACAGCCACCTTCCCTTCCACGCGAAACTAGAACGCAGGCCGGTGTAGGGAGTGGAGTAAACGGCGCCTCTTCAGCTGGAGTTTCCCGCTTTTGGCCCTTCAGTCGTGCACCAGCAAACCCGCCGGTTGACGAGATGATGAATCCTAGGCGCAATAGCATGTCGGCTCATCTTGATAACGCTACCCCAGGTCGGTTGAACCATCCCATGTCGAATCTGCCTGGTGCTGGATTACCCAACCTGCATAACTATGGGATACCTCGTCAGGTCAACACGGCACCGATGCAGCAAAACCAGAGGATACAGCCGCAGCAGCTGAATGGAATACCACCTCAACATATGGGTGGAGTTCCCATGCAACGGATTGGCGCATTGCCGGTGCAGCAAGAGCACAAGATGCAACCACAACCGCAACCACAAACACAACCTCAGCCCCAGCCCCAGCCCCAGCCCCAGTCCCAGCCGCAATTACAGCCGCAACTACAACCACAACTACAACCACAACTACAACCACAACTACAACCGCAACTACAGCCGCAACTACAGCCGCAACAATTCAGTGTAGTTCCGCCTCAGAAGGCCGGTGGAATACCTATACAACAGGCCAATAGATTGCCAGTGCAGCAGTTTAATGGCATACCAGTTCAGAATGTCAGTGGGATACCCATGCAGCCAGCCAACGGACTGTCATTGCAACAGGGTAATCAATTACCACTGCAGTATGCCAATGGAGTTCCGATTATGCAAGGTCAAATACCAAAAATCATGCCTGCATTGCCTGCGGCGACGACTCCAAATAAACCTGCAGCTTCCGGTGAACCTAATGCTCCCCTAGCCGAGCGTGCCCGTCAATTCTTTCAGCGCATTTTCCCTCCCAAGCCCAAAGCTCCGGAATCTCAGCCCGTGAAAATCATTCCAGCCGTCGTATCCAGCAATAAATCGAAAGGTGCGAATACGTCCAAAAGCATCAAGGGCCCTAACTCCAAGGGCTCCAACTCCAAGGACTCCAACTCCAAGACAGCTGATTCACCGGCCAAAGAGGCTAAGCCTAAGCCTAATCCCGCGCAAGGGCTCAAAGAATTTCTCGACAAATTGCCCAAACCGAGCCGTCGCGAGGTATTTAGGTTTCTGGCCCGCTCTAGTCAATATATCGTCTATTTTATCGCTTTCGGGTTCTGCATGATGATCTTAGGTCGGATAGCTGGCTTCCTCGCCCTTGTAGGCGGCTGGATAGCGTGGTTCGCTTGGCCTTTTGTGTTTGTATTTTCGACATTGGGGCGATTGTTGATGAGTACATGAGCATTATGAGCATTATGAGGGTAGCTAATGCTACTGTTTGAGTGCCCTTTTTCTATGTGTATGTGTGTGTGTGTGTGTGTGTGTGTGGTCTCTCCCTGTTGCTTCTTATCTTCATGCTTTGCTCGATTTGTGACTACTAAAGGAGGTTCAGAGTTATTAAGATGAGCAGTTGACGATTCATGATCATGATTGATGATGGATGACTGGGATGACGTTCTTTTTTATTGTTAGTTATTCTTCCAGCATTTTTATCGACTTCATGTATTCATATGCATGAATGGATGAATTATCAATGCGTACGAAGTAAACTGAATAGTACTGTCGATGTGGAACTGCAGTATCTGCAGGTCGTGTCCCTGGTCTTATCTACCTTTCCCAGTATTATTTTACATTTACCGATTTGAATCCATGGAAGGAAGACCAGCGCCCTTCATATCTCGTAATAGGGTATAAAAACCCGAAAGAGAAAGCCCAGAAAGAGCCCAGGAAACCAACACCACTACTCCAGATAACAACATAACAAGACCAAAGCCAGGAGGCCTCTTTTCAAGCCCTGTTATTCAAAACGTACCTCCCCAACTCAGCAAAATCAATCGTATCCTCGCCCGTCGGCGTCCAGTCCAGATTACTGTATAAAGACTGATAGTGATTATAGGTACTCTCGATGGACGGACTCGTAGTAAGCATCTCATTGTTGTTCTCGTTGTTGCTATTGATATGGGCGTATGCTCCTCCTGCGTCGGTATTCTGCGGAAGCCAGAAATGGGAGATACTGTTCCAAAAGTCTGCGTCGACGATACCTTGCTGGTCTTGCCTGTAGGTGGCTAAGTCTGTATGTCTTTGTGCTTGGTGTTGACGATCTTTATCTCGATCCCCTATGACGCAAGTCGGTTGATCACCCTGCTGTTCCACAGTCAGGGAACCGGAACTAGGATCTTGTGACGTTGACGAAGGCCCGGATGATGAAGCCGATGAGATGGCGGACTCAGACATTGGTTGATGATGATGGTGAACAGGTAAATGAGACCAGACAGCTTCGATTTCCTTGAGTCGTTCAATGGCGAAGTGGTTGCCGTGGTCGGCAAGGTATTGGAGAACTTCTAGAGCGTCGTTGAGGCCGGGGGAGGGGTTGATCTTTTGGGTTTCTTCTGCGCATGCGGAATCGAATATTGCAGTTAGGATCATGATGAAGGCGGTTGAGAATGTTGCATCGAAGTCGAAGAAACCGAATATTGCTATATTATAGTCATGGAGGTTAGAATTGCATCAACGTGGTGAATAGGTATCTGGACATACCGAGAAAATCTTCTCTTCTTAGCACGATAACTACTTCTAGTAGTCTCCTTGCTGCTTCTGCGCAGGTGCGGGACAGTCTTCCCAGGGATGAGTTGATGAGGTCTGCGTAGTTCTGGTTGTCTCTGCTCAGGATGAGTCGGGCGACGTGCAGCAGAATCGGGCGGATGGTGAGGAGGATGGCCTAGTTTATTCAGTGTGGCGTGAGTTAGGTTAGTGTCTCTGGGGATGTATTATGGGATCCATACCTGATAGAGCATAATGTGGAGATAAGCTGAAGTTCTCAGGGACAGACTCGGTGTTAGGCTAGGCATGTTTCTAGTCAAATCTGATGGTATCTCTGCAGATATTTCGTGGAGTGATTTGACGATAGCTTGGACGGTGGGCACGAATGCTTCCTCTGGTTGAAGATCTCGCCCGTATAGAGCTGCAGACACCGATTTAGCTGGACGGATCGGACTGACGACAGGGGCAGGGGCACTATACTTTTGATAATCCGGCCTGTCACCCGTGCTATCCGGATATTGACACAGATAGGTGCGGCGGGTGAGAAGCCAAGTGCATCTGATGGCATGTCCAGTTCAATCGCTTCGTCGTTGATACTGGAAGGGTTTCCTGTAGCTGCAGCAAGACGTCTATACCATCGTGGGCTTCGTCAAAGATGCAATCTGGATTCGTTGTATAGCAACACTCACTTCTCTTGCATGTAGATTGTCCACCACAGACGATTAAGATGCACTCTCTCGGATCGCAAGAGATGTTTCACCCTAGAATAGCGATGGAAGCCGCGTGCCACTGCGATTCGCAGAGCTGTACTAATCTGGAAAAACACCAATATTAATAACGATCGCTAATGTGGGACCTGGTACAGCTCACGTAGATATGCGCCTCCTCCTTCCGGCCTGCGTTCTGGAGATACACGGCAGTCAAACCAAGAACCTCAACACCGGTCCTTCCATATGAGTACAGTTCGCTCAAGCTTGGGATTAGCTTCTCGGCGTACTCGAAGAGCGCGGAGCCAGGTAGTCCAGCATCGTCAAAGTCACCGCTGAAAAGCTTCCCGATAGAAAACACGAGTATCATCTGCAGATACCAAAGGCTGCTCACTTGGGAAGGGTCCCTCCTCCCGGCGTAGAAGATGCCCAGATGATCGGAGAAATCGCGCACGTCAAAATGGTGTTGAGTCTGGCCAATGAAAAAGTTGACCACGCTCAGCAGTTGATATGCCTTCTCCTCGCTGGGAAGTTCGAGGTCCCCCGGGCCACTATATTGGGGCACATTCCAGGGAGCAACAGACTCACGACGAACCCCGGCCATACCTGCCGATACGGATGAGGGGGGTGTTCTATCGTTAGTGGAAGGCCCTGGGTTGCCCAGTAGATCCTGCACTCGAGAACCGAAGGTATGGCTGGAGCTCAGGGATGCATCCGCCGCGATGACTTGCAGGCAATATCAGCAACCAAAAGTCGGGGTTAATATGGCCGATTCCCACGTACCGGATTGTGGTGAAGATGAAACAGCTGCTTGAAGAGACTGACCAGATGACATCGACGCTTCATCCCCCGCAGGCTGGGCCATGAAACCGCGGTCAATAGGCTGCGAAGTGCCCGCCGACGTGCCCGGTGTCTCTGGGAATCCCGCCAGACTCGGTACATGAGACGGTTGAATCAATCCGGAGACGGATTGATGGCAGGTGTGCTTCTCATTTTCTAGTAAACGTTTATTTGTTTAGCCGTTTTTCACGCCATTGATGTGGAGTGAAGAGATAGGAAGCCAACGCAGCCCTACCGGCCTTCTCATACTGCGCCAAACGACTCTCTAGCTCTGCGATGCGCCTGCAGCTCGAGAGGATTAGCTGAAGCAACAGGAATAGGCGAATGGAACGGGGTATGGCCCCTACGCGACATACGTAGCAGAATAGACCCTTCTCAGGCCCGCATCAGGGATCCTGCAGTCGAGCCCCCTCTTGCTGCAGTACTCACAAGGGGTCGTGCCAGAGCATTTGACTTTTTTCTTTCGACAGGTCAGACAACTGCAGGTGCGTTAGATTGCCTCTGTGGCTACGTGCCGCTGCGTGTAGCCGCGTGTAGCTGTACTGGAGTTGCAGCAAAGCGGGAGAGAGGCTTACGCAGAAACTGCCTTCTTCCCGTGGAATTCTCTGCTCGCAGGCATGGACCAGCAGTGTCTGAGCGCGATGACAGAGCTGAAATTGTCGCAGGGCGTGCTGCTGTGCGTCGTTTGGAATGCAGAGCAGACGATGGTGGTGGAAGATAAGAATGCGCATCGTCCCACGTAGACAGATAAGTCGATATCATCAATAGTTAAGCGCGGAGTAATAACCTCACGCCGGTTAACTCTATCTACTGTACGTTCTCATCAAGAATACCATGCTTTCAATACTGACATCAGGTCCTCAACATCAGCACTCAGTGCGTCTATCTCCTCGCTCTCTGCTTCGTCTGTCGCTGTCCCGTACCCTCCGCCGCCGGGCGTGCAGACGCGCATCCTGTCCCCGGCCTTCGCGTAGAAGCTGGCCTTCCCACTCACATTGACCACGCGTCCGTCCTCGCGGCGCAGCCAAAGATTCTGCCCGGGCGCGGCTGGCTCTCCTCCTGCCATGCCGTACGGCCGGAATGTGCGCCGTTCCGAAAGGATGCCGACGTGCATGTCGATCAGGAACTCCACCTCGCGGACAACGCCGTTACCACCCCTGTACCTCCCACGGCCGCCGCTTCCTGGTCGAAGTGCGAATTTCCGCAGGATGATGGGGTAGCGTCGCTCGAGGATCTCCGGATCCGTGATGCGCGTGTTGGTCATGTGGCAGTGGACGCCCTCTTCTCCCTGCCAGGTTGGTCCTGCACCGCTGCCGCCCGCGATGGTCTCGTAGTATCCAAAGCCAGGGTGGTCGGGGGTCTGCGGGAGCCCAAATGTGAAATTGGCCATGCATCCGTTGCTTGCGGCGCAGATTTGCAGCGCCTTTAGGATGACGTCGACCAGTCGCTGTGTCGTCAGGCCGTTTCCTGCGGCGACTGCAGCGCCCAGGGAAGGGCTGAGGAGACTGTTCTCGGGAATAATGATGTTGATGGGCAAAATGCAGCCCTGGTTCAGCGGGATATCGGCGTTGACAAGACACCGCAGCGTGTAAATGATTGCTGCGTTGCTAACTGCTATCGGCGCGTTCCAATTGCCTGGAGGATCATGAGTGAGGACTCTATATTGAATGGGCCAGAGGCGAGCGTACCGTGAGCCTGGGGACTGGTGCCCCTGAAGTCGAAGTCTGCTGCCCCTGTCTCTGGATCTATGGTTATTTTGAGCTTGATCCTCGTTCCATCGTCCATGTAATCCTCTGCCTGGAATACATGGCGGCCTTTTTCGCGGCAGAGGCACTTCAATGTCTCTCTGACTGCACTTTCAGCGGCCCGTTGGACTGCTTCCATATAGAGCTGTGGCATTTATGCGTCAGTCTTTCGAAAACAAATGCCCGTTGAGGGATTAACTCACCATTACCGTCTCAAGAGTGTACTCTTTGATGAGCTTAGAAACCAGGATAGATCCTTTATTATTCGCCGCCGCCTGTGCCTTGATATCTGTTAGGTTGTCCTGGTACGTACGAGTCCCCTGGCAGCCTGGGAAGCGCGCAGGGTCTTCGACCATAACCTTCCGCACACGTTCCTCTTGGAAAACGCCGTCTTCAATGACCTTGATGGCCTCAATCACCGCTCCCTCCTCCCACAATTCCTTGGAAGTTGCTGGCATCGACCCCGGCACGATGCCACCAATGTCAGCATGGTGCCCTCGCGATGCAGTCCAGAAGAGCAGTTTTTCCCCCTTCTCGTCGAATATGGGCGTGATGACAGTCAAGTCAGGCAGATGGGTCCCTCCCGCTGAAGGTGAGTTTGACAAGAAGACATCTCCCTTCCTGATATTACCTTTCCAGTAGTCGATCTGCCCCTTCACGGAAAAGGCCATGCTTCCGAGCATAGCAGGCACGTGCGGCGCATTGGCGACGAGCCCTCCATCGGCGGAGAAGATGGCACAGCTAAAATCTAGACGCTCTTTGATGTTCGTGCTGACGGATGTCTTTTGCAAGGCCCGTCCCATCTGCTCGGCGATGCCCATGAAGCGGTTGGCGAAGACGGACAGCTGGATAGGGTCCTCTGTGGCAGAGGCCGGTGTTGCAAGTTTGGCATTCACATCGATGACAAGCATTGAAGAGAGCGTTGTTGCGGTGCATTTTGGAGAGATGATTATCGTCTGCGTATTATCGATGACCGCAGCAGGGCCAGTGATGGTGTCTCCAGGCGTGAGGTCCTTGAGGTGGAAGAGAGGTACATTAACCATTCCACCACCATTGAAGAACATCAGTGTTGTCTCTCTCGATCTGGCAGGGTTCCGTTCCTTGAGATGGTCCAATTCTTGCAGGCCGACTTTATCCTCAGTAGAGGCCTTGGCCGTTGTACGGACCCGGATATCATCGATCAATATTCTTCTCCCTGTGGGAGTAAATCCGAATTCCCGGTAATGCTCACGGACAAAGGCCTCTTCAAAGTCCAAGCCGTCGTCAGGTTTCTCGATCATTAATGACGTGTCGCTCCCTTCGTATCGCAGATTTAGGTAGTAGCTCGAACTGGTATACTTGCACGTTGCATCCATCTGCTGGATAGACTTGACCGTCCTCAGTCGAAGCTCATCAAACACTGTCTGTACATGAGGCAAGACTTCAGTGGACAAAACGTCAGTGTAGGGCAGTCTCTCCTCTTGGATTGTGTCTGCCAGTGCCATCCCGTACGCTGAGAGTACCGAAGAATACTTGTGCACGACCACTCGTTCGATCCGGAGTGCCTGGGCGATATCACAGGCATGCTGGCCGCCAGCACCGCCAAATGCAGCCAGAATGTGATCAGACATCTGGTGTCCTCTGGCTTCTGTGAGCGCCCGAATTGGCCGACACATAGCCTCGTTCGCAACGGCGATGAAGCCATCAGCGACTTCATACGGTGACAGCTGCGTTCCCTGATCTTTGTTGATCTCATCTGCCAAAGCCGAGATCTTCCGGAAAGAAGCGTCGAAATCAAGCGGTTGATCCTGGGTCTCGCCAAAGATTGATGGGAAGTATTTCGGGACGATACGCCCGAGTACAAGATTTGCGTCTGTCACCGTTGCTGGGCCTCCTTTGCGGTAGCACGCTGGACCTGGGTGAGAACCGGCACTCTCAGGTCCAACAGCTAGAATTCCCTTGCGCCAGGCCAAGATACTCCCACCCCCAGCCGCCACGGTGTTGATATCAAGCTGAGGAGCCTGCACAAGCACTCCCGCAGTCATGGCCTCGAAGGTCAGCTCAGGGGATCCCGCATACCGTGAAACATCTGTTGAAGTTCCTCCCATGTCAAATCCGACCACTGGAACGGGGTTTTCTGGCATATATGATGTCCTTGCGTAGCCGATGACTCCTCCTGCCGGCCCAGAAAGCAGCGCGCGGAGACCAGACAGCTTCGAGGGATGAACCAGTCCTCCATCAGACTGCATAAGACGCCAGTTAACAGTCTCGAGGCTCTTTCGGTCCACCCCTGCTTTGAAGCCTTCAAGGTATGCCTGTATAGCCGGGGTCAGATATGCGTCCGTCACAGCAGAGTTTGCGCGCGAGAGCATTCTGATAGCCGGGGAAAGTTCACTCGAGAGCGAAACCTGCGTGAAGCCAACCTGTTTCGCTGCCTGTGCAATGGCCTGTTCATGGTCGGGAAAGGTATAGGAGTGAATGAGACAGATGGCAATACTACGAAAGCCCTCGTTGTAGGTCTCCTCCAACGCCTTCCTCGTGGCCTCCATGTCAAGCCCCTCTACGATCCGTACCCGCTCGCCGGAAACCCCGTCTACCACACGGCCAGCACGGCCTGTGTGTTTGTTCGATACTCCATTCATATCTGCCTGTTCATGAAATGCCTCTCCTTTCCCGTAGGAGGAAGAATCATGCAGTGTGACACGCTCGGGGACATCAACCACTTTGCTATACAGAGGTAGTGGTCGCTGGACGTTGAGTGCGAACATTTGAGGCCTGGATTGGTTTCCAATCTTGAGTAGATCCTGCAATGCCTATTAGCGATCATAGCATGGTGCAAGAAAGGAAGCAGTCCTTACTCTGAAGCCTCGTGTGATGAACAGCGCCGTCTTAGCACCCTGTCGCTCGAGTAATGTATTCGTGGCCACGGTCGTTCCCATCCGCAGAGACTCTAGTATCAGTCAATCCATGATCTCTCCAGTATTGGATAGACTTGATATCATTCATTGATGCACCGTACCAACTCTGCTCAGGTCAAGCGGAGTCCCCCTCGGAATACTCCTTCCATGAACCTCCTCCAGGATTCGCCTGAGTGCTTCGATGGGCGCATCATCGTAGTTCTCGGGATCTTTAGAAAGCAACTTAAAGATCTTCTCAGTTCCATCGGGATAAAACACGACGACATCGGTAAAGGTGCCGCCACGATCTTTTCATAAACCGGGTTATACCACCATCAGTGACATGGCCTGTAGTTAGAGAGAGAGAGAGAGAGAGGGCAGAACATGCACGCACCTATAGCGACCTTGATGGATCCCGATAATTCGCATTGTATAGAACCCATCCTTATCTGTTTATGGGATTTGCTATTATGGTGATCTTGGCTGGTTGAGACCTTGGGAAGGTAATGTGTAACTATATCCATGGATCCCCCCACGATGCCCTTGTTTATATAGTCTATCGCATCCTCGGAGATGCCCTGCAGACCACATCCTTTCCCATCCGACGAGGAGGGGCCCAATGCGCGTCATCCAGTCGATTGTTCGCATCAACTTCCACTTTCCCCTCGGGTTCAGAGTCTCGGTGGTGGACGCCGACAGCTGGACTTATCTCGTCTCGGAGGGTCTGCCGAGATACTTCATGCTCGTGTCTACACTGTGCAGAGTGCCACTTTTACCATTATCTTACTTTGTTGTCGTGTTTATGTATTGAGAATTGTGCATTATTTCTATTTCCACGCGGATGTGCAATAGAGCTGTCAGTGAAACAGGAAAGCAACTCCAGTACCTAACGTGAGGTACGATGCCTCTATAGACACCCTTCGCCGACTGGAGAAGCCCATTGAACCATGGGTGTGTTGTAGCAAGCCGCTTATATTCAGCGTCACGATCAAGAGGGTCGTTGCGTATCGCCTTAAACAGTACCCCCAGCACAACAGACGTGTATGCGTGTATGGTCCGAAGAGGCCAAGTTCAAAGCGTTGGCCTCTTCGGACCAGCGACTCCCAGCAGTCCTCATTAACTTCTGGCATAAATCGCACTATTCCAATGCGGACGATGGGTGTCAACATTCGTGGTTTGGAAAGACTTCCAAGTATACATCTCTCTCAACAACAACCCCGTCAAGGTTGTCGCTGAATATCCACAGTAAGACACACAGTGAGACCAAGGGGACAATCGTGCTTGGAGAGTCGATGGTTCCAGTGATATTAACTCGTCGTCAACCTAAGAAATACATTAATGGATAGTCTACTTCAAGAAAACAGTGTGACAAAAGGACGGGATATCCTACCAAGGTATTCTGCACAGTCAGATAGCTATGATTGATTACAAAGGGCCCGTATCAAACTCCTCAATAACAACCTGATCCGTGAACTCTGCATGAAGCTTGTAGTCACCTGCAGAGGAGACTCTACCGTCGTTATCTTCCTCGGGATCTCCTAGGGCACATTCACGGTTCAGCCTGGCCATGGCCTTGCACCAAGCAGAGGCGGATGAAAAAGGCCTTTTTGCAACAAGAATCAAGTCCGCTGTTGACTGTAGCTTTGTGTTTGGCGTAGGCTGTACCTACAGGGTCGATACGAAGTGCGATGAAAAAGTTGTCCATGGAATCCTCCCGTAGGGATCCTACTCCGTCGAACTTCAATGACGCCGAAACTGTTAAATCTTACCCACAAGGATGCACGGTATATTATTTGAGACAGAATGAATATCAAACTGGCCCTCCTAATTGCAGAATAACATCCGTCAATTGTACGTGTACTTTCTTTGCCAATGTGCCAACTTTCCAGCACTAGAAAAGTATACTGGGAAGCCATTCCATCAGGACATATGTCGCATTGACCTCATTCTGGGAGTCTGATTGGCGTTGGTATCCAACACTTCGGGGACAGAGATGCTGCGGTGTTTCTTCAAATTCTTCAACGTGGCAGCACAGGAGGCGGATGTTTCCGGCTGAAAATAGGCGTGTGCAAGCGGAATCCGTGCCATCCAGACAACATTGTCCGAGAAGGTCAGTTCATATACGACGTTAAAGTCTGTAGGAAATTTAGTAATTCATCTTCTACTATTCGGGCGGCTGCATACCTGCTGCGTGTGACGGCCCAAGCGACATGGGATCCCACCTCGACGGTCAGCAGCAACTGCGCAGAGCTGGTCGAACTGGATGGCGCTGATGAAGACGTCGAATTTGGTGTGTGTTTCTGGTCCATAAAGAATCAATAAACGCGTCTTAAGTTTGAATAAAATAAACAGGATCCAGGGAGAACCACACGTGACTTCCCAGCTTTGCAGTTCTGCAGATGCAGACAAAAGAACCATCCCAACCCAATTACAACTACAACTACTTATTCCATCGACTTTCATCTAATGGCTCCTTCCACATCCCGCGAGGTCGGTACTGGAGTGTTTGCTGCCATTATAGCCTTCTTGATCACTGTCTGACAGTGGTCAGCATCATCATTGGCGCTGAATGGTGCCATGCTCATGCTCACCAACAATCCTTGGCGTGATGACTTCTTAACGATAGCTGAGGTAGTTGCTCTCACACCGTTCTCTTGCCTGTATTGATCTAGCTTGGATAGATGTATTGCTCCTGGACAACAAAGAGGGCAGCCGGACGTCCAGAGTCAGCATATTTACGTGTTAGGATCTGGCTATCTCGTCTCTGATAGATGGCATCAAGCAATTGGGCCTCTGCCTGGTCCTGGCGTACGGATTGATGTCGCTTAGCGTTGATCCTCCGTTCTTAATCCCGAAGATCAGAACTGAGCTCGCCGGTATGGTCCGTCACGCAAGAGTTCTGCCTTCTTGATGGTAAGTGGACAAGTGACTTTCTCCCCTATTCGTAGATTAACGACTATCTAGTATCATGACCATGTCACTACTCTTTATTGACTTAAATTTCATCTCCTGGCTGCAGACCGTCGGAGGACCGATGCAGATCCCAATGAGCCTTTCGAGTTTCTGGGTTACAAAGCTCGGGGAAAGCGGCAAAGGCCAAGATCGACTTCACACATGGAGATCAAGTTCCAGACACGCAATAGAACATGAGCTGCCGATGTCTCCCACTGCTCAGAGTAACAGCCTAAGTGTTCATGCGCTCGGCTATTGCTCCACTTGTTGTCGTGAAGAAATATGCCGTCTGCCCCTTAAATGGATCATGTTATCTGGGCCCGGCATGGCATCATAACATAACACTGCACTTATCGCCGCTGTCCGATATGAACTGCATGGCCAAGAAGTCACCATGCTTTCATACGTTGCTTTGACTGTGGGTGTATACTACAATGTCTTATAGAGAGACGGGTCCAAGTAACCCAAGACTCGACCTCTTGCCGATCCGTTTCCAATGGTCGTCTGAGCCGCGAACCTGGGCAATATTCAGTATCCGTGAGTGGATGATTACTACTACCTAGGTATCTGATGGGAACGTCAACAACAACATGGCTACACCATCGAGAGTCTTCCACGCGCCGTTTTTGAAAGTTATGATGATAATTTTCGAGTTCCTAAAGGTTTCGGGTAGTGGTATTACTGAAGCATTTACGGCAATTGTTGCACCATACCCTGATTATTGGTTAGTAGACATGCTAAGGCGGTGCGAGAGACTGACTCCCGTTCTCTACTTCCAAAGTGCCCCTCTTTATACAAGATGGCGTTGTGATCAGTGCCGATATCATGACTTTCTCATATCCATCTACCCCCAAGGATTTTATCAATCAGAGCCCATGGCGCTTATGCAGCAGTCTCTTACTGCCAGCGCAACGGATATTGCGGACAGGGTAAGGCTTGATATCACTGCCCTGTCCTTGCAGATACCACGCAGATGGACGCCAAGAGGCTCCGCTCCATCTACTTGCTATGTACCTGCTGATTATGACTCAAGTTTCCGTCTTGGCCATGCTGGACTCCATCTGAGGATGTCTCTTGGCACCTACCATCAAGCATGAGACCCCGTTTTGACGAGCGAAGCCGCCGGACAGCGTCTGAGAGCCGTCCTGGGATTGTCTTGGACTCTCTTGTATACAACACAAGAATCTTCAGCAAGTGGGCCGTCCGTCGGCTTTTTCCAGCAGCGGAGCTGCCAAGGATCGGAATGATCGATAACCGTCTTGGAAATTTTCTTAGTATACAACTCAAGGCCGTTGAGCAGGAGGTTGCATCGCCCCTTTTGCAGGAGAGGAGTTTCCACGGATCGGAGAGCGCCTGATGACCGTCTTGGTATTCTTGTGGGATGCAAATTGATGCTTGTTGATCTGATACTTGCCAGTCTAGAGAAAGATATAAATACATAGCTCTTTCCCTGGTGTAGCAGTCCTGCATCATTCAGCAGAGCTTCACGACAAAGCAAAGCCCTTCTTCCTTTCTTCATTACTGCCAGCACTTGCCTGCTTCCGAAATCATCACGATGTACCTTCAATTGGCGCTCGCCCCTCTTCTCGCGGCGGCTGTTGCTAATGCCGCTGAGATTCTCTCTACTTCCTCCAACGCCCAAGTCGTTCCCAACGGCTACATTGTCGTTCTCAATGATGATGTGAACGCAGAGGCCTTCGACAGCCACCAGGCGTGGGTTACGAACGTCCACCGCCGCCAGCTTGCGAAGCGTGGCGGTGCCCTTAACGGCATCCAGCACACCTACAACTTCACCACCGGCTTCAAGGGATATGCTGGTGCCTTCCACGAGGCCACCATCAACGAGATTGCCGCCCGTGATGATGTATAGAGGATTCCCAGCTACCTAGGATTCAATATAGAATTTATTGAATGGCCTGCTAATCTTTGGGATTAGGTCAAGTACATCGAGCCTGACACCATTGTCAAGGCTTCGGGTATCGTCACCCAGTCTGACGCCCCCTGGGGTCTCGCCCGTGTCAGCTCGAAGAAGCCTGGCGCCACCGATTATTTCTATGACTCTTCCGCTGGAGAGGGTGTCACTGCCTATGTTGTCGACACTGGTATCGATATCAGCCACCCTGAGTTCGAGGGCCGTGCCACCTGGGGTACCAATACCGCCGACTCCAACGATGTGGACTGCGGTAATCATGGAACTCACGTCTCTGGCACCATTGCTGGTAAGACGTACGGTATCGCCAAGAACGCCAACTTGGTCGCTGTCAAGGTCCTTGGCTGCGACGGCTCTGGCAGCAACTCCGGTGTTATCAAGGGTATGGAATGGGCCGTCAACGACGCCAGCAGGAAGGGTATTACCAGGAAGTCTGTGATGAACATGAGCTTGGGTGGTGGCAAGTCTCAATCCTCGAACGATGCCGCGGCCAATGTTGTCAGCTCTGGAATCTTCCTTGCTGTTGCCGCTGGTAATGATGGCGTAAGTGCAACTATGGTGTGAGCCTTGACGGAAGATATAAAACTGACCCCCTTTGCAGCAAGATGCCAGAAACTCTTCCCCTGCCTCTGAGCCGTCCGTCTGCACCGTTGGTGCCTCCGACAGCAATGATCGCATTGCCTCATTCTCCAATTATGGCTCTATCGGTAAGTAGCTGAAAAACTTTTATTCCCCTTGTTCCTGGCTAACATCCCATGATTCACAAAACAGTTGACGTTTTCGGACCCGGTGTTGGCATCCTCTCCTCCATCCCCGGCGGTGGCACTGAGCAGATGTCCGGTACTTCCATGGCTACTCCTCATGTCACTGGTCTTGGTGCCTACTTCATTGGTCTCGGAAAGGGCTCTGGCGGCAATATCTGTAACTACATCGTCTCCGCTGCTCTCAACGCTGTGACTGGTGCCCCTTACAGCACCACCACTAAGCTGATCAACAACGGTGTCAACGGCAACGGTTACTTCCACTCTCTCCCCTACCCCCAGTAGAGGAGTATAGTCGATGGTCAATGGCCATAGCCGTTTTCTAGGCTTCAACTCTTCCCACTCTTGTTCACTTCTTCGACATTTCATTGTCAAATTTGACCCGGGCTTTTATTCTTTTCTTGTTTATTGATAGTTTGTACCTAGATATGTTGCATTACTATATATATACATGTTCAGATTATATTCATTATATTCCTTGCGTAAGTTCGGTCCATGACAAGGGTTGGTTTTTGGCTTAGGGCTGTATTTTCTTCAACAATATATATAGTTCCTGGGATAAAATATCATGTTTGTAGTCGGGGGATTCTTACTTCTTGCATGGTTCGAGACTTAGGTAGCTTATAAATAGTTCATCTCCAATGGGTGATTGATTGGAACACAAGGAAATATTAAATCCCCGGATTCGTGGTGATGCTCCTTGCTCATTATATTAGCGATCTTGGGGATCTCCCATGCTATGTGCTGTGTGTATATGTATATACCCAGTTGTCCTGGTATACGGAGTAATGATGCATGGCCAGACAGGATCTTGTCCATATACAGAGCAGTAAAGGGAATGGGTGTTAACGACAGTCAGATTCAAAAGATTGACTTGAATAGTTCTCACTATCCAAGAAATATATATATATATATAACATATGAATAAAAGAGAAAATCAAACGATAAGGATCAAAAACTAACTCCAACCCTCCATACCCATGCATACATATGACAATCGATATCCATGTTGAAAAGGATTCAAGCTTTTTCTTCCTTCCTCTCCTGGTCCCGGTCCTGCTAAGGAAGTTAATTCCTCTGTTTACCCCCCCAACTCCGTCATTATTCTGCGATGTTGAATATCATGTCTCATTAAGCCTTCTTTAGTGAAAAAAAAAGAACTCTTATGTTTTTTTTTTTCTCTTAAACCTCTTTTCTTTCTATTTGGAGACTCTTTTTTTTTGTTCTCCCTCGGGCCTCTATATCTGGCATGATGATGTTGAATTTGGCACTTTTCTTCTCCAGTTGAATGCAATAAAAAGAAAAGAGATAAGAAGAGGTGGTGAAAATGTTGAATAATGCAATAGCAGGGGTATATACCGGCTGAAAAAAAGAAAGCCTGGAAAAGCGGATAATAATAATATGTTCGGATGCGGAAGTCAAGAAAAAAAAAAAAAAAAACACGTTTAGATAAGAAACTCGTTGAGAGTTCGTCAATCGTGCCGCCGTAAAAGGTTGAAAGGTTGAAAGAAAATCTGGTTCGTCAATCGGCATTCGTTGAGGTGATGTTGAATTATGAGAGTGGAATTTTTATGCTTCTGAAGGCTGAAATTTTTGAAGGTCGAAAATTTCGAAAGGGAAAAAGGCGAGCATGTATCCTAATTGCTCGTAGAAGCTGCTGCTGCTGCTAATGCTCCGTTCGCTTCGGGGACTCCGTTTGCGGTGGCTGGAACCTCAGCTTGAAGGTCCTTAACGGTCAAATCCTTGAAAAGATCGAAGATGTCAAGTGTCCAGTGGAAGTCGTTGTGAACTGGATAATGGTTAGAAAAGGGGAAACAGTGTTATTCAGACAGACTTACCAATGTTAACAAGGTACCACTCGTCCATGACGTTTTGAATCAATTTTCTGCTGGGACTGTTTGCGTCATGGCATTTGGCCCAATCTTCACCAAGACGATAGGCCTCGTCTTTCCAGGCCAGGAAACTGACGGTGTCGACGATCGTGGGTTGAATGATCTCCCGTCCTGGAAAAATACCCCAGGTCAGTGCATTAGGGCTGTCACGCGTGTTAGTTTTCAGTTGACCGCTCTTATTGACACTGTGATATGTGAAGTCTGGATTCTTCTCAATGCGCGAAATGAGCTCGTCAATCAAATTTGGAGGTACCAGAAGCTCCAGGTAGGCTTTCTGGTATACAAATCCATTATTCGGCCCCCATCCATACACGGGATGCGAGGATTTCGCGCCGTTGACCGCAGGTTGGGAGTTGACAGTGAGGAAACCCCTTTTGTTCAAGTCAATCAGATTGTCCTTGATGGCATTCGATTCTGCCGTGATCGGAGCGTCACTCCAAGGAAGACGATCCAGCTTGCCCTCGATGAAGCGAATGAGAAGCTCAGATAGATCTTGAATCGACTTAGGCTGGCCCCAGAGCTTGATGTTCTGTTCATTTGTACCCTTTAAGCCAACCCCATAAGCGTCCAGTTCACCAAAGGCAGGCGATCGGGAATCGGTCCAGCGGCCGTTGGGATACTCATCCCATGTCTGAGTGCGGGCAATGTAAGAAGTCTTCCTATTCCTCCAGAAAATTGGGCGAACATCCTCTCCTCTCCTCTTCAGTCCAAGAGAAGGTCTCCATGGCAGGGGTCTTGGTAGAGGTGTTTCTTCTGATGGGATGAGGTTCAGCTCCTCGAGAACCAGCCGCGTAGCCTGTGCAAGGTTCATCGTGTAACTGGTAGCAAATCATCAGTACTTTTCTGGCACTCACTTTGAGGTAGAAAGGGCGCCTTACAAATGCAAGTGGTAGATACCAGCCTGGAAAAGCTTCCTACACATATCAGCGATGAGATGTTTTCCGATGTCCCTTACAGCAGCATCATCGTTCTTGACGGGCTCGAGAGCCGCTAGCCACCCTTCAGGGATACGGATCTTGGTGTAGTTCGAGCGTCTGATGAAAGCAGCATATGTCTGGATTGGCATGATTCCAGGGAGAATGGGAACCTTGATCCCCTTTTCTCGGACCTTCTTCATCCAACTGATGAAGTTATCTGCGTCATAGAACATCTGGGTAATGATGAAAGAACTTCCAGCATCCACCTTTTCCTTCAAGTGGTCGATCAATAGATCGATATCGAGATTGTCATCGGTACCTTCGGGATACCCCCCAACACCGATATCAAAATGGTCGCCATATTTCTCCCGAATATACTTGACCAGGTCCTTGGCATAGCGGAATCCACCCTCAGTAATCTCCCACGATTCTTTCTCACGAGGAGGATCGCCTCGAAGGGCTAGGATATTGGTGCAGCCAGCTTTGTAGGCGGCATCCAAAGCAGCATCGACTTTCTCGCGAGGCATGTCGGTGCATGTCAGGTGCATGCAAGTCTCCAAGCCGTACACTGATTGAGCGACATTGACCATCTCACAGGTCAAATCAGACAGTCGTCCTCCAGCGCCCCAGGTAATGTCGATAAAGGACGGGCCTAATCCATGCATGCGGTCCATTCTGTCGTAGAGATTCTGCACACCCTGCGCTGTCTTAGGAGGGAAAAATTCGAAGGAGATCCCTGGCTTTCCAGAGGCCTCCTCTTGGGCGAGCTTGTCTTTGACGTGCATTTTGGACTAGTCTGAATGATTGCTTATCAATTGTCAGCTTGTTTTGAATACAGGGGATATATATTTCTGACAGTGCTCAGCAACAGACTATAAATAACAGTACTTACCCGTACTTCAAATAAAAAGGTAATTACTGTCTTCCAAAGAGCCTCTCCGGAATCCTCCTCCTCTTTCTTTGACCTGGGCGGGCTGCTCCGTCTCTGCTAGTACCCCTGAATTCGGTCAAACACTGAACGCAATGGAAGGAAGAGCCCTCCTACAGATAGAAGGATGGAAAAGGAGTAGACAAAGAAAGCTGTATTGCAGACTAAATCAAGCAGGAATGAAAGATGGGGACGATTCTGGAGTCGGGGAAAGAGAATATTCTGCAGGGAGGCCGGATTCGGAGCCAGCTGTCTGTAATGGATAGGCGCATGTATGGTCGTATTACTAGGTAGGCCTGCCTGTGCCGTGAGATAGGTAGCGAGGGCGGTCTAGGACGGCAGAACCTCACGTGTACTAACACCCCCCACGCACGAGCAGCCTACAAACTATGGAATCAATCTAAATACAGAAATCGGCCTCTATTCGGGCCTTCAAATGAGTGAATATATGCAAAAATAAACAGAGGAATGAAGGTTCTGCTTTAGCCAATCGAATGCCGTATATCAAAATAGAAAATATATCCAAAATGGGGGAGATATACGCGGCTTAGCTTATGCCAGTGAGTTGTAGGAAATGATCAAATTGTTCAGTTCGGAGAGGTTTGGTCAGGCCGTCTGCTGCTTGTTCTTTGGTAGGGCAGGCCTGGAGTTTAACAATACCGTCTTGGATCTTCTCCCGAACGTAATGGTAACGTATATCGATGTGTTTGGATCTCTTGGTGGTGAGCTCAGCTTCAGCCATGGCGTGTGCACCTTGATTATCGATATGGAGAGTAATTGGCGGGCATTCAGTAGGGAGCACGTTGAGCTCGTGGATGAGGTTCCGGAGCCAAAGGGCATCTCGGCTGGCTTCACTTAGAGCCATATACTCAGCTTCGTTGGAGCTAAGTGCAACGGACGTTTGCTTGCGGCTTTTCCAGGCAATTGGGGCCCCGGCAAGCAGAAATATATATCCAGATACTGACCGGCGATTGCCTGTCAGTTGACCACCCCAATCAGAATCAGTATAACATCTGGGCATGAGGAGGTCAGATGTAATGGGTTCCGTGGCCTTATGGTAGGTAATTTGTCGGTTAATGGAGCCTTTAAGGTAGCGTATAGCGTGTATAAGGGCACGCCATGCCTTTTGGGTAGGTTTGGCGTGATATTGGGATAGTACGCCAACTGTCCGGCTAAGATCAGGTCGGGTTTTGGTGGCTAGCCAAGTAAGGCAGCCTACACCACGTTGATATTCTTTGATGTTCACTGTAGGGTCTGGGTCATCATCAATTATTAAACTAGGATCCATGGGGATCCCAACAGGGTGTGCTTGTGCTTGGCCAAAAGAGGCAACCACGTCTTCAGCATAATTGGCCTGGGAGAGAGTATATGTGGTCTTGGATTGAGAGGTGGCCATGCCAAGGTATTTGGTAGAGTTTCCAACTTCTTTTATGTCAAATTTAGCAGAAAGAGACTCCATAAACCAAGTGGCATCGTTCTCATGCTTAGCATAGACTTTGAAGTCATCCACATGGGTAGTCACATAGAGTTGGGTCCGGGTGGTATGGATCCAGAGACCAGAGTCGTATTCGGAGCTTTTGAAGCCAATTTGTCGTAAGAAAGCATTTAGTGTATCATACCAGATACGGGCAGATGGGATCAGTCCATAGAGGGACTGGCGGAGTTCACAAACCAGGTCTCCAGAGCCTTCTTTGAATCCCTGAACTTGGGTCATAAAGACACGTTTATCTGTGGGCATTTTTCCATTTAGGAAAGCAAGGATGGCATCTGCCTTTCGAGTATGCCAGCCAAGTAGAGTGGCCAGTGCCGTAAGGGTTCTAGTGGTATTTTCATCTACCACTGGGGCGTATGATTCCATGAAGTCCTTGTCAAGTAGATTTCCACGGATCACCCAGCGAGCTTTAGCTTGGTAGTCCCTTGTAATAGGGGTACCAGGGATTTCTTTCTTTTTGTATACCCACCGGCCAGGGATGACCTTGGTCCCTGGTGGTAGGTCAGAGCGGCGGATAAGTTGCCAGCAGCCTTTTTCTTTGAGTTGGTTGACTTCTTTTTGCATGGCTGCTTGCCACTTGGTGGCATCAGGATGAGATATAGCCTGCTTATAGGAAGTAGGCGTGTCATCTTCAGATGAAGGAGTGGTTGAAGCGGTGAGATAGGCTAGGGACATGCCTTTGGCGGGTCGAAGCCATATTTCCTGGTCTTCATCTTCAACAGGTTGGTTTGTATCTTCTTTATTAGGAGTACTTGGATCTTCAGGAACAGTAGCTTGTGGAGGTGTAGTTGTGGGATCCTCATATTCTTCATCAAATATAGTGTCATTGGTTGAAAAAATGGCGTCTGTTTTAGGGTCCCACACTCTGTATTGTTGGCTACTGATTTGGCCGATCATGAAGCAGCATTTAGAGTGGGAATCGAACTTGTTTATAGGCTTATCTGAGCCATGTCGATGAACCCAGACAGGGCAGCCCCAACGTCGGTATTTGTTGATACTAGTTGGTGAGTTGGTCCAGGCAGCCAGAGGCGATTTATATGGGCTTGGGCTGATTTTTGTGTTGGTATTGACCCCCAGGGATAGGTGAATTGAATAGGATTGTGGATGTTGGGAGGCGGTTTGTTATATCTGATGCATATTTTAAAGCATCAACCCAAAATCGCTGTGGTATATGGGGAGCGTCAAGCATTAATGTCCGAGCACGGTCAAAGAGTATGCGTATGCTGCGCTCACTGACACCGTTTTGCCAAGGGGAATATGGAGAACTTGGTTGCCATTCAATGCCTTCCTGACGGTAGGTTTTCTGCCATTCAGCTGAACAGAATTCATTGTCAGAGACAATATAGGCTGGGGCAGGGAAATGGTGATTCTTCATCTGTTGTAGCCAACCCCGAAATGCATCAATTGCAGCAGATCTTTCAGTTAGGTAGTGGACCCAACGGTAACGTGTAGCGTCATCAGTAATAAGCATCACATATTTGGCTCCTGTACGTGAAGGTAGAGGCATATCTAGCTTCTCTATATCTAGTGTTCGGCCGCCACCAGCAAGGTCTATGTGGACTCGGGCTAGTGGTGCAGTCATACGGGATCTTGGTGTTTTGCTGTATTGGCGAGTTTGCTTGCCCTGGATGCAGGCTTCACAAAGTGGTAGTTCTTTGGAACCTTTGATTTCAATGTCTGATGTAGGATCTGCGGCAAGGCGTAAAAGATCCTGCTGGTTTAAATGGCATAGACGGCGATGCCATGTCATAATTGGTAGAGCTGTTTTGGAGCTCTTAGTCTTTGGGGATGTTGTAGGTTTCTTTCTGGGAGGGTCCCCTGGTCGGTTGGCCTCTTTGCCAGACCGGGTGGTGACAAAGGCATAGGAGCTCTCGTCGGGAGAAATGCAATCTGATAGGATGAATACATTGTTGGTATTCAAAATGGCTTCAAATTCTGCACCAGAAGAGGTTGTGATTTGTGCTACTTGAGAGCTGGAAGGGAATTCGATACGAAAACCTTGTTTGAGAAGCATTCCCATGGAGATTAAGTTGGAATTGAAGGATGGAACATGTCGTACATCCCTAAGGATCAAGGATCCGGTTCCAATATCAATGACGACGGTGCCAATACCATGAGGTTTGGAAATCTTCCCTTGAGCATCTTCAATATAATCCGCTGGAGTAAGGTCCTCCTTTCTCAATGTTTTATAGGACGTGAAGAAAGCTTGGTGGGGTGTAACATGGAATGAAGCACAGCTATCAAGATACCATGAAGCTTGGAGAGATTGGGCTGATTTAGCAATGGCTGTTTTTGCAGCTGAAGAAGTCCATGGTACCAGTTCATTGGTTTCTGCTTCAGAGAATGAAGCAGTGGAAGATTCTTTAGCAGTGTGTAAAGCACGAATAGCTTCAATAGTATTTTTATTGGCTCGGCGCCAATGCTCAGAGGCTTTCTCAGGGTTCTTGTAGAGGCAAGGCATTGGGTGGAAATGACCACACCAATCACAACGGGTCTTTGGTTTGCGTGAGTCCTGGTCCTGAGGTTTATATTTAGTGTTGGAACTTGAGGCGGAAGAGCTAGCAATGGGGTTAGATGCTTGTTTGGAATAGCTTCGTCCGGATAGATTCTCTCGTCGTCCTCCGTGTTGGGAGCGGGATTCACGGGCTTGGGTGCCCATACGGATAGAGAGTTGAGCTTGAATGGTAGGTAGGTCCAGATTGATGACAGGGCCTTGTCCAGTTGAGTATACTTCATCAAGTTTACTCTTAATGAATGCTTTGTTCCATTCGCGGAGGCCTATAAAAAATAGGTCGTGAATAAGGTTGTCAAATGATGCTTCTTTTATAGCATGAAGGCGGTCTACTATCCTAGTAAACGCAGATTGGTAGGATAGGTAGTCATTGTCTTTTATATAGAGCTCCTTGAGCTCTTTTATGAGAAGCATTCGTTCTTCACCAGTAGAACGTCCGAAAAAGGTAGCAGTTCGGTCCCATAAACCATGGGCTGATAGGTCATATGTGTTGCCCAATTTGTCAATGGCTTGGGCAGTCATAGCATGAAGCATTCGGGCTCTCATGACAGTGGCTTTGCAATGCCATACTTCAGCATCATAAGCTGAGTATCCTGCTGGAGGTATATCCTGATGCAAGACTGTACTAGCGTTCAGGACATTGGCTTCTCTTTGAATGGCTGAACTCCAGGGGTCGTAATTATCATGAGACAGTGTGATTCGGCATCGGTCTGGTAAGAGCGCTTTAACTTGAGCTTGTACATGATCAAAAGGATCTTTTTGTACTGGATTTGAGGCTGGAATAGCTGTATTATTTTGAATATGATTGTAGGGAGTAGCGTTATGCCGGACTGTAGGAGTGGAGGATTGGGATTGATGGCGTTCAAGGGCATTAAAACGAGTCATGAACTGGTCCATCTGCTTCTGCATTTGCTCCTGCATCTGCTTCTGCATTTGTTCCTGCATCTGCTTCTGCATTTGTTCCTGCATCTGTTCCTGCATCTGCTGGAACAGAGCTGTGATGTCTGGTGTGGATGCCATGGTGTTGGCTGTAGTAGAGCTTTGAGCTCTAGGGGCAGTTGGGGTGTCCATTTCTTCAGAGATTACTGAGGAGGCGGAGGAGCCTATATCTGATGAAGGATCTGTGGATTCTGGCTGACGACGGTGACGTCTAGCGGTGGTAGGGGGCGTTCGAGGCACCACCATTTTGGATGGGATCGATCGAAGGATCCTGGGGTTCAGGGGCCGATTGTTGGCGGTCCTGGTGTTCAGAGTCGCTTAGAAGCGCTCGATTTCTGGTTTGACCAATGAGAGGTCACAATTTAGCCTATCTGAAAGGCTTTTTTTTTTTAAGCTCAATATCGTAGAGCTAAAACGGGCTCATAACCTAATGGATAGGCGCATGTATGGTCGTATTACTAGGTAGGCCTGCCTGTGCCGTGAGATAGGTAGCGAGGGCGGTCTAGGACGGCAGAACCTCACGTGTACTAACAGTCTGAGAGCGGGGCACGTGTTTAAACAGCACAGACGGCCTCAATTCCCACCTGGAGAGAGCTGGAGCATCAAGGGTGTAGTGCTGGCGCTTGTAATGAGTTTCTTATCCTCTTGAGATGGAGCAGACACAAGAAACGGCCAGAAAATAACTGCGAGTACAAGAGAACCTTTGCTGACGGTGATGCCGTTGGCATTTCTTCCTCCGCCTTTTGCCCCTCCGATTTGCCTTTCGGAGAGGGGCGCTTCGAGAAAAATTCTTTATCATTGCCAGCGTCACTTCCAGAATACATTCATTTTATCAGTTTTCGCATTGATACACGAAGAACCATTGAGAATATAAAGAGATAAAAGGAGATTCATAAATAACGATCAAAATGTCACCCATCGCCGATCAAGACTACAAAGCAGCCCTGCTCCCACTGCTGATCTCGAACAAAGTCCTCTCATTCGGCAGTTACATCCTCAAATCCGGGCGCGAATCGCCGTACTTCTTCACCTCCTCCCTGCTTCACTCCGCTCCTACGCTGCGCGCCACGGCAGCCGCATACGCCAGTGTCCTGTCCGCGCCGCCGTTCGTCACGACCGCAGCGGACGGAACAACGACGCCGAGCTTCGACATCATCTTCGGCCCGGCATACAAGGGTATCCCGCTGTGCGCAGCAGTGACGACCGAACTCGCCGTCCGGGACGCGCTATCGTCCAAGGGACAGGGACAAGCAGCTAAGGGTACATGGGATAATGTCAGCTACTCGTTCAACCGCAAGGAAGCCAAGGACCATGGAGAGGGCGGGAATATTGTCGGTGCTCCTGTGAAGGGGAAGCGGGTGGTCATCGTGGACGATGTCATTACGGCGGGCACGGCATTGCGTGAGGCCATTGGGATTATCGAGAAGGAGGGTGGTACGGTGGTGGGCGTGGTTATCCTGCTGGATCGAGAGGAGAGGGTCAGTGATACGGAGGCGAAGAGCGCGGTGGGCGTTGCGCAGAGGTCGCTGGGAGACAAGGTGCCTATTCGCGCCGTGCTTGGGCTGCATGATCTGATTGAGAAACTGGGGGATCAGATTGGGGAGGCGGAGCTGCAGCGACTGAAGGAGTATCGTGCTCGCTATGGAGCTGAGTAGGTGTATATTTATGCATATGACATGATACCAGATGTGTTGAGTTCTGAAGGTCTACTTTTCTACTGTGGTTGAAAGTACTGGGTACAAAAGGTGTATAATGTATCGAGTGCTCCGTACATGCCATGCCTTGTGATGGATGCATGGATTCCCCGTTGAAAAGCCGAGTCAGATATATGCAAGGTACACGAGCCGTTCGTGCCGGAGGATTGAATGGGATGGCTGAACTTCGTGTTGGAGCACGAGCTGTCCACCGCAGTGAGACTTACCCAATGTGCCAGCTGGAAGTAAGACAGTAATAATAATAAGCACTAGGGCAAAGTCATGAGCCCACACATAGGTATAACAGTAACATAATATGTAATGCGGAATACGCGGATTTTGCATTATTATTTGCCATGGACGATGATAAGATGATTGATGTGTCAAATAACAATCGGCCACGGCAGTCTATTATGGGTATATAATATAACTATATACCCAGCGAAAAGTCCCTGACGGCATCGTGGAACCTGGAAGAACCGGTAAACGGGCTGGGAATGGGCCCGAGCCTCATCTTTTTCTTTTCTTTTTCCCCTTCCATTTTATGAGGGTCGCAGCCTCGTTCACTCGCATTAGAAGCATCAAGAAGCGAAGGAGGAAAAGCAAAAGCCCGCATCCAGCCTGGAGATTGTGTGATATTTATTATTATCATTGGATGCGAGTCAGACCTCTTGACTTATACGGGCCGTACAGCACGGATTCATCGAGCGTTCCGAAATTGCGTGGCTGGCTTTAGGTTTGAAGGTTCAACACCCTTATCGGGTTCTCATTACTTACTGTATACTGCACCTAAGTGACAGTACAGCATACAGCGTACGGTGTAATAACATAATCCGGTTTTCTCAGGAGGCGTATGAAAGGCAGGTGCTGCAATTGGATCGGGGTTATCGTGTGGACTTGGCAATGCTTGGCGGTGGCTTGAGGACAATGTATTCTCAGCGTCACCATTGGCAGATATTTGTAGCTAAGGCTGAGATGGTTCCCAGGGATGCTATTCTGATAGACGGCCGGTTTTTGCTGCTATTCTTAGTACTGGGGAATGTGTCTCGGGCTAAATGGACACGAGAAGCATCGATAGATGAAGTGATGGAGCCTCCTGAGGGGAAACCGAACCAGCGTTGCAAACGGATTTCCTGAGCGTCGCCACCCGCAGTGGACTCGCGATCCATCGACACGGTGGCCCGAGGAAGAGGTGAGGAATATACATGCAAACCGGTTAGTGAATCAGGGGAAGATCTGTCGATGCAAGTGATGTATAAGTCGTGGGTTGCAGCACATGGCTGGGGATGTGTCATCTGCGAGGCTGTGACAGACTGCGACAGTCGGTTGGGAGCAAACCTGTCAGTTCGGTGCTTCGTCCTTCCTCACATGTGCGCCTGTATGTTGACAGTAGAAGGATCTGCCAAATGCTACCCTGGGATACAGGCATCAACAGCGACATGTCACCATATCACGTACCCTACCTTATTAACCGAAAGGCCTGTATCATCGTGTATTGAATACCGTGAACCCTGCCCAGCCATAGGCCCATATCTCTGAAGCGGGTCCAGCGCACCACGAACCGGTGTCTGATTGGTGTCACTGGCGGTAAAATCCAGCTACAGGGGGAACAAGCTAAAATAGAATAGGATTATTAATAAGTCATGACCCGGTGTGATCCGGCCCCACTTATATACTCTAATTGGAGCCGGTGCCATGGGCCGGGCGCTCTGCAGCACTTATCAGCCTCTTCCAGATTTTGCCTTCACAATTCTGATAGCCATCATAATAGTAGTGAAATAAAATAATCCTCCCCCAGAGACAGAAAAAGGGGGAGTCCCACCGTCTCCCGCCTCCGTCGAGAAGTGCCTGGATCGGCATGCAGAAAAGGCCGTGTTCCTGGACGGAAGTCGACAGGTATCTGCGCAAAGTTGGAGTCGTAGTAGTAGTCTGCCCACTGCTTAATCCTAAGCGCGAACTAGTCCCCATCAGGACGCCTATGATTATTATATTGGCATTTATTATTATTATCATTACCGTCGTTAGTTTCTGGCATAATAATACGATGCTCCAGTTGCCCTCGCATCTCCCCTCGTCCTTCCTTTGCCTCTGATTCGGCTTGTCCTGCTTCCCTTCCCTTCCCTTCCCTTTCTCTCTCTCCCGCTCTTTCTTATCGTCATTTTTTTTTCTCGCTGAACTGTTGCTTGCTGTTCTGTTTCTTGTTGCTTACACCTTCGTTTGTCTTTTTCTCTCCTTCCAATTTCCCTCGCCCCCGCGCTCTTTAAACGTTCCGTTCGTTGTCAGCAACCTTAATAAAAATACACGAAAAGAAAAGGACAAAAAAAAACAGGGGTTTCTCAGCCTCAACAAAAAGAGGAATCGTACTCACGATACAACTAACTAATATTATATATATATATATATATTCACGAGAAAAAGAAAAGTAAAGAAGCGTAAAAGCAGGTGCTTTTTCGCTTCTCTGCTCGTCCGTTCGACCTTCCATCTCTCTTGGCAAACACATGTCGTGTGCATAGAGTCGCATTTCTTACCCTTGCAGTCCGCGGCCGCCAACGATGAACTGGAGGTGGACTGGCGCGGTTCTCGCCCTCTTCACTGCAACCGCGTTCTCATGGCCTTACGACGAGTCCCTCCTCGGCTACAACGTCAACGAGAACAAGACTGCGACCAATCCCGCAGACTACTGGGGTGAATGGCCGGACCACACCTATTATCCTTCCCCGGAAAACTGGCGCTTTCCTATCTACACTCTGTTCCTCGATCGTTTTGTCAATGGCGACCCTACAAACGATAATGCTAATGGAACCCAGTTCGAACATGACCTCCGGTCGAATCAGATGCGACATGGCGGTGATGTGGCTGGTCTGTTGGATACCCTGGATTACCTGCAGGGTATGGGAATTAAGGTGAGTTACCCACCCGCTTATTTTGCCCACTTTGTCTCACCTTCCTGCTACCAGGCCATCTACATCGCTGGAACGGCGTTGATGAATCAGCCCTGGGGCTATGACGGTTATTCCGCGCTGGACACCACCGTCCTGGATAAGCATTACGCCGATATACAGACATGGAGGAATGCAATCACCGAAATCCACAACCGAGGCATGTATGTCATTTGGGACAACACTCTGGCGACGTAAGTATTGCTATCACGTATATCCCGATTCTCCGCCGATCTCACCACGTGCTCACCGTTCAAAAAACATAAAAACAGTATGGGTGATCTTCTTGGGTTCAAGGGATATCTGAACGAAACCACCCCGTTCTCAGTTCACGAATACCCCGTCTTGTGGAAGTCGGATCGTCAGTATGTGGATTTTCACATCAACAATGTGTGGAACGATTCGTGTCCCTACCCTCGTTTTTGGAATGAAACAGGCTATCCTGTCGACTCCTATGTCACCGAGGAATTGAAAGGCTGCTACGACAGCGACTTCGACCAGTACGGAGATGTTGAGGCTTTCGGTGTCTTTCCGGATTGGCAGCGTGAGCTGTCCAAGTTCGCATCAGTTCAGGATCGTCTGCGTGAATGGATACCCAGCGTGCGCGAAAAGCTCATCCGACACTCTTGTATGATGATTGCCTCATTCGACATCGATGGCTTCCGCTTTGACAAGGCCACTCAGGCCACACCGGATGCTCTGGCAGACATGTTGTCCGCCTACAGAGAGTGCGCCCGCAGATATGGAAAGAATAACTTCTTCCTGCCCGGTGAAATTACCGGTGGCAATACCTTCGGTTCGGTTTTCCTAGGTCGCGGAAGACAGCCAGACATGGTGATTCCCGGTGACAACGCGATTGTTGAGACGGTTACCCTGACAAATGAGTCGAGCTCCGACCACTTTATTCGTGAGGTTGACCATAACGCTCTTGATGGGGCCGCCTTTCACTACTCAGTGTATCGCACACTCACCCGTTTTCTGGGTATGGATGGTAACCTCGCTGCCGGCTATGATACACAAACAGATTGGACTATCGCTTGGTCTGAAATGCTGACAACCAACGACATGATCAACGCCAACACGGGTGTCTTTGATTTCCGCCATATGTACGGCACAACCAACCAGGATGTTTTCCGTTGGCCTGCTATTAAATGGGGCACGGAGAGGCAGCTTCTCGGTCAGTTTATTACAACCCTCCATCTCCCAGGCATTCCACTGCTGCTTTGGGGAGAGGAACAAGCATTCTACATCCTTGACGCAACTTCTCCCAACTACGTCTATGGACGTCAGGCCATGTCCCCCAGCACAGCATGGATGATGCATGGTTGCTTCAACCTCTCAGCCAACCAGTATTACCACTGGCCTGTTGACTCTGCTAGCAGGGGCTGCCATGATCCAACTGTTGCGTATGATCACAGGGATCCCTCTCATCCTGTTCGGAACATCATCAAGCACATGTACCAGATGCGGGAAGACTATCCATCAATGAACGACGGTTGGTGGGTTCAAATGCTCTCTAAACAGACCGAATACGTCTACTACCCCGGTTCTGCCGACATCCCCACCGAGACGGGCATGTGGTCCATCCTGCGTGGCCGTAACCAGGAACTACAGGACCTGGGAAGTGCGCAGGCCAACCAGTCAATCTGGCTAGTGTATCAGAACGTCAACCGCACGATGTCCTACACCTTTGATTGCTCGGACAGTAATAATTCGCTCGTTTCTCCCTTCCCCAGCGGCACGACCGTCCGGAACCTTTTCTATCCCTTCGATGAACTCGAGGTGAAGGACGGTCCATCCGGTGACAACGGCTGCGTGGACACTTTGGAATTGCAAAGATACGAATTCCGCGCCTATGTTCCCAAGGATGTGTGGAAGGGTCCTCGTCCTATGATCACCGGGTTTACTCCCGGCCATGACGCTCCCTTACGGTCAACTGTTGCGCCTAATGAGGATGAAGACGTTGAGATCGCCTTTTATTTCTCTACAGAAATGGACTGCGACTCTGTCACCAAGTCCATCTCCCTGAATTCATCCACTGAAAGCGGCAAGGTTCCGGCCCTGGACACGAAAAGCGTCTCCTGCAAAACTATCACACCGACCAACACAACTTTCATTGGGCAGATACCTAGTACATGGGTCTGGTCTGGGAAACTGACTGGGGTATACAACGGTGTTCACCGGGTTACTGTGAATAACGCATCCAGCACATCCAGCGGTAATAGTACTGGCTACACTAACGCGAAAGATCACTTTCTGTTCCGGATCGGTCAACATGATAACCCAATTATTTTCCCGACGGCGGCAAACTATTCGAGCAGTCTCCTTCACCAGGCGGGGAACGGATCTCTCTTCATCCGACACCATGCTGCAGGCGCTGATATGTATCGGTATTCCACGAACTGGGGAAGTACCTGGTCCACCTGGATACCCTACACGGGTGGAAATACCACTATTGAGGAACAGCCGTGGTCTGGAGCAAAACATCAGAAGTGGCATGGGAAACATGTAACCGTTGAGTACTGGAGTAAACTGACCGGTAGCAGCGATTATATCCAGGATGGTGATTTGAACTGGGGAAATAAGCCCCCACGACGCTTCCCGCACATGTTTTTCAACGGTCCCTATAACCAGTACGGTTACGATGCAGGCCTGGACAATGAGATGAAGCAGGACCCCGATGATGGGATTTGGAAATTTAGATTCATGGCCGAATGGCCTGCACAGGGCCAAATTAATATCTGGGGCATTAATCCGGATGGCAAACCCGATCAGACCGGTGTGTACGGAGACGTTGATTCGGATAGCATTCTCGATCGGCTCCCTCCATCTTCCCTAAGTGCTACGCTCATCAACATCACCCACCCCCCACCGAAGCCTCATCTGGCATGGAATATTTTTGTCAATGACGGAACTATGCGCTTTGACCTTTATCCGACTGGTTCTCAATCTCTTCAGTTGGCCTTGTACCTCCTCATGTGGATTGTACCGGCGTGCACCTCAGCCGCAGTTGTGTATACGTTTATGAAGTCCTTCTACCGTGTCAAGGTAAACGAGACTGGCGTGACTGAGGAGAAGGCCCACATCCCCTTGATCATTAGGCGGAAGTTAAAGAAAGGCAATCTCGAGGACGGTGAGGCGATGAACCCGCTGATGCGTCTGGCCAATAAATCTGGGATATTCCAGAGCACGTCGGCATTTGGTACTGTAACGAATCACCGGCGCATGGTCTTGATCGCAACTATGGAGTACAACATTGAAGATTGGGCCATTAAAATTAAGATCGGTGGTTTGGGTGTCATGGCACAATTGATGGGTCAATGCCTGGGACATCAGGATCTGATTTGGGTCGTCCCCTGTGTTGGCGGAGTGGACTATCCTATTGACCAGCCTGCTGAACCAATGTTTGTTACGGTTCTTGGGAATTCATACGAGGTTCAGGTGCAGTACCATGTGGTTAAGAACATCACATATGTTCTTCTGGATGCACCTGTTTTCCGTCAGCAGTCCAAATCAGATCCCTATCCAGAGCGCATGGATGATTTGGACAGTGCCATTTACTATTCTGCTTGGAATCAGTGTGTGGCACTGGCAATTAAACGATTCCCCATTGACCTGTACCACATTAATGACTACCACGGCTCCCTCGCTCCCCTGTATCTCCTCCCACAAACTATTCCTTGCTGCTTGTCACTCCACAATGCCGAATTCCAAGGTCTCTGGCCTATGCGCACCCAGAAAGAGAAGGAGGAAGTTTGCGCTGTTTTCAACATCGACATTGAAACCGCTACCCGCTATGTACAGTTTGGTGAGGTTTTTAACTTACTCCATGCTGGCGCAAGCTACCTTCGTGTTCATCAGCAAGGATTTGGTGCTGTGGGTGTTTCTAAAAAGTATGGTAAACGGTCTTACGCTCGGTATCCCATCTTTTGGGGTTTGAAGAAGGTTGGAAATTTGCCCAATCCTGACCCGTCTGATACCGGTGAATACAACAAGGAACTCCCCAAGGAGAGCGATATCAAGGTGGATGCCGATTTTGAGAGCCGCCGAGGAGAACTGAAGCGTCAAGCCCAGGAATGGGCCGGCCTTGAACAGAACCCTGATGCCGATCTTTTGGTCTTCGTTGGCCGTTGGTCTATGCAGAAGGGTGTTGATCTTATTGCGGATGTCATGCCTGCAGTCTTTGAAGCCCGGCCGAATGTTCAGTTGATCTGTGTTGGTCCAGTTATTGATCTTTATGGTAAATTTGCAGCTGTCAAGCTAGACCGCATGATGAAGCTATTTCCTGGCCGTGTGTTCTCCAAACCCGAGTTCACCAACTTGCCGCCCTACATTTTCTCTGGAGCCGAATTTGCCCTGATTCCTTCCCGCGATGAGCCCTTCGGTCTGGTTGCTGTCGAGTTTGGTCGTAAAGGAGCTCTCGGTATCGGTGCACGCGTTGGTGGTCTTGGCCAAATGCCTGGTTGGTGGTATACTGTTGAGTCATCAGCCACGTCCCATCTTCAGCACCAATTTAAGCTGGCCATTGAAAGCGCTCTGAACTCGAAGCAGGAAACCAGAGCTATGATGCGTGCTCGTTCGGCCAAGCAACGTTTCCCCGTGGCACAGTGGATTGAGGATCTGGAAATCTTACAGTCTACTGCAATTCGCATCCACACCAAGGAACTCACGAAAAACCATGGTCAGCTCTCGACGCCATCTGGATCCACCACACCTGGAGGAGCAATGACTCCTCCGGTTGCACAATCAGGATTCTGGAGCCCTCTCGGCGGTCAGCATGCTCCTATGCTTCATTCCAGAGAGCCTAGCTACACCGGCTCCTCGACCAACCTAAGTACTTTCGGCCCACAACTGAGAAATACCATTGTTTACAGCAGGGACCCAAGCCCTGGCAGTGAGAACAAGCCTGCTACAGGACTCAACCGACAGCTATCCCTTGGTGTGCGATCGGGTCCCGGCCATTTGGCGGAACGTCGTGGGCGGCCGAGAACAAGGAATGAAGAGAATATTGGTGTTGCAGTCACAGATCCTGGGACAGATGCTGAGGATGAAAGTGACGATGACATGCCCAGTTATTACGGAGACGACGAGTACACATTGATCCACGAGCAAGCCGAGGCAGGGCGACGAATGGAAGCGGCCAATACTGCATCCAGAGGTTTCCTCAGCACCCGCAATTCTAGCTTTGGCTCTGCGCAAGGCAGAGTTATCAGTGCAGCATCAACGCCAGGTACAGAGGATGGTCTCCTTTCTCCAGTGCGGCCGTTTGCAACGCCTGGTGTTCGACTGAGTAGTGCGTCCGAGCTCTCCGTCAACTCCGTTGTTGGAGACAAGAAGGATTTCAATCTCCAAAAAGTCGACCCGTTCTTCACAGATGCTTCGGGAGAATTCTACAGAGAGTTCGAGAGGAAACTTGAGGACTTGAACGGATCCAATTCCGAGACACAACTGTGTATCGAGGATTATCTCACCAAGAGTAAGAAGAAATGGTTCAACAGGTTCAGGGATGCAAGACTTGGTCGCAATCAATCGCCGTCTCCCTCACTTATCCGGTCCAAGCGTGGTCCATCTCCTATTGGCTCGTACATCAACGAGGATTCGAGTTCCAGGGGCAGCGGTGGCGATGAGAACAAGGAAGCCGACGAATTCTTGCTTGGGGAAGATTATGTCCCGCCGACAGGTTTGAAAAAATGGATGCAGCTTCGTATCGGTGACTGGCCAGTATACTCCCTCTTCCTTGGTCTGGGACAAATTATCGCCGCCAATTCGTATCAAATTACCCTGCTCACGGGCCAAGTTGGTGAAACCGCCGAGAAGCTCTACGGAATTGCGACAACATATCTAATCACTTCCATCCTCTGGTGGCTCTGCTTCCGCTGGTTCAAGTCTGTCGTCTCCCTGTCTCTCCCGTGGTTTTTCTATGGCCTTGCTTTCCTCCTTATTGGTGTTGCGCACTTTGAGCCCAATTCCTTCAATCGCGGCTGGATTCAGAATATAGGAAGTGCCGTCTATGCGGCTGCCTCCTCAAGTGGTTCTGTCTTCTTCGCACTGAACTTTGGTGACGAGAGCGGTGCGCCTGTGAAAGAATGGGTGTTCCGAGCATGCCTTATCCAGGGCACGCAGCAAGCTTATGTCATTGCTCTTTGGTACTGGGGTTCGACCCTCACGAAACAGACTGCCGACGGATCAATTGCCGCGCATGGCACTGTTGCAGACACATGGAAAATGACGTGAGTAACCATGTCTCCGATGGCCACCGCACGTTTTTCTCTTGAGTATCGTAGCTGACAGTATTGATTCAATATAGCGCTATTTGTATACCCATCTGCGTCTTCCTGTGGGCTATTGGGCTGCTTCTTTACTTTGGCCTGCCGAACTACTACCGCCGGACGCCAGGAAAGGTTCCTTCTTTCTACGCGTCTGTTCTCCGTCGTAAGATTGTTCTCTGGAATTGGGTCGTTGTCATCATACAGAACTTCTTCCTGAGCGCGCCGTACGGGAGGAATTGGCAATGTAAGTCGTGGTCAAATTTCTCTTTATCTGACTCAGCTAACTTTCTTCCTCTCGCCGTTTAATAGTCCTTTGGACATCTAGCCATGCGCATCGTTGGCAGATTGTCATTCTCTGTATCGTATTCTTCGGCGTCGTGTGGGCAGCGATCCTATTCGTGTTGAGCTACTTCTCTCAACAACATAGCTGGATGTTGCCTGTTTTTGCTTGCGGTCTTGGTGCCCCCCGTTGGGCTCAGATCTGGTGGGGTACCTCTGGTTCAGGCCTCTACCTCCCATGGGCTGGCAGCTACCAAGCGGGAGCCCTTGTATCTCGCAGTCTTTGGCTCTGGCTCGGTGTGCTTGACGCTGTACAAGGAGTCGGATTTGGTATGATCCTTCTCCAAACGCTGACTCGAATGCACATCTGTTTCGCTCTCCTTGTTTCCCAAGTCATCGGTTCAATCGCAACAATATGCGCGCGAGCGTTCGCTCCGAATAAGATTGGTCCTGCGGGCATTTCTCCGGACATCTCAGCAGGTAGCAGCGCGATCGCGAATGCCTGGTTCTGGATTGCGCTCTTCTTCCAGATCGCTGTCTGGTAAGTTAACAATATTTCTGTCGTTTCTATTTGAAGGTCCCTTACTTACTCTTATTGTTTAGTGCTGGATTCCTATTATTCTTCCGCAGAGAACAGCTCTCCAAACCCTAGTCCAGAGCGTGCAGTTGGATTGAACAGAAGCGAACTCCACGAACAATATCCGACTTTGCACCATATAATGAATCTTCTTATATATACACTAATATGCCATGTGTCACATTACCATTTTGGCTTTCCCCATCCCTCGGTGTGCATTTGGTCGGATTTGCAGATCTATCTCATTGCTTAGTTATATTTTTGCATCCATTCATCAACATCACATTGCCGCGGGCAGAATAAGATAAGATGAAGAAACGACACTTACTCAAGCCTTCATTGATTCTGGGTTTCCTGGGTTGCAGCGCTCCTTTTCTGGATTTTTTATTTCTATCATTTAAATTCTTTTTCTTCATATCTCTTTTGGGTATTGTCCTGACATGTCGTGTCTTGACTTACTTTTTTGGTCTTTCCTTTGATGATTGGATCTATTTACCTTCTATATACACTTTTTTGCTGATGATGAAGGGATGGGATGGGATTGACAGGAAGGTGAAATGGTAATTTTCTGGATAATGCAATGTACTGTACTAGTTAGTGCTTGGTACAGGCTCTGTACAATATTATTTATGCCACCTTTCTTTTCTTTACCGGGGATGTAAATAGATTCTGCAGTGTTCTTACTTGGTCTAGGTATTAATTAATTAATCATCCATGCAGAGTGAAAAGAAAAGATAAACGGCTTATGGACGATGATGATCTTAACTGATCCTGTCTTCGAAGGTTATATCCGGCTTCCAGAAATAGAAGTGGTCGATATACCTCCGCCGAAGCAAAACTTAGGTAGCAACGCTGCATTCACGAGGTATTACTGAATTACTTGAAATGGACACTGTTGGGACTATGAAGTATGAAATAACATCGTAAACTACATTACCTAGGGGTAGGGGAATCAAGCTACTACATATATAAGATCAGTCAAATCGATCGGAACAACAATCGTAAAGAATCCCAAAGCCAACCGAAACGAAACCAACAAACCCAGATGGGGCACAAACTTTTTTTACCATTCCAACGGCTCGGTCTTCAAGTCACCACGATTCGTCTTGGGGACCGGCGCGGCAGCGATCATAGTTGGTTGACCACGGTTCCGCTTGAGGTAGCCCGTTCCATCGAGCCAGGGGGTATCGAGGGAGCGTTTAGCCTCGAAGGAGCGGATTTTCCCTTCCTGCTGGAGGGTGAGACCGATATCGTCTAATCCATTGACAAGACAGTGCTTTCTGAACTCCTCGACGTCGAAGGAGGCAAGCTTGTTGCCCTGTGCGTCTTTGATTTCCTGGTTCACGAGATCAACTTCGATTTCATGGCCTGCGCGAGCCTCGGAGGCGATCTTGGCCAGGACTTGCTCGTCGGAGATGATGATGGGGAGCATGCCGTTCTTGAAGGTGTTGTTGAAAAAGATGTCTGCGTAGGAGGGGGCGATGATGCACTTGATGCCGAAGTCGAGTAGAGCCCAGGGTGCGTGCTCGCGGGAGCTGCCGCAGCCGAAGTTGGGGCCCGTCACGACTAGGATCTTGGCGTTGCGGTAGACTCCCTGGTTGAGGATGAAGTCCGGGTTTTCGGTGCCGTCCTTGTAGCGGAGTTCGTAGAAGAGAGCGCTGCCCAGGCCGGTCCGTTTGATGGTCTTCAGAAACTGCTTGGGGATGATGGCGTCCGTGTCGACATTTGCGCGGTCCATTGGTGCCGCGATGCCCTTGAGTGTTGTAAATTTAGGGAGACCCGTGCTTGAGGATCCCGTGGTGTTGGTGTGAGGCTCGTTGTCGGCCGGTTCGTCCATGATACGCTCAAACTCCTCTTCGGTCGTGGGTTCCTCGTATTCTGGCTGGACGTCGACCTTATTCTGGGCCTTGACGACGGGACTGGAAATGAGATGCTCGCGCACATCAGCCAGTTTTCCGGCGATGGCTGCGGCGGCTGCCATTGCAGGCGACATGAGGTGGGTGCGACCACCGGCACCCTGGCGACCCTCGAAGTTACGGTTGGATGTGCTGGCGCACCGCTCCTGAGGCGACAGGATGTCAGGGTTCATGCCAAGACACATAGAGCATCCCGCTTCTCTCCACTCGAAACCGGCGTCGGTAAAGATCTTGTCCAGACCCTCTGATTCAGCCTGCTGCTTGACCAGACCGGAGCCGGGCACAACCATCGCACGCTTAACGTTCGATGCGATTTTCTTGCCGCGCACGACCTTGGCAGCATTGCGCAAGTCCTCGATACGCGCATTGGTGCAAGAGCCGATAAACACCTTGTCCACCGGGATCTCCTGCATCGGCGTACCGGCTGTAAGGCCCATGTACTCGAGCGCACGTTCGCAGGAGGCCTTTCGGTTCTCATCCACAAAATCGTCCGGTCCAGGCACAACACCGGTGATGGGAACGACATCCTGCGGGGAAGTACCCCAAGTCAGAGTCGGGACGATATCCTTGGCATCAATGAGAACGGTCTTGTCGTATACAGCACCATCGTCAGATTTCAGACTGGACCAATACTTAACGGCCTTCTTCCACTCGGGGCTGTCCACCTTGGGCGCAAGGGGGCGGCCCTTGAGGTATTCGAAAGTAATCTCATCCGGTGCGATCATGCCAGCACGGGCACCGGCCTCGATGGACATGTTGCACATGGACATACGCGCTTCCATACTCAGGCCCCGAACCACCGATCCACAGAACTCAATGACAGCACCGGTTCCACCTGCAGTACCGATAACGCCGATAATGTGCAGGATGACATCCTTGCTGGAGACGCCTGGATGCAGAGTCCCATCAACCTGGATACGCATGTTCTTGCTTCGGCGGGTGATGAGGGTCTGAGTGGCTAGGACGTGTTCGACTTCGCTAGTGCCGATGCCAAAGGCAAGCGCACCGAACGCACCGTGGGTGGAGGTGTGACTGTCACCGCAAACAACGGTGGTTCCCGGGAGGGTGAAACCCTGTTCTGGGCCAATGATGTGGACAATCCCCTGACGCTTATCACCCATGCCGAAATATGTTAGACCGAAGTCTTTGACATTTTCTTCGAGAGTGGTGCATTGGAGTCTGGAATCGTTCTCTTGGATGAACTCTTCGACATTTTTGAAGTTTTTCCGAGAAGAGGTAGGGATGTTCTAGGAAACAGTGCTCGTCAGAAAAGGGGCTGCAAGGGGAGGAGATAGCAATTGACATACGTGATCTACCGTGACCAAGGTGCAGTCTGGTCTGCGCACTTTGCGGCCAGCGTTCTTCAGACCTTCAAATGCTTGCTGCAGGGCTGCCGTCAGTCAAGCTTCCAATGGAATACGACAGGGGAGAGAGCTCCAGCGAACTAACCGGCGAGGTCACCTCGTGAACGAGGTGTCTATCTGCAAAGGAATTAGCAAGTGATGGATTTCCTATGCAGCGAAGAGCATAAGCATACCGATGTAGAGAAGAACTGTGCCATCCTCCTGCTCGTTGACGATGTGGTCGCCAAAGACCTTGTCGTACAGGGTCTTGGGATTCTGGTCTGCGGAGGGCATGATGATACAAGGAGGGAAAACAATGAACAAGAACAACACAATGATGGGGAATGAAGCTCTTCCCAGTCGATGGAAGAGACTGAGGCACTTTTAACTGCTGAAGCTGTGGCGGCGATGTCGCTGCAAAACTGGAGGGGCGCCCCGACATCGGCCTGTCAGCAGGTTTTGACGGCGCGCTGATTGGCTGCGACTGGCCGATCACGGTTACGCGCGCTTACAGGAGGTGGCACATTGCCGTTGTTTCCAATGGACACGCTCATCACTATCAGGATACTACTGTAGTGTAGTATGCATACTGGCGCTATTGATGTGTTCATTTGCTCAGCAGGTAATATAAGACCAATGAACTTCTCCCTAATGCGGGATAAATTGTATGGGGGATCGCTATCTCCAGATCAACTGGACGATGCGGGTAAGACAATCTGTGGAGTCTGATTGGCTATGCTATTGTGTAAGGCGGTATGACGTGGCAGTATCTACACGTGATAATAATCACGTGATGATTATGACTTGGTGGCCTCACCAAATCGACGACAAGGTAAGGATTTGAGATTCACCAAACCCTATATTGAGGAGACTCATCCAGAATCGTCTTCTTGCTGACATGGCTCGGTTTCAGATGATGTTATTTGAGTCAACCAAGCTAGCTCGGAATCCAAATCAATGACTCAGCAATCTCGACAACAATCTGAACAGTGACAGTTCGCTATTCTTGAAGAACCTGTCTACATATGTCCGAGAGCACGTCGCGACGAGTGTGCATACCACTAAAATAATGCTAGACCGGAAGCGTCGTGTTATTGACGAAAAACTGGACGACGAATACGTGAATACGTGGTGTTTACAAATGTACCTTCTGAAATAGTCAGCACTATCATTGACCAGCCTTGACTCATTGGTAAAGGAGCCAAGCTGTTTCACCATGAAGTACTTCAAACGTTGATTGTCGAGTTTCCATCTCGTCCACATCAGATTGTGACAGGCTATATCGACAGACTTGGGGATAGACATTGTGCTGAGACAAGTCTTTTTGATCAACTATCTTTCTGCGTTCAAGTGCAGTGAAGGACACCCCTTACAAAAAAGAACCTGATGCCTCCTGATATCCCGAAACATGCCACAAGGAAGGTCCGAACAATGGCCCAGTCTGTTTCTTGAAACCGGGTATTCTGAGTGTTGGCACGCCTTCGAGCGGATGCGGCATGGTGCATTTGCAGTAGGCACACAAAAAACCTGAAAGGCTTGTCCCAGCACTCGACGAACCAGAATACATATTCTCTGAAAGATCTTCAAAGTGGACAAGCAGGGATCAATGCACTTTGTGATTGTCTTCCTAGGCCTAACTCAATGTCGTTCCTTTCAGAAGGTCTTGGATGCATAATCTGGTAAATTTTCTGTAGAAAGGGTTTGCAGACTATCCTTATCTAGCATTCTTTATATAATACAGGATATTGAGGAGCAGAGTTCAGGAATGCTTACCTGTCTAAAAAGTGCCCATAGATGATGCTCAATCTTACAGAAACACCCAAGATTGCTGTTTCAGCGCACCCTAGTGGATGTCATGATCAGCAGAGTTGAGGCTGGCCATTTTGGTCATGGTGAAGTGAAGCTGGCAGAGAAACCCCCAACTGAGTATCTTTGATGATGCCAGAAAGTTGGTTTGGACTGGTGGCAGGAAATAGTCTATTGGCATCCTCAGATTAAGGTGGAAAAAGCTCAACTGTCAAAGTTGGCAAAACAGCCAGAGCCCGCGGTGCTAATTAGGGTTGCCCAGTGCACCCTTTGCAATGCTCAGTGTAGGCTGTGTATGTTCAGTGAACATTCAGGATTCTCAGCACCAGCTTCAGGAGCACCCATTGCCATCCAGCATTCACTCAGTGAGTGAGCTAGGAGTGCTCAGTGCGTGGCCAGCATCACTCACTGATCGATTCAGCCTTTAATCACGTGAACCTTCACAAAGCAGCGTGGGACGGAAGAGGAAATCAGGAGGTTATCACACGTATTTGCTACATATATTCTACCTGGGTACATACCAAGATACATGGTCTGAGGAATTAAGGGGGGCAGCTGCTCTGACAGAGTATGCCCAGCTCCTGTGTCTTAAATGAACACCCGATGCATTGGGACCATTGCATTAATGCCTCATCTTGCGGTGAATGTTAACGTCTGGTCTGCAGGATACCGGCACTGAATGACGCAGCATATAGTATGGATGCCCTAACTTCCTACGCCATACGCTTCCCACAGAATGCTAACATCTCGGATGGCCCCCGAGACTGCAGATACAGAGAGTATTATTGCTTGCCCACTCGCAGAGCCCTTGATTGACACCATCGCGGGCCGCAATGGTGTGAGCTGAAGCATGCGTGGACAGCCCAATTGGGCCTGGCAATCTAATCATTGCGTACATACTCCCACAGATGGCGTGCAAGCAATATGGATGTCTGGGATATCGTGCGGGGGCTTTTATATACTTGCATTGTCTTATAAACCGTGCCTGAGGAATTCTTACAGCCCTCATCTGCTGAGAGGCGACATCTTATACTTCAACATGGCGGCTGTGATTACTGGCCTGCCTCTGCACAGTGGCACTGCATACAATCCGACCACAGCCAAGAACTCTGTGACTGCTGAGGTCAAGAGCGTCTCGGAAGAATCATCCAGCTCGGCCAAACCTGAGTTCGACCTGGAAGAGCACCCAATTGACCAGCCGAGACCCATCAAGGTCGGCGTCATTGGCGCTGGATTGTCGGGCGTCACGGCCGGTGTTCTGCTTCCGGCCAAATTACCTGGTCTTGACTTGCATATCTATGACAAGAATCCGGATGTGGTATGTTCTACTGTCTCATGGCACTCAAGCGCTAGCTAACTATATCTTAGGGTGGTACATGGTTCGAAAACACCTATCCCGGCGTTAGATGTGACATTCCTTCCCACGTATACCAGTCCGGCTTTGCTCCCAACACCCAATGGACCGAGGAGTTTGCCCAGGGCCATGAAATCAGAGACTACTGGCAGGGCATCGCGAGGAAGTACGACGTGTACAAGTATCTGCGATTGCAACAAAAGGTGGAACGTGCAGAATGGCTTCCAGAGGAGGCAAGATGGAAGGTCACATTGAGAGACCTGAGTTCTCCCAATTCCGAAAGAGTCAGTGCTGGATAGAGCGATTAGGGTACAGCTACTGACTCAAACAGGTCTACGAAGAAAAACTAGATATCCTAATCAACGCTATCGGCCATTTCAACGCCTGGAAGCTCCCCGACTACCCAGGCATCGATCAGTACAAGGGCGTGCTCTTCCACTCCTCCAACTGGAACCACAAGGTGGACTTGAAGGACAAACGACTCGCCCTGATAGGAAACGGAGCCTCGGGCCTGCAGGTTCTCCCGTCCATCCAACCCATCGCCAAACACATCGACCACTACGCCCGCAACCGCACCTGGATTGCAGGTTCCTTCGCAGCCTCGGGTATCCGCCGTCTGGAGCCCAACTACATCCCCGAGGACCTAAAGGCCTCCTTCAAGGACCCGGAGACCTACCTCCAATACCGCCGAAAGGTCGAAGAAGGATACTTCCAGCGCTTCGGCTCTATCTTCAAGGACTCCCCGGAGAACCGCGAACTGCGCGAGCAATGGGTTGAGCTCATGCTGAGGCGAATCGCCGATAAACCCGAACTAGGGGACAAGATCATCCCGGACTTCCCTCCAAACTGTCGCCGACCCACGCCAGGCCCGGGGTATCTCGAAGCCCTAACAAAGGACAACGTCAGCTACATCCAGACGCCCATCGAGCGGTTCACAGAAACCGGAATCGTCACAGTCGATGGCACAGAACGCCCCGTCGACGCCGTCATCTGCGCAACCGGCGCAAACGTAGACCACGCGCCCCCCTTCCCGCTAATCGCAAACGACATCGACCTCGGCTCCGCATGGAAACACGACGGCCTCTACGGGTTTCCCTACATATACCTCGGGCTTGCGGTCCCCAGGTTTCCCAATCTCCTCTGGATCGGCGGCCCATATTCCTCGGGCCACAGCGGAACGGTCCCCAACAGCATCGAGAACCAGGTCACATACATTGCAAAGGTTATCCGGAAATTCCGCAGCCAGGGCATCAAGACCTTCCAGCCCTCCGAGCAGGCTACGGATGATTTCGTCGAGTATGCGGATAAATTCTACCCACGCACCGTGTGGACCGGTAACGATGACTCCACGCCGGGGAAGAAGAATTGTCGCTCTTGGTATAATGGTGGTAAACCGGGGGGGAGAGTGCACGGGATCTTTCCAGGGAGTGCGACGCATGTTAATATCATTCGACGGGATCCGAGGTGGGAGGATTACGAGTATACCTACCTTAATCCTAGTGGGAATCGGTTTGCGTATTTTGGGAATGGGTGGACCGAGAGGGAGTTGAAGCCGGATGGGGAGGTGGATTTGACGCCGCATCTGAAGGTGCCGGAGAGTATTGATTTGAGGACTTATATGGAGGGCTGGTGGGATGTATAGATTTTGTTTTTCTTTTTCTTTGGCTGTTTACGATTGATTTTCCTCTTTTGAGATCAACTGTACATAGATTCTTACGATGATTCTTTCAGTGACTAGTTGCATACATGATCCATGAATACCCTCTATCCTCCATGTACTTCCACATATGTACTTTTATTCTCCAAGTTGAAGGCCTTCCCTTTCCGTTTCACTACTGTTTTGAAGGACAAGGCATACTTTTCGTTTTCGAGTTTGCTTCACTAGTATCGTTATCGTCGTCGTATAGTACGGAGCTCAGCTCCATCATCGTTGCGTCCTTTCTTTTGTTATATCTTCCTTACTAAATCGTCCTTTGCCGTGTTGTATCGGGGCTTCGTTTCAGTACATTCATCCCGGAGATCCCTCGACCACAACCCAGTTCCTATCGCAGGGAACAACGTACGTACGGCCCCCTTTACAACTAGAATGTGAGGACCTGTGAAATCGACGCCGAAAATGACAGCTTTTGAGGCCATAAACGGCCGCATTTCCACCCGTAATTTTTAGTGACCCATGGTTGCCTACCGCTTGCACGTGCTCCGCACCACTATATGTTAGTACACGTGAGGTTCTGCCGTCCTAGACCGCCCTCGCTACCTATCTCACGGCACAGGCAGGCCTACCTAGTAATACGACCATACATGCGCCTATCCATTATATATAATGGAGGTGTATCGTTGGTTACTAGCTAGATATGTTAGAGGTCACGTGTATTCTGCCATATTAGACCGCCCTCGCTTGGCCTGACACACTCAAATAGCTAGACCAACCTAGATAGAGACAATACAAGCAAGTTGATCCAACAAGATAGGCCTACGTGGTGAAAAGGGTCAGCGAGGGCGGACCTATGCGGCAGAACCCCACGTGATCCAACATATAGATCTCAATGGGCAGAAACAGCCTTGCCCCGTCAGGGGTTGCACGGGAAGCTTTCCTCGTCTTGAATTTAGTATGACACCCTACAATTTAGGTTGCCCCACCTCTTTTCCGAGGATGGTCTCAAGGCCTCGCCGCGATATAACAAGCACTTCCCAGCCCGTCTAGAATAATATTACAGGTATCCACCGACCCTATGCTCAGCTGCTACGTGCGCGACGCGTCTATGCTTTACGATGCTTTCGTTTTGGTCGGGTTACCTTGAGGTGCGACAGGAGCAAACGGAGGAGAACAAGTCACAGCAGATAATTCGAGAACAACCAACAAGGTAAGCCCATAAACGTACGGACTTGAATGAGCGGATTGTGGACAGCTGACGATGGTTCAGACCGGTCGATGAAGTTCCCCTCACTGGCGAAGAGAGTGATAGTGCTCAGGACGACCACCATGAGGAAGACAGTGGCCAGGTGGATTTAGAAGGCCATCAGGCTCAGTGGATCAAGAGTGTCTACATATGCGCTTGGATATCCGCACTTGTTCTCTTGATCAATATTGCTCTAATCAGCGCGGCAGGGGGTATGGCAGGTGGCGCGTACGGGACGACGCAAATGATCTATGAGGGCAGCTGTACTCTCACTAAGCGGTGGGACGTTGCACTGCATTTGCTCATCAACGTTCTAAGCACAGCTATTTTATCTGCCAGCAATTTTTGCATGCAAGCACTCGTCGCCCCCAGCCGCGAGGAGGTGGACCGATACCACGGCCGGAGGAAGTGGCTGGACATCGGCGTGCCCAGTCTGCGCAACCTGGGTGTCGCAGGGCGATACCGCATCAGTCTTTGGGCTATTTTACTTGTCACTGCCACGCCGTTCCATCTATTGTATGATCCATCCTGCGGTCACCAGCAGACCTCTAACATGTGGACAGATACAACTCGGCCATCTTTTCCACCGTAAGTAAGAACGGGTTTGCAGTGCTTCTGGCCCCAAGCAATCTAGAACCCAGTGCCTTTTCCAGCCTTACAACGACAGGGCTGGAGAACTGCTTCGGCGGAATCGTTGGATATTCCTGGAATGATTTCTTATCCTTCCTCGCCAATGATACGTACACTCGTCACGCACGGCAAGAATGCATCGACATCAGTAACGAGAAATCTCCATCAACAATTCGCACGATGGTCATCTTCACAAACTACTTGAACACATCGCAGGGCGGAAATAGGGCGATCTTCCAGACGAACAGCGATGTAGTGACTAGCAACCTGTTACGCTCGGAAGGAATCGACCCTAACCTCCTGTATGGGTCCCGAATGTCGCAGACAACGTGGGCCTTCAACATTAAAAATGAGGTGACTTACGATATCGGCAATTTCTCATATCTCGACTGTTACGACCGGATATCCGACTCCGACGCTTGCGAGGCCGGTTATCAGCTCAATTATTGGCTTGCTGATACACAGCCTCAAAGCCTCGAGGCCGTGGAAAGCTATATCCGCAGCGATATTCATGCTGACATTACTGCACATGTCCTTGACGAAACATGTCTCTTCGATTCATATTATTGGGAGTCAGGTATTGATATGGGTGACTGTCTTGTCATCCCTAGAAAGGGACAATGTCAACTCTTTTACAACCCGCCAATCAGCATTACCGTTATCATAACGGCCGCCATCAAAGTCGCTGCTATGTTCCTGGCTGCGAAGCTCGACCGTCGCCGCTCTAAGCCTCTTCTCACGGTTGGGGACGCAGTCGCCTCTTTCCTGACGCATCCAGACCCCACAACAAGGGGTGCCTGCTGGATGGCCAAGTCCGACGTAGACAGGACATGGCAAACCCTAGGGGCCACATCACCAGATTACGGTGGCGACGCACGGGGAATATACTTGAAGCCTGGACGCCTATCTCGTCGGAGGCATTGGTGGCAGGCGGCAAGCAGTCTTAGATGGGTGGTAACTTTCTTACTGTAAGACTAACAACCTCATCCCCCCGGACGACCATTTTCATTTGCTTAGCTTCGCAGGAGCGGGATGTGTCTCGGCGTCGGTGGATACCTGCTTGGACAAGCCGGCAGCGTGGTTGGTGTCAATGATATGTCCGTGAAACACTGGTGGCAGTTGGGCTTTGGCACCAAAACAGGCAGCGCTGTTATCAACGCCCTGGGATGGCCTATCCTCGCCTACGTTATCGTTGCCAACACGCCCCAATTCATTATTACCATCAGCTACTATTTCTACAACAATGTTTTATCCAGCATGCTCGCTGCAGCGGAGTACAGCTCGTACGGGGCATCGCGCAAGCCACTCCGCGTCACATGGCCTTCGCCAGACTCACTGCAGCGCTCGACATATTGGCTGAGCGTTCCTTATCGATACAGCATTCCACTGTTGGCTTTGTACGCTGTTCTTCACTGGACGATCTCACAGAGCTTGTTCTACGTGCAGATCGTGCCACGCGATAAGTTCTCCCAACCAATAGATGGTCAGGTACTCAAAGGGCTGGGATACTCGCCCATTGCCATTTTCGCATCGCTTCTAGTAGGAGGTGTACTAATCTGCACGCTCATCGGAATGGCAGCCTTTCGCCACTTCCGATGCTCTGTACCGCTAGCCGGAAGCTGTTCTGCTGCGATCAGTGCATCCTGCCATCCGGGGGACGATGTGGACCTTCAGACTGTTGCTTTGGGCGATGTGACCTGGGGGGAGACCGTTTCATTGCCGGCGTGGATGGGAAACGATACCGCTCATGGCCACTGCAGTTTCACTTCCGGAGACGTTTCGAAACCATCGCTAGATAAGGTATATGCCTAGTTGGCTGGTCTTTTTCATTAAACTTGATATAACAAGGGGTTACAGAGGGCATGTGTGTAGATGAGTTCGATGAGATGAGAGAATATGAAAGAACGGTGATCCACGATGGGAGTGCCACCGCTCCTACTTTCTCCGTTGAGGATATTTAGAATACTGACTATATCATCATTGATATTCACGCTATACAGAGGGCCTTAACGGATGAGAAGGGAGGATTTGACATAACATCGTATGCAACTTTAGGGGCATTCAGACTCCTGAATGGCGTCTACACTTAACCTCTTCGGTAACGTTCCTCAATCTCGCGATCATCTGCTGCTTCTCCATCTTCAATGTGTCTGGCTGGGCGACGGATTTGAATCTTCAGATGAATATCCGTCGGCCAACTCTTCCCACGTGATTTCTTTTGGCTTTGGATAATGCGAAACCTATATAGACCTTATCCGTATGGACTTACCTTTACAGTGGAAGAGAAAGAGGACCTACCAGCTCCTCCAAAGATGGAGGCCATTTGCGGTCGGAGTTAAAGAATTGGATTTGGCCATTCTGCTTGAGTCGAACCTTACGACACTAGCCATCAGCATCATCGGCAAATCCTAGGAACAAGGGTGTCCCACGGGTTTGACACTATCCTATGTCTGGACCAAAATACATAACTTTCCCAACCGATGTGGGTACCGCAAGCAGAAGTGCATCCAAGCTACAAGAATACGTCGATACGGCAAGCACAGGAGAGATTGTTCTGGAACAGAATAAATCCCAAGATTTGCATGCAATCCTAAGACTCCCCATCCTGGAAATCTCTTTGTCCTGGGCACGTCCTTACCTGAATTTGACCATCCCATGGTCAATTTTATCACAGGATTGACTATCCCGGGATTCGTCCGCTCCTGGAATTGATATTTTCGGGATATGGTCGACCTGGGACCCGTCAAATCCTATGCGGCAAGGCACACGACCTTTAGCGACTGAAGCCCGCCCTGGACATATACCTGGGGGTTTAGGTCCCTGGCGGGCCCAGGCATGTGGTCTGAACACCTACAAGGTCGGAGGCCTTAGAGCAGAGGGCCGAGGCGGCGTGCCCAGGTACTGATGGCCAGCGTCATAAGGTCGGGTGCAGCAGCCCTGGGCCATCCGACCAGGTATTGCCAGACCGGGTACCCCCGACCGACTCGATCATCAGACGCTGGTCGTACGACCAGCTCGACCGCAGGACCGCCAACTGGCGACCCTATCAGACGTGAATCCCCAGCGGTCATCTATCTACATGCTTGCGGCCCCGTTGGTCGGCCGGACCGCCCAGACTATCCCGGACGCGCTACAACTCCTCTTCTTCTATGACTGGCCCAGCGGTTCCAACATTCTGGAGCAATAGTGTCACCGAGGCCACCAGGTTCCGCGTCACTGCGAGGCCTCTTCCCAAACCCATGAGGACCGTGAAACTTCCGTCGTTGATCGCCGCGCGGACACACTGGTCCACAGCAACTTTCCGTAGTGAACGATCATAGAAATGGGCCTCCTGCTCCGGGTCTCGTGCATACCGGTCGGCGATGGCCTGCGCCTCAGCTGGATTAACGGAATCCACAGAGACCGCGTCCATCACTATCCATTCACCCCGCTGGTAAGCGCGAAAGGTGATGGTCACCCGCCCTCCTGGTGACGAACCGCCAGCAGGACCACTATTGATATTACCCACCGCGAGGTGAGCCGCATCATTGGCTTCGTCGTGCACCACATCCCTCACACCTGTGCTGACCGGGTTTGTTATGTCGCGCTGAGTGGCATCGAGCTGTGCGACTTCTCCCTGCACTGGAGCCTCGAAATTGACCGCCCGTCGCCGGGAGGACAAACCTGCTCGTGACGCCTTCGACGGACCTCCCGGCCGGGCCTGCTTTGGCTTGCTATCTTGGCCGGTTTCGTGACCTTCCGGTTGGGCCGGGCAGCGACCGCAGGAGTGCGGTCTTCTTCAGAATCTTCTATTTCCGTGTCCTCTGCCTCTTGCATCGTATGCGGGGTATCAAAGAGGAGGTCCTCGCCCTCTTGTCTTGCAATGGCCTCCCGTTGGGCCTGCTCCGGATCGGGCAGAACGGCGGGATATCGCTCAACATCCTGTTGAGAAAACCCAGTAGTCCCTGCCATAATGCCTCCAGCCTCGTCACCGTCCTCGTCGCTACCCCACAACTCATCGGCAATGGCAGCATCTCGAGTACCTGCCCGATTGATCTCTCGACGTGTGGTCTGATTCTTCCTCAGTTTACGGACTGCTCCTTCTGGTTGATGTGGCTGCAGACCGATCCTCGGACCCCGCCGGGGAGATCGGGGTAGATTCGTACGGCCCAAATTCAAGGGCTATCTTCAAAAAATTTTGGAGAAGGCCGATGGAGACTATTGCTCATAGCTGGCCTGGCAAATAGAGATCAACCATGAGTACCATAGGGAAGTTCCTCTACTACCCTGCGCTTTCGATCTTTCCGGCATTGCGTGTTACTGCGGACCATCACGATCAAGGCAAATGGCTATCCGTTCCCTCCGAATTTGCATAACAGGCCTCTGGCTCCAAATGGGATGGCGCCTTCAAGCGAGCGGGATATTATCCTCCGGGCGTTAAAGGGGGGTTGGGATCACGAGAAGGTTGTTGGACAGCTGAAGCAGATGAGGAGGGATGCGGCAGCTTAGTTCACGTTCAATTTGAAAGTCCACGTCTCTGCATGGCTTTGGGATTATTGATGTATCTATAGCATGTAACTAGTGGCATTGAATAGTAGCTTTGATGTCAAATTAGGGCTCGGTCCATGCATACGAGGCGGGAGGCATCAACACTTAGAAGCACCAGCAATATAAAATAATCCTAATACTTATCAACCAGATCCATACAAATAGAGCTGTATCCCAGACCAGGATTACTCGGTATCATCAGGATGAAACACCAAAGCCCGAACCTCAATACTCTCCCTCCCCGGAACCCTCCCTTCCCCCTCAAACTCCGGATCCACAAACGCTGAATGCGGCACCCTCCTCGCCCTACCATCCGTCTTCGAGTCAAAACACTTGATAAGCGTCACCAAATCCGGCGTCTGCGCATACCGGAAATACCACCTATGCCTCTCGCTAGGTCGAACAACATACGTCTCCCCCTCACGGTCCGGGTAGATGAGTTTCGCGCCGATCAGGTCCGAATCGGGCACGGAGTGCGCCTCCGCGACGGCGAGGGGGTCCTTGTATATTGTTTTTATGGGGCGCCAGACATTGATTATTTGGTACCGGCCCTTTAGGAGGGTGGGTGCTTGCTCAGGGAGGTGGTGCAGGACGCGGTTGCGGGAGGCTGGGTAGGATTGGTCTATGTGGACGCGTTGGACGGGGCCGCGGAGTGCGATTGCTGGGGAGACTGGGTTTCCTGGCGAGGAATCTGATGCTGAGTATTGACGGCGGATCGTATGGTCGAAGATGAAGACTTCAGATGCGCCGGTTCTGTTCAAGTCAGTCCGCATCAATACCAATAACCCTGATGCTCTGGGCGACCTACACATCCTTGAGCAACTGCTCCGTCTCCGGGTAATAAGCCCGCTTGATCTGCTCGTCGTCTGTGAAGGCCTTCTCCTTGCTCTCGTGCCGATGAATCTGGAATCCATGCTGGTCAAGTGTATACTCGTCTTCATGGCCCGTGATATCGGTGATGGTGACCGGGAGAGTCTCGACCGGACGATCGTAGCTTTCCGGCCTCCCAACGTAGCTGGGGGCAGGAGGAGTGCCATCGCCGGGATCTTTATAGTAGTTCAGCACCGTCTGGACGTGATGAGGCTTGGGGGTGGAAGAGGATATGGATGGAGAAGAGCTGGTGGTGAGGGAGGGTGGCTGACGGGGGGTTTGGACTGCTGCGGCCATTGTTCTTTTGTTATGTTATGCCTTTTTACTCAGAATCCGTAGAATAGGACTGACTTCTTATACACCTCGCCGTCGCCATCTACGTTCCAAACCGGACGCGGGGTGATGGGAGCAGGTATGGACGGATTTGTCAGAATCGCACGCAATCCCACCAGGCTTCCACGTCAGGGAGACTTGCTGAGAAATAAAAAATCGGTTAATTGGATTTCCAGGATGCATGGTTTGGGATAATAGCTGATTGGGGGTATGCTATTTGCTGGGACTTGGGACTTGGGGCTTGCTGAGGTGAATTGTCACGCATGTTGTTGTTGCCGCCGTCCCTTGATTTCTAATGCTTCTTCTAAATCATCATCGGATATTCCATCTGGAGGTCTATAGAGTGATATAGCAAAGGTTGATTAAGCGGGTTCATTCTCACCTTCCCTCTGCGTTGCCCTATTGCTCAAGATACGAGATGGCATTCTGAAAAGTATTCTCCGGATCAGCCCTCTCCTTGACCCTCTTCAGAAGCTGGAGAATGTTTCCACAGATCCTGTCAGGTTCGAAGTCGTCGCGAGTCAGGCAAGAGACGTAGGAAGCGGGCACGATATTCTCTGCACTCGTCTTCCTCAACGCCTCCCCGAATTCCCTCCCCCAGGCCAGCGTTGCTTCCAGGCTATCCCTGTCCACAATAGCAGTAACTTCACACATAAAATGGCCTTCCCGCGCCGAGAAGACCGAGCCCGCATTCGCTTTCGCAGAAAGAGAGCAATCGCGGAGCTTGTGCATGTCAAAGGTGATGTGCGGATCGGCGGGCATACTGCTTGTATACCGGGCGATAACGTCGGCAACCTCTACTGTAATCGCCCTCACGCTTATGGTGAACGTCTGGCCTTGCGTGGACTTGGCGACGAGTCTGTCTTGCTCGTGCAGCCATGCTAATGGGGTCCTTGGCTGCACTGCGTTGGCCACAACAGGGCCGAGAGTCGACATCCTCTCAACCCACTGGTTCCCCGTCTCGAGGTCCTCGGACGCCCCCTGAAGAGAAGTCCAAATGTTGGCGTGAGCACATTCAGAACAAACTGGTGGACGCTCAAGAGGCGTAGCCTGCATTCCTTCCGCCGATAATAGAGCCCTGTACCCTTCGTTATACTGGCGGACAACAGTGGGAAGGTCATCATCGGACTTGAAGAGCACGCCCGACAGAATCCAGTCCAGCTTGTAGATGGAAATGGTCAATTCGACGATCACACCGAATGCGCCTTCGGCGCCGCGGATTGCCTTCAACAAATCCGCATCAGCTTCCACCGGCTCGCCCTGAGCGTTGATCACCTTCGCTCCCACGATCCGGTCTACCCCCAGCCCGAAGCGGGAGCTGTAGGGCCCGTACCCGCTATACATGGCCCAGCCAGCGTATGCCACCCGTGAGATTGACGCGACGGGGGTGATGAATCCCTGTTGCTGCAATGCCCGATCCACATCGCCCAGCGGAGCGCCTCCTCCCACCTTCGCGGTGGAAGAGGCTGTGTCAATCTGAACATGGTTGATAAGTCGCAGGTCCAGAGCGACGGCCTGGTTCTTCATAGATCACCGTGTATATCGTGTCTGCTGCCTCGAACGGTGAAGTCGATTTTGTTGCTGGCTAGGAAGGAGACGGCAGCGGTGACAGCCTGCACGTGCTTGGGTCAGAGAATCGCTAGCGGGACAATCTCGGGGGTGGGCATACGCATTCGTCCGGAGCACGAGGCGATAATTCAGTGACGGTGGACAGTCAATCTATGTGTTTGGTCTTACTGATATTGTGGTGCAGATATTGATGTTGGTGGTGAAGCTATCAAGGTCTTAGAAAAGGCCATTTTATACAGCAGCGGTGGTAGTCATAGGCTATGTCCACGATGGCAAAACTCTATCTATCTAGTTCCAAGAAGTCCTATACGGCATAAAATGAAAAGAAGGAAGACATTATATCTTGTACGCCCGGACCAATTTCGTAATGCTTGTTCCATCATCAAGAACCTCCACTTCCTCCTCCAGCGAGTATCCTCCCCATCGAGGCAGGAAAACGGTCCATATATACCAGTAGACGACCGCGAAGAGGATTCTACCAACGTCAGCGTACATATTATCCCAGTGGGAAGAGAGGGGGGAGAAAGAGGGAGAGAAAGGGGGAGAGACAAAAAACTTACATCCCAATCCCAACGATGGCATAAGTAGCGTAGAAAAACCCCACGTCCCCTTTCCCATCAGGAGGAGGGAATAAAGGTGCCGCCAACAGCGCCACACACACTGCGATCCTCAACCAAACAGCCGGGAGCCAGGCCTTGAATGGTCTCTGTAGATCTGGATGTCGGACTCGAAGCACCAACAATCCCACCGAGACTGCCAATGCGAAGATCTGGCTGGGGTATCCTTCGACATCGAGAATGAAATTGTACACGTCGCCCTGTGGCGGTAGTGTGATGACAAGAAGGGAGGGGGCGTAGTGCACTAGCAGCCCTCCCAGGGGGGAATTGAAAGGGCGAGACGAGGATAGCGTCCGAGAGAAGGGGAGGAATCCTTGACGGGCTATTTCTTGGTTGATTCTTGCCTACATAGATCGTATTAGACAAGTCTGCACATAGACAAACAGAAAACATACCGTTGCAAAAGTAACCACCATCACATTTCCAGCAGCGGAAATAGCAATGGCCAGTGGAAACAGTGTCCTGCCAACATGGGCGCCGAACACCTGCTCAAAGAACAAGGCTGCCACCAACTCCCCGCTGGATTTGATCTTCTCGATCGGCACGACCAGGAAATAGGAGATATTCGCAAGGAGATACAGACCGCAGGCCGTGAACAACGCTGCTGGTCCCACTGTCTTTAGCGTTTTCACGGGGTTCCTGACCTCATTGAGAACGTTGTTGACATTCGTCAGTCCAGCATAAGAATAAAAGACCTTGAACAGGGAGGTGGAAAGTAATCCCCAGCTCCAGTTGGAATCTCTCCAGATCTCATCCCAGGAGATATTGCTCGCCTCATGCTCAGGGCTCTGCAGTCCACGATCACGGAACAGAATCACCCAGATCCCCGTACAAGACATAGCAGCAACGAGAAAGATCTTAATCCAACCAATTGCATCCTGCACCCATATCCCTGCCTTCAGGAAGCGCCCATGTATAAGGGTAACAGCAGTCAACAACCCAGCCGCCAAAATCTTATGCTGAAACTCACTCGGCTGCACATCCAGCGCAAAAAGCGTATACTTGGAAAAGATAATACAGTTGCTCGCCGAGAATCCCAGCAAAACGGCCTGCACCGCGATCAACGTCGACGCGAGGAACCGCGGATGTCTATACGTATACTCGAGGTATACCTTCTCCCCGCCAGAACGAGGAAGCATACACCCGAGTTCCAGCGAAACCACCAGTCCGCAACCAGACAGGATCGACCCGGCAATCCACAAGGAAATTGTCAACCCGATACTGCCCGCAGACTTGACAATGGAGCCTGGGGTAGCGAACACGCCGCTTCCGATGACGCGGGAGATGACGAGGATGTACGCGCTGGACCAGGATAGATTCCGGCCAAACGTGGCCGTTTCAGGGACGATGTCATCATCGATGGAGCGGTGCACAACTGGTGTGTTGCTCCTCTCCTGCTCTGTTAATGCTTCAGCTTCGACTGGGACGGTTGCGTACTGGATTGGGGAGGGAAGGAGGGCTTGGGTTTCATGTGCTTCTTCCATTCTGGAGGTGCTTTCCCATTGCAGGATGGGGGAAGATAGGATGAAGCAACATGGTAATATGCGAGGGGTGATAGCTGCTGCAACGTAGCACGCTCCATATTTGTAATACCTCAGCTGAATGGGATGATTTATCGGAGGGAGAAACAGGTTGGCAAACATGCGCGGTTCGCGTCATCAGCGGTGGGAGTGGTGTTATTTTCGCATATTAATAATCTCGTCGCATTCTCGAAGAATGTGTTATCTATACATGTATGGAGGAATATATGAGGAACTGCTGTTTGATGGGAGCTTTTAGATGGAGATGGCAAAGTTGAAGATGCATTTCTGCCTATGGGGATTGGCAAACGTGTTGCAGCACAGCAACCTCAGCTCCCCCATTAAGAAAGCAAAGGTCAACAACATCCGCAAAACACCTACTCTGCCCGATAGAGCGTCCGACGAAGAGGCTTTCGGTGGGAGGTATAGATGCGGTCTTCACATGTCTCAGATAACTTGCAGACATGTGGGTGTACGTGGACGGCTGTCAAAAGGACTTGAGATCCGTGTATCGAGACAAAAGTGATGTTATGCCTTCGCATATTATCAATAATGCGTCATCCATGCAGGTTGAACAAGTCTGTTAATTCAATGGTGATCTTTTGGAGGGACAAGTTTATATCAGCCCCTATGAGACATTCAACGATGCCATTTGCCTCCAGGAAAACGAAAAAAATAAAAATAAAAATAAAAAAAATAACAGAGCGTTCTCCTCGAAAGAATAGAACGCCAATCATCTTAGAATCCCCATATTTGTAGGGCTTGCGAGAACTGTCGATGACAACTGCCCTCACAACAACCCGGCCACGATCTGCGTCAACGACTCATCCTCTGCCTGAAAAAACTCCATACCCGGAACTTGACTGAAATCCACACCGTCCACCGGGTTGCTTATATCCGTACTAACTCTCGGCAAATTCGAATCCCCATTGTCAAGACTATCACGCACGGCATCACAGCAAAGAGTGGACGTGTTCATTTGTCCTCCTATGTCTGGTGCCGGTGCAGGCGTAGTAGTCTCACGCGGCTCAAGGAAGTATGCACCGGCTATCTCAAAGAAATTGGTCAAGTCGTCACAGCTAGTGTTCCCAATTCCTACGGCCGTATCACCGGTAACCGGGGACAGGGCGGGAAAGATGGGTGCTTCGTCTGGTGATGGTAACTGCGCAAGCGAAGGTATTTGGGGATTGACTGGAGGCCGGGGATGGATATCTTTCACACCGACATTATGGGAGCTGGGGGTTCCTGGAATAGTTGTGGCGTTGATACTTTTCGAGCTTCTGTTTCCACTCCTGGACTTTCCTTGCTCCAGATTTAGGTTCCTCTGTATAAGTTTGAGACTGCGGATAATCTTCTGCAGGCGTCTTGACGTCTCAACCCGAGTAGACGATCGCCTGACTAGGTCCACAGCCATGTAGAATTCAGACCGACAAACTTGACTAAACCGAGCAGGCGCATGCAGCACGGCCAGGAATAAGGCTGCCAGGGCGGAAAGAAGGAAATAATTAAATGGTTCCGGGTGCTGGAAGTAAACCGGGACAACTTGACTGAAATAATCAATCATATGGATAGTATTCTTGGCCGCATCCACAGCCGTGGATGCGCCGGAGACATCCATCTCGATGTAACTGCTGTTCAAGAGGTTCTGTCTGTAGAGTAGGATACGGAGATGGTTGGCTTGCAGTGCGAGAAGCACCTGTAGTGTCATGACGCGTCCTGTATGTCGTGGTCCAGACAAGGATCGCCAGGTCGGGTCGAATTGAAGATCTGGGGGAATAGACTGAACCCATACCCGCACTTGATAATCCAGATAGGAGCAGGTGTCAGTCGTACGCACTCGAGGCCGACGGCGCCACCCAACGACGAAATTCCAGACTTTGGGGATGAGACGTGCATAGGAGATCATGCATGTAAGATATGGAGAGGAGTCTCCCTATGAGGCGTCAGCGGCAATGAGTCTTCCTGCAGCGGCATGAAAAGGAAATGAGGACACCTACGGGCCCAGGGAGGTCCGTATCCATATCAGAATCTTGAATAGAAGCAGGCAAACCCGTTCCAAAACTAAACTGTCTATCCAGCACGTAGAGACACCACCACAGCCGACTCGCCCACTTCGAACGCAATTCGCCTGAAAAGCAGCCCCCGCTTTTAGACCAAGTCTCCTGGCAGTGGAGTCCTATTTCCATGCAGCCCCGAATGGCCATCCCGCTGAGACGCCATGCGTAAACTTCATCATCCCGATAGGAATGGAAAATCGACTACACGGTTATCCAACAATTAACAATCTCGAATATCAGATGAACCCGAAGCAAATCGACCTCACCAGCAATGTCAAAATGAGAACTTCTTTCATGTCAACCGTCGCAATCTTTAACCGAGTCGCGAATATATCCTCAACACTATCCGCCAGCTGCGCTGCCCACTCACTCCGGCCATGAGATTCTGCCAGCAGCGCGATAGCAAGGATGAGTTTCAGAACCTGGACATCACGTGCATAAAACCAATCCTGGTCGCCAGATTCGCCGGGAGGCTGCTCTTCAACCGAACCTCCGCGCAAGGTGAGAGCTCGTTTGGGGGATGCGTCGATGCTGGCGTGGTCACCGTTATAGAAAGCTCTGGTGTATTCACGCACGCTTTCCAAGTCCACGCATGGATACATGATGCCGACCACGTCCTCATAAACCTCTATCAAACGCAGGGCTTGAGCCTGTCCGAGACTTACAAGAGGATCGCCATCCTGGTTATTATGTGCACTTTCTTGTTCACCTTCCGACTCGTATTTGGAAGCTCTTCCACTTCCATCTTCAGACTCATTCCCAGAAGCATGCGGGTCCAATAAGCCCGACGCGGCCGCCAGGCCGAACTCAGCACTAGTAGGCCCAACGAACGTAGGCGACCTAGGAGGGTTCAAGATCCGACCCAAATCGGAACCAGATAAGGGCACGGGCTTTGATGGTACCTGCGAAGCTGACCCGGCGATGGGGGTCATAGAGGAAGAGAGCGGGGAAGAAGTCGATGCGGCTGCTGCTGCTGCTGCTGCTTCAAGCTCCTTGATACGCCCGGTGAGCCCAAGTGTTTCGCGCTGGAGAGCCTCCAGTTTGTCACAGACAGCTTTGAATTGATTTGAAAGCCTAAGAAATTGTCAGAATCAGATGGAGAGATTCGGGCTAACACAAAATCCCATAGAAAATGGGGGAAAGACCAACTTGTAACTGTCGTTTTCTGGCATTTCCCCCGGACGATTCAGGGCATTAGACTCATCATCGATATTATTACTATTAGACGTGTAGACACAGCGCGCCCCGTCTCTGGCGCACCGCCAGCAGATAGGCTCGCCACTACATTTCAACTTGCGTCTCTTGCATTCGTTGCTATCGTTCAAGCAGAACAGGAAACGAAATAAATTACCGATTTGTTCTTTCGCTTGTCATCATGGAAATGATCCAAGAGAGCCCAATGGATATGTACATACCAGGCGACTTGGGTGTATTTTGCTCTTTTCCTGCTCCGTTGCTGCGCGTCGGGAGCTGCGGAGTCACGATTCCTTTTAGTGAAGGCAGATGAGGGAAGTCTGGAAGAATCCATATTGATTCAGTTCCATTGTACTTTAGGCATCCATGCTTTTAGATGTGGTGATAATTAATGGATGAAGATCGATCGAGTATGGGGGAAACGAGGGGAAAAGTTGGAGAGAGGTTGATAAGCGGCATGGAATACAGGGGCTTCTGGGCCCGTCAGGAGGAACGATTCCACATCAAATATTGCTGTTGTATTATACGATGCTGTACATCATTAAGTCTTTTGCCATCAATAAATAATGGTTGAACAAATATTCATTTTCATCTTTTTCATAGGCATGCCTCTAGACGTGTACACACCTGAATGTACAGCAGGTACCGAGGCTGGGGGTCTTTTATCTATCGCATGTACGGAATATGCATGCAGTTGATTTATATACGCCACAACAAAATTTCATCTACACGACTAGACAGGCTAAATATGTGAATGTCGGCAGCAATTCGCAGGCGCCAACGTCGAGGACAAGTTCTTGTTCGAGGGCACGTCAAGTGAAGGATTCTCGGTAAAGAAATCATACGGCCGAATCATAAGCTGGAACGTTTCGACGGGCCTGTGGAAAGCGAACAACAAGTCAGTAACCGGCATCTACAGAGAAAGAAAGAGCAAATCTTACATGACGGGCCAATCTTCCACACGGGGAATATGCGTGATGCCAAACGAAGTCCACACGACCAGATCCGTGTCAGTGACGCTTTCACCGCGCTGGACCGCATCTGCAACGCCACCAATCTCTTCCCGGCTCTGTAATGTGTATCTTCCGCCGGCATAGAGTTCATAATCTTTGTATTTGGTGACCCAGACGTGATGCTGAGCAAACTGTGCACGACGAGCCTGGATGGAGTCTGGGTCGGCGAGGAGCAGCTGCGTTGGCAGGGGTTGAAATTTGTATGCCACGGGATTCTTGCTGATGGGGTTTATCTTATGAGGATTGATAATCTTGACAGTGCGGTTGAGCTCTGGTGCTGCGTCTAGCCAGCCTGCTCGCTCCACGGGAGTCCTGACGATCTTGTAGAAGTTCCCATTCGGATTCGTCTCTTGGTTCATCGGCACGCGGTGAGCTTCTTCGACAATTACGGAATTTTCATGACCGTCAATCGCGGGGTCGATACGGACGTTGAAGACGTGTTGGTGGTTCTGGGCGAGAACTCCTTCACTGACCACGTTGCCATATTCACTGGTCTTTCCGGCATCAATGTTCACAACGTTCAAGATCCCTGTTGCTCGTGCTTCAAGGGTGATGCCTCCGGACTGGTCGAATTTGTACGCGAAGATGTATTCGTAGTTGGCCAGTGTGATGATGAATTGGACTACCAATTCACGGTGGCGAGTGACGACTGCACGTCCAGTCCTCCAGTTGGAGTGCTTCCATCCAATACCATTGTCCTGTTCATGCAGGCAGATGACATTTGGTAATTTCTTAGCCGTGCCGTCGGCCTCAGTGGCGACTGCGTCAAAGTACTTGATCAGTCCCAGACAATCACAACCTAAGGAGAGATTGTTTGCCATATTTCCACCACCACCATCACCGAAATCAAAGGCCTGTTTCCGATGGTACGGCGGTCGGGGGTCTGCATATGGAACAGTCTGGAGAATTCCCATTCCTCTGTCAGTATAACGGGTCACCCGGTAACTGTTAGAAGAAATGCAACATACCATTTCACTGACGCTTAGACGGTACATGACACTACGGCCATCATACCAGACATCATGGATTGTAGCGCCTTCGCGCGGATTAAATCCCACACGGAACCGCCACTTTTGCCATTCAACCAACGATTCGTCGGTGATGCGGAAAGACGGGCCCTCTGGCTGAACCACGTTCAGCTGTTTCAAGTCCTTCCGAGTTCCTTCAGGCAGCAGCTCTGGAATGTAATCTGAAGCTTTGCAGTGGCCAATGATGTCGCGGTTGAATGTCTGCTCTCGCAGGCCCTCCCCCTTGCCTCCTGTCGCGGGACGATCGACACGAACAATCTCCTGCGTGACAGCGTCCATAACGGGAATCACCGGCAGAGGGTACGAGTAAAAGTTGGCATCTGGATTTCCGGAACGAGTGTCGCGCGCGAAGCACAACGCCTGGACATAACGGCGGTTTTCCTCCGGGTAGTCCACAGGGCCATAGGGCCATGGTTCAATAACGACCTCGAATCCCTCGGGCAGATCAAAGTCAGACAGTGCCTGCTTGAAAAGTGAAGACGTCTCACAGCGTTCCACGAGAATATCAAACTCCTTCCTGTTTTTGGTTATCAGCATTATGTTTCTCAGGGAGCATATCGTAATGAGAAACCAACGCACTGGATTATACTAGCATGATGGGGTTTTCCTACAACCTGATGCTTCACACACTTTCCTAACTCAACATCTACAACCGATTCATGGTATTCCGGTAGACGGTCTGTCCCAATCACATCGTACTGGCATAGAGCAAGACGTGGAGGACGGGGACTTGTTGGACTTAGTCTGGCGGAGTGTTCTAGTGCCAAGTACTCCTTCAACTGAGCTTTAGGAGGTTCCAGGAGGTAGATCTCGCGAAAATCGATCACCTTGTCTGTATAAGAGGCAAGGACAACATCGCGAGCGCGGGTTGTTTCCTGTTCAGACAGGATGGCGAGAGGATGGGGGGGCATGATGGTTCTGATGTATGTATGCGCAGGAATTGGAGGACTATAGGAAGAAAAGAGGGGAATAAGAGAGGTTCGACATCTTATATATTCCTATTACATACTATCTATCCCAAAGACAGTCTCGGATCGGAAGCAGGAATCGATACCTCGAATGTCTTTGCTGCCTTGGTCAAGCTGAGGTTCTCCAGCGTATCGCGGAACGCCCTCGGAACCACCGCGGAATATCGGAAGCCATGTACATCACGTGGTGATAATTGCCTATCACCACGTGATAGATATTCCGTTTTTGGAAGCGCAACAGAACGGCCAATTTGCCTGAAGGAGCATCATCCATCACAGGTTCCAGGCTTCTAGGCTGTACGCGCTGGAAGACCTGCGTTGCGACGACAGATCAACTAACATGACCATTATAGAGAACCAAGCGGTATGAGTGATGGCTTTCCCGATACCACATGTCCATCACCCTCAGGCCGAGCACACTCACACAATCATCCTGCTTCACGGCCGTGGAGTAATGGACCCAAGCTCGCGGAAGAGCTCTTTTCCTCCAAGACAGCTACTGGCAAGGATCTGCAATCTGAACTGCCTAGCTATCGTTGGGTCTTTCTGGTCTCACGCGAGCGACAAGACACCAGGTTTAAAGAAGTCATGCCGGCTCGGTTTGATGCATGTTCCCTAGCTGGTATAGTTGAGGGTTTTGGAGAGTCCGTTCTGCTCGTCCTTGATATTATTGAGAGCTCACCAGGCGACTGAGCGGAAAATAGCAGACTGTTTTTCTTGGGTCCATCAGTCAGGGGACGGCGACGGCTTTATGAAAGCTGTTTTGTTTGAATGCACGATTCGACGGGACTAATGGGAAGATGCTTGGATGCTTCCTGGGGCTCTCTAAGCGGTGCCCTTTTGCACGGCAGATCATGGCGACTATCATAGCCAAGCCAATGACGAAGAGGGACAACCTCCCGGTTTACACGAGACGAGTAAGATGGTCAAGGCATCCAGATTTGTCCTTGGGACGATTGAGCAGAACCCGCTGCAGTCGGGGGTGGAGGAGGAATCCAGATACAAGTCTTTGCTGGCGATTTCCGTGCTCCTAGGCCATGGAACGGAAGACCCGTTTGTGGATTGTGTCTCTAGGCCGCCTGGCGCGTCGGATACCGGCAGACATCGGCATGCGGACCGAGTGGAAGAGCATGTCAAAGTAAATAACAAGGGTGTTGGATCAAGGAGCCTGAGGGGCTTGATGAGATGGTGCAGTTTCTACGGATTGCAGCTAGGCAACAAGGCAAGGTAGATTCAGCTGATCTGGTGTAATCTGTAGCCCTCGGTTCATCGTCATACTTCTTCTTTCTCTTCTTCAATCCCAGGGTCACCATAACAATAGCAAGATTACTATCCGGAGAGTATACTCTGGAAAGTATAAGTGATATCGCCATGGAGTGGGTTCCTGGCTTCAGCGCTCTATCTGTTGTGTCATCGCCGGTCCAAATCACATCAGCCGTCACTCCCGCATGTTATTCTGATCATTATGATCATTTCCTGCTACGAATGCCTCCATAGGATCTCCGTATGTATAATATAACTATTAAGTCCTATCTATCACGCCATCCCAACCCCGCCTTGAGCAATTGCATCCCCGGGAGAGCCAAAGGCATCCAGGCATTCATCCCGTCCAACTCGCATCGCGGCGCTGGTCCGATCAAATCTCGCGAATGAATGGGAAAAGTCTCACGTATTTCTGCTTCGCTTTCCAATGATGCTCCCTGATACACGGTGGAGTGGATCGATCCGGTTCTCGGGCTGGTTGCGCCCATATATCTATCCTCCAGAGCCCTAATCGTCCTGTCCAGTCTGGTTCAGTTCTGCGTACTGTCGACAATTACCACGGACATTCCCTTCATGGCCCTTCTCGCTCCAGAAATCATGTCGACGACATCCACATGTCTTCAACTGGACGAGTTGAATGAAAGAAGCCTGCAGAATCACATCCCGAACCGTCGAGAGGTCCCCAGGCATATCTACCTACAAAGCGGAACCCTCGAAGCAGCAACCCTCCAGGAGATCCCGAGTCCATCGAGTGAACTGGAATCCCAGTCTCAATATCAGCTTGAATCTCAACGGCCTGGTTTCACGCCTATCGGTGAACAGTGCCAGAGGCAAGAACTCAAACAGAGAGCACTCCTACTCAAAGCAGCCCGAGAGCAGTACACTCTGGTAACGGACCATGACATCCCATCGATCTCGCAGAAGGGAGAGATTCTCATCAAGGTTGCTGCTATCGGGCTGAACCCTATTGACTGGAAAGCACCGTACGTGTCATATTCTTTTTGGCCGAACAAACCCTCCGATCCAGCGTTCTAACGTAATCCCGTAATAGAGCCTTCAACTTCGGCATCCCCAGCCTCCCCTGGGTAAACGGCCGCGACCTTGCAGGTACCATCGTCCAAGTCGCAGATGAATTCGAATCCGAGCTTCAAGCAGAAGGCAAAACGACCCGTCGTCTCCGGGTAGGCGATACGGTTCTCGTTCCCTCGACAGACTACAGAGACATCCGGAAAGCCGCGTTCCAAGAATACGCCATTGCAACACATTTCAACGCAGCCCGTATTCCCTCCGGTGTACCCGTTCATGTCTCCGCGTCGCTGGGGGTAGCCTTTGTAGCATCCGTGCTGGCGTTGGGAGTGTCATTCGGACTGGACCTGTCGTCTGCTGAACGTGTCCCCGGACCGGACTTTGTGCGCATTCTGCGTGATATCGGCGAGAACAGCGGTCGTATTCCCGACGATATTCGGGAAGAGTGCTTCTCTGGAAAGGAGGAGGCGGAAAGGATCAAAAGGGGGGACTGGCTTGCTATCTGGGGTGGTTAGTTACAACACTTAGATACTACTGGATCATTGCTCTCTGTGACTAACGTACAATGAAGCATCAACAACAACGGGCTACCTAACCATCCAACTCGCTAAGCTCGCCGGTCTAAACGTCATCTGCGTCGCCGACGTCGCTAGACACGGCAAGAAGCTCTACCACGCCGGCGCGGATCTCCTCGTGGACCGTCACAACCCCGAACGAGCCATCGAGATCATCCGCGGCGTCACGGAGGGAAAGCTGCGGTACGCCCTGGACATTGTCGGCCGGGAGACGGCGACATTACTCCAGGGGGCACTGCATGATCCTACTTCTAGTAGCACCGGCGACAACGAAGCCAGTGCAAACCAAACCGGAAAATCCCATCTACTAGGCCTAACTGGTATACCGAAAGAGCAAGACCGAAATCCAGCATTCGCGTATCATACCGTCCCGATCAAACTATTCCATTCGTCCCCCGCCGTGGGCGAGGGGCTGGTTACATGGCTCGAGGAGCTGTTGAGTGCGGGTGCCCTTACGCTGCCGGAGACGGTTCACGCGGAGGGGGGATTGGGGGGGATTAATGCTGCCTTGGAATCGTTGAGGGATGGGACTGTTTCTGGGAAGAGGATTGTGGTTAGCATTTGATCTGGGTTGTTTCTTTTTGTCTTTGGCATTATGATAGATGAATACACTGGAATAATTACAGGATGGGCAAATAAAACGAGACAAATGAATAGAATTGTGTCCTCTGGATCTAGTGATCGATGTTAGCATCATCCTGTAGATCACATATACTACACTTCAATGAACAGTTACAGACATCTCCACTATGACTCGATCTTGACGCCATCCAAGACCAGTCTCTCATCTCTCAGACTGCGGGATGTACCTTACATGCTTCGTGATTCTGGATCAGAGCCCCTCATCGACGTTCAGCAATGGAGGCTGTCGTTCGATAGCCGTCTCGGAGGATAGATTCTGATATCTCGTCCATATGCATTCATATCTGCTCTTAAAAGATACAGATAGGACCATAGGTCGTCTATGAATTAGATATACCCTATATATTACGATCAAGTCCTTCAAAGTACACTATCAGCATGCCCAAACAACTCATCCGAAATGCCTTCGCAATGCAATCCCCCGGCCACCTGAACCCAGGCCAATTCCGCTCCCCCACGACCAAGGCAGAAACTACAACAAATCAACCGCTGAGCCCCCCCGCACAAAAGCTAGAGACTGGTGGGAATAAATATTTCACTCCTAGTAGTTGAATGGGCGAGGTGGATAATAATCCAAACTGTCCGCAACATACCTGCTTCAGCTCAGCTTGTTGATGTAATACATGAGAAATAATGTGCATGGCAAAAAATAGAAAACTTATTCAACCAAATAATATCCGATTTTTCTCTATCCATTCAATGCGCCAATATATAGAACTGCATCTTTTCTTTCTACTGAAAGACTAGGCGGGATAGACGATACCGCACAAACAATCCCAGAAACCCACATGCCAATTGCACACCCACCATATGCAGTGCAAGTCGGTTCTCTTTCATGGGTCCCATCCATACCAACCATAGGTTAAGAATCGTTAGATTCGTGGACTCCACAATCTTGCCATCCTTGCTCTTGGTAACGCGCACTAGTCGTAACATGTGCAGGAGATCCAAGCAGCCGGCTATCAACGGATGAGGAGGGGCCATCCATTCCGTCACGGATGGCTCTAGTAGCCCACTTCTGACGTTGAATTTCGGTAGACGGTGTCGAGGACATGGAATCAGCCCAAAGAGCTGCGGGGTCGAGTATAGGAAGTTGAATATCTGCGGTATGAACAGCAGAAGAAGGGTTTTGCTGAAATGTCCCAAGATACCGACAACGGCGAATACCATGCCTGCAAAGTAGCAGTATGTGTCCCCGACGAAAACTTTCGAAGGGTACCAGTTGTGGCAGAGTAGTGCCAATGACACCCCGACGAAGGGCAGTAGAAAGTAGATAGAGAGTAGATACGAGTCCGTTGCCGGGTGCATAAATGGAGTGTAGGGTGGAAGATATAAAGCGGCGTTTATGAGCAAAAGTGCCGCAATGGCCAGAGACTGCGCTACTTCCACACCGTTAATCCCAGCTAGCATGTTGATGCCATTGGGACAGAAGATAGCCACGGCCGCCATATACACGTAGTACAGCCATCCAAGATCAATCGAGGAGCCTAGGTAAGGTTGCAAAGGTAGCGGAACGACCACCCGTGTGACACCGAAGTCTACCAGGTAGACAATGAGCATCGGGATCGATGCGAACGCGGGAATTAAGACCTTGTGTCTCCAGCGGATATCAAGGAGGTCGTCTCCAATTCCGAGAATGACGATGGACTGCAGGGAGAGAAGGCCAGAAAGGTAAGAGGCAAGCTACAAAAAACTTAGCTTAGTCCAAATTAAGCCATAAGACATGGGTTCAAACTTTGTTATGAGGGAATCGATGCAGGAATCGACCCGTTTCGACCTGCCGGACCTCAATCACAACATCACGGCTTCCGCCTCCGGACGTGGCGGCAACAATATCCTTGTAGAAGGCGAAAGGAATAAAAACCATCAGCAGCAACAGATATACAACTGCACAGACGGCCCCCATGGTCTCTGGTCTAACGTAGACAGTCAACAATCCGCTCTTCCCCTCTCTGAAGGAGTATATCCGTACATTTCAGGCCTGTTTGGTTTGCTCATATCCCTCCCCTTCAATCCAGCTTTCAGAAATACCGGAGCCAGCCATCGCACCAAACTGAATGTAATAGCGAACGCGATTCCGCTTAGAGCCATGGAAACCACCAAAGGTGCACCATCTCCATAAAGTGTATGGGCAATAACGCCGACGCAGGCTCCCACAAGAGCGATGAGACGCCACGTCTCTGTCTTGGAGAGGGTATTTTTATAATCCATCATACTCAGGACAAATTCAACATTCTTTCTCTCTCGATAAGAGGCACTTTGAGGTCGAATTGGAACTGCAATCTGGCCCGAAGGAAAGCACGGAGCTATTCTGCCGGACAAATAGACCTGGTGGCCCGGGCGGTGGCAACTCACCGTTACCGCCCTCGTAGGAAACGCAACACTCGGCAAGTCCGAACGGGTCAGCTTTCAGCATCCGGCCTCGAGGGTTTTGACGCTCAGCAAACTTCGCATTATGGGATTGTCTCTGTTGGATAACATCCAGACTGCTTGATAGTCTATTTTCATCTGGAGCTCCCAGCGAAGCTCATCAGGAGGTAGGCGGTTACAGCGTGTCGCATGTTTGCTGCACCGTACGAAACCCTCGACTACTTTGTGTGCGACTTGACTAACCGTTCCTGTGAAGTCACATGACTACTCGTTACAAGTCACATGCATGTCAATATAATGCGCATTTCATACATGAACAGGAACTCTCTTGTTATTGCCCAGGCGTTTCACATTGCTTTTTGAATTCCCGATCCCAGGCGGAGCAGTAGGAGTGGGTAACTAGCTCGGATTTCACGGGGAAGGGACCGGAGCTGACCTGATGTCGTCCGGATTCGCCGATTTCGACGCTGGCCACCGCGACCTTGTCACGGTCACCAAGTTCAACTTCTATGGCAATCGAATTGTGACGGCATCGTCGGACCATCGTATGAAGGTCTGGGACTTGAAGGATGATGAGTGGCAATTGACAGACACCTGGCGCGCTCATGACGCTGAAATCCGAGATGTAAGAAAACAGCAAACCTAACATTATATGAATTGGGATAGAACCTTATATTGAGTGCCTGCAATAGGCAACATGGAACGGCCCCTTTACAGGTCAGCACATTGGCAGTGTGGGTGAAGATATGCGATTCAAAGTTTGGCAGGAAGATGTAACCCAACCGCCTAATTCCGGCCGGCGTTTCAGGTCTATCTATCGGATGACCGCGCCGCAACGGTACCCATATGTTTCGCTGGACTTTCGCAACATCGATCTGGATACATGGCTAGCCTTAATCACGAGGGATGGTTTCCTGAGGATCATGGAACCCGTCACCGCTGATAGTCTTGCGGACTGGCAGGTTCTCGACGAATTCCGAGTTTGTCCAGCACCCCAACGCGGAGAAGAGACCAGTTTCAGAGTTCAATTCCACCATGACCCCACTGATATCACGCACTCGCTTCTTCCTAGCTGGGATCGCAAAAGTCTGTCGCTAGTTGTTGCTGCCATGGATACCGTCAAGGTATATCGAACCGACGCCAACCGTCGATTTTACCACGCGATTGAGCTGAGTGGGCATGGCGGCCTTGTTAGGGATATCTCCTGGGCCAATGGCTCGGTTCGGGGACATGATCTCATTGCCAGCGGCTGCAGGGACGGCTTTGTTCGAATTTTTGAAGTGTACACGTCAGTCGCAAATAGCGGATCACAGAGTGCTAGTAACCGGAACTCCGAACATCATACAGCATCACCCTCAACTCGCCCGGCGGCCCAGGCGCAGTCAGGCATTGGTTCTGCTCTTGCTAACCGTGCTCCTGCACTTGCGCATAATCGGCAGGCAGCCCATAACTCTCAGTTCAAACATTCACACAAGGAAGCCGCATGTATTGACAGCAGGCATCTTGATGTGTGGAAAGTAGAGTTCTCTTATACAGGTGAGTATGAACCATTACCGTAGCATTCCTGGGCGTAGCAGCATTGACATGTGCATAGGCGACTGCCTCATTTCATCGGGTGACGATGGTACTGTTCGATTCTGGAAGAAGTCACTGTCAGGTGAATGGATGGAATACGCTGAGGCCAATATGGCATAATCAGTGGTTATATCTTGTTGGTCGGTCTTTAATGCGGTCCAGGTTTTCCTGACCTCTCCTACACTCTAATCCCTCTTCTCGCCCCAAAAGGACAGCCGAAGAAATGCTCTGGGAACCTCGAGATGCAGTATCTCAACAGTGATCTATTTCCGCTTTGTTTTTCTTCTTTTCAGACAGCTTTGATACCCATGTATTCTTCTCTTTTTTGTATTAGTATTCAAACCACCGCCTCTCCTCCCACATATGTCTTTTGTTCTCTACGGTGCTTCTTTTGCGTATTCATAGACTGATATTAAGCAGTCTATTAGCAAATCTGGCTGGCTGTCCTTGCCTGAACCAGAGCTGTCCTCGTTATGTTCCCCTGGGCACCTTCCGCAATTTTCCTACTGTGCAGTTACCATAGGTGACAGTCCCAGTATGGCACCTAGCAGATGTGTCTACCTTCTGTGTCTTCAAGGTGCAAACCAATCCTCATGCCAACAACCAATGCATGCCGTGAATACAGCTTCCGAATGAGAAGGAATTGAAACTGGGTCTGTTTCACGGTTATTCATATTATTCGCTCCCGTATCCATAGCCTATTCTTATTACCCCTTGCACCCTCTACACACCATGGCAATCATACCTACTATCGGCACAGGCGTATTCATTGCTGCCGGCCAGGCACTCGCTGTGGGTGGTCCCGCTTCGCTGCTGATCTCCTACGGATTCATCTCCATCTTGGTCTACTGTATGACAACAGCCGTCGGCGAAATTTCAGCTCACAGGCCTGACCGCAACGGCACATTAATTCGTCACGGGTACAAATATGGATCGCAGAGTCTCGGGTTTTCCATGGGCTATCTCCGCTGGTACTCCCTTGCAATGATGGTACCTTTCGAAATAACCACAGCCACGGTCAATATCGGCCTGTGGACTCCTTCGCCAACTGTCGCAGTTCGGGTTAGTCTGATGACGGCGGTTATGATCGGCTTCAATCTTCTCCCTGAGAGAATGTTCAGGAGATCGGAATCTGTATTCACTGGGCTGAAACTGACAGTACTGTCTGGATTGTTGATCTTCTCGGTTGTTCTGACTTCAGGCGGCGTTCCAGCTAGCCCAGCCCGTGGTTTTGGTTACTGGTATAACCCAGGAGCCTTCGCTGCGTACCTGACGGACGGCTCTCTGGGCCGGTTTCTCGGCGTGTTGCAATGCCTGCTCCGTAGTACAATTGCTTTTCTATTTACGCCAGAGTTGAGTATTAGTCGAGCTGAAGGAGCAGAGTCATCTACACACTCGAACATTTTAAGGAAGGCACAGTCTGATAATATCCAACTTTCTGTTCTCTACCTTCTGGCCGTCCTCGCGATTGGGGTCGTGTCGCCGTCGAACGATCCTCTACTGACGAACAATGGGACTGGTGCGGGATTTTCTCCTTTTTTTCTGGCTATCCAACAGGCACAAATCGGCATCCTGCCTAATATCGTTAGTCTAGCGATCCTTGTCTCTTCAGTATCTTCCGGGCGCTCTTTTCTTTTTGCGTCTTCACAACAGCTGTATTCGCTGTCCGAATCAGGCCATGGTCCTGCGATATTCAAACGCCGCACCAATTGGGGTGTGCCATATGTGGCCTTGGCAACTTCTTCGCTTTTTGCGGGGTTCGCATTTTTGTCCATGCTGACATCCAGCTCCATTGTCTTCAACTGGCTACTTCACTTCATCACGACGTCCGGGTACCTTTCCTGGCTGTGTAGTTGCATCGTCTATTTGCGGTTTCGAAGGATGACACACGTGCGAGATGCCGCCCCTCGCCCTAAAGCTTGGATCCAGCCCTACGGAGCATACTTCGGTATCCTGATCTGTATTTTGCTACCCCTTATGAACGGGTTCAGCTTCGTCGTCCCTTCGAATTTTAACGTGAGCCAGTTGGTCACTGCGTACATGGGAATTCCCGCGTTTCTTATCTTGTACCTTGGACATCAATTGATGTTGGGCATAGGGCTCCGAGCCTACCATCCAGAAGATATCAGCCTCGAGCCGGTGGAGGTTCGGGAAACCCAGGAGAATCAGGAGGGCCAGGAGACTTCGGAAGCTACAGGTGAGGGTCCTTCGGGACAGGAACCGTGGTGGAAGAAGGCGAAGAGTTCAGCTGAAAGCCCGTTTCGACTTGGTCGGCATGAAGCAGAAGGATCAGAAGTTTAGCAATTAATAACGATCGGCAGACACTCAACAAATACTGCGGTGACATCTGCCGAAGAGACTAGAGAATTGGGGCTGACAAGAGTGAGGTCGCGGTAAACGGGTACATGAAGGATAGGGCTCTTGCACTCGAAACTATGCTTGTATTATTAGCTCTACGAGAATTTTATTCTTAGAATAATTGAGACTATTATTATTGAGAGCGACTATTTATTGATGTTCCGTGGTAACTAATTCGTCCTTTACAACAACAGCCCTAGATCGAGCGGTCAGAAGCTATCACCAACTCTGTCCTGCTAATGGAAGAAAGACAATGAACTTGTTAACAGTACAGGCATGCTTTATTTGCCAATACTTCACAAGCAAGGGCCTGCATATCCTGATAGAGAGACTTAATGAACCATGGCAACAGAGTACATAGATACATCTCAACGAAGAAACAGATGGATTTGAGCCCACCATCCCTCAGATCAGATCAGATTCTCTATTCAAAAAAGCAGCGTCCATCGATAACCTTCCTAAACGACAAAACAAAAATACCAAGAAGACTTGGTGCATGCATGGATATATGCATGCTTGCTGGCTTGGTCCAAAATGAGGGGGCACTCGAAACAAAAGTACGTACCTACGTATAGACAAGGCGCAAAAACTAAGACATGGGGGGTTAAAGCCAATAACAAACAGCATGTGAGCTTGTCAGGTCTCTTCCAGCATCCATTGAGAGTTGCAGGTGGTTGTTGGTGTTCTTTTCTTTTCTGGCTAATGCAAAGACAGATAGATGGGCTTTTCATGCAGTGATTCCCAATCAATCATGGGCAGCCACGTCTGGACTGAGCCTTGTTGTTTCGCGATAGTAGATAGGATATGTATGCTGGGTTGGGTTGGGGGTTTAAGAGGATTGAAGGAGAATGAGAATGGGAAGGTATATTGGATCTTTGATTTTATATTATCCTTTTCTTGATCCTTTTGTCGGATGCCTTTTTCTTCTATCATCTTGAAGAAGTGTGACTGCAATACAACCTCGCTGTTCAAACCCAAAGCATGGACAAGGGGGCTCATATTATTGATCCAGAGGGAGAGGTGATAATTAGGTTGCTGAATGCAAATGAACCATTCGCAGCCTGGAGTGAGGAAGAGGATATTGAGGTCGTGACATCGCATCATGATGATGCGCTAGAACCAGTCAAGGAAGTCAATCCTGAACCATCCCCCCGTCCGTTCAAATCTTCCCGGAAACTGAAGAAAGGCAAGAAAAAGAAGGCGAGTTCTAGACCTCTTTTCAAGTCCCCTGCGGAGCCACCTTCGCTTGCTGAGGTGCCAGCTGAGGAAACTGTCCCTATAGCAGACTTGGCTTCGGATGGCGCGGTTATCGAACCATCCCCAGCCCCAGAAAACGAACCTACTGTTGACTTGCAGTCTCCCACTGCAGAGCCGGTTGAAGAAGGGGTTGAAGAAACTAATGAAGCTATCGAGTCATCGAAGTATGATGGGGATTTGCAAAACAAAGAGTATACGATCCAAGTCTCTGCAAAACATTTGGCCTTTGCTTCGCCTGTTTTTAAGACGATACTTGCCAGCGGATGGAAGGAAGGCAATCACCTCCTCAGTGAAGGGTCAGTGGAGATTGTCGTCGAGAGCTGGGACATCGATGCTCTCTTGATCCTGCTGAATATCATTCACTGTCGACACCGGAACTTACCCCGGAAGATCAGTCTCGAGCTTCTTGCCAAAATTTTCGTTTTGGCAGACTATTATATGTGCGTTGAAGCAGTGGAATATTTTGCAGGCCACTGGATCAGCAACCTCGAGGAAAAGATCCCTGCCTCATATTCAAGAGATCTGTTTCTCTGGATCTGGATATCATGGATCTTCGAGCGTTCTGCCGACTTCAAATGTGCGAGTTCGGTCGCTATGAGGCAAGCTACCGGGTTAATCCATTGCAACTTGGGGCTACCAATCCCTGATCCCATTATCCGTAAGATAGGCAGTCATCAGCAAATTGCACGAGAATTCAACTGACAGTTCATGGTAGAGGAGATGAACCAAAAGAGACTGTCGGCGATTTGCATCATCGTTGACGCCCTTCATGGCCAACATGATCAACTGACCCGCAGTGACGGAGACAACTGCTTCGACTGCAGTTCGATCAAGCTTGGGGCTCTCACCAAGGAGATGTACGCGAATTCCCTCCTTCCGAAGCCCACCGCCCCCTTTGCGGGCATCAGTTTCGACAGGCTTCAGACGACGGTGGGTTCCTTTAGGAACCCACGTTCGGACGCGGAATTAGGTTATTATCGCTCGAGAGCGAGTTGCCACCAGTGCGCATGCACGGATTTAAATATTAGATTCTTACCAAATGGGGTCCAAGATTTGGTTGCAGGCTTGAACTTGGAGGGATTTCAACGTTGATACAGAGTAGACAACTCTTCTAGGAGACTGCTGTGGTCGGACCTGCTGGACGTGGCATTTTTGTGGCCAACAATGTTTATTTGGGTATTTTCAGTATATTGAATATAGATTAAGTAGTTCATCCAGGTCAGGTAGACATGACATCGGTCGGACAGCAGCTGGCGTGTTGCACGGTCAGTTGTCCGTTTCTGCAACCTTGCAAGCGAGCTGGCCCACCGATGCTTTGTTACCGTCAACTTAATTCTGATATTAATTCCTGACTGTGTCGGAGTGGCAAAGTAAACGAGACTACACTTTTATTATTATTATTATATTATTATTATTATTATTATTATAAGAATAACGGTTGAGAACGCATGGCTGTCCTTCTGTCCTGATGACCCGTCCCTTATTATTTCCTTCTGCCTGTCTCTGCTGCCCCTCTGTCCCCAGCCTCCGGGTTTATTTATAGAGAGACGAAAAAGAGGGAGGGAAAAATGACTTATTATTCTTCTCTTGAAAGAAGAATAATAAAAGTCGCCTTACACGGAATGCTCCCGTCCAAGCTGGCAATAGTCCACCCCCTTTCTTGCTGCCAACTCCATCGCGCAGTGAAGGCTTGACCGTCGTCTTCCTCGCTTCCCTTTCTTCCTTTTATTATTCCTACCTCTTCTCGCCCTTCTCGCCTTCGTTCCATGTCTTTTAATTTTCACCCTTGTCAGTCCTTGCATCCCTGCAAGTTCTTCTTTGCCCTCCCACATCCCTCATGATCATTCCTATCTAGATGGGATCCAAGCGGATATCTTTCCGCTTTCAGCCGTCTGAACCTCGGATGGCTCTCGTCTATCTGGCCCTCATTGTGGGAGCTGCCAACCACCAGCGTCCCGTCTATTCCCTCTGTTAATCTATCTGATCTGGATACCCTTCGTCTTCATCCATATGGCCTACCATTATCATCATCTCTTTGACCTCGCCATTTCCCCAGTTTATCCCCTCCCCAGCGACCTGGGGCCTGACGCATCAGGCTCAGGCCGCAAGGGGATAGGAGGCGAGGATGATTATTCACCCACGGTCCTCCACTATAGGGCTATTGTCGGGACTTGCTTTCTCCCTGCTAACCATCACGACCGCTACTAATTGAGACTTTCTTATTTCCCTCCTTCTTTTCCTTCTGCAGATCCCGGTTCCTCGCCCGGGGCCCCCCAGGTGGGCTCTCTGCTTTGTCTGGCACTCCCCATCTTATCCCCCTAATGATCCCATTCACATGATGATGAGGAGCGGTACACTATGACGGCGTCGACCGTGGGCAGCGATGCCTATCCTATCCCTAATCCCCTTGCAGGCAACAATCGACCCGGGAGTGCCGGGCCATTCCTGGTTGGGACTAGCCCGGATGCACGGGTCAGAAACGGCCTAGCGCAGCACGAGACCGGGATCGGCACCTGTTTTCCCAGGCAGATATATTAGTAAGTAGCCCGTGCCGAGTAATCCAGTGAGTCAAAACAGTTGCAGTGCAGAAAGGCATCTCGAGGCGTCGCATTATTACTATTCCTTTGTTATGATCAGAACTATTCTTGTCGCTGCTTTGTTCTTTGGCCTCCAGGACGTGCGATGCCATCTCCCATCCAGCATCCCCATCCCGCAGCGTCCGTCGTTCGTCTGGATCTCCCTGCTCTTATCCACACGTCCCTCGGCCTTCGCGCCACACACTCCCCCCTTCTCCCAAAAACCACGCCTTTCCGCTTTCTCTCCCAGCTCGCTTGGTCTGCGCGACGCTGAATGGCCCGCCCGTCTTTCTAGCTTCCTCTCCCTTTCTCCTCTTCTCTTCTCTTCTCCCTCTCTCTCTCTTCCTCTTCCCTCCCTCCACTATTCTTTGCCTTTTTCTTCCTTTCCGTCGTCCTGTCCATCCTCGACTACTCTTCCTCCTCCTCTTCCTCGGGTATCTTTCCTCCTTTCCGACCGTTCCCTCTCGCTTCCTCTTTCACCAAGCTGTCCTTTACCCTTCCTCATCCTCTCCAGCTCTCTGCTCCCTCCTTCATGCGATCAGTCCTTCCGTCGACCGTCCATCGCCGTCCAGTCGCCCATTTCCCTCCGCTGTCTTTCCGTCTCAACTTTCTACAAGCGATAGCCATCGAGACCAGTCACCGCTGATTGCCCTTCCACTGCCGAAGTTTTCCGGTTTTCTTCGCGGATTCGGGTTTTCCTTTTTTCTTTTTTTTTTTTTACATACGCCACAACGCACGCTGTGTTCCCTCCTTTTATCCTTTTCCTGGTAGCAGACTACCGTGTTCTCTAGAATACACCGCTTCTTCACAGCGCCACTACCCGACTCGGTCCCTACCGTTGTGGGCACACGAAGAGGAAACCTTGGCCACTAGAAGGCAGATCTGAACACAGGTTAGACCGTCTCTTCGAGGTGTTCGCTGACATGCGTGTTGGACCTTGACGGACTGGTTGGAAACTCTGATCTTTGCAGGACACTTCTCATCTTGCCACGTACGTTTTGACCTCAGAGGGGGTATGCTGTCGGATTATGACAGATACCTCCTCACTTGCCGTTACGCCTTCGACCGCGGATCCGTATCCGGTCACCGTCCCTCTACTCTCTCCTGCCATCAGCGGTGTCGTTTCTGACTCGGCTGTTCCAGAGGACGAGGAGCCGTACACCATCAAATGCATCTGTGCATTTACCGATGATGATGGCAACACCGTTTTCTGCGAAAAATGCGAGACGTGGCAGCACATAGAATGTTACTACCACGGCCGGAGCGTGCCAGATGTCCACAACTGTGTAGACTGCGAACCGCGGCCTGTGGATGCCAGGCGCGCCACGGAGCGACAGATACGGCTCAGAGAGCAGGGCGACGGCAGTGACCGGAAAGCCAAGCGGTCGGGGGCGAAGAGCCAGCGAAAGAAGGCGAGAGACTCGCATGATCAGACCAACGGTTTTCACCACCGATCTGAATCTAGCACCCGGGAACAACCGCCACCAAAGAAGGCCAAAACCAGCCATCGCGCCTCGGCCTCGGTCAGCTCTCTCCCAGGAACCATCTCTGTCCCTGATACGCGAAAACGCTCTACCCATCTTCAGAGCCCTGTCAAATCATCAGGTCCTTCGATTCCTTTGTATTCCAGTGAATTCTTACATCGCTATGAGCAGGACCAAGGCCATGCAGACATGGACAGTAACCTATTTGTCAGCTTACCTCTTGCGGCCGATCTGGCTTCTTGGGTAACGGATGCGAATGCCCTGTCTCGCGTTTCGCATGGACGTCCTGCACGGGAGATCTTTACCTGGTCGGATGCCGCCCTGGACCGGTCGCGATGGCCGACTCTATCGACTGAGTTAATTACTGATCCCGATATCGACATCGATGGCCAGCATCCGACCTGGAAAATCCTGAAAACCCAGGATGCTGTGCGCAAAGATGAGATTGTTGGTGAGGTCAAGGGCAAAATTGGTCTGCTCCGAGACTACTGCCTCGATCCCAGCAACCGCTGGCAAGAACTTCGCCATCCAGAACCTTACGTTTTCTTCCACCCGCAGCTTCCGATCTACATCGACAGCCGACAGGAAGGCACCCTGCTCCGGTACGTACGACGGTCGTGCCGTCCTAACGTCACTATGAAGACGTACATCACCAATGAAGTAGAATATCACTTTTGCTTTGTTGCCAAAGAGGACATCCCGGCTAATTCTGAGATCACTGCCATGTGGTACCTCGATCCTCAACTTTTTGAGTCGGCCAACGGCCTTGTCAAACAGGAGTCTACCGACAGCGCCCAAGATGTAGCAGCCATCTGCCTCAGCAATGTTCTGGCTCATTTTGGCGGATGTGCGTGCGTCTCTGACTCTCCTCAAAATTGCCTCCTCTCGAGCATCGATCGTCGACGGCACCCGAAAATTGTTGATGTGGGCTCCAAGCAGGTAAATGGGAAAAAGAAGAAGACGAGGAGCAAATCCACCAATTCCCCTGTAGGCTTTGGGCGAACCGCCCACGGTCGTGATGGCAGTGAAGGTACAAAGAACGTGTACGATGATGATCAAGCGGAGAGCCGATCTGCCTCCGGTTCTACTCAAGGTCGCAGTCGAGATCTCACGCCGACTTTGCAAAATCCCAACGATCTCATTCTGGGAGATTCTGAACTTTCGGCACGCGATAAACGGAAAATCGCAGCCGCAGAGAAGAAATTTCAACAGTTGGAACAGGATCAACTGGCAATGCAGCGGAAGAAGAAGCGGGGTAGTCATCAGTCTGCGCAAACGACACCAATAACGGGGAGTTCAACGCAGACCAGTTATTTCGGAAATCATGGTGCGTCATCCAAATCGATTTATATTGATACTGTCTCTGGGCACCATAAGTCTCGCTCTCCGCCATCTGTGGTTTCTCCCACGTCTACGTCGGCTGCCCGCCGTGCTTCTCGGAAGACGTCTGCTTCTAGCGCTCCGAGTATGCAGGTACCACTTGGACTGCGCCGGTACGTCGATTCTGCGACGCAGACCGATCTTGATGAGAACGATCCGCCATTCGTTGCGCCTGCTCTGCCACGCAATCGACCAGTATTTGCCTCCCTAACTCAGCGGCTACTAAAACGCTGTCACGAAGATCGTGTCAAACTCCAAGATCTACATTTGCAACCCAAATTAGACTCCGGCCTCCCCAATGGTAAGGGCGTGCATCATCCAGCCTCGCCTGGTGCGTTGGATCAGAAGGAAGATGATGTGGAGATGAAGGATGCGATGTCACCAGAAACATCACAGCCACAGTCAAGTGGGTCTGGAATTGGGGACACTGTCAAACCTGCATCTGGGACATTTGGGTCGAAACCGCCACTACCACCTCCGTGGCCCTCTACTGCCGCGCATAACGCCAGAATACCCGGCGCAGGTGCGAACCGTCATACTGATGTCCGTATCCCTCTCCCATTGTCAACTGCTCCAATACCCTCCTCTGCGCTTTCTACGGAGACAGTCACTCCAACAGTCGTCCAGTCACCTCCGTCCGCGGATGCTTCATCGCATCCCGGTTCCCAAGGTCCGGGTTCCACCATGACTGGGCCGAGCCCTGTCAAGAAGAAACTCAGCCTAGGGGACTATATCCAAAAACGATCCCTAGCCACCCCTACGAGTGAGAAGCCCCAGTTCCCCGCAAATGCCATGCCTCCACCGCAGAAGTCGCCTTCCCATTCGCAACTGAACAATAGTTCCCCTTCATCTGCTAATATCCCGCGGACTGAGGTCAAACCTGGGGAAGCCAACAGTACCAAACAAGGTGGTTCGGTTTCTCTGGATGTACCTATGAAGGACGCGCCCGAGCCGACTCATCCTTCGCATGTTACCTCTGTCTCTTCCTAAAATTCCTGATCTCTTCCATGTACACCTTCACGCTTATCTTCATCTCTAGAATTCCCTGCTGTTACTGAACCTTCCCTTGAACGTATGTTCTCCATACATGCGAGGGATTCTTTTCTTCACCGACTTGCTTTCTGCGTTCGGATCTTGTGTTTCTTTTGCTACTATTTTAAAACCGACGGAAATGGGCGTTTTAGCCGGGTCTCTGGGTATCTTTTTGAGAGGAATGGCGTATCAGGCGTGGTTGATCGAAGGCCGGTTTATGGACAAGGCTTCTGGGGTCTGGTTCACAAGGGTGGTTATCTGGTTTTCAGCGGACATGCGTCATGTTCCAGCGTTCTATCTCACGAATTTGTTCTTATGCTGCTTTCGCGGTCCTTTTCTATGCACTTCCCTGATGATATTCGATATGTACAGTTCGTTTTCTTGATCCTTTCTTTCAAAAGGAAGGTTTCTTTTCATCTCCAAAATTGCGACCCTTAGGAGTGAATCGCATGGAATAATGATGATTTCAAGAGGATTCAGCGGTGTCCTTGGTCCCTTTTAGCCTTGTCCCCTTCTCTACGTGCCGGCTGGCTGGCTCTTGCCGGAGATATTGTATACACTGTCCATAGACTCTCTTCTCTTGATCAAGACCGCTGGATTCAATGTGTAGCAAGTACATGAATGCGTTGACATAAAGAAATAGCCGTACCGGTGAAGTATAGTCACGTGATTATCCCATTTACTCGCACCTCTTCAGAGCTCGTCCGCAGACTGCTAGCCAACACAGCACCACTCGACACTGGGGTGCAGGGAGAACCACGAGTGCTGGTGTTGTCGCAGAGAACCTCTCGCCCTCCTCTGTTATTCATCAGTCAACCATGGCGACTATCGATCCAGCCCTGCAGGACCCTCTCCTCTCACTCCGCCGCGCCATTGCAGCGAACGTCCTTCCGACGCCAACAACCACTACCGATGTCGCTCTCGCAGAGCAGGAGAAAACAGAAGACCTCGCGAAAGCCACTCATCTGTACTTCCAGAACCCAATCCCGCACACGATCCCGCTCTCAACACCCACACGGTTCGTGTCCTCTTCGACTGACTCCGCCGTCGACCTCCGCAGCATTTTCTTTGCGTGGCAGAAAAAGGATGTCGCGATTCCTGAGTACATCGCATCAGCGCAGGAGCTGAATGAGGCGCTCTCCAAGTTGCAGGGTGGGCCGGGTGAAGAGAAAGCACCGAGTGTCCAAAATCTGATCTTCGTTGAGCGTCTGGACCTCATTACTTGGCTTGAAGGTGCGAGTGATGAGTCGGAGCATATTAAGCCCTTGGAGGGTGTTGAGAAAGAGGCGGCTGCAGCTGCAACTGCTGCTGGACCTGGTGGTGTCACTGCAGGCGATGTCGCTGGCCCTGGCGGAAAGGTTCCTGGTGCTGGCGCCGGGGTATCTGCGCCTGGAGCGGCGCAGCATGGTAGGACTACAAAGGTGATTGATCCTAGATTACAGGAAATCTATAATGGGGAGAGAAAAATGGGGGATCGCAATACGGTGTTACGAGGGATCAAACCGACGGTATGTTCCTTTGTATACGGTTCTATTGTGCCAATAGGGAAAAAAAAAAGAAAAGAAAAAACTAATATAATACAGGATTTCTCTCACGTCCGAAAATCAGCGGAGATTTTCCTCGGCCGGAACCGTTCACGTCCAGGTCAATATCCCGCTGGAGTCAAACCAAGCAAGCCATCTATGATCCCTCCGACCCCGTCAGCGGCCGGCAGTCTATCCAGCCTCTCGCGGAAATCGAAATCATCCCGACACGAAGAACCGATCATCCTCCTCTCCCCATCCGCCTCATCACTGATCCGCACCTCGAACGCAAAGTCCTTCCTCCAAGACGGCATCTTCGTCCCACCCGACCATCCAACTCTCGCCTCCGACCCCTCGAACATCCTCAAAATCGAACGTCCCCTCCGCATCCTCTCTTCATCATCTACCGCGCCAGCATCCAGATCAATGTTCATGTCCGGGTCAGCCGGCCTCCGACATGATATGCGATTTGTCCTGGTCGACAGCACCGCAAACTTCAAACCGGAGTACTGGAACCGCGTCGTCGCCGTCTTCACGACCGGCCAAACGTGGCAGTTCAAATCGTACAAATGGACAGCACCACCGGAACTCTTCAAGCATGCCACTGGCATCTATGTCGGTTGGCGCGGTGATGATGTCCCTCGTGAAGTGAAAGGATGGGGTCGCGGTGTGACTAGTTTCGCCGTGGAGCGATGGGATGATAAAGGTGGTGTCAATGGTGCGGGAAGATGGAGGGATCGAGAGGTGGTCGAGGGTATCTGGACGGCTATTGAGGAGGGAATGAAATTGAGGGGATGGGGGAGTAAATGAGGTGATTTATGTCCATCTAATTTCAGGGGATAGAATTTCTACCTACATTTTTTCTTTACTTCGGGTCTTGTTTTGATTGATACCTCTTTTAACTGGCATACATGGAAAATTAGATAAAGAGAAGGAGCTGAAACTAATCAAATATTTGAGAATTGACTGGCATTTATTTTAATTGACTTCGATGAAGTCCAACAGACCAGACATGGTTAGGATTAGGATTATCTGATACAAACAAGTCCAAGGTATATATACAATAATATCCACTCCATAGGCCCCTTTCTCATGTAGATTCTAGCCCTTTCTGTGAAGTGCTTATTTTGCTGGATATTCCCGACTGAGCGTTGTGGGCCAAACATTAGAAGGATGGCTCCTATAAAGACCTCAAGAGATTTAGTCCATATTGCTTCGTCAACTACAACAGGTAGGATTCGTCTTCAGTTTGTTGGGTCCCTGTTGAGTCAAGGCAATATTAGCTAGAAGATAGTAAATAAATATACCATACCCTCATAGGTGCTTATCCAGCCACAATGGGCAGCCAAGGTTGCATAAACAGACACTGGTTTCTGAAGAAAATAGCACATACCACGACCACAGTGTACTTCGAATAAAACTGTAACTCCCGATACAGATATTGTGCAATACTATTGCTTCATCGTCGCCGACGTGACTTGACGTTTTGAGATTTGGTAGACAAAATTGACTGCATCATCCTTGACTGACTGGCTGGCTGACTGGCTTGGGTTGGAAGTATAATATGTTTAGCATGGCTATATAGATTGCACACGGGATTTGAGGTTTTCTCTTACTTAGTAGCAAGTTCTGCCCCGGGTACATGTAGTCTTTCCAGATGTATATGGTCTTTAGTTTCTTCCCCTTTGCCCTTTGCCATTGCTTTCAATAGCAGCACAAGGCTAGTAGTAGGTCAGCCCGTGAATGGCTCACCCAGTTGCATATGATATAATGCATCATATTATGGTCCTGACTATAGCCGTTGTTGTTGTTGCTGGCGCCTTTCTTTTTCATCCTCGTTCTGTAAAGGACGATGCTTCTCATGACTGGAAATGAATGATCCCGCTAACTTTATTATGAGCCTCAGAGTGCATTATCAAGTCAAGCCCCTGATAAAACAAGTAGTCTTGTCTCTGACTCATTGCTCATTAAGAGAGGGATATTGCGAGCCACCATGTTCCAATGCCTTGAATTTAGCTTGGTAATTGGGAGCAATGTGGTACTTGTTGGGAGTGCGAAGAAAATGAAACAGACGCCAATAAAGCTGGTCCCGAATTGAAAAGAGAGAATCTTCAGTCTGGTAGATCAGAGCTAATATGGTAGAGAGCTATCATATACCCAGGACAGTTAGCAATCTCCTTTTCCCAGGTAATGATAGCACTGAAACACTTGCCGATCTTGACATCATCATCAACGACGACATTAAACGCTCCGCTCACGGTGGACATGGCATTGCTATGAATGGAATAGCTGACAAAGGTCTTTCTTGCACTTTTTGAACCAGACTCGGGAGATGACATCTGGTATGTATATAAATGCTGAAGGTGGATGTTGCAAGTTTTAGTGGGAGAAGCGAATGATGAAGCCACCAAAGAAAACTTTGATAGTGGAAACGACATATGCTAGCATTCAGGCTAAACATCATTAAATAAATACTTCAGCAGAAACAAAGGCTAACATGTCATGCAGTGTCCAAAATGAAAATGCTATATGGTGTGTCCATGTCCATGTCCACATCCACTCCGTACAACGCAGTATTATAAATGCTGTCTGTAAAGAAATCAAAAGACAAGCACATATGCATCTAGAAATGTAGGCTCAACCCCAAAAATGATCTAAACAAAAACGCTATCCCGCATGCAACCAGGGAAGACGAACGCCTCTAATGCTCCCTGACTCCCATGTTTCAAAACAGCTTCAACTTACACCGCCCGCCATGAGAGAGAAAAATTGCAAGAGAAAGAAATCGAGTAGAAGAGAAACAGAAAATTAAATAAATAAATAAAAAAAGGCCAATCGGCCATCCGTCATAGGATCCATAGATCGTAACTTCCTTCAACAAATATATCTCATGACTCGGTTCGAAAGACAATGGAATTAGCATATCAGTCAAAGGCGTAAATACGGTGTACTCGTCTCAAAACGTGAGAAGTAGTAGGTAGGTTTCAGATATCCAGAGTGGATGCAACAACAAGAAACGTGGAGACCTGAGACAGATCAGTCGCGTGAGTGGATTCGCGTTTGGTGAGGGTGTAGCTCAACCGCAGCTGAAGACGATCGGAGAGACATTTATTGTATTGCAACCATGCCAGAAGTCTCGTTGCATTCAAAACGATTATGCCGTCGGAGTTAAATGCACGAAATGGCCACCGAGACTGTAACGGACAACGTCTAGATGCCCATGTTTTTGAGAACACTGCCTCAGTAGCAAGTATTCAGAAAAGACAGTTTTGCTCGATCCCAATTAACCCTTCGTGATGGAACGACTCTTAGAGCGCTCAGGGCGCGTGGAGGTAGGAGAATATGATCGTGAAGTACCCAGAATATCCACGTTATGTTCCTGAAGGACGACGGCATATTTAGGATCTCGCAAAAACTTGGGCACCGAGTCCTATACATCACCAGATTAATTAGCAACCGGAAGAAGAATGGAGGTTGTTCAGAACAATGCCAACTTACACTAGACATCAGCTTGAATACAGAAGTCTGAGCCATCTCAAACAACTCTACCACCTCCTGAAGACTCCGAAGCATCGACTCATCATCACCAACAGCTTTCGTCATACGACTGGCTAAGCTGTTACGCAAGGCATGTTCGATGTTGAGCTCACACGGTGACCCGGGCGCGAGGAAAGCATTGTAGAGGCCTGGAATTCCGGTGGTTAGAAACGAAATGCAAGGAATATGAAAAAAAAAAAAAAAAAAAAAGGCTCTTTAACGAGGGCAAGGGAACTACTAACCATATGCGGCTGCCAAAGTCTCACGAACAGCATCAATCCTGGTGAATGCACCCAACTTCTCGGCCTTGTGGTAGTTGGATGTGAACTCAGACACATCAATGTAGAATGCCAAGTTCTCTTCACACAGCGAGTAGCGCAAGAACTCTCGGAAGAGCAGTCGCAAGGCCGGATCCTGGAGGATATGGTTCAAGCGGGCATTGTTGGAGTCTCGCGGGATTCCCCGAGAATCCAAAGACGTACCCGGAAAATCGCGACCCTTCTCCCGGGCAATCCATCCACAGACCTGCTGGCCTCTCTCCGTAATCCCGTAAATAGCATTCTTTGTCGGCTGGAAGACGGTCATAGACGTTTCGGGTTGCTGGTACAGCCGGTCTTCCTGAAGCATCGTGATCAAGCCATACTTGACGAACAACTCGGCGATCAAGCAGGTCTCGCGCCGCTCAATGGTGGTGGAGCAATCCATCAACCAATCGACGGCAGCCTTGCCTGTGAACGTGTTGTGGAAGACCCGGTCGCGGATCCTGCGGTCCTTGGCTACCTTGACACCGACTATACCGTTGGAATAGTCGTTCAAGGAATCCGAATCGGAACTGGAAATGCTGTTCTTAACATTGGGACCATCCTGGCCGGCAAACCGACGGAAAATGACCTCGATGGTGGCCCGGTCGTGCGACAGCTTATCCGTCTCCGAGTCACGCTCCAGATTGACGAGCTGCATGGTATTGCGAGGAGAATCCAAGACTTCTATGATATGTCGAGCGGTGATGCCATTCCTCTGGCAGAAACGCTGAAGGATGTTGATACCCTTGGGAGTGAGCTGAAACAACGAGCCCTTGAGAGGGAAGACAGCTAACGGCTTGCCGTCGACGGGTTCAATGAAGCGGGCATCGACGAAGCGTTGGCAGACAGAACGGGCCATTTCCTTGGCCATGGAGAAGGTCGTGGTGGTGGTAGTGGTGACGATGCGCGAGGGATCCTTGGGGTCTGGCATGCGATTGGATTGGGAGAACCTGAGCGAGCCCAGGTTGCTGATGGCTTCCTCCGCGGTGAAGGAGTGATCATATCTGGTGAAACGGACACGATGCGATTCCAACTTCAAGCTGACCATCAAGGTGGAGAAGAGGTCCATGAAATCCTGTTCGCGAGTTAGCAGCCATAAAGCATTCTCTCTTGCCCATAAAGAAAAAGGTACCTTGGTAAAAGGACGCTCATCCTCGGTCATCCGCAGCAATCTCGAGGATGTTTGATGCATCTTGCGGGGCAATCTCCCAGACACAAGGCCCGGCTTCGACACAGAGGACAGCCCCGGAGACGCAGACTGGCTGAGGTTGGAGAGATGACGCCGGCGATCGGCTAGGTTGAGCTGGTATTCGGAGACGGGGGGGGTGGAAGGGCGCGAGGAAGGATAGTAGTCCTCTGTGGAGGAGAAAGGATCGCTGGTGGCACTACTGTCGGACGAAGGGGGCGTCACACTGGCGATGTCACCGACGCTGTACTGGGAAGGTTTGTGGGCGTGGGTTGCCAGGTTGGAAATGGACGGGGTGGAACGGATGGAGGCAGAGCTGGAGAGATTGGTGAAGGCGTTTGCTTTCTTGTCGCGTCCCAAGGAGGCCAAGGAACGACGGCTGGCTCGCGAGATGGACCCGATGATGGAGCCTTGGAAGGTGTTGGTGTTGGTGGTGATGGTGTTGTCGGGATCAACGTCAGCGTCAGCGTCGGCGGTGGCAGGATAGACGGGATGGTGGTTGTTATGATTGTGATAGTGATGGCAGACGGCGGAGAAGGAGAGAGCAGAAGTGAGAGAAGCAGGAGAAGAAGTGGGATCGCGATGGAGCAGGGCAGGAGGTGGTGGGGAGATAGGGTCAGGGAACGGATGTGGACGCGGAAGATCACCTCCTCGGTCGGAATATAATTTGCTGGTGGTCATTGAATAGGATGATAAATGATAATAGGCCGACCGGAGGACGAGAGGATAATAATAATCTATTAATAACGGAGGCAGCTCGACGAGGGCGACAAGCAGATGGAGCAAGGGAAAAAGGAGAGGAGGGGAAGGGGAAGGGGCAGAGTTTGGGTGAGATGGGGAACATGGGAAAGTTAACCACGGCTTGGGCAGATTGATTCTTTTATTATTATTAACGATGCTGCAGAAGCAGATAGATAGCCATTGACAAATAATGGGCAGGATTCAGCTGCACATCGAGCTGCTGCGAGCGGAAAGTCAAAAAGCGTCGAGGGGCTCAGATCCCGGCTGTCAACTCGCGTGCGCTTCTCTCTTATCCAACCCTGTCAAGATGCCTGTTATTACGATTCATTCTGCAACTTAATTACAGCGTATTATTGTGCCGATTATTAGACACTTCATTATTTTCTCTGATAGAGAATGCCTGAACGGAATGCGAGCATCAGATGACTGCCCCCTTGGGCCGCTTGCGGTTAGGCGCGGCTGGTCAGCCTATCACGCAGAAACGTGGCTCGCACATGGCCGGCGCATTAATTTCCCGCGGCCAACCACGCCCCGCCATCCCTGCGCACTTGCCCGATGCGGCTAGCTCAATACATGCATGCCATCGTATGCATTCTTATACGGACTCTACTATAGGTATGGTATATATGTATGAATATATATAATATACAGATGTGTGACATTACACGAGGATATTATCATCTCATTTCTGTTCAATCCCCATCAAACACAAATGACGGTAATGATGACTTGTCCACATGGCGGATGAAAATTAAAATTTGGCTGATCGAACGGAGATCCCTTGTCCTTGTCCTGCCGATACGTGGCGGTAACATTGCGTTTACCGTAAACTGACGGGAAACCTCCGGCGCTGCCGCAACGAGACGGCCCTGGCCAATGATCGGCCCTTGCAGCAGGCGTGCTAACCGAACTGGTTGATCTGCATGTCCCGAAACAGCCCTCTGCATGGCAGGCCACGAGTGTGGCGGAGCGCTAGTGCGTAATACTAAATAGCGTACGTATCACTCTGCATCTCCAGTACTCGCGAGAAACATGGCAATGGCATATGGATGGATATGGACATGGACCCATCCATGCGTTTGATAGAATCTAATGGATAGGCGCATGTATGGTCATATTACTAGGTAGGCCTGCCTGTGCCGTGAGATAGGTAGCGAGGGCGGTCTAGGACGGCAGAACCTCACGTGTACTAACAGAATCCTTCCTGGCCCACGTGGCTCCTCGTGTTTCAAGCTTGGCTTTTTCCACTTCTGCACTTCTTGACCGCCATCTGGTACTGTCAAGGAATATGGACTGTGGGTTCTCAACGGTATCAACAGACTCATTCCATTACACATGGAAAGTACAGATGCACACAAATACTGATACAGACGGACAAGCCCAAATAAGCGGTGAGCACTGTCGCAAGTTGAAACTGAACAATCATACACTAATGACAACTGATAATCGAGGCGTAAAACATCAAGACATGCTTGTCTTGACTCAAACACGGATCTCTCGTCTACACTGCAATGTACGGCATATATCGTACATGCACGTTAGAACGAACTGCATATATCATATGCAACCAATCCATCGAAGCCGTAGAATGTGCCCCTGACAAGACCACCACGTGGCATATAGCGCCGTCACTGTCGCATGGCATCATCGCCATGAGATTGCCCTGCAGGATGAGCCATGGTACCAGATATTTATATATTATTTATTTGGTGCAATGTGGCAAGCATGTGGGCATGGTACATACATGTCACCCTGCATCATTTATTTATTACTATTAATTAGCGCAGCTGCCCGTGTACACCGTAAGGTCAAAGAAAGAATAAATGCTACGACGGATCTCACTCATCTCACTTACCCCTGAGCACGAACCAGGATGATAATTAAGTACTATGCCCGCGGTGCAAACATGGCCAGATCTAAATAATATAAATTAATCCTCTGTATCTCCATATCGAGATCCCTTGCTGCCCCTGCATACGATGGTCTGATGTCGGGATATTATTTGTTCTACTGGCCTTGGAGCCGCGGATAACGTGATCGGAAAATTGGCTTCGAGAACATTTCTAGAATATTTCCAGAAAAAGATCTAAAATGAAGGGCCCCACTGGGCCCACCGTTCAGACAAAGAAGGAATGTTTACCCTGGTTTATTAATAATCAATTAGACATCGACTCCACTGTGATGCAAAACATACACACAAATGGAAAATGATAAGGAGACGGGGTCCTATTGTCGCTGCCTCCACTATTATTGTTGGGATACGTCTCTAGGAATTATTGGATCACATCAAGCGGCTGAATTTATCAACAGATGGCTTGGAACATTATTATTAGTACGGAGTTGAAATAAAAGACACACGACACCGGAGTCTGCTTATCTCTCCGATCGGCGCTGAACCCTTATCACGTCTATTTATCCCTGCTTATTACTCTAATCCATAGCCATCAAAGACTCGGGCGTTTGCATGATTCGAATGCATCCAATATCTCAGGGATCATGCAGCTCTGTTGGTTAGGACAGCCCCTTCTTCCTAAATAACTAGGCATTTTTCCCGCAAACCCCGGATCCTTGTCTTTCCGAACTCCATAATCAATGTGACAGAGAACGAGGCTGATTCTGATCCTGATCCTGTATGAGTCGTGGAACGTTCCATTGTCGCAGATCCCTGCATCGAGGCTGGCTGGCAGCCAGCAGCTCAACTTGCATAACGCGTTATTGAATTCGTTCCAGGCTTCAGCTGAACCAGGGACATTATGGCTTACTTGAGCGAGGCTGCAGCTGCACTGGTCTAGCACTGTCTTCTAGACGCCAGCCCCGGCCCCCAATGCTGTGCCAATTATAGAGCGCTGTCTGGCAAGGCTGCAAGTGCCTATCCAAGTGTGAACTCAAGTGTGCTAGGAGAGAGTTAGCCTAGATAACATCTTTTGAGTAAGCTGAGCCTGCACGTAGGATATGCTTACAACTTTACTGTGATTTTATAGTTCTGCTGTCAAAACTTACCTAGGCCTGGCAAATAGTTACTTTGTTCATATCACTCAACGATGAAGACTGTAGATTGATTAGGGTTAATGGGGACGGAGCATCGCACCAGCATAAATCTGCAACCTCAATTGAACGATCATGGAATACAATAGACGTCCTTATTCACGAAAATGCATGTTTATTGCTCCTCCATCTTGCAGATTCTGGCCTTCTTCATTGGAAACTGCCTCATCCGGAGGTCATCTCTTTAAGTCTGGCCATGCCCCGGGGCTCAACGACGCTGCTCTCTACTACAACTGTAATAGCCACAGGCTCCAACACCGGTCTCGGCTTCGAGTGCAATAAACAGCCCCTTGATCTTGGCCTGAGCAGACTCATCATCCCCGTGCGCAGCGAGGCCAAAGGCGAGGAAGCTGTCTGTCAGGGTTCGTACGCTCGCAGATGCGGCGGTGAAGCATGGCGCTGAGTCTCATGGACAGTATATTGAGGATGGCAAGGCAGTGCTGTACAGGCCTGAGGGGGAGAAGATTGCCGGGCGACTATGGGAGGAGACTATGAATGGACTGGCCTTTGCGGGAGTTCATGATTATCCTTGAACATCTAACATTGTAGGAAGAGTATATATAGAGTGGCATTAGGTTGATATTGTTTATTTGATTGATATCTTAATATTTGTATAATCCAAGCAGAATATAGCCCTCATTGTTATCTGCTTATTCAGTTGACATTCTCATGAAGAGTGAACTGCAACCTAAAAACCATCACTGCTCCATATCCCCTATTCCAGTGAAATATTCTCATATGGATCCCATCTCTGTACAACACGGATACTGACAGAATCCTATACAGAGCACTAGTAGTAGATATATCTATATCTTCCAGCAAGAAATGGTGCACTATCCGCCCCAATAAAATGGAACACACCAGACACCTGCATTGCATGACAGCAACACATGGATTCCTCCTGTAGGACCATGCACTCAAGCAATCCTGGCAGTTCCAGCCCAGCTCCAAAGCCAGCTGGGAGACAAGGGACAAGGGTGCTTTGCTTTCCCGCAGATACATCACTAGTACCGGTATCCAGGTTCTGGCTACGGATAGAATGTCACATCTACAGAGTATTGAGTGACATTGGTAGGTAGTATCGAGCGTTTCTTTCTTTCTTTCTTTATTCTGGCTTCGTTTGTGATTTAGATTTACAATAGGGATGCAAGGAATACCCGTTTCTATGACACTTGTTTGCACATAATGACAAATACTACTTACATGCTTTTCTTAGTTTGATATCCCAGGTATAGCATAGTAAACAGAGACGCCAGGCCAACCTCGAGGCCGCGATGTTATCCTCCGTAGAGAAGTGTCGTCATCCCTCTAGGAATGCAGTGCGCTTGAATCAATAAGAGATGTTTAGTTTCTTCCATTTTGAACTTTGCCTGCTAAGCTTCTGCCAAATCGGGAATCAATTGCGAGATTCCAATAGGTATCTAGGCCGAAGATGCATATAAACTCCTACATCCCCCGGATTTAATCGGTTCTCTGCTCCTTTATCTTTGGCTCAGACAACGGAAACTCCTTCTATAGAGCAGATAGATCATGGAGGAATTACACCTCCTACCCCCTCCTTGTACTTCGATGGAGGAACTGCATCGCGAGGGCATCTCCGACAAGGAAATACAGCAGGAAGAGGCAGTTGTCGAGTCTACATTGCAATGGATCCCGGCTCAAGTGCCTGCAGAACAGAATTCGGCGTAAAACAGAATTCGGTACCGGTATTAACGGTGCGTCTTCTCTTGAACCCCCTTGGATAGAACCATTCCCAGTCTGATAATAGGTGAGTGGGACAGAAACCAGTCGCCATCCCACAAATCGACATCACAAACAGGTTGCGAGGCCCCGTCCCATTTCTCCGCGTATACACAGTCCTGCATTGGCACAAACGATATCGACGAAACTGGCTTGCTAGCATTCATAGATACCCTTTCCGTCGCCTAATACTACATGGGAGCAGGAAGTTTCAGTGACTCTGATTCGGATTTGAACATGGTATCAAAACAAGATAAGCTGGGGAAACTGGACAGGAAGGCCGAGAAAAAATCAACTACAAAGCGGAAGAACAGCTTATAAAACAGAGATCACATAAGAAATACAAGATTAAAGAAGAGCAACCCAAGGAGCTGGACAAGGTCGACGAGGAAAGATGCAAGCTGCAGAAAGAAATGGACAAGAAGCTCGGGAAGGTCATGAATAAGGGACATAAGGTTCAGACAAAGGATACAAAGGGCGTGAACAGGCTGGAGTGCATCGGCATAAAAAGCGCATGAAAAAAGGCCTGAGGACATGGTGCTGCCAATCTCAAGCTCATCTTTGCAAATAAGCAGGTCATGAAACTCAGCAACATGAACCCGACGAGCTGATTACCGAGATAGTCTGCTCTTTCCGATACGGGCTCAAGCTCCAAGCACAAGCCTCCATACTTGCTTGGAAAAGGACAGTCGGTCTGCAAAGCAATTAGACGCATAGCATCACAGGCGCACCGGAGAGCCCTGAATATCATAAACCATGTGCTTTTCAACCAAGGGAATCAAGGAGAAGCGAACTGTCTCTTACTTGACCCCTGAACGTGAATATCCGGTGCAGATCCCATCTGATAGATACATGGTATCTCAACACTAGTGGAATAGCAAATGGTTCTGATGGAGCCCCAGAGAGGTCGTACGATGGTACCTAGTCGAGGGATAATTTCTTCACAGGAGGTTCATTCCCCGTTATGATTGATATACATACATTAAACCCGATGGGTAAATATAGCCATCCATCTTGAATGGCCGAAACAGTCAGTTTCGCCACCATTTCCCCAATGACCCTCCCGAGCCGGCCATTTCAATAGCTTCCTCAAAACTCACTTCCACGCGGAACATACGGCCATCGCTAACACCGCTTCCCCCGCCAACGGGAACGACAAGCCCCCACGTAACCAGCTTTTCCCACGCTTCTCGGGCCACGTCCCGTCCCCAGACGCGGCCTGGGGTGGCAGCAGCACCAGACACGGACGCAGACACCTTTGCAGATGTAAGCAGTCGAACATACTCCGTATAGGCTGCCGGGAAGGACAATGCGAGCGGCGCAAGGTTCTGTGGGTTGGCGCTACCAGGATCATATAATGCGGTTAGGCGGGTTGCGGCTAGCAAGAGGGATAGAGGCAGAGAGGTAGAGCCAGTGGAGTTTGCCGTGGACGGTGGGAAAGGTAGGGGAGCCGGGTCGGGACAAGAGAGAGACTGGGTGACGAAATCCTTTGGAATGGGAACTTGTAGCTTGTTGAGACCGTTCTCCGTCGCGTCAAAAGTGCTGTAAAACATCTCAGTCATTGGGAGAATTGAGCTAATGAGAAACTCCTTGACGGATTTGGTTTGATTGTATATTCTTCGTAAGTGCGACTGGAATTCTTTATCATTCCACAGACCCTGTTCCCAGTAGTAAGTAATGGAATTCCACACGCAGAATAGAATAACAACGACAAAACAAAATCTCGGACCTTCAAGTATGCTCTCCAGCCCTCCAACAATGTCTCCCAAGCTTTGGATTTCGTGACGGCAAGTTCTTCGTCGCTAGTAGCTTTTGAGATCTCACTGTCCTCCAAGTTCAGCCCTACAAAGCAGATATCCGAAAAGATCTCGAAAGACTTCGGAAGCGGGAGAAAGACATATCTATGACTAAATCGACTTTTCACGCGCTTTTCTAGAAGTTCAGTCACATCAACCCTCGTGGTAAGCCCAAGAACTGCAATTGGGGCTTTCCGCGCCTGCGCGATATCAAAAAGATTATATAGTAATGTTTGTCTCGGGTGGGAGACAAATAGATCGAATTCGTCCAGTATAATGACAATAGATTTTGCAGCAGTGATTGTTTCAGAGTTCCCAGAAGAACCAAAGACGTCCTCCGGATGGGACAGAAGAGCGAGGAGTGTTGCCATGGTGTCTGCATATGAGCTCACCTTTGCTGCTTCATCCTCTGTCTCTGTCTCGCGACCGAGTTGTCGCCACATTTCTCGGAGAGCCAGACGGTCATCCGTGTGAAGGAACCCATTTAAACGGACAACATGAAAGTCACCTCCGTGCTCTTTAGCCAAGGACGAAATAGCAGTCTCAACCATGGCAGATTTCCCACTTCCTCTTGAACCAAAAAGTAGCATTGAATTTCCTTCTCCGACAGTAACAGTCTGCTCGATGAGCTGATAGACCTTTTGGTATTCGTTGTCCAATCCCCTCAATGGAACAAGTCGTTTGCCATTGAGCTTCTCAAGAACGATTTTGATCAGAGTCTTCATCTCTACTCCGAGTCCCTTCTGAACTAGATTTTGAAGAGCTTCAGCATAATCGGGAAGCGGGCCAATCCTCTCTGTACTGTCCTGCCCGTCTAGATCATGCTGTGTCAGATCCTGTTGCAGCTGCATTGAAACAAGATCGTCGACATCATCTTGATCGCCATCTGCAGCAGACGACTGTTTCCGCTCTTCGTCTTCCATAGGAGATTTGTTGTTAACCGAGTCTGCATTCTTAGAAGCTGCAGCGCGTCTTTTCGGCTTCATACTTGCTAACGAGCTTTCCCCGGTTTGGCCAGGTCCTTCATCAGTCGCATCCGCCTCCGGAACTTGTACGAGCTTTCGCGAACTCCTCGTAGTACGGCGCTCTCCTATAGCAACCGTAACAGTCTTCTTCGTCGAAGGCGGCGAAGCCAAGTATTCATCTCCATATCTCTTAGGAGCCTTTCGTTGCCGTCCACTTGATCGCAATCCAGGAGTCTCCACCTTAGCGCTGTCATTCGGCGCCTGTTGGTCTCTTTCTGGCGACCGCGTGCGCTTAGTCTTCAATGGCGATTTGGATGTTTTAAGGCCCTTGTCATTGTCAGGCGACGACTGGATTGAGTAGACGTCCGCGTTGCTGTTTCCTTCTGTCGCATCCTCGTTTCCGTCCGACGTCCAACCGCCAGACACTCTCCTCCTCTTAGCAGATCGTAGCTCTTTCATAATTCCGTGACAATTCGGGAGTCTTTCAATGTGTGCGGTGGATTATACACGGAGTGCGTATGATCAGTCTGAGCTATGCGAAAGAAAGGAGGGCATAATGGATCAACAGGAAGGTACAGTAATGAGTATATTAGGGTGGGAGGATGGTAATGGCTGCTTGATCCTCTGCAACGGTTAGAATGCAAGCCTTCGATTTTGCGCAGACCGACGCGCAACGCGAAATCAGGTGACCGGGTGGGAGGCAGTTGAATATCGCTATCGGCCTACGTATACCAAAAAAAGGTATTCTTTTATCTGACAAATAATGTTGATTGTAGGAATGGAGATATTGAAAGAACAAGAGATGTTGATCTATTCAACAATACTGTTCGGTCCTCAGCAAGCGTTTCCTCGACGAAGACGGACCTCCCACGGGTTGGGTTAAGAATGCTCAACCCAGACGATGCGGGTTCAGTTTGACATGGTTCAACCCGGAAGCAGGTTGCTACTTACTGATATTGAGATGACAAGCTTGCTGGCTCCCATGCATACGACATATAGACCTATGGTAATGTTTCTCTCCATTTCTACGCACAATCAAACCATCGGCCCTGTGTCCAAGCAGGAAACGACACTTCTGCATGGAGCATGTGAAGTCTTGGGAAAATATTAAATCACACCAAACAATGTAGCCATGAATCGTCCATGCTCAAGACCATGTCTCCCCCTTCTAGTGACCAACGGGAAAACAAGACTCATACCGAAATCATGATCTCATATCTTCTCCTGGGGATCGTCCGTGTTTGCCTTCTCATGCTCTCCAATCATGCATAATGCTCCCGTATCAGCCCTCCGTATCTCAGCCCGGAGGTACGCAAGCCGGCGTCCAATGTGCACCACCTCGCAGATCACCCTAGCCTCTGTCCCCTCCGGCACTGGACGCAGATATGTGACCTTGAGATTCCGACTTACTCCTCCTGAAGTGAAGATGCCGGGTTTCGACATGGCAATCAAAACAGTTGACGTGAGTATGTCGATGATTGTTGCCGCACAGCCTCCATGGAGGTTACCCATGAGATTGCAGAGGTTCTGGGTCACGGTTAGGAGGTACGAGGCGCGCGGCTGGGGATCTCGTGTCGCGAATTCCAAGCGGAGGCTGCTTCGGCTTGCATCGATGCCCCAAAACTAGACATGAAAGCGGTTCATTGTACTTAGCACATCATTGCATATTCCAGCGCAGATGCTGGGCCAGGCTTAATCCAACCTCTGTGTCATTGTGATTTAGAAACATTTGAAAATAGTCGCGTACGAGCTGTTCGAACTTGTCGTCCCGTTTCGGGGACCCAGGTGGAGGTGAAGACATGTTCAAGCAAGCGGGTTAGGTGGAAGGCAAGAGCAATATCTAGAAAATTAGGGGATCCATAGACTACTATATATCTAATATTAGAGATTGCCGGATGATAGATAGATTGCTTGTTAAGCTGCGACGGCAACCTCGGCTGAACAAAAGCTGGGGTAATTTGACTTCCCGCTTGCGGCACATGTCCGTACATAGACTCCTAGAAAGGTATGCAATACGTTGCCCACTCAAGCGTTACTGTTTACCTCTCTAACAGATCGCGATGGGGCTATTAGTCTGATAAGAATCTAGTTGCTAGCTGACTTCTTCAGCAGGTCAATATTAAATACGATGCTAAGGTCCTATCACTGACAGGCAACAAGAGAAAAGAGCGAACTCCATACACCAAAACCAAGGCCGTTTCTGATGTATAGCCAGCCTTTCACTAGTAGAAGTTGCTGGCAAACGCGATTAGATGATGTGCTCGTCCCGACAAATTATTGGGATAGGAGCGACCAAAACGAAAATGGCGTCCAAGAAGCTTCGCTCAAGACAGCAACGTCTAAAAGTATGAAAGATACCCCTCAATCCTAAGCAGGATAGTCTACTCAGCAGCAAGCCTCTGGTCCTCCCGGAGGCCCTCGACAACTAGCTCTTCGCCAGTTGCCCGTCGGTAAATATCACGAACGTCGTCTAATTCACCGTCAGTCAGTTGAGCACAACCCCAAAACTAGTTATAAATGAGTCTCCCTTACCGGTTGTGGTCTCGAAATGTGACGTAGCATCGTAGCTCTTCGAAATGAAGATGTTGTCATTCACGCCGCTCTCCAGAGGCTGATAGAGGGGAATCGGAGGCCCCATGAATTTCTCTTCAATCTTGCCAAGGCGTTCAAATCCGGGCTCGAGCTCAAGATGGTGATTGGCATCCGTCTCGGCAATTGTCGACACGATAGCAATATAGTAGCCCTTCGGGCAAACATTGTGCGCTGATGACACCATGGCGATATAGATATCTATTTTAAGTGAGCAAATGACTCTTCTCCTTGGTAATGTTCAACTTACCATGCTTTCTTCCGACCTGAGACTGAGGGAGAATCAGCTGAAGAGAGTCACTGCCATCAGTCTTGTCAATGGGATGGTTTAGAATGCAGATCGCCTTCAATAGGTAGCCCGTAATGTTGACCTTGCCGGGGAAGTACGAGGGGTCCGCAAGGATCTTCTTCGTCTTCGTAGTGAACTTCATGGTTTCACTGCGGTCATGAGGATCACTCATGGTGGCCTTGATCCCGGAAACCTTTCCATCTTCGTAAAGAACCTCGTCGACGCTGGTGTTGAGCATATAGGTTCCACCATAGATGGCAGAAAGACGAGCGAAACCCTGAGGGAGCTCACCGAGGCCGTAAAGGGGATAGATATATGGCGACTTTCCGTAGCGCGCCATGGAGTTCACGTAAAGGCGAATGCGATTGATAGTCTCGACGGCGGTTCCAGGCTGGTTAATGTAGTCGTCCGACTGGTAGAGAGCCATCGAATGGCCGACGAAATCGCGAGTGTTATCTTCGAGGCTGAACTTGTCATAAACCTCCTTCATGGTGCACTTAGAAATATCCAAGCCTAGCCGAATGTTAGTATCAGGGGCAGCGGAAACAGCCAAATAGGAACGAACCCAGGTGAGATGCCGGATCGTTTTCCTTAAACTCGCCAACCCATTCCAGAAACTTCTTGGCCCTTCTCTTTTCAAAAAGTCCCATCAGGGACGAACGAAGGGCTTCACCAGCATCCGAAGGAACTCTTGCAACCGTTGCCTTGGGCCCCTTTCCTTGTTGGACATAGCTGCCGGCAATCTGCCTGAATTCGAGATACCGCGTCACATCCGTAGAAACCAAAATATTTGTCAACTCTCCATTGGCCATCAAGAGCTTCGGAACTAGATCGATATTCCAGTCATTGGCACGGCCATATTTCTTCCAGGGTTCCTCTCCCGGCTGAAGGTCGCGGTACTTCTTGAACAGCTATGGGAGAGATCAGCGAAATGGCCCTAATATATACGAAATGGGATGACTAACAGCCTCAATGTTAACTGAAGCGGCCTCCCTGCGTTGAACAGTCAGTGGCGTGAGTAGTCAAAGAATGGGTTGCAATCCACCTACCCGCCATAGTGATCATTGCGATCAATATGAAGAACCTTGTTCCCCTTGACACTGAGGACTCTGTATTCGAAATGAGTAAGGCAGACCGTAATAGAACCCAGTTCACATCAAAACATACCCAGAAAGCACACACTCCGTCAAACCTGCAGGTGGCGTTAGCAGCTCCTTGTTGGGCAGCGGGGTAGCTAGGAGGACAAACCCGTGCCAAGAACAACAACATCGTACTCCGGAGCAATTTCATCCATGGTGGTCGTGTGAGAATAATAGCAGAGAAGACAAATGAAAGAAAGTCAGTTAGCTCGGGACTGAAGACGTGGGTTATGTACAGTGTCAGAGGATAGTCAGGGGCTGGAAAGATGGCGGCGTCACTAAATACTAATAGGCTCCAAGACCCCGCGAGTTGAAGCAGTCAAGCGGTGAACGTCTCCGAATTACCCAATGCGGTATGGTTGTTCCTGCTCTTGTAGGCAAATTAAGTTACTTCCCAGCACTTCTTTCTCTACTCTGTCGATACGCAAAAAGCCGTGGTAAACGATATCTACAGTGACAAGTTGAAGTGTTGACCATCACAACCAGTCAAAAAGATCCGTTGCTTCAAGTTCCTGCTGGCTATTTCCCAGTGTGAAGATCATGGCCTGTATCTACACCAGTGGCGTCGCGTCGTCATTCTCGAATCACCCAGGAACTACTATGAATCTCTCAACGGTCTTCCAGAAAACTGGGGTATTTAGCTAGTCTGATCAATGAGCAGGACACTAGAGTCTTATCCTGTTGGAAACCGTTCGTTTCCAAGAGTTGACGACGGTAACGACTAACAACTTAAAGACGCCGCACACTAAAGACGGACTTCATAAGCATCGCGAGAGCCAGAACAATAGAGGTGATGGAGAATAGGCACTTGTCCCACTGATCAGCAGAAACCCACCCTTGAATTTCTCCGATATCTATATTTGATGATGAAATACCCAGGAACAGAAGACGAGTACAGCGGTTAGATCAAAAGGAAATAAGAGATTGGATGATGACTTGTCGCGAGTGTTTGCGGTGTTCTTCTTTGTCAGCCAGCAACGAGGGGGAAATGCTTTCAATTAGTACAATCGTGTTTCTAAGGGCTGGAATAGAGGATACTGTTAGTAACGGGAGCTCCCCTCAATCATAGATGTTATTCATGAGCCAGCACTAACAGCAAATTGGTCCCAGCTAGCTTATATACCACACTCTTATTATTATTATTATTTATTAGTTACCACTTAAGATTGAGGCTTAGAAATTGGAGCAGAGATACTATTAAGAGCTATTAGCACCCAATTCCCACTATTGGAATTGCAATGACGATCGTTTCCATTAAGCGGCGATAAGATGGCAATGCTGTTACACGCAGCAAAAGATTGTAGCCCATGGCATTTGTTTCCTTCCAAAATTCATAGGAATGTACTCTCTGCGTCCATAAAAAATACATGAACTAGACCTTGTGCTAACAGGTAATGGCGAAAGGAATACTACATATTGCGAGAAGCATCTAGTGCCAGAAAGCCCGATCAATGCGTGTCTGTGCGATATCGCATCCTTATTACTCAAGATCCTCCTCTACCTTTGGTCGGTAGCCCCTTTGGTAGAGTCGACGGGCATCTTCCCAAGCGTACCATCGTTCGCGCAAAACGAGTTTGATGGCCATTTGCGTCTTGCGGACCTAATGACACAGTACCATGTTAGAGGTTATACTCAAGAAGACAGTCCAAAGACAGTTCGAACCCAGTTTCTCGCTTCTGGGATTTGTCTGGGAAACTGGGAGGTACTTCTCCCGTCGGCATTGGTGTAGGTTATAACAGCAGCCAGGTAGACTCACAACTTTATCACGCTCACTAGCCTCAAATTCTCCGTAGCCCGCCTTCAATCTCTTCCTTTCCAAGTCGGATGTTGCTATGCGATTGCGTTCCTTGGCACAAACCCACCACAGACAATGAAGATCTTCCCAGGATTTTTCACGGAGCTCTTGAATGGACCATGCGCGACCTGAATGTTGCAATTGTAAGCGTACAGCCAATGTATGCGATAAATGTATGAAATAACTGACCATGAGCGCTGTCGTATTCTGGAGTGCTCAATGACTCTTTGTTCCTGGGGAAGAAATCCCAGAGACCATGGTTGGGAGTAGGATTGGCTCGTGTAGGCTTGCTTGGCGTTGCAGGTTTTGGCAATGGATATTTGGAAACTCCCAAGGGAAACTTAGGGCCAGTACGATGGATAGCAGAGACTCCACGAGATTTGCTCAGATCACGTCCGGAACCAGCGGCCACAGCCGTGGAAGAAAAGTTCGAACACTGTACGGGAGGCCGGATCAGGGAGAAGTGAAGCGATGGAGCGAGGTATGGCGGAGGTAGTTCGACCAGCGGAAGACCTCCATACTGGCAAGCCAGCCGTACAACCGACTGTCGGTGCATCGCGAAGGGTGGGAATTGAATGGACGAGAAGCGGATAGCCCGAATGCAATGTAGACAGTCGCAGCGAGATTCGGGCAGCCAGCGATCTTGCCGTTCTACCACGTGATCTGCAAGGCTTGCGGCGGCTATTGCGGGGACCCAAGCGCGCGCCTATGTCCTCCACCTCGAACAGCGGAGAGGTGCCTCCAAAGACAAGCCTGCTGAGTGCACGATTACTCTCAAGATAGATCCGCGGGTGAAGATCGCTCAATTCCACTAAGGCGGTGATACTGTTTGGAGGCCTATTGACTGTTACCAACATTATGAATAGACAAGGTCAGTTCCTTTCCCGTTGTCTTGCTTTGCCTGTGTTGCAATTATCAGGGCGCCCCCCCGGCAAAGACATATCTTTTTATCTTCCCCATTGATGCCGTGGTTGTGCTTCACCGATGGGAAATTTCAGTCTTCCACTCTGGTTATGGGCCCTCACACAAATGGTTCTAGCGACCTAGATCCCTCCCAAGCCTACGCCAAGACACTCCCTGCTGCGACTTCCATCACAACATCTCGCCGAATCTTCATCGGAGCTCCAATTCGCAAACTTGCTAGCTGACTTATTACGAAACATTCAGGCCCTGGACCGCAGCCTCTGCGAGGCATGTCTGGGTTCCCCGCACAACAAGCACAAACTCGAAACGCAGTGTTAGCGTCGGCGCGATTGCCAAACGGAAAGCTCGGTGCGATCGCCTTCCACATACCTTTGACAGGAAAATAAGGTCTTGCAGACTAACGCTGGATTCGGATAAGTAGGAAACAGTGCCAACTGGAATTTCAACTTGCCCATGAGCGGTACCCCAAATCTTCAGAACAACCAGCAGCGCAATATTGGTGCAATGGGAACTTTCGCGCAAAGTATTGGCGGATCACAACCTGCTACGCCACTAGATCTATCGTGAGTGTAGCCTTCCCTTTTTAGAGAGAATGCCTTCTTCATTTCTGTCCTTTTTTTTGCCCGTGCCACTCCTGGTCACTGCCATTGTATTCCGAAATTGGTCCGAGCTCTTGAGTTGCAATTGCTAATAGTTATCCGTCTCCAGAGAATTCCCCTCCCTATCAGGGGCACCCCAAGTATCTCAACCTCAAAATCCGGGGCAGCTAGCTTGGGCAAACGTCAGCCAGCGAGTCGCGCAACAGACCCCCGTGCAAAGACAACATCCTCCTACGTCCCAGGCACCCTCACGAGCTTCACAAACACAATCTCATACCCCGCAACCTCAGTCTCAGCCATCACATGACGACTTATTCCCGTCTGGAACCCAGTTTGCGAGTCGGCTGGACGACTTTAGGAACGGCGGACAAGGAATCAGTGGTCAATTAGGGGCTGGTGGCCAACCGCAAACCGGCAGTATTGACGAGTTTCCACCTCTTGGACGAAGCGTGCAGGGTGCGGGGTTTGGTAACTACAATAGTGGTATCGCATTCTCTGGTGTGTCCCAGGCGCAAGCTACTCCAGGTCGCACAATGATGGCAGCATCCATAAACGGACAGGAGACGGCGAGAATGATGTCTCCTGTAACGGCAGCGTCGGGCGGTATGTCTAAAATAAGAAACAGGAGTGCGCAGACAACTGATCACGTTATGAAGGTATCGCGACGACACGGTCACCTGCGGCGCAAGGTCCGAACGGGGTTATCAGTCCAGAAAAAGATGTACGTTGACCTGAAGCCTCTAGTCATGATACATTCCTTCCGTCTTATAAAGCTGTGCTGACATCATCGTTGGTAGGACTTGAACACCGCCATGATGTCGAACCAGCGCGCTCAGGGTGTCACTGGTGATGCGCAGGAATCCCCTGCTGTCAGCCAGAGCGCTGAGCAGCCACCGCTATCTCAAATGAGTGAGATTGATAAGTTCGGGCTTTCCGGACTGCTCCGCATGATCCATAGCGAAAGCCCAGACGTTGCAAGCCTTGCAGTAGGGCAAGATTTAATGACATTGGGCCTAGACCTGAACCAGGCAGAGTACGAACTAGTTTCTCCTTTCTGTCTTTTTTCGACCATACTAACGGTCACTACTCCTGTTAGACCTCTTCATACCTCATTTGCGTCGCCATTCGTCTCGTCTATGTCAGCTGTACCTCTAGAACAAGACTTTTCGCTTCCTTCTTGCTACAGTGTTGCCAATATTCAACCACTACAGTCGCGCATTCCTAGCTTCAGTGACGAGACGTTATTTTACGTATTCTACAGCATGCCAAGAGACATAATGCAAGAACTTGTAGCGGAGGAGCTCATGGGTCGCAAGTGGAGGTATCACAAAATAGAGCGATGCTGGCTGACTCGGGATGAGACATACCCTGGACCCGTTGACGTTGAGCGGGGTGTCAGCGAGCGTGGTGTCTATCTTCTATGGGATCCTGCCAGTTGGAAGAAGGTCAGGGTAAGTTAGGAGCCTCTGCCCAAACGTTCTCGATTATCTTCAGGGCTAATGATTGGGATTTATACAGCGTGAGTTCATCCTGCGGTATGAGGATCTGGATAACCGGCTGGATCCGAATAGAGGCCTTACGCGCGCAGTCGGGTTCTCGCATCACGCTTCATGAGTCTCGGTTTGAAGCGGGTCTAATTTATCAGCGGCGGCGTTTGGTCGAACACCTACTTCTATGTAAGACCAGATGCTGCCAGCCGGAGCAGTCGCCTCGGAGACGAGGAATTCTGCTTTATTTGGAATGGACTGTATTCCGTACAGATAGCCAGGATATTATATCCTAACCTGAATGATTTGAATGACCTGCGCAAAGACCCTCATTGTAACGACCAACATTTTCTATTTCGTATTCACTAACCGTACCCTGTTGAGTTCCCAACCGAGTACGGAGGTTAAACGATACCAATATTCTTTCTAGTGTTATCGATCTATAGCATACGGAGTAGTTTTCGCTAGTGAGCCCGCCAAAAGGAAAATGCCATGGCATAAGTCCTTGTACTGCGCTTAACTGGGCCGTCAACAGTTCTCTGTATATATATCACGTGATATGTTCTTGCTTATGCAATCGACAGTATTACGCTAATCCCAGAACAGCAAACCATAAACATAGATTCCGCATTCCAGCAACAAAAACGCCCGCGGCCCCGCAAGCACAATCGATTCAAGCTCAAGTCTTCTCGGCAGTTTCTGTTCTACCACGCCTTTGCTCGATGTGCTCTAGCCATTAACATTACTACAGAGACTCGCCGTCATGAGGATAGTCGAGATCATAGTCGACGTAAGCACCTTTTTCATTATCGTTTGCGACCAGACGTTGCAGTGCACTAACTTACAATTGCCAGGGCTTTAAATCGTATGCCGTGCGGACGGTAATCTCAGGATGGTAAGTGTTTCTGCTAGTATAGCTACTTGCTGCTTGATCTTCACCTGTTTCTCACTCACCGCCATGAGGGTCACGATAATGTCCTAACATTTATGATCTCGCTAGGGATGAATCGTTCAACTCGATTACCGGTCTCAACGGCAGCGGTAAATCCAACATTCTCGACGCCATTTGTTTCGTCCTCGGGATCACAAATATGAGTACCGTCCGGGCCCAGAATTTGCAAGATCTTATCTACAAGCGTGGCCAGGCGGGTGTAACCAAGGCCAGCGTTACTATTGTCTTCGATAATCGTAATAAGGAGAAGTCCCCGATCGGTTTCGAGGAATATGCGACTATTTCGGTTACTCGACAGATTGTACTGGGTGGCACCAGCAAGTACCTGATCAATGGTCATCGTGCGCAGCAGCAGACGGTTCAAAATCTGTTTCAAAGTGTGCAACTGAATATCAATAACCCCAACTTTTTGATCATGCAGGGCCGCATAACGAAGGTCCTTAATATGAAACCTGTTGAGATTCTGTCGATGATTGAGGAAGCCGCGGGGACGCGCATGTTCGAAGATAGAAGAGAAAAGGCAATCAAGACAATGGGAAAGAAGGAGTTGAAGTTGCGAGAGATTGAAGAATTGCTTAAAGAAGAAGTCGAGCCCAAACTTGAGAAACTGAGATCGGAGAAACGCGCTTTTCTGGACTTTCAACAAACGCAAAGCGACCTTGAACGCTTAACGCGACTGGTAGTTGCTCACGACTACGTTAAGGGTGGAGAGCGACTACAACTTGCCGGTGAGGAATGCGAAAATAAACGACGCAAGATACAAGAATTTGAGGATAACGCCGTTAAGCTTAAGAATGAAATAGCTCATCTTGAAGAGGATGTTAAGCGAGTGAGAGCTGCCCGTGATAAGGAGCTGCGGAAAGGTGGCAGATTCCAAGCCCTCGAGGAAGAAGTCAAAGCACACTCCCACGATCTCGTTCGACTTTCCACGGTGTTTGATCTCAAGAAATCGAGCATGGCAGAAGAGAAAGAGAAGCGTGGAACTGTTAAGAAGACCGTCAGAGATCTCCAAGAAGTTCTGAAGGAGAAGAAAAGCGTTTACGACAAACTTCAAGCGCAGTACGATGCTGCCAAGGCCGAGCTCGATGCACAAACAGCTGAAGTTGAACAGAAAGAAGAGTTGCTCCAGACCCTGCAAACTGGTGTTGCGTCAAAGGAAGGCCAGGAGAGTGGGTACCAAGGTCAACTCCAGGATGCTCGAAATCGAGCAAACGCCGCTTCTACGGAACAGGAGCAAGCCAAACTCAAGATTGCTCATTTGGAGAAACGAGTAAAGGAAGAGGAGCCTCGGGCTGAGAAGGCCAAGGAACAGAACTTGGGCCTCCTAAAAGAATTAGAGGGACTTAAGACACAAGCGCGGAAGCTTGAACAGGAATTCACAAAACTTGGAGTGGAACCAGGTCGAGAGGAGCAGATATACCAGGAGCAGTCTAGCCTACAGAAAGATATCCGTGAGCTCCGAAGTAGGGCTGATGACCTCAAGAGAAGAGCAGCAAACATTGAATTTACCTATGCAGATCCGCACCCTCATTTTGATCGATCAAAAGTCAAGGGATTGGTGGCCCAGTTGTTTACGTTGGATAAGGACAAAATTCCTGCTGCGACAGCACTGGAAATATGTGCTGGTGGACGCTTATACAATGTTGTCGTCGACACAGCAGAGACCGGTACCCAGCTTCTTCAAAGGGGGAAGCTGCGCAAGCGTGTCACTATCATACCTCTGAATAAAATATCCGCATTCAAAGCATCTGCAGAGAAGATCGGCGCTGCAAAAAATCTTGCACCGGGGAAAGTCGACCTTGCTTTGTCGCTAATAGGATACGATGACGAGGTCTCGGCGGCGATGGAATATGTCTTCGGCAATACATTGATCTGTCAGGACGCAGAGACTGCGAAAAGAGTAACGTTTGACCCATCTGTTCGCATGAAAAGTGTCACGCTTGATGGCGACGTCTACGATCCATCCGGAACCCTGTCTGGCGGCAGCTCACCAAATTCGAGCGGTGTTCTTGTCACCCTACAGAAGCTGAATGAGATCACCAGAGAAATCAAAAACAAGGAACGTCTACTAGCGTCTTTGGAAGAGACATTGAAAAAAGAGAAGAAAAAGCTTGATGTGGCTCGCTCCATAAAGCAAGAGCTCGATCTTAAGACTCACGAAATAAAGCTTACAGAGGAGCAGATAAACAGCAACTCATCATCTTCTGTAGGTGCAAAAGTTTCTTATGTTTCCGAGTGCTGTGGGGAGCTCGAGAAGCTAACTTATACCAGATTATCCAGGCTGTCGAAGAGATGAGGGCGAACATTGAACAGCTGAAGAAGGATATCTTGCAAGCAAAAACCCGCCAAAGCGAAGCATCCAAGGATATAAAAAGAATCGAAAAGGATATGAGTGAATTCAATAACAATAAGGACAGCAAGCTAGCAGAGCTGCAGGCTTCGCTTGACTCACTCAAGAAAAGCCTGACGACGAATTCAGTGGCAGTGAAGACCTTGCAGAGAGAACTTCAAGCCTCTAGACTTGACAGTGAGCAAGTCGGGAGCGACCTTTCCGCCGCTGAGGAACAGTTGGCCGACGCCGATGCGACGTTGAAGGCTCAGCGGGAGGAAATTGAATCGCTTAAGAGAGAAGAAGCAAGACTGAAGGTATGGAATCAAACCTTTCCTTTTTTTTTTTTTTTTTTTAAGAAATGAACTAATAATAGCAGGACGCCCATGACGTTGCCCAAGCAAAACTTGATGACGAGAGGGCCAAGCTGACTGGCTTTGACGAAGAGCTGCGGGAGCTTGAGGAGACAGCACAGGCGAAAGCCTCACGAATCACAGAGGAGGGTCTCGAGATGCAAAAGCTTGGTCACCAACTCGAAAAGCTTCAGAGAGATCAACAAGCTGCTGCTCAAACCGTAGCCCATATAGAGGCAGAACACGAGTGGATTTCCGACGAAAAGGACAATTTTGGCCGTCCTAACACAGCTTATAACTTCAAGAACCAGAACATCGCGGAGTGTAAGGCGACGCTGCGGAACCTCACAGAGCGATCTCAGGGAATGAAGAAGAAGATCAATCCTAAAGTAATGAATATGATTGATAGCGTGGAGAAGAAGGAAGCCGCCCTGAAGAACATGATGAAGACTGTCATCAGAGACAAACGCAAGATTGAAGAAACTATTATTAATCTCAACGAGTACAAAAAGGAGGCTCTTCACAAGACTTGGACTCAGGTCAACAAAGATTTTGGACAGATCTTTGCCGAGCTGCTACCAGGAAGCTTTGCAAAATTGGATCCTCCCGAGGGCAAGGAGATCACTGATGGCTTGGAGTTCAAGGTATGCCTAGGCAAGGTCTGGAAGCAGAGCTTGGCGGAACTCAGTGGTGGGCAACGGTCAGTTTTTATCATTTCTCTTTCTACAACCTTCACCGTTGCACGCGGCTAATTGCGTTCCATTTGTTTCAATAGCTCCCTCATTGCTATAGCATTGATCATGGCACTGCTGCAATTCAAGCCCGCCCCCATGTATATCTTGGATGAGGTGGATGCCGCTCTAGATCTGTCGCACACGCAGAACATTGGACGATTAATCAAGACCCGATTCAAGGGATCCCAGTTCATCGTCGTTTCCCTCAAGGATGGCATGTTTCAGAATGCGAACCGCATTTTCAGGACGAGATTTAGCGAAGGGACGAGTATTGTTCAAGCCCTGACTCCGGCTGACATGAAATAACATGCTCGTTAGGTCTTTGCTCTTGCCGGCATCTTTTGGTTATCTTTTCTTGATTTTGCAGCATCTGTTTAGTGGCGGTGGAATACGGCAGGTATAGCCTTTTTATAGATGATTGTTTGCAAGTGATGGGCACGAACTCCTGTTTCTTTCATTGCTTTTTGTCTTGCCTTTTTCTTCTTGGACAGGCACGAAAGTTATGTGATGATCTAGGTATAATGAAGCGCTTCCTTGTTGCTCTTCGTAGTCTGTCACGTGCCTTATATCCCCTCCAGAGCAGGCCACCGCCACAGGAACATCTTCATGAACTACTGTCATTGCCTTGGCAGAACTGTGCTTGTTCTAGGTCTTTTTTCTTTTTACCTTTCATTCAGATCAGTTTTGTGTTATTGAATGCAAAGCAGAAAAGAACGCAACATATCATCTGCAACGCCATCCTGCGACTGGCCCTGACAATCCTGGTGTACAGCGAAGTCGTCCCACGCATACCGACATACAAAGCCATTGAACAACCCATATATCAGATATCCGTGGCGTTTTGGAAAAGGCTGAAGAAGAAACCATGTCGGATGACGAGCCTAGCATTAACATCCCTTCCCTCCTCACACTGGCTGTCGTGTCATTCTTTGTCATCCGATGGTTTCTAAATCGTGACTCCAATTCCCCCACGGATGGAAGTGGTAGCAGACGCGCGCGCGGGAATGCCGTTGACCCAGCACATGTGGAACAGGTCTCTCAGATGTTTCCGCAGCTGAGCGTCAGGGAAATCATGTGGGATTTGCAGCGGAATGGGGGCAGCGTTGCGGCAACTACGGAAAGGATTCTGTCTGGACGGGGGTTGGAAGTTGTACGTGTCTGCTTATTTTCTCTTCCGAATTTTTATTTCTACGCCTTCTATGAGTAATATGCTAATAGTCTTCATACTTTAACTTAGCCCCCGTTGTCGTTTCAGCCTCAAATCAATATTCCCTCTGTCCAGAACGTGGCAACGCAGACGGCAGCGGCACGAAGCACTTCTTCCAAGTCTGATGCGCAGGATCTGATTACACGGTACAACCTCAAAGACAGAATTGCGAGTGACGACTCTTCAGAGTCATCATCTTCGAGCACTGGGTGGTCGCAGAACAAAGAGGAGCGTCACCGTCTACTGCAAAAGCGGCGGGATGACATGATTTTGGCGGCGCGGAGGAAGATCATGGAGAAGGATCGGGAAACTGCTCGATAGGTTTTCTGATTTGCTTTTGATACTGGACTTCTTACCTCTAGGGACAAATTGCCAGCAATGCTCTTTACTCCGTTATGGGTGAATTACACACATTGTCTCTCTCTCTTTCCTTTTCCAGTACGGTGTAAGGGATTCGATACAAAGCTTCCTCAACATGGGGAGTAACATAATTTCAATCATGTCCTTTCCAATCTCTCCGCCTCTTTCCGCCTCCGTTATGTTCTTGTTTGTCTTCTTTTGGGAGCTCAGCGTTGCATGTTGTTTTGGCGTTCCATGGATTCTAAATACCTTAGGTTGCCTTTTGGATTATGGGGTATATATATAGGTATATATACGTACTAAGATCTCGTTGAATACTTCAGATCCGCAGTGCCCGTGCCTGGGTCCGTATCCTTTTTTTTCCTGAACTCCGGGATTGAAGATCAAAAGGAAACGAGAAGGGGAAGAAAAGAAAACCCGAATACCACCTAGAACTCCATGTAATCTTCATTATCTTGCGTGTCATCGTAGCCTCTGTTGGCCATCTCTTCAGCCAATTGTTCCCTACGCGCCTGTTCTCTGGATGCACCGATTTTCCTTTCGAGTTGAAACCCATATGTTAGCATGAGTATTTGGAATTGGCTTGTAATAGAGAATAAAATGCAGGGAGCTGAATATACCTCAACCCATCCACCACGCCAGCTACGAATCCTCTTGCCTCCCCGACCTCCATGGCCCCAACACCGGTAAGTGCGATGCCGCCTCCCGCGGTCGACGCAGCGTCCAGAACGTCCACGCCGGCCCTGATCTTTGCCGTCCGCACCTCTCTCAAATCCTTTAGCAGTCTCCGTATTTGATCTGGTTCTACGAGATCGTCACTCGCCTCGTCAAGTAATATATTCCCCACTTCTAACCAATGGTACGGGAGTGACGGCGGCTCATCTGAAGATACAGCTGTCTGTTGCTGCGATGCATCATTTTGCGGTAAGAATGGAGGCGAGGGAAAGTATCGTTCTCCATCCAATGTATATCGGGGTTTTGTTAAGGCCGACTGTGCTGGATCTCGGCCACGGAGACTAGGTTGTCCAGGTAGGGGCGGGGGAGGTGAGAAGGCGTTTTCATACTCTTGATGTCGAGTCTCTAAATCGAGGATGAGAGAGAGGGAGTCTGGATGGAGCCATGGTGGTGGGAGGATGTTCGCGCGGCGTTGGCGCTTGAGGAGGACGGCAAGCCAGAGAGGAATAGATGCGCGACGTGGAGGGAGGAGGGGGTTTATGGGACCCTGTTAGGAAGGATATGAGTCAATTGGAAGCAAAACCAAATAATAGAATCAATAGCATGTTTAAATGGTCTTGCGGAGAGGCGCTCTTTGCAGTTGTCGTTTGCGCTCTCTGCACCGCATAATCGATCAATTATTTGCCATTTCTTGCATTCCCTCAGTCCTAAAGGATATAGAAGCTCTATCCAACTTACTCCTAATAGTTCAAGGCCTTCCAGACGCTGCCGTGGCATAATCGTTACCATCTCCATTTCCGCGAGAAAGGCTATCTCCGAGGGCGTGATGCCCCGCGGGAGGGGAAAGGCCATTGAGCGTTAAGTGTTCCGGACTGTATGGCTTGCAGCTAGGAGGTTCTTCTTTGTCGGTCCGGAAAAAGGTAGTCTCTGGTGTAAAATGTCATGTCTTCATCCTATTCCTGGTTATGCATGGATTTGGACGGTGAACTTGAGATCTCGAAATGCAGGACGAGCGTTGTTTGGTCTGTTTGCAGAAAGTCTCCATGACGGAAGCTCCTTTTGCAGCTTCGAACTCTCCTTGTCTTCCATTCCGTTCTCTCTTTTAATGCAGGAGTTCAATTGGGCTGCTGGGACTGTTTGCCATACTGGGACACTATGAGTTCGGCTCAGAAAGACTCCAACCTTACTCGCGCTGCTCGATATGCCGTGCCATTCTTTCTGTTGCTGATCCCAGTCTGGAAAACGAAGGTCAGCTCTGAGATCCCTGAGCCGTATCTGGACGAGGTTTTCCATGTGGGCCAGGCTCAAGCATATTGGGCTCATAAATGGACGCAATGGGATCCCAAGATAACGACGCCTCCAGGGCTCTACCTCTGGTCGTACATCTTATGTGCCGTGCTGCTCTCCATCCGTGGCTCCCCGACTGAACTCACCACCGACGTTCTGCGCACCACAAATGTGGCTGCGACATCGATTCTTCTTCCCTGGAGACTTCAGACTTTACTGGACTTCCTACGAGGAGCACGCAACACCCGTCCGATTGGCTCTAGATTGAGCCATACTGTGTTGAACATTTGCCTCTTCCCGCCACTGTTCTTCTTCTCGGGCCTCTACTACACTGATATTCTTGCTCTTCTGCTCGTCGTCGAAGCCTATAACTGGGATAGTAAACGAACTTCGGGAAAGGGGTCAAATCCATTGCAGAATCTGGTCTTTCTGCTGTTCGGACTGCTTGCCCTTGTGTTCAGACAAACGAATATTTTCTGGGTTTCGGTGTTCTTAGGTGGACTGCGGATTGTCAGGAGCCTGCGTCAGTCTTCAACTGACTGCGAATCTTCCAATTTCAAGGAAATCGCGACCAGAAGTTCAAAGAAACAACTGTACGACCCGCCTGTAGCCGGCGCTTCCGCCACTGGTGAGCACTGCCCTTTGACTTGCGAACTCAGGAGATGGAGTTGATTATAGGAATATAGATTACTTGAGGACCGCTATGTCGCTCACAGTAGCTGCTCTGAGCAACATTCCCTCTGTCGTTGTTTCGGTCTTCCCGTATCTCATCATCCTAGCTGCCTTTGGTGGGTTCGTACTGTGGAATAATGGAGTTGTCTTGGGTGAGTTTCAGCACTGTCAGCTGCCTTTGGTTGGGTGCACTGCTTATAATGTTTTTGCTTCCAGGGCATAAAGAGTTCCACACTGCAAGTCTGCACTTTTCCCAAATGCTCTATATTTGGCCATACTTCTTTTTTTTTTCTTGGCCGCTAATTCTGTTTCCTCTGGTCAACTTGCTTCTCCCCAACACTTATGTTCCAAAGTTTCTGAACTATGGCTTTCCCAAGAAACAGAAGGGGCTGCCAGCTCTCTTGACGATCCTCGTTGTAGTCCCAATCATGCTGCTCATTGTTCATTTCAACACGATCGTCCATCCGTTCACCCTCGCCGATAACCGCCATTACATCTTCTATGTCTTCCGTATCCTTCTCGGATATCATTGGGCAGTGAAGTACTTTGTGGTTTTGATCTACTTCATCTGTGCTTGGGCTGTAATTTCCGCATTTGGTTTCAGCACTATCGCACCACCTCCACGTCTCATGCAAGTTCCATCTTCGCCGCCGGTTGCTCCTACAAAATCGGAGCAGAAAGAGAGCAAGAAAAAGCAGAAGACTAGTCGCAGGGCTGTTTCTACTAAAAAGGCTAACCCGAATACGGACATGCAACCTATTTCCCCGGAAGTCATGGCTAAAATCCAGGCGCATATCCTACAGCGACAGAGGGGCCAACTTATGCCTCCTCGGGTTAGTTTCGTTCTCGTCTGGCTTGTTTCTACAGCACTCAGTCTTGTTACTGCACCTCTTGTCGAACCGCGTTACTTCATAATCCCCTGGGTCATGTGGAGGATACACCTACCACCGCAGCCGACCCTGTCGGTATATCGTCAGCAATGTCCAAGTGGTGAAATGGAGATTACACGTGCGAAATTTGTCCAAAATATCCCTATATTCCTGGAAACACTGTGGTTCCTATTCATCAACGCAGTCACGGGATATGTGTTTTTATATGAAGGCTTTGAATGGCCGCAAGAGCCGGGCAAGGTCCAGAGGTTTATGTGGTAGTTCAATCGGGCTACGAATTCCTTAGATAGGTTTACATTCTCCCTAACATGTATTGGTACTTAGTATTCTGCCTTGCTCGAGATGTTCCGAGGTTGAAAGAAAAAGAAATGTCTATTTGCAGCAAATATGGCATTATAGATAGTAATTTAAATATAGATATTGCATTGCACATAAAAGTCCCAGTAATGTGTACATTGAGAAATTCTCTTTATTTTTTGGTTTCTCGTGATTGAGCTACGGCAGTTCTTAACGCTCCCATGGTTCTGAACGACACGCCCAGAATCTAGCAACCTCACTACAAAGTACCAGTACAAGTCCTTTTCTAGGACAGACATACTGGACTGTATGATCCAAATCTGGCAACGATTTTTATGTCGAGCTAGCATCCGTTACTCTTCGCATGAATATCATCAACCCAGATACGGTCTATGCTGCCGCCCAAGGACCATCAGTATCGAGTCAAGATCCAAAGAAGGACCAGAGCCGCACTTCAAAATGAGTCACCCTGCAAAGAGACTGAAAACATCATCTGGTGAAGCACGAGAAGAGGAAGCGCAAAGCAGATCTTGTTCTAGCCAATTTGTCCCGCCCGCACTGAGGACCCCTAATCGGGACAGAAGTACGTTGGCGTCGCTGAGCAGGTCTATAACGCCCCCTCCACTGCTCCACTGTCGCTCGAGTCAGGAGAAGCAGAAGACTGCAAAGACGTCTGCATACGATGGGAACAGCTCTAATCCAATTTCTACCCATAATACTATTACCAACCTAACAATCCGGTCGCCCATCCAGCTTACACACGTCCGGGATCTTCCCGCAAACTCTGATTACAATGTTGACGCTATAAAGCTGAGAGACATCCTGGGCGATCCTATGATTCGGGAATGCTGGCAGTTCAACTATATGTTCGATGTGGATTTTTTGATGAGTCAATTTGATGAGGATGTGAGAAACTTGGTGAACGTGAAGATCGTGCATGGATCATGGAAGAGAGAGAGTCCCAACCGGATGATGATCGATGTAAGTAACTAACTCCCAGTCGTTGTGACATCGTTATGTTTATTATTTTTACCTCCAGGAAGGCTGCTCTCGATATTCAAACGTGGAACCGATAGTTGCTTATATGCCCGAGCCATTCGGTACTCACCATTCGAAAATGATGATTTTACTTCGACATGATGATTTAGCTCAGTATGAACGAATCAGTCCTTTCTACTTTCTTGACTGTCTTGGTATATACATATTCCTGGAGCTGACTGTTCTCTTTTAGAGTCGTGATTCATACTGCAAACATGATCTCCGGCGACTGGGCCAATATGTGTCAGGCCGTCTGGCGGTCCCCTTTGCTTCCCCTGCAAAAAGGGAAGGACATTGCTTCAGCCAGGTCAAGGATTGGTTCAGGGGCAAGGTTCAAGAGAGACTTACTCTCCTACCTGGCTGCCTATGGTCCTCAGAAGACCGGCTCCCTGGTCCAGCAACTCGGACGGTTCGACTTCAGCGCAGTCCGCGCGGCGTTGGTTGCGAGTGTGCCTTCGAAGCAGAAAGTTCGTGATATCTCTATAAGGAGTTCAGAAAACAGAACCTTGTGGGGATGGCCTGCCTTAAGAGATGTCCTTTCCCATATTCCCATATGGCAGGGAACAAACGCAGCACAACCGCAGACACCCCATATTGTTGCCCAGGTTAGTAGTCCTTTGATCTACCTGTTTGAAAGAGTAAACGTGAGCATTCTGAATACGAATACTTACTTAAAGCTGTAGATTTCCTCAGTTGCTACATTAGGCCAAACAGATAAATGGCTCAGAGAGGTCTTCTTCGACTCTCTCTCCCCGAAGGCGAACATGCACGCTCATTCCCATTCCTCTTCTAGGACAGGTCACAGTTCCAACTCTCATTCCTATCATACAACTCAGAACGCGTCAAGGCGAACTCCAAAATACTCAATAATCTTCCCCACTCCAGACGAAATCCGTCGTTCCTTGAACGGCTACGCCTCCGGAGGCTCAATCCACATGAAGCTCCAGACGCCTGCACAGCAAAGACAGCTACAGTACCTGCGTCCATATCTCTGCCAGTGGGCCGGAGATAATGATAGCAGTAATAGCGAAAAACAAAATGCGGGCCGGCGACGAGCAGCGCCGCATATCAAAACATACATCCGCTTCTCAGATACGGAGAGGATGGACTCCATCAGTTGGGCCATGGTTTCGTCTGCGAATCTCTCGACGCAGGCTTGGGGAGCTGCTATCAATGCTAATGGGGAGGTACGCATTTGCTCATGGGAGATCGGGGTTGTCGTTTGGCCTGATTTGTTTATTGATGGTCACAATCAAACTCACGGTGAAGAGTTTGATGGTAACCTGAAGAAAAGAAGGGTTGTTGCGAAAATGGTTCCATGTTTTAGACGGGACTTGCCGTCTGATGATGTTCTTCTTGATGCCGGTTGTTCTCTTTCAGATGATGCTGAGGGCTTGGAAGATGCGCCACAGTCCGTGGTGGTCGGTCTCCGGATGCCCTACGATCTGCCCCTGACGCCGTACAGATCGAGTGATGTCCCTTGGTGTGCAACTGCGATTCATACAGAGCCTGACTGGCTGGGACGAACATGGGTTGAGTGAGGGTTATATCATTGCTACTAATAATTATGGGCTAGGTGCCTAACAAGACCTGCGTCCTGTCCTGGGTCTGCCATGAACCAATGGGTTCCTAGATAGTGTAGATCAAACTAGCCAGTCATCGGTTCAATTGTGTGGCAATTCATATATTTTTATCTGACATTGTGATCGTGTCAAGATTAATCAAGGTTTCTTTCTAGGGCTCAAAGATGCGTGACAGGTATGTTAATGTATTACAATGCCCTATTATTGTGGCTTCTTTATCCACTTCCTTGTCTTGGATTGTTACACTCCGTAGAATCTTGGAAGAGGTTCCGTGACATCGCTTGAAGTAAAATAGCGACGTATATACATACACAAAATAAAAGTGCCACAGTGATCATGACTGGCTTGGTGATATAAGATGCGGCAAGAATAGACGTATCTACCTGCAGCCTCGTCGTAGACAGGGCTAGAAGGTAGAACAGAAAGAGGTATAGGTACTACGCCCTCGGTAACCAAGTGCAAAGCAACAACTCCCAGGCCAATGCTAAGCAAGGCAAGCCCTCATCTTTCTTTCCTTTCGTCCTTCCTTCATCGAATAAAAAAAATCCGGCAAAAGAGGTTGAGAAAGCGTCAAATTCCAATTTAAGATTTCAGTTGGTACTTAGCGATCAGTCCGTTGACCAGCTTGATGTACTCTGCCTGTGACTTTTGGAAGCTGGTATCCTTGATAGCCTGGTAGCGGTTGTACTTGTGGCGGGTCTATTAGATGATACATATTAATTAGTATCCATTGTCACCAGGAAGTTACATTTAATGATCGATGAGAAAGACGGTTGAAATAATTTGGGGAGGAGTAAATACCGCAGAAAACGGAAGGCCAGCGTCTTTTGGTCCTCCTTGCTTGGTACCGTGCTTGTAGTGAGCCCACGGCTGGATTGAATCGTTAGAAAATAGCAAATCAACAATGTATAAAAGAGAGAAAGAAAAAAAGGGACTTTCAACGAACATCCAGTAATTCCAGATCGGAAGGCTTTTTAGTGAGCTGCTGGATCAACTCCGTCGCAAACAGGAATCCGGCTGCCAACAATGCAGACTCCTCCTCGTCGGTTATTTCTTGGGTACCGACTAACCCAAGTGCTTCTTCAACGACAGCCTTCAGCGCATCCTTCTTGTCGTGGATGGGGGTCGCGAGACTCTGGAGCTTTGGGCCGAACTTGCCTTCGAAGGCGGGGTCGATTCCGGAGAGATAGTTGGAGATGTCGACGGACATTGTGGGTGAGAACCTGCGACTGGGGAATTATATATATACGAAGGAAGAAATTCCACGACGGCGTTCGAGAAGCAGAACTGATATGGAAGTTGGCTGGGGTCGAGGAAAGTCGAGTGAAGTCGAGGGCGGGGTTCACAACAATAATACCGAATTGCTGTATGGGCGGCTATTAAATCATATGTGGCGCTCCACCCGTCAAGTCCCAGCAGATTTCTCGGTTGGGAAGCGTTGGGACTCGGTAGAAGTTCTACGGAGTACAACAGATGATTGCTACACTGAGATGCCTTGTGGCTGTTGTGCTAGATAACTTCCATGCACGATGTATGCGCGTAACGTTCGTGGGCATCTATTCACTAGCCAGTGTCGCCTGTTACTCAACATAGTTGATATCCTAGAGCCACAGGGACTTTCCCCTTTCGGATGCCACCGCTTTAGTGAGGGCAACTCACTCAGCAACTCAGTGAGCATTTTCAGGACATGGGTCGAACTCGTTGGTTGACGTAGCTAGGGAGGCCTCAGGCAAACTATGTATGTACGCTGTGCTACCAGGAATGAACTAGGGAGGAACTAGGAAGGTCCGCCGCATTCGAGCAGGAACAATAGATAATCCGGTTGCGGCGGACCGGAATTTTTGTGGCGGACCACCAGTGGATGTCGGCCTCAGCTATCAAGGAACTCAGCGAGTTCGACCCTCCTCAACAGAAATGACGGGATCCCTCGCCCTTCTAGTTTGCACGACCCATCTTTGATCCTGGCTTAAACATCCTTTTGTTGCTCATGCTGCTAATCCTGCTGAAGATGCCATTCTGCACTTATTTCATAGAGGACGGTTGTAAATTTGAGGATACCAAATTGTCATCAGGTTACGAGTACTCCTACAAAAGCTGACTCCAAAGACTATTGCATATACCAGCATGCTGACAGCCAACAAAAAAACAAGAACTCTTCAGGCCCTGTTTATACTTTTTACCTGAACGGCTATGGCGCATTTGGTATCCATCAATATATCCTAGCAATTCAACTCTAACCTATCGGGCCGCTACAAATGCAAACACGTCAAGCGCCTGGGAAGTCGAATATAGCCCATTGACCAGTTTCTCGCTCCCTAAGCAGGGAGTATGGCACATGTAGCTTTACGAATTCTTATTCAAACCTTTACACCCCCAGACACAGCTATCAAAGGGCAGGCTAGGGCCAGTAGGCCTTATCATTATAGACACTGGCATGGCCCATTCTCAACCATCCTTGCCAGGTACCACCATGACCCAAGCGCGAACATTGAGTGCCACAGATATCCCCCTTTTCAATCCTTCTCGACGTACTTTCGGATGGCTCCAGTGATGGTAGCTTGTTGGGCGGTAATATCACAATTGCAGCCTGAGGCATAAAAATCCATCTGATATTTCATACTCGCCAATAATATGATGCCAGTTATGCTGGTTGGAGAGGCCTTTTATTACAGTTCCCATTGTCTCGCAAAAGCTGTATAATCCTTTGATGATGTTGATATAGGTGGAGGTGATAATGGTGGCGTTGCATGCTGTAATGGGGGTACACTCCACAAGATCAACATTGGCGTCTCTTGTGAAATTCTGGTGGGAGCCCAAGTCTCCAGGCTCATCGAGGATAATTTGGAACCATTTATCTGGCAACAGTTGCCTTAAGATAGTAGATGGCAAGGATGATGCCTGTGCTGATATTGCAAGACAGCAGGCTGTTATAATTAATATATTCTTCAGGAACAACGTAGTAGTTAAGGCCGTTGTTGACAATCAAGAAAAATAGGAGGATTGGCGGGTGACTCGGGTAATGAAATCATAAAATGAAGAGTAATCATTATGGAGAGGACAGATGAAGGCTGTTAATGCTGTGTTCAAGAGTGTGGAATCAAGAGCATGGAGCAACACACCCTTTTATAGTGGATGCAGAGCTGAAATGACAAGAATTTCCGCCTTCTCTGTTGACTTGTCAGATAGGATAAGATGGTAGCATTCAGATCGCCTGGTTCGCCTGGTTGCTGTGGGCATACAAAGTACTTAGCAGTTGGGGTGAGGTGTGCTCCCCACCTGTGCGAATTTCTTTTGATGTACAAGCAGACCTCTTATAGAAAGAACGGATTCGGATCAAGCATGAAAGTGATCATACTTCTCGACAGTTCTTTTCCATATTAATGATTCTCCATGCCTCTGCCCATTGTCAACTGAACCCATTTTGCCTAAGCTGTATTGGCCCAGTGCATGTTTCATACAGGAAGTCCATTTTGCAGGGGATACCTAGGAATGTGTTATGCAGAGCTGGCTTTGGGCATCAACATATTAACAGCATTAGGGTGGTAAGATTGTGCATGTTAGGGGGTTTATCGAACTAAAAAGATGCATGGCACTTGCATGCCACTCAAGTCCATAAGATTCCACTCCTTGAGGCTGGAGCTTTACACCTGTCAGGACACTCATGTACCAATGGTACCCTTACCAGTGCACCCTGTGACGGTAGTATCATATGGAAGCAGAGTAATGGATGAATTGGGAGCGTGTGTATCAGTTCAAGTAAACAGACACTAAGATACATATGTCTTACCATCAGTTCCACTTAGACTCAAACAAGTGCAATCCTGGTAAGATGAAGTAAGGCAGGTGACATTGTTCAGCATACCAGCCAGCTCGGTAATTGTGTTCTTAGAACCAAGTTGCTAAAGCCAGGTACCTGACTTCCGAGAGTACCTCAAACATAAAGCGAACGACTCATGGACTTCATCTGCGACGAGAAAAGAGAGCCTTGCTTTGGTGTCTTTCAGGTTTGGGGCGGTTAACAGCACCTTGGGTGTCTGGTATGGTTAGTGAGGCGAAGCATAATAGTGATTCCTCTTTGATTGACATCTGGTGGGGTAGGATCGTCCTCCCTCCAGACCAACTCATATTAATGGATATCGGAACTCCGTTGTGGAGACTTCGAGAGATGTACACAGGAATATAAGGATAATGACTATGTACTTATCTCAGTAGAGAGGATTTGGGTAAAAAAGTTCCTTTGGGGAATTCCACGGTGAAAATGACAAGTGACACCCGACTCGTTTTCATTGAGAGGTGACCGGAACTTCCTAGAGCTGGTGCATCTTATTGAGGTTCCATCTACCTTGCCACTCACTACGGTGTGCTTACCTTATGCGCAGGTCTACTCAGTGAGCAAAAGGCGGCGAGGGATGAGCACCAAAATGGGAAGGGAAGGCCTCGGATGCATCGAGAAAATCAGTTCGGTTCGTTGAGGATCGATCACTCTGTTCCCCAACATATCCATTCCAGGGAAAAGCAGAAGATTGACAGTGTCCCTTATGTAGTATTATGAAAGGTCGCATAGGCATGATTTTCAAAATAATTGATCAAGAAAAAAAAAAAAAAAACGTCGTCAGCTTAACCGAACAACTACCGGCCACAGTCCAACATGGAATAGAGCAAAACGTTTGATCACGGGTATTATTTCCTCCAACAAACAATTAATAAAAAATACATGAAGTGGGAGAAATGAATAAGACCATGAGGCGGAAATGTGGCTAGGACACGAGAGAACTGGACTTGTAAAATAGGAAGGAAAAGACTATACAGATTAACGCTTGCTGGGCACTTTGATCACCAGTCGACGGCCCATCCATTCTTGTCGAGAAAGTCCTCACACACGGCCTTGAGGGCGTAATTCGGACGGAGATCCTTAACAGACATGGGGACCCGAGTGATGGGGTCCACTCCCGACTGTTCAATGTATTTGACAATCCCGATGCGATCGAAGCTGGTGCCAGAAGGCGTGATGACAGGGTCATGCATGATCTCAAAGGTGATTCCATCGACAACATAATCCGGCACTGCCTATTGGGACGGTTAACCTGAGGGGAGCAAGAGAAAGACAATGGAGAAAGAACTTGGAAGTCTTACCCTTTCTTGGATCTCCCCCTTGGAGGCAACCTTAAAGGCTTCTCGTAAGTTATGAATATGCTTCTCCGCATCTTCACGAAGAGCTTTCTGGTCTTCCAAAAACCCTATCTGTCCGATCTGTCCCTCATCTAGCTTGCATTGGAGCTCATTCAATGCCTTTTCCAGATCCTCCTCAACCAAGCGCTCCGTCGTAGCCAGTGTATCGTCCATCTCGCGAAGCCTCGCAGTCTCCTTGGCAGCCCATATCTGCTGTTTCGCGCGTAGAATGGTCTTGGATAAATTCTCCGTCTGCGGACTCTTTGTCGCCAGACTCATTTGATATGCACCAATTGCAGTGTCATGCGCCTCTTGCGGGTGCCCGAGATTCAATAGAGCTTGTGAAAGGTAGTAATGACTCTTCAAACTGGCTGGATTCTTAGGTGCGTACAGATCGATTGCAGCGCGCGCATCCTGTTCCACGCCTGCCCATTTTGCTAGTCTCATGCGAGTAAGAGCACGGTTTGTGAAGAAAGTCGGTTCGCGAGGATTTTTCTGGATTCTGTAATGCCCATAACGCCGTTAGTGCCCTTGCAGATCGATATCTGGGTGGGGGGAAAGCCTAAAAACGACCATAGAATAACGACAGAAAACTAAACTCACGCTTGGGAATACAGCTCCTCTGCACCGCTATAATCACCTTCTTTGAAGAGCTTATTGCCCTTTTCTTTCAGCTCAAACGACATCGTCGACGAGAAGTAAGTGGCTCTGTTTTATGCAAGATATGTCCAGAAGCAGATTTATGTCCAGAAATGTAGCTATGTACATTTACACGCTGTTATTACGAATTTTCTGTCTGTGACCTTCGAAACCGAAGAAGCCTGGTCCAAAGGGGGGTTGGCACGGAGGGCTCGGTTTGTGAATGATTGTGGAAAATGGCCGTGAACACCGCACTCGCCGTACTACTTCAACAATATGTCAAAGAAGAATAACGGAAGGATTTTTAAATATGGCGCCAGCGCCAGCAATTGTGGAAGCCTTTCCAACCGCATCCCGTTTGAATTGTCTCTTGGTTGCAGTTAGCTCTATGGAAGGTCGTCGATTCCCGCGGAATCATGCGTGGTTAGAGCGGAATTACTCAGCATCCTTGTAGATTGTAGAAGTGTGGGAGTAGAAGCGACGACTACAACAATATAAAACAGAGGAGGGCATTTGTCTAGACAAGTCCGGGATATGATATTTATCTTGCGGTTGTCTATTGATGTACATAAATATCTCAGTCTAAACAAACAGGTAGAACCAACATCCCGTCTCCCAACTAGTCAGCTATAATCAAAATTCGCTATCTTTATTTTATCATTTCAAATCATGGTATCATGGCAATTGGGTATTGTATTCAAAGGGGCGTAATAGACGAAAAACATCCGATTCGATTCGTTGGAAGGATAGCGAAATACAGAAACGACGACGTCCCTTTACTTGCTTCCGGCGAACTTGGCCTCATAGTCGCAGATAGTCTGGACCTTGGCGGCAGATGCACTCTTAGGATCGAATCGGTAGGTTAGCCATTCCTTGGCAAGCTTCTTTGCGAGCTCAATTCCGATAACACGTTGGCCAAAACAGAGAACTTGGGCGTCGTTACTCAGGATGGAACGCTCGACGGAGAAGGGATCATGCGCGGTGACAGCTCGAATGCCAGGAACTTTGTTGGCAGCGATGGCAACACCCAGGCCCGTACCACAGATGAAGAGACCGCGGTCAGCCTTGCCCTCCTTAATAAGCGTCGCACCCGCAACTGCAGGGTGAGGATAGGCAGTCTTATCAGAGGTCGACTCGACGCCAACATCTGTGACGGAAGCCACAAGGGGGTCCTTCTCGAGAACGGCCTTCAAAGTCTCCTTGTAGGGTTGGCCAGCATCATCACTAGCAACGACGATGCGGAGGGGGCTCAGGTCGGCAGACATGACGGCGTTGGAATTGACCTGGGGGAACTGGGGCAGATGGTAGATATCGAGCAAGTCAAAGATAGAGTCTGATTGTAGATGTGACTGCAGGATAAACAGAGAAAACAGGGCAGTCGCAGGAGTCTGTGCCGTTTAAATACCTTGCTATCTCTGACATCCCTGCCTGGCCCTCCGGTACCCCTTGCCAACCCCAGCTTTTCGCACGGACAGCACCGGGCCTATTATGCAATTTCATATACATCCTTGCAGTGGAAACCATCCCACGGCAAATTGCTGACGTGCCAAGTCCTGTCTCTGGGTGTCATTGCTCTCTTTCTCTCCACTCACAGCCAAGAGATGACTCGGGTTTATGCATAAGATGTGCCTGGTGCGCTACACCGTCCGCCATGACAGTGGCGTGGTGTAATGGCGTGTGGCCCATGTGCCTTGTATTTCATCAGCTTCCGTCAGCGTTCGGTTGTTCCAGGAGTAGGATGTGAGATACTTGTTTGATTGGGGCTCACCAAGGCTCGTCGACAGGGCAGCGCCAATGACGCGTTTCCAATGGGATAGACAGCGCGCCATTTCTCGTTATTGGGCCAGGGATGAACGCCTTCCGTCTTGTCTCCTCAACTACCTATCCCATATCATTTGCATCTCTCCCTGGTATAGAAACACCTTCACTGCTCCTCATACCCGTTGATACCGCCTCAGGCCTGGATCACGGCTATCCATTCCAGACCCTTAACGGGGAAGCCGGGGGCGGCAACTCTCGATCGGTATGTACCGAGCGGCTTGTTTATATAAGGGCGATATTTTCGGTTCATATCCGGATCAGAGCTATCATTTGCTGCGCCTTCACCCCACTGCTCATTCGGGCAATGATAATCGGTGCGCACAGTTTCCCAGGAGGCAGACAACGTTTAATCCTCCGACGTCATAAGTTGACTCCTCGGAGGACAGCGATGCGACGGTGTCTCAATTATTATTATAACCTCGGTCAAGCACCTTTCGTACCCACCGGGCATTCGGATTCCCCGAATGGGACAGTAATGAGCAGGGTGGAGATGAGACGCGCATCCGGTGCTTCTGTCATAATTGTCTGGCGGGAGATCGCAATGCACGGATTGCAACGTGTTCGGTCACGTGCTGGACACCGGTTACCGGAATACCTGAAGCCGCTTCTCCGTCGCTATCACAACTTCAACAGATGAAATGGAATGCTTCTAGGCCCAGTTAATTAATATTCTGAGTGGGTTACATTCTAACGGAATGTGAAGAATCCGTCCATCTAAATAATCAATCGGAAAAGCGGCTCTTACACGAGCAAAATGCCATGTTCTCATCGTCCGCTGATCTCCAACTTCTTGCGACTCGTGGCTAGTCATTGCTATTACCATATATCAATGGACTTGGTAGTCAATCTTCCATTTCGATGACGAGAGAAGGTTGCAGAAGAACACGATATGTGGACTTGAACTGCTGTCGGACGTTGAAGTGGGCAGGGTGTCAATGGGCGAATCCAGGATCTGCCATTACTGCCTAGGCTGCCTCTTGAAGGATAGATGCCGCAGAAAACCCGGGCTGAGATCAATAGCTCTCTGGTTTAGCCAAAGGATCTGCGATTTGGCCTCACAGCGCTGCAGTGATGGACTACTCGACTACCTCCGCGGTCTCAGCCAAAAATGACATGCAATGCATGGCTTGGTCTGCAGAAGGCTGTAGATGGAATGATCTTGGGCAGATCTGCACACAATACAGATAGGAGTTTCTTTTTCCTAGTCTCAGAGAAGGCTACCACATAGCCTTCTTTTAGGCAGAGGCTAGCAATGCTAACCAACTACCATTTAGCAAGGGTTACGCTAATCATACAGGTGGTCTTTTGTTGCCCTTATTCGAAACACATAGGAGCATGTCCCTTGCGTTTACTACAGTTTTAGGCGCCCGGTTGAGACACGCATGATAAGTCATGCTATAAGCGCCCCTGCAGCACTAAATAGACGGACAACAACTCAGCATGTTGTAGCGCAAGGTGCAGGGAAATAACAGATACTTCCCATCGTCTATGGATAGACCAGAATGTTGCCGGTTTCCAGCCAGCACGGGAAACCCAAGTTGAAGTCAATTATTAAAAGATACAAACACAGGATTCGCCCTCAACCACCTTATGGGCTTTTCTCTGACAGGATTCTCTGACTTTGCTGCAGCCCTCAAGCCCCTCCCACACGAATGAACATCCAAGCAGCTCGTCTAATGTCGCGTTTAAAGAGGCTTAGTCGAAACACTGGGAGTTTTTGGATGATACAGAGAAACAGCTATGGCTCTTCGGGCACAAGAACGTTGCGCCAGAGGGCCTGCTCGAGAGCATTGAAAAAAATGAACTCGGTGTACAAGTCACAGTCAGCACCACGAAGGCATATTATAAGTATCTCGCATTTTCTCCCTGCCATATTCCGATAAATCAATCCTCTTTTTTCTCCTTGCCAGAAGCGAAGCCAACGGACCAGACTGGATCCACAAAAAAGAAACATGCAACAGCCGGGATTCGCTGGTGGTCACCCACCCAACTACTAACCGGCCGGCGTGTGGCTTAAGTACGGCTGAGCGGACGGGAAGCCCTGTTTTCCACACCCTGTGGTCGCATGTACTGTTTCTTTTATTGCAATGAGCTATGTAGGAGGTGGAGGATAAAAGTGACGTGTGATGGCATACCAGCTCAGGAGGATATCATGGCTGTCAGACGATACTACTGCTCAGAATGCGATTTATATTCGTCACATATCAAGGTTTTGGTTGTATTCGATTTAACTTGATATCTTTCGCGCATAATGTTAACCCCGAAAACTATTTAGTTCCAGTTCTTCTTTTCCCCAGCATGGATGACAGACATTTTTGAATCTATTATTGACCGAAACCTTGACGTGGGATATAAAGATGAATCTGGTCATACGGCTCTACATTACGTACGCATGCACGAGAGACATATATAGTTCGGCTACTTCTGAATATGGATGCCTTCTCAACACATGACAGCATTGATTATTCTCCTGCGAAACGGAGTTATATTGGCACACACAAGCTGTCTAATGTGCATGGGCGTAACGGCATCAATGCCACCGACCTTGCCTCCACTATCTCAGCCCTTGAAATCGACTATGTCGACGTTGTAGAAACCTTTGTGGAAAAGAACAGGGCAAAGGTCCACGTGAACGATAAAGTCTACGGGCCCCTTGCTGTAGCTGCGGCCAAGGGATTCTCGGAGATATGCAAGTTTCTGCTCCAACAGGGAGCACAAATCAATGTGGACGAGAACTCCATTTCTGTTTCTTTGGTTCTTGCTGCTGCAAACGGAAACAAAGACACGGTTGCTCTTCTGCTTCAATCCGGAGCAAATTGGGAGTCGAATCTAAGCCCAGGGATGACTCGGGGACTGAAAAAGGAAGGGAACCTGGACAGAGAGATACTTCGGTAGTGTCCTTGCAGCTTCAGCCTTCCATGGCGACAAAGAAACGATGGAATTTATGGTGCAAAGAGATGCAGACGTTAATGTCCCAGGAGGATGGTTTGACTGTCCCCTTGCTGCTGCAGCTTACCGAGGGCAGATTGAAGTGATGCGGTTCCTCACTGAGAAAGGGGCAAAACCGAATGGAAACTACGGCAAGGCCGATGATAATAGTCGTCCCAGTAGTGATAATATCCCCAAAGAGGATCTGGATGTTAGATGCGAATACGCGAGTCTTCTTGCTGCTGCAGGCACCCTGTTGACTTATGAATGCGAATATGCTCCCATGCGGCTTCTCTTGGATATGGCGATGAATGGGTGGAAGTATTTCAAAATGGATGTATACTATGCGACTTTATATGATATTTCTGGACGTTTATTTCGACCTCAACAGAATATATACAGATCATCTATACTCCTCCATAAACCTCTTCCATATAAGTTCATTCGGACTGTCGCTTAAGCTCACGCATTTCCTTCTTGATTCGAGTGACAATCCCAACACCACCGTACACGATACCGGTATACAGCATCGCAGCCGACGCACCGGCATTGAGTGCCGCAAGAGCCTGCTTCCCGTTGGTAATGCCACCACAAGCAAAGATAACCTTCGGAGAAGGCTTCTCTACCGCAAGTTCTTGTTCAGCAGGCTGGATATCTCCGGAATTTTGCTCAGGGGTCGTCATCTCAGGCTTTTCCGTGATCGGGGGAGCGTTAAGAAGGGCCCTGTACCTGGCTATAAGGGAGACAGTATGATCGAAGAGCCGAGGGCCCGAGTAGCCTCCCATCTCCTTCATCGTTTCCTGTTCTTTGGATGTAAGGGCGTATCCCTTAGGATCAGGACCCGGGCGACTCTTGGTCGTATTGCCGACAATTACACCATCAACACCGGACTTCCAGACGGCTTCGCAGATACCCGTGATTTGCTCGTCGGAGTCCTCGTCCGGGCTGACTTTGACCATCACTGCTGGCTTCGTTTTACGGTCTGCGCGGTTTGCTGCACCCACGACGGCCTTCAAGATGGCAGTGAGAGGCGCCGAAGCTTGAAGATCGCGTAGACCAGCGGTGTTGGGACTCGAAACATTTACGACGAGAATATCAGCATACTTGGCCAGACGATCAACGCAGTAGACATAATCACGCTTGATGGCTTCGATATCGGAATCAGGAGTGGCTTTGTTCTTTGCGACTTGGACAGCAAGGAGCTTTCCAGGTAACAGACTTCCCGGAGGGACACCGGCTTCACCATCCAAGACACGCTTTTCTGCCAGGTCGTGCCAGCCGAAGCCCTTGGCATAGGCGAAGTCACGGACTCGTTGTTTTAACACGGCAGCCACATGGTCCGCACCTTTGGAATTGAGACCATACCGATTGATCAAGGCCTCTTGAGAAGGGACTCGGAATACGCGTGGTTTGGGGTTTCCTTCTTGTGGCAAGGGGGTTATACCTCCGACTTCGACGATTGCAGAACCAATTTCGAACAACGGGTCGGGGATTTCAGCATCTTTGTCAAGTCCGGCAGCAATTCCGATTGGGTTCGCGACAGTTTGTCCGAAGACCTGAAAAGTGGGAAAGACATAAATTGTTTGTATTGTGTGCTGAAACATTTTATTAGGGCAAGAACGTGTGTGTTTACCTCAGTCACCAGAAGACAGTCGCCATCTTGGTCACCTCGCTCCCGAGGATTAAGCCCGAATTTGTACAGAGTCTTCAGGCCATCCACAGCAAGATGATGGGCATCCTCCGCGTCTGGATAAAGGATCCTGACCAAAGGAACGGAGACATATCGATGGAAACTCGCCCTGGTATCCGTCACGTATACGACGCCGGCAAGAAGAACGAGGGCCAAAGAAGTGCCAATCGCAGCCTTTTTGAGCCCACCAGGCGCTTTCTTAGGAGCCACTTTCACGGCTTCCGTAGCAGCTGAAGTCGTCGACTCAGAAGACGCATTCCTCAGATTGCTGCCCCACGGTTGGACCGCGATCCGGCTTTTAAGGAGGGATGGTCGTTGAGCCCAGCGAACTGCTGAAAATGTCTGGGTCCTTGAAGCAGCGCCCGCGGATCGCAACGCTAGAGCGGCAGAGCCCATGGCCATCTTGACTTTTTTTAGAAGAAATTCTATTTAAATATTATTCATAGACGAGCTGCAATTTATTGTACCTAGAATTGGTCAGCATCAGCCCGTAGAATTACTGATCTAGTTACAGAAGCAAAGGGGAAACAAAAACAAGCAATGGCTGCGGTGGTGTAGGTTCAATGGCCAATGAAAACATCCAGGAACGTCAATTCCCCTCGGATATTATTATCAGGCACACGAGCGCTCGGAATCGGGAATTGAGTAGCACTTACGGCAGGAAAGAACGTAGGGGGGAAAGAAGTCCTATAATAAGAGCCCTCTGTCTCCGAGATCCAGCAGGACTGGCGATGGAGGCTCTAGGAAGAGTTGCCAGACATTGCCAGCAGAGGATGAGTCGAAGGGAACAAGAACTTGCTGTTTTTTTCGTGATGTCAGTCTATTCCCGGGCGGTCAGGTTTTACCGGCATAATTCCCATCAGATGATATAAGACTGGGCGGTCAACGATTACGGTGAAGCCTTTCCTTTCGAGCAGCTTTGAATAATCAGAAGAGATCAGAAGAGACAACATACGACATCCAGCAAATTTCAATCGGTCAACCTGGTTTAATTCACCGAACATCCGATCTTATTAATGATATATTTTTTGCAAATGCATCTTGCAATTGGAAAAAAAAATTATGGCAACCCGACTCTAACACTCCTTTGTTCAAACTTCATAGTAGTAACCGCTGGACGCCAGCTTTCCTGTCGAACGCCAACTAATGACAAGACAATTAATTAAATTCAGATGTGGAATATGGTCATTTCTGTTTTTTTTTTTTTTTTTTTTTTTTTTGAGGGGACCTGGTGGTTCAAGGGGACATGAGTCGTGGTAGCGATTGAAAACAAATAGCACCAAACCATGGGTATGACAAGAAGCTTAAGCTTTAAACGCACGAAAGAGAAAATGTTACAGAATTGCAAACTGATAATTTCCAGTGGGGGGCAAAGGGGGTAAGACAAATGTTTCAGATAGTGTCTACTCACTCATCCTATCCTCATCACCGTTGTCATGATGATTCTTGGGGTCTGCTTCTCTCTCTGCGCGCACCTCATCCTCTTCTTCCGCTTGTTCCTCCCTTGCTGCCTCCTCTGGTGGTGGAGGCAAGGATTTGGCAAACTTCGGGTCGATAGCTGCCCTGTGCAGAGAGCGTTTGTAAACCTCGGCCTCATCCGGATCACGGACCACAACTTGCATCTGATCGACCTGATCTTCCTTCGTCGTAGGAATCGTAGGAGCTAGGCCAGCCTGGGCGATAGTACGAGCACGCTCGGGCTTGAGGCGGGTTTTTCCGAGAATCGGGTAATAATAGGCGCCCTTTTGCTTCGAACGTCGGTCGTCATCAGCCTTCGCCGGGTCAAACAAAGTCAAGGCTACATCTCGCTGTTTCTGATCGGTGTTCAGGCTCTGGAAGCCGGTTGCATAGGTGCGTAGACGATCGAAACGATGGAACTTGGTGCCGTCAGGACCTTCATGAGCGTAGTACTCCTCACTGTCGCGGTTAGGGTTCGACAGCTGCAAGCTCGCGGAAACATCCTTGGCCGAGTCTTTCTTCTCGGGTAAAAAGAGATCGTAATCCCAAGGAATAGGTCCAGGGTCCGGATAGAGGTTGGGGTTTGTTTTGTGCAGGGCGACTTTGGCGGCGTGTTCCTGGCATATGCGCTCCTCTGGAGCCGATGGGAGAAGGATAGCGACATCCATGCGTTCGTCCCGTTTTCCAGAGACAGCCTGGAGAGGCGCTTTGTCGAACTTAAACTGGACATACCCTCCAGGATCGGGGAAACCCTGCAGATCGGGTAGCAGAGGATAGAATCCAACTGGCTTGAGTTTCGGATTGCTAGGATGGACAGGATGCGCCCAGGCATCGACTTCGTCTTTGCTGGAAACATGCCCCTTGATCTTACTAGCCGTGTCCTCTCCAGTATGTTTGCTCTGCGGATAAGCAATGTCAAACCCTTTCTGGATATACTTCTTGACGTAAATTGGATCATCGCGGGACATCTTAGTTTTGTCTTGAGCTCTTGGCTTGACTCTGGATGGGACTGCCTTCAAATTGTCGGGCACACGAGTAGCAGCGGAAATGTACTGAGTACGGCGAAGGAAGCTGACATTCGTATTCTTCGGCGCTGGATTGCGGAGCTGATCAAGAGTCATGAGCAGAGGGAGGTCCGCTGGGTCGACAGGAGGTGGATTTTCAGGGGCCATAATAGCTGCACAATCAAAGAATTAGCTTCCTCCATATAGACGATATGGTAGAAATGAAGTTCTATATACCACTCTCATCGCCCAGGTGAAGCCCCGGGATACCAACAAGGTCAATTGGCATTCCACCTTCGGCATCCACGTCAATATTTGGTTCTTCACGCCTAGCCAGATTGGATGCGAATCCAGGTGTCAAAAACCGCTCCAATCCCTCGTGCGGAATGTCGAGGAACTTCGGGGGCATTTCAGGCGGAGGGAGGTCATTTCTGTAGCGCAAGGATGCAATATACTCCTGACGATAGTCCTCAGGCGCGCGACCATGTCCCGAGCGTGACATATTGGCGTCTCCTTCGTAGAGCGACCCCGAAAAAGATGGACTGCAGGAAAATCGATGCTCTTGAAGCGGGTTAGCGACCAAGATGCTTCATACTTCTGCGAACAATGTCCCGAAGATTACCTGGATCTGAAAGGTCGATGGTGGGAATTTCAGTATCAAAGACTAGATACTCGGATGCATCTGAGCCACTCGTGTCAAGGGGTGAGAGAACTGAATAAGAAGAGAATATTTATCAGACTGGCTAGTCAACTGGAGACAACCACTGGAGAAACTTACTCGGTGTTGGAGGAGCCATTTACTGGCTCTGACCGCCTTCCTGGCACAGTTAGCGTGAGGAGAGCTTGGAAAGTAGGAGGAAAGTTGTTCCGATCTGGCTGCAAGTCTTGGCTTTAAAAGCACGCCTGAGACAGCCTAGGGCAGGTAAAGGTCACCAGCAGGTGAATGCCAATCATACAATGCTCTCATCACTCTATAGTGAATGGAATATTCTACTCTGTTTGGAATACCCTTTCATCAGGTTCTTCTTAATTACTAGATATAATGCAACAAAATTCCAGTAAACGAGGACACTCATATATCGTAACTAGTCCATCTAACGCTTTCACTAGAAATCCAAGCCAGAGAAAAAAAGCATCTTCAGTAGGCCCACATGCACTTGTAGGCCAGAAGTCTGTGGCCTAGCCTGTCGTATTCTAACTGGCCGATCCAGCTGTCGTTGGTGGTGTTCAGCTTCCCGAATATACTTGCTCCCTTCCAGATGACGACTTGCGGGTCGAGATCTCTCGGGGGCGTGCCGATCATGATCTCCTTAGCAAAACCTGGTCGAAGGTTTTGCAGTCGCTCTTCAAGGAAGGCATGGAAGCCGTTGATTAAACTACCGCCTCCCACAACCATGATACCTCCGAGGAAGTCTCGCATCTTACGATCGTCAGAGCGAGCAGCGTGGGATATAGATGTAAGAATAGCGTTGTCTAACGGGAAAATGGGAAGTATGTCATCACGGTCTTCGACAACAGGTGTCCGAGGGAGTTGAACACTTTGAGTCTGTGCCGCAGCTCCGCCTGCTTGAGGCGTACCAATGGCTTCTGGTGCGGGAGAACCAGCAATCGAAGAGCGAGGAGTAGCCTCGAGTTCCTGGATGCGGCTGACTGCGCTAGGTTGCTGCGCACGGCTTGGAGTTGCCTGCACATCTAGCGTGGCTTGCTGGGATTCTTCATTGACGTGCCCATTCGCAAACGGGGGAGCAATGGAGTTCAAAATTTCGGACTGTGCCGCTGACATGGGGTCGTTTGGCTGACCGTCATAAATATCAACTGAGCGGGCAATCAGCTTCCTTCGTCCCATGAGCTTCTGGGTATTATCAAATATTGATGGCTGGAAATAGCCCATCGGGGCCAGATGAGGTTCGTCGTAGGCTTTGAAAGTATACTTTCGAGTATCTTGACCAGCCACGCGGAGATGGAAATCATACAATTGAACGGAGACGCTGGCCTCATTCATAGTACAAATGTTCTTTTTCAGCTCCTCGGCCAACAAAAAATCGTATCTCCGCTGTAGATTGATATCCGCATAGGGAAAATGGTCGTAAAGCATCATCTTGATAAATGTATCTGTGACATCCGCACCTCCGTATTTCAGGTTTATCCGCGAGTTTTCGATGCACATGCCTTCCTCCACACAGCATATTGAGGTTTTCTGTGCGCCGATGTCGACAACGCAGGCGGACGTAAACCCAGCACCGAAGGTGGCTGCAAGGCTCTCCTGGATCAAACAAACTCGGGCAAACGCAAATTCTCTCATCAACATTTCGAGAATCTGAGTAACGTATGCCTTCTCGTATAGATCCGGGATAACAAACACGCAAGAATACTGCGGCCATTCTTTCTTGCTGGTGAGACCCAATTGATTCTTGATCGCTTCTTCAAGGATCAGTGAAATATCCAAGAACAAAAGCCTTTTGTTCTCGTAATCCTTCTCGTTGCACCAGCCATACTTGAGTGGCCAATACAGCTTGTAACGAGGAATCGATAAGTCCGGGATTCTCAGAGCTTCCTGGCCGACAATGTACTCGGGTGCAGGGTCCGTGACTTCCGTCCATTCAATGCGTAGTGGATCATTATGCTCTGAAATAGTATCTGGAACTGTTCTCCGGTTGTAGTTCACAACCATTTCCTTTGAATTTGGGAGGGTCCTGCGTTTATTCTGTCGCATGTGCATCTTGAGATCTGCGGCCATCGATGTATACTGGGAGGAGAACTATACGATGAAATGTTAGTTAACCCAACGCTGGTGGACAAGCACGAGTCCGTGTGTAGACTGACCTCAGACCCAAACATCTTTTCTGGGTCTATTGGAGTACCATCATCCAGCTTCATCCTTTTAGGTGTAGGTTCTCTGGTCTCTTCTGACTCGTTGACGTTAGACTTCCTGGCAATGACCATGGGCACAGTCTTTGGTAAGGCATCGCTGGCCAGTCCAATCCTCAAGTTCTGACTGCCAACATGTATCGCAATGACCTTCGACCCAAGAGCCTCAGTCTGTGTGGTTTCAGCCGCATCTTCCATTTGTGTGTCCCCATCCATTTCGGCCTCCGCTTCGGGTATACCCAGATCATTTGCCTTCGCCATCGCAAGCGCACGGTCGCGATCCTTGGCGGTCTTAGCCATCCGGTTCCTATTCTCTTCATTTTGCAACCTAAAGGCCAGGTACTGGTCGTCTCTCTTGAGGTAATCGCTGGAGAGAGATGTAGGTGTTAGTAACAGAAATGCTCAAACAGTAATGGCATTCCCAATTAGGCGCACAGCATTCATCTGCTTTGGGAGAATTGGGCGTAGTAACATACGTATAGTAATTCTTCTGGTTGATTGGAGCTATCTGAGGCCAGCTCGACAGCTCCATGTTATTGTCGGTTCGTTCTAGGCCTGAGGAGGATCAAGTTATCAGCTCCCGTTCTCTCCCGATGAAGCGCGAGTAGTACAAGAAAACCGGGCATACCTTCATCTCGAAGAGCCTTCCCAGACTTTTTCCCAACCATGGCGCTCTCTTCTCGAAGCGCGATCAAGTTGAGCAGGTGGTTGTATTGTTGATTGTGCTCTGGTGCTTATACAGAGTGCACGAAAAAGACCCTTATTGGGATGAAAAGAAGACACAATGAACAGAGGTGAGAAAAGAAAGATCACCCTTGGGCTGCGGGAGTTGAATATGGCAAGACTACTGGACCGGCCAGGCAATCAAACGGCATGGTGGTTCAGTGATGGACCGCCCGCTTCCCTTCATTTGATCTGCAAGCTTTGGCCAGTCACCGCAAGACCGGCTCGAACACAGATTTAGGACATATTTAGTCAGCTCTACTGATCGTTTCCAGGACTCCTTGCTACTCATCTACGGCCTACTTCCGACGGTTTAATAAGGACATGTCGTGATACCCTTTGGTTGGTTGTCTTGACCGCGTTTCGAATTCCCCGATTGCCTCTTATTGCCGTTCCAGCGAGCTTCATCTGTGCCACCCTACGTGAACAGGGTCCTCGAAAGCTGAAGACCGTTTCATTCTACTGTTTCTTTCCTCATACCTGACCAACAACATGGGAGGCTCATTATCACGCCTATGGTCTTTGATCTGGACCAAAAAGGAAATCCGAATCCTCATCCTCGGACTTGTATGTTAGGTCGACTCTGAGCTCGCGTTCTCGAACCGGGGTGCTGATTGAATTGGCTTGGGTGATTTAGGACAACGCCGGAAAAACCACACTCCTTTACAGACTAAAGGTATTTGGTTGATCACTGTTTTCGCTCAAATAGATATGCACCAAAGGCGGGCTTGCTAATGTTCTCTTCTCAAACCGCTAGATTGGCGAGGTTGTAACAACGATACCCACAATTGGATTCAACGTCGAGTCGGTGACATATAAGAATTTAAACTTCAACGTCTGGGTATGCCACTATACTTATTTTGAAGGATACGCGCAAGCTTGGAATGGATGCTGATGCGTCGCGTGCATTTCAGGATCTAGGAGGCCAAACATCTATTCGTCCGTACTGGCGGTGCTATTATGCGAACACGGCAGCAGTCATCTTCGTCATTGACTCCACGGATATTGAGCGGTTGAGTACGGCTGCAGATGAACTATCAGCGATGCTGAATGAGGAGGAGCTTCGCGATGCGGCCCTCTTGGTATTCGCCAACAAACAGGATCAGCCTGGAGCCAAGGGCGCAGGTGAAATCTCGGAAGCTCTTAAGCTGGGAGAGCTCCGAGACCGGAACTGGAGCATTGTCGCCTGCTCTGCTATAGATGGGAAAGGTATCACTGAGGGTATGGACTGGTTGGCGGTGAGTTGCTTTCGCCCTTTGGTCACCTATCCACGAGTGACTCGCTGACTGTTGCTTGATGTGTAGCAAACCATTCAGTCGGAAAATGCATAAACGCTGGCGTCTTTGTGCTATAGAATGTTTGCCTTACTATTCTTCTTGGGCCGACGACTTCTGGGGCTACGGTCCTCGGAGCCCATATTCTTGTACCTTTTACACATCTCTCGATCTTCAAGACCCACAAGCTTTCCAATATACTAGTGTTTTAATTGCTACGGGACGCATCCTTTGGCCTGCAATGGGTGATCTGTTGTTATTGCGTAATGTTTGACCTTCTAGTGCACAGCATCTGCTGTTCGCCTTGTTGAAATCTGGCCGCTTCGGAGTTGCTCCTTGGCGGAATCCTTATCAGCACTGATATCCCTTATCACTGCTATCTCTGACTGTTGGAACAATATCATAAGAAACAGATAGACTCGATATGATATCGAGCAAGCGATTGTACGAAAAAGTGGTGATAGAATATCTAGTCTCAGTCTGCTCCGGAATTTATCCGTGAGCATCAAGGATCTATTCCCTCTCCTGTCCGGATCGGGACCTCTCTCTCTCTTCCCACCTAGCGAACACACGAACAGACGGTCCACGGAGCTGGAAACTAACATCAAGCATACACATCAATTTAAAGTAAGAAGGAAGAAAAGAAAGGGGGTGGAAATCTACACCAGACACGACACAAGTATCACAATGTCGATGACAACAATACCTCAGACCCAAATCGCAGCAGTCATCCCGCCAACAGGAACGACTGCCGAAGGAACCGTCCAGATCAGCAAGACTCACCCTATTCCTGTTCCGGGAGAAGGAGAAATACTCGTGAAACTCGAGTTCTCTGGGGTGTGCCATTCAGATGTGCACAGCGTACGGGGAGATACGCCGATGTTAACGGACGTGGCGGGGCATGAGGGGGTGGGGAAGGTAGTTAGTGGTGAGTAACTAGTTATGCTTTGCATATTGAACTTGTGACATACTCGGCCGCATAATATCTTTCTGTTTGGGAGGAATCCTTGTGTTGTAATGCCGAGGACTAAAGAATAACCGTTTCCAGTTGGAAGTGGTGTTGGGATGGATTGGATTGGGAGGAGAGTTGGTATTAGGTCCGTATATATGGTCATGTAAATATCAATTTATACTAACGATGAAATAGGTGGCTCTACAGCTCTTGCTTGAACTGCGAGATCTGCGCAAGGAACAATACTTCTTGTCCCTACCAGAAAAATGCAGGAGCCGTACGTCTCTGTCTGTTTGGAATATATGTGCATCTGCTGTATATCTGACGAAGCCACAGAATGTTCCAGGCACATTCCAACGTGGGTGAAATAAAACATACACAGAAAAAGAGAACCTGAACAGAGGGTTCACTGATGAACTTCCAGAGTATATCGTTAGTCCTGCAATTCATGTTACTCAGATTCCCTCCGAACTGGCTCCGGATCAGGCTGCGCCGCTTTTGTGTGGTATGCTCGATGCTTTCCTAGAACTCCAAACCTGACTGTTGCTGGTTTGAGTGCAGTTGCGATGCTGATTTTATATTCATTCTGTTGCAGCCGGGATTGCCATGTACTCTTCCATTATGAAGACAAAAACTCAGCCGGGAGATTGGCTGGTTATTCCTGGGGCCGGAGGAGGTCTGGGACATATGTATGTACAATTGTGCGAGTATTTATCGAGTCTCTGGGCTAACAATGTACTTTTCAGGGGCGTACAAATCGCAGTCAAGAAAGGGTTGAAGGTCATCGCAATTGACAGGTAAGTGATTCTTAAAAAGTAGCAGATACGAAAATCCGAAAGTAGGTACTGACAATGGTCCAGTGGGGAAAAGAAGAAGCAGCTATGTCTCTCGCTAGGAGCAGCAAGCTTCCTAGACTACAAGACCGATGATGTCGAGAAAGAGGTCAAATCTCTTACTTCAGGGCTAGGTGCCCACGCAGTGATCTGTCTGGCAAACAGCGAAGCAGGCTATGCGCAAAGCATGCGCATGCTACGAAGCCTCGGAGTGCTGGTTTGTACCGGCATACCCAATGTACCGTTTAGACTGCCAGCAACGCCATTTGACATGATCGTAAAGGGTAGGCTTATTAGCTCGGCCCTCGAGACAAGTCTCCGATTCATTCCCACCGAATTATTATCTAGATCATGCTGACCGCAACACAGGCCTGACGATTGTGGGAAACTCCGCCGGCACGGCGAAGGAGATGGACGAATTGATGGAGATGGCTGTGGCGGGCGACGTCAAGGCGCATATTGAAGTCTTCGACTTTGATCAAATCAATGATGTGTTGCAGCGACTGGGACGGTCAGAGATTGACGGGAGAGCTGTTATGAGGATTCCATAGATATAACCTTTTCTTTTACTGTACGTAGTTCCTCAAAGGAGAAATGCTGCAACTCAGATAGCCTGGCAATGTTTTTAACCAGACTTCACGACCATTCCTTGTTATTCACAACCCATGTATGCTAAGCCACTTCCTCCCCCTCCTGCTCTTCCCAGGAATTCTAGAAATACTAAGAGCAAGGAACAAAAATAAAATTAAAAACATGCAACAGCCGGGATTCGCTGGTGGTCACCCACCCAACTACTAACCGGCCGGCGTGTGGCTTAAGTACGGCTGAGCGGACGGGAAGCCCTGTTTTCCACACCCTGTGGTCGCATGTACTTTGTTATTTAAGAAAAGAAGTTATATGGTACTGCTGTATAGTAATGGAGTAATGGTTATTTAATCATATAAACCAAGCAGTACAAGATCTATGCTCTCGTGCCATGCATAATATTCTTTCATCTATACAAGATTTATCAAAAAACGGGGGATAGGTCATAATGGCCCCTTACTCGGTTGAGAGTCCACTCTCTGTCAACGTCCCATCTAGCTTCACTCTAGTTCTTCCTGCCTCTTTATCCAGCTTCTCCAACACCTTCGCTTTGCCCGCTGCCCCCAAGTCGACTAATGTTGTCATTAGCTGCGGCGAATCATACCGGTCCAGCAAGCACTCAACCACTTGTATACGGTTGGTGGAGGCGAAGTCCTTGTCCTTCAACAGTGGGAGAAGCTGCTCGTATGTGCCGACGGAATGGAAGTTAGAGTTCTCAGGGGTACCGCCGAAGAATGGGAGGAGATATTGAAAGTTCCAGGGGTCGATGTCATTGTACTTGCGTGATGGACCGTGGATGACACGTTCGACAGTGTAGCCACTATTGTTTATGATGAAGATGAGAGGCTTAAAGCCGAGGTGGATCATGGTGCTGATTTCCTATAATTCAGAAAAGCATTATTATTCGGTCGGAAAGGGAAGGAGAACGCGTATGCACAAAAAATATACCTGGACTGTCAACTGTAGACTTCCATCTCCAACAAATAGGACAACCCTGCCTGTCAGCCCCATTTCTTTCCTGGCCACTAGAGCGCCCAGAGCCAAGCCAACACTGAAGCCGATGCAGCTGTAAAACAGTTGGGTATGGTAATCGGCTTTTCCAGGTAGTTGAAGCTCAAAGGTTGCATACTGGGACGTGCCGACTTCAGCAATGACGCAGTCGCCATCTCTGAGAAATGGAGCAAAGCAGTCCCAAAAGGATTTCTGCCGAAGAGGTCCATGGAGTTTCTCTGAGAATTGAGGGACCGAAATTTTGTTCTATAGTAGTAGCATAGGTCAGACGATGGTGGGTTAAATAGAGTGGACTAGCAAGTCACGGCACATGCAGCCTGAAGACATACGGGTTTGATATATGTATCTTTTTTCGTAATGGACCCTTTCCTCAGTTGCTCAAGCAGCTTCTTAACAATAGGAACAAAGGATACAGCTTCCCATGTTTTATCTCCAAGGGACACATATTTCGGGTGTAAAACAATCAGAGTACCGGAGGTTGCCAGCTTCTGAGACCAGCCGGCCGTGTTTGAATCAGTTGGAAATCTTCCAACGTAGATAACAAGGTCAGAGCTCTCCACGGCATCTTTAACATTGGTGTCTGGAGTGATTGCGCCTACATAGAGGCCACCAAAGTTCTCACTGGTCTCGTCGACGATGGACTTTCCGAGTGGTGTAACAAAGCCCTGTTCTTAATTGTAAGTAGGCTAAAACAGGTTACTGAACATACCATAAAAGTACAAAAAGTAGCATACCGGTAAACCCGTCAAGCGTAATATCTCCTGAACATCGGGAGCCAGTCCAAACCTCCGTGTCAACAGATCGATGAGAAATGCTGGTTTCTGAGCAGCATTAAGGGACGCGATAATTTTCTGCACGATCTCATCTTCCAACCCTTCCTTACCGGGATTTGCAATTGAGATGTCCAGCGAGATTTGTAGTCGGGAAGCGTCCACCATGATATCAGGTGTGTCAATGGGGATATACAGATACACAGGTAACTTCGTCTTGAAGCAAGACTCAATAACATAGTCGACCTTCTGTGTGAAGGATGCATCATCATCTAGGATGGCCGTTGCTGCAGAAAGAGGCTCTGACACCGTTGTATACAGTTTATGCGATAGACCTTCTCCTGGGCAGTGGTGGATCATCAAGCGAGCTTCCTGCGCATATCTCGGCGTCATGCCCACAATGTGTATAAGAGGGACATACTCGGTGAATGCACCACCGATCCCGTTGATGGCACTCAGCTCTCCAACACCGTACGTGGTGACGAGGACGCCCGGCAAGCCACGACAGCGAGCATACCCGTCTGCAGCATACGCGCCGTTCAACTCATTGCGAGTACCGATCCAGCTCAGGCCGTCGACACTATCTATATGATCGAGGAGGTTGAGATTAAAGTCCCCTGGAACTCCGAATATATGTCTAATTCCGAGACTGTACAGACGGCGGAAGATGTACTCGCCGAGCGGGACTTGAGTGCTGCCCATGATGAATAGCGGATCGGTTAATAGGAGGGCAATGATAATCTGCAGGGCCAAGGTTGATGGAATCAGGAGAAGACTACGGCAAACCCGAAGACTGATAAAGACGAACCTGTAACCTGCACTCTAGTTGCGAGGAAGATAAGCCAGCGGTTTCCTAAGGAGAAGCCCCGCGGCAAGATTCCGCGAAGCCCTAGTTGCCCCTCCATTGCGGGTCCATCGCTTAGGAGCGGCTAATCTCTATTTGCCCTGGTACTTGCTTCAAGACTAGTTCGTAATTTTATATTTGACTATTGTCCCTATCTAAAATAACTGGGTATGGATGTTTATCAGGATAGAAATAACTCAAATAAACTCCCAAGAGCCTGCGACGGTTCATATTCGTCATCTAGCCCTTCACGTCATGGTTGCAGGTTCGGGAAGGTCAGGAAACGGGTTCAGAAGACAAATATCAAATGGATTGGACACACAGGCAGGCTACAGATCAGGCTATGGTACAGGCAGATAGACAAGACGTAGATCGAAGAGCTACAACAGGATCAAAACAGAGATTGGAGATATATCCCTCACGGGTCATGTGTACAGGGCCGCCATACCTCAGGTATGGTGGAATAGGTCCAGTACCGTGACACCTGCGTTTACTACACGCACTTGGTGTGCCTGTTCACATCTTCCTCTGTATTACCTAGCTATCTTACCTCGTGTCCACACTACCCGATCCCTGACTAGCCTGACCTGTGCACGCAAGACCGCAGGCCTCGCAGCCTCACACATATCCCGTATCTCTTCCACCAAAGTCCCCATGGAGTATGACAGGCAGTCAAAATCATTGTATAATGGTGGCAATGATCCAAGGATTGTTGTTTGGACCAAGCTCCAGGTTCCCTTTGGACAGGAGCTTCATGCTGAACAGTGGGCTGGATATTTCTAGCCATTAGTCCATGCTATATGCCACAAGCAAACGGTTTGGGCAATGTAAAAGGGGGTGTACGTGCGTTGTACCGATATCTCACCTCAGCACTTTCATCCCTAAACTCTTGACCATGGCCTGGTTCCTTTCGCAGGGAACATCGCACGTACGCCCCCATTTACATATTGGCATCCCTGGGAAGTCAGACATGAGGTCCAATCTCTGAGAAATCAGCAACACGGGAAAATACAAAGCGGCAGGAAGCCTGAATCCAGATAAGTTAGCTTATCATTCACAACCCTTATCACAGATTTCCTCTGAACTACCTGTTTTGGAAGTGCGATGCCATCGAACAGCGATCCTTCGGAGCATCAGCCCCTTCCAGTCTATATTGAGCACAGGATCCCACTCCTTACTCCTCAGGCTGTGGATACAGGAGAAGTGAGGGAAATGCTGATGCCAGCCGCCTTGAGCTCAGCTGGGGTATGGAAACCAGGAGTAGTTTTGACGATGATGGTAGATCCGCAGATGTTGGAGGCTGTTGGACTCATTCAGGGGCTTGCCATTGTGAGGAACCCCTGGAGCGCCAACATTCAATTGGTAAGGAAGTCACTGGGTTCTTGAGGACGAGGACCTTACACTCGTTGTTTAGGAATTATGGGATCACGCGGGCAGAAGACAAGCTAAATGCCCTGTGTGATTATGTATCAGTAAGTGTATCCCAGTGGGTAGAGAGTATCCCTGAATATGAAGGGAAGGATTATGAAGGATGGAAAGCGGCTCCTGGAGGAATATCAAGATTAGGAATTGGCACAGGCCAAGTTCAATATGGGCTGGCTTAGCAGGTTTATTGGTCAGAAACGGTCAAAGGATGACAATTTGGCAATGTTTCTAGCGAACTTATACGCTGAGGCCAGTTGGTAGAATTCCTGAGAACAGAGATGTTTCTGCAGGGTCTGCCAGAGGAAGTGCAGGCTAAGGTGGTAAGAAGAGCCAATATTAGTCCTTAGAAATTTGAAATAATGGAGTCCTCAAGGGCCCAAGAGATGGTTGAAGAATACTTGGAGGAAGTTGCAGTCGATATTTTATTAAAAACTCCAACATCACCTCCAACATCTCACAGCAATCATTCAACTCAATCTTTGATCCAGGGAAAACACCAGCCAATATATATCAATTGGACCGGCAGAAAAGACGAATTGAACATCCTAAAGGTGATTTTTCTCCATCTATAGTTAATGGATGAGACTATTAATAAGCTGATTAAGGTTGGATAACTAACTATGCAGAAAGCTATCCTATTACAACACCAATTAATCAGCTTCAATCCGAGAATCAATGCAGAAAGCGAAGGCAATGGAGAACCAACCAGTTTATTCAAAATGGAGGGAGTCTGACTGCCGCTGAAGGTAGAGAGAGGATTGAAGAGGAAAGGATTCTTCAAGAAGATTGGCAACCTAGGCAACGCCAGCCACCATGTAGTAATTGTAATGTATTAGGACATACCAGGTTCCAATGTCCTATAAATAGATCTAGCTCTTTTTCAATGGAAATATGCTTGTTTTGTGGTGTTGAAAAGCATCAAGTTTAGAATGGTGGAATTCATGGAATTCGACCTTACGTTGCCCGACTTCGGGCCTCTCTAGCTAGACCCCCATCAACATGATCTTAGGGACTACACGTGCACGATGCACCACGGGACAGAGGCAGTTACCATGGTCTGTATTTCTCTGGGTTATATATCGGCACCTACAGTGTTAATTTAGGATAAGCAATAAACAGGAATTAATGGATCTGCGAAGCAACCTTGACTCTTCGAACCGCACGGGACCGCGCCTGCCTCAGTGTGCTGGCAGCCCACCGTCTCATTGGCCGCAGCCTCAACCTCCCTCGTTGTCTGTTTTCTCTCACTTTCTCCAATTTTATCCTCTTTCTCGAGGCCTCCGTCCAGCGTGCAGACGGCGACCACAGAACACGGACGCACATGCGCCCATTGCGCGGTCTGACTTGACGAGCGTCTCCCCATCTACCGTTCCCTTCAACCACCCATGCTTCGTTCAGCCCAAGTGGCTAATCTGCCAGGCAATCCAGCAGGCACTCCTATCATTGCACGCCCATGTGTGCCCTTGATAGGATACCATGAAGCTGATCAACCTTCGCATCCGTCGCTCGGTACAGAGTGCGCGGTGGGGTCGAATATGCACGCGCTACTGTTCCTGAGCAGCTGTTTCCCTCAAGAACCAGCTGTGTCCCCTGGATGATTTCTCAGACTGCCCTGTGTGGCGTTCTGCTCTCTGACTTCTCGCATCGCATCTCTTCAGCAGTCAACCTGCTGTCTCATTCTTGCACGGCATGGATTGGCCTCACGTGTACATCGCAATGACTGCGTTGTCAGTCTGCGCGCTCGTTGTCTTTGTTCTTCTTGTTTCCTTTGGAAAGGTCAAGATCGACTACAACAGCGGTGTCTTCACCTACGTGAAATTCGTGTATGCCAACTTCCTCAAACCCCATGAGGCGGACGGAGAAGGGCAGCAGCACGCTTTGGAGAGCTTCTACAGAACCCAGGTATGAGCAGAAGGGACTCTCTACTTCGGCAATATTACTGATCGCAGGAACCAGGCCACTGTGTACGATGCCACACGTCGACGACTTCTTCGCGGTCGCGAGGACATGCTCGGTCTTCTGGCGGCTCAGTTGAAGTTCAAAGTGGAAAAGGGAGATTTACAGCATGGACAGGCTATTTGGGTTGACGTAAGCACCTCCATCTCACCAGAAAATGAACGGGGAAAGAAAGAAAGAAGAAAGAGAAAGATCACTAAGTGAAGTAGATCGGTGGAGGCACTGGGTAAGCACAGAGAATTGCATGCCTCATGTGCAAACCTTTAACCGCAACGATAGATATAATATCGAGGCCATGGCCGAATTCCTTCCTGTGGACACGTTCTTTTCGCATGTCTATCTGGTCGATCTATCAACCTCACTCTGCGAAGTTGCCCGCCAGCGCTTTGAGCGGCTGGGATGGAAGAATGTCAGCGTCATCTGTCAGGATGCTCGGTCGTTCAATCTGCCAGCGAACAATCCAGCGAAGTCAAGCAAAGGCGCTGATATGGTCACTATGAGCTATAGCTTGTCCATGATCCCAGGTCAGCATCCCCTGCACACTCGAATTAAGTTTGGTTCCTTGCTTATCCATTGTGTAGACTATTACAGTGTTGTGGACTCCTTGGCATCCCTGCTGGCCTCGTCTGGTATCTTAGGAGTCTGTGATTTCTATGGTAACCGACGACCCTACCCTTGGTAGTTGACACTACTGATTCGCAGAATATAGTTCAGAGTATCGTCGACGTGTCTGCTAGGAACTACACCGGTGGAGTTTTCAACCGCCACGTCAACTGGCTTGGACGGGCATTCTGGCGTGCTTGGTTTGAGGCCGACCGCGTTAGTCTCGAGGCTGCTCGCAGGGATTATTTGGAATACCGCTTTGGGACTGTCGTCTCTGCCAGTGAGAGAAATTACCTTTTGGGGGGAATTCCATATTATATCTTTATTGGCTGTCAGAAGGATGCTACGTTAAGTTCATCAAGCCATGAGACTATCAAGAAACTGGACGCTTCCTTCACAGAGTCACCATACATGCTACCTGCTAATCATCGTGAAGAGATGGACAAGGCCGTGAAGGAAAGTAATCGCGAGATTCGATCCAAGGCATATGAATCCGCAGTCGTCAATTTGAGCGCCAACCTTCCGCTTCCCTCTGCTTTCTACCAGAACCACCATTATCGCATCTTCTACAACGACATGCTTCCTAAGCACACCCAGTTTCAGAACGAATATATATACGCATTTAATTGGGAAGACCCACGCGTGGATCATCGACTGCTAAATATCGGACATGACGACGTCATTCTGGCTATCACGAGTGCTGGAGATAATATCTTGGACTATCTCCAGAAAAGTCCTCGGAGAGTACATGCAGTGGACTTGAATCCGAACCAGAACCACCTCCTTGAGCTCAAAGTCGCAAGTTTCATTGCCTTGGGCCATCGTGATGTCTGGAAAATCTTCGGAGAAGGGAAGCACCCTGACTTCCGCCAGCTTTTGATTTCTCGCTTAAGTCCACATCTCTCCAGCCAAGCATTTCAATATTGGCTTGAGCACACTCATGTCTTCACATCCACTTCTGGGAAGGGGTTATATGAGACTGGTGGGTCACGACATGCGATCAAAATGGTCCGATATCTGTTCAAGGTCTTTGGTCTTGAGGGTGAGGTCCGAAAGCTGTGTGAAGCGCCAACTTTGAATGAACAACGGGAGATCTGGCCGCGAATCCGTCGTGTCTTAATGAGCAGACCTCTTCACTGGGCAGTAGTTGGAACAGAGTGGTTTGCGTGGAAGGCTGCCGGAGTTCCTCGAAATCAGCGAAACATGATCATCAGCGACTTTTTGAAGAGAAACGGCTTGACCGAAGACATGAAGAAGGCTTCTGAGGTCAGCGGGCAGTCAATTTGGGAATACGTCGTGGACACACTGGATCCAGTCGTCAGGGAGACCCTGATCAGCAATGATAACTATTTCTATTATCTGTGTTTGCAGGGACAGTTTTCAAGGACGTACGGATCACTGTCTCAACAAAAAAGAAATAAAAAGCTGACCCAGTGCAGGAGTCATCCGACGTATCTGACACCTAAGGCCCATGTCAAGTTGTCCAGCGCCGGGGCTTTTGACGGCTTAAGAATCCATACAGATGAGATCAACGAGGTCATTAATCGTCTCAGACATGGAACATTGACAATCGCGGTGGTAAGTTCTTTCATCAGTTGCTGCCATGCGTATTGTGTTGTATCCATACTCATACCGATTACTTCCAGATCATGGACTCCATGGACTGGTTCGATCCCAAGGGCGACGAGGCAGCAGCCCAGGTCCAAGCATTGAACCACTCCTTAAAGATGGGTGGTCGGGTCCTTCTCCGTTCCGCAAGCATCGAGCCATGGTACATAAAGCATTTTCAAGAGAACGGCTTCAAGCCTCGTAGGGTTGGTTCGAGGTTCCCGGGGACCTGTATAGATAGGTACGTTCATTATGCCTATATGTCTTATTTACATAGTTCGTCTACTGACCACACAAAACAGAGTAAACATGTACGCATCGACCTGGATCTGTACGAAAAATAAAGAATTAGGTCGTCCGGCTCCGGAGCGGTCCATCTCTGAACTCTCGCTGAGTGAGTGTGTGAAGAGTATGGATAACGCGAGATCCAAGAGCGTGGAGCATCTCAAAATATGAATCTGGGCTGTTCTATTTATTCTGATTTTTAGCGTCATTTAAATTCGAGACGAGGTGAATGGGAAGTCATTATTGGAACGATATGTATGGTCCTTTATTTTGCTGCAATTTCGGCAGTGTACATAGCTTTTGGTGTGTAGTGCAATTCATGCCTGGTTTAGACAGAGGCCGTCTTGATTTCTGATAGAATTCAAAAGGAAGAATTGTGCTTTCATGTCATGGTCAGTCATATAGAATTCATATATATAAATTGCCATTACTACTCCACGCGAATGCAGACTTTACCAATATATCGAGAAGGTTTGCTGGTGCCTGTTAGCAGTGGTTTCGGAGAAAGGAGAGAATGCGTTAGATCAGAAGGTTGAGTATCTACCTAATATCTGAATATGGTTACTGGGAGGAATCAGCCTTTTATATCATATACACAGCCATCTGGCTTGCTGGGACATTAGTAAATAACCTGACATTATTGACAACGGTAGTCATCCAAGACAGTGGACTCTTGGACAGCGACTAGGGTTCAAGTTGATTTGAATGATCTGGATATTTCCTGGGTAAGTAAGCAGCTACTGTGACGGCGTTCATGAGGCCTTTGCGTATTTAGAGCAGGGCTTTAAGTTTCATGGTTCTCGGACTCCAAAAGATTTCTGACCTAGACCTATATTTCACGCGTTATGGGAAGATATCAAAGTCATCACCATTCTATAAAGACATGGATTACAATAGTACATGATTTCTGGTGCTCAAAAGAAGAAAAAGGAAGTCCGACTAACCGAGCCTGGACTTGAAAGCTGTACACTGGATGAAGTACGAGAAAAGAAAAGAGAATCAACGGATACAATATCACGACACCAACATCAATACCCGTCCAGGTTATGAACAGCACGGCATGCAGCATCATCAAAGCATCAATCAGGGTCTCTTCCATCCTGCTATTTCATCGAAATGAATCATCGAAATGCGGAGGGCAATGCCTAACGGGAATAGGCCCGCGCCGTATGAAACCAGCCCAGGACCGCGTACCATGAAAGAGAACAACACGTAACAAAGTGACATAGGTCATATTTCTTTGCAAGGGGGATATCAAATGAATATAAAGGTAGCTCTCCCAAAATGCGAAGAAAAGGAGAGCCACCGTAGGAAATCCGTCAACTTATTCGCGGCCGTATCGCATCTTCCCAATTGTGAACGGCACATAGCGGTACTTGATCATGTGCTGAATCTGACGTCTCACTATAACACGCAGCACATTAGCAAAACCGATTCAAAGAGAAAAAACCTAGCAATTGCATTGCCCCAAGTAAAAAGAGAAGAAAGACCTACTCGTCATAACGAACAGGATAATCCAGTACATGACCAACACAGGCCAGAACACTGGAATATTGAAGACGGCAAACCACGAGCAGATAAAGGCAATCGCAATGGCACGGGTGGCAGCATGCCAAAACTTGAATTCGGGCAGACGGCGAATGAAGGGACGGAACTCGTCATCCTGCTTTGTCGGAAGGCTGGAAGAGGCATCACCGTCTTCCATGCTCTCATCCTGAGTGAGAGAGGGATCGAATTTGGGTTGCAGAAACGCCAGGAAAAGATTCAAAAGGTAGATGCCAAGCGTATACGCCACTAAATCACAGAGAGAGGTTATTTCGTTAGTTGATATTGGTCTACGGAAATGTGCAAGGTGACAATGGACATACCAATGTACCATCCCTCGGCCAGAATGATTCTCAGGAAAAAGAGGAAAAGAAGTGCACCGGTGCCGGCCCACCGGTAGGTTGTGAAGGGGGTCGAAGCATCAAGGTACGCTTGATATTGCTGAACAATTGTGTTAGCCGCATTGCGCAAGTCACGGAACACCACGCATTCCTTCGCGCATATATAAAACCAGAATTGCATCCTCCCCGTCCTCATTTTGTGTAGTTATATAGAAATTTATTCACTCACCCTGGCAAGTTTAGAGGTTTGCGCCGTGACTGCCATGTACGGCGTCTGTTCCGGCTCAGGGACATCCATAATCGGAGACACGACGGAAAGTCGATAAAAGGCGAATGAATGAAGGTAAGGCACAGTACCCTGACGCGCTGAACCGAGCGATCAGATTAAGACAGCTGCGGGGGGGAATTGAAGCACAGCTGGAGGGTACTGGGTGGGACAGCGGTCCGTGAAGCTGTTGGAGGGAGGCTCGAGAAGAAAACTGTCCAACTCCATAGTCCGCAACGGCACTTCCACGTGACTGTGGCTGAGCTGTCGATGTAACGTTATTACTGTAAACAATACCTGTAAGCTATTTACACGTGACATGCCGGGGCTCGGACCGGCCATTTTCGGATTGCGGGGGAACCTCGGCTCTGATTGGCCACGAAGCTCCTCGGTCTACAGCTCTCCTCATAGTTATTCATCCATTGCAGCTCATCGTCATCTCTCTTCTTCAATTGCCAGACCCCAGCTGTTATTCTACCATATTCTACCAAAAGCAACCATGTTCTCTTTCTCCAGACAGTGCTCGCGGCTGGTCTCGTCAAAGACCGCCGTTCCTTTGACGTCCTATCTCAGATCCTCCAGGACATTCTCCTCAACTGCTCCCGCAGCGTATGAAAATATCCTGACGTCAACTCCTAAGCCAGGCGTCGGATTGAGTATGTTATTTAATTACTGAGAGCGGAATACATATTGGAATTATAGGATTGACTGACAATAATTGATTCTACATAGTCACACTCAACCGCCCGAAGGCCCTCAACGCCCTCTCCAGCCCGCTCTTCAAGGAACTCAACGACGCCCTATCCAAATATGAAAATGACGAAGAAATCGGCGCTATCATTATCACGGGAAGCGAGAAGGCATTTGCCGGTATGCATTTACGCCAACCAGGCCCAGTACACATGCAACAAAAAAAGAACAATAATCCAGTATACTAACAAACATCTCAAAAGCCGGAGCGGACATCAAAGAAATGGCCCCCCTAACCTTCTCCTCCGCCTACAAATCCAACTTCATAGCTCCCTGGTCCTACCTCTCTAGCAACGTCCGCAAACCCGTCATAGCAGCCGTCTCAGGCTACGCACTCGGCGGCGGCTGCGAACTCGCCCTCATGTGCGACATCCTCTACTGCACGGCAACCGCCACCTTTGGCCAGCCTGAGATCAAGCTCGGGACGATCCCCGGTGCCGGTGGATCGCAGCGTCTCACGCGTGCCGTCGGGAAGAGCAAGGCCATGGAACTCATCCTGACCGGTAAGAACTTCAGTGGGAAGCAGGCTGGTGAGTGGGGGGTTGCCGCGCAGGTTATTGAGGGCGGCAAGGATGAGCTGTTAGCTGCTGCTGTCGATACGGCCAGTGTCATTGCTGGTTATTCGAGGGTGGCTGTTTTGGGGGCTAAGGAGGTGGTTAATAAGTCTCAGGATCTGGGGGTTAGGGAGGGTGTTGAGTTTGAGAGGAGGGTTTTCCATGCTATTTTTGGGAGTCGGGATCAGAAGATTGGTGAGTTACTCTCCTCCTTTTCTGTTTGCTTTTCCTCTCTGTGTTCACTCTTCTCATTGTATCTGTCTGTCTCTAACCGGAATGATTACAGGGATGACTGCTTTCGCCGAGAAGAAGAAGCCGGAGTGGTCTAATGAGTAGAAAACTATTATGCGATATTCTGTCTGGATGTCTTGAGATGTTTTCATGTCGGTTTGCAGGTCAATCACATATATAAGTATACACATATTCGTCTGTTTAATTCTACCAGGTACGAGGGTTTCTTGTCCTGCACCATATCACTGCCTACAAAGCAAGTCATATCTACACACAACACTATGTATATTGTCAGAATCGAAGAGTTATGTACATTTATTATAGTTGTAGTGTAATATTAAGTCCGTAATTCAAAAAAAAAAAAAAAAAAAGATTCCACGCCATATCCAACCACGCCGTTCATCCATGCATATATGCAATATATACATGAAAACAAGCAAAACATAATAATAAAAAAATAAAAAAAAGAGAGCTATGATCATATATCTCATTTAAATCTTGTAGGGCGGAGGGTTATCAATAGCGCGCGCCCTTTTCCAATTCCGATTCATTCAGCCCTCCCTTCTCGGGAGGGGGGATTTGGCCCTCACTAGCGCTATCCTCCAACACGGTGTCGTCGAAAACATCCACCTGGGTGCTGGCGAACTTCCGAGCTGAGACTTTCTTTTCGAAGAGGACGTCCAACTCTGCAAATGTCCGCCCCTTCGGCTCGGGGACCCGGAAGTACGCATACACAATACAGAGGAAGCAGCTTCCTCCCCAGAAGAAACCGGCATAGTTACCCCAGTCCCACGCTGTGGGATTGAGCATGTACGGTGTCAGCACGCCGCAGACGATTGCAGCGATGTTGTAGAGGATTCGGCCAAGGACAACGGTCTTGATCTGCAGTCTGCGAGTAGAAATCTCGGCGACAAGCGAGTATGCAACTGTTCCGACGGTGAGTTGGTAGAAGAGAGCCCAGATAAGCATCAAGGAGCCCGTGGCCATGGATGCTTGGTCTTTATGGGCCTTCGGAACGAGGCCCAAGAAGCCCATGACCATCAGCATGGTGCAGAGGCCGCAAAGGCCGTAGAGGAACAAGGATCTGCGACCAATGCCAAGAGTCATGAGGAACCAAGCGCCAAAGACCCCGACCATATTAATACCGTATTGACCCATGGCGAAATTGTACGAGATGGACGAACTCAGTCCAGCTTGCTCCAAGAAGTAGGTCGAGTAGTTGGAAAAGGAGTTGCCGCTGAGGTTCTGGATGGCCCAGACCATGCAGACGATTTCAGTTCGGCGAAGATCTGTGCCGCGGAAGCAGTCGAAATACGTTGCTCCCTGGGTGATCTTTCTCTCCATGTTCGTCGTGTGCAGCATCATGGACAAGGTCTCGTCCACGTCAAAGTCGGTTTCCCGATTGAGGCTGGTGAGACGAAGGAGAGATCGTCGGGCATCATCCATTCGCTCCTTTCGGACCAGCCACCAGGGCGATTCTGGGGCGAAAAGGATACCGAGAAACAGCGGCAGAGGCCACATCCATTGCAAACCGTAGGGGATACGGTACGCCCACTGGTCGTGACGGTCTAGCATGCTCTTGATGACCCCCAAGCCAATGAGCTGTCCCAGGCCCCAGCAGAAATTGACGTAGGTGGTCAAATAGCCACGTAGGGGAACTGGACAAACCTCTGAGGCATAGGTGATGGTTAGCGTCTGGAAAACCCCCCAGGGAATCCCTGCGAGGATCTCAGCCGCCAACAGTGATTGGATGTTCTTCGCTGTGAAGAAGATAGCTGTCCACGCACTGATCAGAACAAGGCATGCCATGATAGTATAACGATATCCAAACCGCTCCGAGGCCCAGCCATTGATAAGAAGACCAATGATTTCTCCGACGTAGGCACCATTGCTGAGACCCGATTGCCACTGTAAAGGGATTGATTGAAATTAGGGACCAGAATTTTTTTTTCTTCTCTTTCAAGCCAAAGATAACATAAAAATAAAATAGAAAGAAAAAAGAAAGAAAAAAGAAAGAAAGAAAGAAAAATACTAACCCGCGCAGGAACCTGGTAAGACCCGTCGTCCAACCTCTCCCCATATTTTTCATTGAACTGAGGAAACCCGTAGAAATTGTTCACCAAACTGATATCATAGCCCTCCATGGCGATACAGGTGGAGATAAGAACACTCCACGCGACGGCCTTGGGATAGAGCTTGATGCCTTGGAGCAAGGTCATCTTCCGCTCCTTGTCGGCGGCGGATTTGGCATTGTGGGCGAGAACCTTGGTCACGGAGGTCGCAGGCGATGCCGGTAAGGGGGGAGAAGGGGGGGAGAAGGGGAACCGGGATGAGGAGGGGAGAGATTATTAACAGGCGCAATGGTGTCGTACGTCATGGCGAAGAAGAGCTGCTTGGGGAGGGAGAGGAAGACTGGCGAGGAGGTCAGTCAGGCGACTCATTGAGATTGGAGGAGACCGAGATGGAATGGGATGAGGATTGAATCGAGTCGAGTCGAGTCGCGATGGATGGATGTTGACGGATGAACGATGGCCTAAAGCAAATGCTGGACTGACCTGGGGCCGTTGTGCAAATGCAAATGCAAGTGCAAGTGCAGATTTATGATTATTCAAATTTATCCTACGTTGTGCCGCCGAGACTAAACCGGTATCCACTTGCGCGATGGCATGCCCCTCTGCGAGAACTGGTAGCAATAGTAGTAACAACCACAAGAAGCAGACTTGGATTACGAGGGCAATTGACGCCCTATTTATGTCTACCGGCAGCAGTCCTCCTGGGCTCAGAGACCGAGCGAAGAACAGTCGAGAAAGCGACTCAAGGACGACAGCGGCCCGGGAGACACTCTGCCAGCTCCGTAGAATCAAGTAGAATCGCCAGGCGAAGCAATCAGAACAGAGAACCGTCCCGATTAGGCAATAGAGAAGCTGGCGTGGTCTGTATCTTGCAGCGACTTGGTGCAAAAGGGAGTTTTGGTTGGCGGAGGAGGTATTTAGACTTTCACATCACGCAGACAGCGTTGCTCATAGGGTATATGTAAAATGCCCCTTATCCAGGGCGTAGAGTTACATAGCTCCTGTTGACAGCCCGCCTCTGGCAATTACTACACAGGTACAACCTCCAGATGCAATCCAACCATTCCACCCCGCAAATCCCAGGATGCCCCTGTCCAACGCGGGTTCATTGGTGCGAAAACGAAACCGTTTTGGCCGATCTGCGGGGTGGTTGCATGGCCAATGCCTGTCTGGATTGCACCGTCGTATGTTGGCGTGCACCTGCGAAAGTAAAAACCCCAGATTTCGGAACTTTCCCCGCCCTTTCTGTGCGACCTTGGATGCTCAAAATGCTCGTTGATTGCCGTTCCTTCAAATAGAGTGTCTCGTGTCTGTTAAGCTCGCAGGGATTACTATGCATGTTCTGGTTGGGGAGTGGTGAAGATGCTACAAGTCTCAAAAGGTATCTGAACGCATGGAGATTTCCCGGGATTTTCCCGGATGGAGAATACGAACTTCGATATACGCTAATAATATGCACCGGGATGAAATATGGGCTAATTAATCCTTTTCAAATTAAAATCAAATTACATCCGTATACGCATTATTATCATTGCCAGGTCTCACAATATTCTTATTCACTACAGCCGAGCGTTTCTCGAGCCATCGACCAGGGCTTCGGTCGCCGCCTCAATCCGCTTTCCTAGGTCGGCATTAACCCGCCGGAACATGCCGTACGTCTGTCTCCGCACCCGTTCGTGCGCATTGCACAGATGGCCTGACACGTTCTTGACAAAGTTGTCCTGCTGGCCCGGTTGACGGCCAAGGACCTGCCAGAGTCCATTGGCTTGCACGAAGTCCTCGTCCGTAACGGGGATCTGCTCTGCCACCAATGCTCCCGCCCACTTCTCGTGCTCCTGGCTAGCCTTGACCGGGCGATATGTCAGCGGCCGGAAGCTCGATGGGTAATTGGGGTTTGCGCCGTAGTTTCCGTTCACTCTCATGAATCCATCCCGGTGCCAGGGGCTGAACGCATTGAGCGGGCAGTTAACCGGGATCTGTTCATAGTTTCCACCCAGGCGGTGGCGGTGGGTGTCCGGGTAGGAGAACAGGCGGGATTGCAGGACAGGGTCGGCCGAAGGCTCAACGCCCGGAACCATGTGCGACGGTGAGAACGCTGCTTGCTCTACCTCTGCGAAGTAGTTCTGCGGGTTCTTGTTGAGGGTGAACTTGCCGAATCGGCGCAGCGGCACTTGACCTTGCGGCCAAACTTTGGTCAGGTCGAAGATGTTCCAGCGGAACTTCTCTGCCTGTTCAGGGCTGAGAACCTGCACGTAGCAAGTCCAAGACGGATATTCTCCCCTCTCGATCGCAGCGAAAAGGTCCTGGGTGTGCCAGTCCGGGTTTTCAGCGGACAGTTTAGCTGCCTCCTCGTTGGTGAAGGTCTTGCTGCCCTGGTCGGTCTTGCAGTGGATCTGGACGTAGTTGAAGGTGCCGTCGGGCTTAATCCACTTGTAAGTATGGCCCGAGTAGCCGTTCATGTGGCGGTAGGAATACGGTGTGCCACGGTCGCTGAACAGGTGCATCACTTGGTGGACCGACTCCTGATGCGTAGACAGGTAATCCCAGAACATGGTGGCATCTTTCAGGTTGGTCTGAGGGTTGCGCTTTTGGGTGTGAATGAAGATGGGGAACTTGGCTGGATCCCGGAGGAAGAAAACAGGTGTGTTGTTGAACACCCAGTCCCAGTTCCCTTCTTTGGTGTAGAACTTGGCGGCGAACCCACGAGGATCACGAGCACTGTCAGCGGAGCCCTTTTCTCCTCCCACGGTCGAGAAACGAAGGAACATTTTGGTCTTGTTGCCAACTCCCTTGAGCATGTCGATGACAGTCTAAAAAGCCAGCAGTGTCGTTAGTTGCATGGACTGGTCGGGATGGACACCGATTGAAACTTACGATATCGCTGATGTCGTCCGTAACCTCAAACTCGCCATAGGCGCCAGCACCTTTGGCGTGGACCACTCTTTCCGGGATCCTCTCTCGGTCAAAGTGAGCGAGCAGGTCGATCAAGTGGAAGTCTTGGAGCAGTAGAGGACCATTGCTACCAACCCGCAGAGAGGCCTCTGGGTCCATGACCTTTTGGACACCATGTTAGCAGGATACCATGGACACGTAGGAAGAATACCTATAGACATACCGGACAGCCATTGGAGGCTGTGTAGACAGGTGCTTCATTGTAGCGATAGGTCTCTGCATGATCTATTAGTTACGATGGATGGAGGATGATGTACAGGAAGCAGCAAGTCACATACTTGGCTCGTCGTCTTTACCCATGGTGACGATTCCGACGAAAGAGGCTCAAGCAGTATCGGGTAATATAGGTAAGATGGAGACAAGGGAAAGCTTGGTATCAATACTACAAGCAGCGGAGGCAGCGAGCAGCCAGCTAGATATAGTCTCCTCACTGGGCCCAGAGGGCTAGAACAAGGGCCTTTTTATAAGCAACAAGCTTATGGTCACCGTCCAGCAGATACTCGATTCCATCCTCGCTTCGACCTCAGCAAGTGGGGGCCATGTCCCGGCAGAGCATTCTGAATAATTGCAGATAGCCATTCCTGCGGGTTATCAAGTCGATGAAGACGTCATAGACGCGGGAGACGACTCCTCGTCCTTGGGAGTTTGGACACCGCTCGTCGGCGACAACCTATCGCGATAGATTCACACGACACATGAGGCATGCGCAGGGAATACGTAAACTTTCTCCTCCTCATCTTGGGAGTGAGAGGGGAACGACAAGGCGAAGCAAATCGCAACTCCATGAAGTCACCGCAGGTCTAAGCGGGCCAATCCGCTGCTTGCGCTTTGTAAGACAGATTGGAAATAGACCGAGACATATCATAGTTCAAATTACACACCGGGACTCTGAGAAGACCGGAACATAGATCTCACATTTTTTTTAGTCAGTAGACAGGGCTTATCCAGCTCCGTAATCCAGGCGTCGTTCTAGAAGTCTGGTTTAGTTAGCCACGGCCTTCTCCGACATCCTATTTTATTAATGGCCCTCGGGTATACTTTACTTGGTTGTTTGTAGCTCCGATTAATCTCGAAACAAGAAGGTCGATCCGGATTAGCTCAGCAATAGTTGGCCTTCACACTGTCGTCTATCCCTCGCCTGGTGAAAGTTTTCGGGCTTGGCATGATGTAGCTTACCATACTGTACGTAGGGACTCCGCCCTGTGTATACAGCGCTGTCCAATACAGGAAAAACTTCTGGCTATTGGGTATCTACAGGGCAGATTACTAGTAACTACCTTCAACTAGGTCCAGAGTACAAATGTACTATGTGAAATAGTCCGCAAGAAGAGAAAAAAAAAATAAACGCCCGAACTGGGACTCGAACCCAGAACTTTTCGGTCTCCTGAAACCTAACTAGATGTTAGGATTAAAAGCCGAACACACTAACCAATTGTGTTATCCGGGCGTATTTGTTGAGAGATGTTTCCGTCTAATATTTAATAGCTGAATGTTCCAAAACATCCTCCACCAAAGACTTGTGGGTTCTTTGCTGGCTCTCGAAACCTCAAAGCGCTTTGTTTCCTGCGATACTCTTTGTGTGATGTGTGACGTTATGTGGAATGGGGTATCTGTTTATATGCAAGAGGCTTTTGGGTGTCCTTATCTTCTGTGGTGGGATGTTTGGTGTATTTTATCCTAGTTGGGATTGGGAATCCTGGATATATAGAGGTTGGTGTATATACATACACCCGATTCCTATTAGGTATTTAACCACCACATAAGAGCCGTGGAAAATAAAAATTCATCACATAGAAAGCAGAGATCCTAACCTGCAAAATGTCATATCATACCCCAATGATCCTAACCTCCTGAACTGCAAACTCTCGCCTGAACCTAGTGTCCCTCCCATATTCTCATAATAAGGCCCCCCACTATCTACCTCCCTCACCATTAGGGATCAGGATACAAACATACACCCAACACACCGTGAAGTAATCGTATATCCCCCAATACATCATACTAGCAGGGGAGCCATTCCCAAACATGATATTGACGTTAGTGAGGTAACTGAACCCCAGAAAAGTTCAGGTGTTTCATTTCCCTGTTTCTTCTGTGTTTTCGCCAGGCAGACCTTGGCACCAGCCCTGCTGACGCTAAATAGAATGTTAAACCTGCATAGCTAGATAGCTCTTCAACAAGAATCTTCAGTGCCAAGTTATTTGCCCAAGGCCATCATATCACATGCAATGGAATTAGCCCAGGTGTTGGCTAAGCCACGGTCTCATTGTGTGTGTTTTGATCCTTCTATCCTTCTATCCTCCTCATTCTCTTCCCCTCTTCCCTCGATGGCCTCTCTGGCCCCCTTCAATGTATGTATATGCGCAGCCTACCTACTCCTATGTTCGCTGCCTTCAGGACTTCTTTTACGGGCTCACGAGACCTCCCATACATCATAGTGTATCAAGGTACAAGGTGTAGCAGATGACATGAAATTTTAAATCTATATTCGTAAAGCACTAGGTATAGTGTCTTCTAGCTCGTATCCCATACTGGCCTGGATTTTATCATCAGATGCTGGAGTGTAAGGCTGTAGCTGGGTTTCCCTCATTTCCCAACAAGGCCAAAAAGACAACCCCTATATAGTATAATGTCGCACAGATAATCCCCACAGAGGATGTGTCCACCCTCTGTTCACCTTCCTTCCAAGATTTAACAATAGTGGGAACATTAGTCCTTAAGAAACAAAACTGGGCCCAACGACTAGACGCCTCAATCACCTGCTTCATGGAATAGTCTGATGCAACATTCGTAGTTACAGTACTTTTGACATCCAGTGGTCCAGCTACAGGGCCGTACAAGGGTCCAAAGAAGCAATATCAGATCAACGAATGATAATAATGTGCTCAATGTATGAATTCGAAGATAGTGATGATGTCCAACGGAGAAAGCTGAAGCGTACCAGGCCAAGGGTAGCCTTCATGCCTAACCCAGGATAAAATCAAAGCACAAGTTATTAACCTAATCTTCGGAGTTCAGATAAACATATGATCACACCCTTGATATACGGCCCAGCTGGCATCCTGAGTAAGGTACTATACGGAGTAGTTAATTAATCACCGTAAGTATAGCGCGTAATTATCACTACCCCACCGAGGTTTGGCCTTTCACCTAGGTATACTCCTGGGACCAGGAATTGATATTCAAACTGGGAGATTGATGGCGGACGCCCTCCCAAGGCTCATTTACACAGGTAAATAAACAATAGTACGCAGAACGACGAAAAACAAAATATAGCCCAGATAAAACCCAACAATCTGCGGTAACCTCATGGATGCATACACGGTGCTTTCATAATAGACAATACAAAAATAAGAAACCTAAAGTTTACGCTGATATCTAAGTCTAATCAATCAAACACAAACGAACCCCAAAAATGCCCTCGAAGTGCACATATCTCTGCCCCCGGACGGGGTGATAGTAGGTGGAGGCGTGGGGCCCGACGTGATGCGGTGAGGACTGTTCGTTGGTGTGTCCAAGCATCCCCAGAAGTATCCGGGTGTCTCGCACGTTGAAGTTGCAGTAACTGTGCTGGTGGGGTCGCGACAACCAAACCAACCAGGGTCAGCACACGATGTAGTGGTCGTTGTGGTTGTTGATGGAGTAGTCGTGCCAGGCGGCGTCAAGGTTGCGGAGGTGGTTGTTGTGGGATCCTTGCATCCAAACCACCCAGGTGTTTTGCACGTGGAAGTTGTTGTCGTCATAGACGCCGTCGTAGTCGTGGTAGTCTCGTCCAAGCAGCCCCACCATCCAGGAGTCTCACAGGTGGATGTTCTTGTTGCGGTTAGGGTTGTGGAAGTGGTCGTGGAAGTTGTCGAGGTAGTTGTGGTAGTCGTGGTGCTTTCAGACCCATTGCTGCGGAAGAACTTCCATAGCTCACAGTCGTAGCATTCCTCCTCTGGTGCACAGGGTGGCACATCATCATATGCCTCGAGGACATCTCTTATCACAGCCTTGATTCGATGTGTTCCCATTCCTACACGCCAACCCTTATCACCAACAGTATCGTATACACACATCTGACCGGTATGACAGGCAGACTCCAACGCATACCCGCCCCAAGTGCAAACCGAATTGACTCCATTGCATGTACCCATGTACACAGGGTCTGCGGTATGTCCGAAGTGATAGGACCCTGTATACTGTCGTTTCTGGGGTAACCTTGGGTCATTTCCAGGAGGGCTGGGTAGACCGAGCCGAGCTGCCGGTAGGGCTTCAGGAACAGCTTCAAAAGTGACCACAGGCAGCCCAAACGTCAGTCCAAGCAGGCTTGTCATGGCGCCACCCAGAGAGTGGCCAGTCAACCAAACACTAGAATTCGGATATAGCTCTGTCACATTAGAATAAAGGTCAATGGCGGCTCGGTAATATCGATTCTCGTCAGTCATAGATTCAATGATACAGGTCAAATTTGCTGTGTATGGGGACTTCTGACAATCACAAACTTGTCTCCAAAGATAGGAGCCTCCTTGCCCACAACAGCAACTGAAATAGAGATTATCGTTGACTTTGTCGTTCGTGGTAGTGCCGGCCCCATCAAAAAGAGCCGGTGAGGTGCCCTTCAGCGAGATGACAATTGTGCTATTCTCCTTATCTGCGTATATATGCCCTCTTAAGCCATCTCCTTGCCAGCCGAAGCTTCGGGAGTAATTGAACGGACCGTTGATATCCTCCCAATCCTCCGTGCCAGGCTCCTCAACATAATCATTCTGTGTCATCTTTGCAAAAGTTAAAATGGTTTGTTTGTCTGTGATGTTTGGGCCGGCGAGTGTATCCATCACCCATTCCGACGGTGATAATACGGCAGCCGAACCGGACAATCTTGCGGTCTTTAGATGAGATTCGATGACGGAAAGACGTCGGTCCGCAAGCCGTTGAATAGTAAGCGGAGAAGACGAAGCAGTTAAAGGGGTATTGCTAAAAGCTACAGGCTTATCCTCAGATTCATCAGTTGAGATAACCCAGAGGCGGGTATCAGGCCTGACGTCGAGTTTCCTGTGGAGATTCGGATGTTCGTAGGCTCCTCGATGGAAAATATGGCGAAGCGTCTTGTGCACGGTCAATAACCATCAACAGAACAAAGAGAAGAGAGTAATTACAAATTCATGTGTCCCACAGAGACTTGGAGAGTCTGCAGATGGAATCCGTGGGGGAATCAGAGGTATCTCGGGAGGAGTGAAGTAGCCGGGTTGATAAGCAGGGACGAGGTTAGGTAGTGTTGTGAGGGAGAGGAGGAGTCCAGCAACGTTCCTCTTGTGAATGGCGCGTTTCCTTGTTGACCTTCGAGATCCTGCCATGATGGACACGATAGAGATATAGAATACAGCGATACCGTTGTCCAGGCCAGGCAGGAAAGGAGGATGGTTCAGGCTGAGGCATATCTGATCGCTATCGGGAATGACGCAGCGCGGGTCGATCAGATGAGGAGACAGCACGTGATTGGCCACTCCATCGAATCCATCTCGCGTTGCTCCTCTTTCCCACGCGAACTATTGCTTCACGCAGAGATCTCATCATTGACCAGCTAATTCTCGGGTTTTCCGTTCAGAGAAGTGGGAGCAGTCAATTTCAAATCCCACTGCCAGTATAGGTACCTTGGCACAATACTGGAAGACATACCCGAACCGGGTTTTTGGTGGTGTTACACTTGGGAGCTGGAGCTTGACCTTGCTGCTGGAAGTCTCGAGTATACAGAGCAGTAATGTCCTCCCATCCTCTTGTAAATAACGACTCCCGAGCACCCCGTCTGCATACGGCTCGATCATTCACCAGGCTTGAACCGTCGACCGTGAGCCCCTTTGCTCGGAGCAGGGCGAAGACAGTCCAGACTCTGACGATCGCAGAAAATATAGACTCTACGGAGTTTCCGATACCTCTTTCTGCAGACTATAATGAAGATGCAGGTCCCGATGTTTTTGAAAAGAGGGATTCTTCCGATTCGGGACCTGGGGATGGCGAACAGCAGAGTGGGGAGATCGCTGCCGCGGACCAGCTGGAGGAGCTTCCAATTGAACTGATCAGTTTGACTGACCGGTAAGACTAGATGCTTCCTGTCTTTTATACTACATTGTATGCTGACAGTCCAACTCCTGTGCTGTGTAGGTTTATCGATTCCCTAAGTGCCAAAGTGCACTCGTCTCCTCCGTCCATTGAAAAGATCTCGGATTTCTTCCAGGATTTTTACATTCGTGCAGATTCACATATAGCAACCCATATTTCCGCACTTGCCTCTCGAATAAATCGTGATTCATCTTACCCTAGTACGCAGGGGAGATCGCGTAACAAGCAGGATGGTTCGGAAAAAGTAACATCCAGCCGTCAAATGCTGACTGCCTCAGAGGTCACAGAGAAGAGGAAGGCTCGCAAATTTCTTGCCCAGAAGCAGGTCGCGCTGGAAGAGGCCGTGGAACGAAAAGCATGCGAGAGTGTCTACGACAAGATATGGCAGCATGAGAGCTCTCTAGACAAGGTACAAGACGAAAGGTTACGATCTAAGACTGCAGCTCTTGCTCTGGTTGGTATTAGCATGAAGGATCTAGGTGTTGATATTGATACTACGGCAGTCGATGAAGTGAAGCAGAAGGAGGCCAATGACGGCCTTGCCATGGCTCAAGGACACCTGAAGAGAATGAACGACGAAAAATACCCGCTTGGCAAGCTTCGACATCTGGTGGCTGTACACAAGGCGATCGTTGAGACGTTGACCAAGTTGCTTCCATCTACATCTTCCGCGGATGAGATCTTACCTACCTTGATATATGCCCTTATAACTTCCCCAACGGAGGATTTGAACGTCGTCAGTAATCTACATTTTATACAGCATTTCAGGTCTTCAAGCAAAATGGACGGTGAAACTGCATATTGCTTAACTAATCTCGAAGCAGCAATTAATTTTGTGGAGAATGTGGATCTCTCTAGCCTGCGTGCGGAGGAGACACAGGATGGACATCTGAAAGTCGCGTCGGCACCAGCCGTGCAAACGACGGATCGATTATCGGCTGAGAAGGGAGCAGCAACATCCAGTACTACATCAATATCAGCGTCCCCGGAGTTCTTGGTACCATCAAGCCAGGATAGAATGGCGGCTACACTACCCCTGCGTCGGCCATCTCCATCCCCCCAACAGCGACGCCTGAGTAATCTATTTCAGCCTCCTTCAAAAGTTTTTGGTGCTGCAAATGACGCTGTCCGCAACACGGCTGACCAGAGCCTGAAAAATATCGGCGCCACGTTAGATAGTAGCCTGAATTTTGTTTTGGGTCGCCTAAAAGAGTTGCAACCAGGTACAGATGGGAATCACCCTGTATTGCCCAAGACTCTAGCCGAAGCTCGCCATTTAGTCGCCCCTCCTTCAACGGTCGATAACAAACAGGCGGCCAAAGATGACCAACCCGTGGAAGAGCTCGTCGATGCAGATCGGCTGTCTCAGAGACAACAAGCTAGGACCGAAGACCGATTCATTGGACTTGTCAGTGGACGGAGAACACCGCGGGACCGCAGTGTCGACAGCGCCAGAACCCAGGGTAGTTCCAAAAGATCTGTTTCTGGTGTGGGGGCACCAGGCTCAAAGAAAGATGAAACGCCGTCAAGCTTCTTTCAATCCACACATGTACCCTCTTCTTCGTCGACTCCGACTCCTTTCGAATCCATGAGGAACTTTGGGAATACTTTTAACCCACTCAGCCACATCCCCGGTATGATCAGAAATTTTGGCCGCGCCACTACCGAGCCACCTAGAGAGACCCCATCCCCTGCTGCATCGGAGAAGACTACGATGCCCTCGATATCAGTTGAAGACGTTCCAAGCATCTCTGGTCCTCTAGCCAAACTTGAACCACCTATTCAACGTTTTCTGGAAATCGAAGACGCTAGTGACCTTAAGATCAGTGATGTGTCTGTATTACTTGAGGATTACAAACGACTTGCCTCTGCGCTTTTCAAACAAAACTCATGAAATCTGATGAACTGTGTTCTAATCGCATATATTACCTTTCCCCCTCCCTTTGACTTCAGTTCTTGCTCTTCATTCGTTCCTTTTCTAAAGCAGGGCCGGCGCCTAGTGTATCGCAATATTGAATATGGTTTTGGCCATCAAGCCGCTCGCTGGCTATGACAGGGTTTTGGTTTTGATGTATATTATTCAAGTATGGCTTTCCAGGGGAACTTTCCACTTTCTAGGTTACTAAATGAAGGCAAAAAAAAAAAAAAAAAAACTTAGTATGAAACAAATCTGCTGGCTAAATGGGCGAGAATAAGATGGTATATGAGGGTTCAATCATATCATTTTGACGCAAAGGTAATAGTTACGTAGTAATCATGATTCCTCATCTCACTTTCTATCCCTTTCCTTTGACTGAATGCAATAGATGGTATGTAGTACAGGGTATATGACATACTGCGTGCATGATGGCTTAAAAAAAAAAATAACGAAATAAACTCCATTTAATGCTCACATGCAATAGACCATAGTTTGGCTTCCCGAATAACCACCTGAAAGAATAAAACAATAAAACAGGGCTGGAAGTAAAGACAGCCACATAAATCTGCCAGCGTAGCATGAAGTTCATGCCAATGCCATATCGAGTCATCCCAATTCTGATTAAGATGATGACAGGAGAGATGTATTCGATTTCAGACCAGATCGCACGAGAATAAGCCTCCAGCATTTCATAATTCTCCTCAATGAATGCTGATCAGGTAAAATAACGACATTATCCGCACAGTGGGAAAGGTATAAAGGAAAGGATGTTATCACGGACTTCTTTATTTTTGGGAGTCAGGCGTCTTCCCACGTAGCACTCCAATACCACCCTCTCTCATTTCTAGTAATTTTGTCGACAGCTCAGAATCCTGTTGCTCGACTTCGTCATGTCGACGTTTGATTTCAGCCTCAAACAAAGCAGCTGTCTTCCGTCGAGCCTGGCGTAGCTCCTTCATTTTTGAGAGTAATGCAGTGAAATGGTCGATAATCTGGTCTCCGCATTCTTCCCATTCGGTCATAGATAGCTTCGAGAAATATGCACGACGTTCTTCTTCGGAAAGCCCGAGAGCAAAGGAGACCCTGTCTTTGGGTGTATCCTGAACTTCTTCAGCTGTGGGGGGTGGAGTAGTAGTGGTCGTTGTAGAAGTAGCCTGCGATGGTGCTGGAGGGGAAGGAGTATAGTCAAAGGGTTCAGCTTGAAGATCGCTGAATGACTTTTGATATAGGACTTCTGGTGGATAATCCGCTTCTATATGTCTCTTTTTCGGAAGAGGTGATGGAGGGGCTTCTTGTGTTGTGGATGAGTGTTTGCTGAATATTTCTTGATTTCTGTCATCGTTATCGTTATCAATCCCATTAATGCTGTGTTTATTTAGAGCAATCACTGAAACTGGACTGTCATTTGTATCACTGTCGCTTCCCCATTCGCCCTCGTCAGCGGGGAAGACAAAGCCAGTTGACCTCTGTCTATCGTGCTGCGGTCGTTGACCAGCAGTTTGACGCGTTGGTGACAGCTCTAACTGTTCGAGAAGGGATGGTTTTGGTGGACTGAAGCGTGTCCTCGGAGTAGTTGTCATACTGCGAGGCAGAGTGATCTTCCTGTTCGGTAATGACCGGCTAGGGTTCCTGGAGCCCGATGCTGTCGAAGTCGGTATTGCGGATAAGCGGAACTGTTCTTCAGGACCTGAATTTGTAGACTTGGTGAGAGCATGAGTCCTTTTACTAGCGGCCCAGAAAGTCTCCAACCGCTTGCTCAAGGGCTGGTCCTCCACAGACCTGCGTTTCTGACGACTAGAAAGATACCAGTCATCCACAGGAGTCTTCTCATCCCCCGTATCATCCCCAGGTACAGATGTAGGCTGGCTTCCTTCAGTAATATCGGCATCATCGGATTCAAATCCCGCTGTCTTCATGACTTGGTCCCCGAGATTCGTATGCCAGGCGGCTTCATGTACCCGTCGCGAGTGTTGTGATTGGTATAAGGGTCTTGATTCCGATCCATCATCATGTTGATACTGTACATCTTGTCCTGATGGCACATGTTCATCAGCACCCAGGACGCTCGTGCCGGCTATAGTAGAGTCATCAATCCCTTCCACGTCGGTGTCAAACATATCCCTCTGCATTGCATCTTCCTGGGTTTCATAGTATTCTTGGTGTATCCTTCCATTTGTTCTCGACGGTAATTGTGTGATCAATTTCGTTGTAGGAACTCCAACTTTCACCTGCTCTGCTAGGGCCTGCCGTGATGGGAAGGAATTCGAGGTGCCGTTTGCGGGAGAGGGAAATTGACCGGTCTCCTTAGAGTGGACATAGTCTCCTACCCCCATCGTCCTTGTTGCAGCAATTCGGCAAATATTGGGGGGCTGATGAATAAAGGATAACAAAATGTGCGCCCACAGCCTTCCAGATTATCTGGTGATGTTGAAGACGAGTTGTCTGATGGAGATCCAACTTTCGTAGTCAAACTTGAAGCAAGCTCCAAACGCGATGCGCGCGGATGGATCGCGAGGTCACATGACAAACTGTCATTCCCTCGGGTCCAGGACCGTATTAGTAGGCCATTCTCTCGATATTACATTTGCATAATCTACTTTAATATGCATAGAAGAAGAACATAAAAATATTGCAGTCCAAATTATACACGTCCCTGAACATGTGTCGTTAAATACTTATAATGGCCTAAAATTTGGTATCTCTATCTGCGCTGACCTGCTTTTGACCCTTCGAGATATTAAGACGAGTTCACAATGAGGGGTTTGGGGAATTTGGATCGTCAATCCGAAAATTTTCAAGGGTACTTGTCATGCTCCTGCCACGTTGCCTAGCTCTCTCAAAGAATTTTCTCGATTTCTGCAACTCGGCCTCTCTCTGTTCCATTGCGAGTCTCTGCTCTCGCCATGCAAGAGTCAAACCGGGAAACCCTTCCCTAACCTTAAGATCATTATCGTAATCGGCATTGGGGAGGTCCAATTCTTCCTGCGGCAAAGAGGAGATGAGAAGATCGGAGACCCAAAGTGAGACCATCGCTCGAAGTTCTAATAGCTCCTGGGAGTCAGAATACGGAGGGGATGAGAGTATTTCATCCATCCTTGCCGCAATTTGCTGCGCCTGATCTCGTTCTTTATCATCGACCTCGGCGAGGAGACCTCGTCGTCTTGGCCTTTCGCCATGTTGGTCCTCAAACTCTGATCCGGTCTCCTCATCTTCCGAAAACCACTCAGATTCTCCAAGGCGACACTGTATATCTTTCCTGGCGGCATTGCATTCTTCTTGAACAACATATATCCAAATGCCGAACATTGCGGGATAGAAATGTAAAGAGGATATCGCGTCAGGCGCAGCCTTTCGAAATGGATGCTGAATGATAAGTCTCTCATAATATCTTTTAGCGTCTTCGAACCCGGCTCTAGTAAAACAAAGTCCAGAGGCATCTGCCGTTCCATGATGTAGATTTCCTAAGCTTCCGGACCCGGGAGTGTTGTGAGATATCCGATGGCCCCGCCGTAACAGGATCTCCGCTCCGATTCCCCATCTCCCTTCGTTGCGCACATCGATGGGCTTGCCTCCGAACTCCTCGCGAAGAAGTATCCCCCATGCTCTCCCAGCGCGGACGTAGTCACCCTGCAGAAGGCACCGATGCAGTATGGATGTGACCACGGCAAGATGTTGCAATCGGAGATTTCCCTGGTAAGCCGCAGACTGTGGAGGGTAGAGTGGAGGCGATAAAGATGGTAGTTGTGCGATGATATGATTCTGCGTTTGGCGACTGGAACGCGTCCAGTCCCTGGGTGCCCCATGGGGGAAGTTACCTGAAGGCAACTCCTGATCAAAGGGGAGACCGGCAATTCGATACTGGTGGGCTTCTTCAGGCGACAAGATCAAATCAGTACCGGAAAGAGTCACACCGGAATCAGAGACGGCGTCTGTCGTTTCTCCCCCTACATCTGAGGTATCTTCATCCCAGTCCTCGGAGTGTTTTCTTCGTTTCCTAGGCTCATATCGAGCAACGCGCACACTCTGCGGTTGTTGTGACAGTGGAAGTGGGAGGGAGAAAGCAGAAGCGGACGGCTTGAAATCCATCATAACCCAGAGCTCAAGTCTAGGATATTTTTCAGAGCATGTGTGACAGAAACTGGTTCGTAGCTGTTAGCATTGGCCTTGTCATACCGGATATCTTCGTCGCAAGACACATTGCGCCAATACCCGGAAAGAGGATCTCAACGGTCCATTTTAAGGATGATAAGATCCGGTTTGTTCTGTCCAGCTCGATGGTTGAACAAGAAAATGCCAGGGACAGGATGCGAAGTCCGCAGTTTTTTTTTTCTGCCGCTTGTTTCAGGCAGCGGAAGACGCCTGAGGCAGCAGAAGCGAACTGCAGTAATACCAGGCCAAGAACTTGGGAAGAAAAAAATAATAATAATAATATAACCGACCCCTACGGTAACCTTCGGGGTCGCGCGTATTGCGCGACCCTGACAACCACCCGAGCACCCCAGCCACCCGAGCACCAATTTTAGACCCCCCTTCTAGCTTCAATATCTCAACGAATTCTATAGTATTTAACTTCAAAATATATTTAAACTAAAGCTCTACTCTTCAGCTTGGGCCCTAGCATGTCGTTGCCTTCGTATAATAATTCCTCGTCGAATGCATACATCCAGCAGCTCTGGTAGGCAACGCTTATACTTAGTCCTCCACCTCTTTATTTCAGCCTGCTCATTAATATTCGCAGTATTTCGATTTATAGCTTCAAGCTCTGAGCTTGATACTATGCCTCCCTTGCGAATCCTGCGCCTAGAGGCCTGTGATCAAGCTGCGCGGTCCCTAGCAGCTTTAATATACCGGTCAAGCTCAGCTTCGATAGCAGCTGAATATGATGCTAGCATACTACCACCATGAATAAGCAGCTCTAGGCCCTCATTAAATTGATCCTTGTTGATATCATGAATCTCCCATATCCTATCACCAATCTCCCTAAATCATTCAGCTTTTTTTTGGCGTACTGCCCCAGGAATCAACATCATTGGTATTGGTGGATGAAGAGGATGGATGATGTGGTTGAGGCATTTGATTGAGTACAATTGATGGATTGAATGGTATGATGCCAGTCTTTTGGAATCCATGCCGAATAGTACGCTTTTTGAATGTCTTCTTGCGAATTGCCCCTAAGGCATGAAGGAATTCAACCTTAGTAAATTTACTGTATTCTGAGTAGGTTGCATCTGCAACTGCTTCTGAATGCCAGTGCTTATATGCATGAAAAACACCAACATCCAATGGCTGCAAGAAATGACTTGTATATGGAGGTAAGAAGAAGGTGATGATATTGGTCTTCTCACAGAATTCAACAAATTCATGTGTTAGATGGGAGCCGTATCCATCACATATAAGAAGGGTATATTGACCCTTCCTATATCTTTTAGTATGCCGATAGAATGACTGAATCCATTGGAAGGCAATTGTATCAGTCATATAGCCATTTTCTGATACTCCAATTGAATAGTCTTGTTGAATATCAGCAGCTTCAAACCAATTTGTAAGTATACAGCTACCACTCATGAGAATAAGTGGTGGGCAGGTCCAGCCATCTGCATTGACTGCTTCAACCACAGTAACATATTCACAGTTTGAATTCATCCCAATATGAGGCTTATTAATATTGAAGTCCCTGGTAATAATCCATTGATCACAACCAACACTGATATTGAAGCCAGTCTCATCAAAATTGTAGATATCCTCCTTTAATATCCCATGGTTCTGGATGGTCTGATGGAGCTTCTGAAACCACTCCTGAATAACCTCATGATCCTCTGCACGCTTGTGGTCAAACTCTATAGCTCTAGAGCGACGTCTTTTATATTCAGGATGCCTTCCTAGCCATCAGTTTAACCATTTCTCGCTGACAGTAGGTGGAGGGGTGTCTAGGCTGGTATGGGTTGATCTCAGAATAGAATTGGCACTTGATTGGATCATTTGTGCAAGTGGCTTTATATTTAATTGCTCTAGAGTATCAACATAGTGACACAGAGCCTTTTCTTGCTCTTCTGATAATCTGGTGTTGGTTGGTGGTCGTTCACATAGATTGGACCGTCCCTTCCACCTTGCGGAGAGGGTTTGCCGTTTAACTCCATATTCACGTGCAGTTTTGGCGATATTTGGGGGATTTTGTGTGCTTAACGCGTCAATAGCTTTGAGCATTCGATCTTCATAATTTTTATTGAATTTGGGCATGGTGGTGGTGGTTGAATTATATGATAAAGTTGATGGGTTGGAATTCTACGAAGTTCTAAAATCGGTGCTCGGGTGGCTGGGGTGCTCGGGTGGTTGTCAGGGTCGCGCAATACGCGCGACCCCGAAGGTTACCGTAGGGGTCGGTTAGTCCAGAGTAGTACTCTGTATAATAATAATTGAAGGTACTAAAAAAAGGCTCATGGGCCCTCAGACGCCACCGAGCAATCCCATCCCAATAATGCGTATGCGGCCCGCAGTGGTTCGTATGCGATATCATTCTAATACTAATAATATGGCTCAGAGGCCCTGCTTCGACAGAGCCGAATGCCAGCAGTCTCGTCGTCATTAACCATCCGTATCCACTTCGTTTCTCTCCCCTTCTTCACCGGTCGATCGATCTCTTCTTCCTCCAGAAATTCTCCAGGTCGACCGGCACAAACCGCACTGCTTATCCCGTAGCATTCTTCCCCTGCATCCACCACCACCCACAGCTTCTTTTCTTTTCTAAATATCCTTCCTGACTTCTCTCCTCCCAGGGGACTCTCAATCCCCACCGATCTCAGCAACATCCTGTGGTTGTGTGAGGACTGAGCTGGGGATATCTATCTCGCTGCGTTGCACTGTGGTTACTCGTCCAGCCATACAGCCATCTCCGTCCGCCTTCCTTCCCGCAGCGACATTCCTCTCTCCTCTCCCAAACTCGTCTCCTTCATATCCCGACTATCGACATACCGTCTCCTCTTTTATCCCTCGCGCGGATCTAAGTCCCCCCTGTTGCGATCAGTTGCGAAAGACTACGTCCCTGGAACGGTGGCTGCGGGTTTTGGGACCGTTTGCCGTCAGAGCCACCAGGTAGTGTCAGCCCCGTATTGTTTAGAGGGCGTAAACGGCTCTAGAGGGCATTTCTCTGGAACGTTGGACGCTCTTCTTTTCTTTTCTTTTTTTGTAATTCCGAGATTATCAAATGGTACGTCTCATTCTTGCTGCCTACTTGCTCACAAGCGCGTCTTTACCGCCACCTTCCACAGCTTTCTTGGGCTTGGACACCTTCCATCCTCTAGATACGCCCTGGCTCAACCGTATCGTTCCCTCCGTCTTGCTTACTTCTTTTCTATTTCTAGCTAGCTGAACCCCCTTCCATGGCATTCGAAGGGCTCTAAGACCTCGCTATTCGCCCAAATCGTGCAGCCGACTACTATGGGACAGTCCTCTTCGACACAAAGAGATCGACGGCACACTGGTACACGAGAACTCTTTACACGTTTTTATGCAGGACATGGTCGGGACAATAGGAATGAAGATATGAGCAGCGGACGCGATTTTGAGTACACTAGGGAATTTCATTCCCCATCAGGAGCTGGGGTAGATACAGATGGTATCCCAAGCTCAAGCCAAGGAAATTCAGCGCCGGAGTCATGGGGGCAGCCTACATCGCTAACTGGTGAGTCAGTCGTTCCGAGACAACTGCATGGTGTTCAGCTGGAAAATGGAGTCCAGCCTGACCCGCAAGAGTACCGGTCGGCAGCATTTGCTCGTATGACTGCAAGAAGACAGTCCACCATGTCGAGACTGGGCTCCAGAATATTGCCGAATTCCGTCATTCGTGGACTGCTCAACAGTGACGAGGAGACGCCGGCGGAGGGTCAAGCTCACCGGCATGGCCTTGTATCGAGGTCAGCATCGAGATCGGATAGTCTCCATAATACCAGCCGTTTCAGCCCATTTGGTTCGCTTAGCTCCAGAGGCATTACAAGGCGACGCTCTACTGCCCGTGCCCCTTATTTTGCTCCACGCAGCGACTCCGTGCTGAACTCAGACCCCCCTTTGTACCCTACGTATTTCGACACCACTGAACGCATGTCCGATCCAGGCAGAGGATCCTGGCGTCGAAGTGTTCGGTTACATCGAGTTAGAAATTCACTGTCGAGTCCAATATCCCAGATGTTTGGCCATCAGCCTAGCCAGAATACAGGAAATCCAACACATCTCCCACGACCAGCTTCCAGTGACGACTCTGATAATCTTCACCCTCTCCCCGTTGCCCTGGATACTCGCATGGATATCACGGATCCTCCCCACGAGCTCGATTCTGTGGAGCCTGCCATAAACAACGATCATTCAATGTCTTCAGTACCTTCGACTATACCCGGTCAGGGCTCAACGAGCGTGCGGCGACTTCCTAGCCTCCTGAGAGCGCGTTCCGCCCGGGTCTTACGGCGAGAAGAACAAACTCCACTCTCTCGGGTGCTTCAGTTGGCAGCTACAGCAATTGCAGCCCAGCTGTCCGGCACTACAGGTCCGGTATTGCCAAACATACAGGCCCTGGGAAACGGTGGATTAGACGGCTCGCTGGAAAATTTTATACAGACTTTACAGAATGCCACATCCGCGCAAGCTAATCCTGGGATGCTGACTGAAGGATCTAACGCATCGGAAAATGGATCTACTCCGCCAGTTAATTTTCTTAGGGTTTTCCGATTTTCTAACCCGGAGACTTCTCGGCCATCTGAGTTATCTGGCCACCAGACCACCAATGCTGAAAATGCGCGTGGCAATGACGATAGGATGGATGTCGACGATTCCCCGGAGGGTAGTGGTGGGCGCACTGTTACTCTGGTTGTGGTGGGTGTAAGGTCGGTCCCTTCGGGCGGTGGACGCGACAATGAACCAGGCGACGCTGGCCCGAGTCTGGATGCCTTACTGGGACTACCATTCTTGTCGCCGGGCAATTTACCACGAAATCAAGAGGCTGGTGGCAATTCTATCCCACGTGTTGATGGAAGACCAAGAGCAACTTCTCGTCCTTTCATGGGAGGTCCTGGTGGTCTTTTCTCAAACCCTGATACGACACGCCAACAGGGAATTGCAAATAGTTCTCGGAGAGCCTCGGATGCGGTCAATTTCAGCGGTCTTTCCTCGCCTCCGTCCGTTCTGTCAGAGAGCCCGCCGGGACCCCATCCTCCTCCATCGACGCCCGCTGAATCTAATCTGTCAGCTGGTCCTTCGGGCTCTTCGACACCTAGTCGTAGATTGTCGACCGCATCAGCTCTACCCCACCTTCATGAGGGCCAGTCGTACCGATCTACGGTTGAACCTGAAGAGAGCGTTCCCCTTCATAGGACTCGCCAGAGGCGTCGGAGTGATTCTGAATACGCTCGTCACCGGGATCTTGGGTCTGGTGCGGTTCGGCGAAATGGTGTCGTTGAGCCCGACAACTCAGGCCCGGCTACTGGTCGGAGTTGGTTGATATATGTCGTTGGAACGAACCTCTCAGAGAATCACCCGGCGTTTGCAACTCCCAGCCTTTTCACAGATGTACGAATGATACGCCCCCTAATCGAGTGTTTCATCTACGTGACGTAAAGCTAACATATTGTTTAGAATCCAACTTACGAAGATATGATTTTACTCTCGTCGCTGTTGGGCCCAGCCAAGCCGCCTGTTGCTACTCAGTCGGATGTCAGCTCTGCTGGAGGGCTATTCCGTCTAGTGGAATATGCTGGCTCTCTTGTTGCGGAATCGTTGGATAGTGCTGGCACTATTCAGATTCCTGAGGGGGAGCGTTGCTTAATATGCCTCAGCGACTACGAAGCGGCCGAAGAACTCAGGCAACTGAGCAAGTGCAAGCATCTTTACCACAAGGAATGCATAGACCAGGTATGTTTCGGCTCTGCCATGCTTCTGAAGAATCTGTCAATTGACATTTGATACCGATAGTGGTTAACCACCGGGCGAAACTCCTGTCCACTCTGTCGGGGCCAGGGCGTGTCTGAATCATCATCTAATACTGGACCAGCCCAGGAAGCTGCTGCCTGATCAAGTACCAGCTGCACAGTCTTAATCAAACCCTTATTTGCAGAGATTTACTTTTGTGTGTCTGAATGCGCATTGCCTTCTTCCCAGAAAAGCAGCCGCATGAAGAACGTCCTTTGTCTAGCTATTTTCTTTGGATATTTATTTCGATATTATCTATTTCGCGTACAACAATGCTGGCTACTCATTGTCAGTTTCAGACAGAACCATTATTATTGCGGGAACCCTTGAATGAAAGCTCTGTCCCAGTCGCATCACAGTACGGATGACTACCTGCAAATGAGCCATCTACGCTCGGTCCCTTTCTGGCTCCCAGGCTGTTGATATTGCATTGCGAAGTCAATTTTGTCTTCTTACGAGAACAGCTTTTTTTCATTCCTGCCCCCTTTTTTGACTTTGAATTATTCTTTCATGTCTGAGTAGCATCTTGAGTTTCGTTTGTCTTTTACGTTGGCGGTCTTACACTATGGGATGGCATTGCATATGGGAAATCATCAAGCAGGGGTCTTGCCGTATTTTCTAGTTAATTCTCTTGTGTCTTGTGTCTTGTTACCTTGTCTCTTAACTTCTCGGGGACAGCCTAGAAGATTCCGGTCTTGTTCTGCTAGCAGTTGAATGTCTGTTGTTTGGGCTGATGAGCCGAAGATACACTGTTAACTGGTAGCAGCAAGGTAAATTTCCCATTAGCAGGATTTCCTGCTCGAGAATAGGGAGCAGCGACTTTGATAGTATGCAGGATAGTTAACTAGTTAACCAAGTTTACGACTGGTGACGATGACTCATCATACCACCGGTCTCAATCGCGACGCGACAGCAGGCGTAGAGAGGAAAGGAAGCAGTAAGAAGAATGTATCTGGATCATCGATCGACTGTTGATATTCTACTAACCCGCATTGCACCCTGTCTAATCTGCAGAGTCTCTATCGTTCAATTGCTAGCATCCGATCCATTCTCCAAGCGGCGGGGCAACTGAAATTTCGGCTTCATCCCCGCAACAGAGCGTGCCTTTCTTTCCATTGATCTTTCGTTTTGTGACAAACAAAAATCCAGTCTCCCAACGATCCGATAAATTAAGATATACACAATGACACAACCAATTCGCCTCACAGTCCTAATATCCGGCAATGGTACCAACCTCCAGGCAGTAATCGACAAAATCTCCTCCGGCGAACTCCCCGCAACAATAGTACGAGTCATCTCCAACCGCAAAGATGCCTTTGGACTCCAAAGAGCTACACGCGCAAATATCCCTACGGCCTACCACAATCTGGTGAAATACAAGAAACAGCACCCCGCGACGCCAGAGGGCGTCCAGGCCGCCCGCGAGGAGTACGATGGGGAACTCTCTAGGCTGGTCCTGGAGGATTCGCCGGATTTAGTTGTCTGCCTAGGATTTATGCATGTGCTTTCTCCTAGATTTCTAGAGCCATTAGAGAGTGGGAAAGTGAGGATCATCAACTTACATCCGGCATTGCCGGGGGCTTTCAATGGAGTCGTAGGTGTTTCTTTTCCGATTCCTCCCCCTAGCAGTGGATGCCCTTGTCTAGGAGTAATATTGCTAATATGGTTTCCGCACATATTAGAACGCCATAGAACGAGCACATGCCGCGTGGCAAGAAGGCAAAATCGATAAGACGGGCGTCATGATCCATAACGTAATTTCGGAAGTCGACATGGGTAGTCCTATTCTTGTTCGGGAGATTCCATTTGTCAAAGGTGTTGATGAGAATCTTGAAGCTTTTGAAAACAAGGTCCATGAGGTTGAGTGGGGGGCTGTCCTTGAAGGGCTGCAAATTGCCATAAAGGAAGTTCAAGAGGAGAAACAGCGAGGCGGGAGTTCATGAATTCATGGTTATTGCATCGATAGCTTTATACCAAATTGATATCGGGGCCACTCTGGGCGAAAGAAAAGTGTGTTCTCGACTGGGCGTCTATGGATTACAGGCCCTTTATCATTGTTAAACAGACATCTGGTTCGGTCTTGGAGTTTATCTTTGCCCTGTCCGTTACAGGGGTATGTTCGTTCTGTATGGTCCTATGGGCGAGGGCGGAGGTAGCTTGACCCGGTCCCAATGGCTCTGTGAAGAAGCCACCCGGAAGAAATATTACCTGGAGGTTTTGAACGGGATTAGGAGATGCAGCACGGTGAAAGGAGAAGGCTCTTGCACCGCCTACGTACTGGCGCTTTGTTCTAGACCTGACACGAGGGCTTAAGATAACTTGAATGCAGTCAGCGATAACTAGGCTTGGGGAGCTTATTCAGTATAGCCTGACTAGACGGCTAAACAGGCCGTACCTACCTAGGTAGGTATAAGTGATCGGCCGCATCGGTGATCGATGGATCGAGACCGTGTATATCATGCATATAATTAATTTATACAGATGTACTCTGTACTTATTATTAAATTAATTCAATATCACCACAACACGTGACAATGTCACATGATTTGCTTCAGCGGCGGCCAGCGACTCCTGCCTTCCCAGCGATTTTCAGCGTCCAGTAGCCACACGTCCCACCAGGCAATTCGACCCTGGCCTGCCTGCACGATTCCATGTGCATCATCGCAGCCAGATCAGACGCTGATTCGAAGTAGCGGGTGGACCCTGACTATCGGCCCTATATACTCGATCCGGCTAGCTGCGCTGAATCAGCGAATGCTGTCGAGACTCGAACTGGAAGCTCAGCTCCATCCCCCGCGCTCGGCGGTCTCTCTTCCTTGCACGTTCGGAGTAGACAGGTCAATTTGTCGTCTATCCCTTTTTCTTGCGACTTCTTTGGCTGAATGAACCTCTAGCCTAGTCCTCTCCCCCGTGATGCTCCTTAGATGCCGCCCTGTCTGGGTCCGACATGGCGCGCTCCAACCCCTCGCCACAAGCCGCCATGGGCGATTACCTACGTGATAACTCTTCCCCATTGCAAACAATTTCTCAGCCCGGATCAACTCAACTCGCTGCCAGTTCTTTTCTCTCGGGTAAATACCCAGATCATGTCGCACTGTGGCATAGCACCGCGCTGGTTCGCGTCCCGCAGCCTGTACTTGCAGGTGGATCAAGTTCGAGCAGCCCGGCGCAACAGCAGCAGAAAACGGGCCAGAAGAAGCACCGTCGTACAAGAACCGGTTGCTACACCTGCCGATCTCGCAGAGTGAAGTGCGACGAGACTCTACCCATCTGTGATAGATGCAGAAAGGGGAATCGCAGTTGTGTCTACCCTGCGCCAGGGGTAGCTCCTTCAAAAACTAGTAGCTCGCGTTCGAGCGCCAGGGCGAAAGCAAATCCTTCTGTGTCATCTCCAGGGAGTGACAGGTCCGACCAAGGCGGGATAGAAGGCGCTGATGAAACGAAAACTCTCAGCGCTATACAAGAGGATAATGCCGGGGCCACAATATCTAAATCGCGTTCGCACGAAACACAACACTCTCACTCTACAGCAGGGAACAAAAAGAAACCAACACCGGAGGCCGTCGTGCCTCGTTCAGAAAATAGTGCATCTCCATCGACAACTGAATCATCCATACTTGATTCACTGAGCTCGCGGTCGACCAGCGTTGGGCTCTCTGCGCGCGAGCCTTATGTCTTGCCCAGTACTATCCAGTGTTTGCCAGAGGATGTGCGATTCTACCTCAACTATCATCAGCAATTCTTGACTCATCATCATTATTTTCTAAGGACAGGCGGTGATCGATTTATTCACCAGGAAATGGTCGAGTATGCCTTGCAGTACGATCCTCTTCTCTACGCACTAGCGGGTTTCGCTGCATATCATCATTCTTTGCAGAACCCGGGTGGGAAAATTTATACATTCCTTAAACTCTACCACAAGGCTTTGATGCTGTTGCGCAAATCCCTTGGCTCGGGAGAGGAGCATGGTGAAGCAACGCTGATAACAGTCCTTGTCCTCACCTCATTCGAGGTATAGCCCAAAATCCCCCATCCCCCCCCAACCCACCAAATCTTTAAACCATCATGTTTAGGCTGGTTGACATTCTTATCTTTTGTGGCTTTTTAGGAATATATTGGCGACTGGATGAGCCTTATAGATCACCATCAGGCCGCCCACGCCTTGATCTGTGAGCTATCAACTCCCGAATCTATAAACACCAACGAAACGTACAGGCAGATTTTTTCGTGGTATGCTCGATTTGATGTTGCAGCAGGCATCCTTGCTGGAAGCGAGACCATCCTCTCCCGCGAATGGTATATCAGCAGAGAGGAATATGATGCTGAGCAGGCGCTCAGATACCCGAATGATATAGACAAACAGATCACTTACTCCGCCTCGATTATCCGACGGATTGGCCTGGACATGGCATCGCTGTATGCTAAGCTGTCTCGTGGTATGATCTCGATGGAGGAGTTCATGGTACAGAATGACCAGCTTTCCCAAAATCTGGAATATATAAAGAATATCCTGAAGCAATTTGACGACTCTGAATATACAGTCACTTCTTACCCCCACAAAGTGGCCTTGACGTGCGATGACATTGTCGATCCATATTTACCTGGCGGTCTCTACCAAGGCCCCTTGTGGAGCCTTAACTTCGCATGGATTGACCTTCTTTCTGTCACCCTAATGTTCTACTATCAGTCCTATATGACCTTGCAGCAACCGCCGCCATCAGAGCTTGAAAGTCTGGCCTTGGAGCAGTGTCGGTTGATTGAAACAATTGACCGTTGGCCCGACAAGCCCAATGGATATTTAATCGGTTTCAAGAATAGTATCTCCCTCGCCAGTATGTTTCTTCCCAATGATGAGAAACATCGTATGTGGTGCAGGAGAAAATTTGCCAAAATGGAACGAAACGGGTCAGTTTCATCAACTCCCCTTACACGAGGCTGACTTCGCGCTGCATAGACAAGCCAGTGTCTAGAACCATTTGAAGAAAACACAAATATTTGCCATAGACTAACGACAGATGCCTGTTTCTTTCATATAGATACATCTTCTCTCCCAAATTCCGAAGCGTCCTAGCAACAATGTGGCAAGTTCCTGAGATGAACTACTGGTGGCTTCCCGACGATGAAGGCTACCCCAACATTGTGCGTGAGATTCGTGCCATGACAGATGAACGGATGAGTAAACCGCGAGACAATTTCAGGGAGGACGTCCGAAACATGAAAGCCGTCTTTGGGAAATTGGATTTGGATGACCCTGGAGAGCCGTCGGAATCTGCATAGAGCTCAATGCATATACGTGAGCTTATCTTAGATCATTCACCTAACCCGTTGGAATCCCAGCTAAATCGTTCACTTCCTTGACTTTGGAGATCGGCCATTGTTTATTTACTACCTTCTACCTGAATCTGGTGTCTATTACCATAATGACATCCAGCATTTGGTTTCTTGAAGGATCTGCATTTTGGAAGCGTCTGCAATCTGTCGCTGTTTTACTCCATGCATCCGTTCCCCTCTCTTTACCTGGATCCCGGAATTTTCAGGACCAGTTGACTGCTGAGGACCCATTCTCTCCCTATCAATATTCTTTCCGGGCTTGCAACAGCCTTCCCTGCGGTGTTAACTTCTCACCTGTCATTGTTATATGAGGCTACAGGCAACCGATCCTGTGACGATTTTGCCACTTGGCTGAATGTCGGTTCGATAGACCACTGTTTCGGATTGAGTTCACGAAGTATTATATTTTCACCATATCCACAATGTACACCTCTCTCCCGCGTATATAGAATTATACATGATAGCGCTAATGTATATGTCATCATACAGCCTTGATTTCCTATATCCTTAACTAGACTCATATGGCGGGCCCCGACTACCACCAGGAAGGTATTCTGGTCCCAGCTCACCCTCAAACAGGAAGCCCTCCTTCCAACTTCCCCCCCTTCCAAGCCCTATAAAAATGACTCTCATATCCCTCCCCCGCTAATGCACCGTCGGCCCGCACTACCTAGAGAGAGAAATTGGCGCACAAGACGGAGACGACGTTCATCGGGGTTCCAGGATAGATGGGGGTTGTCCCAGTCCTCCCTTTTTTGGATATTATATTTGTCACTCCCAGTAAATCCAAAGAAAATGGACATAAAAATAAATACAAACCAATAAATATACATCCGGGGGAGAAGCATCTCCATGCTAGCACGGGCGGCTCATCTAGAATTTCCAGCGACATATTCTTTTGTAGGATATTATTGGATGGAGAAAAGGCTATAATTGTGCCAAGCGTCACTGGTATTACCCCTGATCGTTTATAGTAGAGGCCAATAGGCTCAAATCGACTGAATGGAGGCGGGTATAGGGATACTGGGACAGTTGGTTTGACTGATTGGAGGTATCATGGACCTAGGTAACTACGAATAAGATGATGCTATTCGTGCGGTATAGACCCTATTTGACTAGAATTCTAAGTGTAGAGAGTGCAGAATGAATTCAAGGAGAATTCCTTAACATTAACCCTTTTTGGATAGCTTTTCAAATACTCGAAACCGTCCTACCGAGAATTCATTGAGTTACTTCTCATAATAACTTGAAGCCCATACCGGAAATCGAGCATGTAGCCTTAATTGTAGGAATCGACTTAAACTAGCATGATGGTAGAGAAGAGCCAACATGAAAGATTGTGTATTGATCCTATTGGAGCTTCCTCAAAAGAAAAGAAAACGTCTGTTGAAAAAGAGGAAGGTAGAATGGTTTTCTTTGCTACCGAATCGTTATTGTCCCTCTCGGATATTTGAAATCTCCATTTCAGCGTGTTTTCAGAATTGGAGAGAATAGCTGGTGAGATGATGCTGGATTGAAGAGCTGTTCTCTTCGGCACTTCGTTTTCTCCTTTTCGAAAAGTTAGGGGTACGAAGGACTTGGAATCGAGGCAAGCGATTAGCTCCCACCATTCTCTGAGGCCATGCCATAGATGCTGCTGATTTCTTACTTTGAAGATAATTGTTGCCTCTCAGTCAGAAGAGTCCAGTGGCATCACCAAGATAAGTGGTCCTCCTTGTTACGATGTGAGGCGCCGGCCAAAGAAGAAGACTAGGTTGTTGTAATGCAGGTTGGAGATTGATGGAGAGGGAATCTAGGGGGCAACAGCTAGTTAACTAGTTAGTTAGGGTTATGTATGATATTATGTTGGATCACGTGGGATTCTGCCGCATAGGTCCGCCCTCGCTGACCCTTTTCACCACGTAGGCCTATCTAGCTAGTTACCAACCAAGGATACACCTCCATTATATAAGGCTTAGTTATAGCTTTAGCTTACCTACAGAGTACTACAGTAACTGATGCACCCTTTGACAGTCTTTGATTGTCTTCCAAACCCTAAATGCCAAGACGCTAAACTACTTTTGTAATTATTTCAAAAACACCCGAGTTCTGTAGGACATCATCTAAAGCAAGTGTTCGAGCTTCAAGGAATCCAGCTATGCATTCAATACAGTCGTGTATGGATGATCCGACTCTTCCCCTCCCTTTCGTGAGATCCTTCAAATATCATACTCCACAAAAGGGCCAATGTATTACCAAGCAACCGGGAGTCAATCACAGTGGGCTGACAAGAGGGCTGCTCGGCCTTTCTTGGATGGAATCTCGCTAGCAGGAACAATAGTCTCCAAACCCCCAGCTAACTCACCTCCTCCCTCATTGCCTTCACAATCCTGCCCCCAAGGTAAAGAATCCACATCCACTTCCCAGCCAAGTAGGCATCTCAGCACCACTCCGGCTCCAGCTTTACTCATAACGATGTTCATCTCCTTGCATCTCTCGTCGCAGACACACTCCACGCATCCCTGCGGGACAACACACTCGCATCCTTCAATTCTCGAGACAGCACGGCAGAGAAGCATATCGACAAATTCAAACGCCTTCGCCGCTATCCCAGAACCGCAGGAACCGCCCTTAGCATCGTAGAAAGTCAAACGTGCCGGACGTCGCCGATGGGGCGGTTGGAGTATCTTCTTTAGAGAGTTATTGTCAATTTCGGGACCACGCATGTAGACATTATTATTGTTATGACTATTTGCAAGTCTAAGTTCGCGACCTAGTTCCTTTTTGGCCACTTTGCATTCTGTTCGCACGTCCCCCGGCGTGGAAATGACGAAAGAAGGGAGTAGTGAGAGAACAGCATGTTCGGCGGCGTGGATGGCGGCGGCAATATTGAGGTGTCTGGACCGTAGAATCTCTAGAGCCTTGGAAGGGACGTCCAGCCACATGCCCTTAGTTAGGATGTCGATTGGTGGGTTATCGACTGCGACTGCGTCGAGGATGCGGCCGCGTTTGTCGACTTTGAAGAAGCCATAGACGGCGGAGTGGATCTGGATAGAGCCGTAGAAGGCTCGGCAGAGAGAAGTGGAGTTGATCAGGCGCTGGGATTCTGTTTCGATTGGGTCGATGTCCGTGAAGTCGCGCTGCATTGTACTCCAGTCGACGTTGACTCGGACAATGTGGGCGAGACGTCGGTCTGGGTTCAATTCAGTGACCAGATACGGTTGGCCTTGGTGCATGTAGATCCCGCCTTCGTAGACGCTGAATAGAGCCCGCGAGGCCTCGATTTCCTCCAGGACCAGGTTGCGGTCGTTCGTAGTGTCGATGATAGCGAAATGTTGGTCCTCCGTGTCTCGGATGGTAACGCAGCGGGAGGGATGCGGTCGGAATCTTTCATGGCAGTGGTAAAAGCCAAGGTCATCTTTGAAAAGCCTCATTGGTGCGATCTCGGAGAGTTTCTCTCCAAAGTAGACAGTGTCTTCTTCTGGACGGATAGGCATTTCAAAGGCAGCGCATTGTATATGGCCCTCGAGGATAAGCTCGTTCGACAGATCCACCTGCACCCCGCAATTCGGTCTAGTAAAGAGTTCATCTGGATTCTTCATGTAATATTGGTCCGTGGGAAATCCACTCCCGACAAGGACGGAGAGGGAATCCTTGTTTCTGCGTCCGGCTCGACCGCTCTGTTGACGCAGATTAGAAATGGAATACGGGAAGCCCATCGTGACGACAGCATCAAGGGAGCCAATATCGACACCCAGCTCCAGGGCATTAGTTGCGACGATCCCCAACAGTTTCCCTTCGAACATCTCCTTCTCGATCTTTCGTCGGTCCTGGGGACTATACCCCCCACGGTACCCCATGACCAGCTTGGCAGTTCCCGGTCTTTCCAGGACTTGGAACTCGTTGCGCACAGCTTGCAGAAGAGCCTCGCATAGTTTCCGGATCCTGGCAAATGCAATGACTCTGGCACCTCGTAGAACCAACTGACAGAATATCCGCGCCGTCTCCGCGACGGTGTCTCCCCGGCCTGAGGACGGGTCGTTAGGGTCCTTGAACGGAGTATTCCAACAGATGAACTCCTTGTGACCAGAGGGCGATCCGTCAAAATCCACCAGTTTAACATCATCAACACCGAAAATGGTTTTCATGTGTTCCTCCGGATTGGCAATAGTAGCAGAACAAGAGATGAACTTAACGTGTCTGTTCCCGACGGCGGCACATATTCGGCGAAGTCGCCGCATTATAAGAGCGACATGCGATCCAAATAGGCCGTTATAAACGTGTAATTCATCGACAACAACGAATTTTAGGTTCTTCAGAAAAGTATGCCAGGAGTTTTCATTTGGCAGGATGCTGATATGTAGCATGTCGGGGTTAGTGAATATGATCCTAGCCTCGTCGCGAATGACATTTCGATCTGCCATTGGTGTGTCGCCGTCAAAAGTCTCGACAATGATGTTCTGAAGTCTGTCATCCATGTACCGTAGAAGATCTTTCATACTGCGTCGTTGATCTTGTGCCAACGCCTTCGTTGGGAAGATATACATTCCTCTGCTGTCCGGGTCTCTTTCGAGTTCATGGAGTACGGGAATCTGGTAGATCAACGATTTCCCCGAGCTTGTGGAGGTAGAGACAATGACATTATGACCCTCGTACAGGTGGTTAATTGCTTCCGCCTGATGTGAATATAGTTGTGTGATATTTTTTGCGTTATAAAGAGCATTGACAAGATTCTGAGACAGCTGGAAGTTCAGATCTCCGTAAACAGCAGGCTGGGCGTCAAACGCTCGATGCCCGTTCGGTACGATCTGGCCGGAATACCACTCCATTGAGCGCATCTCACTCACTATGCCCGCCATTGATTTGCGCTCTTTGGGAATCTCCGCCGGTAGCATGGACGGATCGGCAGACTTGTTCATTCCAGTTCCAGAAAGTGAGGTCAGAAGAGCATCTCTCTCCCGTTTTAATGCTTCAACCGGATCCGACCTGTTGTCCTCGCACTTAATTAAGAAGGAGTCAATCGCATCAGCAAACTTAGAGTTTCTCTTCTCAATCAGCGCCAGCATCTGTCTGTGGCCAAAAACAGGCATCTTAAGATCTTCACCCCTCGTAGCCCTGCCCGAGGGCGCGGGTTTCCCAGGCTCAGCCTTGACACGGCCCTTCGTCTGTTTCTTCAAATCCGCATCAACAAACTCGAATAGCAATGTATCCATCCTCTTCTCACGCTCATAATTCTCAAAATCCTTTCCTAATGCAATATCCCTATCCGTAGGATCCCACATTTTCCGCCTATCAAGCCCATATTCCCTGATCTCTCTTTTCTCTTTATCACAAGTAGAGGTGGCAGTCATAACCTCCAGGCTCTCCTCATCGACATATTCGAATCTCACAGCCCAAGGAACAAGAATCTTAACCATCGCGACGTCCTCAACCGTGAGCTCTCGCCCCCCCAACTGCGCCTGCACAGCATTCTTGACATTGTTGAACGTCGTCGCGAAATGTTTCCGGGTACAGCAAAATGTGTAGACAAGGTTTAACGCGCGATGAACCTGAGAGAGCTGCTTAAATGTATCCGGCCAGGGAGCGGAAGGTGTGCGGCGTTTGGATCCTTTTGAGGAGTCCGAACGGGGTGTGCTTCTTCCTCTCTTCTTGGTACTGGTATTATTGCCACCACTGCCTATTGGCACTGATGCGGGGGTTTCAGAATCTGTCTCCTTGGCACGAGGATTTCTGTCAGTTGTATTTCCATTTGTCTTGTTCTCATGCCTGTCCGTATGTCCTGCCGCGGACGACGCGTTGCTCGGTTCCACAATGTCATTCTTGGTAACGCTGAAAGTGGGTTCTTCTTGGACGTCATCATCAGGGACCCTCTTTCTTTTCAGTACCTTCACCAGAGGAGGCACTTCTGATGCTGGGCCAGCCATATCGGGGCTCCATTGTTGTTAACCTTCTGGGAAGGAGATGCGGACCTCCCGAGTTGGGACGCGAAATCACGTGTTGAAAATCCAATATTACTATAAATGGAATAGTGCAAACAGCCCATGAATGAAGTATGAGATGCCGAGCACTCAGACATTATGCGTTGTTATCACTTATCTATTTCCTAGATAAAGAGAGATTTCCTATCTACAACGTGTACATGGGAGGTTGAATTGAGATGTAGTACCGAGAAAGCTTCCCTTTTTACAGAACTCAGGCAGATCACTCCTAGGTTGTCTCTCAACATTGTCCTAGTCCTACCGAAGTCACAATGCTGGATTTCGCACGGGGGAAGCGACTTATAGTTCTTCCTGCAGGCGACAAAGTGTGTGGTAAAGCTGCTTAGCGACTTCCTCATTTCCGGTCTACGCATCGAGTTAGTCTTGATGAGAACAGTCACAAGTAGAGGCGATCAAAAGGAGAGGCAACATACTCGTAGCAAGTAAGGAACAGAGCGGCCTTCTTCAACGCTGGCAAGATTGATCTGCTTATTCTTCGGCTCTTTGCCTTCGATGTCACCGGCAGCCATGCCCTTGAATACAGGTGAGTTCAACATCACCCGCAAGACACCATCAGCCCTCATAATCATACGGGCGGTCTTCTTGCCCTCAGCTGGTTCTTTAACGTTGATCTTAAATGTACCAATGCCGCGTTCTTTCCACTTTTTCTCAGTAAACTGGAAGAGCTTGCCTTTGCACGAGAAGTATGTTTTCTCGTTTTCCTCTCCCGTCTCGACTACAGAAGTGGATATCTGAATCAGCAGCTAGCCAACGAAGGAAATACTGAGAAATTTAACCCACTGTGCTGTTCTTGGAACCTCTCGTCAGGCACCTCTTTCTCGAATTCTTTGGGTTTCGATTCTTCCACCTCTTGCTCTTCCTCTTCATCATCTGAGGTGGCTCCCAGAGGCTTTGGCTTGGAGGTGCCGAGTATCTCAGGACCTCCAGGGGAAGCGAAACTGGTTAGGCCGCCAGTCAGGGTAGTCTTTGGGAAAGCATTGCTGAAACTCGAGAAACCGGATCCGAGAGTTCCAAACCCAGAGGTAGCCGCGGCAGCAAAAGGTGAGGGCCCGGATGCAGCCACAAAACCTGTAGAAGCTGGTTTCTCCGGCTGCGATGCAGAAGCGGACTTGAAAACCGACGTTGTTGAACTTCCAAGAGAACCGAAGGGCGACTGCTCAGAACTGGCAAACGCGGCCAAGCTTGATGAGGCAAAGGCCGAGGCAGATGTGCTAGGAGCTTTCTTGGGGGACTCTCCTTCCTTGGAAGTGGACGGTGTGGAGGAAGCTAAAGATCCGAATGGGGAAACAGTAGAGGTGTTCGAGAAAGCGCTCTTGATCGGACCCTACGAGAAAAGGTCAACATGGGACGTTCTCGCCTACACACGTTTTAGACTAACCTTTGAATCTGAATCTCTCTCTTGGGAATCATCCCGGTGCCGTTTCACATCGCGCTCCCCTTTGTCCCCAAGACTTTCAGCAGACGATTTCTCTTCCGTGGATTTGGCGGCCGCTTTCCCCTGGAATTCATCCTTGTCGAGCTGATCCCTGCTCCTTTTCTTCTTGGGGCTCATAATTTTCCTCGAGGCCGTATCACCGGACAGTTGCTCGGGTGGCGTATTAGGATCTTCCCGCTTTTCGATCTCGATAGGCGAAGTCGAACCACCATGTTCAGGGTTTGAGTCCCGTGATCTTTTCCTCCTAGGACTCGAGACGTCTCTCCCTTCAGAATTCTGGACCTTCTCTTCCTCAGGTTGAATCTCATCAAATGATCGCTTCCTACCTCGGCTCCTAGTTCTACTGTCGGCTCCTTCGCGCTCCTTGTTGGCGGAAGGATCAATGGAATGATCTTCAGCAAAGCTAGGAGGCGCAGATGTAATTGATGTCTCCTTTAACTTCTTTCGAACGGGGCGTTCGCCGCTATCGTTATCGGAAGGGTTGATTTCTTCGGGAGTCTCTGCTACAAGTCTGTGGGTTAGAGATATATGGGAAACTTAGACCAAAGGACAATATAGAAAATGGATAATTTGCATCTTTTTCGTGTCTAGACACGAACAAGGGCAAAGAATATTTGTTGCGGCGCGTGACAAGGAGAACCAGGGTAAACAAGGAGACTCGAGCTCCTACCTTTCGGGTCCATTATTGACTTAGATCCTTCCTTATATTTTATTTGTAACCTTAGTGGAACTGTAACTATCGAGTAATGTCTGAGTCGAGGTTAATGGGCTTAAGCTTGAGCTACAGACGGCTGGTGACAATAGGGTGGGCTGGGCAGGAACCTGTCGAAATCAAAGTGTCAGTAAATTCATCTCACTTGTGCAGTAGACGCGACTAGAATGATAGAAACAAGGGATTTGCCTCAAATCTCTTGGGGCGTGTCAGCAAAGTCGACCAACGTCTACTTACTCCGTACAAGTGAGGGGAGGGGTCTCGAACGACGTGAATGTGAGCAATGATAAGGGACGAAACAAGGTTATGAAATCCAATTACCAGGATGAAGGCTTGAAAAGGAACGTAGTGATCTTGTAGATAGTAGATAGTAAGTGTCTACCGTATCTCCACAAGGCGATACAGATGATACCAGACGGGGTATGGAGGAGGATGGAAGGGCGGCGTTTTGTTGTTCGGGGAGTCTGTCGCCCGGCCACCGGCGAGCTCCACCCCACTGCAGCCGAGCCTGCAGGTATCCAACAGATCCGGAGAGCTGCTCTACGCCTTCGTTTACTCTAGGACGCATTTCCATTGGATATCTTGTTATTCCGATCTTATTCTTGGGGAAGGCTAATGCAAGGGAATAATGAATAACGGCAAAATAGAATATAAACCATTGTATAAATTCTCATCCTCCAGGAAAATCATATCAAGAAGAAAAGGACAATAATGCCTTCATCACCTGTTCCTCCCTTCAACTAATGAAACACAGACACCCGATCGCAACGTAAAAGACCAATAGAGGGTACACTGCGATACCAACCCGGTTTTTTATGACTCCTGAACCACCTAGAATGCTGATTCCTGCGGCCAGTGACCAGGCAATGAGCACCAAATATACCGGTATGCGAGGGATAGTGGGGAGGCCAAGAGCACTGAGCAGAGATGCAATGACCAACGGGAAAAGGGTGTAGCCGATAATGCAGACAGATTGAAAGAAGGAACTAAAGCACGAAAAGACATTGTTGTCAGTAAACCATTCGGTCAGGTAGGTTTCGCGAGACCGTCAATAAACGGGAGGGACACAACGTACATATTTCCACCTAGTAATTTAATCTGCAACGTGACAACAGCTTCTCCAATCCAAACAATGGAGAAAACACCTGAGAAGACAAGAGACGATTGATCCTTCTTAGCACGCATGGACAGAAACATGCTCAGAAGCAAGCAAAAAATTAGCGGACCCCTGAGGAACGAAAAAGAAATACAAGTCAGCACATCACAGCAATCGCGTACACAGAAGACAAATAAGCGAGCGATCCTAACCATAGATCCCAATCGCGTAATCCCTCGCTCATCCCACCCTGGAGGACAACATCGGCGTCGGGCCAACGGCCCACGAGGTTCCTAAGACCGCCGCTGCGTCCGAATCCAGGAGCCTCACCTCGTTCAGCAGCGCCGATCCCACCTCCACTACGCTGTAATAACCCCCCAAGGAGGTACTTAGGCCACAGGACCTGTCGCATCTTCTCCCATACTGCGAGAAGGTCGCGCGAGAGCGTCTGCCAGACACTCTCATCAATGGTATTCTGAGGAGCTCGACGGTCCTCTCCGGGAATTGAAGATGTCAGATAATTAGAAGAGAAATTATTCCCCCTAATGGATGCGCTCGGTTGGATATTGCCTCTCAAGGGGGCTGTATCGGAGGGTTCGTGTAACGGGTCTTCGGCCGCGATAGCTTGAGTTCGCGTTAGTACAATAGACTGACAATGCGAAGAAGCCTTGGGGGAGCGCTGGAAGCGGACAGACCATCATCTGCCTCAATCAAATCATCCCCCAGAATCGAGTCTTCGTCCCGGAAGTCTTCGCGGGAAGGGCCCGCTGCACTAGCCATCGCGAATATACTTTCTGTAGAGTATTAGGATAGGTTCAGGCTCGCATGGGCATTGCCTTCTTCGTGGACGAGTCGCGTTGAGAGATGTCGGGTTCGACAATGGCTACCATGCAGAGGGGAACAGAGTATGCTTAGTTTTGATGAATGATAAAGAACCGGTGCTGCAAGTTGCAATCGTCACCAAGCTTGCTTCAATTGCTGTTGACTGCGGAAGGCTGGAGTGGCTTTAGTTCGTAACCGGATAACATCCCTTGTCGTCCCGCTGAGTCAGCATTTCACGAAGTTCAACATAACTTAAATTAGTCGGTAAGAGCGAGCCATTTCAACCACCTACCATACCAGTAAAAACACATACAAACCTGAATAATTTGAGAAGGAGGGGATAGTCTTACTTGCTACCTGCAATATCAGATATCAGGAATAACAAGATAGGCCCTATTCGTGAAGCTGCACGTGTTTTTAATGTCTCTCATACCATCCTACGCCGCCGAGCAGCCTATATCACAGTGAAACATGCGCCAATGATCATAACTTGACTTGAAACGAAGAGGAACCTTTTTACAATGGATCTTCTCTCCATGGATCGATGTGGAGCAGCCTCCAAACCACCCCATATTGAGAAATGGCTAATATCTTATTTTCCATAGTGAGATTCAACTACTATTTCAACTGTTAGTGAGAAATGGTGTACAACTTTGTTAAATGATATGATGAGCTCAAAACAAGATATTCCCGACGATATAATCACCAGCGTGACAATGTGAAGACCTTAAGATTATTAGGAGTGGTTTGATATGGAAAAGGTCACGTGATATGGCGGCTTAGCTAATGGAGGTGTATCGTTGGTTGGTGACTAGCTAGATAGGCCTACGTGGTGAAAAGGGTCAGCGAGGGCGGACCTATGCGGCAGAATCCCACGTGATCCAACAGAGTCAGGCTACAGTCACGTGGACCCTCACAAAAGCGGCGCGGACAGAAGAGGAAGCTGGAAGGCCGTCGCACATATTTGCTACATATATGCTACCTAGGTAAACCGTTCCTTCCATTCTGAATAATGACAGAGCTGAAGTGCGCATAATTCATCTGCAGGTTGTATCATGAGATGGTATTTATAAGTATGTACAGCATACCCAGTGCCCCAATTGACCCAGGCTCAAGCCCAGCAAGCATTAGTCTACAGAGAAACGGTCATATCTATAAATACATTTTTTCCACAGAGGACAAGATATATACCAAACGCCAAATATGCAATGCATGACGCCAAGAGTCGTGTGGATCCAGTAAGAAAAGTCCTGAAACGTTGGGAAACGATGTGAGATGGATGATAGAGAGAGAATCAAGTGTAATTCGTAGAAGGCAGTATCCCTGGTGCTGGTCAAGCTTCTGCTTTCTTGCCTAAGCTTCTCCAGTACCGGATTCATCCTCCTTATTTGTCTGCCTAGTCAGCGTTTTTGCTCTGCAATGCAGGTGCTACCACGTATGACGATTTGAATTTGGAGGCAAAACTCTGGTCCGAGTACTTTTTCAATCGTTGGGACTCCTTCTGGAGCAGCTGGCAATCGGCCTCAGAGAGAAATGATTCGTTCTCTGGTTTCAAAATTGTGTCTATTAGCGCCCTTGTCCTAACCAGTACTTTCAGGGCCAGATAGCCAGGAACAGCATCCATGAAGGTTTTCTTTGCTTGTACGTTTCTAGACGAGGACACCTTGGACGGCTCTTGCACTATAGCGGCTTCGAGTTTAGCCACATGTGGGCGCAAATGAGAGACAGCAGTGGTCCTCAAACTTGACTGCAATTTCCGGCCAAGGACGTCGAGTTTGGTGGAATGGTATTCGTCTCCAGTATCAAATGCCAAGAGTGAATTGGGGCTGTCGGCCAGGATATCTACTATCTCCAGGTAAGTAAGTAATGCTCGAGTCTCGGGAAGAGGTAGATGTGAGTTCATGAGATCAAGAAGCTCATTGGCGTGTTTAAAGACGTTGATATTTTTGCGATCGCGACGACAGCAGCTGAGGGCAATATGGAATGTTTTCCTCTGTAGTTGCTCAGTAGGTATCATTTCATCACGGATTAGATCAACAGCCATGCGGCTGGAACGGCTGACACGTAGGAGTCGCAGATATTGGTGGAATGAATGTATATCAGGTTCGATATTGTATTCATGATCTTCGTGGGTAAGACGCTCCCAATAGGCCTTTCCAGTTCCGACGGCTTGAGTCATCGTTCGGCAAGCTTCCAATATCAGCGTAAGCTCCTTGTTGCCAGGCTCAAGGTATGAAGGCGTAGGTTGTTCATTTTTTCTCCTGTTCGCTGCCATCTTTGCTGGAACGACTGGGTCGAAGAGTCCCTCAAAAGTCTCTTGTTCCGGCTCCTTGGTCATACCTGTCTCTTTTGCAACTAATAAGTCATGCTCGTCAACAAATGGGACATCCTCAACTTCCCCTGCTCCCCTCTTGCGGCTCTTCTTTAACGTGGCCTTTGGGTTGTTTGCAAAGTCAGCTGGCTTATCCGCCAAGACTGGAATGCCATGCGTCTGATGGTACAAAGCAAAAACATTGTAGCAGTCGCGCTCGCTGGAACTATCTAAAAGAGCCTCGGCCATTGCGCCCACAAGAACGTTGTCTATGGACAATTGCCCTTTCTTCCACCGAAAGACAATATCAGTCCATACCCTTTTAGCCTCTAGTACACTTTGAGATTTACGTTCCAGAATTTTATCCACTTCCTGCTTTTGCATTTTCGCAACGTCTCTCTGCGAGGCTTCTCGGATAGAGTGCAAGATGACAGTGTACGATCGCCGATCTGGCGCGTCTGGTCCTTCTTCGGGTAATTCGCCAGCAACCTGCCATAACATATCCATGTCCCCGTGACGACGGCAAACATCAAGCATAGAGTTGCTGTGATAAATATTGGGGTGGGTATTTGATGCGAATGAGGATCTGTAGATAGCGTAGGCGGCCCTCACAGGGTGGAGTGCTGGATCTCGCGGAGCGCTAGCCAGACCTTTCAGCATAATAGTGTAGGTCCTGTCGTTCGGCTTCCTTCCTCTTTTTTTCATCTGCAACTCCATTAGCATGACAGATAAGAGTGGAGGTCTGGGCTCGAGGGCAGGCTACGGCCAGCCAGTATAGTGGCGAGAATGAAGATATTTGGACATACTAACATCGTTATAGAATTTAAAGGCAGCTAATGGTTCTCCCTTTTCCATTGAGAAGGTCATCAAATGGTTCCACGCCACTGTACACTCCATCCCTCGCTTCTGCGCCGTACGAACCAGTTCTGCCGCTAGGGCAATCTGTCCACTCCTTAACATTTTTGCGACACGGTCTGAGATATCTCGACGATTTTTCATCCATTTTAGTTCTATGTCGATAACTTTCCGAGAAACATCGAGATAGATTTTTGAAGATGTCCCTGCCTTTGCAACTTCAAGAAGTGATGGGGGCCCTGCATCCCGGGACCGGGAATCTGAATCGGGAACTTTATTTCCTTGACTGGATGGGGAATTGGTAGCACTATCCTCTCCTGTCTTTGCCTTCACAGTCTGCAAGTCTGGCGTAGGCTCGTCTTGTCCTAGATCGGGCGTGGAGTTGAGAGCAGTCTCATTGCCAGCCGGTCTCGCAGCAGAATTACTTGTCAAGTATACTCTTTCGCCTACTGCAAACGTACAGCCTCCAGCAAGCACACGGTCTCGGATTGTAAAGGGTAGGGCCGGGGGCACTCTGACCACCCTTCCTCGAATCGCTCGCGCCCACATCGTAACGGGGCCTCCAAACCTGTGAAAATTTGCGACTCGGGACTTAAAGATGGTCGGCTTCACGGGGAACAACTAATGCAAAGCGGCGTAGGTATCACTGGGAATCTTAGGGAAATGGCCCGCAGGTACTTGTTCATGGATTGACAACCTGCGATATGGTTCTCGGTCTGAAAAGTTCCAGGACATCTAACGAATGGACACACGTTCTGGACTTTGCAAACAGGATCAAATCAAATATTGGAGAACTGAAGATAATAGAAATAATTAAAAGAACAATGAAAAAAATTATAATAATGCCAATAATGAAACAAGGTAATGGAATTCAAAAAAAATAATGGATAGCTCGGGAAAGATTAAGCTTCCCTGGACAGAAAAGTTAATCCGAGACGGAGTAACTAGCTGCTCCTGGAAAGTTATTCCGCTGTCCACCTACTGCTCTGTAGTTACGGACTCGCTGCTTACGGAACTCTCCGGACTGTCAGCAAGAAATGGACTCGGATATATATGTGCGTGTCAGAAATGCGAATCTCTATTTAAGAATTTTCACAGTGTTGAATGAACGCCAATATCATCAATACCGCTATATTACATAGGTGTTGGCCCTACCCCGTAGCCCAACAGCACCATGTTCTCACACATCATTAACCCATTTATTGCCAATGCTCCTATGTTTGGCACTGCAAAGGCAGATCTAGCAGCAGCAGTTACGAAAGCTGGTGGATTTGGTATGTTGTTATATGGCTGCTGTACTTTGTAAGACTTATTGCAGGATAGTCAACTTACGATCAGCAGGATTCATCGGAGGTGGCTTTGACTTCACGAACTCTAGCGCGCAGCTTGTCTCCCTCGAGAAGGAGTTGTTCAAGGCAAGAAAACTCCTTGACCTGAAACCCTTGCCGGATGATGCAGTCCAGAGGCAGGACAATAGCGTGGAAAGCCTCCCAGTTGGTGTAGGATTTCTCACCTTCCATAGCGACGACGCTAGTGCACTTATCTCTTTGATATGGCGACATCGTCCACTTGGCATCTGGCTATTTGCGCAGGCAGAGAATCAACACAGGAAGTTGATTCCTTCTTTGAAATCGGCTGGAATATCCTGGGGCATGAAGATTTTCGTCCAGATAGGTTCCGTGAAAAGCGCTATTGAGGCTGTCGAAGATGGTGCCGACGTTATTGTTGTCCAAGGCTCCGACGCGGGTGGACATCAGTTTGCAAGCAATGCTAGTATAATCACCTCGCTCCCGGAGATATCTGACGCTATCAAGAGGTTGGGACGAGATGTCTCCATTCTCGCTGCCGGTGGTATAATGGACGGTCGCGGGATCGCTGCTGCACTGGCACTAGGTATGTCTTTTTTCCCCCTGTATTTATTATTGATCGCACATGCTTTTTCTGCGTATTGAAAATGATGATTCAAATATGGGCACTCAGGAGCGTCTGGTGTTGTAATGGGCACACGGGTATGCTGATTCTGGGTTCGAGCCCCAGAACATTTTATAGAGGTGTTAACACTAACACACTGCGCAGTTTGCTGCAACCATCGAGTCTTCATCATCGGAAGTGGCCAAGTCGGTGATGGTTTCTACCAGAGATGGAGCCGTGTCTACAGCCAAGTATACCCCACCATTCTTTTCTATTTAGACCATCAAGAACTGATCGAGTCCAAAGATCCACTCTACATGACGCGCTTCAGGGCCGGCCTGATTTCTGGCCTATGGCTTATGATGGACGGGCCGTGATTAGCGGCCTATACAGAGACGTCTCAACGGGAGCGCAGTCGATTGAACAGGCTGCAGACACACAGAAAAGAGCAGCAGCAGCTGGAGACGGCTCGAATATGGTTGTCTGGGCGTAAGTCTCGAATTTTGTTTCCCTCTTATTCTCACAATGAAATATAGGTTTCCTCATCGATGAGCATGAGCTAAGAAAGGATAGGGGAGCGGGAATCGGTCTGATCGAGAGTATTCTAAGTGCAAGGGAGGTAGTAGAGAAGTCACGGATGGAGGCAAATGAGACAATGAAGTCTTTATCAAACCAAGTTGGACCGTGATATGAGCAGAGTGCCAACATCTGGTGTGGGTTGGTGAATGCCTTTTCATATGCCATCAGATCATGCCATTTGATCAATGCTTAGCATTTCTTGCTCCTATGAGCATATGTACCCTCGAATGGGATCATTATTTTTACCCCATTAATGGTTTCATCCATATTAATAAAATAATGATTGGAATGAAACAAGATGAGAGTAGGACATGCCATGATCACATGTATGAGTCAGCAATTCTCACTGTCTGACGTAGTAACGGGGCATTCTTACGCCTGTCTCAAAACAGCATTATGCCAGTAGAAAAAAGACAACAGGGAGTGCGGCACTGTGGCTCTTCTCAAAAGCCGGCATGTGAAGCGTCTCTACTGGCGTTAAGCTGTCTTCTGGAGTAATGCAGCATATCGGAAATTGACGACGGCAGCGGCCGGTAGCCAGCAGCGCTCCGAGCACCCTCGAACATGCCGAGGTTCCTCAGCTTGCCGAGCTGCTCTGTGACCCCAGGCTTTCCCCAGTCGCTTCTTTAAATCATACTCCCCCTCCACCCCGGCTGCTCCTCCTCAGACTTGCCTCCTCTTGGATTCGATTCTTCTCTTCATAATCTCCTGTCCCTATCCCCCACCCCTTTTGCTGTTTCCGTGAGCTTCCATTATTTAGGGGACATATCATCCGCACACCCTCCATTCCGCTTCTTGTACTCTACACTCTCTCACCAAGCAATCTCCCTCCCCCTCTCCCGACATATAATCTCGTTGCTGAATCAAAATGTCCGAGCTGCGCTTTGACAATCAGACAGTTGTCGTCACTGGTGCTGGTGGTGGATTGGGAAAAGCCTATGCCCTTTTCTTTGCCTCGCGGGGAGCAAATGTCGTTGTAAACGACCTGGGTAGCTCCCACAATGGCCAGGGCAACTCATCAAAGGTATGACGGGCCCCATCTCATTTTGAAATAGACCGAGTCAACTTGACTAACATACTGTAACTTTCAGGCCGCAGATGTCGTCGTATCCGAAATCAAAGCCGCTGGAGGCAAGGCGGTTGCGAATTACGACAGTGTTGAGAAGGGCGACGCTATCATCGATACCGCTATCAAGAATTTTGGTCGAATTGATATTCTCATTAACAATGCCGGTATCCTTCGGGATATCAGCTTCAAGAACATGAAGGACCAAGATTGGGATTTAATCAACACAGTACACACCTATGGTGCATACAAGGTCAGGCGCACATACAGACAACCTGTGGACTAGGATACCAATACAGTGGGAACCTCGTTCATGCACTGGAACATGTGCTGACGGATCCAACAGTGCGCAAGAGCCGCTTGGCCCCATTTCAGGAAGCAGAAGTACGGTCGCATTATAAATACCGCTTCTGCGGCTGGTTTGTTTGGGAATTTCGGACAGACGAACTATTCGGGTTCGTATTCCCTGGTTTATCTCCTAGCTCATAAGAATACTTTGGGCTAATTTTAGTAGCTGCCAAACTTGGCCAGGTTGGTTTCACTGAGACCCTCGCGAAAGAGGGTGCCAAGTACAACATCATTGCCAACGTTATTGCGCCAATTGGTATGTTAAAGGCGTCTATTTCTGCCGGGGTTGAGATTCTAACGTCGAAACAGCCGCTAGCCGCATGACGGCAACTATCATGCCTCCGGAGGTATTGGAGAACCTAAAGCCAGAGTGGGTGGTTCCCTTGGTGGCATACTTGGTTCATTCCTCAAATACTACCGAAACTGGTGGTATCTTTGAAGTGGGTGGTGGCCATGTAGCTAAGCTACGTTGGGAACGTGCCAAGGGTGCTCTGTTGAAGGCTGATGCTTCGTTGACCCCCGGAGCTATTGCCAGAAAGTGGAACGAGGTCAACGACTTCTCCGAGCCCAGTTACCCTACAGGGCCTGCCGACTTCATCACACTTTTGGAAGATGGCGTGAAGCTCCCAAGCGCTCAGCCAGGACCAGAGCCCGACTTGAAGGGCAAGGTGGCTCTTGTTACAGGTGGTGGCAACGGGTACGATTCTCTGTCTTTGATATTCTTCTCGTGCACCTACTGATCCTTTATCCTTCTTTAGTCTCGGTCGCGCGTACTGTTTGCTGTTTGCCAAGTACGGAGCCTCTGTCGTCGTGAATGATCTGGTTAACCCCGACCCTGTTGTCGATGAGATCAAGAAGGCCGGTGGAATTGCCGTAGGTAACAAGGCCTCCTGCGAAGACGGCGAGGCAGTCGTCAAGTCTGCTATCGATGCATTTGGGCGTATCGATATTCTTGTGAACAATGCAGGTATCCTGCGTGACAAGGCCTTCCACAACATGGACGACAGCCTATGGAATCCAGTCATCAACGTCCACTTGCGTGGAACTTACAAGGTGACCAAGGCCGCCTGGCCTTATTTCCTGAAGCAGAAGTACGGGCGTGTTGTCAACACGGCAAGCACCAGTGGTATCTACGGTAACTTTGGACAAGCAAACTATGCTGCAGCGGTACGCCCTTCGAAACTTCCTACTTTCTCCCCATTTCCCTGCTAACAATATGGTATAGAAACTCGGCATTCTTGGATTTTCTCGCGCCCTTGCTGTCGAAGGTGCCAAGTACAACATCAAGGTCAATACGATCGCTCCTAACGCCGGTACTGCAATGACTGCCACCATTCTTCCCGAGGAACTGGTCCAAGCATTCAAGCCTGACTATGTCGCCCCATTGGTCGTGCTTCTTTCTTCTGACTTAGTGCCCGGTTCAGGCACCAAGGGTCTCTACGAGTGTGGAAGCGGATGGTTCAGCGCCACTCGCTGGCAACGTAGCGGTGGCCATGGGTTTCCTGTGGATGTGAAGCTGACGCCAGAGGCGATTGTCTCCCACTGGAAACAGATTACTGACTTCGACGATGGTCGTGCAGACCATCCGGAGGACTCCCAGTCTGGCTCAGAACGGGTGCTCGCCAACATGTCTAACCGTCAGAATGATGGCGAGTCCGAGGCAGACGGCGACAACTCCATTTTGAAAGCCATTGAGAAGGCCAAGACCCTGACATCTGATGGTACAGTCTACGATTATACCGATCGTGAGGTTATCCTCTACAATCTCAGTCTGGGTGCCAAGCGCACTGATCTTCCCCTTGTCTATGAAAATGATGAAAACTTCCAGCCTCTGCCTACCTTCGGCGTTGTTCCCTACTTCAACGCTGATATTCCATGGAGCTTCGATGAGATCGTGGCCAACTTCTCGCCCATGATGCTGCTTCATGGCGAGCAGTACCTTGAGATCCGCAAATACCCAATTCCGACACAGAGCAAGACGGTGACCTACCCCAAACTCATTGATGTTGTGGACAAGGGCAACGCCGCTATTGTCGTGATGGGCTACACAACCAAAGACGCAAGCACCAAGGAGGACCTCTTCTACAACGAAACTACAGTGTTCATCCGCGGAAGTGGCGGCTTTGGCGGATCTGCGAAGCCAACTGCTCCCCGTCCTAAGGCAGCCGTGGCTCCTTACAAGCCACCCCAGCGGAAGCCGGACGTGGTCGTTGAGGAGAAGACATCAGAAGATCAAGCCGCCTTGTATCGTCTCAACGGCGACCGCAACCCTCTCCACATTGATCCTGAGTTTAGCAAGGTCGGCGGCTTCAAGACTCCCATCCTTCATGGTTTGTGCTCGCTGGGCGTTTCCGGAAAGCATGTCTATGGCAAGTTCGGTCAATTCAAGAACATAAAGGTCCGCTTTGCCGGTGTTGTTCTACCTGGCCAGACATTGAGGACGGAGATGTGGAAGGAAGGAAACACCGTCATCTTCCAGACCACGGTTGTGGAGACAGGCAAGCCGGCTATTACTGGGGCTGGCGCGGAGTTGGTCGAAGGAGCCAAGGCCAAGCTGTAAAAGTAGTACTTCGTAGTTTGTCATATTCATGCCGGTTGGACACGAGCTATCTTATTTTGGTTTATTTTGACTGCCAGCTACTTCAGAATGTACATGTAATGGGATTTTTATTTTTTTTTTTTCATTTCTGCCTACTACAGCGTGCATGCAGCGTAGCAATGTGTCAGCGGTTGGGCGGTAATCGATTCCAACGGCGTCGGGTTAATAACGTCTCGCCCGATTGAGCGCTCACTTATCCTTCAGTCAGCAGTCTCCCTGTAACCACCCCCTTTTGCTTCAACATCTCCTTTCAGGCTTCAGTCTTTACGGGCATCCAAGTCGAAGCTCTATCGTCTTTCCTTCCCCTTTTTCTTTACGATGATGTAGCAAAACAAAAACGCCAAGATGGTGCTATCCCTACCTGTCCCCAGCTTCTCCAAATCCTCCACGTCTCCTTCTAATCAGGCCACCGACGGTAATCACCATCATCCCCTCCTTCCAGCTTCGACAGGACGATCTTCGGAGAAGAAACAAGGTTGGAAATCTTCCGCAACTCTGGAAGCGTCTCCTGGAAACCATTCCACCACCTTAGCCGAGGCCCTCCGCGGCAACCCTTTCGGAGCCACGTCACGATCTCGCGCTCTGGAGGTGTTGGCCCGTCAGGCTGACGAGCAGAAACGGGAACAGGAAGAACTGAATGATGCGCTGGATAAACTCGCCCGGATTTTCCCGGACGTGAAGGTCGAGGTGTTTCGAGAACTGCTTGTCCGCTTTGATGGGCAGAGTCGGCTCCATGTCTGCGTTGAGCAGCTGCTGAGACACAAGGAGGAATGGGTTGCGGGAAGATGGAACACACCGGACGGGAAAGGCTCAAACCCTGAAAACGTCCGACATGATGATGCTGGACGAGATACCGATGGAAATATTGTGCCTCTTGAGGAACGGTTTCGCACCAAGGAGTACAAGACGTCCGTCAAAACTGTCCTTTCGAAGGAATTTGGCAGCCTGAGCAAGAGCACTATCGATGCTGTGTTGGCGGAGGTGAATTTTTCCTACACCCGCGCGCGGCCTACACTTCGTGATCTCTCTCGGAGGACTTGGCGGGCGACCCTCCACAGCATATTACCTTCCTTCAAACGCAAGAAGGACAGAGACGACCATGTCATGCTAGTGTGGCAGCGTCATGCTGATGGACAGATGGTACCGCGGCTAAAAGAGACTGGATGCGAGGAACTAGATCGGGAGTTGCATGAGGCATTGCTTACGCCAATACTCCAGCAAAGGAAGGAGGAGCAAGAAGGGCGAGATTTTGAGCTTGCTGAAGAGCTGAACGAAAGCGAAGCTAAAGCGGCGGATTCATTATACGAATGTGAATGCTGTCTTGGGGATATAACGTTCGAACAGATGTCAACCTGCTCGACCAGCTCGCACATCATCTGCTATAACTGCATCCGACGGACGTTACATGAAGCTCTGTTCGGCCAGGGATGGAATAAGTCCGTGGATATTGAGAGGTCTACGCTCAAGTGTATTGCTCCGCTTTCACATGGCACTTGTGATGGACACTTGCACACCGAAGTCGTCAAGCGTGCTATCATTCTGGACAAGGCTGGATGGGAGATATACCGCAAGTTCGAAGACCGGGTGGCCTCCGAAACTCTCCTAAAATCACAGATGAAGCTAATCCGTTGCCCTTTTTGCGCCTATGCCGAAGCGGACTCCGTCTATCACCCGTCAGCAAGGGGGATTTCCTGGCGATTTCGCCGTGACAGTGTCATCTCTACGATTTGCTTGTTTGTCTTTCTTATTGATTTGATACCCCTTTTCGTTATTCCTTTAATAATACTCTTATTACTCGATCGTGCTTCTCTGTCCGCTATTTTCCACAAATCCCTATGTAATCTCTGTCTCAAAAGTCGCCCTAAAAGATTCACTTGTGCGAGTCCCTCTTGCGGGCAATCCAGCTGCATTAACTGCCACAAACCTTGGCGTGATCCACACATCTGCCATGAACCACTGCTACTCGACCTTCGAACGACGGTCGAGGCGGCCCGTACGGCTGCCGTGAAGCGCACTTGTCCTCGCTGCGGACTTTCTTTTGTCAAGTCCTCCGGCTGCAACAAGCTCACCTGCGTATGTGGGTATTCCATGTGCTACCTCTGTCGAAAGGCTTTAGGTCCACGCTTAAGAGGACCTGGTCGTCAAGGGCGTCGAGTGCCACCTCACGAGAACAACGTCAACCCAGATGGCGCTGCCCTTGGCCCAGAGATGAATGAGGATGAGGACGAGGACGAGGAAGAAGACGAAGAACCCGAGGGCTATAAGCACTTCTGTGAACACTTCCGCGCCAATCCAGGCTCCCGGTGCACCGAATGTAACAAATGCGATCTCTACCAAGACGTGGACGAAGAAGCCGTCGCCCGTCGTGCGGGTGAGAAAGCTGAACGCGAATGGCGGATGCGGCAAGGCATGGCTGGAATCGGAATTGGAAGCAGACACATTAACTCGGATCTTACAGCATCTCTCAACTCACAAATTTCTGTCGGCGATGCAGGCAGGGGTAGCGGCCGAGTTGGTGGCCATCATCAGCCATCATGGGCACAGGAGCTAGGATTCCAGTTTGGTTCTCGGGGAAGAGACTGGCGATATTGGCTCAAGGACGTCTGGAAGGATGGCCACTGGAAACTGGAAGGTCAGGCCCTGGTCGATTCGGTTGTCGAGGCTTTAGTGATTATTGATGAGGTGTGATGGCTTTTCTTCTTCATCTAAAATGATTCTTCCCCCTTCACTTATTTTTGAAGACCTCTTCCCGCTTACTTGCTACAACCTACCTTCCTCTCAAATATTTTTCTAATTGATAATGTACCGACCGGAGTGTTGGGGGGCGTTCTCAGGTCTTTTCACATTGAGATTTCACGAGACTTTGAAACTTTTCACTTGGATTTTTCAGGCGCGTGTGTATATGGTGGATTTCTCCAAGGGCATTGTCATTATGGTCATCCATCCACGGAGGTGGATAAGAATAGCAACGTTCGTTATTATATACTTAGTTTAATTTTTCTTTCTTTCTTTTGGGGCAATAGCTGATGGCCATTACACAAGCTGAAGCTGATAATACTACATGGTTTTGTGTCGTGCCGCCGCAGATGTCGAGAGTTCTATCTAGATTAATCATAACAACAGTACAGCGCTCCATTCATTAATTATTGCAATTGCAAGTATTGAGGGAGTAAGTCATCACCGAGACATAAGACTAGGTTTTCCCCCATTAAACCGAATACTCCCCATCTCTGGCCATGCATGAATTGAATTGAATCGAGATCACGTTCCAACGCCTTAAGAATAATTTTCTACCATCTATTTATCGTAATCAATTAGCATTGCATCCAAACGATGGATATAAAGAGAGAAAAGGGGGGGGGGAGGCTTACGAAAAAGGCTCCGAATGCAAATACACCTCATCGACTTCACCCCTCAGCACACGAGCCTGCGCTTCGGCCGCTGCGTTCCGCGTATCGTGCAACATAGATTCAGGTCCACAGACGAAGACGCCGATTCGGTTGCCGGATCCCCTTTCTGCAGATGTTGCTCCGGTAATGATGGAGGGGAGGTTTGGTCTAACCAATTTATGGAGGGTGATGTTGTATTGGCTTGAGGGCGGGGAAGGGGAAGATGTCGAGTCCTCAGGGTGGTTTATCTCCTTGTCAGCTAGTTCAGCAGTGGATTCTAGAGGTTCATCCAGAGATGAGGATAAACGGGTGGACTTCTGTTGCTCTTGAGATTGAGTGATGTACACTGCTGCCGAGGATTCGTTTGAGGCGCCGTAGGTCGAGAACAAAGCCTCCACTTCCTCGATGTACCACCGTGCGACTGCTGCAGAGCGCGTGGCAAAGACGACCTGCAGCTTTTTACGGGATGATGGTTCAGGAGCGCAGCAGCTGGTCCTAGTCGCGGGTGATGACGGTAGAGCTAGTCGACGATGGAGCGTTTCTTCGATAATAGGGAGAGAGAAGGTAGCGCCCGAGCCGCCCGAGATGACGAGAACGGTATCCAAGTGCCCCAAATTGGGTGCTGTGGTGGGTAGTCCGCCGTAGGGACCTTCCAGGAGGACTTTCTTGGTGATTCCGGGGGACTTTGCGGCGAGTTTAGCTAGACGTGCCGTGAGGCCGCCTCTGGGTTGGATGGTGAGTATCATCTCGGGAGCTTTTCCAAGTCTTTCCGGGTCGCGGTATGTGGAGGCGATGGTGAAGGGGTGAGAGGTTAGGGAATGCAGGCCAAGGGCGAAAAAGCGGATGAAGATGTGTTGGCCTGATCGCCAGGAGGTGATGGTGGGGATCTTGACTCGAACGAAGCCGGATGGGAGGATATCGAGACTGGCTTCGTGGACGCCATGCATGCAGTACGTGCGGAATTGTGCTGCGAAGAGGCTGAACATGTATATCGACCCCGTAGCGATGAAGTAGTCCCTTTTCCAAGGGTTAGCTATGCGCCTGTGGGACGGGAATATGCTGGCATAAAAACACACCAGGAGGAAAGACGGAAATCGCAATGGAAAAAGAAGAAGAGGATAAACACCAATGCGGCCAGGAGGTGAGTAGCTTTGAAGGTCTCGTAGAAGCGTTTACTGGGATGATTGTTAGGACCTGTGGCGCTCACTGGGAATGTGATCTGATCTGGAGACATACCGGATGACCGGTATCGACAAGAATGTCAGATAGGCCTGAGCAAGGAGAGCTACCACACCGGTCCAGTAGGTGACCTGCGTGTCCCACTGCATGACCATGTCCCCAACGCGGATATTGTAGACGATGAAGGGGAAGGTGTGTATCAACGCAAGAACGAACATGGCGTAGCCGATCCATTGGTGAAAGATCTGCAGTTTCTCGTGGGATACTCCCGTCAAAGCGGATATCAAATTGGCTTTGGCGCTTATAGCCCTTTCAAGGGATTAGCACTGGTAAGGACCCTTTCGAAGGGACATGAGAATAGCATACATTCCAAATGGCAGCAAAGCCAAAGCCATCCAGCCGCTCCTTGTCGCAATGGGCGGGCTACCCCCGTATTTAACAACACCAGGGTCGGGCCAGTAGTACGGCTTGGGACCAAGCGTCATTGCTGTTGGAATGTCAGCCCTGAATGCTCCTGTTTAGATGGGAGACTGGCTGGCTGGAAAGAAGACGAAAGAAAACGAACCGAAGAAGAAGACCACGCCTGCCAGAAGCAGCAAGATGACGCCCAGAGACGGGGACCAGTATCGCAGCGCGGGCAATTGGAAGCCCTTGTACGCGACATACCGCGCAACAGCCTCTGCTTTCCGCCAGAGCCGACTTTTCTTCAGCGAGGAGGGTGCGTACTTGTTGAGAAAGTGAGAGACGACGAAGACACCGAGCGTTGCACATAGAAAGTAGATGGTCCCCAGGGCGTAGACATGATCTGCGATGTACCTGCGAGCAGCACTATCAACACAATAGCTCTGATTCAAGAAGTAGAGAAAGAGAAGCAAGACGGACTCACCAGTTCCTCCAGCGATAGCTCTTGTACGCACACTGCTCGGGGGTCAACTTGCAGGGACCACTTTCGCGTGAGGAATGAAGCATCACCGGCTGGTCGAGCCAGGGAGCGCCAGAATGCGAGGACATGTCCATCTTGGGCAACTTGCACCAGCGGCACTCAACGGCCTGTTCCTTCTATGCCTAAGTGATAGACAGCTGGAGCATGCGTGGAAGTGGAAGATGCAGCAGCATCCAGGAAGGGCAAAAGAAAAGCAAGCATTGTTGAACTCGGGGATTTAAACCACCACACCACACAAAACAACGCTCGCAATTGAGCACATTTCCTGCAAGATTTCCCTGCAGGAAATGACATGCGTTTTTGAGCAGATTTGCGCGGGATTGCGGCCATTCTACTGGAGGACAAAGCTGCCAAGGTTCGGGGCGGATCCTTGGCTTTCCTTTCTTTCTTCGCAGCATCACTTCATTGCATCTACTTTACTTGAAACTACTGAAGGGCAACCGGGATGGCTGTCGCACACGGACACTGGGCTCCAACGGTCGGTGCTGTCACTCGACACTCGCTCAGCAGAGCCTCCATCAGCGCCTGATAGCCTCCGCGTACGTTGTCTGCCTCGATCCCCTTGGCGCGCAGCACACTGGCCGCGATGCGCGCAGTGTCTCCGCCATAGCACAGGAGCAGTACGCGTTGGGCCTGAAGCTTCGCCAAGACGTCGCGTTCACTGAACAGCCGATCCAGCTCTAGCCATTGCGCTTCCAGCACGCTGGCATCTGCGAACGGCCCCGGGGTGTCGGAGTCGAGGCTCTGCAGCGGCACATTGACGGAACCAGAGAGATGCCAGATGGCAAAATCTCTTTCCTTCCTCAGGTCCAGCACGCAGCGTTGGCTTCGAAGCACGACGTCCCCGAGGAGAAACTGGGACAGCGATCGGGGAGGCTCGTAGATCGCACGGAGAAGCTCCATGGGGCTCCTTTCCCAGCTCTCGTCGTACCGGTAAAGGTCCACCTTGGAGAGTCTCTGCCACGGAAACCATGTATTATATTAGCTTGCGCATTGGGGATTGCTGCGGGGTAGTGAATCGCACCTCGTTCTGGATAGGATGGAACTTCGCGGGCGCAACCTTCTCGAAATATTCCCCGATGTATTGATATGGCAAATCGCAGCACAGGAACACGCAGTGTGTTAGCTTGTCCGGTCCAGCCAGCTCCGACAGCGTGCCGGCAGCCTTGCGCTTGTCCAGCATTTGGAAAAGGCCTTGCAGGTTGAAACCAGACGACGGACCACATACCAATCCCTCTCGACACAAGTCAAGGGACAGTGAAAATGACTCGGGCGAACCGACTTCCTCGACCACATCAACGGCTGCCTTCCACGGAAACTCCACGGGTCGGAGGAGAGCGAAGGATCTTGGCCCAGGAACTCGGTCGCCAGGCGCCGTGCATACTGCAACCCGAAGAACCGACGGCTTCACGTCTTTGAAATAGGTCCCGAGACCTGTCATCGTTCCAGAGGTCCCCATCCCTGCACAGATCACATTGATCTCGGGAAGTTGCTTGAAGATCTGCGGGCCGGTCCAGCGGATATGCGCTTGCCAGTTGTCATCGTTTTCATACTGGTTCGGGTTGATGATCTCTTCCGAGTCCATGGCCATCCGTCTGGCGTTCTGAATGCCACCTCGTTCGTCAACAGGCTCGGGCTGAGACGGACCCCCGAACAACGTTATATTCAGTCCAAAGAACTGCATCAGTTTCAACTTGGCCTCGCTCGTCTTGTTACTCAGGAACGCCCGGGTATCGTTGATTCCATGTATGGCCCTAGCAATGAGCGACATTGAAATCACTGTCGAGCCCGAACTGTACTCGATGATAGTTCGGGTTTTACCAGGGGCGACGCTCGATTCCAGCATGTTTAACGCTAACATTCTCTCAGCATATGACTACTTTCGTGTTGATGTTGGGGGGGTACGCACCTGGCATGGCCTTGACATTGTTCGCAGGATGCATGGTCATCATCTTTGCATATATCCGTACGCCATCTGCGTAGTATGGATTGAGACATTGCGGAAGTTCCACAAGCGGCAACGGAGGCTGACAGTCCGGGTCAAAGTACTGCTTCATGGAATCAGGCCCGAAGTACACATTTCGCTCATTGAGACCGGCCATCCTGTGAACCGTCAAGGGAGAAATGAAGATTCTGTCAATTTGCCAAGGGGAAACAAGACGACAGGCACAGCAATATAAACATCTGCAGACTGTGCGGATTGCCCCTCGTCATGCAAGTGCTTCTTGTCAGAAGACATGGTGAAAATCCACAAATCTATACTGAAAAGGTTGCAATTGGTGGCACTCCTATGCAAGAAAGGGGAGAAAAGGTGGATAATCATAAACAACAACACACGGATTTCCCAAATGATCCAATGTGAAAGAGAATAAGCCGTGTAGCGTCGATCCAGACGGAGCAGCTGTCATATAACAGCGCTGGGATTACCGCTGGGGACCCTGTAGAATTGAAAATTCTGCTCCGTCAGCGCTCACTGCTCCATGCGTCCAGGGGGCTGGAGGGCATCAAGGTGCTCAATTTCCGGGTTTCCATCACGAACACAATGGGTACCTTGGTGAGCATGTTTGAGAGGGTTTGAAGGTATATTCTGGATGATTTGCAGATCGTCGCTGCGTCGTTTCCGGTTCCTGGCCTGTCTTCAGATTCGTCCACCTTACAGAGCTCCATCGAGTGTCAACATGTATGGAGATGATGGCCTTCTCATCCAAAAATATGGCTCTTGGTATCGCCGATATAGGATGTCCGTCTCTGGATCCCCATTTCTAAATGTATGTCGCTGTCTCTTCTCTCTCTCCTTTTCTGGCATTTCTTTCTATCCGTACATGCCCTAATTGATCCGAGGTATCCTGGTTATCCGGAGAGAATACTGATAGCAATGCCAGACGCTGCTCCAGACTCGGTATTCGAACATCCTCCCGAGACGGCTGAGATTAAGGGGTCTCATCTTGAAGGAGATGAGGCGTCAGAGTCGAGTAACCCGAAATATGTCTTCAACGAACAGACTAACTATGTCCCGAGGAGGACCATCATCACGGTGAGTTTACATCCATCGGGGAGCCTATACCATGCATTACTGACTCAAACTGAGGCTTAGATCTTTTTGGCATGTTCTACTGTCGACCTCCTCGCGTTGATGGACCAGACAACGTTAGCTGCAAGTTTGTCTGTCATTGGAAATGCGCTGGGAGCAAGTGACCAGGCTTCTTGGATAGCGTCGGGATACTTTGTGTGGGTGGTTATGCATTCATTCCTGCATCGCTCTCATAACATGAAACCAAGCTTATACGGATCGCAGCACATCGACGTGTTTCCAGCTTCTCTACGGACGACTATCGGACATCTGGTCACGGAAGCTAGTTCTATTCGTCGGACTAGGCATCTTCTTCATAGGCTCACTAGCCGCGTCCCTCGCACAAACCGTGACACAATTGATCATCTTCCGCGCCTTCACAGGCGTCGGCGGTGGTGGATTGATGACAGTCGCACAGATGATAGTCAGCGATGTCGTCCCCCTGCGCCAGAGAGGCAAGTACCAAGGTATCCTAGGTGCAGTGGTCGCGATATCTAACGGCATCGGCCCCGTGATCGGTGGTGCGCTGTCGTCAAGATCCCACGATTCCTGGCGCTGGATCTTCCGCTTGAATCTCCCCCTCACAGTCCTAACGACGTTATGCGTGTTATTCTTCATGCCCCTGCGGAAAGTCCAGGGAGACTGGCGCGTGAAGCTAAAAGCCGTTGATTTCGTGGGTATCTTCCTCGCGCTCGGGGGCACGGCAGTGCTCCTGTTGGGACTGAACTGGGGCGGTGGTCAGTATACCTGGGATTCAGCGCATGTTATTGCCACGATCGTCGTTGGATGCGCGGTCTCCATCGCCTTTGTCCTCTGGGAATGGAAGGGCACTTCGTCCCCATTAGTCCCGATGCACATATTCAAAGCGAGAATCGTCAACGGCGCTTCGCTTACCATGTTCATCAATGGGTGGAACTTTCTCGTGCAGGTCTACTATATACCCACGTTTTATCAGTTGGTGTTTGGTTATTCGACCGTCAAAGCGGGTGCTTTGTTGTTGCCTATTACACTCATGCAGAGTATGTATCCCAGAGCCAACAGGTTACTGATCAGAGCAGAAGAAAGTTAGTTGCTTACAAAAGCTTAGCTATCAGCAGCACCCTTTCAGGCCTAGTCGTGCACTGGGTCGGCAGGTACCGGGAATGCATCCTCTTCGGTTGGGTCATATGGGCCGTTGGCCTTGGCTTGATCTCGACCCTCGACCAGTCGTCGGGACTGGGGAAACAGATCGGATACGGTATCCTGACTGGTTTAGGGGTGGGAAATACCTTGCAACCGTGAGTCTAGTTTGATCATGACCAAGAGTGCACTTGTATATGAAGCTTACTTACGAGATGCAGAGCGCTCATAGCGATCCAAGCCGGCGTTGAAAGACGGGAGATGGCCGTAGTGACGTCGTTTAGGAAGTGAGCATCTTCATTTCATCTTTACTTGAACCCTGATCTGATCTGATCAGCTAGGCTAATCTTTTGCAATAAAATACTAGCTTCGTGAGAAATCTAGGGGGAACACTCGGTCTCGCCATAGCAGGAGCAATCATGTAAGAATAGACGTTCCTGGGATTTCCTTCCCCCCTTCTAACATCCACTAATAACTGATAGAAACAACACCGTATCTTCCGCCCTCGCGAATTCCCGCTCCCCTCTACCCAAATCCGATATAAAGCAGATCCTAACCAGTCCGAACAACTACCTTTCTAAACTTTCCGAGTTTGAATCCGCACGGATCCGCTCCCTGTTGGTCCCAGCATACAGGAAGGGATTCCGGATTATCTTCATTGTAGGGGCTGCACTTGCTGCGTTTGCGTTCTTTGTAGCAGCCTGGTTGATGCCGCAGGTTTCCCTGAAACGGGGAGACGAGGAGAAGTTGAAAGAGGAGGGGCGGAAAAGGGTCAAGGGGGAATTAAAGGAGGATGTTGAAAAGCGAAGCATAGCATAGTCCCATCTTCTGAACTTTGCTAAATCAAAGCCGGGCTCTGTGCAGCCATCTCTGCCGTCTATATACATCGATGTCTAGTCTCATACTTACTTTACTTACCACGAAATTTCATCTCGATATCAGCCTCGGTAAACTTCCTCGCCTTCCCCCTCAACATGGCAGCTTTCTCCTCCAGACTCAACGGAATCTGGTCGCCCATCGGCACGAGGCATTTGGCGAGGTGGACATAATCTTTCCGCAGCAGGTTCACGGTAAGCATGATATAGTCGATATTGCGGAAAACAAGAGCATGCTCTTCAGCGTAGCGATCCTTCTGTTTCAAGAAGGCGACGGGATGATCGCGCCAGTGTCTTCTCGGATTGAGATGGTGGGAGGTATGGTAGCCGTCGTTATAGCAGAAGCGGTTGCTCTGGATTTGTTAGCCGTAGCTAAAATGGTATGATGCGTATGGAAACACCGAGGGGGGAAAGGAGAAGAGAGAACTCACGGCAACATCAACCAAAGTCGTACTGGACCTAAAATCCGACGCGGGATCAACCTCATCGACAAAAGCATGCTGACCCCAATTCCCCACCATAAGCCCGATGCGCAACTGCAGAAGCGGCAAAAGGAACACAAAAACCGTCGCCCTCGCACTGACGAATCTCCACAAGAGATACAGAACAAGATAATTCCCCAATTCCCACGCGCCAGCCTTGAGCCCCGTCGCGAGCTTCCCGCGCCGAAGAAAATAAAGCGGTAACTCTAACCACACGAGGAACAGAAAACGGCCGACGTATTTAGCGAAATCGACCACCGAATCCCGCTGGTAGTAGATAGTCGAACTCAGATCGTCGGGACCGTTACCCTCGACATGATGATGTTTCACGTGATGATAATAGTACGAGTTCCAGGTATGGCCCATGAGCGGATTGAGGATGTAAGGGAACAGGGCATCGAGGAAGGCAAGGCGCTTGGTCAGGATACCGTTCATATGGATGTGCTGGTGCATCATCAGGGTGTAGGTTCCCGTGAAGTAGGACTGCATGAGCCAGTGCAGGACGGCGTGGATCCAGGTGAAGCGGTAGCAGTAGAGATACACGGCGCTGGGGACGGAGGTGCAGCAGTACAGGAGGAGATGAGTGAGCATGACGACGTCTGTTTCCACGCGGACCAGTTTGCGGCCCAGGTGGATGTAGGGATTCAGGAGGTAGGTGGTGATGATGCTGGGGAGGAATCGCTGGAGGTCTGGAGTATCCCAGGTGACGAAGACGGTGGGATCGAAGTGCGGGCTTTGGGGGTTGTTGAGGGATTCCATGTGGTTTATCATGGACGTCTCCTTGTTTTCTGGAGCTTCCTTGCCATTGTTGTTGCCATTGCCATTGCCTTTGTTGATGTTGGTGTTGGTGTTGTCCGTCGATTTCTCCCGGGCATCCCGCAGGAGACTCTGCAAAACCAGCAGATCCTGGCGCGTTAAATTGGGATCGATGAACTTGTCCGGCTCCATTATTCAATTCAATTCAATTGTTGGTATTATAATATCCGGATATCCTGGGAATCATGAGAGGCGAAAGAGGATAAAAAACATCAACTGCAGTCGACAATTGAAAGGACGAGAATGACCGAATAAATTGAAAAAGAATCAGCCCATAAATAACCGTAATAAATAAAAGAAGGAACCACTTGCATAACCCAATAATTAAAGCAAGCTCAGGGGCGAGTTTCCCCATTTTCGGGCGCTGTTCGCTAATAATAACCCGACAGAATAATCAAGCTCGCCGTCGCAGAAGCCAAGATGCATTAGACATGGATCATGTCCACTTTGGTCGTTTAATATAATCCTATACGATTCTAAGAATAGATGCATTGTTGAATTAACAATTTCGATTTGAATACATACAGTATAAAGATGGATCTAGCCATATATCGTGTACAGTGGTTAATACAGCATACGCCATGCATGTATTTATTCCCCAAATCAGAGCCCACATGGAATCGAATATACACCCAGAACGCCCCCAAACGCCAACAAGACCAGCACAAGTCTATCTGGTATGATATTTTATATATAATGATATTATATATTCATTCATATCATTCATTCCGACCCCTCCACCCACTCCATCATACTCTTCCTCAGCCAAACATTCGCAACCCCACCAACCCCATAAGCAGGCACAATCTTCCCCATCCGCGCAAAGCTGCTCGCAATGTAGTCCCTGCGGATACGCGACGCACGATCCTTCCACGACAACCCACCGGGTGGTTGTCGGTTATACAAATCCAACCCGAGCAGATGCATGGGCGTGCTGATGAACTGCATGAGAGCCGGACAGGAGAATTGGGCCAGTGCCATTTTCATGGAGTCCGTTGGGGCAAGGAAATCGGGGATTCGCGGCGCAAGGAGCGGTGGGACGTTGAAGGAAGCGAAGATGGTCACGCTGTCTCGGAGGCAGAAGAGGGTGTAGGAGGTTATAGGGATTCGCTTCACTGGTAATGGCTGTGGTGTTGAGCTTGCTGCTGCTGCTGGCACAACAGAGGAAGGCGATGAAGGAGTAGGAGCAGGAGCAGGAGCAGGAGGAGCCCCGAAGATCTTTGCGAATCTCGCATCCTTATATACGCAAATCGACATGTTGACCGTCGTCGTGGCCAGGAATTTGCCCAGTCCCGGCGTTACTGTTGAGAAGGGCTGATTTCGGAGAGTTGATGTCACCGTGTCTATCGCATTGGCAGTCCAGTAGGTGGATGTGTACAGCGTATAGATGAGGAGGAAAGGAGTGCTGAGAAAGAAGGTTGTCGGACGCGTAACCATGTCCTTGAGACAGGACATCGTGGTACGCGCGATGGGGAATCCCTTTGCAGCTTTTTCAATGATGGCCCTGCGGGTTTCAAAAACACCAGCTGTCAGTATTTTTACTCTTGCGATCAAGCGAGGATGCAGATCAGAGCTCGCATATGAACCATACTCACCGGTCGATAATCGTGACTATGGGACATGTTAACGCGCCTGCCAGCGTCGCACTGAGCGTGTCTACCCCCAGACGCAGTCCCAGTTTATCTGTATTCCATTTATTATTGGGTTTCGTCTCCGAAGCCGAGCTTTTCGTCAACGGACGATCCGACATGGACGTCGAGAGAGACGCATCGGAAGCAATAGCCGGGCGAGACATGATCTAGACGGGAAGGGGACTGTACAGAAAGGAAAGGGCAACTCGACGGCGCAACGATTCGCCAGGATTAGTGAAGCAGAGACATGAAGAAAGACGGAGTCTTAAGTGAAGTCTTCAGAGACTTCGCGATGGAGGAGTCACTGCAAAGTTGACGCTTACTTTCTCCTCCGGACGCGGTCGGACCTGCTCCGATGCCGGCGCCAAGGGCTTACCGGCGACTACCATTGGAGCCCTAAACCCGGGGAGAAGAATCACTTGCAGTTTCACCTTGCAAATAACAATAGCTGCTGCTACTGTACAGGAAAGACAAAGGAAGGACAGAAAGCTTTTATAACACCGAACGCCAGTCAAACGTGCCTACTTGGCATCAAAAAAGAACCCCGCGCGATCCTAAACTTAAATATACGAAACCGAGGTATCCATTCAATCAAGATGAAAACTAAGCAGCCGTCGAAACACTCTCCGAATCCCCAGCGCCCTGGTGGGTGGCCTGGAAGCCGTCCAGTGTAACATTGACCGCGCCAGCCTGGACGAGCTGTGGAACCGAACGCCATCAGAACTTAGGCCCTTGTCATAGCGTCAACATGGGCGGGGGGAAAGGACTTACAGCTCTCCTCAGATCATCTATGAGATCGTCAACATCTTCGATACCCACACACAGTCGGATCAAATCCTCTGGCATAGCGCGCTCCTGTCGGGTCTTGGCGTCGATACTGGCATGGCTCATCCGACAGGGCATGCTGATTAAGCTGTTGACGCATCCGAAACTGACGCTGATGGCCCAGAGTTTCGCGCTCTCGACGATGCGTTCGCTCACCTCGACGTTGCCTGTCTCGAAGGAGAGTACCGCGCCAGCACCGCGCGCCATGGATCGGTGCAGCTCGTACTGCGGGTGCGACCGCAGTCCAGGGTACCGCACCTTGAAGCCATGGGCCTCGAGAAACTCGGCAATCCGCTGTGCATTGTACTGCTGCTGTTCCATACGGACCTTGAGGGTCTTCACGCCGCGCATCAGCAACCACGAGTCGAAGGGCGACAGTCCGCAGCCCGACGCGTTGATCGGGAAGTACAGCCGCTCCCCAAGAGCCAGATCGTTGACCGCAATCACTCCCGCCATGAGATCGTGATGGCCCGATAGATATTTAGTCCCGCTCTCGTAGACAATGTCCGCGCCCAGTTCCAACGGATTGAGCAGAAGTGGCGACATCATGGTGTTGTCGACTGCCACAAGGCAATTGGGACTGGATTCGTGTGCGATCGTCGCAATGCGGGCGATGTCAACGATCTTGATCAGCGGATTCGTCGGGGTTTCGAGCAAGACCATGGTCGTTTTCGGGTTTAGCACCTCCTGGACCTTCTCCACCTGCGTCGTATCCACATGATGCACTACGATGCCGCCGTAGGTCGACAGGTATTTGAGGAGACGGTTAGTCCCACCGTAGAGATCATCGCCGGCCACGACTTCATCCCCCGGGCGGAGAAGACGCGTGATGACATCCAATGCAGCCATGCCAGAAGACACGACTAGGGCACGCTGTGCGGACATGATCTTCGCGAGGTGCCGCTCCAGATGCGTCCTGGTCGGGTTTCCGGAACGGGTGTAATCGTAGTCTCCTCCTCCACTGCCAGATGTTTGTTTAAAGGTAGCTGTCTAGCAATCGAAAAACATTAGGTTAGCGATTGTTTACAACCCGGAAGATCCCAAAGGCGTTTCCTACCTGATAGATCGGCACACTGCTGGCATTATACTGGTCATTTCCTTCCGTATATACAAGCTCTGTAGCGATGGCATATCGCTTGCCATTGCGTGGACTGGACGGAGCAGGGGACGGAGGCAGGTTATGTCCTTCCAGATCGACGTGAGGAAACCCCTTCTTCAAAGCACTCGACGACGGCCCAGCGCCGACCGAAGCTGCGGATCCTGGCGCCGACATCGCTTACTGGACGTGACGCAGACAAAGAGTGGAGAGGTGGAGAGGTGGAGAGATAGGGCGGATGCAGCGACAACGGGAAGGGGGACGAGAGGATAGATCAGTGATAGGTACACGGTAATGGCAATGGATATACTATACACAGGTCGCCAACAGGGAGAAGAGAAAGGAGAAGGGTTGATGCTGAGGATGCTTCTTCTTTTTATTGCAAATCGGATGACAGGTTTGCTCCGGGTGATGCTCACCGCCTCTGGGTTTTTCGCGCTCTGATTGGCTTCCAAGTTACACTGGCGATTTCGTCATCCGCTAAGACATTCTGGGACTAGCCTGGTCCGCATCTTGGCAACCTCGGCCTTTCTCGATGTTAGCCCTAATTCTAATCTTTATTGCTATGGTAGAGAATGTTCAACGATACAACGATATTATAGCAATAATAAGAAAGTAAGAACGATTGACAGACACGACCCATGCGACCTCGCAGATTTTGCAAGTCCCAATAGTACAGCAGGGCTCTTCAGCTACTCGAGCACAACCGTTCCAATTCCAATACAGACCATGCACACCTAAACCGCGATATTCAAAACACCAACCCATTCACAACCCTCCTTAACCCCGTTCCAAGGATTACTCTTGCAAACCCAATCCGACCCAGCCACCGTCGAATCGATAACAGCCTGCCCCGATTCAGCCCCATCGACAGTAGCGACCTTCAGCGTAAACTTCTGAACATCGTCAATCCCATCAGGGAAACTGATTTGGTACTCGTTGTTTGTGCACGAGCCCTCTGGGCTTGGAGGGATGTGGCGATCAGTATTCCTGTGTGTAACATGTTAGGATTCCTGCTTCCGTTCTTTACCACGCCCATAGGCTTCAGTGTATTCGGGGAGAGAAAGAGACTCACCAAGCGACAGAGCAGTCGGTGTAGATGCGCCGGTTTGGGTCGAACAGGGACAGTTGCAGATCGGCCATACTGATGGTCGCGCTGACGTTGGAAGCGAAGTTGCGGATTTGCACAGATTGGGACCGTCGGAAGTTCATGTTTTCGGGGGCTGCGTGGACGGCTGTGGCAGCGAGAAGAGAAAGGGCGATGGCGTACTTCATTTTGATGTTTTATTTGTAGTTTAAGTTGAGGGGCCAAGTTGGCTTTACTGGTTTGTGGAGTAAAAAAATGCTGTTGCTTGAGCGTTGCTTGATGATGATGATGATGTTGTTGTTGCTCTATTGCCCTTCCTTTAAGCAGCCTTTTATATCCATTTTCTTCTGTTCATATTCCCTCCCCCACGCAGATTTGGGGACTAAAAACAGAAATATCTGAGACAGTTCATTCTGAGGTTGTTACCTTATAGCCATGCTGACAGTGGATATACTAAGCATCTTACGCCTCAGCCACAACAATATATATAGACAATAGCAGCATGGAATAGGATTGTCAGACCACAGACTATAAATATACACAACCATGAATAAGCTCCATTTTCTGTTGTTGTAGGTTGCATTGACAACGACAGGGTGTCATGGCAAGCTGATGAGCACTCTCCTTTCAGTACGAATACATAGCCATCCCTATGGTACTTGATGCGACTAAATTTAGATACCAGATAGACAGACAAAGCTCACTGTATCCAATACCATCGCATCTGAGGACCTGCTTGTCTGCAGTCACGCAAGATGAGCGTTCTAGTAATCATCGGAACCTGCAACCCAATATGGAAAATTGATGCACGATCAGGTTCTGCTTCGGGCCACCCAGCCAACTGTATCTTTAACACCAACTGTGGGGGAGAGAGTATGTGTGGGGAAAGAATCTGGGGTGGGCTCTAACTCTGCTCCAAGGCTTGCAATGAACACATCCGGATTGGATGCAGAAGCCCCATTCCGGACTCGTAGTAGATGCAGTCTGTCCGATGCCGGTGTAAACTCCAACTCCCAAGAGGTATCTTCGGATACAGGAGGTAGATGGGCGGGAGATCTGTCGCAAGTGTTCGTTCCTGGTCGACCAGGAGACTTAAATGGAATCAATCTTCAAGTGCCGACAGTACCGCACTATCCAATTTATGCCGAGTCATCGTTGTAGCTGTACGATAAGACAAGAGAGCACATGTACAAAGTACATTGATGTACAGGCGACATACATGGAAAACAATATTGAACACCGATCCGAATAACGGGTAAGAAGAAATGATGAATATAGGCGGCCGCTCAAAGCCAAAGCCCGGGGGAATAAGAAAAAAGTCAAATACACCTAGGACCCCGAATAAATGTTCCACGTTATTTATACACACTGCGAGGTATACAGAGCGCCAAAAACAACATTCAATTTGGAATAGACTGCCCTTTTGCATTATTTTCCCAGCCAGTGTGCGCCATCTCAAGAAGTCAAATCACTGAAGCCACCATGGATGCCGAAAAATTGGAACCTGAGACATCGTTAGCATTTGCACTGTGCAGCCAAGCAGGAGATTCGGGAGAGTTAAGGCGAACATACCAGTCTTCCACATTCAGCGTAGTCGGTGCAGTGGGTGCAGTACGAGAGCTGTTACTCCAGCTGTCATCCTGGCTGGCACCGTCAGGCCCTGTACCACCCAGAGCGGTATTCATATGCTGTATTGGGATCCCATGGTGAGTTTCAATACCGAATACGTTTTGCTGCTGTTCATGACGGTGACTCTGAGGCGAATGCTGCTGTTGCGTATTCTGTAACGATGTGTCAGACATGTGCATCCCAAGGATATCTGAAGCCCCCTGGTTGCCCATATTGCGAGAGGAAACTTGCTGGGCCTGGTTCATCATCGTGGGTGTTTGCTGCATGTTGTGAGACGGAATCTGTCCAGGCATCTGCAGTTGGGGATCAACAGCTCCCGAGGGAGGTGTGGTAGAATTTAGCTCGGGGAACATGGCAGCGCCATCAGGGAACAGTTGGTCCGGCTGGAAGTTTTCCCAGAGAGACGGTGAGAGGTTAGGCGAGGTGCGGGTAACAAGGAAAAGATCCGGTGGCGTTGCCGGCAAAGAGAAATGACCATTGAAGGGGGTTGTGGGACGTGTATTAGCATTGAAGCCTGCTGTTGCTCCAGACGCTGTCTCCTGGTGGGGGCGGTGCGCTGTTGGGGAAGTCTGCTGTGCGCTGGTTGATTGTGCTTGGCCCAGATCTCTGGAAGGAGTAGCAGCTGGTGTCTGAGGGCGAGATCGTTCATACGAAACTGGAGGTGTGGGGCCTCCATTGGGCAGTCCGAGATCCATGTCATCAAACTTCCGTTTGGGAGCCTCTGTAGCCCGCCTCAATGGATGCTGTTGTTGTTGGTTCTGCTGCTGCTGGTCCTGCCGGATCTTTTGATGCTTTTTGCCTGCCGCCTTTTGCAGACGTTCTTCGAGGACCTTGTTGCCAAGAATGGACTCGAAAAGGGTATGGATCATCTTCGCAGCCAGCCATACCCTCGAGATATCCTTGAGAGCTTGCATGCATATTTGGATTCTCTCCTGACAAGTTGCCACGATCGAAGGAACGGATGACCGCATTTGGTAAACGTGCATGATCAAGGCCGAGAACAAACTATATATACTGTAGCTAGAGTTAGCCGAAAGGTGGTCTTCTAAAGGGAAAATATTGACGGTGAAGAGCGTCTTTGTACTTACATGAAAGCAGGTGCGTACATCAACTCGTGATGAGCCTGCAGGGTATCAATAATAGATGTTATCATAGCAGCGGCTTGGAAAGCAATCGTGCGAGACGGATATGCAATTTCTTCTACTCGGTAGTTGTTCATTGTAGAAGACGCCGGTGGCATATGTGCCCTATGTAAGAGGCAAAGGGTAGTGCTACTTCTGCATGAGCGATCTGAACCATATAGAGAGATAGTCGAAACGTCTGGAGAACTTACTAGTAATTTGCATGGAGCAGGGCTGCCAGGAAGTGATGTCGTGATCTTTGCCAGCACAATTCCTTCGGGCAGTTCTGCAGCCAATCGGCCAGTGCCATGTCTGAGTGCGTCAAGTCCATAGCATTCATGCGTCTTGACTTCGCCCCGACGGAGTATTGCTGGGAGAGCACCAGGCCCATAATCTCACATAGTTTGACGTACTGGAGGAAAAATTGGACATGTACCGGATCTGGGGGATATTCGGCGGGAGAATCAACATCGTCTTCGATAAAGTCATCTTCTGTCAACATCCCCACATCCGAATCGTCTGTATTGATCCCAGTCGGTCGGCCCATAGCCGTGGCAACTGAGCGGTCTCTAGTAAAGAGTGTCCACCAGATGCGCTTCCACAGACGTTTATCCGCCTTGCTGAGCTGCGAGGATTCCACACTGCAAGGGTTTGTCAGTGGATGCACAACCGGGACAAAGTGAGAGAAGGGCCATCGTTTTGGGGAAGTGCCTACCTTCGATGCATGCCAGATCCTTGTGCCACAATTGTTGCAACTCTGGTCCAGTAAAAGACATTCTTTGTTACGTCTACATCGTGTTAGTGTAAAACAAAAATCATTCACGTACGGCGGAAGCGAAGTCACCAACCTTCGGGTCCTTCCCAATACCATCCGAGGAGGACTAATGCCTGCACAATGGTGACGCGATCATCCTCATAATTGGCGTCGTATAAGGCCTTGGCCCGTTTGTAGAATGTCATGGCAGCCGGGGTCGTGGAACCATTAGCATCCATTAGCTGCGGGTTATAACAGACCTTTGATCCGGCCAAAAGAATAGCCTGGAGAAGCAGCAGGGACGGGGGGTTCTTGGGATCACGATATTGGCGCATGAAGCGACTGCGGTTGACGATAGGAACAATGGGAGCCACCCATTTGAAGTACGCTTCTACTAGTTCGTCGCAGAGCGATTTTGGTGGGAGAAGAAAAGCACCTCGCTGATGGAGTATATCGATTTCCAGATTATCCAGATCAGTCAGTCGGGCGCGAGATCCTCTGACGTTGGCCGGGAGTGGATAATGCACGACATCCGTCGACCCATGGCGATCCTGAACAAGGAGCGACAAATTCGACGATTCTCCCAGATGTGCAACCCGACCTGCATCTTTTATAGGAGCACGCGAAAATCTCGGTTTCATGAACTGCCCCTCGGGGGGGTTGTGAGGAGGCAGTTGCAGTTGTAGAGGTTCTGCGGCGGAGGTAGCGAGCATATCATCGATGGCCATGCGATTGCTCGTTTGAGGGACTGCAGAAACTTCCCGTTTTTCGAAAACATCACCGGGTTCCTTGCTATTCAAAGAGTCGTATGCCATCAGCAACCTCAGCTATGACGGGAGTCTATTAGACCGGATGGGCAGAGGGGATTTCCACACGTACACATTGGCCTCTTTGGCTTTCGCTTGATTCTTTTTCCGCTTCGGTGTAGGGATTCTGCACTCGATCGAGAAAGCCACACAATTCGTACAGGGGACACCCAAGCTGGCAGCATCACATCGGACCTAGTTTGTGAACCATCGTGGTCAGTGAAACGGCGTCTAGTGGGAGATTGCGGGATGCATCGTAGGGGAAGTCGAATTCCTCACCTTCCTGGCATGACAAGTCTAACAAAATAAGGAAAAAGACAATGTTAGCCTAAAGCTCACAGCAACAGTTTCGCCTGGGTTGCGTCGTGTTGTGCCTCGACCCTCGACACCCGAGCGCGAGAAACAGGTATACTCAGTTTGCGATGAGCCGAGGTGCCGAGGTTTGCACACCAGGTCGCGTCAATCTCGAGAAGGGAAAACGACATACCTCACAAGCGCGCGACGCTCGTTGCCTATTCGAAACAATTAATCAAGAATTAGCTTTCACACGTACTTGATTCTCATGGGGAAAAGGAAGAAAAGAAAAGGCCAAGAAAGAAAACCCGAATTCGTCTCATTTCCCTTCGTCTCCGAGTGTCAGGATCTTCCGACCGCCCCTTTGCTCTGCCCCGTGCAAAACAGGGCAGAGCGCTAACAGACAGAACAGAGAAAGGTATAATTCAGTATCGAGAAGAGATAAGATTTGACGCACCTTCTGAAGCTCACATGGCCGACGGGTCCTGACGATTGGGAAGCGGGGCGCGCATTGTTATTGTTACTCCCTGGTGTACCGACGGAACCAGCAGTACTCGGAGCAGGGCTGGGTTGGGCAGCTGACGATGAGGGGTCAGGGTGAGGCTCTGTTGCAGTACTCATTGCCAGGCAGCATCCATCAGACGAGGATGAATTTGGATCGCGAAACGGGAAGAAGGGAGGAGAGGAGAATGTGGACAAGAAAGCCCGAAGCGGTAACGGGACTCCCTAAGACGCGACTGTACAGACGACCAGCGCAAGGGAGGCAACGGAGGGGACAGAGAGGAAATCAGTCAGGATGTAGAAGTCGAGAGCAAACAAGTTCCTGATCGAGAAATCAACGAGGGACGTATTGACGATTTTACGTGGTACTTTTGCGACCGGGGGTGGTGCGTGGTGGGTGTATGAGAGGGAAGAATTCCCGATCGAGCAAGAATGCCGAACAGGAATAGGTAGACGCAAGTGTACGGTCTGCCACACGCCTTCGGGACGGCACAGGACGCAGCAGCAGAGTGAAGGGGATGCCAGGGCCGGGAGGATTGTCGTATGATAACCGTAAACAGGATGGATGTGATGAACATGGACATGGACACGGGGATGGTGGAGGTAAGGAGGCAGGGATGGACGAGCCCTGCGCAGTGGCGTGGCAATAGCGCAGCAGATGGCGTGGCTGTAAGCCTCTCCGGGTGCGATCGCCGGGGATGCACAGCCAAAACGCCCAGATCGGCCCAGATGCACGCACTGCTGGGGCCCCGCGGAGACGGTTTGATGCTACTCCGTATTCAGCTGCAATTACAGTACTCAGCGCAGTCTGATGCATCGGATGCATCAGTGCATCTATGCACCAAGGCACCCATCATATGCTCCATGATCAACTGACCGTGTTCTGCGGTTGTCACAGCCTCCTAGCACGTGTTGATCCCCCAGGTCAACTCCCCGACCCCCAAACCCCAGACCGCACGGATTGTCAGGCTGATATCGCGTAAATAGATATTATGCACTTCTTGTTTAGTGTCTATGGGGCAATTACTGTCATTATCATTATTATCATATGATTGCACAGCCTGAGCTCAGAGGCTTACCATCATCTCCGTATGGCACCGTATATTCGGGAAGTTCCCGTACCAAGCTCTCTAACCGGGCCGGATCGTCCCCAGAAAGTCGTAACCTTCCCTGCGCGGAGCGATTTATTCTCCCAATGGTCCCTGATCTATATTGGTTGCTGGCGATAAATCTGGAATGAGACAGTTCAGTATTATTATTAAATAGTGTAATCGAAACAAAAAAAGAGCTATGCTATCTATTGCACATCATGATGACACGCCATCCGCGGCACTGTCAGCTCTAGCAGACCCATTGATGGTCAGATCACTGTCTCCATCAGGAACCGCTTTTCCTTCTGCTTCTTGTACTCCTCCCTTTGTCTCCGGCTCATTCTCCGCATGGCCATTGACAACCGCTGAAGCAACCGCCCCAAAATCAACACCACTAGTAAACACCTCGCTCAAAAATTCCAATCCCGCGACGAAAGTACACAGGAAACTCGCAATGCAGAAGTGGCTAATGGTCGTGCCAATGTCGAGCCATGAACCCTCGTCACGGACCATGTAAAAGAAGTTCAGCGTCATCACATCCGAGATGGACATGACCACCATGAAAAGCGCACTAGGTGCAACCTCCAGTCGGCGGTTGAGGATACCCAGATTGGCACTGATGATGGCAAAGGGGATTAGGAGTTTGAGGACCAGCAATGCACCTTGGCTGAAGGGACTGAATACAGGAATGAGTCGGTAGACGCTCTCGAGTGAGAATGATGAGATGGACGCAATATTTCCGGTGCTGAAGAATGCTGACTGGAGGAGAAAGAAGAAGAACAACGCTACGCGCGCGTCCGAGAGACTGAGAGCCCGGTAGCTGTATTTTCCGCCGTCCACCGTGGTTGTGGCAATCTGGCTCGGTTTCTTTTGTACGTATCCATCACTGACCCCTGGCACCACAGGAGACTTCGGAGCTGCCGTGTGCACATAGATGGCATGCTCCAGTCGGACCCAGATGGCCAATGTCATGCAGAAGACGAAGTAGAAGAGTCCTTCGTAAGAGATTGTGAGTATGATGAAGGTTGGCGAGAATGTAAGGAAAAGAATCATCAAACGATGCACGTAATGGCTGTTCGGATAGAACCGGTGAAGGAACGGCAGCAGGAGCGAAGCAACTAGCCAGAGCCTGTGAGCGACGTCCAGTAGTTAGGTATCCATAGATGCTTACCCAAGACGAACCAGCCAACGACTTGGTTTCCCAGTGGAAGTCCCTGTTTAGCTTGGAGAGAGGCAGCACTAGATCTGGTAACAATGAGCGCGAGCAAAACCATGCCAATCTATTACCAGAATTAGCTTCTTAATTCAAGAGGGGAAGTTAAAAGCTGTAGGACTACTCTGAAACACTCTCATACCTGCATTCCCATTATCACCCGCGATCCAAGCCCGCCCAGGGCACTGGACAGCTGCCTCGACTCCCGATGTCGCTTATCAATTACATGCTCAAAGAGCAAGTACAGAACACCGATGAGGAACATCAGCAAGGCGCCAAAAGTTCTGCGTAAGTATACTGTCAGAAACAAGAGACACCAATGGTTTTCAAGGAACGCGCATCAAAGGTCATACATAGTAGTAATGTCCTCCACTTTTACAGCAGGGAGGAGTGTAAAAGTGCTCATCAGAAGGCAGCCAACTGCCCATGTCGCCGATAAAAGTGCATGTTGAGTTACAAAGCTCGTGCCATATACTACTGGCCAAAAGGCTCCCAGTATGAAGCACGCAGTAAATATTTCCCGCAAGAAATAAGATTGGACCTGAAGCCTGTCAGCAATCCAATTGGGAAAAGGAGGGCCACATAGCATACCAACGCCTCCAGGACTCCAAGAAACAGTGCTGCTTGCAACCCAAATGTCAGATAGCCCCCAAATGAATGGACACGGCTCAGGATAATTTTGCGGCCAGCTACCAACGCTTTCCTCCTGGCGAAAACTTCTTCCCAGAAGAAAACAGGGAAGCTAACATAAAGATAGTATCTCCACGATGAGCCTTGGTACAGCAAGATTGAAAATAAAGCAACTAGAATTGACGAGAAGAACATGGAACTCGACAATGTCCGATGCGAGTCAGAGGTGCCGTGTAAGACATGAAGATGGATTACAGTAGTCAGCGAATACGCAATCCATCCTAAGTACCCCAAAGTAACGATGGTTCTCAAGAAGAGCCAGTCGTAGGTCTGCAAATAGCGCATTCCTTCTAGGCCCACTGACAAGAGATCAGAGGATAGTGAAATTGATTCGTCGTATAGCCCTTGCGCAATCAGAGTCTCTATCTCTTTGAGGTGGTCCTCGATGGAATGTTCGCCATCATCCGCCAAAGGCCGGTACGGCTTGTACCGAAGCAAGGAGGCTTTCTTCTGCGTTTCCTTGACCCGATACATCTCCAAGACTTCCTGCGTATTTGCTAATGCTGCCAATGCCTTTTCACGGGGACTGGCATCGATGTATCGCAGCGGCAATTTACCGACCGAATTGACAGGGAAGTCCAACCCGACCAAATAAGCCATGAGAGCAGCGACGTCGGCCTGCGCAACATCATGACGCTGAATATGCTCCAAATCCCAATCAGACGAAAAGCCGTCCTCATGACCCGATGGAAATCCATCTCGCGTTTTCTTTGGATGTGCTACGCCAGAGCCCCAGACGACAAGCGGTGTCCTGGTATTGTCTGGATGCCCGTCACCATGGCTACCCCAGTCGCTCATCCCATGGTCGGCAGTAAAGATAAAGGCTGACCTGTCATCCCCATAGAAATCTTCAACAAGTTCCGTAATTTCCCTTATGCCATCATCCACTAACTTGATATTTCTTAAGTATTCCTTAGAATAGGGGCGGTAGGCGTGACCGGTAGTATCGAGCCCGAGAAGATGGAGAAAGAAAACAAGCTTGTCCTGTTTCAACAACGCATATAGCTCCGGATCGTCCCTCGCGGACCCAAAGAACTCCTTCACCTTATCAAAAACCCATGTGTCCAGCTGTGAGGCATCCGCAGTAAAGTCCTCCGCCTCTTCACTGTATGTTTCCGCATCGACCCTCCCAGGAACCGCGCCTTCTTTGAACATTAGCAGAATATCCGGGCTACCCCAGCTCCATGTATGGAGACTGCGGTTGAAGACACTGTCGAAATTCACAGGATTGAGTTTCCAGCCCGTCGTCACCGCCGACACATCCTCGTACAACCCCGCAATGAGCGCAACATGCCCAGGTCTCGACTCCGTAGGGACTCGTGTATGGGACACACCAAAGGTGCCATGGTAGAGGGCTCGAGAACGAATGAAAGGAGCAAGGTGCATCGTATCTCTGGCACTTGAATCTGCAGCATCATCATCATCTGAGAATGGATCGGGAAATGCCTGAAAGGCTTTGTCCGCGCGCAAGCCGTCCGCGACGAAAAGAAATAGGCGTTTAGCGGGGGCATCGGTTTCCGGTTCGCGTTCGACCCGAAATGATCTCATCCCACGTACAATTGGACTAACAAAATATATATCGAATATCGAATATGCGTACATAAGGTGGAAAACCACTGCGAGGGTCAGAAACCCAACGCGGCCGAGACGCGCCATGATTTCCTCTCCTTAAGGGGAACCAGGCCAGACAGTCAAGTCACCACGGAATTGTCACCCGCAAAAGTGCGGAAAGAAAGGGGGGGGAAAGGGAACGTTGGAAAGGAGAGACGGGAGAAGCAAGAAACACCCTGACCGTTTTCTAATGCATGTTGACTGCTGGTCACTCCGGAGAACACTTCTACCTGGCTTCAAATTCGGGGCCAATTGCGTACGGCGGCCCGCCCACTCCTCTCATGCAAGATCTCTAATAATAGTTCCGCAAGACGGGATATTTCTATAAATTCTACATGCCATCTTCGCAACCCAATGCAGGAAAACATACTAACAGGTTTTCTGTGAACTTTTGATGCCAATGGTGATATGGAGACTATACAGCGTATGAATACTAGGCAGCTCCTGTCAAAATGAACGCCAGCTCTGGTGATATACTCCAAAGAAAAACATAAACAAAACATAACCAGGCGCCAGTGACCAAAACAAGTTGAAGAGATAAGTATATATAACGGGCATTAATCGTCCGACTCAGCAGGTGGTTTAGTGAGAGCATCCATTACGCGAGTATAGAAGTTAGATGCCTGCCGCCGCGAGAATGTGATGTCTACCGTCAGGTATTCTGGCAGGATGTCAATCAGGTCTCGGTCTCGGTTCTCGTCCAAAAATGGTATGTATTGAAATTCCGCAGATTCGAAGTTGGCCACTGAGACGTGAGGAACAGCAAGCTTGAAGTGAAGAGCTGCCAGTATGTTAGCGCGCAGAGATCACACAGGCGGCTTGCACAGAGGGAAACCCACTTCCGTTAGCTCCAGTCTGGATACAATCATATAGACTGTCTGATTCCCTCTTTTTAACGTCGCGAATGATCAACCCTGTCAAATCACTATAAAGGTCCTCTTTCAGCTGTGCAATCTGTGCTGCTTGTGCTGCTTCAGCACTCGCGGCGGTATTGAGGCGATTTGCTGCGTTCTTCTTGATAGCGCTCCCTGGCACTTTGGCAGCAGCACTTTCGATACTCGCGGCGGTATTCCGGGCAGCGGCGAGCTTAGTCTGCAAGGCCTTGACCTCAGACTGTGCCGATGAGAGCTGACCTGTCAACTCATCAGATCGGGACTCTAATTGGGCTACTTTCGTATCTCGATCTTTTAGTTGTCTCTGAAGAGCTCGTGCTTGCTGACCAAGAGCCTTCTCGGTTACCAATTCGGCCTTGAGGGAGGCGACCAATTCATTGGAAGCTAAGAAGTCAGTATTTACACCAGCAACGCATAAGACGCGTATAATAGCTTAAAGGCGTTAGCATACCTTTCGTAATTGCTTCACATTGTTTTCGCATTTTGTCCACATTGGCATTTGCCTCGACAATTCCTACTTCCCTCAGGTTACGATATACCTTTTCTAGAGCATCGTATCGCTTGGTCAAGTCATCAAATTTGCGTTTCATTTCAACCTCTCCGCTTGGTTTTTCTTCGCCCTGGGCCACTCCCGATCTCCGCTTGGAAGGTGAGTATTGTACATCCCGCTGCGACGCCAGGGTATCAAACGAAGACTTTGTCGGAGATGTTGGGGCATGCGGGGCGGAGGCCAATTTATCATCTATGATACTTTCATCGACTTCGGGTGCTGATACTTTCTGCGTTTCGGGGATAACGTTGTCTTCCTCCGATTTCGCTTTCTGTCCCCTCACAGCTGGTGCAACCTGAGGCTTGGGCATGACTGGAGACTTGATCTGTCTGGACGCTCTAGGTGTGTATTCGAATGCACCATCAGTCACGACTTTAGCCGTATCACTTGCTTTCCTGCGACCACGCTTCGCTGCTGTCTTCGGGGGGTTCGAGGACTTCGAGGCATTCTGTAATGAGTCAAGTTCTTCATTTGACATAATGGATTGTTCTTTATCTTCAACCTGCGCATTATTGTCCCTCTGGGTTTTCACCTCCGCTACCACCGTGGCTTGAGTATCAGTGGAGCTCCGAGAACCCTTCGGTCTTCCCCTCCGTTTAGGCGCTGTAGCTTCCGGTTCTTCGGATCGCGCAGATGTTGGACGCGCGCTATTTCGCTCTTTGTCTATCGTTCCAGCAGCATCTGGTTGAGAAGTTTTAGGCCTTCCCCTTGCTCTCTTCGGTGGGCGGCCGTCGGCAGGCGCGTCATTGACTGCGGAACGCTTATTGCGCCGTAAATGCATTGCGTCCCCATTATTCGAGCTATCTCGGCTGGGGGGGTTCGTTTCTGCCTTTCGCTTGGGCATTGTATTATAGGAGGACAATGCACAAACGGACAGGCCGATGCGCTGATCATCAATGGTGTAGATTCAATATTGTCCTCCGTACGCGATAAAACCAAACAGTGTTTTGGTGTTGTAGCTGTTGGCGAACGGGTCAAAATATACAAACACTGCAAACACGTAACTTCCGACCTGCCACCGAAACATGTGACAGCTGCCGCCAGTAGCCAATCAGCACGTCATCGCCGGATGCACTTAGGCAGAATTACCGTGCCAGCGCCGAAGCGCATCGACGACTTCCGCAGTTCCCTACAGTTAGATCTTCTACCAGCTATTTCTTCCAACGGAGTTATTGATTCACTTAATTCACATCCTAGTTTCCATTAGAGGTTTGGCATTTGAATTTACATTATTTTCAACCCTGTTACGCCCCATCGCCGTGATGGCTTCAGCAGGCGGTCGAAGATGGCAGCAGTTCTTACAGGAGCTTGTGATGGTGGCTGGCACGGTGAGCTCAAATCTCTCCCCTGGAGCACGCAGGAAATGAAGTGATTAATGCATCGTAATATGCAGTCCGCTTCCGCGTACTTTCTCATTCGGTATCTCCTATCGCGTCTAGATTTCGATCCTGAAGGACAAAAGAAAGAGGAACAGCGACGGAAGTCTGCAGCCATTCTACGAAGACTTGATTCGGCAGAAGATTCAGACGACGATTCATCTGCAACCGGGACCAGACGAGAACGAAAACCGAAGAAGGTGGACCTTGTTCTGAATCAGTATGAGCAAGCAATTGCTATGGACGTCGTTGCCCCGAATGACATTCCTGTGTCATTCAAGGACGTTGGCGGCTTGGACGACATCATTGAGGAGCTGAAAGAATCTGTTATATACCCGCTAACTATGCCTCATCTTTATTCTTCTACATCCTCTCTCCTAACGGCTCCTTCGGGCGTCTTGCTCTATGGTCCCCCAGGCTGCGGAAAGACCATGCTTGCGAAAGCTCTCGCTCACGAAAGTGGAGCATGTTTCATCAATTTGCACATTTCAACGCTGACAGAGAAATGGTACGGAGACTCTAATAAACTGGTGAATGCGGTTTTCAGCCTTGCCAGAAAACTACAACCTTCAATCGTTTTCATCGACGAAATCGATGCAGTGCTTGGGACGCGGAGAAGCGGAGAACATGAGGCCAGCGGCATGGTCAAAGCAGAGTTTATGACACATTGGGATGGTCTGACGTCAGCCAATTCGCTCGGGGAGCCTCAACGTGTTGTCGTCCTCGGGGCTACAAATCGAATTAACGATATAGACGAGGCAATTCTCCGGCGTATGCCCAAGAAATTTCCTGTCACCCTGCCACCAGCTGAGCAGCGACTTCGTATCCTCAGTCTAATACTCAAAGATACTAAAGTCGATCGTGAGAATTTCGATCTTGATTACCTAGTCAGGGCCATGGCGGGGATGTCTGGCAGTGACATCAAAGAAGCATGCCGTGATGCGGCCATGGTCCCTGTTAGGGAATTGATCCGACAAAAGAAGGCAGAACGCCTCCATATGTCGTCTGTTGACCCCAATGAGGTTCGTGGTCTCCGAACGGAGGATTTCTTCGGTCACGCCGGAGGTGTGAAGATCATCCCGCCGCCCGTCCCAGTACAACAGCAAGCAAAAGAAAGCCAGCCAGATTCGGAAAAGTCCTGGAGTACAGAGTCAGAGACAGGGTCTGACCCTGAGAATCGCCCGTTTGTCCCGTTGGCGGAGCCTCCGGAATGAGCTGATCTGAGGTTTCTCTTGATGTTTCGCTCATTATCAGCAGTGACTTTCAGTCATGTACACCACGAAGAAACGGCGTTATGTTTGGACATGTATCTTTTTGTTTTTTTTTTAGCAGTCATGCTCACTCGTGGAGCCCACTCCCTACTTCGAAAATTAATCAGGCCTTTGATTCTCTTTCTCTCGCGCAAGTACTCAGTCTTGGACAGTTTATTTACCAGTTTCGTCACTTATTCTGGTTAGTAGATCGCCTCGGGGTTTCCTATACCATATAACTAGAAGGAATCCGTTTTGGACATGTTAACATGTTGCTGATGATGTTAAGGCTTCTATTTCTTAAGCCTGCGGGTATCATGAGTGAGCTTTTGATATACATAAACAGATCTATAGATCTATGGTCCCCAATGATGGATCTTTCTTTTTCAGGAATCAATACATAGTTCTCTAATACCTAATCTACCTGAGATGGCATTCTTGGAATCTGGACCGTTATCTAATGCACGAATGATTGCTTGCAATCAACATACCCATCCACCATCAATTGTATAGATGGATCCGGTAGTGAAGCTACTATCATCGCTGAGGAGAAAGACAATTGTCTCCGCAATCTCCACAGGCGCCGCTGTCTTGTTCAAGCTGTTGGGAATCGGGGGAGGGCATCCAGCTGGACTTCCAGCAAGTTTTGTTAATGGGTATCCGTAAAACCGCTGCAGAACCCAATCATCAACACATACTTTGTCTATGTCTTTCCTAACGGAATAGAACTGTCCTCTCAGTATGGAATAAGGAAGTATCTACTTACGGTGCAACAGCATTGACCCTGATGTTCCACGACCCGTTTTCCTTCGATGCGACCCTTGTCAGGCCTATGATGGCATGCTTTCTTTTGTTGACAGTCAGAATCCATTCCATTTTCTGGGAACAAAGAGAAGGATGAATGAAAAGACCATGTTTTCCCTGCCACATATCCTGCCGCACCAGGAGTCCCAATCAGACCCGCTACACTGGAGCAGTTCACAATAGCTGCTCCCGATTTCATTGCTCTGGGTTCTGCACGGAGACAGTTGAATCTATGGATGGACTTGCAGTTAGTTCAACTCAACCCTGATAGACTTCCTGGAAAAAAGATGGATAGATACAGCAGGGACTACATAGTACATACGTGCCCGTTGCATTGACGCCCAGTACAAATTCCCAGAATTCATCGGAGGTATCTTTCAAGTCCACGAGCCCCGTAGTACCTGGTCTCTGTGATACACCAGCGATATTGGCAGCGCCGTCTAGCCTTCCGTATGTTTTCAGGATATCTGCGATCCAGTCATCCACCTCTTTGGGGTTTCGGATATCAACTACGCGGGTTGGTACGGCTTTTGCGCCGGACTCAGTACAGAGCTTAGCCGCCGTCTGCAGGTTGTGATCGTTTATATCGCACAATGCGAGTGTTGCTCCTCGGGATGCGAGGACTCGGGCTGTTGAAAGGCTGATTCCAGATGCACCTCCTACTGTACGTCCCTGAGACGTATAAGATGCTGGTGGGGGTCAAACTCGCTGGGTTAGTTGTTCTAGCAATGGAGGCCCGGAGCCGGGCAACTATGTTGTTGGTGGTTCCCATGGTTCACTCCTTCTTAGTTAGCATAGCGTAGATAACTAGCTACTAGTGCACTCCTAGCTAGAACAACCAACTCAACAAGTTCGACCCCCATCAACAGCTAACGTGACCTTGGTCCCGTGACAGGCGTCAAGGCTGCATCTAATAATGAAGTGCATCAGAGCTGGGCACCTTCACCTTTGTGCTTTACTGCGTTTACCCTATATATTCAAGTGTGATTCTTGTGAATGACAGCAACAACACATCAAGTTGTTAAAATGCCCAGAATGGACAAGGGAGTCAAGTCGAGTGGTTACAGGAATGGAGTATTATCACGAATGTCTCGACTGCCGGGCAGAGTCTCTGCATCTATTTTTTAACGGACAAAATGAGCATGTCAGAAGCAGATTGATGATAATCCCAGTCTCTTTCAAGAGTATTCATTGAAGACTAGCCCGTAGTACATTGAAGACCAGAACAATCTTCTGCTGATGCGTGCTCTCTCTGAAGACCCTCAGCAAGGTTAGAGCTAGTTCACTAACTCGCAGCTTGCTATTATTATGAAATCCAATAGCGATCGCTTTCCAGATATCGACCGGGAAAATGTAAAGGTTGATGTCGATCCCCAAGTCATTGCAGGTGAGTGTGTCCGGATTATTTATCAAGCATATATGATATATAGCCATAAGACTGACAGAGCATGTTACAAGCACTGCTGGAAGGCTGTCGGGTTGTCTCTATCCAGGACTATGGCAACAGCTTCTGGGCCCATAGCAACCGAGTCAGCGTCGAATTGGCAGATGGAACCCGGCATTCATTCTTCCTGAAAGTCGCGTCTAAAGAGCAAGGCCAAAATATGCTCCATGGCAAATTCGAATCCATGAAAGCTATATACGCTGTGCTTCCTGGCTTCGCGCCAAAGCCTATTGCTTATGGAGCTCACGACAACATACCGTATTTGCACTTTTTCCTCTGCGATTTAGAGAGATGACAAGAGGCATACCAGACCCCCGGCAGGTTTACCGCTTCTCTTGCAGCTCTTCATGGAAACAGCAAGTGCCCAACTCGTAAATTTGGCTTTCATATGACCACATATTTTGGTAATCTGCCACAGATCACGGATTGGGAAGAAAGCTGGGAGGTCTTCTTCGCAAAAGGCATGAAGCAAGCCATTGAGCTGAGGGTGAAAGCAAAAGGACGGGACCAGACCTCGATGTTCTGCTCCCTGCCCTTTTCGACAAGGTCATACCTCGTCTGCTGCGCCCCCTCGAGAGCAATGGCCGGTCGGCGAATCCTTCACTTTCCCACGGGGATCTTCAGTATGCCAATCCGGTGTTGACGCAGGGACCGGGGCACCTGTAATTTTCAATGCCTACTGCTTCCATGCCCATCATGAACGGGGTTGGATGGCTAATAGAGACTTGCATGGACTGTCTGACTTGAATATCTGCAGATGAACTTGGCCAATGGCGGCCGGTCTGCAATCGGTTTGGCGACGAGTACCGGAGGATGTATCGCTCTCATGCTCCCAGATCTCCGCCTGAAGAGGATTACGACGGTCGTCTGGACCTTTACAAGCAGTGAGAGGAGACATTATCCGGAGTTTTGAGTCGTGTCCAGTAGCTGACACGGGAATAGGAAATTCAACACGCATGTATCTGCTCTCTTCATAGCCAACCACGCACTTAGAGAACCGTATGAATTGCCCTCGACATTTTCAGTTGGAATCTGCACTGACAAAGGATGCTAGAATGCTCAATGATATCCGAGATCTAGTTCAGAGATACGGCTAATCTTCTCCGAGGTAAGCCCGCCAGCGCCAGACCTACTCCGACAGTGACGTAGAAGAGGCGGCTGGAGTCTCTTCGGCTCCTTCGCATGTTGTTGCCCCCAACGTCAATGGAATGGACCACGTATTTTGACAGAGAAAGATGAGAAGTCTCACAGGCCGCTTAGTTTCACTCTAATTAAGCCACGCCTGTTCCTGTACCGAGGCAATAATTGTAGAGCCCTGCAACTGTTTACTTGTACGGCAGTGTCTCAGCCCAACTCACCTGCCCCTGAATAGCAAAAGTGAAAGCTGGACGGTATTTGACAGCTGAGACGGTGACGGTTCGCAGCAGAAAAGCTGTGTATTATCTGTCTAATAAACCATCGAGAGGTGCAAAGTACTGAGCCAAGCCGGGCGGGCGAGTGATTGTCGTCAGCCCGAAAGGCGATCCCGTAGGCATCCCACCTATTCTGTTCTCTAACTCAACCACCTCCCAGAACCTCGTTAATTGGTTGCCGCAGACCAACAAACTCGCTTCCAGAGCACCGAAAACCTGCTTCCATGTCAACCCCGAGCTTCTGAGTGAACACGAACCCCGGATGTGATTCTCGCGGTGGATGGCGAGTGGTTCTCTGCTAGGAGACAGATGGCAATTCGCGCCTTGGCAGCTTGAACTGTCTGCCGACAATAACAGTGTGACGACGCACAAAGTTCAGCAGATCAACAGAGACTCTACGTATGGTCGACGGGGATGACTTCCAACAGTGCCGGGTTCCTTAACGCTTTCATTCCCAGGAGCAGTACTGCCAGTCCAGCCCAGCGAGATGCCTCCACTGTCCGATCGCGTACCCGCCGCCGGCCATCCTTTAACGACGACGACAGTAACAATGATGACGCTGGACATGGCGAACTCGATCTTTCCTCGAGATACGAGAGTGCATTATCCTCTGGCGCGTCAACGCCCCGTTCTCGTCATGCTGCCCCGTCCCCCCATCCTTCCCGACAGATCTCCCCCCTTCCTATGAGACACCCATCCCGTGCATCTAGGCCGCTTGATCGTGATGGACGGCAGAAGAGAGATCCTACTCCCATGGGTGGACTTAGCCTCGCTGGAAGCAGACAGTTAAATCTGGCTGAAACGTCCCGCGCTGCCGTGGACCTCCTAGACGCATCTTGGTCGTCGTTGCAGGGTCTAGCTTCATCGGTTCTGGGGAGTGATACTAAACGAACAGCGACATCTAACGGAACAGCAAAGAATCATACGCGGCGGAAGCCATCCTGGACAGATTCCTACTTACGAAGCACTCCTCGATCGTTGGCGCCGTCATCTTGGGGCCCGTCAGGCCGCGCTACACCGGAAATAGGTGGGGGAAGTCAGGAGGAGAGATTGGCGTTATTGCAGGCGAAGAAAAGGGAGGCTTTGCTCTTGGCAGACACAGATTCCGTATCGGATCTTGCTAGTCGGCATAAACGACGAGATTCAGTTGATCGGTCAGATCAAACGACTATCGACCCGGAGCAAGACACAGGAGCCTTGGTGTACATACATCATGTCCAAGGGAATGATACAATATCGGGGGTCACAATACGCTACGGATGTCAGCCGGCTATATTCAGGAAGGCCAACGGGTTTTGGCCCAGTGACAGTATCCAGAGTCGAAAGACTGTGCTTCTACCAGTCGGATCATGCTCTGTCAAAGGACGGCCCATTCCACCTGCAGAACGTAAAGATCTCGGGAATATCCATGCTGCGAAAGATTCTTCAGAAGACTTGAGTGCGAGTTCAATCGCACCCGTGACTGTCCAGACTACTGAAGCACCATCAAATGGCGATATACCATCAAATAAAAAGTCCGAGAATGAAAGGGACCAGATCTGGAAGCATGAATCATGGGTCCAAATAGATGGATTTCCATCACCTGTTGAGATAGGTCGTGTTCCTCGCAGAACGCTAGGGTTCTTCCCACGCACACGTCGAAAATCTTTACTACATACTGACTCAGAGTCGCCTCCGCCATCTGTTCGAGATCCAACTATTCACCAACCGTTGGCTCAGTCATCTGAGCCTCAGCCATCCTCGATCACTGTCCCAAAAATCCGTCTTGATGCTGACATGCGCCAGACAACATCTAGGTCTGGGGTTCGTCATCAACGCAATCGCAGTAGCTTTCACCTTTCTGGTCCAGGAGTGGGCACTCTCGATCGCGATGTAGTTGCCCCTGGTCCAGCTCCGGACAAATTGAACCAATTTTTTGCCCAGCATATGCCAAATTTGGCACCATCAGCGACTGATCTGCAGAGCCAGACTGCGTCACCAGTATCAACACCGACTTCGATAGCATCAACGCCCCTTGATAATCTGGGCGGCATGCTCGAAGGTTGGGTGAGAAAGGTTGCCATGCGAGCAAAAACTAATATAAATGAATGGCAGCAGCAAGCCCAGCTGTCAACCGGTCGAAGTCACGTGCCGGGGTTTGATGACGGGGTATTGGGAGGGGACTTGATCGAGCTGGATTCTGGGCTGGATGCACGGCATAACAATCGCGCTGCTGCCATGGACACTGTGGCAGGACGAGATTCTAGCCTCACCAGACCCGTGGGCTTGCGACAGGCATCATCGTCGACAGTTTTGCGAGGACGATATCATAGCCCTTCGGTACCTACGAGCGGGACTCGTGGTTCTGATGTCAGAGTTGGGTTGAAAGATGACTGATCCTCTTCTCCTTTTTCTCCCCCTTGATCACCTATCTTCCTGGTCTTTGTCAAGTGATTATATACATAATAGACGACACATTATGCAGTGGATTATTTCTGCTAGCTTTGTATATCCATTCGCTATATCATCATGGTTTGGAATTGGGTCTACTTTACCTAATCTTATTATTCCCCTATCTGTTGTTTCTTTTTTCTTTTTCTTTTTTTTTTTTTTTTTTTGCCCCTGTTCGTATTGGCTATCCTTTTTCAAGTTGCATTTTCTCAGTTGTGATCGGCTTGTAGCCTAATGGAATAAATGGCACACAAGATGATAGCTACTATTGTCACGGCCTATGTAGAATTGGCATTTACTCGAAGGCCAGACCGGTCTTTTCATTCCTAAACTGTCTTTCTAATAGCCAGTGATGAGAGAATTCGTATTCTACGCCCTCATCATCATTCCGGGCTTTATATGTCAATTACATGTACTCCCCCATTACGGGGCTTGCTAGACTGTAAGCCTTATTCCCGCCAAGATCTTGGAATCGAGTGCGAGTCATACTGGTGCTGGACGGCTTTACAAATGCAGTGCTAGTCTAGCATCAGAAGTTATACTTTTCAGTTCGCATTCATGTAGGAACGTGGTTTGAGTGAGCATCTGTTCTGATATTCCTTCCGCAGCCTCATCAATGGTATGGCAGTTTCTTCACAGCCACATACTCCAGTTAAATTCGAATGTTCTCCATATACCTATCTAGGTACCTCACTTGACTGCCTGCAGCTGTGCCTAATTTGCATGCGAGCGCTGACTGGTCCATCCATTAGACTTCACAGCACATGGAACAACCGCAACTTTATAATCTGCAGAGGACTAGAGTTTCCGAGTCAATCTTATCCATATGGGTATTCTGAAGATTGGTTTCTTTGTATCAAACTAGCTAAGAAGTATCATCAGGATCGGTCGTAGCATCCGACATCAGAAACCAATATATGTCGATTCTATTGGGTATGAGAACCAACGAGAACCAAACACACGATTATACAGAAATGGTTTTCGCTGCTGAGCTTGATTTTTTGGCTTATTCACAACCCTGTCTGGCGGTTCAAAGAAGGATACCAGACGCTTGTTACCAATGCCCTTCTGTAGATACTAGATGCAACTCCCTGCTTCCAATTGCAACCAGATAGACTATTACCCCGGATTAAACATGCAGTTTGTGACAGTTGATGCGGAGAAGTGGACCTGCCAGAGCTCCAACTTGAACAAAGCCTAAGCCCTAAGAAAGCCCCGGCTGCATTCCGAATTCCTTAACTTGCAGCCATGTCTCTTTTTTTTTTTCTGATAGAATTTATCAATGCCCTCCCGTCTTGCATTTGCATATGTGCGATCTTCTCATGCTCTAGAGAAAACACCCCGACCGAGCTTTTGTGCTTGTTTCTATTCCATTTCTACTTCCTCTTATTCCTCGCTTTCTGGGGAAACATGAAGCTGCTACGGGCAAAAGACAGGATAATCGGCCACCAGCCTACGACTCCCAGAGACACCAAAACTGTCCCTATGTCTGAATCTAGCAGTATCCACGAGCATGAAACCTCATCTTCAGAGCAGGCCGTGGCTTCCAGGGGTTTCCAGTACTGGCATCTGAGCACCGAGAACTCATGTCTTTGAAGAAGTTCGACTGGATCGGATTAATAGGAATTATTGTGAGTTGGGTCAACCAAATGTTCCATGGGTTAAAAGCTCGTCATAACTAACTGAATAGTCTGGTCCGCTTATGTTCCTGTTAGGAGTTACCTGGATTCCCAGTTACGGGGCAAACGATGCTCACTCCCTGGCCCCATGTAGATCACATGATATTATGCTGCTGAGTCAGCACACGACCTGTCGGGACTGCAAGGAAGGACGAACATCCCGTCGCCGTTCACATCCACCTCCTCCAAGTCAGCAAGACCCTCTCCGCTTCATCCAATTGCTTCGATTCTCCCCTGGACTTCTCCAGATCCCATTCGGCCCCTCTATCCTTCACAATGGTCCAGTACTACCAGATCGCCGGCAAGAAGGTCGGCTCTCACGTCGTACGTGGATAAAGTTCCAACCCACACTACGCTACGCTGGACTGCTTTCGTCGTGCTAACCAGGCGTTACTAGCTGACCATGGCTACCCTCGGAACTATTTTCGGTGCTACCTGGCTCTCCTCTCGTGGTGGTGAGAAGAAGAAGGAGCAGGGTCCTCCCGTTGTGGCTTCGTCTAAGGATGAGGAGCAGTTTATCCAGTATGTTGCCATTATTTTTTTTGTGCTGTGCAGTTTGACCTTTTAAGGCATTGAATTTGGACCAATTGAATGTGGATAACTAGTATGAGAATGTACCGACTAACCACGTTTGCTCTAGACAATTCCTGAAAGAGGTCGGCGGCGAGGAGAACAAGGCCAAGCACTAAATGCGCTTCTATTTATCGACAATAACCACGAAAAGAAGACAATACGGAGGAACTGGCGGGTTTGGAGGATAAGGATACCGGGCGCAGCTTCGAGGTTGTTAATTCTGTCCGTCTGTCTGTCTGTCGCGTTACGTTGGTGATGGATCCGGCTGGATTTTAGCCATTGCGAAGGCTAACGGTCTGAATGGGAGTTGTCAATTCGATGCCGCGCCGGATTGGATTCTTCGGATGCGTGTGGCCTGTACATAGGTACTTTTCTTTCTATCAACGTTGAAGGCCTTCCATTTCCATTTTAGTGCTCAGGTCTTGGCACCTTTTGCTCACTGAGTAGATCTGAGCATGCTAGATGGGCGCAGAACATGTTGCAACACCTTGCTCAAAGCAATAACATATTTGAGGAGGTGATTCAACAGTTTACTGAAAATAGTGCCGCACAGGAGGTGTGAGCTTCTGCTAGAGTGGCGGGCCGCAGTTTTGCTCCCTAATTTCGCGTAGAGCCAGCAGCCACAAGGAAGACCACTTCCTTGTAGAACAAGATAGCAAGCAGAACAAGCAAGATAGGCGTCAGGAATCAAGCATTCTACAGCCAGTCTAGTCGTCGGCTCAGTACATTGATATTCTCCCAAAATTGCTCCACGATAAGTGATTCAGTAGTTTATCAGCTTCCTGGGAGTCACCAGCGCCATCTACAGAATGAGCACGGACACTCTCCAGCAAGCCGTTCAGGTATTCTGATGATGGTAGTTGTACGGCAGTCTGTTGCGGCCAGATTTTCCAATCAGCAGAATCCTGGAACTACAATTGTATTTGACTCTGGTACACAACTCTATCCATGAATACCTACATGACTTCACTTGGTTGGGTTTGCTATTTGGCTACTGGTCCTAGACACCACATAGAGGTGCAAGTCTGTGCTTAGGTGTTGTACACAGGGCCTGCACAACTAGGCAGGGCAGGGGTACTTTAATGTAGCGGCGGGTTCCGGATTTTGACCCAACTGAGACCTGCAGTCAGGTTCTGTGTGGGAGCCTGGCCATGGGTTACGTTTAGGATAATGTTATGGAGATCAACTAGAACATAAATAGGATGCTATTCAGCTATCTAGGCAGCCATTAACGAGACCTTCAAGCATGGAGAAGGAGGAAAAAGAGAAGGACATAGTGACTATTTCGGACAGGCGGATTATCTAATAATCCAGTCCGGGATCCGGAGTATATATGTTCCGGGAGGAAAGGTGCCTATACACCCGGGTTCCCCGAATCCCGCATATATGAAGCAATTAAGCATAAAGCATGTCAAGTAAAAGCTTCACGATGTACTAGATACGGCAGTATATTGATATAGAGCGTTCACCGCGAATATGAATCTTATGGTTTCCTTTTAGTATTTGATATCCGGACGCTATACCCAGATCCACGTCAGATATCTCCAACTTTTGTTTTGATCCCGGAGCTACGTCTTGTCTATCTACCTGTACCATAGCCTGACCGCCTGTCTATCCCTCTTAGACATCTCCGCTGACCGCCTCGAAATCCGATCACCAGAGAGCTACGTGAAAGAATACTTTGATCGAAACCTTCACATTCATGAACCCAAACCAGACCCAGAAAGAAGGGGAAAAATGATAAAACCCTTCCCATACCCCCTAAACATAGGAACCGACATCGTCCACCTCCCACGCATAACACGCCTCCTCACCCACCGACCCAACTACCTCAACCGCTTCACGCGACGCATCCTCTGCGACTCAGAGCAGGAGGACTTTCGAACGCGATTCCGCATTACCAATATCAATACGAACGAATATTCCAATCACAATGTTGTCTCTGTATCTCCCGATATGATCCGTTGGCTGGCGGGTAGATTCGCCGCGAAAGAAGCAGCCAAGAAGGCCGCGCCGCTCGGGGCTGCCGGGGTGGGATGGAAGGATGTTCTTGTTCGGGTTCCGAGGGATGATGAGGATAATTCAGGGGTAGCTTTAGGGTCTGGGAGGCCTGAGATTGTGTATTTGGATCGTCCGATGACTGGTGATGCGCAATGGGTCCAAGCAGAGGCTCGAGGAGCAAAGGGGAGGGTTGGGAAACTGTCCATTTCTCACGATGGGGATTATGTGGTTGCTACTGTTCTTGCTGTTGGGTGAGGTCTACCGGATGTTACGGGTTATTTTTTATACCATCTCCTTGCAGGATGGCGTCTGCTGGACGGCAGGTCCTTGGCTTGCAGGTTTCTCTTTTCCTGCGCGCCTCATTTGGGAATACCGTGAAGGCACATCTTGTCCAGAAACAGAGAAGGGCGATTCCGCCAGATGCAGGAGACATGACCACAATCTTGTCGATTTAGCCAAGATGGTCTCCGGTGTCCAGTCACAGACGGAGCATGCGCCGGAGAATTCTATCCTTGTGAACCCATCACATTGGCAAAACAGAACATCTGTTGGATCTCGTCTTGATTCTAGTCTTAAGATATGGCAGACTACTGAACAGGACAATCCACCCATCTAACCAAAAATACAGAATGATCGCATTATCATTTGGATTAAAAAGAAAGGCAGATCTTGCCAAAATAGTATAGGTAATACGAAATATCGGTTCCGCTACCGGCAGGTAAATTATTCTTTTTTCCCCCCCTTTTTCTTGCTTTGGATCAATAGCACGTAAATAGACCTCGTCTTGCATGAGAATTTTGGGCATGGCGACTGTCATTTCATTTCGGAACAGAAAGAAAGAGACATAAGTAAGGACCGTATACGTTATCCCCCGGCTAAGCAGACTTGTTGTTGATCTTGATAAGCTCGACGTCGCTAATGTGTATTAGTGAGTGGCCAGGCAGACCCCAGGGAATCCAAACTTACAAGACGAGAGTAGCATTGGGAGGGATGAGACCGGGGAAACCACTGAAAGCAATCTCGTTAGTACCAGCGCCCATGTAGATACGTAACTCGAGTCCCTCGCAGAGAACCAAATGTGTGTAACTGAAACGTCAGACATACCGTGGGCCGTAAGCGTAGTCTCTGTGGTTTGCATGGTTAGCGGAGCCATACCACTGTAAATATCCAAATGTCCGGTGTAAACGACTTACCCGCTGATGGTCAGAATCGACCTCTCGCCCAGAGTCATCTGGAGCACACCCTCATCCCAGCCTGGGGCCAGTTAGACAAGATGATCGACAAGCAACGACCGATGAAGTGAGGAACACGCACCTCTGATGACCTGGCCGACGCCAATGCTAACCTCAAGGGGACCTCTGGACTTGGAGCTGTCGAATCTGTGTCGTGAGAAGGTCAGCATCCCGTGTGACCTGAATATTTCTGGCTCATTTCCCAGGGGGGAAAGAAGCGGGGGAGGCCTCACTGTTTCCCCATGTAGTGGTTATCCGCCTTGGACTCGTCATAGAGACAGCCGGTGTAGTGGATGGAAACGTGGTCCCCCTTCTTCGGGGAGTCCTGGCCGTTGCCGGGGCGGAGGACAGTCTTAGTAACACCCATGATGCTGAGAGATCTCTGCGATGACTGATGAGATGATTGAGGGTGAGAAAACTGGGAGGAGATGGAAGTGGGATGGATGGAATGGATGAGGGGAAAGAAGAATTAAAGGCCTGAGACAGGAAAAAGTAAATAAAGCACGGCGTAACCTAAACCTAAACAGTCACGGCCCACCGAGAGGAAAAGAAGAGGAAAGAATCGTTACTATTATTTAATGAATATATAATAACAACAATAATAACAGGACCATCAAGATCCCTGAATAATATGAATGGTGACGGCGATGACGAAAGGCATCCAGCGCAATTAGGTCAACATGTCATTATTATTCTACGTCAGTTACGATGGCCATGACCCAGCAATGAATCGCTAGAAAGCTCAGCTGCAGGGGCTGTACAACTTATTAATGGATGAGTCCCCGCGGGGTCAACACGTATCTCGCTGTTCTCGACCTTCTTGGCGCGTCAGCCTCCTCCAACGCTGGGGAAGACTGCCAGTTCTCGCATGTTCAGGCCTCTCTTCTTACGTCGATGCAATGCCTGCGTCCCGATTCTTTATCCAGGGCACGGAGGACGGACTGTCTTCGCTGGAGCGGGTGCAAACCGGCATGCAGGCAGGATGCCAGGTCATCTCGCAGTCCGTCTGGAGGATGTCCAGCTCTGTCCTGGTAGCTGGACTGGTTGATCTGCATGCGGGGAACGGCAGTTGTACTCCCTTCCGTCAAAGGAACAGGGCTCGTATCTCTCGGGCATCGACAGTGCGAGACTTGGACAAAAGGGAGCTCTTCAAGATAGAAATCGCTACATGCGGATAATGCTCCAACCAGGTACCATGACAGACCGAATGCACATAGTCCGACAGTGTCCTTGCAACTGCGGTAGTAGTATCTATGTATCTATGGTTATCGGCAGCAGCCGTGTGGAGCAGAATGGTTTTTTATCTTCAATGGAAGCACCGCGAAGCCCGGTCGAACGGAAAATCGCCTATTTTTAATTATTCCAGGATCTGCGTGGTGGACTTCACCTTCAAAGTCTCGAGTTTCTCCCCGGAGGCATCTTTATGATTGTACAGCGCTGTACAGGATATATTCCGAGAGTGTTACCACGCAGCAGCAATATCCAGTGGAGAGCTCTATATACTGGTTCGATTTCCTAGGCATTGCTTATTTCCTGCGGCATATTCACAACCCTACCGGCATCGCGTAATTCTTTTTCTTTCCGGCTTGAATCCAGCATGGCGTGGGGAAAACAGCAGCAACAGCCGCAACAAGAATGCCAGGAACCGGTTAATGCGAGTCCCAGTCCTCCTTCCTATGACGCAGATTCCAAATAGTACGTCCAACATCCACGGTTCACCTCACCCCGGAACACCAAGACAACCTCCCAAACTAACACTTATCAACAAACCAGCAACATCGACTCGACAGACACTCCCTACCGCTACGCCGCATACGCAAACAGAGCCCGCACAATCCTCCTCTCCGCCCACCGTTACGTCGCCTACACCTCCGACATAGGCGAGTCCTTCCGTCCCGTCGTCCACCCCTACCTCGTCCGCACCGCGTACGGCATCTCCTGGACCTATGTCATCGGCGATGTCGTCCATGAGGGGTACAAGGCATATCAGCGGAATCGAGCTGTTCTAGCCGATAATGCTCGGTCCCAGCGGGGACTACAGTCGCAGTCGCAGTCGCAATCTTCGACCGTTCCGCTGATAGACGACTACCGACTCATCATGGCAAAGCGCATGACCTTCCAGAGCCTGGCGAGCATGGGCTTTCCCGCCTTGACGATCCACAGCGTCGTCAAGTATTCTGGGAAGATGCTGAGGAATGCCAAGACGGCGTTTGTGAGGACTTGGGCGCCTATTGGAGTGAGCTTCCCTACTTCTCGAAGCCTGTTTTAGGAGCATGCAATTAACAAGAAAATCAATAGCTCGGTCTCTCCGTCGTCCCCTTCCTCCCCTACGTCTTCGATAAACCCGTCGAAGAAGCTGTTGAATGGTCCTTCCGTGAAGCCGTCCGCGCGTGTGCCGGTGAGGATGCTGTGCGGTCTTTATCTATCCCGTCCGAGGGGAGTGTGGTTGCTGCTCTGAAGGATGCCGCTCCCGTCGTGTCCCAGATAGAAACAGAAACAAAGAAGAACCCCGAGCGGGAGCAAGGGAACGGCAGACGTCATTATTGGGGGTATTTTTGGAGTTCGAGCAAGGAGAAGACGGAGTGATTGTTGCTGTTTATTGGGTGGTTTCATTTGTGCTGGTAGTTGGGATAGACATCTGCATTTATCTTCGAACATATAATCAGGTATCCTGAATTGAGAATTACAAATAGGTATGTTGTTACAGTCGATACAATTGGCATAATGATATCTGTCCGATTTTCTCCTCATTCACTAGGGATATACATCTGTACAAATAAAAGAAAGCCGTAGACAAGAAGGGTGGTCCTAAAGTGTGCGGCATTCACTCATAAAGGATACCTGTCATCCAACCAACCGATTGGCGGACCACATAATATATACGTGTTCCGAAGGACTCGTAAGTATCCAGTGGTGGTCACTAGGTAGATCTGCAGCTCAGTGTCACCATCAAGAAGGGGGGGAATAACAAACATCGAAGGTAAAATACAATATCCTTAAGCAAAAAGGTATAAATACGAAGAACAATTGGGGAATAAATGGAAAAGATACAAAAATAAAACCAAAAAAAAGAAGAGAAATGAGTGGAAGGAGAAAGGAGAGCCAGAAAGCGAATGTTCAAGTTGGAAGTAGATTAGGAAGCTTGTTGTGCCTCGAAAAAGTCCAGTTCAGCTGCTGCTTTCCCCTTTCCACAAATCTGATTCTCAATTCCATCCCAGCGAGTTCTCGGCCGTTACAGGTGCACTGATCATTTGTGTGCGGTTGCTCCTTCGGCTATTGTGGCTATGCCGAGAAAGTCTGCCACCACTAACGAACAGTGACGCGCTACCAGGCTCTTGTCTCATCTGGCTAGCCGTTGAACTCACGCGCCGGTGAAGCTGGCGCTTCTTCCTGTAGCGGCGTGCAATCCAGACCATTCCAGCACCATACACTGCGGCACCTCCAACTACACCAAGGCCAATGCCCACAGAACTTGCGTGGACGGGAGAGCTAGAGTTTGCTCCGTCATCATCGCTGCCATCATCCGCAGAGCCGTCATTACCCCTACTGCCGCTGTTGGCTCCGCCGCCATTAAAGTTGGTGAACCCGCTTGAAGAGCCTGTGTCATCACCAAGGAGAGGAATCGTAGGGTCCAGCATAGATAGCAATGTTCGAACCGGTGCGTTGGGCTGATCATAGAGCCTGGAGTTTGGATTGTGAAGCATTTGGGCCAACGAGTTCACCGAATCCGAAGGAATGTATATCAGCAGGGTCGTTGCAACATAACCAGTGACCTTTGAGTTGTCGTACGGCTCAATCGAAACCGAATGCACCTGGCTTCCGAGGATTTGCAGAGCGTATTCAAGACCTTGAGGGACGTAGAGAAAAATCTGCGAAGAAGACAAGGTCGTCGTGGCAACGAAGCTGTACCTGAGTTTCCCATTGAAGCCTAGCCGTACCAAGGTAGAATTTTCAGGAGGCGAATCGGGCGCTCCTCCAGCAGGGGCAATAGCTGCTGGAAGGGGCAGCGTTGTGCTGCTAGTAGTGGCTGTTGTTGTAGTCTGCGTCGTGCTCGGAGGTTCAACTAGAATAGTGGATGGCACAAAATCGTAGTCGGAGCTGGTAGCCGTCCAACCGGCCGTTGTCGTCGGGGCCGGTGGCTGCTCGGTAGTAGAGGTCAATTGCTCCGTGCTTGGGGTGGGAACCACTGTGGTCTGGGGAATCGTACTGCCAGGCGTTGTTTCGGTCGATGGGACGGGTGTTGAGGTTACTTGAATGCTAGTGGAAGACGCAATCAACGGAACGCTGGCAGATGTAAACTGGGCCGTGGTGCTGCTCGTGGGAATAGGAGTGGTTGGGGTGACCGGTATTCCTGGAATGGACGTGGTAGTTGAACTAGAGGCTCCAGGAATAGGCGTGGTAAGGGAGGTAAATACTCCCGGAGTCGTGGTTCCTGTGCTTGACAATCCCGGGATTGGGATACTCGATACCCCGGGAATCGGGGTCGCCAATGAGCTTGATGGTCCTGGAATAGGTAATTGAGACCCGGATGCGGTGGTCCCCGACGTACTTGACGCTGTTGGGATAGGGAGCAGTGACCCGGATGCGGTGGTCCCCGATGTACTTGACGCTGTTGGGATAGGGAGCAGTGACCCGGATGCGGTGGTCCCCGACGTACTTGACGCTGTTGGGATAGGGAGCAGTGACCCGGATGCGGTGGTCCCCGACGTACTTGACGCTGTTGGGATAGGGAGCAGTGACCCGGATGCGGTGGTCCCCGATGTACTTGACGCTGTTGGGATAGGGAGCAGTGACCCGGATGCGGTGGTCCCCGACGTACTTGACGCTGTTGGGATAGGGAGCAGTGACCCGGATGCGGTGGTCCCCGATGTACTTGACGCTGTTGGGATAGGGAGCAGTGACCCGGATGCGGTGGTCCCCGACGTACTTGACGCTGTTGGGATAGGGAGCAGTGACCCGGATGCGGTGGTCCCCGATGTACTTGACGCTGTTGGGATAGGGAGCAGTGACCCGGATGCGGTGGTCCCCGACGTACTTGACGCTGTTGGGATAGGGAGCAGTGACCCGGATGCGGTGGTCCCCGATGTACTTGACGCTGTTGGGATAGGGAGCAGTGACCCGGATGCGGTGGTCCCCGACGTACTTGACGCTGTTGGGATAGGGAGCAGTGACCCGGATGCGGTGGTCCCCGATGTACTTGACGCTGTTGGGATAGGGAGCAGTGACCCGGATGCGGTGGTCCCCGACGTACTTGACGCTGTTGGGATAGGGAGCAGTGACCCGGTGGAGGTCCCTGAGGTGCTTGACGGCTCTGGGATCAGACTTGACAACCAAGGCAGCGGGGCCAAGGGCGTAGTAGACGAAGTAGGGATAGGAAGCTGAGAACCAGAAACAGAGGTCCCTGATGTACTTGACGGTTCCGGTAAGATGCTTGAAAGCCCAGGAATGATAGCCGACGGAGTGGTCGATGGATCGAGGATACTTGAAAGAGCAGGGATAATACCCCACGGCGTGGTTGTGGCTTCAGGAATGGGCTGCTGTGACCCGGAAGCGGAGACCCCTGATGTGCTGGACGGTGCTGAAGTGGGAATGCCGGAAGACGCAGTGACCTGAGGTAGACTTGACCCTGTAGAGGTTGTAGTGTCCGACAATCCGGGAATGGAAATGGAGGGCAAGATCCCTGCTAAAGGATCGGTCGTAGTCGTCGACTCGGGAGGAACGCTTGAAGATGCGGTGACCTGGGGTAGACTTGACCCTGCAGAGGTTGTAGTGTCCGACAATCCGGGAATGGAAATGGAGGGCAGGATCCCTGCTAAAGGATCGGTCGTAGTTGTTCCCTCCACTGCACTGCTAGGCGCACTCAGAGGACTGCTTGCGCTGGTGGCACCTATGGGTTCTGAATGGGGCACACTAGTCGAACTCAACTGTACCGCAGAACTTGTGACCGGGATTGAGCTTCCCTCCGCACTGGATGCACTCGTCGAGGGGCTCAGGCTTCCTCGACCGAGGCTAAGGCCAGTTGAGGGAGGGTTCGTTGCGGAGTTGGTTGGCACCGGCGTAGCCAGCGTCGCAGTTGATGAGGGCGCAACGTCACTAGAAGGAGCCTCTGGGGCAGAAGAAGTGAAGCTGGGGGTAGCCGGGTCAGAAGCGGATGTTTCCATGGGGGCGGAGGTCTCAACGGAATTGGACGCTGGGGCAGGAGCCGAGGACTCGATTGAACTGGATGCCTCTGCGGGGGTGGATGGTTCGACAGCAGCCGATGTCCCAGGGGTGACGGTCTCAGCTGGAGCCGAAGTTTCAGCAGAAGTCGACGATGCAGCCTGCGGGGCTGGTTCAGTCGTTGAGACAGTCGGACTCTCCGCGGCCAAGGGGAAGTTCGTAGGCAAGACAGAGCTAGTCTGGGTAACGGTGTGCGATACTCCATGTTCGTCCACTGAAACAATGACGAAAACAGTGGAAGGGGATGGGCTTGAGGAGGCAGTCACTGGTGCAACCGACTCCGGAGAGCTTTCCGCGGGAATAGCAACGGGAAGCGATGGGGGCACGGTGGGCAAACGGCTGGAATACTGTCTCTTGAGCTCACGAGGGAAGTAGTATCGAGGGACGTCCGCTTCCTGGGCTGTAGCCAGCTCGAGGCTTCCTAGGGACAGGAAGGTCACCAACGTGGACACAACCGTAGGACGCATATTGAGGGAGGATTAGAATATAAGGAAAATATATCCCGTAATGACTTCGGACCGGTCGGTCGGCCCTTTTCAGTATGGTGCGATGTCAAATCGAGCACACGCGGAAGTCAAACTCGACGAATCGGTGGATATAATCTGTATGGCCCAACGGCAAAAGAGCGATGCAAGATTGGGGAGGGTTGTAGTACTGAAAGAATGGACAGAGCAATAGCTCAATTGGTTTGCCGGACGTATACGCAGCTGTGGTTTCTCCCTAGTCTTTTATAACAGCGATATAGGCTGAACGATTGGCGACAGGGAAGGATGCGAAGGCCGTCGTAACTGCTGGTCAATCAAGGCGTGTCAACCGGAAGAATTGATCGCAGCAGGGCTCGCTTGATACACGGGAAAGGTGATCAGGAGAAAAACACGGAATAATGAACGGAAATGCGTATAGAACGGTAGAGATCCTTCTCCACGATATATAGACGGAGTGACGGTGAAATGAACGGAACGAGGACTTGCACACAGAATTCCTCAAGGGGGGAACAGTAACGAGCGTTGGAAAATCAGCAAGTAAATTCGTAAAGAGCGGACAGCGCCTTGCAGAGTCGAAGCGCCAAAAGGGAAAACGAGAAAAGGGTAGAATATAAGAGGATGTCGGTCGTTTGATGGAGGTGGTATTGGGTGAGGTGGGCGGACAGGAGGGCGACGGGAGGATATTTAATAATCTCAGGCGCCGGAAGTCAGATAGAAGTCAGTCCAACCAACTAGTGCCGTAGTGCCAGCAAGTCATTGATGTAGAGGGAGGACGAAGGCCACATCAAAGACCGCATCGACGACGACGGAGCGGAACGACATAAGACAACGAAGATAGAGAGAGAGAGAAAGAAAACAGACAGACAGAACAGAAGAAGCGAACGAACGACGATGAAGGCAGGGATGATTAGGGGGGAGGCAGGGAGAGTCCAGTGCTCACTGCAGTAATATTAATTCTTGGTGGAGGGCGAACAGCCAGGGTATAGGGCCACGCACTGCCTGGTCGGGCCACCGCCGTGTCATGGCCAATTTCCGAGGAACGCCCGTCATTGGCCGCGCACGTGGCACAGGCGGCCGCTAGCCGCTTAGCGCGCTGCGGCTACGTTGGCCTAGTAGTTAGCACTTCTTGGTCTTAACTACGACAGACTGCACTAACGAGGCTCAGACGGGATGATGGTTACATGCAGAAAGTCATCTAACGAAGCTTCTATTTTTGCCGTTGTCGATCTGTTCTAGTAAAACACAGAGGTACAGAGGACTGACAGGCCTAAATGCTCCTTCTACCAGCCTAACGGTTCCCACCGTGCTCAGAACCTGTTTCTGTCCAGATTCCACCCCCCTTAATATGCGCGGCTGGACTACATTCCAGCCACTTCCGTGGACGAGCCCAGGCGCAGACCGGCTTGTCCAGCAGCCCGGATTGGCTACAGTCGGCCGGCTAACGGAAGCCGGAAACAATCTCCACCGATGGCGGTCGCGTTCCTGGCCGTGGCGACAACACGCGGTGCGTGCGTACATGGGAGATTATGCCTTGGGAGTAATAATAATATTAAATATGATTATTATTGCTAGCGGCTTGGTCGATACTATCCAGCCTTTTACTATCAGCTTATTATTGCTGCACGGGCTACGCCCATCCTACCTAGTACGTACATACTACAATACGCCACTATGGACATGGTCGACGTTGATTATCGGCGGTCTATCGAAGTCACATCCCACCTAACTTCTTCCGGACAATGGGGAAAGGGGGACATGTTCCCGGCATTCTTCTGGCCAGCTGCAAGGGATGAGGTAATCAAACTTGGCTGATACAGCTCGTGTTGCATGTCCTGGAATTAACTTTCTTTGTTGTCAGACTCCAACGGAGACCGGTCTAGCTCATTTGGTCCAGCCCTCGACGGCGTAGAAATAACAGGCATTCGGGGCATACCATTCCAAGTTGAAAATACAGCATACAGCGCAATGTTTAATCAAACGTTCCAAAATACTACTGTCCATAGCTTTCCTGGTCTAAGGTGGGCGTTCCCAGTTCCAGGGTTCGCTACACGTGGCCCATGGTTGGTGGTACGTCAACCATGGGATGTCTGCATTGGAGATCTACCTGGCTGCGTAGGCACGGGGATATTACTAACCGGTCAACTGTGAATCGACAATGTACAGTGAGTATATTTTTAGTAGGTCTATCCTGTAGATCTTTCCTTCGTTCGAAGGAAGAGCGTATGTAGGATGTAGGATGTACATTGTATATAGGTATATATAGACAACAAGAACGAACCCAGTCTACAGCTTGGAAGAACGATCCTTCCTCACCAGACCAGAGCACTCAATCTCAACGTCAGAGCCTGCCGGCAACGTTTTGACGGCGACGCATGTGCGAACCTATTCCATATACACACAATGAGCTAAGTCACAGCCACAATGACCACATCACCGATAGGTATTTATAGGAAATATATCCCGCCAGAATGGCGGGAATGACTATGTGACACGACACTTACAGGCTTCGGATCAACAAAGAAGCTATCGTACACCTCATTGACGGCCGGGAAATCGGCCATGTCGGCAAGGAAGATGTTCACTTTGATAGCGTCCTGGAGACTCGACCCTCCTGCCTCGAGCACGGCGCTCAGGTTCTGGAGGATTTGTCGCTGAGTATTATTAGCCTGTATAGTCCATGCATACGGAAGATATATATATCAATGGGTACCTACTGTTCGGTCCTTGACTGACCCCTCGACCATCTTGCCCGTCTTCGGATCTACGCCGAGTTGACCGGAGCAGTAGACCACATCGCCTACCACAAGCCCTTGGGAGAGGAATGGTGCTGGGCGTGGCGCATTTGTCGTGTTAATTTGCGTTCTGGTGGGCTTGGGCATTTTGCCTGGGCGTGGTTGTGTCTTTGACCCGGCGTTGACGCTGTGTACGTGACATCTCCGCGTAGCGGGGAAGTTGATAAGGATGGTGACTAAGCAGTCTGTTTCTTTCAAACTGGAATGATGATTATTTTACTATTCGACCTCAAGAACAGCTTTCTCTGTCCATTATAGCATAACTGTGCTATTCGGTTTTCTATTCCCATAGTCGATACGAGCAATGTTTTGTCTCGCTTCTTGGCAGCTGTTCTCCACAAGCCCTTAGAGAGCAGTCCTCCAATATCCATACCTTTGCACTGCCTTCTATAAATATTCCTGATGACAGATCCTCGCCACTCCACAGCCATGACGTACACACACACAGCATGAAAAGAAAAAGCTGGTGCAGTGATAATCATTTGCTTTCTTTGTTTGTGTGTTATGTTACACTGCATTCCCATCCATTCAGTAAACCCACCCAACAATGAAAGATGGCATTCCCTCGTTGTCTAGTTTCTTTCTTGTCTGTTTTCATCCTCTCCCCGACCCTTATAGTACCTTTGTGGCTATGTTGAGTCTGTGAAATGGGAGCCTGGATGATCATTCAGATGGAGGCACCCTAGACACGGTTCCGCCATCAGCGTCAGCGTCAACACAAGCATCTGCTTCTGCTCATGCAGTTATTGTCCACAATGGGAAACACCAACATTGAGATCATAACCCACAGTCAGGAAGCTAAGGTGTTCCTGGATCGACCTATCCAGGACCTTATCCCCGAGCAATACCTGCGGGAAGCCGACAGATCGCGTAGGTAATTCCCCTAGATGATGATGGTTACGGCAGCGACTAATTCACATTTACCGTCTTGTACAGCTATCATCGATCATGGTGCCTGGGTATTTCGCGCGGCCGAAGATGCTCGACGTGTCAACCTAGCCAGATGGTCAAAGACGGACATCCGCTATCGAGGTTTCTTCAAGACGCTCGAAAAGACGCTTCCTATCCACGGGAGTTCCAACCAGGATGGCCCGGGGAAGTCGGAAAATATGTCGCGAACACAGGGACAGGCTGTATATGCTCTTTTGCACGATATCTTGGACATGATGAAGTGCACGCGTCAGGTGGGGGACAGGCATGAATATGCGTATCTTCGGTGAGTTGTGGTATTTAGCCGGCTTTCTCTGTGCTCGTAGCTGACTTTGATAGTCCCCGTCTTGTCAACTGCAAAGGGGAGTACCTGACCTGTTACCGGCAGAGACATAGAGTAGGGCCAGAAATGGGAGCAATGCTGGCCCTGGATTTGTATCCCAGCAAAGGGAAATCAGAGTGCATCATTCCGATTTCAACGGTACAATTTCTCCTTTCTGTTGCTCTTAGTTCTGAATGGCAACTCACACCTTCACCATCAGACCTTGGAAGATGAACCCTGGGAAGCTGTCCTGAAAGAGAAGTGCAAACTGATACACTCACAACTGCTCACCAATATCCGTCGACTCCGACCCCGCACCTCCAATTTACCAGATCAGGAAGCCTTCCTGATCGACCTTCACGGTTCCCGATTACGCATCTTCCGTGCTCTTTTGCAAGGCAATACGACCTCGGAGAAGCCCTACGACCAGAGAGAACTGCCACGCGGCAGTACGCTCCGACGCCGGTGTTTTTCAAGTCCAAGCACCCTCTCCTCGGCGGAATCTTCCGTCCGCCCACGGGCTGTTGCCAGATATTCGAATCATGGAAATAATAGACTTTTAACCGGTATCCCGCCCTGCGTGCAAGAGGAGGACATCGACGATACCGTAGATCCAAAGCACAACCCATTTCAAAGGAGAGACTCCGAGCCGCTCCGGATTCTCGCAAGCCACGAATATGACTTGTGGGAAAAACATTCTTTCCATGCCGCCGTTCGCGCATTGGTTGCGCTTATCATCTACCTCATGAGCGGGAGAGCCCAATGCGGGGTCCTCCAGCGGGTCTTCCAATGTTATCCGTACCATGACGAGGGGGATACTAGGAACGATATTACTATCAACGCCAAGACACCTCGTGTCGACATGAGCAATGGCCACTTTGGGACAGAAGGTGAGCGCCAAGCATGTCACTGTCTACAAGGAATAGCAGAAGGACGGGAAACAGCGCAACCGGAAGGGATGCAGAGGAGCCAACAACAACGGAGGCTGGACGTGCTGTCTCGTTCCGAAGAGGCCGAGGTCGGGATCGGCGCGTTCTCGCGATTCAGGAGACTGCGGTGGGAATCTGCAAGAGGTCATGGCCACCATAACCGGGATGTCAGTGGGAGCACTGCCGCTGTGCTATTGGGGACTTGAGTCCTTCACGGTTCCTGTGCAACCCGCACGGAGTCTATCTATTATGCTGTCGGTGCATGGACGGCGCAGATCGCCAGAATTAGACTTTGCAAAACGTAAAGAATATCCACATTTGTCGAAGATGACGGATCCGCGAAGAACGATCATCGAAAAGAAATTGGATCAGATAAGAATTTTCCAAGGGAGAAACATTCTCACAGCGTTCAATTGAGCTGATTATTACCCGTATGTAGGCTGGATCGAATCATTTGAACATGATCCCACGCCATCTTGGCTGAACTTAATCCTGTCGATCGACAACCGGATCGTCGCGGTGGCTGGCTCTACCTTCCCAAGGCAGATAGTAGTAGTATAGAACCACGGGACAAGGTATTGTACCGACCATACTAGTTTCAGATCACTGTAGGGTACAGAATACAGGGTACAGAAAACTCCAGAGAGACAGGAAACGAACCTACTAACACCAATGCACCATGCAAGAAAGCCCTAATAACAAAAAGCCCAACCCAAATCAATCATCACATCAAGAGAGTGCCTGTCACTCAACCATCCTCATAGATGAAGGCCGACTCCCTCGATAAACATTAATATCCGTTTTAATCGTAATATCCATGACACCCCCCTCGACCGACCGATCATCCAACCCCTTCCCCCCGTACGCAGCCACATCAGACATGACTAGGAACTCGGCGTCGCCGCGCGGGATGGTCATGAACGGCGCAGAGGAGCTGGTATTGGAGCTGCTCAGGTGGCCGTTGTTGGAGGCGTAGCGCTGTCCGGTGGTCCATGTCTTGGATCTGTTCGTGGAGCGGCCGCGGATGAAGCGGGGGAGGAGGCCGCGGATGAAGCGGGGGAGGAGGCCGCGGATCGTAGGGAGACAGGAACAGGTTAGGCCGACGGAGGGTTCGATGTGTGTCCAGAGTGTTGCTTTGTAGACTGTGTCTATTTTTGTTTTGTCTTGTCAGTCCTGGACAAATATCTGTCAGAAAGACACGAGGATATGGACGTACATGTCGTGTCTGCCGGGTCGATGTAGAATAACACCACGATCCGGTAAATGCTCGCGAAGCAGACACTTGAACCAACAATCGTCAGCCATCAAATCATTAAGCAGTGAAGCAAGGAGAGCTAGGTATACTCACAATCCACCCACAGCAAAAACAGCAGTCAACTCCAATTTCTCGTGCCATGCCTTCTGCAACCTCCAGATGATAGGAATTGGCATCCCCAGAATAACAAAGTCCATAACAACATTAAACACCTGATTAACAATGAAAAACGTATTCGGATTAAACAGTGACCCGGAACGCTATGATCCCAGTAAGCCCTCAGCGGCCGACACTGGCCGGCACAGGCGAAGAAGATGCCCGCGGACCACGTGCCCATGAGACAGTTCAGGCCGAAGGAGAACTGCTGGAAGCGCGGGATGGAGAAGACGCGGCGGTAGAAGCAGACGATGGAGATTTTGACGACGGGGCAGAGGACAAAATAGAGGAATTGGTTTGAGAGGAAGATTCTGTAGAAGTTTCGGCGGGTTTGGGGGGTTATGTCTGCATCGTGGGCGCCGTTGCCGCCGATTGTGCACCCTGTATTGCATTAGAACATTTTCTCCTTTGTTTCATTCCGAAGGGATTGTTTCCGACGTACAAAGAATTAGTTCTACAAACATGCCGTATAAAAGTACCAAAGCCGTGAAGCAGAGGTAGTCGTCCACGCCGAAATGGAGCCGCCTCTTCAGCCTGGCAATGATGCGCAGGATCACGGCTATTGTTGCTACTCCAACCAAAGCCGAGATGATGCCAATCATCTCCAGTCCCCTGGATCCGGGAGCCATCTTGTGAACGGGTCTTGCCGGGGGTGCCAGACGACGTGGGTTGGCGGTTGCTTGAGAGGAGAGGAGAGTGCCTTTGACTCTTCTATATTAACGCGGACAACCCTCCATGACATGGAGTACGCGGCAGAACAGGAACACTGTTATTATTAACAAACACCCAGACAGACAGACAGGGACAGTGCTGGAGCAGATCCAGGTCCCAGTTTAACTTAACAGTGGGGGTTCCATCTGGAGACACTGGAGTCTGCACGGTTTACAGGTACACAACCGCGGCACGCCCCGGGATATTCATGGTTCAGGCAAACCCTGAATCTTGCAGAGAGGGCTGTAAATCTAATACATATGTGGATCCAGAAGCCCAGACAAGGTCGATTCCTACCCTACATGTACGTACACGAACTCTTCCACTGGCTAAAGAGGACCACAACGCGGGGCCTGTTATGGTAATTACCATCACACACATTTCTGCGGAGTGAGGGAACACGGATGTTCATCCATCCCTTCTGCATTGCGAAAAAACGTGGCAGATGAAGGTTCCGGACCAGCCAGCTCGCAGGGTCCTTTATGAGGCCGATCGTTCCAAGCGGGTATATGGATAATGACGCACCTGCCTGCTCCATAATGATTATCCAAGCTGACTGCTGGAGAGTTTTCCTGCAACGCTGATCCGCCCTCTAATATCTCCACTCGGGGTATGGAGTTTCTTACTATTAAAGGCCGATCAACGGCGAACCGCCAGTTGAACGGCCGTTGCGAATAGCCACGTCATAGCAGAAACTTATGATATGTACGCCCCTGCATGGTCTATATAGCATATATCTCGGAGGCTGCACGGTTCTCGCTGCTGCCCGACGGACGCCGAAAGAACTATTCTTGTATCCGTAGCCCTAACCATGGACCCTAGGGCCTAAACGTGCCTCGTAACACGCTAGTCCTGAAACAGCAATGCATAACGGCGCCAAGAAGAATTGGGCTAATGATTGGCAGAATCGGGCGGTGAGATGAATCGATGCGGTCAACCCATCATTGCAGCATCAACCATTCATTGCTGATGAGAATTGCCGAAAGAGGATAATGCTCCTGCTTCAAGGTCGGGGAGAGCATGTCTATTGCTTAGCGTACCACAGTCCTCATGGGCAGCAACTCCGGAGTCATGCCGATTTCAATTCTTCTCCAGCAGCTATCGATATTTGAGTCGGTGCCCTATGCCTCCACAATAATAACCAACAATAATAATGTAATGAAATTCGAGTGGGACGATCTAATGCCAGTTCCTAGTCCTGGGTTATTCGCGCATGATTTGGAATTCTGACTGGACATCTCCAATAGTAAGGGTTTGACCACGCGAGGAGTGGATCAAGTCCAGTTCCCAAGTTCTGGTAAGTTACTCCCTAGGATTTATGGATTTGACTAGGAGAAGGTGGTGACTCCAAGGCTATGCTGTTTGGCGCAAGAGTGGCCATGGTAGAGTCAAAGTAGACGTATTCCGTACAGCACCGACGGTGTATATCCCGTCAATGTCCTCGTTCCTCCGTGCCATGCTCACGGGAGAGTTTGTCATTGCCAAAACCGGAATCTCCGGACCTCTGGGATGTGTTTTTGTAGCGAATGTATCCCGATGTCACCGGTGACTGTGAGATATGAACCCACTGTTTTATTGATGCCAGCCCCAGTCTCTAACCAAATTGGTAGTGGCCGCAGTCCGTCGTGATGGTGTTGACCGAGCGCATTGTGGTCTGCTCCGGATTACCGTTCATTCCACACCTCTCACGCTCTTCTATTGTTCCAGCGAGACCTTTTGAGACCTATGGTCAACGAGTCAGGTGCATTGTGCATAGGATAGATATGTCTTGTGTTACCAGAAAGAGGGGGAATAACAACTGGCAGGCATTGGTCTTACCAGGGCTTGCAAATTAAACCGTCCAAGTGCACTTCGTTGGCCTGGAACTCCTACAGAGTAGCTCTGACACTGGTGCAGAAACATCATAACGACCTTTTGCTGGCAGTCCGTCCAGACAATAATAGGAGTAAGCTGACATGCCAAGACTAGCTCTGCCCGAGGCTGTGCCAGTCAAGATTCAGCAAATGCCAGAGTCAGCAGCCAGGCAGCCTTGTTAATCCTTTCAACGCCCCGGTGACAGTGTGCGCCTTGCATCGTCTCGGAGACCTGGGTTTCGCCTACCCGACCGAGCGCATCACATAAGATAGGCCAGGGACCGCAGGGGAAACGAGATCCGGCAGAAATACCAGCATTCAGACCGAGACAGGCCCAATCTTCAACAGACGGTATCATCATTCCAGGCACAAGGAGGATAGTACGAAGAATGCAGAATCCAACGTCAGCACCCCCGCCCTACGGCCTGCAACACCACACCCAATACGACATCTACAAATCCACCTTCTCTAGACACTACGACATCACAACCGCCGATGGTCGACCCCTATTCCACGGCGAAGTCTCCACCTTCACACCGGGCAAGCCAGATCTCACCTTGCACACGGGCACCAGCGACAAAGGCCCAGTAGTCGCAACCAGCAAATTCGGGTTCATCGACAGCTTCAAAGTCGTCCTCAAGGGCCCCAGTGGCATCTACAGCGACCAGTGTGAAAGCATGACCAAGGGGAGCTTCTGGACCGGACAGTATCGATGGGCAATGACCCTGCAATTTTCGCCGAGCCATCCCGTCACGAGAAGGGAGTTCATCTGGAAGAGAACCCGACATGAAGCCGTGGATGGCCGGACGGCTTCTGTGTTCCAGTTCAACTACAAGCTGGTCGATGCGCAGACGGACCAGCTTCTCGCCGTGTTCACCAGTAGCTGGTCGATGCGGAAATGCGGCATGTTGCAGATCAATGTGCAGTATGGGAAGGACTTTGAGACGATGGCATTCATTACCTGTTTGAGTCTGTACGAGAGGGCGAGGAGGCAGAATGGTGCTAGTGCGGGTGCTAGTGCGGGTGGTGGTGGTGGTGGTGGTGGTGGTGCATAGTAGGGGTACTTTCTACGTTGAAAGTAAAGGGAATAGATGCTGGAGTGACGGATATCGGCTTCATTCCTGGCAATTCCGGAAGGCTTCCGGCTGTCATGAGCTAGCAACCGCGTCCAGATATCGTCTCAAACCCGTTCACCACGACACAGGGTTTCCTATGAACCATCTGTATGACATTGGTAGCGCCAAGTAGGTGTTGCCAGGCTGATGCTTCCCCAGTGGCTGAAAAGTCAAGAGATGGATGGAAATGGCGAAGAAAATGATGCTCTGGAACTCCCTTCATGACTGTCTTGTTTCTTTTCTTGAACAGCATCGACAATGCGTTACGAGTACTTGAGATTTGATATCCAGGTTGAATTGCGTTGTAACAATAGCAAGTCTCTATCTAGCAATTACCGTTCCGGGCTATAAGCCTCGTAATTCCCTTATAGAATCGAAAGAAGCTCCTAATAATACGATAACCTTACCAACCATCCGAAGCGATCGACTGGCCCAGTGGTTAAGGCGCTCGTCTTACATACATACATATGTATCACGAGAGATCCCAGGTTCGATCCCTGGGTCGATCATTTTTTTTTATTTTTCTTCGTCCTTTTTTTATTGACCGTAACGAAGTTCGTTTTTCAGCTGCTCGCTGCAATTCCCAACATGAGGTTTTGCAATAGAGCGCTGTGCTCTACAGGCAGTGAATATTCCAGTACTTTATGTCCAGTTCGGGTATTGCAACGCCTAATAGTATGTATGGGCTATGTATGCATGAACGCCATGCTGGGTACGGAGTATGGAAGATTGTTATTATTAAAACCCCCACATTATTCTTCTTATTCCTACAGAAAAAAATATATATATATAAAAAAAAGCACTTGGCATACGACCGATAAAAACAGTCCGGAAGGGATCTTCATGTCGACTCAATGCAGCCGACGGAACCCTCCGATACTAATAACAGTAACCCAAGAACGCCAATGCAACGTTCACTACTGAATTCTAATCAGCTTTGAAGCGTTATTGTTCTCCAAGAGGCAATCCCCACTGTCCATGTCCATAACCTCGTCGATCTCTATCCATCTATTCCTATTCAACATGGACGAATACCCACCTCGACCTCTACAACACCACGGTCTCCAGTCTCATTCATTCTATCCTTACCCCCCATAGTATTATACACCCGAAACGGCCATGTCTGGTAACGTCGTCACAGTCCCCCTCCTCATCAACGGCGAGGAAGAATACACCCCCAACACTTTCGATGTGATAAGTCCCTACACCAACGAACCCTGTTGGAAAGCCGCGGCTGCCTCTCCCGCAGACGCCGTGAGGGCAGTCGAATCCGCCGCCGCCGCATTCCCGGAATGGTCCAACACGAAACCCGCCGCGAGACGGGATATCCTGCTCAAGGCGGCTGATATTCTTGAGCAGCGTCTTGAGGAGAATGCGGCGTACATGAGGACGGAAATGGGGGCCAATGTGGGTGCGTCTCAGCATTTTGTCGTCCCGCTGAGTATCCGGATGCTGAGGGATATTGCGGCGAGGATTTCGGGGGTTTGTGGGAGTGTTCCTGTTGTTGAGGGGGAGGGGCAGAGTGCTATCGTGTACAAGGAGCCTATGGGGGTAATTCTGGGGATTGTGCCGTGGTATGTTGTTTTATATCCTATTCTACATTGGCAAAGATACATCATTGCTGTCCCCTAAGAAGCAAGTCTAACACAATCAGGAATGCACCGTACGTCTTCGGTATTCGCTCCGCAGCATGTGCTCTCGCTACCGGGAACACGACTATCATCAAATCCTCCGAACTCTCCCCAAGATGTTACTGGGCCATTGGGCGCGCGTTCCAAGACGCAGGTCTCCCGCCGGGCTGTCTGAATATCATTTCCTGTCGTCCGCAGGACGCCGCCGAGGTGGTCACCGCTATGATCGAGCACCCTGAAGTCCGCAAGATCAATTTCACAGGAAGCACGGCGACTGGAAGAAAAATCGCGCGCACCTGCGGCGAGAATCTCAAGCCCTGTTTGATGGAGCTGGGAGGGAAGAATAGTGCTATTGTCTGTGCCGATGCGGATCTGCAGGTTGCTGTGCGGGAGGTGTTGGCTGGAGCTTTTTTGAATGTAGGATCCTCACGGCACCGTAACACACGTTGCTTGCTAACAAACCGAAAACAGTCTGGCCAAATCTGCATGTCGACAGACCGAATCATCCTCCACTCCTCCATCGCAAACGCCTTCCTAGAAGCCCTCAAGTCCGCCCTATCCACGAACACAGACAGCGAACCACCCACGCTCGTCAACGAAGCATCCAAGACGCGAGTCGAGGCCCTCATCTCCTCCGCCCTCGAAGCAGGAGCTCATTTAATTCACGGATCCTCCACTACTAACAGCAAATCTGGCATCCGCATGGCCCCCGTCGTCCTGGGCGGAATCAAAGAAGATATGAAAGTCTGGCAGGAAGAAGCGTTTGCTTCGCTGGCTGCTTGCATGATCGTGGATAGTGACGAGGAAGCTGTGAAGATCGCTAATAGTTCCGGGTTCGGGCTGTCTGCGGCTGTTTTTACGGAGGATTTGAGGAAGGGGTTTGCGATTGCGAAGAGGTTGCAGTCCGGGTGAGTTCAGTTTTTTTCCTCATCCTACTTACTATACGAGAAAGAAGGTAAATCATAGTTGCTGATGACAAGGTACAGAGCTGTTCATATTAATAGTATGACCATTCACGATGAACCGGCGCTTCCGCATGGCGGTGTTAAGAATAGTGGATGGGGTCGCTTCAATACCACCCAGGGACTGGAAGAGTTTCTCGTGACGAAGAGCGTTACATGGATGGATTAAGGACTGGTGGCTCATGTCCTACGATTTTCTGATGTCGGAAATAGACTGTACCTCGAGCCAATGTGATATGGACATAGGGTGAACGGGTAAGAGTAGGGAGGGTCGGTATGTTATTCTATAACCATTTAAGTACAGACAAAATAAATCAAATATAACATAGAACAGCTCTATCTTCGCTCATTCTGCCTCCTTTCTGATTCAAACTCAGTAAACGCATCGAAACCCCGTCCGTCTTCCCCTCCTGTACGGAAGAATTCACAAACAGCGCCGACAGCATAGCATGTAGCCGCTGTAGCTGTCCCTGCGAGCAACATTCTGCGCACGGCCCTACGAAATCTGCCTTCCTTTTGCTGACTTGGTTGTGGCTCAGTGATGGCTTCGTCAGGAGGCGCAGGAGACGGAGGCCAAGGTGACCAGTTCGGCGGTCCGCCTGTATAGACGACTTCCTGTCTCCGAACTATCCTTGGCGCTTGGTTTGTTGATGGTGCTTCCTTTTCAGCATCTTTACTACTAAATTTGGTTTCGCGTTTGGATTCTCCTTTAACGGCTTCTGCTGGGAGACGCTCAGTGTCGTGAAGAGAAGTGGGTTCTTCTAAAGTAGCTGTTGCAACAGGAGATCCAGCTGGCGCGTTTACCGTGTTTCTTCTGTCTCTCACTTTCTCGAATACGAGGATATCCCCACCACCTGATACGATATCATATCCGTCTCGTTCCATTTCTGCAAAGTATGGAAGAAATTTGGCTGGATTGTTCAGGCGCGACAGAATCTCGGCCGGGTGTAGGGTTTCGGTAGCGTGCAAAGATGACGTGGTTTCGGCTGTAGTCACCTTGAGGGTAGAAGAATCGTATGCGAGTACGCGATAGTTAGCTATTTCGCCATGAATAACACTCGCAGAGGCGTCGCCTGGTGGCTGATTATCATGCTGTAGAGAAGCCATGTTCTCGGTCTGGATAGCAGGTTGATGTGACTGATCACGGTCCAATTTCACATCATTTTCAGATTTCAGTCGACCTTCACTTGAAGCCCCCAGACTCTCAACCAGCGGTTGACGTGTCTCAGATTGGCTGTATGATTTTCCGCTTTTCTCACCGACGGATTTCAAGCGTTGTCGACCTTTAATGTCCTCCAGAATCTCTTCAGCAAGAGTATCATTTGCTGGCATTCTATGGGACTCGAAGTCTTCTTCCAGAGCCTTCCGCCTATGTCCCTTCTGTGCATCAGGCTCCTGCTTTGCCTTTTTGGAGTTGTAAGTGGCGCGGATATCACTGGCCTGCAGGAGGTCCAGGTCTTCATTCTTTTCTCGCCGCTGTAAATCTCCAAGAATATCATTATACCGCTGTGATAATGACAAGATAGATGGCTTCTTGGAGTTTTCCGGTCTCGTTGATTTAAACATTGTTGGATCTTCCGAGGTTTGGGACACGTCCAGCGCGTCAACCATCCTGTGACTTGGCTGATCCAGAGCCTCCGGACGAGAGTCTTCCCCCTGTATGTCATCTGAATTATTCTCGAATGGGTGTGTACGTTCTCCAGATGGGATATCATATCCAGACCTGGATGATGGGGTCAAAGTCGACTCTGATAGATATTTGGTCCGCTGCATATGCACAGAATCTGCCTGGGAAGTGGATTCAGACGAAGCCACCGAACTATCAATGGTCCGGACTGTGTCAACGGGTTCTTTCTTATTCTTGACTTTCATGTCACTGCCTCCCGGAGGCACAACTCTGCTCGTCACATCCACTACTGGAACCATTCGACCACTGATCGGATCGAACTCGAATACTTCTGCATTGGTTTGTTGGGACTCATTTCTGGCCTCCCTATCCATAGAAGCATCTGAAGAGGACATCTTGTCTCCATTTTTGAAGCCCTTCTGACGTGATGCTGGTGTATCCTTAGACTTCAAATTCGAAGACGCCGCTGTATCTGACGATTTCCAATCCCGCATCTGGCCATGAATATCATGTCCCAGAAAAGCACGCCACATATCCACCCACGAACGGTGCCCAAGATCCCGCAGGTCAAAGGCGTCAACTCTTCTCCCAAATAAAGCTGTGTAGGGGTCGTCTCTGATTTGCTTCTCAAACTCCTCCATCCGTCGCTGCATCTTGGCCTTTCTCATCTCCCACAAGTTATGTGTCTCATCCCAGTCTTCTCTCCAGTGATGTCGTCGTCCACCATGGCGGTTGAAGCTGGAGCTTGACTTTGACCGACGCCATCCGCATGGGTGTCTATTGTGGCGTTCTTCGGACCATGCTTGGTGATAATCATCTGCTTCTTTTCGGCGGAGGAGGGATGGACAGCGTTGCTGGAAAGCATTTTGAAACAAGCGGTTGCTACGAACGCATCGCCAGAAAGCACGACGCTGTGATGAATAACGAGGTACTATCGAGCTGACTGGGTGAGACAAGCCGGAAGGAGATGTTGGCAAGGGGAGAAGAGCCGGGTGGTCGATCGATGGCCTTCTTGCCATCATCCCTATACTTGATGACATCACGGTAAAGCCCATGACGGTTAGCCTTTCTACACAATCCTGACTTTAAGACAGGAGATTCTGTAGTGTGTTTTAGCCTTGGTAGCAGTCCGGGATGACGCAGGCCGTAGCAAGGGCACTGCACCCTGGTCGTCAAAGCTTTGCTGTCATTCGATGAAAGACGCGAGTCTGGATTGGCAGACAAAACCAAGCTTCCGTATTTTCTGACGCTTTTCTGATGCGACTTGGATTATTTGAAGACGTAACTTGGGATGGAGGACGGAACAAGCTATGTCATGTGTGCATGAGCCACTGCGGGGTTTCACCGATAAGAGATCGACTCCGCATAGATGAAGCTTCATATTATCGAGAGCTTCATGTTGAGAGATATCATAGTCTATTACCAGTTATCATAACTCTATCAATAGCCATAGCCATATCTATAAGCTGAGTTCTGCAATGCCCAGGTCCCCTAGGTCTACATCAGAATCAGTGATATGGTTGCTCCAAAACCGTAGACCTTCAATGCCCTCCTCTCTGCATAGAATGCCTTTGTCCTCAGCCATCTCCAATTCTTCAGCTGCCACTCCTACACTCCATTTGAATCGCTGTGCTGCCTCCTGTGCTGTCACGGATCTTCCAAATAGGCTCCAATCCCACGGGACAGGCTCGTCTGGAGGGATGCGTCGAAGCTCTTCCATCCAACTCTGGAGCTGTCTAATCGTCTTCTCGTCAGTCCAATCATGTCGTTGAACGATAAGAAGGCCACTTTTGAATCGACGTAGACGGACTGGTAGCTTAAGCTTCTCCCATAGCTCTGCTGCTCTCTGGAAATCTGACGGACTGACCAGCTCCACCCCATTCCGAGAACGGTTAAAGACCGCCCAGAGATCTATCAGACTCATGATTCCTCCTTCCCTATGAAGGATTCCCTTTCGGTCATCTGTAAGGTATTCGGCCAGGTTTCGTGAGAGCTCTGATAGATACAGACTCTCTGCACCAGAACCAAGCATGTCCTTTGTCGTCACCATCCCTAGAGCCGTCGCGGATTCGGAAAGTACCGCATTCGCTTCTGGGGAACTGTCAATGCTTGTAATCCCGAATTCTCTGGCCAACGTTTCTGCAAGCGCAACGATCTGTTTAGCAGATGCCATCAGAGCCTCTAGGTCTTCAAAAGCATTGCCAATGACGACCTCATTATTCCTGCGCGCCTCCAGCCCTCGTTGTTCAAGACCCGCAATGCCAACCGCGGTGGGTCGAGGAGGGGCGGGCGATGGACTATACAGCGTCGGAGTAATCAAAGATGGTCCTGGAGATGGGGATTCTGATGGTTGTGGCACGGGTGGAGCGTTATAGAGCAACCACTTCCTTTGGATCAAGGCCCCTTTCAATCGCTCAAGAAATATTTTCTCTCCGCCTCCACGGAAAGAAAGCTTGATGACCTCAGTTACCTCCACATTTCGTATGCTTGCTTGTTCAGAGAGTGGAGCCGGCGAGTTCGAACCGTTTATAGGACCGTTGCGAGCACTTAAAGCGCTTTCGGGAGTTAAAGGAGCACCACATATCTCACACTCTGGGAGAGATGGGTGATTTATGAAAGTACATCGGGGGCAAGAAAGAGAGTCGTCGCTTGGTGGGACGGGTAAACGCAGGCCATTACCAGACTGTAGGAGGGGTTCCCTGCTCTCAACAAGTGAGTCAGGTAAAAGAGGATCACGACTCGCTGCAGCGGCGACAGCGGCCTTCAGGACCGTCGTGAAAGGCGGTCTTATGCCGCAGGCTAAACACGGCCGTAAATCTGTCGACGTATTTGCGGTCGATGGATCAAATTCTGGGGAGACTGGGTTAGAAAACGAGCATATCGGGCAGATCCACGTCGCATTCAAACGTTTCGGTGACCGGTTATTTCGATGTGTCGCCAAGGGCTGTGGACGCGGGGAATGGTCGTTCGAAGACACAGCAGTGCCAGCACTTGCCGATTTATCGAGGTTCTTCTTCGACGGCTTAGGGTAGAGCGTAATCTTGGGGGAAGACTTGAGGAAACCTGCCTTCTAGGTATAAGTCGGCAGGTCATATTACAACCGCAAGCAGAAAGACTGTGTCATGCACCGTACCTGATACTCAGCGCGATCGACTTCTTTCAGATCAATGCCAACAGAATACTTTCGCGGCTCATCGACGGAGACGTAGCAGATTCTGTGGGACGTAAGGTAGGCATGGCCATTCTGGTAATTTGGAATCTTGTATTTCCTAAAGCAGCGCGTATTATTTCAGCATGGGACTGGGACATGAGCTGAAAGAAAGGAAGAAAGGAAGAAAGAAAGAAAGAAAGAAAGATACCCCTCGTACAACCCCACTGCATCCTGAACAAAGAGTAAAGTCTCGTCAGGGAAGAGTTCGGGACGGAGTGCAGTTGTCAGATCCAAGGACTTGAAGAACATCTAGCCGGCCTGCAGGAGCATGTCTCTGGCGTCCTCTGGCAGACAGTGGTACATATATATCATAGAATCGTACGGAGTAGATGAAGCTGAAGAAGCGATGACATCTGCGGAGACTCCAGCCACTGCTGCGATGCAACTATAATTGGCAACGTAAGCGAGCCACCCTTCTTTTCTCCCATCCTTTCGTATTTCCTTCTCTCTGCACCTGCATTTCATCAAATCCACAGCCAGCAAAGCGTATACGGAGTTGTCGTGCTTCCTTCTGCCTTTCTGTCTCTCTCAAGTCCGACCGACTCTTGTCTCACCTCAGTGTCCGTGCCGTGTAGGATGCTCCTTAACCCTTCTTCGAGTCTCTCGGACGACGCGTAGGCCCCATTACATCTCTCTTATATCTCTCTCCTCACCCTTTCTCTTTCTCTTTATCCTTTTTTCTTGATTAGATCTCTCCCACAATGAATTCGGGAATTCCACCATGGCGGGCCACAGCCTCAGCAACTACCACCACAACAGCCGCACATTATCCTGGACATGGTGAGTCTCTCCCTCCTGCGGACAATATCACGGCCAGCGCTGAGTCTAGATTAGATACTCCTGCATATATTCCGGTTCAAGCACGCCGTAGCCTTGCCCGTCACTCCGAGTCGACTGCTCCTGCAACCACCCCGGCCCAACCCAGCCCTGCTGAAACAGCCCATCGGAAACGAGTAGAGTGGCCGAGTTCCGTTCGCACGTACGTTCAAAGGAGCTTCATACCGGAGAATCAGATAAGCAGTGTCACTAGAGAAGAGATGGAGACAAAGTTGAAGGCTGTTATCACCCAGGCAGCGGAAAGAGATCAGCTTGACAAGATCGATTGGGATTCCTTGCCTCTGCCACAGGTCATGATCCAAAATGAGCGTAACAGCATTCTGACCAACCCAAGTGTATCCATGCGGGATACTCTGGTCGTTAGATCTGGATCGGCAAGCGAGGATGTTTCCAGGAAAAGAAAGTCCACTGAGCTGCAGTACCAGCACGAGGATGCTCACGCATCTCCACCGTGGAGACAAACTAACAGTCGCAATGGTTTTGAAAATCGAGTGACCTATAGTCCAACAGACAAACGACAGCGAAAAGATTATAAACTTTCAAGTAGTAAGTCCAAAGCTAATCTGGAAATGCGGAGGAAGCGTTTTGAAGAACCTCGAGCGCGATATGGATCTTCACCATCATCCCGCGGTGAATCGCCTATCGCCAGTGCAAACCAGGGACCCATTGTTGGGAGATGTCAGGATTTGGAGAAGAATTACTTCCGCCTGACATCTGCTCCAAACCCGGACACAGTCCGTCCCCTTCCAGTCTTGATGAAGACACTGGACCTATTGAAAAAGAAGTGGAAGAAAGATAACAACTACGGCTATATCTGTGATCAGTTTAAGTCGTTGCGTCAGGATTTGACGGTCCAGCACATCAGGAACGAGTTTACCGTTAGCGTCTATGAAATCCATGCTCGTATTGCCCTTGAGAAAGGGGATCTCGGTGAGTATAATCAGTGTCAGACTCAACTGCGGGCGTTGTATGCACAGCAACTAGGCGGACACCCCACAGAGTTTAAGGCGTATCGTATTCTCTATTTCATTCACACCCGCAACTGGACGGCCATGAATGATGCGTTGGCCGATCTAACAACAGCAGACAAGAGAGACCCTGCTGTCAAGCACGCCCTGGAAGTGCGCTCAGCCCTTGCGCTCGGGAATTACCACCGTTTCTTCCAGCTGTATCTTGATACCCCTAATATGGGAGCATATCTCATGGATATGTTTGTCGACCGTGAGCGGCTCTCGGCTCTTGCAGCTATCTGTAAAGCGTAAGAAATTCCCCTAGGACAATATTATTAGGTATGAGAGCATGCTAACATCAGTAACAGATACAAACCAGACGTAAAGATTCGCTTCATCACAGAGGAATTGGGTTTCGAATCTGATGAGCAGAGTGCGCGCTTCATTCTGGATCATTCCTCTGAGGAATTACTCCAAGAGAAGGATGGCTCTGTGAAGCTTCTCACTGGAAAAGCTGGCCGGATATTTGAAGTTGCCAAAGCAGATGCTCACCGAGTTGTCGACATTAAAGGACAGATTTGAACTTGGCGTGCCTCTGTTCGGTGGGCAATGCTACATTCCCTTCCTCACATTCACTGCCCGACAAGCGTCGCTCTATGCCCGTTTCACTTACCTCGTATCCCTATCCCTTGTTTCAATACCGTCTTCTTATACGCGCTCCCACCAGCAAGTGCGGGAAACCCAGAATTTCAAGTGGACCTGGCGTCCAGGTAGCTGTCCATTCACTTACTCTTTTTGTTTCGATTTTCTCCCTCCCCTTACTTTTCTCTTGGTCCTTTGCTTTCGCGGCGGTTACGTGCATTTCTCGGCTACGATCTTAAAGTGATCTGTATACCCAGTTCTCTGCATCGGCACCGGTCCTCGTTCTCCACAGAGCGATAATGACCGGCGATAATGAATGCGAAAGATGGGAGGCGTCCTAGGTGTACTTGGCGTGGTTGTCTGCTTTTGGGCGTTCCCCTAGGCGATTGATTGCAAATAGTGAATTAACTTGAATTCAGAAGGACCTGACCAGTTGATGGTTGAACATCGAGCTCGGATTTCTCCCTTCAGCTTCTACTTTAGACGCATACTCTTTACACCTGTATCTTCCCGTCTCCCGAGCACAAGCTCTAATCACGGCATTATCTGGAAGCGCCTGGCTTGGGGCATTGTACGGATCTGACACGCCCTTCTCCACAGCGTCCAAAAACGCCTTGATCTCCTACACCCCGTTTGGCTCAAGCATCTGTTCCTTCTGGGCATTCCCTCCTTCTCCATTGATCTCCACAGTTACGGATCTACGCGTTCCTACAAAATTGAACTCAAAACACCTTCGGCGATGCAACAGAGAACCTGAGGGACCCCACAGCGCCGTTGGAGAAGCGCAGTGTCGCATTCAGGGTATCCAAAGGCGTCAAAATTGGCTGAATCTGCACGGCCGTGCTCTTCATCTCCACGATCTCCATGCCCGTCGCGCATCGCATACCAGCGACGTAGTGCACGCCGCCATCCAGGATGAATCCGCCCTGGTACTTGGGCTGCTTGCGCCCACACCGGGCCTTTCCCCCAGATTGATTGATTAATTAAGACATACAATATTTTATTGATATTCATTCACACCGTTGCCATGGGTCCCAGCAAAAACACCGACTCAGAACATATCGAAGAAACACCTGTAGAGGGCGGCAATATTGCAACGCCAAAGCAGGCCCAGGTAGCCACCGATGTTGGACGCTCGCTGACGGTCCGGCAAGCCCTGATGATCTACCCAGGTCCATCCTGTGGTCGGCAGGAATGTCGACAGCCCTCGTCATGCTGGGCTATGATACCTCTCTTCTGAGCACGCTGTATGCCTACCCATCCTTCCAGAAGAAGTTCGGCGAGAAAACGGGTGACGACGGCTATCAAGTTCCTGCGCGATGGCAAGCTCTCAGCAACTCCGCAACCGCTGGTGTCATTCTTGGGCTGATTTGTGTCAGTTGGCTTGTCGACCAGTATGGCTCGGTCAGTCTGGCCTCGTATGTCTTGATAGTAGCGCTCATCTTCATCCCGCTCTTCGCGCCCAATAGAATGTGCCCATGCTTTTTAAGCTGCCTGTTTTCTTTTTGTACTCATTGATACCACTAGTGCCTATGTATCTAGTGCTTTCCGGGAGTGTGGTAAGGGCGGGGTATACGAGAGATGTGCCAATGGCCGGGTGTCTTTGAGATCTAGTTCTCTCCATGTTTCCGCATTACCATTTAAGGTTATTTGGCGTATTGTGGGGGGTGCGGGTGCTCGTAGCGAAATAAACCGGTGGTCCAATACGCCACGAGCAGGGCCGTCGGGCGATTATCCTGCATTCTCTCTGTGAATTGAATTTTATTATTTCATTCCCCACATAGACCTCACTCAAACAAGGACTACTCCGGGAATCTATCCCGTAAGAGGGAAACGATATTGAGAGGGAAATTACATTGTTTACGGTGAGAGATAATGGAGTCCTTGTCCTATATAAACCACAATCCACGCAGACTGTACGGGTTTGCAACGCACAGAAGCACTCAGCGCTTGGGTCTACTGAGGAGTCCCAAGGCTCCCGATGCTCATGCCGATATGGGTCGACACAAGTTTAGGTGCGCCATCGTGCCGCATCGCGGTGTATTGAATCAATCTGCCGTTGTCAGAGCCGTTTCAACTTCAATTCTCCTCTTTGCCTCGTCGATGGATTCGTTTAGCTGCCCAGGTTTCTTGTTTCGGGAGCCCCAACGTCGTTTTGGAAACAATTAAGAAATCAGAGGATGGTGACGCCCTTGAAGTCGATAATATGGAAACTGGGGGCTCCATTGCAGTCGCATTCAAGGCATTCGAGGTTGTCACACTGCGTTTGACAGTGTAGTGGACAATGTATGTCGTATTATATCTGCTGGACTTAGCCTCATCAATCTTAGATGAAAAAGCACAGTATACAGAGGCCTCGGGGAGATAGAAAACCGCAATATCCCTCGCACATTGCATGATTCAGATGGGTGAGAGGGTTAACCTACCGTCAAACCGCTCTCTCATCATCTACTCCAGATCTCAATATCCTGATATCGAACATTCGACTCATGAAATGGCATGGCCTACGCCTAGGCAAACTCACATAAGATGAATTAGAATTTTGTTTTTTAAAAAAAAAAAAGATTTTATATTTCATTTTTTCAGGCTCTACAATTCTTGGGAGTCTAGTGACCAAATTTCCCAATTGCGTAAAACTTCCCATCCGACAAGTTTGAAGCGTCGCTTCACCATGCGGTTACTGTTGTGATTATAGAGGACTGTCGACATGGACGTTGGCATTTGCGTCTGCATGGGTGCATTTGCAGTGTTGGAATCTGACGTTGTGGTGGTTCTATGGCTTTTACGCGGCCTCGTGCTGTCATCATTGCCAACAGATTCTTTCTCATATAAATTTGAGTATGTGTTTAGAGGTAGGTTGTGGTTCGTCGGTGATGCTGTAGTGGTTTCACTGTTCCGGGTCCTCTTACCTAGTGGCGACGGCGCTTGTATGGGTCCTTCTCCTGGGATAGGGTGTAGGGGCGGATTGGCGACATCCATTGGTCGTGCAGCTGTAGATGAACTACGTGTGTTGCTACCATTTTCATTGATGTAATGGCCATTGACATTTAGTGTGCCCGAATTTCTCGACTCCGGTTGCATTGTCTTCGTTGTGGCCATACTGCTGTTTGGATAATGGCTGCTCCCCGGTTGTGGTCCGCCGCAGAAGTTGGCATGGCATCCCATCGAGACAGGGGGGGCTGTATAAGTCTCTATCAATTTCCATGCCTTCCAGCCGAGACCGATGATCTGTAATTTGCTTGGGACATTTTCCTCTGAAAGTTTCAAGCTGATCTCCTCCGTGAGAAATGCATCGTCCAGTTCCATTATATCGGCGAGGCATTGCACGGAGGCAGGCCGCCTCGGCCAGTTCGCTGCAGAGGGGCCGTACGAAGAGGCTTTCCGGTGCGGCATGCCAGAAGACATCGACTGGTGGGGCGGAGTGTCGCTTCCAGAAGGAATAAGAAGGCGGAACGCAACCAGCTCGCGAAGGACTGGGAGAAGATGAGGCAGAGCATCCATGGTGTCAAAGTCGGTAGCAAAGCCAAGTTGTTCTAACTGAGGGCAAGAACGGACAAGGCGGGCAATCAAGGTACCGGGAATGATCCAGCGCGAAGAAAGTAAGAGGTGGCGTAATGTTGCGCTATGGTGGGTAAAAACTGTATTGAGGTAGTTGTCGCGGAGGCTGATCTGGGGGTTGGGGACTGATGTAAATGCATCAGGAGAGCTAGATCCCGAACTTGTCGCTTCCCGAGCGAAATTGCTCCAGGCAGAATAACCCATCGGCGAGGAAGCAGCCGACAACAGAGACGACCGTAGAGGGAAATTAACCGGAGAATTTGGATCGCGGGCTGAGTTGACAAAATACAGCCTTTCGAGACCGGTGACTTTTCCCAAGAAGTCGCAGAGCCGCTGGCATATAACATCATGCCTCACACACTTCAAACGGATAACGCCACTTGGCGGATTAACTGGCCACGTCCTGTCAACGAAGGTACTCATATAAGAGCCGCTTGACCCCGGATCATTGAGAGAAGAAAACTCCTCGAGAGTATTGTTATCGATAGCTCTATCCATGTCATCACGGTGAACAGCGTAGAAATTTTGAACCGAAAGTTTCTTGATAGGCAGTGGTTTTTCTGCAGCGACGCACTTGCGAAAATAGTCGCTCAGGGTAACACTTGGCTCCTGAGCATTTCTCATGCGAGGCGACCAGTGCATTTTGAGCTCCTGCAGCTTCCTACTTTTCAGGAGAAGGGTCGAAATGTCATCAGGATAGCAGAGGGGATCGATATCGGTGACCTTCAGATAGCGCAGATGAGGGATGGGTGGAATGACGATGATGGGGCGAGGATCGCGGCTTGACGGAAACTTGATGGTGAGAGAGGTGAGTTTGGGTAATTGCGACAATCCCAGATACACCGTCTGCAGCATCTTTGTGTTGAGCTCCCAGCTGAAGCTCTCAAGATCCCTTGTCCTGTCCACCGCGGCACGCACCGCAATATTGAGCATCATCGAGGAGTCCGGCACCTTGCCCAATTTCGCACATTCCTTTAGCTCAGGCTCCCGCCACTCTCCTCGGAGCGTCAGCGACTGGACTAGCGATGCGAACGGTCGGGTAATGAGCGTGTCAAGTCCCATGGAGAAGGGGCTAACACCACCATATCCTTCAGGCTCATCATTGCGGTATCGGATCTTATCATACGACGTCAGGACAACTGTTTTGTAGAGCTGAGGGAGCGTCATGTAGTTGAGGACTCGGGATGTTCTGCATAATCGAGCGAGGTCACCAGGATCATCCAGCTGGTGCAGGAGACGAAATCCGTCAGCTTCGTAGTTCGCAAAGGACAGGAAGAGGGAAAGGGGTATGTATATTGCTCACATAAGATACAATATGTGCGATCAAGCTCAATGGTAATACCATCAGGGATGCCCTGCCGCCAGCAGGACTCGTCTTATCATCGACGATGCTGGCGTCGAACAGACGCCGGTCGACAGCCGCCATCACGCGACGCTCCTGGGGAGAATGGTTGCTTCATTGGCTGGTAGAGCAATAAAAAAGCAAGGAGAGGAACATCCGATGTCAGAAGATGGCCATGGAGGGCTCTGGACGGCGTCGCAAGGCATGGGTTCAAGTTGTCGGTAGGGAGGCGGGGGAGTGTATATAGAACAGCTCCGAACTGCAGTTTTCGCTTTTGCCCTATAAGGTCTTGGCAAAACGGCGAGATCCGGCCAGATAGCCCAGACGGTGATGGAAGGACGATGTTCAAGGTATCCACGTCTGTGGCTGATATTATTACAGGGCAATATTCTTCAGGGGAATGCTACGAACAAGTGCTCAGCAGGATGGGCAGCTCTCAATCAGATACGCCATATATACGGAGGAACAACTCTGCCAGCCAAACACATCATAAAAGAACAGTAAAAAGAAAGAAATTCTGCCATACTGCTTGCTCAATGTCCTGAATCCTTGTGTCTCACGGATGCCGGCATTGCCCCCTAAACTCATCAGCTTGTCTGGTCATTGTTTGAATAGGTGTGCGACACAGGTTCTGTTGACAATCTTGCCTAGTTAGTCTATAGAGCCAAGCCACAGGAAGGTCGTGTCAGTAGGGGTGATGACAACTCTGATGGTCATGGTAACTGTTAGTACACGTGAGGTACTGCCGTCCTAGACCGCCCTCGCTACCTATCTCACGGCACAGGCAGGCCTACCTAGTAATATGACCATACATGCGCCTATCCATTAGTAACAAGGAGGGATTGGAATCATCAGCACGTGCTCTATCACAGAATGCTCCTCTATCTGTCATCTGAAGCAAGCTCTGGTGGATTAGGTGTTCATTCGGAGTATGCAAGTGTCGGTGTGCTGGAGAACTGGCAGCGCCCAACCTTTCGAGTCGAGACTGATCGATCAACGCACGTGCCGTGTTAGTCAGCTTAGTCACGTCTGCTGAGTCATCTTAGCCAGGCAGGCTGCTGACTACTCCGTGCTAATTCCTTCTTTTGCAACTAAGTTCTTCCTAGTTCCAGCTTGGACGCATTCCTACTACTGCTATCATTGACCCATCACTGCTAAAGCCCGCGCTACTTCCTACATCCTCTGGCCCTGCGCAACCTGTAAGATTTCGAGCTTGCGCAACGTGGCTGATAGCAGGCCCGTCGATCGCTGGATATCCCGCAGATAGACTCCCGTTCTTCACCGTGTCGACGCCAGTGGCTGGTCCTCCGGATCGCTACAAATTCCCAGACTCGCAGAGCCCATCTTCTCCTCGCACTAGACTCTCCCTCTACCCACGTCCCCTCTGCCTGACCAATGTCCTTCCCCCCATGTCAAGACCTCCGTCTGCAACTGAAAATACCTGTGCGGGATCCCTGGTGACACCTGATGCCTCCATCCGCCGTGATTGCCCCAGCGGCTCCGAGCTATCACGGTTCAACCGAGGACGCCACCATACCCATCTCCCGTGCGTGCTTCAGGATGCCGCGGATTGTCAAGCACCGCCTGCTGCGGATTTTTCTCTTAAGAGGTTCCCGACGCTTCCTCTCGAGGCTTTGTCTGGCCGCCAGTCGCTGTACGCTCCGCAGCTGTCAGAGAGGGATAGCATCTTCGCAACGCACTATCTGCCGTCGGACACTGATACCACGACTTCACAGCTTCCTCCTGTGGAGAGCGTGGACAATCCCCAACAGGTCAACTTGCTCTCCAATCTTGAAGATGCCCCTGCTTCTGCCTCTGGCCCTCCGACCCCCAAGGCTCTCTCTCGCACCAGCTCTGCTACCGACTCATCCTCGCCCATGAAGCTTGACGCCTGCGCAGCCCGTCCCTTTCTTCCGCCCTCGCTTCCTGCATCTCCGGGCGCCAGAAAGTCATCCTCCTTGCCCCTTGCTCCCTCCCATGCGGGTTGGGAAGCCCAGCATCAGACTGACATACATTCACAGACCCAGGTCCAGGAGCATTTCCAGCCCCGTCGTGAGTCTGTCTTGGATGAGACAGGGGATTCCCTCGCCGATCGGAACCGTCATTTCTCCCGTCTGAGTGATACCGCCTCTGCCTCATCCCGCCAGTCGTTGATTTCTCAGTTCCGTCACGAAACCCCGGCGTCCGATCGTGAACCGATACCGGACAGACTGCATGGAGTATCCGCTCGAGATGGTACCAATAATGGCGCGAGATTTGAACGGAGTAAGAGTCGTCGGGGAAGGGTCGAGAACTCGATCGAGGCGAACCTGACAAACGCAGAGCCAGCATCACACGTCCGCAGTCGAAAATCCAGTCATTACTTGGGGTTGTTCAAGGAGAATACCACCTCTCCGGAACGCAGGAAGAGAGAGGATCGCGGTTGGAAACACGAAGAGCCATCCGGACTGCATAACAGGCACCCCGCAAAGTCCTTTGGGTCCGAGTATTTTGATCGAAAGTATCCGCTGTTTCCCCCTCCATCAATGGAAGAATCTGTCCCTCACACCTCGAAGAACCATTCACATCTTTCCTCACTTAACTCTCCCTCGTTGAACTTGGACTCTGAGCGCGAGGTGCATCAACAGCCTCGATCTGCAGATAATGCCGAGAGTCACTACAAAGTGTTACCGCACAGCCTACTCGAGGAAATAAGAAATTTTCACTTAACAACGGGCGGAGCTCGCCGCTCTTCGTTCTCTAAAAGTATCCCAACCCAGTTCGTAGAAAGTGGTCAAGAATACGCCAGAAGCGAGGGTACTCCTAACCAACTTTCCCCGCCACCCGATGCGCTGGAACAGCGTTCGCGCCGGGGATCAGAACAATTTGAAGATGAGGAGGAGGAAAATGAACAGATATCATCTGCCCTATATTTCCCTCACGAACGTGTTACCGTTCCCGGTGAAGTCGATCAGTTTCGGGACTTTACAGATACCCAGGATGAAGCGCAATCTTCAAAAGCATCCGTGGGAGATGATAATGTATTGACACCAAAGGTGCATGCGATTTCCGACGGGGAGGAAGTCAGCCATGTCGACATCTCCCTCCGATCAAAGAATGACAGCAGAATCCTCCATGGTGACTTGCAAGAGTTGAATAGTCAATTGGAAGGCGTTAGTGAACGACCTTTGCCTCCTGCTTCCGAACGCAGCTACGATTCGGCATACGAATCTGAGCCGGCATCCGCCGAAGACAGTGGTTTGTCGGCCCGGGAAGAGGAGTCCAGTTTGACTGACGATGCCGGAGTGACTCCCACTGCTACGCCAACCCAGTCTTTCCTACGACCGCGGCGCAAGCATCGCTCCACCGCTCCTGTTGGAGCTGTGGAGCTGAAGCCCTATCGCCATCAGGTCGGTGGGCACACGACGGTCTTTCGGTTCTCGAGGCGGGCCGTCTGCAAGCAACTTAATAATAGGGAAAATGAATTCTACGAGCGCATCGAACGCAGACATCCTGAGATGTTGATGTTCCTGGCAAGGTTCGTGCCACACCCCACTTCCCCAACTTTCTGCTATACGGCAACGCGAGGCCAGAGAATACGTTCTGACGAGAGCTGACACTTTCTACCCTTTTTTTTTTCTTTATCCGATAGATATATTGGCGTTTTAAATGTGACATTTTCCAAGATACCAAAGCGCAAGACGCAGACGGAAGGCAAATCTGAACAGACTGATACCGAGAGTGCGCTTGAAGGCATCAACGATGAGAAGTCCTCAGGTCACGCATCTGCCACTAAATCTCAGTCGCCTGGAGGTGAAGACACACCGAGAATATTCAGTCAGAAACAGGTTACCGGGGTCATTCCAAAAGTGATCCTGGAAAATAATCGGCATATTATTCCGGTTGACCTTTTCCACCCAAGGCCGTGGACCGCAGACAGTGCAGCGCTGTCCACAAACCATCATGGATTGATGAAGAATCAATCGCTGCATAGTAATTCGGCAGATGATATTCTTGTCTCCCCTACTCCTAAGAGGCAGATTAAAAGCTGGGGGGCCACTACGGTAAACAGGAGGCTGCAGGAGCAGGTCCTCCGAGAAGTTTTCACTCCCCCTGCCATCCACCGCCACCGGCGGCATGCCCGGGGCCACCTTCAGTTGCCAAGGATGTCTTCCGATGTCAGCCGTCGCAGAGCCAATCTCTCCGAGGATCAAACCTCAAGCAGCCGCCGGAGTGTTCCCGGAGACAGTGAAATCCCTGGAAGCACTGCGATCAACATTACCGCCCATGGCAGGGAGAGAACGGGTTTGTCGTCGTCTGCCTCCACTGCGTTGGAAGTCAACCACAATCACCTGGAGAGGATCCGGACCGATCAACCGCAGCCTCCTTCAAGCTGGCTCTCTCGTGACAGGAGAGTCCGACGCCGCCATTCAGGGGGTGGCCTACAGAGACAGCGTAGCATCGATTCGGGGGAAGGCAATCTTGTTTTCGTGGAAGATGACGGTTACAGAGGAGATGGAGAAGACGAGATCTTCACGATGGATAGGGATCCTCCATCTACTACTGGATCCCGGTCACCAAAAACCTCTGGCTCCGATTCCCAGTTAGCCACGTCGCTCCCTTCACAACCACCGAGATCACCCCCCACTGTCGGTTATAACCACCATCAACTCCCCCAATTACCAAGTAACCCCAAGGAGGCTCAGACTAGAAAGGATGAGAGGGTTCAGTTTTTCCTGCTGTTAGAGGATCTCACTGCTGGCATGAACCGGCCTTGCGTTCTGGATTTGAAAATGGGCACACGCCAATATGGCATCGAAGCTGACGAGAAGAAGAAGAAGTCTCAAAGGCGAAAGTGTCAGACGACTACATCCCAACAGCTCGGTGTCCGACTATGTGGCATGCAGACCTGGAATGTCAAAAAGCAAGAGTACCTCTTTGAAGACAAGTACTTTGGACGGGACTTAAAGTCGGGTCGCGAATTTCAGGACGCCCTCACACGGTTTCTCTATGACGGTATCAACTATGCCAGCGTGTCGAAGAAAATTCCTATCATCCTGGAGAAGTTGGTTATGTTGGAGAGCATGGTTAGAAAGCTCAAAAGGTATCGCTTTTATGCCAGTAGTCTCTTGATCCTATATGATGGTGAACAGTCAACTCCCGAAGAAAGCACGACGACAGGAACTCATCCTGAGCGTGAGAATAAGTACCGCGGTCATTCCAGCGACCATGGGCGTAATAACACAGATGTTCAGTTGAAGATAGTTGACTTCGCAAACTGTGTCACTGGGGAAGACCCCTTGCCGCCCAATGCTCCTTGTCCCCCCCATCATCCAAATGATATTGACCGTGGATATCTCCGAGGTCTGCGAACATTGCGAATGTACTTTCAACGTATTCTCAAGGAGATCAGCCAGGAAGATTACGTTGAAAGAGGGGAGGTAGAAGCTATGGCTATCTCCTCTAGAGGCGCCGACCCTGAAATCGCCTCCGAGGGATACTGGGACGAGGGAGTGATCGAAAGTGACCCTGGCGAAGTCAGCACCTGATTCCCGAGCAGACATCTTACCCTTTCTTTTTTTTTTTTTGTTTCTTTTCTCTTCCCTTCTTTTCTGCGCTATTTAGCGACAAAAAAGCATCTGGGTATAGATCTCCTTATGTTGGGTGTCAGGCTTTCACAAACATGTTTTTTCATTTAAACAGCATTCTCATTGAGCATCCTTATTGCTGGTCGGTGCCAAGCTTCCATTTCGCCGTCCAGGGTGCTCAGTATTGATACCCCTGTTAATACCCATTCTTTCTCTTTTCTGCAAAATGGTTTATTTTCCGAACGAAATGTCTGTTGCTGTCAACGACATTACGACTAGAATGTGTTTCCGGAACGAGATCGGACATAGACGCTGCAGGCTCGTCCGGACTGTCTGTTTCTTTGAACAAGCTCATGCCTGGATGCATGGCACCGTGACGTTTTCATTAGGGGGCGATTTGGCTCTCTGACTGCATGTCTGTGTATTAGATTGTTACCTGCCTTGTCCCCCGTCTTTGTCTTTTTTCCCTTCTCGGACCTGTCTTATTGATTATACCTGGAAGCTGTCCGATTCCCTGCTTTTCTCTTTCTCGAGGCCATGCTTGTATTTGTACATAACATAGTGAGGTTCAGAATTCAGGCATAAATGCGTTTAGTCCAACTGGTGTTTACTCCGTGTCTTTACCGTCTAGTCCGGAGATATCGACGCTCTCCTTCGCGACACGACACATATAACATTCATCTTGGGTCCATGTGCGCCCAATGTCGCTGAGCTCGATCAGCGATTGTTCGGTTTCTGCTTGCTCAGAAAGGGTTGATCCCGACGTCCAGGAAGACTTTGGTCGGAGTCCGATGTCATATGCAGCAGAGAATGGACATGAAAAAAATCGTGAAGATACTGCTTTCTACACCCAGGGTGGATCCAACTTTGGTGTGACACTAAAAGCCGGGTTCCTATTTGGGTTGCTGCATGGAATGGCCTTGTTGATATTGTGCAGATGTTGCTCGCGACTGGGAAGGTTGATGTTAATCATGCGGATTCAAAGGGACAGACACCATGGATGCTTGCTGCTATTGCATACTGCTGACTCTCTGCTCCCCTTGGCTCCTCAGGGGCTTGTGGATCCCAATGCGAAGGATAATATGTCGTGGACACTACCTTTCCACGCCGCGATGCATGGCCAAGCCCAGGTTATAAGGCAGCTGCTTGCTGCGGAGGCGGATCCGGTTCCAGTTGATTCTCGGCAGATTACGCCTCTTATGGAGGCAGCTGGAACTGGGCATGTTGACGTGGTTCAGGTGTTGCTTGAGACTGGACGCGTACGGATTGACGCGACAACCCGAGGGCAGACCGCGTTGATGTTGTCGGAGTTCAGGCGGCGCGGTACTGTTGTGGCTCTCTTGAAAGAAGTTGCGGAATCCCCAAGTCAATAGCCGTCGTCAAACTGCCAGATGGCTCCGATTTCAAGTATGTGCGACCGCGAGTCCGCAGCATGACGAATTCCTGAAGAGTCTCAGCGCTTCACGGTCTTCAACTACCACAAACTCGAGACTGCGGAAATAGATATCGTCTCTGCAACACAGAAAGACGGTCTCACCATCCGAAACGTGTCCCTCGCAGCCGGTTTACAAGCGGCGACTCAGTGTGTCGAGTGATTGAAGGAGCTGAAAGGCGACGATCCCGCCGTGGTTGCCTCAGCTCCTCCTGTGCCCCCGAACCCGCCATCAGCAGATGGTATTGAGGTAAAGTTCATCCAACCGTCAACGGATCCCGAGGAACGTACGACCTGTTTGCGGTGGATCTTCTGCCCCCGAGTAGGTCCCCAGTTCTGCAATCAAAGTAGTTGGGATGGGGTTGGAAGCCGCCAAGCGAGCGTTCGATGAACTGAGACTGGGTGTGAGTGGGACAAAGTTTGTCATTAAGGTGTGGTTGACTACTCTAGTACCGGTAAATATCAATATTCATGATGTTTTTCGGTGTTACGACCGGACATCGTTCCAAATGCTTGGTATCATTCCTTTGCTCCTTCTAGGTGGGTTCTTGATCATTGTCATATGAATTGATATTATAACCAAATAAAATCAAGAACTTCTCACAATATACGCCGTGCTCTTCATTCTTCGGTGATAGGGTTGCAAATTACTGTAATGTCCGAAAAGGAAAGTGACTTCAACAACAGCTCGCATGGCTTAGTTGGTAAAGCGCGTGACTAGTAATCACGAGATCCTCGGTTCGAATCCGAGTGCGAGCAGTTTCTTTTTTTCTTTTTTTTCTTTTCCCGTACTTGTTAGTCAACAAGTAAATATTACATACAATATAAATATCTAGATAGTAATAACTGCTTGTATGTTTCTATCGCTCTTGGTCCTTTTCGGTTTTGGTTGGCGATATTTGTTTCACTGAGGACAAAGGAATTACGCGTGGTTCCCAACTGAAGGGGTAAGTAAACATATAAGTTAGATTGTCCGTTTGAGATGAATTAGAGCGATGCCTATGCTTAGTTCCAGGTTGTATCCCCTTTCAATGAACCCGGATCTCATACCGTCCCAAATCATACGACCCCAGATCGAGGTCCCATCTCAAATGGTCCGCCCAATAAACTAGAAAACAAAAAGAAAACCGGTGTCGGTCTGTGGTCTCTGTTGAGTCTTCCACCCCTGTCGATTCTAGGGAAGTGGCTCCCAGTTCCCTTGTCTACTTGCGCCTCCTTGGTTGTCTTGTTTATCAAAAACGCCCAGGCCCAGCATCCTTGGCTCTCTTGGTCCTTTTAAATCTTGGGTTGTACTGTGTACCTGCAGAGATGATCTCTGGGATCTTGGAACTCGGTCATGTTGCATATTATTCTCTCTGATTCCCCTAAGACTGGACGCAAGGGCGACACTCTGGCTGTATCCCATTGAGGTATCATCCCAATACACGTCCTTGTAGCCACAGCACCAACATTTTAGACGAGGCAACGAGTAGCAAGATGACCAATAGATGGACCAGCATAATGTAAAATGTGCCTGCTCGTGAGCAGTCACTTATCCCCTCCAGGCTTGCACATGAAGTCTTGATAGAGATATTCATAGTGAAGCCATATGATATCCTGAAGTTTGTCCCCACAGTAAAATCTCATCAAAGATCAGGCAGTCTTTTGATGAAAACCCACTATTGCGTATCAAGTACATTGTTCGGCTTGTGGGATCGTCGTGTCACTTGATTTTGGGGGTCTTCCACCCAAGGTGTCGGACTAGCAGAAGATATTGGGGTAACCTCTCTGCCCCCAGCTGCTTCTGGGTCGCATGTTTGTTCTTGATGGGCTCCATAGAAGCAGTGTTCTATGTTCCAGTGTGACTTCGGTCCTATTTTGATCTGACTTTTCAATGGTTCCATGGTGTGAGGTCAATGATGAACAGTTTTTCCATTCGCAATGGAGGCCTTCGGGGAGCCGGGGTGGGGGGAATACTGGGAAAATACTTTGAGTTCGTCATTGTCCGCTGACCTGGTGCCTAACCCAGCGGTACCTAAGTGAGCAGTGGCCATAACAGTCCTTATCTATGTAGCTTTTGTGTGGTAGATCAATGGATGTGGTCATAAGGGGGCAATGATGTATTTTCTGTAACCTATGACAATCATCGTCGACTGTTGGCCTTCCTGAAAGTGGTTGTGCGGAGGGTTAGTAGTCAAGGGAAACAGATATATATATTTGAAGGATGAGACACTGAACACCGCCTGAGTGTTCTGAGAGTACTGAAATCTCCTTTTAAAACTTTCTGGAAAGAACATCTCAACCAATCAGCTCGCATGGCTTAGTTGGTAAAGCGCGTGACTAGTAATCACGAGATCCTCGGTTCGAATCCGAGTGCGAGCAATTTCTTTTTCAATATATTTTTTTTTTGCAATTCTCACTTCATTTCAATTTAGCCGTGACAATGACAACGATACATCATAGACAATCTACTGCAGAGGATGGATATACGCCACCAACCAGTATACCGGGGGGAACCCCGGAGAAGTTTAGGCGGTTCGTTTTGTTGGCTCTTCAGTGTTTTTGCCGGGCTTGGGCACCGGACGGAGCCGATGTTAAATAGGATGCCCGCGCAGTCAGATAGTCATACCAGATTTTACAGCGATGATTTTCGGTGTTAAGTTGTTCGTTCAGGTCTTCGTATCGCGTGTAGTGGCATTGGCCTAGGTATCGGCTCAGCTACGGTCTTGTTGTCTATCTTCCTCCCCATCTTCGCCACAGCCTCTTCGGCTCCCTTCAATCCCCAACCTGGGTGTGCAGCCTACCTATACTCACTGCCTCCCGGTCCGCTCTTACGAGCCCACTAGTCTCTCTCGTACATGTACATCAGTTACTATTGATCTACTCTGAATGCGACTGCCGAGCTCGGTGCAGGATACAGTAGTTAGGTCAGCCGACCTGTAGACTCCTCCATGTGTGGTGTAAACCCAGCGATGGCGTACAAGACGATCCTATAAGGGAGGTACAGTTAACAACAACACTACGGACTGGAGCACCGGGGATGCCCTACGACTTTTTATTGGTTTGTACGGGAAATCTTGTAGAGGGTGAAGAAGAAAGAAAAAAAAAAGAAAACGAAAAAGAAATGCTCGCACTCGGATTCGAACCGAGGATCTCGTGATTACTAGTCACGCGCTTTACCAACTAAGCCATGCGAGCTGTTGTTGGCAATAAAAATATTGAAAAACTATAAGTAAAAGATTAAGTAATGTAAATACATCCCATCACGTGCATCGGCGATAAGCATATCTCCTCGGCCACGTCAAGCTGCTGTTGTCATCGCTATCTTCTCCCATTGTATACTGTCTTTCCTGGGTTCTGGACAGGTATCGATGACCTGGCAGGGATATTATTACCCGCCGGTTTTTCCTCTTTTAAACAATACATGTTTCGTTTGTCTGTTGGCTGACGAGTCCATTTCCTTGAATCCGAAGTGACGTATGTGAGTCCAGCATGAGGCAACCATTCGCAGTTCTCCCGTGTTTAACTGACAAGCGGCTTTTTTTGGTATAATAGCAACAACTGCCTATGGTGAATTATTCTGGGGGGAATATATCTTGCTTGACAGAATCTGGTTGAGCAGCGTGCGTGGCACATTCATCCCTGCCCGTGACAGAGTTACAGCGAGCCTTTCGTTCATCCTGTTGTCCTTAACCTAGGGATTGCACCTGACAATGACTCACCGAAACGGCCATGCCGAGCCTCTTATTGACAAGCGCGACTTTGATGCGAATAGACCATTATTGGGGGATGTAAGTGCCGATGGCCATCCGGTAGAGCGCGGACCATTACAATCACGGTCCCGATCGAAGAGCTCCTGGCAGTCGGCAAACAGGGATGATGGCAATGACAGCGATGATAGCAATGGCTTGCTGAGTGATGTGGTTGAGGGCATCGTAGAACGTGATCGACGGAAGATGGAGAGAGAGGTGGTGAGGGTGTGCAGCTTCGCTTGGGGTGTTATCACCTGGTAGAGTCCTCTCTTGGTTTTGGGATTAGGAGGGCACCGGCTTGCTAACTATGTCTTATTTGTAGCCTCGGGGCTGGAAGTATCACCGCTTTCTCCCTTTACGGTTCCCTGCTACTCACACGTCTCCATTATACACAGCTCCGAGTCAACGCGGTTGCTATTGCTGCGGCGGTCTCGATGTATCTTCCTGTTCCGTTGTTCGGATACCTATGTGATCGATATACTCCGTCGCCGCTGTCTTTCTCTTCGGGGTTCCTATTCGGCGGTGGGTATCTCTTAGCGGCATTGACCTACAAGAGTGGCCCCCCTCCCGACGCTGGCGGATCCGGATGGCCTTTCTGGGTGATGGTCGTGGCATTTGCCCTGATTGGGGCGGGAACAAGTTGCATGTACTTGGCCGCGGTAGCAACGTGCGCAAAGAACTTCGGCAGGGGGAAGCATAAGGGGATCATGCTGGCTGTCCCCATTGCAGCCTTTGGCCTCAGTGGTATGTGGCAGAGTCAGGTGGGAACCTATCTGCTGTGTGAACGATTGGAAGATGGAAAATGCGGTGATGTCGATGTCTTCCGGTACTTCCTGTTTCTTTCCATATTGCTCTTTGGGATTGGCCTTATTGGCACCCTTGGGTTAAGGATCGTGGACGAGGAAGAGGAAAAGTACATCGATGAAGCAGTTGAGGAACTAGAGCGGAGTGGTATTCTTGGTGAGAACGACTTCTTCCGGTCAAGAAGTGAAGTCCAGGCTGCGTACGGTACATTTGGCCAGCCCGACGATAGCGACGACGAGAACCAATCAATAGTCATGTCGGACGAGGAACGCGAGGCCAGGAGGCTCGAGGAGGAGAGAGGAGAGGAGGAGCGCAGGAAGAAGAACTGGCTTTTAAATTTTGAAACCAGGCTGTTTCTTAAGGATCACACGATGTGGTGGCTCGCAGGCGGTTTCTTCTTGATTACCGGTCCGGGAGAAGCTTATATGAACAATGTATGCGCCCCTGTTTGTCGCTTGTCTGTTTAAAATAGCTACTAATATTGCATGTTGCTTTCTCTAGCTCGGCACCATCGTTCAAACATTGAGTCCCCGAACCTTGTTGCCTTCCGCATCACCACCAGCCGGACTGCCTTCTACTCACGTCACCATTATATCGCTCACGTCTACCATAGCCCGACTCCTCACAGGTTCCCTCTCAGATCTCTTCGCGCCCATAGCAACTCACCATTTCACCCGCAATGACCCTGAGTCCTCATCCAGCCACCGGCAGGAAGAGAATCCAGAGAGCACCAACACCCACACCACTGTCTCACGCATGACCTTCCTCCTCCCTTCTGCCTTCCTTTTCTCCCTGGGCTTCCTACTCCTCAGCTCCCCTTTCCCCGTCCAACATCCCCAGCTCGCCCACATCACGACAGGCTTGGTCGGAATCGGCTATGGAAGCGCCTTCTCCCTGGTTCCCATCATCATCAACGTAGTCTGGGGTGTCGAGAACTTTGCCACAAACTGGGGCATTGTGTCCATGTTCCCGGCCATCGGGGCTGCGGTTTGGGGTGTTTTATATTCAAGCGTGTACCAAAGCGCTGCAGGCTCTGGAGGCGGTCCAGGGGACGGTCAATGCTTCGGATGGAGATGTTATGGGTTCTGGGCCGTGGGCTGTCTGGTTAGTGTCTGGGTGGCTATATCTGCTTGGGTTTTGGCGTGGAGGGGGTGGAAGAGGAGGGGCGTTGTTGTTTGATTGGATTATTCTATTGGACTGACTTTTATGTTCGTTGCTTTTGCTTCCGGTGTTTTTGGGCTATAAATATAGGCATAAACTCGAATAGACAGTCTATCAGTACATCCACAGCTAGGGTTAGGATTTGGTCACCGCCGGCTGTCTCACATCTCGTGCAACTGCTTTCCCCGCTCATCACCTCGTTCATGGGTCTTTACGGTGACAAGACGACATATTGACTTGTAAACATCGTTGCATAATCTGGAGAAGAGGGTCGGGTGCGGACTGTGAAGAGCTGAAGAATTTTGGTGGGATCGATGCGTATTAGGGCACCGGGCCAGCGCAGGGCTACATATCACCTGATGGGCGGGTGTTAATGCTTATTATGGTATGTTCTTCCATGTCGTCTGGCCCGTAGACGGGATTATCTGTGCCACAGGTTGCTCGATGCAGGAGAAGATGGCTCGTCTGGACGGACGTCGTCAGCGTAATCATGCTCGCATTGTTTGATGGGAATGTCTTTGCAGGTCGCGTCGAGATTGCGGGATGCCATGGTAGCGTTCTTCAGCTGTAGTCAACTTGGTGAATTCGGAGGCCTACCGACCCCGTCATTAATTAAATTTAACCTTAATCATTAGTGCTGACCCTGTGTGCTGACAGGAGTGTCATCGATTAGGGCTTGATGACTGCGTCAGACACAGGAGGAGAAACATACTCTAAGCCATGTATATGTAACATCTAGATGCAAGCTGACACTGTATCTCCTCCCCCCTGACTGTCAGAAAGGAGAATCTCAGGAACCGTCTCGGTTCAGGGAGTTCTCAATGCAACATGGCCTGATGGATCCCCTTCCGTAGGAGATCTCTAGGCTCAGCGTGAACTTATTAGGGCTATTCTGCGTCAACCACCCAGCTCGCTGCAGTCGGGCCTATCCCATCAACCAACCCCTTTCTGTTGACAAGGTACTCCTTTGATGACGATGGATACTGCACCTCCTTCCGGGGCAAATATCGCGCACTTCCCCACGCTGGACGCTGCCAAACTGCTCCAGCGGGACGAAGGAGAGATCCAGAACCTGCTGCAGGCGTGCAAGACCTATGGCTTCTTCTCATTGAATCTGGCCACGACCGAGACGTCGTATATGATCGACGCCTGGAACGATGTTCTTGCGTTTATGGATGCGTACTTCGACCAGCCTAGCGAGGTGAAGCTCAAGGATGAGCGCCATAGTGATATCCACGGGTTCGTTGGGAGAGTCTTTTTGATGATTTGCCATACGCTCTGCTGATGGTGTCGATTATATTGCAGCTACGAGCCTTGCGGTACTTCCACTGGTGCTACTGACGAGCGTCTCGACCACTATGAGAGTCTGAAGGTCTGGTTTGTGGCATGCGTACAAGACGAAACCGTTGACTGACTAGGTAGCCTGCAGATCTCCTTCACGGAATGCAAGTGTCGCAGCGAGAACCTTGCCCCGGCCCTGAAGCAGAATCTCCCACTCTTCGAGACCTTCATCGGAGGCGCCCACCGTCTGGTGATGACCCTCCTCGAATGTCTCACCCAGGCCCTGGGCAACCAGATCCCCGCGCCGCTGGAGTCCTTCCATGACGAATCCCAGCCGACGACCAGCACAATGGCCATGTTCCGCTACCCCCGTCAGACGGAGGAAGAGGCAGCCAAGGGCGTTGGACACAACAAACACACGGACATCGGCACCTTCACCTTCCTCCTGTGCCGGCAATGGGGTCTGCAGGTTCTCTCGCCCGTGGAGAACAAGTGGCTGTACGTGGCGCCCAAGAAGGACCACGCCATTATCAATGTTGGCGATTCTCTGCGCTTTTTGACCGGCAACCGCTTGTTATCTGCTGTCCATCGCGTGCTGCCTTTTACCCATCGCCAGCTGGAGCATAGGCATTCTATCGCCTTCTTTTTGCGGCCGGCTGATAATACCGTTTACCGGGATTCGAAAAACCGGCTTGTCACTGCCCGTAGCTGGCATGATGAGAAGTTTGATCACTTTCGGGCTTCTCACGAGAAGCAATCTGCCGAGTGTATTCTTACTGGGGGGATGGAGAGGTCGGATCGGATTGTTGCTTTTCCCTCTGCTTAGTTCGGTGGCAGTCCTCCGGTTGTTTCAGTCAGAGCCGGGTAGAAGTGAGATAGATATATGAGCTATTATTCGAAGCGCATTAGTTAGCCCCGAGCAACAATCGTATCTACTTTCTTTTAAAGGTGCTGGCAAACAATTCTCATTCATATTATCAAGTACAGTGACAACCAAACGCCCTCCACCAAGACTTGAGCCCTCACTTCTCCAAACTAGCATCCACCAGCGTCTTAAGCAAAGGACAGCCCAACGCGATCTTCCCACACAGTGTACTGATCGGATCATTGCTCAGAATGTCAAACACAGACACGCTCGACCGTGCCTCGTGGTAGATCCAATTGCGAATCTCCACAGCGACCAGGGAATCCACCCCATACTCATGCAGAGGCTTGTTAGGGCTGATGTAGTCCACCGGAACCAGCAGCAGTTTCGAGACCTTTCCGACGAAGGCCGTGCCGATGGCATCGTGCGCGTCTTCAAGAGTCTTCGCCTGTTCAAGTTGAGCATGCAGGCTTTTCATTTCTTTGTTGGTGTTACCGTGGGCCCCCGCCGCGCCTCCCTGGTTGATGTCGACATTGCGCAGGTGAGAGAACCGCGCATCGTGGAAGTAGTATGGGAACTCGCCTCCGCAGTTCGCCTGAATAACGCCTCCTGTCGCGAGGCCGGTTGTGAGCTGGACAGGTATCTCCCCGTGGGGCGATGATGAGGGCTTGGAACTGGCAATGGCTCCTTGGAGGATGTGTAGGAATTCCTGCTCCGGAATGCCCACAAACCCCCATCGTTTGACGTTTTCCTGCGTCTCCGCATTCTCAGCCACGTAGCCGACGTCGAGGATCACCCCGAGATCGACGGTAGATGCCGCCAGCCCCTGTCCTCTGCGATAGGCGGCAAGGGCATCCTGGTAGGTGTTCCCGGCAGCATAATTGCCCTGACCGCGACTGCCGATGATGCCGGCCGAAGACGACAGCATGGTGAAGAAGTCGAGGTCGCCGGGCAGCAGTTCATGCAGATTCCATGAGCCCTGGACCTTGGGGCGAACGGCAGCGTGGAATTTCTCCGCCGTCATGTTTCCAAAGAGACTATCTTGTAGAACCATCGCGCCCTGGATCACTCCTCGGATTGGGGGCATATTCCGACTGCAGCTGCTAAACACTTCTCGGAGGGCTTCCTTGTCGCCAACATCACAGGCGTAAACGGCTACCCTTGCTCCAGCATGGATCAGTTTACCGCTGAGCTCCTTTGCTTTCTGGCTCTGTGCGCCAGATCGAGAAATGAATGCCAGATTCCTGGCGCCGTTGTGCACCATCCACTGCGCAATGCTTCGTCCTAGACCACCCAGACCTCCGACGAGTAGGTATGTAGCGTCGGATTTGAATCGAAGGGGGAACTGGCTCTTTGGGTGGACCTTTTCATCCCGTAAGTAAAATGTAGATAGATTGTTGGGCTTAAATAGATGCCTTCACGTACCTTGACGACGCTGCTTTCTGTCGGTCTAACAACCAACTTACCAACATGCGAACCGGACTGCATGGTTCGAAAGACCGTCTCAACCTCCGAGTAGTCGTACACAGTCACCGGATGAATCTCTTTGATAACGCCCATCCGTAGAAGAACTGCCATCTCCGCCAGAATCCTAGCCGTCGTCTGTCTGTCCTTCTCCATGATCATGGCGATATCGACGGAGGCGAAGGTGATGTTGCCGTTGAAAGGTGCCATCTCCAGCGCACTATTACCCAGAATATCAGTCTTGCCCAGTTCAATGAATCGACCGTACATGGAGAGGCATTGGAATGATAGTCGAAGGGCCTCTCCCGCCAAGCTGTTGAGGACCACGTCGACGCCCCGATTGTCCGTCATCCGTTTGATTCCCTTGGCGAATGTGAGATCCCGGCTGTTGAAGATGTGGTCGTCTGGGATGCCATAGAGATCTTTTAGGACCTGCTTTTTCTTTTCCGAGCTGACAGTCGCGAAGATCTCTGCGTCAAGTGTCTTCGCTAGGATGATGGCTGCCTGTCCGACACCCCCAGATGCTGCGTGGATGAGGATCTTCTCGCCCTTGCGCATGCGCGCCACCTCGAACATAGAGTAGTATGCTGTCATGTAGACAAGGGGCAGCGAAGCTGCCGTTTCGTAGCTCATGCCTTCTGGAATGGGTTGGAAAAGTGACTCCTGGCACCGAACGTAGGATCTATATGCCCCTAGCAAAGTCGTCCAGACTCGATCTCCAGGTTTGTACTTGGTCACCCTCGAGCCAATTCTGGTGACGGTTCCGCTGCATTCAAGACCCAGCGGCCCAGACACCTTCCCCATGGCGACCATGACATCTTTGAAGTTGACGCCGGTGGCCTTGACCTCAACCTCAACCTCATCATCGGGGAGTGGCTGGCTAATCGAGCGGTCTTCGGTAAATTGCAAGGAATCGAGCAGCCCGCGTACCTTGACTTCCAGATAAAGAGGGCTCTTTGACTGTTTGAACGGAATCGCTATCGACCGGTTACTGGAATGGGAGACGACCATGTCGTTGACGGGTTTGATTTCTTCCAGCCTGCTGATGAAAACTGACCCATCCCGCTCCACGAACTCGTAATCCCGCGAGTGAGGACTCAATGCCGCTTGTGAGTCTGATTGAAAGTGCAGAATGTCAACGATCCGATCCGCAGCCGAGTCGGAGTCGGAGCTCAAGTCTAGAGTCGTGATGAGAGCGTTTGGCTGTTCCGCGCGTATGCTTCTTGCTAGACCGACGACCATGCTCGCTTCAGGTACTGGGGTATCGATCGCGGCCCCCTTGGTGACCCAAAGGACCTGCTTGGAAGTGAGAAGCAGGCGTTGTATCGAATTGAACTGCTCGCTTGTGACACCAGCCAGAATGGGGTGGTCATACTCGAGAAGGACGATGCAAGTGCATTCTGTCAGCTCCGAGGGAAGGTCTTCCAGGGTTACCAGCGAGGCCTGGCGACCTCTCTGAGCTAGATTATCCTCCAGATCTGCGATAATACCCCCAAGCTTGTGACTCTTTTGTCCGGGCTGAACAATCAAAGTCCCTGATGCCGGGTGTGAGACCGCGGAGATGGCATTATTATCATCAGCAGCAGCAGTAGAGACGATAACGCTGAATAGCTCATCTCCGTGGTACTCAGCATAGTCGGCAAGGCCGATCTCAACGCCCTTAAAACCCTGCCGGCGAAGCAGTGCATCCCATTCGGATGCGTTCAGCGTCGGACCGCCGTGTCTACCGTCTTCTTCACCTAGCCACCAGCCGGGCAGGATGCCCATGATCATCGGGATGCGCATCAGCTGCTGCGTAATCTCGATCATGACCAGCTTTCCACCTGGCTTCAGGAGCTTCCGGACGTTGGCCATGGTGACATCCATTGTGTTTGTTGCATGCAAGACGTTCGCGGCAATTACCACGTCGTACTTATGTTCTTGAAACCCCTGTGTTTCTGGGTCGTTCTCGATGTTGAGCTTTTGATAGGAGAGGTACCTGTCCCAGTCATTGAACTTTTCCCTAGCCTTGTCGAAGAAGCCCGACGAGATGTCCGTGAAGGTGTATGACTGAAACCGTGCCGGATGGTCTCCATGTCCTCCCAGGATTTGAAGCACCGGCAGTGTTGCACCTCCTGTGCCAGCTCCGATCTCGAGAAAGTTCAAATCGGGATATTTGTGCGCCAGTCTGTCCATGTATCCTGACAATTGATGGTAGACTCGGTCCAATCCGAATCCCTTGGCGTAGTATTCATGGAGCAGGTTCTCATGTAAGAGCACTTCCAGCGGCTCCAGACGACCTTCCAGGACGGATTCGAGGTGGTCTCCGACCTGGCACATAATTCTACCGTCGATGCTTTGATTTCGGGTCTGTTCAACCAGCCTTTGCTCGGACTCTTTGTCCAAAGTGGCAATCTGGTCTCCGAAAGCCCTAACCTGCTCCTTCATCCACTCCACGAAGAGTTTGTGGTGAGTAGCCAGACGCTCGGTGCCTGCTTCAGCTTGTCCAATCGATCTCAGGCATTGTTTCATGTAGATCAGAGCCGTCTGCTCCAGTTCTCTGATCATAATATGTTCGTTGGCTTCCGAGCCCAATCCCACCGTGAACAGCCGAGAAGCGTGTTCCTGGTTGATGACATCAATATCCTCTTTCCATGTCGAGTGGAATACAACCCTCCTTGCTTGGGAACTGGATGCATCCGGTGAACCATTCTCTGACACTGCCGCCAGTCTCTTCAGTTCTAGGCCTCGAATCACAAGTTGGACGCTGTCCCACCCAGAGTCCGAGACGACCACCGTTGCCCCAAAACCGCTGTCGTCCTCATGCGTAATGGTGGATTGGCCTGTAAGGAGGGTCCCAGGGTTGCTTTTTATATCGGCAGCAATATACAGACTCTGCAGGGAGACCGGAACATGCGCATCCCTCATCGATGCACCCGATCCTACTCGAGAGGGCAGAACCATGTGGAAGATGTTATCCAGCGTGATGGGGTGAATAACATGCTTAAACTCAAACTCGTCTGGCATCTGCACTTTGGTGTCTGGAATACGCAGCTGACAGACACTCTGGCCGTTGCAGTGTCGGATGCTCGACAGGTTGCGGAATGCCGGACCAAATTCCATGCCCATCTGGCCGAGGCGATCGTAGAACGCATCCAGTTCGATTGTCGACAAGCATAGCCCAGAGGATCTCAGGTATTGCTCCCGATGCATCTGCAGCTGTATCTCGTCTTCCCGATGCAGATCAAACCCCGCCTTGTTGCTGTGGTAGTGTGTCACGATCAAGCCACGCGCGTGGTCTTGCCAGCCCTGCGTTGACTGGTAGGAATAGATGACGAACTCGTCCCAGTGCGAGCCCTTGGTGAGGCCCTGCGCCTGATACGGACGCAGGTGGAGTATGGTTTCAACGCCTTCTTCGCCTTCCGGCACCTGCAATGCCCGGTTGATCTGGACATCTCGCAGCTCGAACCCCTTGACCTTCTTCGACGAATCCGCCAGCTGAGCGGCAGCCTCGATTGCCATCACGATGAATCCCGCACCTGGGTAGATTATGCGAGACTGAACGACGTGCTCGCGTATCCAGGGGCTCTCGGAGACCCGCAGGTAGTTTCTCCATCTCGGCTCCAGTGCGTTGTGATCCGCCGTGGGAGCCCCTACCAGGTGGTGACGAGGGTGTGATCGATGGCGATAGTCATAGCTTAGACGAGACTCGTACCAGAACCGGAGGGAATGCATCCAGGGATAGGAGGGCAGATCCGTCAGGACTTTGAGAGAATGACGGTCGAGTTGGTCCAGACGGTTGGCTCGCAGTATATCCACTGCAACGCCTCGGAGAAATAGCCCACCAACAGCCTGGAGGAAGGTTGTCAAACCGCCTTTACCACGAGCCAGAAGGTTAAGGTAGGGAACCTCTAGCTTTTCGTGATCCAGGATTTGCTTCAGAGGTCCTTTGAGAGTCGAATGAGGCCCAACCTCGAGCAGAATGTCGACCGCGGAACGTCCGCCCCTTCGAGCCCTCTTGCCTGCGGAGAAACAAAGCATGGCTTGAACTGCCGCGGTGAATTTCACCGGAGAGACCATGTTCTTGACCCAGTATTCCGGTGTCAGTTCGTCCGTTGCGATCTCAGAACCAGTCACGGAGGAGAACATCCGTGGAGTGCCATGCTTCACCCCGTTGGGCTGAAGATTACCAAGACTGTCAAGATACTCCTCTGCAATGATTTCCATCTGAGGGGAATGGTAAGCGTGTTCAACCTTGAGTCGTCGAGCAAAAACCCCTTTCTCTGCCAATATGGCCTCGAGTGTCTCGAAGTCATCGCGGTCTCCCGAGAGAGTGACACTTGAGGGACTATTGATGCAGGCTACCACAACTCTCAGCTTCGGATTTTGCTCCAGGATCTCCTGTGCTTCCTTTTCCGACAGATTGGCAGCCATCATGGCTCCCGCTTTGTGCGTCTTGGTCTGGTTGATCTTCTCGCATAGACGTCCGCGGTGGTAGGCGATCTGCCATGCAGCTTCACGCGATACTGCGCCGATGCTGTATGCTGCGGCGATCTCGCCGCTTGAATGACCAACTACGGCGCTGGGGCGTACCTGGAGATGTGCGAGAAGATCAATCAGGGCAACCTGGACGGCAGTACATATCGGCTGGCTGTATGCGGATTGATTGATCTTGGAGGAATCGGCATTGCGGACGAGTTCCTCTGTATGCTGGGATTAACGCACTCCCTTTTTTTTTTTCGGAAAGGAAAGGAGGCTATGCTTACCTATCAGGTCCCATTCACAACCTAGGGATTTCAGAAACGCTCCAGCAGACTCGAGAGACGTGCGGAAACAGTCAAAGACCATGAGCTCCCTGCCCATGGTGGCCCATTGCGCACCTTGACCACTGAACACAAACGCAAGAGAGCGAGCCGGAGGGGATTTCACAGGCTCTGGCCCTGTGCTCTGGAGGGCCTGGCTCAGTTCAGCAACTGAAGATGCGACAACAAAGTTCTTCCACATCAGCTTACTCCGCCTTTCACTCAGGGTGTAGGACAGATTGTGGAAGAGTTCGCTCTCCAAGGCACCCTCGGCCTTTTTGTCCAGGTATTTTGCTAGAGAGCGCGAAATATCAGCACAGCCACTCTCATGATGAGCAGAGAAGACAAAGAGCTGGGATGCATGGGACAGGTGGGTTTGGGAGGGCGATGATCCATTCGTTCCGTATGATCCTGCCTCAGAGACGACGTCTCGAAGTGTCTCCTCGTCGCCACTGGAACTCGCATCGCTGGTAAGCTCGTCCTTTCTATTCAGGTCTTGCAGGTAATGACATGCATCGTCAAGGATAACATGAGCATTCGCACCCCCGAAACCAAAGGAATTCACGCTGACACGTCGGACACCGTCGTTGGGCCACGGTGTAAGCCGACTCACTACCTTTTCAAACAAAACGTCAGTCTGGCTACATTGCAATTGCGGGAAAAGACATCAGTCTCACCTGCAAATTCTGCTCTTGGAGACGGGTCCTTGGATTCGGGCTTTCAAACCCAGCCGTGGCCGGAATCAGGCCCTTCTCGAGAATCAAAATGGCCTTGACGATGCCCGCCAGACCGCTAGCACCTTCCAGATGGCCAATATTACTCTTGATAGAGCCGATTAGCAGAGGATCTCCTGCCGACTTGGCCGCACCGATGGTGTTTCCGATGGCACCGGTCTCGATGGGATCTCCAGCCTGTGTCCCGGTTCCGTGGGCTTCGAAATAGCCCGTTTGGCCCATCCCCAGGCCGGCACTCCTATACGCAGAGCGGATTAGTTCCTCCTGGGCCTCCTGGCTCGGAAGAGCGATGCCTGGAGTTTTGCCGTCGTGGTTGGTCGCAGTGCCTCGAATGATTGCCCGTATAGGGTCGCCGTCACGCAGTGCAGCGTCGAGCGGCTTGAGGATGATCGACGCGACTCCCTCCCCGCGTCCGTATCCATTCGCCTTGCTGTCGAACGAGTGGCATTTTCCATCGGGTCCTAGGAAACCGGGTCCAGCCAGCAGGATGAAGAAGTCCGGACTGAGAATGATCGTGCTTCCTCCAACAATTGCCTTGACCAAAGTCAGCATGCAGTGCCACCCTGTAAATCAATTCCTGGGCCAGAAATACTAACCGATGTTGCCTCCCCAGACCGTAGGCTCTGGCATGCCAGGTGAAAGGCTACCAGACTTGAAGAACATGCGGTGTCGAGCATCACGCTGGGCCCCTTCAGGTCGAAAAACCACGAGATCCGGTTGGCGAGAAGGGACGTGATGCTCCCGGTGCTGTGGTATCTCGTGCTGAATTCCATGTCTTTGTGAAGATTGTCCCCATAGTCGTTGGAGAGGGTGCCGACATAGCACGCTGTCTTGCTGCCCACGACATCTTCCAGCCGTATTCCAGCTAATATACACCGTCAACCACCTCACCCAAAGGATAACGCGGAGGTCTGCATGGAGGACCAACCATTCTCGTAGGCTTCATACGTTGCCTCCAGCAGCATCCGCTGCTGGGGATCCATCGCTTTGGCTTCATTCGCCGATATCGAGAAGAATGGGGCGTCGAATGCCGCGATGTCTTCTTCCAGAAAATGCGCTCCGCGGACGTAGAACTATTGCAAAGCCTCTCAGTGACTCTGGCATGACCAAAAGCACCACGGTCGACAGGTGCACTCACCGTTCCTTTTCGCCCGTTGTCGGGATGGTAGAAAGCGTCCGCATTCATGCGATCTTTGGGGACTTTGGACCATGCATTTCGACCGTTCGCGAGCATGTCCCAGAGGGCCTCGTCGGAATTGGCGCCCCCGGGGAATCTGAAGCTCAGCCCGACCACGGCGATGGGCATGGGCTGTGCGGTGTTTCCGATGAAGGGCATGCTGGCTTCGATTCCGGATGATCTTGATCTTTCCCGACCAGCTGGATTCACGTTATGGCCTTCGAAGCTCCCTCGTCAATTACCCCCGGCAGACTACGACCTGCATCACCTACAAGTACACTGCCCCGGCTCTGCCATGAACCGCTTTCAGCTGTTAGCGCTGACGTTCTTCTTCACGCCTGCCGATTAGCAGTGCCCCGGTGCAACACGATCGGACCCACCGATGCTGCAACACTGACTGACTCGTGTATTTTTGAAACGTCCCTAAGCTCGCCGGATCGCTGACCTGCGTGCTGACTCGCTGACCGGCTCAAGTGGACGCATACGGAGGCTGACATGCAAGCATCGGCATCCTTCCGGCAGGGCGTCAAAGGATGCAAGCTCTCCATCGAACCACAGCTCTCCATCGAAGCACGGCTTACCAGAGCTTACCAGAGCTTACCACAGCGTACCACGGCTCATAGGCCGAGGCGCGGGGCTTTGAAGTTCCCGGGAATTGGGCTGCTGCAGGCTGACCGTCAGTCTGCACGGCCGGCTTGGACGCTAGGGCTCGCCGCGTCCTGCGTGCGGGAGGAGGGTGCATCTCTTATGAATGGCGTATCATTCACTAGCTCAGGCTCGACGCATAAACGGTGTGCCTGCGTCTGAATCTCTGGACGACGGCCGCTGAGGGACGCATCCAGTCCTAGTTAAGCCCGGCGATGGCTTGCGTCTCGCTGTCCGGCGTAGTGAACTGCTTCTTCAGCCCCTACCTTCTCTCCCCTCACGCCAGGCCGTTGCTGCAGAGCGCGTAACCATATCCTTCCCAATGCGAATTCTCTGCCTCCACGGAATGGGAACCAATTCCCAGGTAGGGGGGACTCCTCCTTGCGCGTCTATTCCACGGACTGACTGTTAACTGGTATCCTTTGGAGATATTCGAGGCACAGACAGGTTAGCCGCTTGCGCAAGCCCGTCACGCCGTTCACCGACTAGAAAGACCGGACTGACAGCTAGATCCAGCGCTGCTGCGAGCGTCGATAAACGCCGAGTTAAACACAGAATGCGACTTTGTCTTCGTCGACGGAGAGATTGAGACTGAGCCGCGGAATGGTAACCGCCGCCCGAACCCTCCTCCTTCATGCTTCCCTCATCCCCCGGTGCTTCGCGCCACGAACATGGCGAAATCGCGCTGGCATTGATGCTCATTGCTGATGCGACAGCCGTCGCGTGCAGGAGTGGAGAAGTACTACGACGGCCCGTTTCTCTCGTTCTACGACTGGGAATCGGCGGCCAGCGTCCGAGAAGCTTATCAGCTCGTGTACGAACTCATCGACGAGCAGGGGCCCTTCGACGGCGTCATGGGATTCTCGCAGGGTGGATCCCTGGCCTCATCCTTCCTGTTTCACCATATGGCAACGTGTCCCTCGCAGCCCGTCGAGCAGCTCTTCCGCTTCGCCATCGTGATTTGCAGCGGCAACCCATTCGACGCCCGTGGACCAAGCACTCGACGATATCACCCCGATGAGGACCTAGCGCGCATTCCCATCCCCACTGCCAACATTGTGGGGCGCAAGGACGACGAGTACTCGCGCCAGCTGCTGTTGCATCGGCTGTGCGACGCGCGCCGCGCCACGATCTATGACCATGGCGGCGGCCATGAGATCCCGCGCCATGCGGCGGCCGTGCGAGGGATGAGCGAGGCCATTACCCGTGCCATTGGACAGGCGTACCTGTTGTGATTACCGCCACAGCCGGACGGCCAAGCACAGCTGTGGACGGGCCCAATACAGCTATGGGCGGCCCAAATATAGCCATGGGCGGCCAGGGGGATGGCTCCGCGGCGCACCCACCGGGCCTACTCGGTGAGCCTTATCTAGGGGAATCACAGTGTTCTTTCTTACCTTTCTTGATGCTACATAAGACGCCAGTACGGTAATTCTGTGCGAGAGCCTGCAGAGGCCCTACGCGGATCGTAGCCCGAGAAGCCGGCGCCCAGCCGCTGCAGAAACCCAAAGAGCATAATTAAAACCCCACCTAGTGACGTTGCAGTCGCTGAAGAACTAATTTATAGTGTCTTCACGGAACCCAAGATCTGGCTAGATTAATTACCAGGCGCACTAGAGCGCTGCTGGACCGTAAGCCCGGCTGGTTGTTTAATATGTCCCCGCAAGGCGTTATACGGTACGCCTTCGTTCCGTTTCCTATAAAAGTAGACGCTCCGGTGTATCGACTGTTTCGAGGACTGACTGAGCCATGGAGAACGTGCAGCCCCATGCGATCAACGTGCCAAACGAGGACTGGGCGTCCATCAGCGACGTGGAGCAGCGGAGGAGAATCCAGAACCGAGTTGCGCAGCGACGACATCGTATGCCAATGCTTCCTTCCCGGTGTCAATCAATGGATGGATGGATGGATGGCTGAATGCCCTGCTAACCATGACAGGCCGCAGGATGAAGGAACTCAAGAAAGCCCCAAGCCCGTCCCCATCTCCTCTTGCACCGCTGCTGGCCCAGAACCTCCCGGGCGACCAGTTCAATGCCAGCAGGTCCTCGCCCTCCAGCTACCACCGGCCGGTGCCGTCTCCGTCTCCCCATTCCTACACCTCTTCCTCCTCTCCCGCAGACCCTTCCCCACGCCCGATCCCACAGAATGCCGCCGCGTACTTCCCGCCGCTGCTCTCGCCCGATGTCGAGATGATGCTGCGGCAGTGGTACGCCCAGTCGATGCCGCCGGTGCTGGGCACCGCGCATCTGGCCTCTCCCATGGACGTTGACCCGCTGCTGCCCATGGCGCAGATGTCCCAGGTGCACCTGGGCGCTGACCTCCAGCAGAAGATGGGCACAAACCCGCCCTCGCACGGGATGCCACAGCCGGCAGACAACGGTTCCCGTCCGTACAGCCAGGTCGATAACAGCAGAGGTCCAGACTTGGACGGCTCAGACGACTCGAGTACCGATGCAGACGACCCCGAAGACAATCCGCGGAGGAATGGAGGTGACTTCTATGTCTCGGGGGGCTCCCGAGATAAGGTAGGTATCTATCTATATATCCATGTATCTATATATATACATACACATATATATATATACACACACACACGTCTCCCTTGCATTTCCCATCCCCCTTCATTGCTGCCGTGATTGGGCTCATTCCATCTAGTCCCATAGTCATGACCCACCGGGTTCAACCTCCGATAGTGACAAGGCCCACATCAATCGCATCCGCCGGGCGTTCCGTCAGGGCCTGCGAGCCGGCATGGCCTCCCCCGCCGAGCGTGCTTCTACCTGCGAGCACCTACAAAGGCGACTGGTGCAGGCTGTCAACAAGGTCATTGAGCTGTATGACTACGGATGCTGTGTGGATGTTATTCAGCCGGATTCGGATCTGGACCGTATGTTGCTGGTGTTGCAGGAGCGGCTGGGTAGAGTCCGTGAGATGGGGAAATGATGATCTGGTTGCTTTACAATGTATGACTGATGATGAGCTAGCAAGATCAATGCTGGATGTGTATGTGTTCTGCAGGGCTTCCATCTGCATCTCCACCGCTCAAGGGGGTTTCTAGTAAACGCTGGTCGCCGAACCCTCCTCTTCCTCTGCAGCCGTTCTGGGCACATGTGCCGGCACTTGGATCCAACAGATCACAACGGTGACAAGCGCACCCATGACACCGGCCACGGTGAATGGCAGCCCCAGCCACCGCACATCGCCCTGGTCCAAGCCCACCCGGAACAAGGCGGCCAGCAGAGGCCCGGAAAGCAGAAGACCAAATGTTTCAATGACCGTGATCATCGTGTACATGCGCCCCGTAAACCGAGCCGGGACCAACGAAGTGACGAGAGAGCGGATGAGATTCCCATAGCCCCTGCCCATGGTCGATATCACAAAGCCGACGGTGGCACTGGCGACAGTTGGGGACCATGCGACGATGAAGAAGCCCAAGGAGAGCACGATTATGCTACCACGCGCCAGGAACAAGTCCTTTCGCGTGTCCGATAGACCCAGCTTTTGTTGGAGCAGCCATGACGCGCCCGGCAGGATGACCATGTATGCGATGACGGTGGCGGCGGATTTGATTGAGATGACGAATCCCGCGCGGGCAAGACTGAGGCCGTATCGCTCGGAGATGTACTGCAGGTTCAGGCTTTGGGTGGGTTCTTCGACAGCGTTGATGAAGAAGGTGAGGATGAGGATGATGACTTTGAAATCGTGGCGGACCATCGCCGTCGTGCGATCCCAGAGAGATGCCAGCCTCGCTTGTAGTTCCACGCGGGACTTGCTTCGACGCGCCGCTCGTAAGCCGAGTGTTTCGTCTGTTGTTGCCGCCGGTTCCTCCGTCGTTTCCACGGCCCCGTCCAACGATTCGCGCGGGTTTGCAGTCTCCCTGAGTAGACATGCCATGAGGAAAGCCAGAAATGCACAGATATAGCCTGCCTTGATGGGTAACCACGGTCCATGAGACTGCATTAAACTCGACGATATGGGCGTGGCGGTAATCTGCGCTAGATATTGGCCAGTCATCAGTCGAAAGAAGGCTGTCGCCCTGTTTTTTTTGAAAGATCCTTGTTATTAGCTATTTTATTCGCAACCAAGGGGACGGCGCAAGGGTTTGATTGAACCTTTCATTCTCAGGCATGACATCCGCAATCATGGTCAGTATCACGGAGAACATGACAGGAGCACCACCTCCGATCACAGTGAATACTGGCGCCAACCACACGAGACGCAGGGGGAATATTTGCCAGAATCTGCACACGGCAAGCGTAAATGTCATGGACAGCAAGATCCCTACCATACTCAGCAGAACGATGGGTTTGCGACCCCAGCGATCAGCCAGCAAGCCATACGGGATTGCCAATGCGACGCCTATTGTTTTCTCCCGATTAGTCTGGCTGACAAGGGCTCAAGAGCCTACAGGAAAGATGAGCATATGTACCTGGAATGAACGTGAACAGCGCCTCGTAGCCCCTTACAAACGCAACCTCTGCCTGGACGGGGGCGACCTTGCACCATTTCTCAGCCACGCCCCCGCCTGGTCCAATGCGACTGGGATCGTGTAGCTCATAATAATGGTAGCAGGCAATGCTTTCGTAGAGCCTTGTCTGAGGAACAGTGACTAGGAAGATTCCAAAGTCGCCGATTGTCACGAGCAATACACACAGGGCGAAGATGGAGAGTCTTCCGACCCTGGGCCCTGACAGGGCAGTGTTTTCCCTGCTCGATGGTCGCAAAAGAGGGTCGGTCTCGCGTGCTTGAGCAGCTGTGGAAGCCGATCTGGAGCGAAGCGCCATATTCCAGGCACGTGGCGTAACTAATAACTACAGCAATGCAGACGATGCTGGACGGGGACCGACGGCGACTAAATAGAAATAGAAATAGAAATAGGGCTAAGGGCAAGGGCTGTGCTCGGTATTACCGTACTGTCAGCATGAGACATGTCGGTATCGGTATCGGTAATTAAGACGGCCCCACTGCTTTTTAGGGTTCCGGCCCTTCCCCGATTCCGGATCCATGGATCGGCCGACTCCTTCCCGTTTTCAGGAATCTGGTAATATTACCCGGCTGATACCTAGCACCGCTACTTAAAGTTAACACTGCCTGCGCGTCCACGGCAGGTCGTGGCCATCCCCAAGATGCCTTTGTCTTGCGAAGACAACACCTTCGGTCCCGTCATCAACCACGGTTGTCGCGCTGCCTTTGACTTCACCCTCTTATTCGAGCAAGCTATTCTGTCGATCGCTCCCTCTGCTCTGTTCCTTCTTCTCGCCCCGTGCAATTATGTCTTCCTGCTCCGAAGCCCGAGAAAGGTCCAACCGAGCTTTCTGGGCTGGTGGAAAAGCGTCAGTCTCCCCTTTGTTTTTTTTTGTAAAAGGAAAGTATCGATCGAATCATCGGTAACACAGAGTAGTACTGCATCGTGGCCTTAGGAGCCATACAGGTCGTACTGTTGGTGCTATGGGCCCTACCCTCAGCACCAGCCACCAACGTCTCCGTTGCCGCTGCAGCGCTCGGACTCCCAGTTGCCCTCGCTATGGGATTGCTCTCGCATGCTCAGCATGTGCGATCAGTGCGCCCGTCAACGCTGCTCAATGTCTACCTGCTGCTGTCCCTGCTGTGTGATATCGTACAGACAAGGACACTATGGCTCCTTCATCGAGCCACCGCCATTGCCGCTGTTTTCACGGCGTCTGTCTTTCTGAAACTCGTTGTGCTCATGACGGAAGCCGCGGAAAAGCGTCGTCTACTCGAGGGCAAGCATCAAGATGCCACTGTTGAATCGACGAGCGGCATCTGGAATAAAATGCTCTTTTGGTGGGTGAACCCGCTCTTGTGGAAAGGTTCACGCAGCATCCTACAGCCCCGTGATCTGCAGACGATCAACGAGAAGTTGCATGGGGCTGCATTGGAGAAGGTGCATCCCGGTGTTCTGGCAGGAAGTAGGAAACCTGGACCTCTTTTTTATCATATTTTCCACACGCATAATATACTGACTTGCTTTCATCAATGCCCAGTGGCCTACCAGGACCGAAGGTATGGACTCTTTATTGAACTCATGCGTTCATTTTGGTTACCGATTGTGTCTGCGGGCTTCCCACGTTTGTGTCTCCTCGGCTTCACATTTGCGCAACCATTCCTGATCAATCGCACTGTCACTTTCGTTGGTCAACCACTGACACAAGAGACCGCGAATGACGGGTATGGCCTGATCGGGGGGTTTGCTTTAGTATATATTGGTCTAGCGGTAACACTTGTTTCCTCGCCCTCTTGATCATCAGCCATGCAAATACTGAGTTTCTTTCCTCCACAAAATAGGTTTCTACCGGGATGTACGCGTACCTGATGAACCAGGTCATGATCATGGTTAGAGGGTGCCTCGTGACTACAATTTACCGTCGGACCCTGGAGCTTAACACGCATGACTTGGATGAGTCTGCTGCCGTCACGCTCATGAGCACTGATGTTGAGCAGGTCATGCTTGCCTTTGAAGATGCTCACGAGGTGTGGTCCAATCTCGCCCAGATTGGTTTGGCAATATGGCTTCTGGAGCGGCAAGTATCATGGGCATGCGTCGCTCCGATAACAGTTTCATTAGGTCAGTCGTTTTTTTTTTTTTTTTTTTTTTTTTTGCGCCTGCACCCATAACTAAGCAATGACTTAGCGAGTGTTGTTGTGTCCGGACTATTGGCCCCTTTAGTGGGTAAAGGACAGATGCAATGGAATGAGGCAGTCCAAACCAGGATTGATGTAACGGCACGGACTTTGGGCCAGATGAAGGAATTAAAATTGCTGGGTCTGACCGATAAATTAACAACGCTCATTCAAAAGCTGCGAGCCGCAGAGATTCAGATATCTACCAAGTACAGAATCAAATTGATGACGATTCTATCAATCTGTAATGCCATCTCCTCCTGCCATCAGCTCACGTATACTGTCTCTGTGGTCTGACTCCTTTTTTTTAGCTCAAGTTGCGCCCATCTTTGCCCCCGTCGCAACATTTGCTTTGTACGCGATCGTCGCTGCAGTAAGCTCCCATCAGTCTCTACTGTCGGCCCAGGCCTTCACGTCATTGTCCCTGATCTCTATCCTCTCAACTCCAATCGTGACCTTGACCCAATCTGTGCCGATTATTGCTGCTGGAATGGGGGCCTTGTCACGGATTCAAGAGTACCTCTCAACGACACCACGCCAGGAAAGAAGGAATTTGGATATGGCAGTGCAAGATTGCAAAAGCTCGAGTCAAATTGGCGAGAAAAATCACTACCTTGCGAAATCCGGGAGTGGAGAAAAGGGCCACCCATGTGCAGTCACCGTCCAGAACGGAAAATTTGGCTGGGATGACGCTGCACCAACCCTACGGGACATTCATTGCGAATTCCCAACCTCGTCATTGACAATCATCGTCGGACCTATCGGATCGGGAAAGACAAGTCTATTACGAGCTCTTCTGAATGAGTTGCCTAGTATAGATGGACAAGTCACAATCCACGGCCCATCCCTGGCATTCTGTGACCAAAATCCATTTCTAGTGCACGCAACAGTGCAGAAGAACATCATTGGAGAATCTGCCTTGGACTCTGAATGGTACAAGACGGTTCTAAAGGCCTGTGCATTGGACGTCGATCTGGCGTTGCTTCCACTCGGAGATCTTACTATGGTTGGTAGTAATGGGATGACATTGAGTCGAGGACAGAAGCAACGGATAGTGAGTTTACACCTTATTATTCTTGTTCACCATTGGGCTAATTAGACCTGCTTCAGGCCATTGCCAGATCAGTTTATGCAAAAGCAAGTATCGTTCTACTGGACGATACGCTAAGTGGACTTGATCGACGCACCGAAAGGCAAGTTTTCAACCAAGTATTTGGGAAGCAAGGCCTTCTCCGTCAGCTGGGTTCGACAGTGGTGCTAGTCACCCACGCAAGTAAGTGAAAAAAAAGAAGAAAGAAAAAAAATCCAATCCGAAGGAACTGGTGGAATCTAATAGCAACGATTACAGATTACCTTCTACCTCACGCTGATCAGATCATCGTGCTCGGTAGCGATGGTAGGATCGAAAGCCAAGGAAGCTACCAGAGCTTGCGATCGAGTGATGGCTATGTACAGAGTCTGTCTATTGAAGAGGATACAGCTGGTACCTCCGAGGACGGCATTGAAAAGACGGACGCCATTCCTTCCACACAAGATGATATTTCACGAGAAGCAGAGATCGACCTGAAAGAGCGGCAAACTGGTGATAGATCCGTTTACGTGTATTACCTGCAAGCTGCAGGAAAGGCCAACTCGCTCTTCTTCTTGGTATACGTTGCCATAGTCGCTTTCTGCTATAACTTCCCCAGTGAGTTGCAATGTGCATGCAGGACCAATGACGCAAAGACTGATTGAAAAAAAAAAAACTTATAGATCTATGGGTACAGTGGTGGTCTGATGCCAACGAAAAAAACTCGAATGCCAACCTCGGATTGTACTTGGGAGTCTATGTTGCACTTGCAGTAGCAGCAATTGTATTCCTTATTCTAGCATGTTGGTGTCTCATGGTGAGAATGGTCTCCAGATCAGCGCTGAGACTACACAAAACTGTTTTAAGAACAGTAATGAGGTAATTCCTAGAGATCTATAATGAAGTTTCGAGCTAATGGGCCCATTCGTGTAGGGCGCCTCTGTCATTCTTTGCCGGTACTAGTTCTGGTGCCATTACAAACAGGTTCAGTCAAGACATGCGACTCATTGACATGTCATTACCAATGGCGACCATAAATACTACATTGTGTAAGTCTCCGGTTCCAGTCATTCAAGGGTAGTGATCTGATATCTCTGTGGCCAGATGCTGCATCATGTGTTGTGCAGATAATTCTTATATCGATTTCATCCAAGTACATGGCTGTGACTATCCCCTTTGCCTTAGCCGTCATATACTTCGTGCAAAAGTTCTATCTTAAGACCTCGCGCCAGCTGCGGCTCCTAGATCTGGAAGTCAAATCGCCTCTTTACTCAAATTTCATCGAAACACTGAATGGCCTCGTAACCATTCGAGCATTTGGGTGGTCAGCACAGCTGCAAGAGCTGAATACCAAGCTGCTCGATGAGTCACAGAAACCAGTCTACCTGCTCTATTGCGTACAGCGATGGCTGACTCTGGTAATGGATATGCTGGTGGCCTGTTTGGCCATTGTTCTCATCATTTTAACTGTTTTCCTGAAAGGGTCAACCAGCGGAGGCGCGATTGGAGTAGCATTGGTGAACATCATGACTTTTAACCAAGGCTTGACCAACATGATTAAGTGGTATACATCACTCGAAACTGCTCTGGGAGCCATCTCGAGGGTCAAGAAATTCGAAAGTGAAACCATGTCCGAAGAACGAACCACCCCGACGTTGGGGGTTGTGGACCAAAAATGGCCTCGTTCCGGTGCGATTGAGTTCCAAAATGTGTCAGCATCCTACGGGTTCGTAGATAGAACGACTCCCTGCGGCAGGGCAATGAATCTAACAGTCCATCTATTAGTGACGAGTCTTCATTGGCGCTCAGAAACATTTCGATGTCTATTCAGGCAGGTCAGAAGATTGGTATATGTGGTCGCACCGGCAGGTAGGTCTTCACAGAGTCTCACTCCATCAGGCAGTCACTGGATTCTAATCTTCCCAATAGTGGAAAGAGTTCTTTGATTCTGGCTCTCTTCCAGATGATAGAGCTCTGTAGTGGATCCATCCTGGTAGATGGAATAGACCTCTCGACCTTGCCCCGGGAGGCCGTCCGCTCTGGCTTTAATTCCATCACACAAGAGCCCTTCTTTATACCGGCGACTGTGCGCATGAATCTTGACTTTACCGAATCTCTACCCGACAAAGCCATCATCGAGGCTCTCCAGAAGGTCAAACTGTGGGATTTTGTCGAGGAACGTGGGGGACTGGATTCGAAGCTGGTCGCAGATTCGTGGTCACTGGGCCAACAACAGCTTTTCTGTCTTGCGAGAGCACTGCTCCGGGATAGTCATGTTCTCATCCTTGATGAAGTTTCTAGCAGGTATGTCGATTTACCCTTCCTTTCATATTGTCTGTCGAAAACCGAAATCTAAGCTTAGCTCACCACCTCGCAGTGTTGACTCGGAAACAGACAAACTGATGCAAGCCATCATTCGCACCGAATTTGCCGGCTCTACCGTCTTCTCCATTGCGCATCGTCTCGATACTATCCTGGACTTTGACAGGATTGCATTTTTGGATAAAGGTTCTCTAGTCGAGTTCGACAGCCCCACAAAGCTTTTAGCAAAGGGTCCGTCATCCTCGGCTTTTGCCAGGCTCTACAATGGCCTGCCGGATCAAGGATTTAGTAAGCCCTGCCAGGGCAATTTTGCTACGGGAGTATCCGATATGTCAAGTGATAGGCAGTCCTGAATGGTTATTTCAGGGGAAGATGTGCAATCGATTATAAGCTAGCTAGAAGGTGGTCTAGTCACCTAATTTGAAGTTATTCAACTTAGTCCATCTCTGCTGGCCCCGCGGGGTCGTGTCCGGGTTCATTTTGGATTGATGCAGGAACCCTAGAGCGGAGTTAGACTTCAGGTCTAGACTCACCTGGGAGATGTTCGCGAACCGTCACTTCTAATGTATCTCTCTACTCACGTCGGCTGTCAGAGTAGAGAAATTCTTTCTGACCGTCCGAGTCCGAGAGGGAGAAAATTGCAAGGTTTAAGATCCGTACCAGAGCGCACCTATTCACCGCACAACCGGAGCGGTCGCCAAAAATGTCCACCAGGTAGCCCATGATTGGGGTGGTGCTACTCGATATCGAAAAGCTGCACAGCACGGTAGCGAGGGTCGGGACGATCCAGTGATAGCGCTTCTCGAGAGACCAGCCGTACAGCAGCAGGCCGACGGGGCAGGAGACCATGGCTTGACCAGTTCGTCAGCAGCGAGGGGCTGTCTCGTCCGCATCTCGGGCAGCAATGACGGGGATTGCTTCCTTCGCCGGGCCGGAGGCCCATCTTCCCCTACTTCCGCGGGTGTTGAAGGAGCAGGGGCGCTGCTGATCTTTCCCAACTCCAGGTCTTTGCTGGACCCCGGCATGACGGCCACGTTCGGTGGACAGAGGGGGAGAAAAGAAGAACCAGATGAAAAAAGAATAATGGGAGGAAGGGGAAGAAAAGGCCGGACGGCAATCCAGATATAAATGAGAACTTCCAAGGCCCTTAGCGCTGTGAGTTGGCTGGATAGGGTTACATTGATATCTGCAAATACGGAATTTCGCGAGCCTCTCCAGTCTGCCAGAGCCGCGGATATTTGCACAGGCTGGTGCTAGACCTTTTTGGACCGTATCCATGCAAATGAGCCCTGTGCACTGTTCTGACTGCGGGCATCTCCGCCGGTGATCACATATATAGCATATATAGGCTACATATAAGCTACCCCCGGGTCGAGGTCCCTGGGGGCCCGTATATTGGAAGTCGAGTAGTAGTATGTTAACCATATGAGGACTGTAGTGCAAGACTCGATCTCAATAGATTAGCTCGCATAGCTGTGTATTGACACTACATGATGATTTCATTCGCCATGCTGTCAAGGACCAGTCCCTCTTCATTGTCGGAGCGCTTCAGCGCCTCTACTTGTTTCCACTGTTCAGGATATCTCTCCCTGGCCTATTGTCGACTTGGTCCTTCCAATACTAATAGAGCATTACGTTGTAGAAAAGCCGATGTTGTGGTGGTCCGGTTAGCCTTGGAACTCGCTGACTCGTCCACATGTCCTACCATGCTCGATATTAAAGACAAAACAAAAGAGCAAAAGAAAAAAAAGGTAACTTATGTATTCTAAGTTGGCATATAGCCAGTCTCTGACTGCATCTTATCAATGGTGTCAGCGGCGAGGTCAAATTTGCACTGCACTGCCAAGGCCTCTGAATGAGGTGTACAGTCTATGATCCATTTCAATTTCGAGAAGTTCGACCTTCTTCATCATCTTCAATGCTTCCAGAGCTCCCTTCGGGTGCTTCTCACAGGCCTTGAAGAAGATGGTGACAGTTCTGTGGGAAGGGCCAGGGTTTTGGCAGATAGCCCTAACAAGGCGCCATACAAGGATTCCTGGTCTTTTTGACGGTCGTGTAAAATCCAAGCGACCTGTATCCAGATCCACGAGACTGTCAGAAAGACCCAGTTTTGAGACGCATGAACACTGAAACACCCTGCTGACAACAAGTAAGGATATTTTTCACTAGTGCTGACAACCTGACATGGGAGAGTCATGCTGACTTAGGGCTGACGATCCCGTAAGTTAATTTACAATGTGGATCTACGGTATTACAGCTTCGCAGAGAAACAGGCCAACAATAGTGATAGCTGCAGAGCTGGTGGAAGCACGATAAGGTCATTTATTATCGTGTGGATATTGTTTGGTGCACATAATATCTTATCCTCGAGTTTGTTCGTGGTCTTACTTGAATCCCCCCAGACAAGAGAGTAGACAGATCATCTTCTTGACCTGCTACTGCCGAGTCTCTACGGAACTGTCCTATACGCTATCAATTGGTTGGAGGGTATCGTCTTGCAAGGCGAAAGAAAAAGACAGTAAGTCAATCATGGCACCTGCACTCCTAGAAACAACAGATATCGCAGTGAATGGGAAGAACGGGGTGGACGAAGACAAGAAGGTAGGTTACTGGGCGAATTACCTGGCATCGCTTGAGCCATGTCAGTTTCCCACCCGGAACGATGGCCTGGACGGAGAGAGCAGACTTAAGCAATTGCCCTTCACGGTAAGAGAGGGAGCGTTGAAGCTGCAGGGACACTGCAAGGTACATGACGTATCCTTGGCCAACGTGTTCCAACTGGCTTGGGCGATGGTTCTTCGGTGCTATACGCGAACGGATTCAGTGTCCTTTGGATATGAGATTGGTGGTAATCCGGGAGAACTGCATGGGGGAACTGTGCTGCCCCTGTCAGCCAAGCTAGGAGGAGAACGATTGACTATCGCTGAAGCTTTGAAATACATCGCGGCGGATTATAGCCTGGGAGTAAAGCACAGTAATACATGGACTGCCGATTTAGAAGCGGCGGCGGCGTCTACCTTTCACACGAAAGTGGTGGTTCATACCGGTCCTCTTCCTGAAGATAGACCGGATGAGCAGCAGTTTGATGTAAGCGCGGTCTCGACAGGTGGTCTATACCAACAGCACAGCACTAATCAATCAATCCCCGTGTAGAAAAGCGCAATTACCCTGCAAGTCACCAATGTTGGTACCGAAATATTCGCCAACTTCCAGTTCTGGACTGCCGTTCTTTCCGAAGGCCAGGCAGCCAATGTCGTCGACACTCTGCAGAGAGCAATCTTCTGCATCCTTCACCATCCGCAAGAGCCGATCGCCGAGCAGGATCTTTTCAGCGAGCAGCACAGAGAGAAAGTGCTGCGGTGGCACAGTACTCGCCCCGAGTATGTCGCATCTTGCATGCATGACCTGGTGTCGAAGCAAGTCGGCAGACGCCATAGCGCGACGGCAGTGCACGCGTGGGACGGAGAACTCACCTACCAGCAACTAGAGGACTTGTCGTCCAGCTTGGCTCACTACCTTGCCTCTCTGGGCGCTGGACCGGAGGTCCTGGTGCCCGTTCTGTTCGAGAAATCCATGTGGGTGCCGGTTGTTTTGCTTGGAGTCTGGAAATCCGGTGCCGCGATTGTGCCTCTGGAACCCAGCAGTCCTGTCTCCCGGTTGAGAGATATCCTGGTAGAAGCAAAGGCGACGATCCTGGTTACATCTCCGACGCACATGGAGAAATTGCCGCATTCTGTAGACAATCTCGTCGTTGTCGATGAAGGGTTTGTTAGGAGCTTACCGGAGCATAGCGATGCGCCGGTATCGTCTGTCGTTCCCCAGAGTACTGCGTTTGTATCGTTTACTTCCGGATCTACTGGAAGACCCAAGGTGCGTACAAGCCGTGTATAGCATCCTATGTTACAGACGCTGACATGCCGGTGGACAGGGTATCTGTGTCCAACACGCTGCGTTTGCGTCTGCGCTGAGAAGGCTGCAAGGTGCATGCCCTGTTACCGAGCTCACCCGGTCGCTTCAGTTCGCATCGTATAGTTTCTCGCCTTCCCTGTACGAGATCTTCATGCCCCTTATTGCGGGTGGTGCAGTGTGCATTCCGTCAGAGGATGCCCGGCGGAATAACCTCGTCGGATGCTTGAACGAGATGCGCATTACGTGGGCTGTTTTCACGCCGTCCTTACTAAAAGAGATGAACCCAGACCACATCCGGTACCTAGAATCCATGGTGTTAATGGGTGAGCCTCTGTCGAGATTCGAGGCGGCACCGTGGGTAGAGAAGGTCAGGCTCGTGTTTTGCTATGCATCCAGTGAAAACGGCCTGATTGCCTTCAACGACCAGATGGGACAGACATCCGACGTGAGGAACGTAGGACATAGCGACGTCGGCTGGATTGTCGACCCGGGAAACCATGACCAACTGGTTCCCATCGGCGTGGTTGGTGAGCTGCTGGTGCATTCCCCGGCCACCGCGCGAGGCTACTTAGATGACCCCGAAAGGACTGCGGCCGTGTTTGTCGACGAGCCTGCCTGGTTCCCGTTGCAGGCTCAGCTGAAAGGCGCCCGATTCTGTAAGACGGGGGACCTGATGGTGTACAACTCGGACGGCAGTCTGACCTTCGTTGGCCGCAAGGACTTCATGATCAAAGTGCGTGGACAGCGAGTTGAGATGGGCGAGGTCGAACGACATCTCGCACACCCCAGGATTCAGCAATCGGTTGTCCTGTTTCCCGACTCTGGTCCCTGCAAGCGACGCTTGGTCGCGGCCGTCTCGCTTCAAGATCTACCGCTGTCCGAGGCCAAGTCGCAACGGACCCCGCTAGCGCTGCTAGAGCCGTTGGACATGAAGGCAAGTGCGGAATGGGTGGAAGAGATGCGAGTGCAGATGTCCAGACATCTGCCCAGCTACATGATCCCGGAAATCTGGGTCCTGCTGGAAAGCCTGCCGCTCACCGTGTCGGGCAAGGCCGATCGCCAGAAGACGGTGAAGTGGCTCGAGGCCATGGACGACGAGACGTACGCGTATATCACGGCGTTAGGGGAGGACGAAGACGAAGACGTGGACGAGCAGGAGACACCCATGGAACGAATATTGAGGCAGATCTGGGGCCAGGTTCTAGGTCGAGCCAGAGTGCCCCGGAATCGATCCTTTCTCGGCCTGGGAGGTGACTCCATTTCCGGCATGTCGGTCCTGTCACAGTGTCGGCTGGCGGGCATCAAACTGACCTTCCAGGATATCATTCGATCTCGCAATGTCTCCGAGCTGGCAGAGAAGGCGACTGCGTCGCTGGAAGAGAAGGGCTCGGTGGACGGTGAAGTCGCGGACGTCGAGCTGACGGCCGAGCAACTCGCGGCTTTCAAAGACGGGCTGTTGGAGGCTGGAGTGACGAATCTCTCGCACGTCGAAGAGATATACCCGTGTTCGCCTGTGCAAGACGGGATCCTTCTCAGCCAGGGGCGAAGTTCGAGTCACTACCGGATGTATGTGATGTGGGAAATCATCGCTCCTCCTCACCGTGAGACTGTGAGCGTCGAGCGTCTGACGAGCGCTTGGAGAGAAGTCGTCGACCGGCATCCGATCCTGCGAACTCGATTTGTTCGAAGCCCGTCACAGGAAACACAGTTGGCCCAGGCCGTCCTCAAGTCTTCCGATGTGCCTGTTGTGCACCAGCATAGCAACGAGCCGACTTATCCCCAGGGTCTCGGGGATGGCTCGTCCCTCGCAGAAAGCGGACGACTGCACCAGTTGACAGTCATAACGGGCAATTCGGAACGGGTCTTTTGTAAACTGGAAATGAACCACGCGATCGTGGATGCCTTGTCGTTTCCCATAATGCTGCGGGACTTAGGGCTTGCATACGCCGGAGAGCTGATGCTCCAACCTGCAGCACCGCGCTACAGCACGTACATCTCCCACATCACCAATGGCTCGCTGGACAGGAGCATTGCCTTCTGGAAAAACTACTTGGCTGACGCTACGCCGTGCCATCTGCCCTTTCTCGGAGGGATCGAGGGTGAGACTGCAGCGCGGATGGCGAGTATGGAATTGGATGCCGGACTCCCTGCTGCAACCCTGCATGCCTTTTGCCGCAGCCACGGCGTAACCCTGTCAAATATCTTCCAGCTGGCGTGGGCCATGGTTCTCCGCGCGTATACCGGGACAGACGACGTATGCTTCGGATACCTCACGAGCGGACGAGATGCCCCGGTGGAAGGCATCGTGGAGCACGCTGTTGGCCCGTACATCAACATGCTCGTCTGCCATCTCAACCTGCGTGACGACGCAGACGTGCGTGAATTGGTCTTCCAGATCCAGTCTGACTTCCTGGACGGCCTTCCGCACCAGAACTGCTCTCTGGCCAACATCCAGCACGCCCTGAGCTTGTCCGGCCAGGCACTGTTCAACACGGCCATGTCCGTATCTCGAGTGGTGCCAGACAAGATCACGATGACCGACGGGACCAGCTTTTGCATTTCCGAGATGTACGACCCGACTGAGGTATGGCCGGATAACTTCCCTCGCCCCGGGAGAATTGAGCTAATGTGATTGTGATGTAGTACCAAGCATCGGTAAACGTAGGCATCTCCACGGACAAGGTCGACGTCCGCTTCAACTACTGGCGTTCCTGGATCGGCGACAGGCAAGCGAAGAATATCGCGAGCACATTCACCAGGGTTCTCCGGTCCATCGTCCAAGGGCCACCGGGCCAGAAAGTCGGCGATGTGGACCTTCTGAGCGAGGAAAGTATGGATCAGATCTCGAGATGGAACTCGGTCAACCCGGAACTCGTTGACGAGTGCATCCATCATCTCATCACGCAGCAGGCTCGCAGGCAACCGCACCATCCGGCAATTGAGTCCTGGGACGGAAGCCTCAGCTATGGGGTGCTCGATGATCTCTCATCCAGATTCGCCCACTATCTGGTGAGCCTGAACGTTGGAATCGGACCCGAAGCGATGGTTCCTCTCTGCTTCGAGAAGTCGATCTGGACCGCAGTAGCGATCCTCGGAGTTCTGAAAGCTGGAGCCGTATGCTGCATGCTGGACCCGTCCCATCCGGTCGGTCGACTGCGAAGCATCCTTGAGAATATCAAGGCCCGCGTGGTGTTGACAGATGGCGTACGCGGGCTCGACATGCAGCTCCTCTCCGACATGTGCACGGTGTCGGTCATCGTCAATGCTGGGTTCATCAACGGCTTGCCGAAGAAGGATGGACCTGCCAATACATCTGTCCGGCCTGATAACGCGGCCTTTGTGGTCTTTACTTCGGGATCCACGGGAACCCCCAAAGGCATCGTGCTCGAGCATAAAGCAGTTGCTTCCAGCTCAAGAGCCCATGGAACGGCCATGAAGCTCAACAGCGACGCCAGAGTGGTAAGTGGCCGTCCGAACACCAAGCAACAGCACCATCACTGACTGGAGGATAGCTGCAATTCGCTTCGTATGTCTTCGACGTGGCCATTCAGGACCACTGCACGACTCTGATGCGCGGCGGTACCATCGTGAAGCCCTCGGAGTACGAACGCATGAATGATCTCCCCGGGGCCATCAAACGCTTGAAGGCGAACTGGGCCAACCTGACGCCCACCGTGGCCAGTCTGCTGCGTCCGGACGATGTGGACGGACTGAACGTGCTGGCTCTTGGTGGCGAGCGCATCCGCCAGGAGACGGTGGACTCGCTGTCCAACAGCACCAACCTGACCTTGATCTACGGACCGGCCGAGTGCTCAATGACTATGTCTGCAAACTTCGGAGTGCGGCCTCATTCAAGCTCCGCCAACTTTGGCTTCGCGTGCGGGTCATTCATGTGGCTGACCGAGATCAACAACCACGATCGACTGGCCCCTGTGGGCGCCGTAGCCGAAGTCGTCATCGAGGGGCCAATCCTGGCGAGGTGCTATCTTAACCAGCCGGACCTTACGGCCCAGGCGTTTATTGAAAACCCGGTGTTCACCGTCGGCCAGACGGTTGGCGCTGCCCCCCGGCGGATGTACAAAACGGGGGATCTGGCGAGGTACAACGCCGACGGGTCGGTCAGCTTCGTGAGACGGAAAAACATCCAGTCCCAGGTGAAGTTGCGAGGGCAGAGAATCGAACTGGGGGAGATCGACTTCCACCTCTGGGGCAATGAATGGGTTAAGCATGGCGTTGCGTTTATGCCCGCATCGGGTCCGTTCCAGGGCAAGCTGCTCGCCGTGGTCTCCCTGCAATCCATCGCTGCAACCGGTGACAACGACGAGATACGCATAGTGAGCGACGAGCACCGCGAAGAGGTCGCCATTCTCATGTCCCAGGTGCGCGGGCACTTGGCGAACCACCTGCCGCCGTACATGATGCCGGAGGTCTGGGTGGTCCTCGAGCACTTCCCGCTGAACACCTCCGGCAAGATGGACCGCAAAAGAGTAATCGCATGGGTGGAAGGGGAGCTCTCCGACGACATGGTGCGTGGGATCTACAGCGCAGCGGACGATAGCGATCCTGCCCAGCAGCTGGCGACGGGAATCGAGAAGAAGCTGCAGGCAGTATGGAGCAAGGTGCTCAACAAGCCCATCGAGAAGGTCGCCATTAACCAGTCCTTTGCCAGCCTTGGAGGCGACAGCATCACTGCCATGCAGGTTGTGTCGGCGTGCCGCGCAACCGAAAACATCGTCGTAACGGTCCACGATGTGCTTCGGTGCAAGAGCATTTCCCAGCTGGCGTTCAACGCTCGCTCCGCCGAGAAGTCCACGATCTCGACTAACGAAGAGGTGGACGTGGAATTCGGCCTTGCACCCATCCAGCAAATGCATTTCGAGCTCGCGGAGAATGGCTGCAACCACTACAACCAGAGCTTTGTGGTCTCCGCGGCCAGGGAGATATCCCTGGTGGACTTGAAGAAGAGCGTCGACGCGATTGTGCGCCAACACTCGATGCTCCGCGCCCGGTTCAGCCGGTCTGCAGATGGGGGAACCTGGATGCAGCGCGTCACCATGCTTGTTGAGGAGTCCTATCGCCTGAAATCGCACGATATCTCGAGCCTCGACGAGGTGCGCCCGCTGATGCTGCAAAGCCAGAAGAGTCTCGACTTCCAGGAAGGCCCTCTGCTGTCTGTAGACCTGATCAAGGCCGATGGCAAGCAATATCTGTTTTTCGTGGCGCACCATCTGGTGATCGACTTCGTGTCGTGGAGAGTCATCCTGCAGGATCTCGAGCAGCTGTTGGAATCGGGAAGCTTGCAGTATGACGAGAAGCCATTTCCCTTCCAAACCTGGTGTCGTCTGCAGGACGAATACAGCCACAGGTACCTGGCACCGCACAAGCTCATCTCCAGTGCGGTTCAGCCCACCGACTACGCTTTCTGGGGCATGGAAGGCGTGCCCAACCTCTTCGGCGATGTGGTGCATGAACGGTTTGTTCTCGATCAGCCGACCACCAGCGCCCTGATGGCAGGATGCCACGAGGCCCTGCGGACCGAGCCCTTGGACGTCATGATTGCTGCGTTATGCCATTCCTTCACCCAGACATTCGGCAGACAGACGCCATCGGTCTTCATTGAGAGCCATGGCCGCGAGCCCTGGGAGCCGGCCATCGATGTGTCCCGGACGGTTGGCTGGTTTACCACGATGTATCCCATCACGCCGGAAAGGACCGAAAGCATCGTCGAGGCTGTTCGACAGGTGAAAGACCTGCGGCGGAAGACCCCGAACCATGGCTGGTCCTACCTTAATTCTCGCTACCTCAACGACGAGGGGGCAAAGGTCTTTGGGGACCATGCGATGCCGGAAATATTGTTCAATTACCTGGGCGTACTGCAGCAGCTGGAACGCCAGGATGGGCTGCTACACGCCGCCGAGCTGAACCAGGGCGAGTACATCGACATTGGCGCGGAAATGCCACGCAGCGCCCTGTTCGACGTCGCAGCCAAGGTTGAGTACGGCCGGTTGCATTTCCATGTGTTCTTCAACGGGAAGATGAGGAATGTCCAGCGGATCAAGCAGTGGATCCAGGCATTCGAGGAAGCCCTGGAAGACGCCGCCCGGCAGCTGATTCTCTTGAAACGGGAGTACACTGTCGGCGACTTCCCCCTTATGGACTTCACCTACGACGAGCTCCAGCAGTTCGTTGCCCAGAAGCTCCCGCAGGTTGGCGCCACGAGCCTCGCCATGGTCGAGGATGTGTATCCCTGCTCGCCGATGCAAAATGGGATTCTGCTCAGCCAATCGCAAACGGAGGAAAACTACCAGTCATTCTTTATATGGGAGCTGGAAAAGTCGGACGGGCAGCGGTTCGTGGAAGACGATACCGTACGGCTCCAAAGCGCATGGCAGGACGTCGTCAACCGGCATCCATCGCTCCGGACCCGCTTCATCGAAAGTCTGTCGGGGGAGTCTGCGTTTCACCAAGTCGTGCTGAAAAGCGAGACGGTGGAGATCCTTCGTCTGGGATGCAATCGCTCACAAGATCCCATTGAAGCCCTAAAGCAGCATCACCAACGTTTCCGATACCAGGCGGGCCAGCTGCATCACTTGTCTGTCTGTACCGGAGACGACGGACGCGCTGTTTGCAAACTCGAAATCAGCCATGCCATTGTCGATGGCATCTCCATTGCCGTGCTGGTGCGAGATCTTGAAGCGGCGTATAGCCATACCCTCAGCGGAGGACCTGGTCCGCTCTACAGCAGTTATATAGCGTACCTCAACGGCGTGCAGCGATCCAAGCAAAGCGATTCGCACTGGAGGCGCTATCTCTCAGAAATAGAGCCCTGCTATTTCCCGGCATTCCAAGGGCCGAAGCGAGGAAACCAGCGAGGAGAGCTGGGCGTTGAGTATGTCCAACTGTCCCGGTCCGCAGCCAAGTTGCGGAAATTCTGCTCGGAGACAGGAATCACCGTCTCGAATGTGATCCAGCTCGTCTGGGGGATTGTGCTGCGAGGCTACACGGGACAGAACGATGTATCGTTTGGATATCTAACCTCTGGCCGCGATGCCCCGGTTCCTGGAATCCAGGATGCTATCGGAGCCTTCATCAATATGCTCATTTGCCGATTGCATTTCCAGGGAACGGAAACCGTGATGGCCATGATGGAGAAAGTGCAGGATGATTTCCTGGCCAATCTGCCGCACCAGCATACCTCGCTGGCGGAGATCCAGCACTCGCTACCCCTGGGAGGGAAGCCTCTGTTCAACACCTCGCTCTCGGTGCAAAGAGTCGCTGCTCCTGCGGTCGAGGGACGGCAGCTGAAGATGGCGAGACTGGAAGCGTACGACCCAACAGAGGTAAGTGACCGGCAAGTCCGTTCGTCCAGAACATGGCCGGGGTGCTGATTGAGATGATAGTACGATGTCACGGTCAATGTCGAGGCCTCCGATGACGACGTGCAGATGATTATTTCTTACTGGAACGCCCAGATGTCGCAGAAGCAGGCTCTTCAAGTCGCGAATCTCTTCAGCCACACTCTGGAAGTTGTCCTCGACAACCCCTCGGGAACCGTCAACGACCTGCATCTTCTCAGCAAGGCCGATCGAGATCAAATCAGCAAGTGGAACCATACAGACGCGGCGCCTGAAGTGAGGTCCATTGAAGATCGAATCAGGCAGCATGCGGTCGAGCAGCCAAGTTCAGTTGCCATTAGCACCCCCGATATCAGCCTCAGCTACGCTTCGCTCGATGGCTATTCATCTCTCCTGGCGCAGTATCTGACCGGCCGCGGAGTCGGAGGAGGAACTGCTGTTTCTATCGCCATGAAGAAGTCAGCATGGGCTGCTGTGGCAATGCTGGCTGTCTTGCGCGCCGGCGCGACTTTCTTCTTCGAGGCCAATGGCCGCCAGCCCCAGTCGGCGAAGGTGAGGTTGACATCTCGGAGACACCCAGCATCGGTCACTGAACAGGGTAGTCCATCCATTGTGGTCGATCAAGTTTTCTTGGACAGCCTGGCGACTGAGAAGCCGAAGTCAATCCCTGGAGCCGACTGGGACAGCATCGCGTTTATTATTGACAGCGTACCCTTGGACCGTCGAGCCTTCTACACCAGTATATCCCAGGTCGGCCGGTCATTGGGAATGAATGCAGAAACCCGCGCTCTGCAGTTTGCTCCTTACTCGTCGAATATCTCGATGACCGAGACCTTTGCTACTCTGAGCCACGGAGGCTGTCTTGTCGTTCCCACGGAGGACGAGCATTCAATTGATATCGGCTCGTTCATCGCGCGCAATGAAGTCAACTGGGCCTGTCTCTCCCCGTCTGTTGCGCGCTTGATCGGCCCTGATGATGTACCGTCGCTGAAGACGCTTCTGCTGGCTGGAGGAACGCCCGGAGGGGACAATGCTACCGCGTGGTCCCTTACACTGGACCTCTTCAGCGGATACTGGGTGAAGCAAGCTTGTGGGTTCCCGATCATCAACCGAATCACCCCCGGAGGCGCGTTTCCCACAGCAATCGGTCGTCCAGCCGGGGGCCATTGCTGGATCGCAAGTCCCTGGGATGAGAAACAGCTGGTGCCCGTTGGTTGCGTGGGAGACTTGATCATCGAGAACGCTTCCCTTGCCCGAGACACTGCCGATGAGTCTCCTGCCATCAAGAACATGGCACTCTCACCGTCGATCCTGAGAACCGGCGATCTCGTCCGGTATGCCATCGACGGAACGGTAGAGCTTGTTCGCCGGAGCGGTGATTTGTACCGGGTGGATGGCCATCAGTTCCAGCTCGACAAGATTGAGAGCCAGATTCGGTCGTTTGACTCTATTCGCGACGCTGCTGCATCAGTGCCTCAAGCCGGAGTCTGCGCTGGACAGTTGACAGCGATGGTTACGCTGGCTGCGGTCAAGACGCCAGCCATGCTTGGAGCATTGCCCAAGAGACTGGACATGACCGGGAAGAGGGAACTTGCGATCAAGACGGAAATCACTCGGATCAGAGAAGACATGCTTAAGCACCTCCCCTTGTATATGATCCCGACTGTGTGGGCCGTGGTTGACTCTCTTCCCCTTGATGCATCCGGCATCGTGGATCGTGTGCACGCTGTGAAGTTCTTCGAAGAGATGGACGAGGCTGAGCATCAAAGGATCACAAAAGAAGCCGTGGATACGTCTGCAGCACCCGGAAGCTCCGTGGAATACCAGATCCGAGAAATTTGGAGTTGCGTCTTGAACCAGCCCGTGGATCAAGTCGGAGCCTCCCGGTCTTTCTTGAGTTTGGGCGGCGACAGTATCACGGCCATGCAGGTCGTTTCCCAGTGCCGTGGAGAAGGGATCCAGGTTACGGTTAAGGATGTCCTCCGTTGCAGGAGTCTTGCTGATCTTGCGTCTCGGGCTGAGCGTGCAGGGCACGTCCCGGTTACCAGGTGTGATGAAGACAGCAATACGCCGTTTGGACTGAGTCCAATCCAACAGACGTATTTTGAGCTCGTCCCCGAAGGCCAGAACCATTATAACCAGTCCTTCCTGGGCCGCTTCACCCGCCGGAAGGTCTCTTTGGAGGAGCTGAGACACGCAGTCGAAGCGTTGGTCATGCAACATCCGATGCTGCGAGCTCGTTTCCGCAAGACAGATGCTGGATGGATGCAGACCATTACGAAAGAGGCTGCTCATTCTTACCATCTGAATAGTCATCGAGCCACCACGAGGGCTGAGACGAAGGAAGTGACATCGAGAACCCAGAAGTCCCTTGATATCCAGAAGGGACCGATTCTGGCGGTTGACCTATTCGATATCTCGGCAGGGGAAGAACAGGCCCTCTTTATTGTCATTCACCACCTTGTGGTTGACATTGTTTCCTGGCGTGTGATACTGCATGACCTGGAGGCTCTCCTAGCGAAGGAGACACTCCCAACAGGCTCTTCGGTGTCGTTCCAGACGTGGTCTCGACTCAAAGACGAGCATCTCCAGAGCATCTCTCCCGAGGATGCCCTGCCAACAGCAATTCCCACGGCCGACTACGCCTACTGGGAAATGGAAAACGTCCCCAACACTATCGGTGAGGCTTCTCATGGGTCATTCACCTTGGGCCAGGAGGATACGACAGCGCTGCTTGGTACCAAGGGCTCGAGTGCCCTGCGAGTCCAGCCCATCGATATAATTCTGGGAGCAGTTGCACACTCATTCGCAGCTACATTCAGTGATAGACCCCTGCCTGCTATTTTCAATGAAGGCCACGGACGTGAACCGTGGGATGACCACATTGATCTATGGGACACTGTAGGGTGGTTCACCACACTGTGTCCTCTTTCCATCAGCAACAGCCGGGAACAGTCCGTTATCGATGCCATCAGAGGCTTCCGGGACGTTCGACGACTGATTCCGGGAAATGGCCGGCCATACTTTGACTGTCGATACTTGAGCCGGTTGGGCAGACAGGCCTTCCAGCACCATGCCAGAGCAGAGATCATGCTCAACTATACCGGGCCTTATCAGCACCCCCAAAGTGAAAATGCTCTCTTGGAACGAATCGAACTGGACGAGATGAGTTTTGCTGCGGATGTAGCAAGGGAGATGCCCCGTGGCTCCTTGATTGATATCCTGGTCAAAGGCGAACCGGACGGCATGCGGTTCCATTTCTTCTACAGCCAGCGAATGCGCCACCAGGATCGAATCAAGGAGTGGATTGGAAACTGCCGGGAATCGATCAGCACTGCACTCAACGCGTTGGATACGATGGCCTTTGATTACGCCCCGACTGATTTCCCTCTGCTCTCAATGGCAGCACCCGAGCTGGACCAACTGCTCAAGGTCCAGCTTCCGACAATGGAGGTTTTCAGCCCCGGTCCGCTCACGGCGCAGATAGAGGCCATCTTCCCATGCTCGCCGATCCAGCAAGGCATGCTCTTCAGCCAACTGCGAGCATCCGGCCGCTACGAGACGTTCAGTGTCTGGGAGGCCACGACAACAGGCGCATCGACGGTGAGCACCGAGAGACTCCACCGAGCATGGGAAGAAGTCGTGCAACGGCATGCAGCACTGAGGACCGTATTTGTAGAAGGCCAAGACGGAGCGTACATTCAGGCGGTGCTCACAGCCGTTGCACCGGCCGTGGAAATGGTCCAAACCGACCTGGCAGATGCAGACGAGATCAAAGCAATGCTCGTAAACAAGGAGGGGATCTCCTTCCACCCACATCGTCTCTCCCATAGGTTGACGATCTGCAAAGCACCGAGCCAGCGAGTCTTCTGCAAGCTGGAGCTGAACCATATCCTCATCGATGGGTCTTCGGTTGCTGTTCTGGCAAACGACTTACGACGGGCCTATGACAATGTGCTTGACACGATGTCCCGGCCGCTGTATAGCGATTACATCGCATATATTCAGCAGCAAAACCCGGAGGAGAGCCTTGGTTTCTGGATAAAACAACTAGCTGGCGTCCATCCTTGCCATTTCCCACGCCTGAGTGACGCTTCTGAGACCGGTGCAGGATCCGCCCCTCCAAAGCTGTTATCCAGAGAGGTTGTCCTTGACAGCACGCCGGAAGACATTGCAGCCTTTTGCTCTCGGACCGGAATCACGATTGCAAACGTATTCCGGGTTGCTTGGGGCCTGGTCCTGCGGGCCTACACTGGTTCTGATAATGTCTGTTTTGGATACCTCACCTCGGGACGCGATGCTCCCATTAGCGATATTGCAGAGATCGTTGGCCCCCTGATAAACATGCTCGTTTGCTCTCTGGATATGACTGGGCTGGGTGCCGGTGGCTCGATTGAGAGCCTGCTGCATCGAGTGCAGCAGGACTTCCTGAACAGTCTGCCGCATCAGCATTGCTCACTGGCACAGATCCAGCATGCTCTCCCTGGCATCTCCGCAGATCTCTTTAACACAATCCTGTCTCTGCAGAGATCCTCTCCTCCGTCCTCATCGGATTACAGCTTGTCCCTGGGAAGCATTATCGGACATGACCCTACTGAGGTATGAGGCTGCTCTCCTGTTTTCTTTCTTTCTTTTGGTAGACATTCCAGGTTAACTCTCAAACAGTACGACATCACCGTCGACGTGCAGGTCCGTCCAGATGGCCTCCAGATCACAGTGGAAACATGGAGTACTCGAATGTCGGATGGCCAGCTGGCCAGCGTTGCAGGCACTCTCGCACAGGCAGTCAATTCTATTCTCGGCAACAGCCAGGGGTCAGTCCAAGATATAGAATTATTCAGCAAACACGACTGGGCACAGGTGCTCGCATGGAATGGTGTCTATCCAGAGCCCGTGAACGCATGTATCCATACTCTCATCGCGGAGAGAGCGAGAGCAAACCCAGCAGCGACAGCCGTATGTGCCTGGGATTATGGCGACCTTTCCTACTCCCAGCTGGATGAGCTGTCCGAACATCTCGCCCTCCATCTCATCAGGCTCGGAGTTGGGCCAGAGGTAATTGTTCCGTTCTGTTTCTCCAAGTCAGTCTGGGCCATTGTGACTATTGTCGCCATTTTGAAGGCCGGGGGTGCCTGCACTGCCTTGGATCCCGAATACCCCCAGGCACGGTTGGAAGCCTTAATCGAAGAAACAAGGGCCAGGGTGGCTGTAGTCTCGCCGTCGCACGCGCACTTGCTTGAAGGAAGAGTGCCTCATCTGGTCGTTGTCGATCAGGATTCTGTATCGCAGATGGACCACACGGCTGGATCGCGCATTGCACCATCCACCGTGGAACCAAACAACACGGCTTTTGTCGTTTTCACATCTGGCTCTACCGGTGTGCCAAAGGTATGGATCGGGATTGTCGTTCTTTCTGTCTCCTACTGACTATAAGCAGGGGGTGTTGCTGGAGCATCGCGGCTTCGCCACGAGTTTCCGAGCCGGGGCAATCCGCATGGGAATAGATTCCTCGACCAGATCTTATCAATTCTCGAATTTCACCTTTGATCTTTCAATCGAAGACATCATCTCTCCCCTGATCGCTGGCGGCACCGTATGCGTACCATCGGAGTCGGACCGCGTCAATAACCTGGCCGACTCCATCCGGGGTCTGAATGCTAACTGGGCAAACTTGACGCCTTCGGTTGCAGCTCTGTTGAACCCCAAAGATGTCCCCTCTCTCCAGACCCTTGTTCTCGGGGGGGAGGCCCTCCGGCAGGATATCGTGGATAAATGGGCCAGGCATCTCGTTCTTCTGAACGGCTATGGTCCGTCCGAGAGCTCGGTAACATGCGCCATCAGCCGCCCTCTTGAGAAGGGCGCAGATCCTAAGAACGTCGGCCGTGGAAGTGCATGCCACTTATGGGTGACTGACGCTGTTGACAACGGCCGACTCGCACCGATTGGCGCCGTGGGCGAATTGCTCATTGAAGGGCCGACGCTGGCCCGTGGATATCTGAATGACGCTGCGAAGACCACTGCATCATTTATCGAGGACCCATCCTGGGTTGGTAGATTCGAGCCGCAGGGGAACACGCCCCGTCGGATGTACAGAACGGGGGACTTGGTCCGGTATGCTGCTGATGGTACGCTCATTTTTGTTGGGCGCAAGGATACCCAGATTAAGCTTCATGGAGTATGTTTCCTCTTCGGATTCCCCCTTCCCGTCAATCGTTTGGGGCTGATACTGACCCATTCAAGCAACGAATCGAACTGGGCGAAATTGAATCCCACATATGCTCCAGCGATGCGGTCGAAGAAGCAGTGGTCATCTTCCCCAAGAGTGGCGTGTGCAACGGCCATCTTATTGCGGTGTTGACCTTCCATGGAACTGAATCCTTGACCGAAAGCAGCAATACCGTTTCTCTCATCGGGGATGAGTACAGAGCCTTTGCAGCAGAGAGGCTGGCGACAGTGCAGGAAGATCTATCTGCGCGCCTCCCGCGACACATGCGCCCGTCAAGATGGGCTGTAGTTTCATCTCTGCCAAAGCTGCCTTCTACAAAGATAGACCGAAAGGCCATACAGACCTGGGTTACCGGGATGAGCCCGGAGGTCTACCAGCAGATCGAAAACTTCCTTGGTGAAACATCCGTCCAGGAGCCGTCCACCGCTATGGAAAGCAAATTCCAGGCTATCTGCAGCGAGGTTTTGAATAGACCGGTGAAAGAGATTGGGCTGCATAAGTCGTTCTTGCAAGCAGGAGGAGACTCCATCAGCGCCATGGCACTTGTTGCGCGTTGTCGCAAGGAGGGCATCGCGGTTGGCATTCAGGACCTTCTTCGCAACAGAAGCCTTGCACAGGTGGCATCGAAGTCCCAAATAGCCGAGGAGAGCAAAGCAGGAGTTGATGCGGTTACAGATGAGCCATTTGATCTCTCTCCGATGCAACGCATGCATTTTGCCGTTGTGCCTGACGGGTTCAACCACTACAACCAGAGCTTCCAGGTTGCACTGACACGCAGGGTGGACGTATCGGCCCTGCAGGATGCTCTGCATCATCTCGTGAGAAAGCATGCAATGCTGAGGGCGCGCTTCATCAACTCTTCCAATGGGTGGATGCAGAAAATTCTCGGAGCCGTTGACGATACCTATCGGTTCCGCGTGCAGGACGTGGAGACTGCGCAGGAGATGGCAGCCATCACACAGGAGAGGCAGAAAAGCTTGGATATCGTCAAGGGCCCGGTGTTCTCAGTCGATCTATTCAATATCGACAACGCCGAGCAGCAGCTATTCCTTGTGACACATCATACCGTGATCGATCTCATTTCCTGGAGGATCGTTCTTCAAGATCTCGAGGATCTCCTAACCCCTGGCGCTCTTCCAACACCGTCATCCCTGTCTTTCCAGGCCTGGTGCCGATTGCAGGATGAGTATATCTCCAAGGAACGCCGTCCGGAACGGTTCCTACCATTCCCGGTGGCCGCCTCCGATTTGGACTTCTGGGGAATGCAAGACACTCCAAACACCGTGGGCGATACGAGACATCTCTCCTTCACTGCCACCCCCGAACTCACAAAGATGCTGTTGGGAGAGGGGTGCCATCGGGCTCTTCATACGGAGCCGGTCGATGTTATGCTATCTGCGATCAGCCACTCGTTCCTGCAAGTTTTCCGACGGTCAGTGCCGGCCATTTACACCGAAGGGCACGGCAGAGAGCCATGGGATGCCGGCATCGATCTCTCGAATACAGTCGGATGGTTCACGACCATGTGCCCCTTACAGACCAACACCAACGAGGCCAGCGGCCTGATCGAAGTCCTGCGGCAGATCAAGGATGTCCGCCGTCGGATTCCCCAGAAGGGCTGGGGTTACTTTGCACACCGTTTCAGGAAAGGCACCGAGGACCAAGTGGCTGTGATGGAGATGAACTTCAACTACACCGGCTTGTATCAGCAGCTCCACCGTGCCGGCTCCTTGTTCCGGCCGGTTCAACGGCTGAGCATGGATGATACGGGCAGAAACATGCCTCGAGATTCTATCTTCGACATCTTAGTGACGCCGGGTGGTCCAGATAGTTTGGACTTCCACTTCACCTTCCCGCGAGCGACACGCCACCAAGAGAAGATTCAGCTCTGGGTTGAGCAATGTGCGGTATCTCTCAAAGCAACCCTGCAGCAGCTGGAGCGCCTGGAAGCCGAAAAGACACTGAGTGACTTTCCCCTTCTTCCCTTGAGCAGCTACGAGGATCTGGACACGCTGATCCGGGATCGGCTGCCCCAGGTAGGAATCGAGGATATTGCCCAGGTCGAAGACATATACCCTCTTTCGCCGGTGCAGCAGGGTATCCTCCTCAGTCAGATCAAGTCTCCGGGATATTACGAGACGTTTGCGGTCTTCGAAGTTAAGGGCCCGGAAGACATCAGCACCCGGCAGCTGTCTCTCGCGTGGCAACGCACAGTTGACCGTCATCCCTGTCTGCGGACGGTTTTCGTCGAGAGTATTGCAGAGAGCAGCCCATACTACCAGGCGGTTCTGAAGCAAATCCCGGCCCATATCCGGTTCGTGAACGCCGACGATACTCCAGACTTGGTGGCCACGTTCAAGCAGCCCTCGGCCACGAACGAAGAAACCCCAAAGCCGGTCCAAGTGGCTCGAGGTGAACATAGCCTCACCATTTACTCGACCCCGCAAGGTCGAACGTTTGTCAGGTTAGAGATCAGCCATGCGTTGACCGATGGCACTGCGATGGGCATCATTCTTCGAGACTTCTGCTCTGCCTATGAGGGCAAGTTGCCGCCATTGACCAAGCCGCTGTACAGCGCGTATATTGCTTACCTCCAGAGCCAGTCCACGGAGGACAGCCTCGCATACTGGACGTCCCGCCTCGCCAATACAGAACCTTGCCTCTTCCCGAAGCTGCAGGACAGCCAAGATGGCGGGGATCTACGTACGGTCGACGTGCCGATCCCAGCGAGCTTTGCTGAAATGCTCACGTACTGTTCGGACATGGGTGTGGCTCTATCCAACCTCTTCCAGGTAGCATGGGCCTTGGTTCTTCGAGCGTACACGGGCTCCCACAATGTTAACTTTGGATACTTGACATCAGGACGAGATGTCCCGGTGGCGGAGGTGGAAGACATCGTCGGTGTCTTCATTAATATGCTTGTTTGCAGTATAGAACTTGCACCGTCGAGTTCCGTGCAGTCTGCATTGGAGACCGTCCAGACAGACTTCATGCAAGGTCTTCCGCACCAGCATATTTCGTTGGCTCAGATTCAGCACGCCTTGGGCATACAAGGGTCACTATTCAACACGATTATGTCCATCCAGCGAAGAGCCCCTCCTGCCACAAATCCCTCCTTGGTAATGGAAGAAGTAACCGGCGCGGATCCTACCGAAGTAAGTGCGAGCCCTATTCACTGACATCGTTCTCCGGCTGACGTCTGTACAGTATGATATTACGGTCAACGTTACTATCTACGAGGACCGGGTTGTCGCTAATCTCGCCTATCGAACCCTGCTCCTGTCGCCGGCGCAAGCTGTCAACGTTGCATCGGCCTTTGGCCAAGCGCTGGGAGCCATTGTGGACCGGAGCCCGAGCACGAGTGTACGGAACATTTCTCTCTTCAGCGAGTATCATCGTCAAACGGCTCTCCGCTGGAACCCGGTGCTCCCAGAAGCATTGGATGAATGTGTCCACCACCTGGTCACGGAAAGGGTCCGTCAGCAGCCGGACAGTATTGCCCTGCGGTCGTGGGATCTCAACGGCGACCTCACATATGAAGCTCTGGACAATCTCGCTTCCCGTCTAGCCTGTCGTCTGGTGCAGCTTGGTGTCCTTCCCGGGACATTGGTTCCGCTGTGCTTTGAAAAGTCCGCCTGGGCTGTCATTGCTATGCTCGCCGTCATGAAAGCCGGAGGCGCATACGTGGCTATTGCACCGCTTCATGCTGCAGACTGGAAAGCGCGTATTATATCTGCTACATCGGCAAGGCTCGTACTCGCCGGACAGAACCAGAGCAGCATGTTTGATAGTATGGTCGAAACGGTTTTGACCGTCTCCCCCGAGACCATACAGCAGTTCGACACTGTATCCAGCGTCCCATGCATCGGGGTTCGATCATCCCATCCGGTCAGCCTGGTCTTCACCAGTGGCACCACGGGAACTCCAAAGGGCATTGTTGTCGAACACAGTGCGTTTGTCACCAGCTCCAAAGCGCACGCAAAGGCACTCGGCGTGAACAAGGACTCGGTCGTCGGCCAGTTCTCGAGCTTTGTCTTCGATGTCAGCATCTCCGAAATCTGGATGACACTGATGCACGGTGGGACGGTATGCATGCCCTCTGAGGAGGAGAGAATGGGCGATCTGGCTGGTTTCATCAATCGCAACCATGTGAACTGGATATGCCTGACGCCCACCGTTGCAACGGTTCTGACGCCCGAGAGCGTCCCGATGCTCAAGACCCTGGTCCTGACCGGCGAGCGTGCGACATCTCATAACTACCAAGTTTGGGCGGAACGGTTGGCCTTGTTCAATGCGTATGGCCCTGCGGAGTGCGGTGTTTGGGCCTCGATCAACCGCGTCCGATCACCAGCCACAGATGCATCATCTATAGGCAAACGGACACACGCATCCCTGCTCTGGGTCGTTGATCCTCATGAGCCCTCGAAGCTGGTGCCCCTTGGTGCCGTGGGAGAGCTTGTCATCGAGGGTCCGCTGGTGTCCCGGGGTTACTTGAACGACAGAGAGAAATCCAGGGCCGTCTTCCTCGAGGACCCTGCATGGACGGAGGCTCTCCGTCCGTCTTCCTGCTCGACCAACCCGTCTACCGCTGCCAGACGGATGTACCGAACGGGGGATCTGGTCCGGTCCAACGCAGATGGATCAATCACCCTGATCGGCCGTATTGGTGGCGACACCCAAGTCAAGCTCCGTGGCCAGAGAATAGAGCTCGGTGAGATCGAGCAGCAGATTCGATCCAACCTACCTCACATCCGAAATGTGATCGTCGAACAAGTGTCGGTGCAGGGCGAACCGACGGTCAAGACGCTCGTTGCTTTTATATCTCTACCAGACGGTGTCGGATCGGCGAACAAGGCCACCGCAAACAACCTCATGCGCGTCTCGCCTGACCTGAAGTCCAGCTTCTTGCAGTTGGCATCCTCGCTGGCCAAGTCTCTTGCATCGTACATGGTCCCGTCAATGTATCTTCCGGTCATCCGGATCCCGACATCTCTTTCTGGGAAGGTGGACAGGAAGCAACTCCGCGCGTTGACGGATGGATTTACGCCAGCCCAGGTCGCCCACTATTCCCTCGCCGAGGAGGTGAAACAAGGGCCGACTACGGAGATGGAAAGAAAGCTGCAGGTACTCTGGGCGAAGGTCCTCCAGGTTCCCGTTTCTTCCATCGGGGCAAACGACCACTTCTTCCGCCTGGGTGCCAATTCCATCAGCGCCATGCGTCTTGTCCCAATGGCTCGCGAAGCAGGCATTCTGCTGACGATCAAGCACATCTTCCAGCACCCGCAGCTGGATGAACTGGCGAAGGCGGCAACCTTTGCGGAGAAGCCAGTTACCACCGATCTCAGGCCGTTCACACTGATCAAGGGGACCGATGGTGTGAAGGAGCTGCTGCCACTGCTCGAATCTCAGTACCGCATCGCAAGGGAGACCGTTCAGGATGCCTTCCCCACGAGCCCACTCCAGGAAGGATTGTTTTCCTTGTCTGTCAGACACCGCGGCACCTACGTTGCCCAGAATGTCTTCCGGCTCCCCCCCGGCCTTGATTTGAATCGATTCCGTCAGGCATGGCAAATCGTGGCGGACCGAAACTCCATCTTGCGGTCACGCATCGTTCACACCCGGCGCTGGGGATCACTGTCGGTCGTCCTCCAAGAGGACCTGGCCTGGGGCACTGCCAGCTCGCTCGAACAGTATCTATCCGAGGACCGCGAGGTGCCCGTAGAGCACGGGAAGCCCCTGGCTCGGTATGCTATCGTCGATGGCCGATTTTTCGTCTGGACCATTGCCCACTCCTTGTACGACGGCTGGAGTAAATTCCTGATCATGGAACAAGTGCAACATGTCTATCAAGGAGTCAGTCTGGGCGCTCCGCCACCCTCGTTCAGCAACTTTGTGCAGTATCTTACAGAGACGACTTCGGACGAGGCCAGGGGCTTTTGGATGTCACAGTTGCCCGAGGACGCTGTTTCCGGCTTCCTTCCACTGCCCACACCCTCGCATCAACCTATCTCTGATGGACAGATCAAGCACGACCTCCCCTTCACGCGGTCCCCCCAATCGGATTTCAAGACGTCGACGATGATTCGAGCCGCCTGGGCGATCGTCCTCGCCCGCTACTGCAACTCGGAATCCGTTGTCTTTGGCGCGACTCTCACAGGACGGAATGCCGATGTGCCGGGCATTGCGGACATGACGGGGCCTACCATCACCACCGTGCCCATCGGAGCCACGGTTCAACGTGACCACACAGTCTCCCGGTTTCTGGGGGAGCTGTATGATCAGGAGATCGCCATGATCCCCTTCGAGCACACGGGCCTGCAGAACATTAAGCGATTTAGCTCTGCCTGTGCCAGCGCATGCGAGTTCCAAAGTCTGTTGATTGTGCACGTCAATGACCGAGGCGATCCCAACACGCAGGAAGTCGATTCGGAATTCTGGCAGATGGCAGAGGGCGAAGGAACGGATACGAGCTTCTTGACCTATCCGCTAGCTCTCGAGTGCTCTGTCGGCGCGGGCAAAGTCACCGTCGAGATGCAGTATGACCGGCAGATGCTCCCGAAGGAACAGGCCCAACGAATCCTCTACCAATTCCAGCATGTTCTGCTCCAGGTGAACGCTGCGTCAGACAGTCTGAAGCTGGCCGAAGTCGAAGTGTTCACCGAACAAGACAAGGCAGAGATATTGGCTTGGAACAAGCCCGACGGCCTCGGCAGGGATTACGAGAAATGCGTCCACAACGTCGTCGAGAGGGTCGTTGCCAGAAACCCTCAGGCGCCGGCTGTCCGCTCCTGGGATGAAAACCTCACTTACGGAGAACTGGACCACCGGGCAACTCAACTAGCCAGGCACCTCCAGAGGATCGGCGTTGGTCCCGAAGTCCTCGTCCCCGTGTGCTTCTCCAAGTCGGCATGGGCTGTAGTCGCACAGCTGGCAGTCCTCAAAGCCGGTGGCGCTGTGTACGCCATTGATCCCTCGTTCCCATTGACTCGTATTGCCGGGATCATCAGCGATGCGAAATCCACCGTTCTCCTTGCGGGCACGTCTCATATCAAGTCCTTGACTGGTATTGTGCCCACGATCATCGGTGTCGACACATCTCTATTCGCATCTCTGCCCGCTGCAGATGCACCACTGGCAGCGGCGGTTCGGCCACACAACACAGCATTTGTAGTGTTTACCAGCGGCTCAACAGGAACGCCCAAGGGCATTCTTCTTCCCCATTCAGCGATATGCGAGAGTCTGCGCTCCCACGGCGAAGTGTACCGAGTGAGCCCCGAGTCGCGTGTCATCCAGTTTGCCTCATTTACGTTTGACATCTCCATTCATGACATCTTCACGACACTGACGCACGGTGGCATGATCTGCATGCCGTCCGATCATGACCGCATGAACGATCTGACGGGAGTCATGAACAGGATGGCCGTCAATCACGCCTGCCTGACACCGACGGTTTCAATGCTCCTGAATGACGTGCCGTCCTTGAAGACCCTGGCCCTGGTCGGCGAGGTTACTACCCCAGAGGCCATCGACAAGTGGGTGGACCGCACGAAGCTGTTTGCGATGTATGGCCCGGCCGAAACTTCCATCTACTGTGCCTATCACCATGTCACCGAGAGATCAAACAACCATACCAACTTCGGCCGTGCGATCGGAAGCAACATGTGGATCGTCGAGCCCAACGACCATGATAAATTGGCCCCGGTTGGCTGCGTGGGAGAGGTTGTCATCCAAGGCCCGTTGCTCGCCAAGGGATATCTGAACAACCCGGAAAAGACTGCGGAAGTGTTCATCGAGAACCCTGCTTGGCTGAGCACCGACTACTGCCCGCCGGGCTGGAGTACACGGATATACAAGTCGGGAGATCTGGCCAAGTACAACTCTGATGGCACGATGAGCTTCTTCAAGCGGAAGGATACACAGGTCAAGGTCCGCGGACAACGAGTGGAACTAGGAGATATCGAGCATCACTTCTTGCAGCGCGCCCCAGGCTCATGGCGGGTGGTCGTCGACTTGATCGCTCCTCCTGGCCACGAACGAGATCCGATTCTGGCCGCCTTCTTCTGCATTCAGAACCAGGAATCGCGGGCCATCTCGGAAACAAACGTGGTGTCCATGAGCGACGAAGTGCGGTCCATCCTGCTCAAGGTGAAGAACGGGATGCAGGAAGCGCTGCCCTCCTACATGCTGCCGGGAACCTTCATCCTCATCAGCGCTATCCCCATGACGCTTTCCACCAAGCTCGATCGGCGGAGGCTGCGTCAACTGGGCGCCAAGCTGACTTTGGACCAGCTGACATCCTACTCTCTGCGCGAGGCCACACCACGGGCACCCTCGACGGACAGGGAACGGGTCCTTCAGAAGCTCTGGTCCGAGGTCCTGAATATCCCCACGGGCCGAATTGGCGCCAACGATCACTTCCTGCGGCTCGGAGGAGACAGCATCATCGCGATTAGGCTCGCTGGTGCGGCCAGGGATCGCGGTATTCACCTTCCCGTTTCGAATATTTTCCGCCATCCCAGACTGTCGGACATGAGTCGAGTCGCGACGGAGCTGGTTGCGTCGAGTAAGCCCGATGTATCGGCCGTGGTGGCTTCCGTCAGCGAAGACATGCGGAATGCCATTGAGTCTCAGACGTCCATATCCTCGGCGATGGTTGAAGATGTGGTGGAGGCCAGTGACTACCAGTCCTGGGCCATGGCAGCCGGCCATTTGAAGCAGCGTGGATATCTAAACTATTTCAGTTTCCGGTTCGACGGTCCCATTGATCCTGTGCAATTGGAGCAGGCGTGCCAGACCCTCGTTGCCCATCACCCGGTCCTACGAACGGTGTTTGTCGTCCATCGCCGGCAGACCTTCCAGGTCATTCTCAAGCGCCTCCCGCTCGAATTCAAGCAGCACGACTGCGATCCGGAGGAATACGACAACGCGGACTTTGACTCCGGCACATCTCGGGCGTTGATTGAGCAGGACATGGCGCGCGAGATGGACCTGGGCATGCCGATTATGCGGTTCAAGCTGTTGAGATACGGTGAAGATCAGCATCGGCTGGTCATGCGCATCTCTCACGCCCAGTACGATGGCATCGCCATGCCAACCCTAATGCGCGATCTGGAAGCAGCGTATCTAAATGCGCCTCTCTCCGCACCAGCACCGTTTCCCTTCTTTGTGCGTCATACCCAAGCCGCCAATGCTGCTGAAAGTGAGGCCTTCTGGCGTGACCTCCTGCAGGGATCCCAGATGACGAAGGTGCTGGACCGACCAAGGCCATCTTACCGGAACCCGGTCAACAACGCGGTCTCGATCACGGTTCGCTCATCGTCACTCAGCGCACATGGGATTACATTCGCGACTGTCTTCAAGGCAGCGTGGGCCCTGACTCTGTCCCGTCTGTCAAACAATCGGGACGTCACCTTTGGCCATGTGATCTCGGGTCGCAACGACACTTCCATTCCGCAAGTGCAGAACATCGTCGGTCCCTGCGTCAACATCATCCCAGTTCGTGTCCAGTTCCCCGATGCATGGGATTGGAGCGGCATGGACCTCTTGAGCCACGTCCAGAACCAACAGCTATCTGCCATCCCGCACGAAAATTACGGTTTCCGCCGCATCATCGAGAACTGCACGTCCTGGCCCAAGTGGGAACGGTACAGTTCGGTCATACAACACCAGAATCTCGACGATGAGGTGGAGGAACTCTCCTTCGGCGATTCCTCCTGCTCCATCGAATGGTTCGCCCCACCGCATGACCTTGCCGACCTGTGGATTTGGTCTTTCCCGGCTGGAAGAAACTACTACCGCCTTGAGCTGACGTACAGCGACAACGCCATGTCGGTGGATGTGGCAGACGCCTTATTGCGAGCATTGGGCGACACGGTGGAGAAACTGTCAAAGAGCCTACGTGCGAAGGTTTCCTCGCTCACCAACGATAGATGTTCGATTAGTCTGCCGATGGCCAATCCTACTGACACCGGCTTGCCGTCGGCTGGGGCTGTGGCCGACGATGATGAGTCGAATAGCGTCGTTAAAGAGGTTTGGAGCACCGCGTTCCCTGAATTTTCCAGTCAATCTGAGTCTATGGACACTCCGTACTACGAGATCTGGGGTGATCCGATGGCTCCGGTGCAGATCGCATCCTTGTTCAACCGGCATGGTGTCAATTTGACAATGGATGATATTGTTGAGAACCCAACGAAGCGCCTACAGGTGCAGCTTCTTGGTGATAAGGTGTAAGGAGGTAGTGATGCCTTTTGTTTTTGCTATTTCATGTGTACTGGAGAGGGAAAGAAGCTTGAGTGGGTTTAGAAATGGCGTTAGGAGTTAATCATTTAGTTTCGATCATGATTATACATATCCATGAGATAGTAAAGCTTTATATAGACAATCTATCTTGTCCAACTTCGAACCTGGCTCCTCAGACAGCAAATCTTTGACTTCTACCAGGACGCTCTACATGGAAAACTAGGGCTTTGTAACGTTAACCCTAAGTTCTCACCCACTTCTTCGAACCGTACAAGTATACTATGATATCTAGGCAAACTTCAATGTGCTTAGCGTGAGTTACAAAGCATATATACTGTAGTGAAACACTATAACCCTGTTCAAATAGAAGGCACATGCTAAGACTGCTCTCACCTTGCACGAACTCGAGCAACACGGGGTTGTATGGCTTCATAGGCACAGGAATCCGCTGTATGAAAGTCGCCGGGATATCTTGCCTTTCTTCAAACGTCCCTTTCAGAACATCGAAACCCTTGGCCACCCTGTAAATCACTTGGAAGGAAGGGTTTTAAGTCTGTCTTTTGCAAGATGGTCGGACTGTTCGTTGACATCATAATCACCAACTTGTTGAATAAACATTATGCGGGAGGCTGAAATATCATTTTGAAGACTTCTATGCTGCCGAATTCGAAGATCTTCTTATCAATAGCAAGAGAGAGTTGAGCAAATGTATCCTCCCCCATGCCACGGCAGAAGAAATCATTACAGTCAATGGTGACTAGGTCCCTATGACCTGGACGTTTCGGGACATAGGCATCTTCGAATGGATGGCTGGGTGCATGATAATAATGGACGAGCCATCATCCGACCTTGATGAGGATCCTAGTTCCTTAGTCATGCTCGGTCGGCTGTTATAGGACGAAGCAGAGCTTGATTCGAGAGAGCCAAGAGAGAGCTGGGAGTGTTTTCAAGGGAGAGAACGGAAACTTGAAGCGCTAGGGGTATAGGTTCAGCTATCATGGTGATCGGCTCCAGCCCAGAGAGAAACTTTCGAGTCCCAGTCAGCAGCAAATGACCAAAATAGTAGATGATCACATGTCTGCCCTCAACGAGGTTCTTCATATCATAGAGACTACATATGAGGTTCCACAACGCACCGAGGAAAATGCGTTCAAATCCTGATTGGCAATTCGCGCATATAAGGTTGTTAGAGGTATGTCCAGGTGCGACGTCGAGCCGATGCATGCTTTCAGCGAATGGCAACTCCCAGCAATCGTGACTCGCCGCAAAAGATGACGGCAACTTCCGGGCTGGTGGGAAGAATTAGATGAATTAAATCGTCGTCTGTACTCATCCATAGAAGTTGAGGACCTGTTTCCTTCACTTCCATTCCCAAGAGGGATATTGTATCGCCCTCAAAAGTCAATCAGGCTGTCATTGAGGAAGAACTCATAGCCATCAGCTGCTCTCCAGATCTGAAGGGCAAGCTTCCGATGAAGCGCTTATATGTGCAGCACTATAATTGTTTTTTTTTTTTTTTTTTTTTTTTTTTTTTTGACATCTCCAAGGAGGTCCTCGTGGCTCGTCCCCAGGAGGTAGAGCAAGTCCTCAAGCTAGAATTGACTCGGATCGGGTGCATTAACTCAGAGATATACTTCTCCATTTGTCCAGTGCAACAAGGATGAGTCGGACCCCACAAACAACAGGCCCAGAAACTCCATGTATTGTAATAGCCACAGGCCTCATAATAGACCAACACGCCAGAAATGCAATGAACCGTAAGAAAACGCAGAAACCGAATGAAAGAACGCTAGGAGGATAAGAAATAACCCTCAAAAATAAAAAAAGGAAAGAACGTCTCCGACGATGCTTCCAATTCTCTAAATAATGTACCCAATATAATAGTAATAGCTAGGTATACTAGAAAATGGGAGATCAAACGAGAACTGAAAGCATCAGACGTCTGTTGAGGACGGGTCGAGTCCCATAAAGACTTTATATAACCGTTTGCTCACGGCAGGGCCGATACGGGCATCTGTTAAGGCGCCGTTCTTGTTCGCTGATTTCTATTGCGCAAGATCAGTACTCGAGCATATCAATGATTGGGGAATAGCCCTTCAAATAACACTATAGAGTTGAAATGGGTTGTAACAGGGATTCTAATAGTCTAATAAAAAGTTGCATATAAGACAATGAGAGCAAGATGGCGTACCTTGACATCTTCCAACGCCAATGGTCCGTGTATTCGCATGGCCCTGATAAGGTCAGTCACGCTTGGGTATTTGGAAACAATACCGTAAGCCATTGAGCCTGTGACGCGTGTAATTTCCTGGAGCATCTTGACGAAAGTATCCGTCTTGTCCTCGCCAGTTTTGACTTGGCCTACATCCATGCAGAAGGCGGAGTCGTTGTTTACCATCCGCTCCCGTCGATAGGGGACGGTAGAAACGTGTTCGGTGAAGTTTTTAATCCACTCTGCAGACTCAGGGGCGGCATTAGTGTGGTGGATTAAGCAAGAGTGCGTTACTTGAAGTTGAAGGAGACCATCTTCAATCTTGTCATCGTCTACCGGGGGTATAGTCTCTGGCTTCCTCCGGCGACTAGGCTGCGCAGATGGAAGATGATCGTTCATCTGCCGCAGAACCTCGGCTTGGTAGGCCTTGTTGCGAGAGTTTCTGTTCTTTCGCATCCACGCTGCGAGACCCTCGATGAGATAGATAGGCTTGCAGCCTGGGTAGGCGCTTTTTATTTTGAGAACATGGGCGTGGAGAGAGTCCCCACCACTTACTGAATCCTCGCTCGCAAGAACCATATTGACGAATTCTTGAGCGGGAACCAGGCAAAGTACGTGCTCCTCTTGTTTGATAAACAGTGGACATGGCTCCCAGTGCCCTAGGCTGTCGTTGAATATAGCAGTTGTCTTGCGACGCCATTTGACAATGTTGCTAATAGGGCTGGAGAAAAACGTGTATTCCACCCCCAGGCGTTTCATGAATTCCACTGACTGGTTCGCGACGCTCGACCCCTCGAGAGACAATGCCATGTCCAGGATCATCTCAGGCGTCGATTCCTTCTTGTCAATCTTGAGTTTGTTGGCCTCTGAAATATCTGCAGCCAGCTTTTTCTCTCGAGCCTTTTCCTCTTTGAGCTTCTGTTTGCGTTCCTTCTCAAGCTCGCGCTCACGCTCACGTTGTGCTTTAGCAGCAGCCCGCTCCCTAGCCTTCGCTTCCTTCTCTTCCGTGGAAGGTTTGCTTGACTTCCTGGATGGTTTCACCGGCTCGACAAATCCATCTGATAAATCCTCTTCGAAAACGTTATATTCCTTTTTATCTTTCCCTTTTCCTTTTCCGCCATGGCCAGTCACACTGGTAGAAGTCTCAGAACGGTTCTCAAGACTTGCCAATAAACTCGCAGTTCTGCTGGAAAGCCCATGCGAAGTCGCATGTACCTTGTTCCCAGGGAAACCAATCAATTCCTCCAAATCAGACAGTGGTAGTTGATCACTAAACTCCTCAATCTCATCTCGTCTGTTCCCGTAACGACCACGACTCCCAACGCCGCCATCGTCATCGTCAATCGTAATTGTAGCCGACCGTCTGAGACCCGTGTCTCGCGAAACAGAACCCTGATTGCCAGTTTCCGGAACAGAAGACGTAAATATAATAGGGTCTGATCCCTCCCAGTCAAAAGTGAACTGTTTACCATTTTTATTTTGATTATCGTTATTTACTCCCGGGGCTCCCCTTTTCGCACTGGAAGGCACAATGGGGTCTTCATCGGAGAATAGGAACAGTGGATTCGGAGGCCGATTTGTATTGGTATTCTGATCCTGTAGTTTGAGGGACTCATCGCTCAGCCTTCGCCTCTTTGCAGGTTTATTGAAGTCGTTGTCGAAGTCGAAAACGGAGTAATCGAAATCGTCCGACGAGAAGTAGTTGGAGTTTGACCGCGCAGACATGGGAGGATTTATGTGTGCTTCCGTCAGGGACGGCCGCTGGGGTGTAATTTTTGGACAGGGCGGCGTGGAAGATGTCAGATCGATGATTTCCTCCATTTTCGCGTTTCCCTTGCGCACACTACGGTCAGATCGTGAGGTCATGGACGGTTGTTGCTTCGGCGGCGCGATGAGGCCGCGTCAGGGAAGCGCGTAGACACGTGATATGCAGCGGATGGTTGACGTAACTATTGATGCCTGAGGCAAACTATCTACGCTATGCTACCACCAACACCATTCGACTTGGATACGACTTCCATTGAGTATATAGATATACGGTACATAAATTAGGATAATGGAGAACTTTATTCCAGGTAAAATAGTTTACATCACTCTCCAGATGAATGCCGCAATCACCGAAAGTGTAATACCAAACAAGGTGAGACCAATAATCCCGATCTGCTGCAATCCATTAAACGGCCTCCTCTTACTGTTCAGCATGTCCAAGATTTCCTCTTCAAGCTTGTCACCCATGGCAGTTAGGGAGAATTCCTTACTCGCCCTAGCCTTTCCAGCATCCGACATCCGATCACGCGCCGTCTGGTCCATCTCGTAGAGGGCCTTGTGCATGACGGCAGTCCAGTCGGGGATCTTCTTTGCGTCTCGGAGCCAGCCCGTTTCGCCTTCAACGATCGTCTCCAGTGGACCACCAGTGTTGGATGCAAGGACAGGAATACCAGCGCGCATTGCTTCAACGGGGACAATACCGAAGTGTTCATTGACAGGAGTGTATATGAGGAGGCTTGATTGGGAGAGAAGAGTTTCTTTGAATGCTGTCGGCACAGAAAGGAGGAAGAGCACGTCTATCGAATCTGGGATAGAGAGAGCGGATATGATGGTTTTGGATGTTGCGGTCTGCAAACCCAGACTCGTCGCAAGGGCATCGAGTTCTTGGTGATATTGCACGTTTTCGGGGACACGATTGTCATAGCCGCCTGTGAAGAAAGATATTTCAGTTGGCCTGATTCGTATTAATGGAGGATGAGGGTGAACTTTTGGATCCCATACCAGCAATAACCAATCTAGTCCCCCTCCTCTCTTCCTCCCCAAGCCCATAATACGCCCTCACGGCAAGTCCCATATCCTTCTTCCTCTCAAACCGATTAATACTCAGCACAATCTTCTTCCTCCCACCCCAAAGCCTCTCTCCGCCATCCCCTTTCACCTCCTCGCCCTGCTCAGTAACCGATTGCGACGACGACAAAGGACCAGCCCCCGTATCGACACAAGGATACACAACCCGCACATTCCCCAATCTGTCCGACCCGAAAACATCCCGCACAACCCCACGCGTGAAATTCGAGTTCGCAACCACTTTATCCGACGCACTGACAGCCCACCCCTCGAACCAGTCGAACGGGTACCGATACAACCTCTTCAGTAGACGGAGAATAGAACCGCCCTCGTCGCGTCTTGAGAGCAATTGATCCGGGAAATGGCAGTAGAAGAGAATGCGTTGCTTTCCTCGTCCTGCGCGGCTGCTCGGGCTTAGTGTCTTCAGCACGGGCACGCAGGCAGGAACCTGGTCGACGATGAAGATATCGTCTTCATCTTGTTCAGGTCCGTCTGTGTCTGTGTTTGGGTTTGAGTCCTTCGCTGTCGTTCCGCCACGGGTACCGGTACCAGGGGGGTTGAGTTCCCGCAGCACCGACAATGTAAGATGTAACTGTCTCAACACCGCCATGAACACGTAGAGTCGTCCGCACACATGTGCTGGGAATAATGAATTTCCCCTAACCCGAACATCCAGGGTTCCATCGCGCGCTTCTTCAAAGCAGTGTGTCTTGTCTCGGTGGGAGGTGTAGATGGTGACGCGGTGACCGCGGGATTGCAGCGCAAGCGCTACGTCGATGATGAGGCGCTCTGCGCCCCCAATGCCGAGGTCGGGATGGATAATGATCACGTTAGAGCGTTTGAGGCGTGGCATGTCGGCTCTTTGCTGGTAACTCGCATTGCAATGGTCGTGTCTAAAGGACAGGTCATTTCAAGAAAGCTTATGTTCTGCCGCAGCACGACGTCATGTGATTGACAGATTGGACACGTAGTTATGATCTACCATATGGAGAAGAGAAAATAGATATAATCGTCTACATGGCGAGGCGTATAGACATTTGTTCAACCTCGAGAGCCTCCTACGGCAGCAAAGATGTGTTAGTCTAGCTGCAATGATTCCGTTGAGGCGAAGATACTATGTCACTGTTGGTATCCATACTTGAAGTAGAGAGAGTATATGGAAATGGACTTGAAAGATTCCAAAAGAAAAAGACAGAAACGTATAGGACACAAGGGCCTTGCGCACCCGGGAATCAAGAGAAGACAACCAAAGAAGACAAAGAATACGGAAGAACAAAACGGTAAAAATCCACAAGGTCAAATCAACAGGGGGAATAAATGTACGTTGGACATAAGCCAATGACCGGAAATCAAACGAACAGGACGTGAAGTGAGATCATAAGAAATGGAGGTAAATACAGAAGCATAGGGTTCTATCAACATGGGTGGAAGGGAATACACACAAGGTGGGCATTGAGACATTGGATTTCGTGTGAGTGTATGTGATAGGGGGCAAGGGGGTTCAAGGGTTGCGGAAATCAACATGGAGATCGTAACAAAGCAGTCAATAGTTTCCAAATCAAGGAAAGAAAAGCATCTGTCCGCAGTGTCTGAGACAGACAAGATCGGAACTGGATTCTAAGCGACCCTTAGAAACAGTTCAATGTGCTCTTCTTCTTTTTCTTGCTGAGCGCGGCCATGCGCTCTTCGAGCTGGGCTCTAGCAGCCTCAGCCTCCCGTCTAGCAATTCTCTCCTGTTCCACAGCCTGGAGTGAGAGCCGCGCCGAGTTGCGTTCCTTGCGGAGGGTGGCCAACTCCTCATCAAGGAGTGCGGCCTTCTTCTTCCAAGCTTCGCAGTCAGCCTTCACCTTGTTGCTCTGCTCCTCAAGGTCTCCCAGTGCTTCCTCTAAAGTCGCCGTTAATTGCTTCTCGGCGTAGAGGTTTCTCTCAATTGTGCGGATGCGGCTTTCCTGATCTTCGACTAGGTGGGAATTGGCGAGATCTTTGCTGGCGTGCCGAGAGTTGGGAGGAGAGACACTTCCAGCGTTGCCCGCAATAGTAGGAAGCGGGGGGAGAGGAATGGCAGGAGGTGGAGAGGGGAGAGAAGCCACAGAAGAGCTCTTCCGTAAGTTGGACGTGACCGAATTACTGCGGTCGTGTGAATTCTCCTGATTTTTCACCTGAAGCTACAAGTTTGTTAGCCGTAATTCAAACCTGCCAGAACTGTAGGAGCTTACCTCGAGCTGCTCAATCCGCACGCGATACGACTCAATCTCTTTCTCGTAGACGGAGATCTTCACATTCGCGTCTTCCAGTGCCTTATCGCGCTCGTGCTGCATGACAGAGAGTCGGTTGTGGTGCTGGTCGAAGGTGCTCGTAATTTGCTCTTCAAGCTCCTCGACTAGACGCACGCTTCGCTGCTTCTCAGCCGTAACCTCCTCAATAATGGCCTCCTTCTTCCGAACTTCTTCATCCTTCAGTTGCACAGTCTGCTCGAGGGAGGCAACCAATTGGGACAGCTCGCTAATCTTCTCGTCCTGCTGGGAGCTCTTCTGTGTAAGTTCATCCAGACGGGTATCTGCCGTCGCGTGCGCTTCCATCTGCTTCTGGAGACCCTCATTGACATCCATGAGCTCAGCATACTTTTGAGAGAAATGCTCTTTCTGGGCCAAGACGTCCTCAATCTGGTCTGTCAACGTAGTCGCTGTAACTTCCGAATTGAGAATTCCAGAAACCGTCTTGAGCAATCTCGCCAAATCGTCCCGGGAATCCGATGTAGTCACTTCCTTCAGTTGGGTATCTGTAGAGTTTTTGAGGTTCAACTGGTTAACGAGACTCTCATTGGTCTCCATAAGCTCGGCGTATTTCTCAGAGAAATGCTGCTTCTGCGAAACGATCTCCTGGATCTGTTCAGCCAACGTATGCACAGTAACCTCCGAGTTGACAATCCCGGAAATTGTCTTGAGCAACCCAGCTAGCTCATCCCTCGACTCAGACATCTCAGATCTCAGGGCATTCAATACTTTCTCTTGTTCAGCATTCTTCACGGCAAGGCGAGACTCATATTCAGCTTGCGCTGCTGCTGCTGCATGAGTCTGGAGCTCCTCCAATTCAAGCTTGTGAGACTCCTGTAGAGAAACCATGTCCTTCTCTCGCGACGCAACAGCTGATTTATGCATTTCGATCTCCTTTTCCAAGTCAGAGATATACTGCCGGTACGTCTCTAGCTCGCTGTCATCCTCTTGCTTCTTTGCGAGGTGCTCCGATAATTGATTTTTAGCAGCAGCGTGTGAGCTGTCCAGACTAGCGATGGTATCAAGCTGACCTGCAATCGTCGCCTTATGCTCCTCAATCTCTAGCTGTAGGTTTTGGATCACTTTCTCTCGCATCTCCCTATCATTGGCTAGGTCTCGTGACAGTATTTCTGTGTCCGTCGATCCCTTCCTGACAGCGTTGCACTCGGCACACATGGCGTCGACCGAAGCCAAGGCAGTATCCAGGTCTGCTAGGGCTGTGTTGAGCTGAGTTTGGGTAGAGTGCAATGAATTAACAGCTTGCTGGTGTTTGAATTTCCATTCGTTTAATTCGTCCTCGAGGAAATCGATTCTCCTGTCTTGTTCCTCAGAAGCTGCACGCCGCTGTTGAGCGGCATCTTCATGCGACCGGAGAAGGCCTTGTAGTCGCTCAACCTCAACGAGTAACTCCTTCTTTTCCCCGTCGGGTGTAGCACCCCGGCTTCTGGATGCAGCGTCTTTGGAGTTTAAGAGGCCATGAAGCTTTGTAATCTCAGAGAGCAGTTGCCTTTCCTTCTCTTCGTAAGCTGCAACCGCAGCCTGGGCCGTCGTAGCTGCCGCCTCATGAGATTCGAGAAGACTATGCAGACTCTCAATCTCGGCCAATAGTTGCTTCTCTCTGTTGTCATGGGCTTCCTTCAGGGTATTGAGCTGGATCTCCTGCTGCACTATCTGATCACGCAACTGGGAGACGAGACCCATGTCCACCGATGAACCTCCCTGCAAACTCGACCGTTCTCTTGTTAGGCCCGAGATAATAGTACTCTTCATTTCCATTTCCTTCTTCACACTGGCGTTCTCGGCCTCCAGAGCTTGAATGCGGTCTACACGACTATGAAGTTCATGGATCGCTGCGTCGAGGTGCATTTCGAAATTCTGCAAGACATCGGGACGGCCTTCGAACTCCTCAAGCCCAATGTTACGCAATGCACCGAGAGAGCGATGAGCACGGTCGACCGTAGACATGAGATTCTGGCTAGTCATCCGTCGAATAACCGGCGTCTTGTAACCAGGTGTTGTAGGTGGCGAAGTGGATGGCTTGGGCCGCTGGAGTTCCAGCTTGAGCCTCTCCACCAATCCCAAGGTTTCGTCGTGTTCGGCTTGAAGTTCCGCATACTTCTGGGTCATTATATTCACACCTTCCTGGTGCTCTTCGAGAAGCTTGCGCATATGCTCGATCTCTTGCTCCTTGAGTTTCTCCTCCTCCGACTGTTGGGGCTCCAAGTCCGCACCATTAGGCAGTTCCTGCGAAGGAGCAGGCTCCCCGGCCAAGGATAACTCCGACGAGAGCGATTGCGAGAATGCGGGTTGTGTGCCAGGTTGGTGCGGGCTTGGAGCTTTGCCGTCGCCTAAAAAAGAGTCCGGTCGAGAGCGAGGTACCAGGTCTTCAACAATGGATGCGGGATGGCGGGCTTCATCAGCGGCATCTTGGCGCAGCTCCGCCAGAGCTTTCAGGGCTTCTTCGTACTTGGTTTCCAGAAGTTCATACTCACTCAAGGTGGATTCATGCTGCATGCGCAAGTCGAATAGCTCCTGAGTGACAGTATCAAGCTTATCAGCGATAAATTTAGATTGGGCCGGGCTATGCGGCGGATCATCCTCCTCGGCAAGAGTTGGCTTCGCGGTTAAATTAGCGGTCGCTTTCTCTAGGGCTTCCAGATCAGAATTTTTCTGCTCATGATCGGGCTCTGGCGCCTGAACTGCATCGCCACCTCGAACTTCCGGTGTCCCTTCGGCGAGAGCGTCATCGTCGGATTCAGGGATGGCCGTTTCAACAGCCTCAGTCAGGACATCGAGGGATATCGTTCTCTTCCTTGAGTGTCGAAGGTTGTTTGGTGGAGGAGCACGAATAACACTACCATCATCGTGGCTTCCTCCATTTGTCTTGTGCTGATCATTCGCGGAACCATTCTCCATTCGGTCCAGTTCATGAAGCAAAGAATCCAACTTTCCAAGGCTCCTTTGGCGTTCGATGACATGCTCCAAGCGCTCCATTTCCCGCTGCATAAGTTCCATATCCTGGTCTGCTTCAGCCAGGCGTTCTTCCAGCGTTGAGATGTAGTCCTCGCAATTGGCCTCGCTCTCGCGGACACGACTGAGCTCTCTGCGCAGCTCGGCTACAATTGCAGCTTGCTTTTCTTCACCGAAAGACTGGCCGTCCAGCTTCCGCTCTAAATCCTGGAGGTAGGATTCTGTGTTCACTTCCCTGTCCATCGCCTTTTGGAGTCGCGCCTGTAGCTGTGCATTGAGAGTCTCCGCGTAGGCGCACTTGGTTTCACGTTCAAGAAGAATGCTCTCTGTCGTGGACAGGGAAGACCTGGTGTCCGAAAGCGATGACTCGAGACTCTGGATCGTCTTTTCGTACTCGAGGACGACTTGCTCAACAGATTCGGCAAACGAATGAGACCGCTTGAGTCTTTCCACGGAGCTCGTCCCAACCGCCAAGGTAGCGTCATCGACATCATCCTTGGAGCTCGAGCTTTTCGTGAGCTCGGAAATAAGTTTTGCATGGCGTTGACTCAGCGCGTTGTATCGCTCCTGGATGTCTAGAAGTTGGTTCTGCAGCTCCCGCTCACGACTCGTGTGCCTCTCTGGTCGTTCAGGCGTCAAGCCATTTCGTCGGTCGCTGTTTTCTGCGTTGCTGATCTGCTGCCTTAAAAAGGCGACTTCGGCCTTCAGTCTCTCGATGGCTGCACGCTTATCTCCGTCATCCGCAACCTGCTGAATCATGGGCTTGCTTTGAATGGCTCTCGCCCTCTGCGCATATTGCACGGTGTTCAACGTCTCGCTCAAGTGGAACTCAGCCGGGGTGACACATGCAATCATGTACGTAATAGCGTTACCGCCAAGAGAGTCTTGCAGAAGTCGTGTGAGTTTGGAGTCGCGGTAGGAAACGTGAGCACCGGCTTGACGAGACGATAACTGCGAGATGACTTTCCCCAAGGCAGCCAGACCAGCATTGATAGAAATACCTTCCCTTGCGCGTTCTCCCGAGGCTCCGGTGTTCTTCAGCCGCTCGCTACCCGCCAGATCGACGAAGTGAAGCTTGCTATCCACGGTGACCGAGGCGTCGGACGCAAATGTACCGTCGACAGGCATTGACATGCGCTTTTCCTTCGGGGACGTAATAGCAGCCGACGACTTACGCTGGACGAGATTTAGAGTGAAGACGGCGTGGGAGCGGGAAGACTTTGCATTAATCGCAGTGGAGTCTGTTTGCCTGATAGAGGAGCCGAAATTCAGCGCGGAGAGTAGATCGTCAAAGCAATTGATGTTAACTTGGTGTAAGCCAGTTAGAATGATCCGACCCTTCGCATCCTCGCGGATCGTAATAACGTTGCGGTCACCCATTGGCGTGGATTCGGGGAGTAAGAGATCTCTCAATTGCTCGTTGTAAATCTGCGCAGGGCATCAGAAGTTGTTCTTCCCATAAGCATAACGAGTTCAAGGGAAGGTACCTCGACATAAGTAGCCTTCATTTGCCAATTCTTCTCAAAAGAATTCTTTGCGAGTGCCGAGGCGGATCCCACCGAATATCGGGTTGGCGTTCGAAGGCCGGAAAGACTGTTGCGGTTGGACCGCAAGGGCCCGTCCAACTTCTCGAAGAGAAGCTGGGATGCGCGTGGGATGACACCTGTTCGATTTTCCCATCATTGGCATGTGAAGAAGAAGGGCGGGAGAGCTGAAGGGACTTACCCATTGCTGTGGTGTCATGCTGTTCGTTTGGGCCCGATGTTCCCATGGTGTAGGATTTCCCCGCACCGGACTGGCCATAGGCCAGGATAGACACATTGTAGCCCTGAATGAACGAGTTCACACTTTCACTGAGGTATTCCCATATGCCCTGCTGATCTACCGTTTCGGAGAAGACCCGATCGAAAACAAATAGCTTGCGGCCTTGTGGAACATCAATGGCTAGGTTGGTGGGGGATGTGACGTGAACCATGGGCCGTTGAAAGCGCTGGGGAATCAACTCATAGCCGGGATCCGTGGGTTTCAAGGGGGGTCGCACACGGACCGCTGTAGGGCTCATCAGTAACCCATATGTACTGCGCGGGGAGGCGTCGACTGGGTTGAGAAAAGAGTAGAATGGGACTTGTATCACGCACCAACTTTGACGGCCGTTCTCGAATCCTCATCCGACGCTCGACTTCCACCGCCTTGTTTACTGCTAATGCTCAAGCGACTGTTGCTCCTCGGTGTCCGCAGAACGGCACTGATGGGGCGCGGAGGCATGCTCGTTGGCGAACCCGGGGGGGACATCGTCATGGCGCGCTGTGGCCGCCGCAAGCGGTCGTCGTTCACGTTACGAGAGACGGTACGAGGAACGGACGGGGGGTCAATTATTCATTAGAGAGCGGGCGAGGAGATAGTCATCAGCGGAGATATTTGGGCTTTAGCCAATTTTTTTCTTTCTTTCGTCTGGAGAATTGCGCGACAAGTTGACCTGCAACAGTCAGTAGGAAGAGAGAGAGAGAGGCTCGAAAGAACAAGATAAGGAGCGAAGGTTGAAGGTCGTCGGTCGTGAATATAACAAGGACGTGTAAAGTACAGATGCTGAAGACGTCAAACAAAAAGGAATGGAAGGGATGAGAAAACGAGGAGTCACATAAATGAGAAGAAGCAGGAGAGAAAGCAGAAGAGAGAGCAGAGGGGAGGACACTGTACCACGTCGAAGAGAGAGATGAAGCTAGACTCCTGAGACTAAAATTCCTGGACGGGGAGGGGCTTCTCGCCTGTCAGGCACGACCAGCGCCCTATAATAGCGAAACGCCAACGCGGCACGACGGAAATAGATAAGAATTGGAGCAAGGGATAGCGAGTGTCAAGCAGACACGGACACAAACATGACAGACAGGGCGTGGTGTTTCTGCTGCTAAATCCCAGAGACGTCGAAAGTCCAGGGGAAGAAAGCCGCTAAGCCCAAGCCAGGAACGCCCCCGTTTATTTTATTTATTTATTAATTTTTTTTTGGCTGCAGACGGAACTTTGACCCCTTTTCTCCCAGCCCAAACTTCCAAACTACTATGCTAACTAATAATAATAAGTTAATAACCACATGGATTGCCTCAAACCGACCGTTCCGGACTGACCCACCCTCGCTGCTTTTTGCTGGTGGACTCGCTGCAGCAGTTCCCATAACGCGCCATCGCGACCTCACTACCATACAGTGTTCATACCATACAGTGTTCACGCTGCATATGCACTATGCATGCACGCTCCTACGGTCGTACGGGGCATATCAGGGTCTCGACGGGCGTTCCTAGTGTTGCACGACCTTGCCGTCAAGCTCTGTGGGATCCATTTGCAGCCCGTGTCGGTCACGTGATATTTATACTGTACGGAGTCAGACTACGAGGTGCGATGATGGTTACTCCTTTCGAAATCCATGGACAGGAAGCTGCGTGTATTCATGGCAGAGTCGATCGATTGAATTCCCAGTGTGCGTTGGGTCAAGCTGGAAAAAAACTATCCCTCCAACCTGCCACCCAGGTCGAAGCACCACAACTCGAGTTTGATCCATCGAGATCTCGCACATCTGGATAGATAAAAGGAAGCATACGACATGCAGAATAAGTGGACTGCCTGTGCTTTCATGAAGTATACTCGTTTAGTATACTCATGCAGAGGGTATTCCAGTTACTGGCCACTGCTGCTCGCAGCAACTACGAAGACATGTACCAAGCAGCCTAGGAAGCTGCAGATCAGCCAGCAAACATCATGGAAATCACAAGGCATCACTGCATGACCTGCCTTGCCTTGATGGCTTCCCACGTTCTCCATGGCTTTAATTTAGCCATACATGCTAATGTAGTTAGCCCAGCAATCCCAGCATTGCAGTGATTCCCCGTTGATCGACAAATCGGGCTGAACAGCCTGCCTGTTTAACAGTGCTCTAAACCAACGCGCGACGACGGTCCTAAATGGAGCCTCCTTCAATATATTCTGTCTGTCTGGGCTACCTCTACAATACTGTATCGCGCTTCTACATGGTATGAGGAAATGACCTGGACGGGGAACTGTTTCCACATCAGCCTCCAGATCCTAGAAACCGTGCACAGTATCGATCCCGCTGCGTCCATATCAGCCATCAAGCTATCGACATCTTCTATACCACATAAGATATAAGGAAGTTTGTATCCGTGGCCATGTTTGCTATTCTTGGTTACTATGTACCGGCATTCCCTGGAACTCACTCGCAAGTTTGCTTGATTGCCCGGTTGCTCTCATTGCGAGACCAGGATAGCCCAAGGATTGATCTTGGCCGTATTATTAATCCGTGCTAGCTAACTAGTCGACTATTCTTCTACTTGAAATAATCCATCGTGTTTGCGGTCTTCTAATGAGCAACTTTCATGATGGCAAGATTCCATTATCACTCCCTGCGATCTATATTCTCGGATCACTTACATGTAACCACGGAATATAAGGTTTCGCATGATGTGGAGAGCCCCTGAATGTCTACTCATAAAGTTTGGCCCACCCCTCCGTGCGATCACAATCAGGCACTGAAAAGTCCACTCAGGACACGTTGAGGCCATTAATAATAGGCAGTATGCTGCATTGCTGTACCGTTGTTTCGAGTAAGAGTCTTAATTGCGCTCAGACTCCGTATGCCGACGGACGTCACATCGGAGCACAGGCTGCACAGGTGACAGCAGGGAGCACACCGAAGAGGCCAGAATGCGAGGCACGGCGTCCAAGACATCATCATCATCGTCGTCATTCTGCATATTCATATTTGCAGTCCACTGGGTGAAGAACAGAAAGTCAGAATAGCTCGACCTGCTCGTGGCTGACTGCTCACATCTCCCTGATCCAGACAGGCCAGTGAGCCGTGACGGTGACATCCACCTACAGTGGCGATTTATCCCAGACCAGCATGCTCCGTGCGCGCAGCAGTTCTAACTTCTCAGATGCTGCAAATAGCTGGATGGAAGCAGCCACGGGGAAGTCCGGATAAGGCATTCCTGGGCGTTTCATTCGCGTTGCCGAGGCCGGGTCACACCGCTTGTACGGTTAATATCTGGACTGCAATTTTGTGATTATTTTTCATATGATATGTGACTCGTCCCGTTCGGAGAGAGTGGTCGCTTCGGAGCATTTTATCTCGAGTATTCAATTCCCGGTGTGCTGCTCTCTACGAACACACCACGGTTCGAAAGCTAGAGTCACTGGCAAGAAGACCCAGAGAGTAATCTTGGAGACAGATTCTAGCAAAACTAGAATCTACTCTGGCAAGCCTCGCACTTCAAACATTAATCAACTGGTCGAACTGGGGCAAATGCAGTCTGTACTCGAATAGCCACACCGTCAAAATTACATCACAGCGATGTATATAAATATAAAAATACCCATGCTCAATTAACCCTACATTCATGAACGAAGACAACAAAATCTAACAAGAAAAGCGTTCTTATTAATTCTCTATATATCCTTGTGTATAGAATCCTCCGTGGGAAACCGCTAACAATGGCCACAACCATCACGACCACTACAACTACCATAACCACCACAACCGACACGCTCCAGAAACACCAAATCATCGGCGACATCCTCGCTCCAGGGACCAAAATCCCATATAACCTCCAGATAAAATGGCCTTCTGCGACCCTCTGCAAACCCGGACAGGCGATCCACAGGGACGCCACGCAGCCGTGTCCGGAGGTGTGGGTTGATCCTCCTGTTCGTTTCCTCTTCGGGCACATTGGGGACGATGCTGATGGTGCATCTTTAGCCAGAGAATCCCGGGAAGGCAGGCACATTCGTCTTGTTAATGGTGGACCCGGTGCGTACGCATCAGAAACATCTGACCCATCCGATCTATTGCACCCCTAGTGGAAACTCACGGAATAACCCTGCAGGACCTCACCCGCCGCCACGATACGACCTTCGGCCAGGTACGACACTGGCTAGCCGTGCGAGCCTCTGTGGACAGTTTCGGGAGAGTCAAGGACCTGGACGACACGATCTCACCGTATGTTGGTCCGGCGCCTCTGCCGGTTCCTCATTTACCTGGGTGAGCATCCATGTCCCCCGAAAATATAATACAAGTTCCAGCGTACAAGCGAGCCGCTGAACATGTGGGAACATTGTATGTAGAAGCCCGCATCCAAGCCGCTACACCTTCATCCTATGCCGCCACAAGGACTCCGCGCCAAATCCCGCGCTGCATATCGACCCGGATAGCCTCCGGGATGAGTTTGAGGGCCAGCCCGGGGAGCTAGGCAAAGCGAGTCAGGACATGATTGACCGGATGAGGTTCAATACGCAGAGGTTCATTGAGAGGAACGGGCTGGAGGTTGTTGGGGCGACGTTTATGTTTGTCGAAGGGAATCTGAAGAGTGGAGTTGCGAATCTCGGGTTGGCGGCGCAGGGGATCGGGGATAAGATTGTCGGGAAGTGATTCAGATATCTATTTCGTATGCTGTACGTGTAGGTTGAACCAGGTCAGTTGTGCCGGTGGTATTATCTGCTGCTGTCCACCCACCTCAACAGAATGACACAACGAGATATTACATAGGACGGAGGTAGTACGTAGTAGACATCACGCATCCCGCAACGAGCCAGCCATCGATACAGCCGACACAGATGGCCCGTCTATGGCACAGAAAGGAATCATTGCCATGGAACCCATTGATACTCCCGCGGTAAGAAGACGATCAGGGTGCCGCGCCGCCCGCTTAGGGCTAGGAGAACCAGGATCGGGGCTTCGACGTCGACGCAGTAGGAGCATGGGGAGGCGTAAGAGGCTCCGTACGAGGCGTTATCCAGGCATCCCTCGCATTCCAAAAGCAAGCGATATCCCTCCGTGCATGGTAACCATTCCGACTCCGGCTTCGAAGCGCACTGCCCGCGCAGAGAAACTAAAAGAACAGCGTAGGCCAAACGCGAATCCCTAGTGCGGGTGCATTCTATTGAGCATGGAGATGGATGCTGCGGGATAGAAGAAGGAAGAAACGAGAGACATCAGCACTTTGAGAGTCCCGTGTACGCTGCATGCAGGATATGGATATCTATAGAACATGAAGGAAACCGGATCCCTCCGAATGAGCGTTATTAGCTATATACTTCTATATACTGTGTCACTCCGTGCTTCCCACCGAACTTCAGCCGCTCGTACTCGACCTGTGCAGGCTGCAAGGTGAGAAGCATTTACCGACACGGACGAGGCCCGGCTACTGATGGAATCCATTGAACACCTGCATCCACGCCTCACCCGTTGTACGGCTCCAGGGGGCATGTGTATGCATGCCCGTATGTCTCTGGTGGGTCTGTCTTGTTCTTCTTTCGCCGACGGCGTCTGAATGCTCTCTGTTAGCCGGTGGAACTCGAGCTATATAGCCGGAGCATTCCCCCCTCAGGGAGGAAAGGAGGAGGATTATGAGCAGGCAGTGATCATCATTCTAGCTTCTTCCATAGCCATCGCTCTATGCACTCACCTTTCGTCCTTGCAACAGGAGATCGTTGTCCCAAGCGCTCACCAGCCCGATTGACAACGATGTCCACGGAAAAGCTTCAAGTAGCCGTCGTCGGCCTAGGGCGGATGGGTGCGCATCACTCCCGGCTTCGACCACGGTAACATGAGTGACATGAGTAACAGAATGCTGGCTATAGGTATGCGACACGCACGGCACTTCGCAACCCTCACCCCCAGAGCGCATCTGGTGGCCGTCTGCTCGCCCGTGCAGGCCGAGCTGGACGCCGCGAAGAACGAGTTCGGCGGCCATCTCCGCACCTATCTCGACTATGACCGGATGCTGCAGCATGAGCCGACGCTGCAGGCTGTTGTTGTTGCCAGCGTGGCCAGCGCACACGCCGAGCAGGCCGTCAAGGCCATCGAGAGGGGGCTGCATGTTCTCTGTGAGAAGCCGTTGAGTACGAGCTTGGAGGAGGTGAGTATTCTTGTGCTCTGCAGGTGCCGGTCGAGTCTAACGGTCATCCAGGCCGAATGCGTCCTGGCAGCATACAAAAAATCCCTCCTGACGCGCCCCGGGCAGAAAGTCATGTGTGGCTTCTCGCGGCGCTTCGACGCTTCATACCGTGATGCTCATGCGAGAGTAGCCAGAGGCGATATTGGAGTCCCCTCGGTCTTCCGCTCGCAGACATGCGACAAGCTCGATCTGTCTACATTCACGCCTGCTTACTCCGGCATCTTCACGGAGAGCTCGGTGCACGATATCGACCTCACCCTGTGGTTCCTGGGGGAAGACAGCCGCGTCAAGAGCGTCTTCGCAGCCGGCATTACGGCCATCGAGCCGGCACTGCGAGAGCGCAACGATCGGGATAATGGGATAGGCATTGTGGAATTCTACGTGAGTATTCCGCTTCCACCCTTCCATGAAATAAAGACCACCCAGTCTGAGCATCGCAGAACGGCAAAATCGCCCAGCTTCTCGTCTCCCGCATGATGGCCGCCGGACAAGAAGACACCACCGAAATCATCGGTACGCAGGGCAAGATCGCCGTCAACGCAGCGCCGCAGCTGAACCTGGTGCACATCCACGATGCCACGGGGATCCGGCGCGAGGTGCCGGCGGACTACTTTGGACGGTTCCGGGAGGCGTTTATCACCGAGGCGAATGAGTTCACGGCGAGTTGCTTGAACGATACGCCGGCGCCGATTAGGTTGGATAGCACGGTGAATGCGATGAAGATTGCGTGTGCGTTGCAGGAGAGTATGGTGACGGGGCAGAAGGTCGAGTTCGATGAGAGCGGACAGAGGGTTTCTTTGGCCAAGTTGTAGATGCTGCCAGCAACGACGGGTTTCATAGACTGTCATTCCCCGCTGGTATAGCCGGCGGGAAACGAATAGACTTCCCCGTGGGGTATCAAGGTCAGGAAGATCAGGGATCATCGTGCATGATGGTGGAGTAGAGACTGGCTAGACCGACAACACCATGTCTTGAGCATCTGCAGCGAAGATGCAAATGACAGCAGACCATCAACTATCTATGCTACCTACAGTTCATACCTGAACCTGCTCTTCCCTCGTCTCAGCCCAGACCTCCTTCTCAACCTTCGCCCTCAGCTCCTCCTCATCCGCCTGCAAATCATCCCCGAAGACAGCGGCAATCTGCTCCAACGACCGGTTCGACGTCTCCGGCACAAAGAAGAACGAAAACACCCCCGCCGCGACACAGAACAGCCCGAAGAACAAAAACGTGCCCCAGCGCATAGACTTGATCATCTGCGGGACGGCGACCCCGATGATGAAATTCGCCAGCCAGTTCATGGCCGTCGCCATGCCGACGCCCTTGGCGCGCCGCGAGCTGGGGAAGACTTCGGCGGGGAGAGTCCAGCCTAGCGGGCCGTAGGAGGATGCGTAGAAGAAGACGTAGGTATCTCCACTCTTATATTAGACGCTTGTGTCATTGTGGTTGAGAGAGAGAGGGCCATACAGATTAATGCCACGCTGAACCACCCCACGCCTCTATGGCTGCCCCAGTTTGAGCTGTATTCGCCCGTAAGACCAGCCATGATCAGATGCGGAACAGCCATGGCGAATGCCCCGATCACAGCGAGATTGCGTCTCCCGAGGCGGTCCAGGTAGAGGCAGATGGGAATGTTGCCGACTAGCTGGCAAATGTTGACCACGCCGGAGAGAATCAGCGACATGCTGTAGCTTTGGCCCAGGTCGGCGAAGAAGGTGGGTGCATAGTAGACAAATGCGTTGATACCGGAGAACTGGCCATAGAACAGTCAGTACTATCCCTCTTTCTCCATCGAACAGCGCCGGGCGATGATGCTCTATCCTTACCTGCTGAAAAAATGGAATGGCAAGCGCCACAATCGTCCGTCGAAGAGACCGAGGGCGAAAGAGATCGATCCACTGCTTCACTTCCATCATGACCGGGCCTGTGTCCGGGGATTGTCTGCGCAGCAGTTGCTTCTGAAACCGAATCTCAGACAGGATCCCAGTCCACTCTAACCGCACCCTCTCGTCAGACGGGGGTAGTCGTCGCAGCTTCGACAGTGCCCGCAAACTATCTCCAGACCGATCGCGAAGGGCCAGCCACCGAGGCGAGAAGGGGAAGAAGTGGATGCCACAGCCGACGCAGAGGGCGGGAATCATCTGGATGAGGAACGGCAGTCTGAATGCCCATTCACCGTGCAGGTACCTATAGTCCCCATAATAGAGCATCAGCACTGGATGTTTCCCAACGGGGCAGAAGATTGACTACCTTGTCCCGTAGGTGATCCAATATGATGAAATAGCGCCTATGACGATGGTGATAGACTCGAGGACCATCAGCGATCCTCGCAGGTTAGGGGGAGCGATTTCAGAGATATACAACGGTGAACCCATGGCTAGCGTGCCTACGCCAATACCGCCGATGAACCGACCAGCTACAAGGGAATCGTAATTCTGCGCTGCGGTCTGGATGGTCGCACCGACGCAGAAGAATCCAGTAGCGGCAGTGAGGGCCCATTTTCGCGAGATCCTGTCCGCAAGGGACGGGAAGAAGAGACACCCGATGAACGCCCCTAGTTCTAACATCCCGGTCATGAAACCCGTATGGAAGCCAGAGCCTGGGGCGTTCGGGTCGACCTCGTGGAACCGCTTGATGAACTGGGGCATAACCAGGATCAAAGAGATGACTCCTTGATCTAATCGTACGTCAATATCAAATAACCACATCTATCGTAAAGAACCATGGGATCCTACCATAGCCAAAAGAGAACCCTCCAAACGAAGCCAGGAGGGCCGCACCAAGGACAAAAGGGGATCTGACAATCCCCCTGACGCCATTGTGATCATAGGCGATATTCTCTGCTGCTGCCGGCGCGACTTCATCGTGAGAATGGGCGCAGGGCTGCTTGGAAGACGATGAAACCGAGGAGTGTGTCAAATCAGCCATTGGGGGAGACCGCGAGGACGTGGAGAACTGACAATCTCCAACTCACAAGGGGGATTCGATTGTTCTAGATGAACGTGTTAGGTATCTGACGGGGAAGAAATAAAGGCCTGGGAACTGCACATGTGTGACCATATACGACGGGGTATCCTGGTTCTCGGATCCGCGCTGCTGGCGAGGTCTTACTCACGAAAGAAGGACTCCAAGACGAGGGGAAGACTGAATTTATGCTCCATGAGAAATGGGATTCTTGGCCGTTAATTAACTGATCACCCTGTATGGACAGCCATGAATTCCGTTGGCGAGGCGGGCCAAAAGGACGGTATGACCTACAGCGAGTGGGGGCAAGCCTGATATGTAGGATGATTCTGATTCTGATTCTATGGCGATACTGCAATCAGGATTAAATTCCAGGGATAGTGCTGTAAACTGGTAGCTCAAGGGAGACGAGAAAGAAGCCATATCATATATAGCACCCATTTCCCATTCGGGGAACACATCCGCTGGCCTTTGCACGCCTCCCCAAGGGCCGCAGCACAAGCACGATGCTTGACTTTGAAGCAGGCGACAGAGGGCATTCATCGGCCGCAACCCTAGTTCTCTTCTCTTCTCTAGCCGTCTCTTCTCTATCACGTAGGCGGATGCAAGCCTGCATATTGAATCACTCCGACTGGCCCGTCCGGTGTAGTTATCCATCCCTGGAGGCGCCAGGTATCTCTAGCAGATTCCGTCGATGGATAGAACGCACCGTATCGACTCTGCTAAGCCTGTCTGAGCCTCGGAATGCGCCGTCTATCTCGCATGATCCCCTTAACAGAGCTTGGCCAGCCACGGCACAGCGGGAGTGCCACTGAGTGGTATCGGATGAGTGAGTGTCACTCGGCCCAACAGCCTTTTCTATTGACGATTGACGTATGGTATAGTATCAATGTAACTGAATGGCAGTTTAGCACCTCAAGGGCCGAAGGGTCGCCCTTGCTGGCACATGACTGCCCCGGAGGAAATAACGAGGTCGTCGTAAGCCCTGTATCATCGCCACATAAATTAATAATTAACCAGATAGTCATAGTCCAGAAACCCGTTGGACAGACATAACTATACCGGTTCTCACTAGCAACTAGACGCTAGGCTGGCCTACCCCCACACCCCGCTAGTCTTCCCCGCATGATCTGGGGTGCGGGGAGCCATCGGCTATTGCTATTCAAACAGCAAGGACGTGGCCATATCCCGACGGTTGAAGGACTAGAAGCGCTTAATGGGACACACGCGACAGTCGTAAAGCCGTTTATTCGACCAAAGCTACCTGATTTGGCCAATAATATATAGACACTAGCATGCATATCAACGATAGCATGTAAGTCACTTTATATATATGTATATATATGTAAACCATCCCTTTACGAGCACAGCATCCATACCAATCTCTATAGGTTTACCCCCTTGAACTCTCCTCCAGATCACTCTCACCATAGTTTTCCCGATACAGGAAGAACTGCGCGAAGATTATCATATCCAACAACAAAGTCCCGAGACTCCCTACCAGCCATGAAAGATTGACCAGCACATACCACCCATACAGCTCAGCTGCCTCGCCGGGTCGGCAATGGGCTTTTCCCTTCTCACACACAGGAGAATAAGCCAGGATAGACAACACGTAGGTCAGGTTTCCGATGCACGCGAAAAGAAAGAAGAGTAGCGAGACGCCATCGGTGGACTTTCGCTGGAAATTCAGCAGGATCTGGGGAAGTCGAGAGCCAAGGTACAAGACTGCGCAGAGGTAGCCGAAGACCTGGCCTAGGAGGTCCATCTTAGGCGGCGTATTCACGCCTTTACCGGGTTCTGGTTCGTGAATCGGATGGCGCTTCGTGCGCGAGCTGATGTACCAGCCCACGACACCGGCGGTGCAGACGAGGAATATGGCAGTTGTTTTGAAGAAGACAGCCTGTAGGGTGGACACGCGCGGGGGAGGCCGGGCTGGTTTGACTGATGGCTCAATGAAAGGTGTTGCAGGAGATAGATGGGTTCCGTCGACGGACGGGTGCAAGAAAGAAGCCGCGGAATGTCTTCTGTGATCAGACGGATGTTGAGGAGATGAAGGGTGTACGGATGAAGAGGCAGCATGGTCGACAGCATCGCTTGGCTGTTGAGAATGGTATCCGTTGTGTTCAGCCGCAGCCAGTAAAGCCGTTCGTTCTGTTGCTGTTGCCTTCCTTGAATCATGAACATCGAATGCCCCATTTCCCCGTTCCGGGACGTCATCTTTTAGCTTAAGGCCCCTGTAATAGAAGCATTGAACCAGCAGCACGATATCGGCCAGGGTATAGTATACGGCTAGGATCGTCATCGTCGGCAGGACGCCCTGCATGACAGCACCGAGAACGTTGAATACATCTCCAGCCAGCCAGATGATAAGAAAGAGCAGCGATAGTCCTTCTGCCGAGCCACGGCGGAAATTCTCAATGATTTGCGGGGAGAAGACGACGACCCAACATGCAATAGAAATCGAGCTAATAGCACCACACTGTCAGTACAGACCCCATTGTTTGACTTGCTTAATTCGAAAGAGAGAAAACCCACCCACATATACCGCTCAAGGCTTCTATATCTATATTGTTAGTCTGAGAAGGGAACATAGTGTTGCCCTCAAGAATGTCAATTGTGGGACAGGGAGGTTCCGCGAACGACCCTGGTAAAGATCGTGTTGTATGAGTCACTGGTGGGAATATCGGAAACGCAATGAATAACCCAATCAAATTAGGCTCGAGGAATAAACGATAGAATGAATGCTCAATGTATAGCAGAAAAAACAGAAAGACGGGCAGGAAGAGTGTTCGTAGACAGACAAGTGGAGAGTCAAGCAGCATCAATTGAGTTGAAAAAAATTAAGAAAAATGACGTGCATCTGTCACGTGGTGATATCCGGGGTTGATACGGGGTACACTAGCCGCTTTTTGGAAAGAGCAGCCGATACAGATTTAGAGAAGCAGATATATTTCAACAAGGGGAATCCTGCTGAATATTTGCAAAGAAAAGTAGGAGACACCCTCCTAATGAACAATGTATTAATAGATCATACTGTCATTGCATGAGCAATCATGCTCTAGACTCCCGAGGAGCCATGCTTCCCTTTTTCCTCTTTGGTTTACAGACGAGCCTCTACTTCGCTCCAATCTGGCTGGCGAGCCATGTCTCATGGAGCTTCTTCTGTCTCTCCCAGTCCTTACGGAGCTTCTTGGCCCGGCTCTTGGTGATTTCCTCACCAGCAGCGTCCCGCGTGGGAATGCCCTCCTCGTCCCACGCGCTGAATTCGTTGGTCCGGAACATCTCTAAATGGCTTAGCTTTCCTTTTTCGAGCCTCTTCAAAGCTTCCTGTTCCTTTTTCTCCCTCTCAAGCTGCTTCTGGCGTGCTCTAGCAGCCTTCTCTTCACGCGCCTGAGCTAATTCTTTAGTGACGGGGCGTACGAGGGCTGGTTGGTTGTCTCGGTCTTCCAGATAAATGCCGAGATCGAAGAGGTCGATATCACGGACCCGATCGCAAAGTGTCAGAATATCTTTATTAATATGGTCTGACTGTTCAACGGAGGTGACTTTCGTTCGGAAATCCGATAGCACAGCTGCATAGGGTTTTGCTGCCTCAGGAACGTCCTCCGGCGCGGACACGCGGTCGACGATTTCCGCAATTTTCTCAGCCGAAATTCCCTCCTTTGCCCTAGCCGCCTGACGGAGAGAGTCGCGTATGGTAGCAAGTGGATACAGATAGGGTTTCGCCTCCTCCGGGATGTCAACTCCTGACCACCCAATTTCCGTGGCATCGGCAGGAGCATCACCATTGAGACCAAAGATATTGACCATTGATGTCACCCACTTAGCAACAGCCTCAACATCTTTCGGGTTGACATTCGTTTTGTCAGCGCTGTTATATTCAGTAATGAGATCAGAAATCGCTTGCATCGCTCCCCATGTGTTAAAAGAGTCGCAAAGATGTGCATGGACCGCGGCTTTCGCGGTTTCCAAAGCAGTAGCAAGGGATACATCTGTGCCAGATCCTTGCAGTGCTGATGGGTCCTTCATCTTGACAAAGAAGTTGTTTACTTTATCTTCCCAGTAGCTTCCTGTGTTAATAAGGTCCTCCGTAATCTCAATGCCGTCCTTCCAGCTGCCCAGCAGGAAAACAATGCGCAAGCTTCTTGGTGTCCAGGCCTTCCTGTCAAGCGCTTCACGAATAGTTGTGAAGTTCTTCAGTGACTTGGACATTTTGGATCCCTGAATGGACAGATGTCCCATGTGTAGAAAATAGTTGACCCACTGATCATGGGAATGGTTGTGCGCCCAGTACGCCTCGCTCTGCGCAAGCTCGTTGTCATGGTGCGGGAACGCGAGGTCAATACCGCCGGAATGAATGTCTATTTGCTTTCCCAGCCTCGCAGAAGCCATTGCGGAACATTCGATATGCCACCCAGGCCGACCTTTACCCCAGGAACTTGACCAGCTAGGCTCTCCTGGCTTAGAGGCCTTCCAGAGTGCAAAGTCAGATGGTGATCGTTTTTCTGTTGTCTTGCTGGTCAATGCGCCTTCGCCTTCTGCTAGCAGGTTCCCGTCAGACCGACTCCATGGCTCCAACCTTGCGTAAGGAAAGCCAGCGGCTTCGAAAGCCTGGATGTCAAAGTAGACGGATCCGTCCGCCGTGACGTAGGCGAAGTTGTTCTGAACAATCCTCTCCACGAACTCAGCAATCTCTGTACCAAATTCGGTGACTCTGGTTATTTCATCGGGATCAAGAACATTAAGATCCCGCATATCCTTCAAGAATCTCTCCTCGTATCGCTTAGTCAACGTGGTAAATATCGCGTGATTATCCGCATCGATAGCCGAGCCTTTCAGTGAGTCCAAGTATGGGAGGAGAACGTCCTGCGCGCTAGAATAAAACGATTCGGCAAAGACTGGGGCTTCTGTAGCTTTTTCCGAGCTCTCTGCTTCTGCGATCACTTTCGCGGCTGAGGCCACGGTCTTAATGTGCATTTTAACTTTAGCCTCATCATCACCTGCTTTCTCATTGCCCGGAAGGGGACCCCCGTTGAGAACAACAGAGTAGACCTTTTCTACTTCATCCTGGTATTTGGAAGGAGGTAGCTCTGGATCTAAAAGCTTCAGGTTCTTCTTTATGTAAGCAGTATATGCGTTTTTAGTTTCACGCAAAGCTTCCACATCAACAGTAGGATGAGCGGAAATGAATTCACGGAACAAATGTTGTTGTCTTGCGCGTAGGATAATCTACATACAACAGCAGACACTTTAGCTTCTATAATGTTACGGAACAGAATACTCATAGTCACAAGATCAAGTACCTTGTCATCGACATCGGTAATGTTCATCACAAATTTGACATCAAATTTAAAGTAATCGCGCATAATACGGCGAATGATATCCGTGCTGACATAGTTCCTGGCATGCCCCAAATGCGCATCATCATACACCGTGGGCCCGCACGCATACCAAGTGACCTTCTTGCCCTCGGGATCGATCGGGATGAACAGCGACTTTGACCGCGTCAAGGAATTATAGACCTTGAGGGGGGGTATGCGGGAACTAGCTTCGGGACTCAACGTCGGTTGCCGCCATGGCGGCTGTTGGCGCGCGGTGGTCATGGGCTTGGAGAAGACAAACACGGGGGTAATCAATGGCGACCGGTGTCTGGACAGTGGACGAAGGGGAAAGAATGGCAGACGGGGGAGAGAAAGGGGCATAAAGAAAGGGACGAACGCGGGGTGAAGGGAACAAAAAGACGACGAGGGGCAAAGGGCCAAAGAAGATGTGACTCAAAAAGGGATGCAAAGCTGCAGCCAGCGGACCAGCCCTAAGCCCTAAGCCCTAATATAATAATTTCCGTTCTGGGAACAGTACGTCAAGTTTTGTCTCTGCTGGAGCCGCAAGACAATTAATTCCTCTTCTCCCGTCGACGTTGTCTCGAAAATCCCCGAGAAAATAACATATCTGTTCACTGCCCGCTGCACGAGGCATTTGCGCACGGATCCTATCGGACAATGCAGTCTCCGTTCCTAACACCAAGTTTGCAGTCGCGACCTGACAGTCTCGCTCTCCTCCAACTGCGCCGAGACGATATCATCCCAACGATCCTACGAACCCACGACGACGAGCAGCTAGGATACGATGAAGGGAAAGTGACGAACACACGATACGGCTCGTTTCCGCACAGCACGCTTTTGAATCAGCCGTGGGGCTCGCAACTTGCCGCATCGAAGGTCGACACGGGATCCCGAGGTCGCAGACCAGCGAAGGGCCAAAAGCGTAAAGCTGACGAGCTGGAGGAAGGACAGCTATCTCCTAAGGCACCAGTCCAGGCTTCCAGCGGTTTTCTTCACCTTATTTGCCCTACGCCCGAATCGTGGACCGCATCCCTCCCACACCGGACGCAGGTCGTGTATGCGCCCGACTACAGTTATATACTAGAGAGATTGCGTGTACGGCCTGGAAGTACCATCATTGAAGCCGGATCAGGAAGTGGTTCGTTCACGCATGCCGCTGCTCGAGCAGTATTCAATGGCTATCCTGCATACGAACCGGCTACCAAACGACGGAGACTAGGAAAGGTGTGCAGCTTCGAATTTCACCAGCAACGCGCGGGAAAGGTTACAGAAGAAATCAAACAGCATGGACTTGATGGTATTGTGCAGGTGACCCACCGCGATGTATACAATGATGGCTTTCTCTTGGGCGACCCAACAACGGGGGCTTCACCCAAAGCGAATGCGGTCTTCCTTGACCTTCCTGCACCCTGGCTAGCTCTGAAACACCTTGTACGCAAGCCGTCTTCTGGATCCGAGTCACCTCTTGACCCCTTATCTCCCATACACATCTGTACATTCTCCCCATGTCTCGAGCAAGTGCAACGAACCATAAGCGCCATGCGCCAACTAGGCTGGCTCATGATATCAATGGTTGAAGTGCAACACCGTCGCATTGAAGTGAAACGGGAGATAACAGGTCTGGACGCCGAAGGTATACGTGGGGCGGTCATATTTCCCAAATCTGTCGATGAAGCAATCACCAAAGCCCGTGTTGTAGAAGAACGCGCGAGAGCTTTTCATGACCGATTCCGAGACGAGAATTACAAGAAGTCCGCGCCGATAGCTAAAGAACAAGAGGAGCAAGAAGATAAGGAGAAGGGAACGACGGATAAAAACCCCCAGCAAGACAATGATACAGAGACCCCTGCCGATGCTGCTCTCGCGAAATCAAGGCCTTCTCCGCAAAACCCCAACCCCAAGCCCAACCGAAAGAATACAACCCCGCCCCACAAACTTGGTCGCCTAGTCCACCGTTCCGAGTTGGACCTAAAGACACACACATCATATCTTGTTTTCGCGGTCCTACCCCGCGACTGGTCTGAGGAGGATGAGCTGAAGTGTCAACAGGCCTGGCCATCAAATTCCACGGAAACTGCTTCCCAGAATGCGAAGCCGAAGAGCAAGACACAAATGAAACGTGAGGCGAAGGCGCAACGGGACAAGAACAAGCAACCGGAGAAGGAAGAAAAGAGCGCTCCCGAACAAACCGGGATTGATGAGGCATGAATACGAAAGGAATCATTATCCCTAGTTTTAGACTCAGGAAACAAGTGAAGTTCCTTTTGTCGTTGTTGTCGTTATTGTTTACCAGATAGAATCGAAGCATATACCCCGAGTGGTGTTGTTGGTGTGCATTGAACGGTCTTCTGAGATCTGGCGGGTTGAGCTTTTTTTTTGCCAGTACAGCATTATGTTTACTTCAAGTTCTCTATTGAAATTAAGAAGATATCTAGATGCTATCCCAACAATGGGAAACGCGATAGACAAGTATCCCAACAACTTCACAATGAAAGCTTGTGAAAACATACCTACAATCTAGCATGATGCAGACACTGTATACATTATATAATAGCACGCTACCTGGACACCAGTCATATCGAATCAAAGAGGAACGAAGGGGCCCTTAGTCAATAGAGGTGGTTAAGACTAACAGCAGCTTCGTAGAGGTGGCATGAAGATGTAAGAAGAATAATAGAAACAAATATGAAGGGGATCATCTTGTGAGAGAACATGATCTAGGGAATCGCCATATTCCGAAGAATACGAAATGAGGCTAGAGATTGTTTTCTTGCCTGAACTTATCCCAAGCCTCGTTCAGAATACCGAACACAGCGCCCGAAATCATCCGTTGCTCTGTAGTTGCGTTCGTAGGTATCTAGAGCAAAGCATTAGCCACAGAGGTACCTAGGTACTAAGTTGGAACGTTAATGCTACAACATACCTTGTCCGGATGCACCTTCGAAATCCCCTTCATATACTGTATCTTCACTTTATGGGGCATAATTAACTCCGACATGTTAACCTTCTTCCACCCCGACTCGGGCCATAGAACGGTGTCTAGACTACCCAGGAGCGCACGTAGGTTGTCTTGTTTCCCGTTCTTCCATGCTGCCACTCGTGCATCCACACTTTCGGAGAGGACGAACTTTTCTTCATCAGCACGGTCAGCAGCTTTATTAGCCTCCCGCAGACGACTAACGGCTTCCGAATTCGCGGTCGGTGCAGCCGATGCGGTTGGTGGTTTCTTGGGTGCTGGCTTCTTCACCGGAGCTGAAGGCTTTGTTGCAGGCTTGCTAATACCGGCAGCTCGCTCACATCTGTTGCGGCCTTGGATACTGGTGCTTCCTCCGAATCCTGCTTCTACAGCTTGTCTCCAAGCCTTCGCTGCATCTGCCCATCGTTCTAGTTGCTCCAAGGCTTCCGCTTTGCGCATCAAGGCTTTGCCAAAGAAGTCCTTCATGGGTTTAGCAGGCTCTCCGTTTCGGAGATCAATTGTCTCTGCCTCACCCTTTGCAGGACCTATTATTTCCAACATCGTGTCCGCATCACTCACAGCAGTCTTAGCTTCACCTATTTTCAGGGATGTCAAAGCACGATTGCTACAGATGATGATGGTGATAGGATGCTTGTTGGGTAATGCCGAGAGTGCAGCTGTGAAAGACTCATGAGCGGCAGCATAATCACCCCTTTTGTAGGCCTCTGATCCTTTCTCCCGATGTCTATGTACGGATGCAAGAACTGCTTGGGATAGTTCGGAGATGTTCCGAGGAGGCGCTTTTGGTCGTTGGGGTAATTTCTGAGGGGGCTTCGATGATGCTGGCGGTGGTTGCGCTCGTAGGTTTGGAGGTCTAGGTTGAGTAGCAGGTGTGGATGTCTGCAACAAGTCTGCATCCGGTTTAGATGCCGCGGGTTGAGGCGTAGGTCTTCTCCTTCTGGCCGGGCTGACGTATGCCTGTGCGGATTGCTCCTCGACTGCAGTTTTGGTTAAGCGAGATTTGGGATCCTTCGGCGGGAAAATATTTTGCTGAGGCATCGACTGAGGTTGTGGTATCCGCCTCTCAGTGATGGGAGAAGGCTGGTTCCGGAAAGGACTGCTGCCAACTCTAGAACGAGCCCCATCCATATGTCGCGTTGAAGCTCGGGAAGGTCCTGGTGGTTGTGATTCAAGGAGGAGGGCTTCATCCGTCAAGGTTCCAGGTTTGCCCTGTGTAGGAGGAGCCTGCTGACGTTCCCTCGAGGATAGCTCTGGCCTTGGACTGGCTTCTCTCATCCACCGCGGTTGGTTGGAATCATAGTCGGCATTCAACTCGCTGACCACTTGGTGGACTTTCTTGCTTCCGCTTTTCCACAGCGCATTCGCTGTTTTCAACAAGTTGTTGCCGAAGGCGGCGGCAAACTGGGCAGGATCCTTGTCTGCAGGCGAGGGTACTCGACCATCGTCATGGCCTCTGGATGCATACGATCTTTGCTCCTTCATCCACGGTGGGACCTCACGATGCCGCCTCTCTTCCTGCACCATACGGTCAGAGTGGTTGTTGTTGGCACCCGTTTTTTCTCTAGTCTTTTGTCGAGATTCGGCATGAGCTTGCGTAAGAAGCCAGCTAACGGCGGCCTGAACATTGGTTCCCGTATCAGTTGTTCGTAGAGCCTGTTTGACTTTGTCTGCAGGGAATCCCATATCCACTAGCTCTGCGATTGCCCGATCCACGCTTTCCGAAGGCTTTGGTGGGGATGGACTGCGACGTTCATCACCGAATGGCTCAGGAGTATTACCCTTCGGTTCTGGCCGAGGTATCTCTGAGACTGGTTTTCCAAGCAGACCAAGGAAATCATCGTCGTCATTCTGAGAGGGCTGAGGTGCCGGGATTGACTTCTGCTTCAACTGAGAGAGACCAAAAGGGTCATCGTCATCGAGAAATACCATCCCATCATCTTGGCTGAATGGACTTGCTCCGTTGGAAGGTTTCGGTAAAGCAGTCGATTCGGGCCGCGGCGAAGGACTAGGGCTAGGGGCAGGGAAGTGCGTTGAGGCATCGACGGGTGCGGAGGCATTGAAGGCGGCAAGGATATCATCGTCATCGGACTGGATTGCTGTATTTGTAGACGGAGAGGTAACGCCAGTTGATCTGCTTCCACCGTGCTCTAAAGCCTCCCAGAAGTGGGAATTCTGCCCCCCATACTGCGCTTCAAGTTGGCTCTTTCTCTCCGCTTCCTTGTTGGCCCTTTCTGCTTGCAGCCTCCTCTGTCGCTCCTGGAGAGAAAGGTTCTTGTCGGCAGTTGACGAGCCAAACGAGACGAGGTTTGCGAAACTATCACCCGCTGGTGTTGCAGGTTTCGACGGCGAGATCGACGGGCCTGAGGAGATGGACGCCGGGGTGGATCTACCTGAAGTGCCACCTAAACGTGAAGTCGGAAACAGCATGCCAGAGCTCATGGGAGGTTTCTTCGCATCATTTTGGTTGGAAGACCAGCTGAGCCCGCTCAGGTCATCCATGGTGATAGTAGACCCCAAGGGTCGCAAACAGAACACCTGGAGGTTTTTGGGTCAGGATTAGGATTAGGATCGCGGAGGCTTCTCATGCCCATGACCATGATCTCACCACAAGCTGCAATGAAGGCCTGGTATGTCGAGATTGAGAACAGATCAATGCATATGCAGGGAATACGTTGAGACGGGTTACCAGAACTTGCAAAAGCAGATGAGGGCGTGTTCCTATATCTACAAGAAAGAGAAAAGGACGCGTGTTTGACTTGCTGCGGGAGTAATACAGAGAGTAATGTAGTATGCCTTCATGCGCCTCGCGTGGCTGAGTCAGCGCCACATCGATCATGTGATGGAAGCACGTGTTGTTGGTGTCATGGTTCAGCTCCTTCTTAGTTAGGCATAGTGCTGCTCAATCAGCAAGACGTAGCGGACCTGCGTTCCCCATCAGCACGTAGGTTTTACGCGATTAGGGCTTAGGGTATGGGCTTAAGCGCTGAAAGTGGCAGGATACCCGGTTGAGCTGAAAAGCCGCATGGTATTCATGTTGAGCGCAGTGAGCTCCTAATTGACAGGAGAAGATATTATAGTGGATGGAAGAGTACTTGCTTCTTAGAAGATGCAGTAATTTTTGGCTTGAACTGTGCTCGAGAGCCATGTTCCACTGTTTGAATATAGATTGTGATATTCTCTCGGAAGATTTTCAAGATAGCTACTCAATATCACGTTAAAAGACAGTGGAAGTCTTGATAGGAGTCCTAGTTCCATGGGAGACATGTTGCGGTTCGGGCTCATCTAGAAAATCTTACTTTACCGTGGTCGACTTAGGGTAGACTAAGTAAAGAAATGAACAGGGACTGACGTCAATATGTCTCATAAGGCATCCTAACAACACTTCCTTGACATCATCTTCCGCGAGGGTCTCTTGTAGTACATTCTCATAAAGAATGGTGTGAAGTGACCATAACCCTAATTGAAAAAGGCCACTCGAAGCTTGCAAGTAAGGTTAGCTGACAATCAATGATACTATGATTCTTGTTCACGAATAATAACGAGTGATTCCTGTTTTAATAGATTGCAAGATCAGTCAAGTTTCACCTAATAATCTCACTACGACCGCGAGCAAAATTGCGAATGGCCTCTTACTTTGTCACCGGCAGCACGCGAGGAATCGGACTAGCAATAACTACTCTCCTCGCTTCCAAGCCCGAGTCCGAGGTATCCATCATCTTCGCCGCTGCGCGGACTCAGAGGGAAGGTTTAAAGCAGCTAGCAGCCAACTCAGCTGGCCGCGTCGAAATCGTGCCAATCGACGCAACATCCGAAGAGAGCGTGTCAAAAGCTGCCGAACAAGTGGAATGGTCTCTCGGAAGCAAGGGTCTAGATGTTCTCATCAACTGTGTGGGAATTATGCCTCAAACTCCTGGTGGGATTGAGACGATGTGAGTACTCTTGAAAGTCCAATGCAAGTGATATTCGCGAATTTGCAACAGAGGGCTACTGAGAAAGTTCGTGCAAAAGCACTTTCCTAACGTACTGATGTAGGACGGACCTCGAAATGACATTCAAGACCAACGTACTGAGTTCTCACCTTGTCACAAGAGCATTCATCCCATTGCTGAAAAAGGGGCACCAGAAGAAGGTCATCAATATGTATGTCTGCTTTGGGTCTCCGTCCCTAACAATAAGGAAAATAAGTTCTCATCGTACAACTATGCCATAGATCCTCAACTTTAGGCTCTATTACACTCGCATCAAAATTCCAACTATTCCCCGTCCCAGCCTACAAGGTATCCAAAGCTGCTCTCAACATGCTCACGGTGCAATATGCCCTAGCCCTGGAGGATGAGGGGTTCACAGTTTTCACAATTTCTCCTGGGGTAAGATCAGGATAATGCTTCTTTCTATCTATCTTTCTTTCTTTAAGAACCATATGTGTATTCCCGTACGATAAGCTAATATATCGCAGTGGGTGCAAACCGACCTGGGCGGTGCTGGGGCCGATTTAACCCCTAATCAAGGCTGCGAGTTGTCTTATGGATAAAGTATTCAATTCTACGAAAGAGGATAATGGGAAGTTCTTCAACAACCGTGTGCCTGGTTGGGAGAATGCGCCCCGCGATCAGTATAATGGTGCTGAGCCACCATGGTGAGCTGGTGCCCAGGTTCTGTCTTCCAAGAGATTTGTGTAGCGACAAGGATTTAATATGGGTACAATTGTATCTTTATGGATAAGGCAGACCAAAAAATAGAGATATTTAATTCGTGGGATTGTCACTAAGTCCATTCTCCTGGATACATTCAGACACTTTAGACCATGAATCATTCCATAGCCATCTACAGTGAAATATTCTAATCCCCGGATAATGTTATTTTACATAGAAGACAACAAACACTATACATAAGAATACATATACTAAGGAAAAGTCATCGACAAGCCAATCTAAATCCTTGTATCAAACTCCGGGTTTACCCAAGAGGGCTCCGGTGACTTTGCCCTTAGCCACCCACCGAACACCTGCAACGAGGCAAAAGTAAGGGTACATAAAATGAGCACAATGATGCCTTGCGTTGTAAAGGTCCATGTCCAGCCCACAGAGGCTTGCCAGGGAGTGATGAAGAACTGTTTTGAGAAGTAAGATTAGCAGGGGCTCATTGAGGTATAAAGAAGTAGATAGAGAATAGGAGGGGGGACATACCGGATTAATAAAGGCGCTCAGGTTGAGGAACACTGCATAGAAGGTAATGACGCTCATGGACTGAAGCGGGTATGCATCGACGATGTATGCGCTGATGACGGTGTTTCCCATTTGGACACCAGCAGCAACTGCATAGTTATCAGTACCTTGAGCTAAACATGGAAAGACCAAGGGAACTTACACAATGCAAAGGCAACTTGCCCTACCATCCAGTGATAGTGCATGTCGATACTGACACCCCAGACGATCAAGCCGACTATATATCGTTAGGCATCGTAGGTAGTGTTATTTGTTTGAGAGCTTGAACTCACCGCCTGTCAATGCAATAGCAGGATAAGCTAGCCATAATCTCATCTCGGCAACACGCACATTCCCATTACTCTTCGCCAGCCGCTCAACAATGTAGTCACTAAGCTTCCCCGAAAAGAACGCCTCCGAGACCATCGTTCCGATGAAGAGACCAAGGAACAGCAATCCCTGAACCAGTGGACCATAGTTCGCGTATGCTGCAGGCACCATGGTGACTACAGACAGCACCCACCAGTACCAGAGGAAGCAATAACCAAGGACACCTATGGTTACTACTGGGAAGCAAAAGGTGAGAACGAAACGGACGACGGAATCGTACAGTTTCGGGTGAAGAATCCCAGGGACGGGCCTGAAGTTGAAGAAGAAGAGCTTTTTCGTTCTTCGCACGGATGTCTCCTCTTGTTTCTCAGACGGCTGAGTATGAGCGGTTTCAATGTCGTTGAGAACCCCCGGTCCATTGTTTACTCGGGGGAAGTGGCCGAGCATCAGGTTGCGAGGGTAGAGCGTTTCAGGCATGAACAGGAGTTCCAGGACGAGTAGCAGGGCAAATAATATGGCGTTGAACCAGTTAATCCACGCTGCACTGACGACGTTGAGGAATCCACCAACTGCGGAAGGGATGATATTGTTAGCCTTCCGATCAAATTTTGATAGTGGTGTAAGCAGTGGAACTAACAAGTTGGGCCAAGCAGCAGGCCCGAGTCGATAGCTAAAACCCATAACCCGAGTTTTTGTCCACGTTCATAGTCAAAGAAGAGGTCGTTGACTTGGTTTATGGTCTGTTAGTTTTTCCAGGTCTACATGACTCTCAAACCAACGAACGGGACTCACTCGCTGCCATTCCAACCGTCGAAGCCGGACTAACACCGAATCCCTGAAAGAACCTCGCAGCCATGTATCCCCGATCGTTATCTGCAGCTGCTGCGCCGCAAGTTGACACTAGGGCAATAATCGTGCCAACAATGAAAACGATGCGACGGCCGTAGATATCACTCAGTGATGACCAGAAAAGCGGACCCACTGCCAGGCCCAGGGCAGGGATGGCAACAGTCAAATTGACCTGGGAGTAGTTGATGTTGAACTGGGTTTGGATCTCGGGAAACGAGGGCACGGTGGTGGTGGTAATGTAGGTGAAGAGGAAATATCTAAGGGTCGTTAGGACTGTCTCTTGGACTCGACATTTGACGAGCGCTCCAGATTTCTCGTGAGAGGCTGATTCTTACTTGAACATCACAATGCCCAGAATGGTGTGTTTCTGCAGCCGTGACCAATTCAACGGGTCCAATGGATCAGATGTCGGTTGGGGATGTAACTTGATCCCGTTCTTCTCGACTGTCGTAGCAGTGACGGTCCCCTGGCCCTGTGTACCGTATGGAGGATTTATTTCGGGAGTTGCATTCTTCTCCGAGACTTCCTTCTTGCCGTCCATGATTTCAGGTTTGGACATAGTAAGAGCAGTAGAATAATGGCAGTAGATCCAAACAGAAGAAATGCATATTAGACACAACGTACACCCTAGGACAACAGTGTCAGTTATATCCGTATACAATGTCCATATAGGGCAAATCATGGCAATGCCCGCGATACTTCTTGGACAGCCTATAGCAGGCCGTACCTACCTTCTCAGCATAAAAAAGACCTTATCAAGGACCTCGTACCGATCCCTTCCTTGCTCAATGGTGTGATGGCGGGAATGCGCCACGGTCAATCTCCAGAGCGACGTGACGCCATGATGTCCACTGCCAGCCCAGATATCTCTCTAGTCCGACAGAAACGACAGCAATAACAGATGACATCCTGACACAGCCGGGATCGCCTATCATGTTCCATGGATAATACCAGCGAAAGATAAGGCGATATAAACCTGCGTTATTCGACGGTTTCTGTATTCGGAAACGCAGTCAGCAGTCTGAAATGCGGGGGCAATCTATTTCACTTCCTGGAGAATCATTCCGAGTGTCGACCGTCTGTCAATGTCAACAGCTGCTGTTCTATCTGGCAACGCGTCGTTGTGTTGATGTTGTTGCGAGGTTGAATCTAGGTATCAGCCACGTGATTCTGTGCCTGAGAGCGAGCTCCAACGGGTATCAGCTCTTTCTGACATTCCTTTTGCTGTCCCTGCACGCACTCCATCCCGGCTGTCATAATCGCAATTCACCTTCCCAATCAGGGCAATATTGGTAGAATCCACTTTTGGATTAGTGGATCGTGCCGTTGTCTTCCGAGCGAGGCACGGTCCATTCGACCAGAACCATCACTGATGGATCGACCCATCTTGGCTTCTCCGTCTTCTATCCTCTTTTGTCAGGATGGTACGTCAACCGTCTGGACCGGTTCTCGACATTTCCACGTCCGCGGCTCGGGATAGGAATCGGGGGAGACGCTGATAAAGACCGGAGTATCGATTATGGTCAAGAATGTGTCATACATGGGGCTGTCCATGCAAAGAGAATTACAAGGAACATGTCTGCAGGAATGGCCGGTAGATCAAGACACTTGATTTGTCGAGTATTCCATTTCCGATTTTTGCCTGGTCCCCATTGCTGTCCCATCAAGACACGCTGTTGGAGCCGTCGGTGGTACAGATCGTGGCATAAAGTGGAACAGACATGGTCGTGGGGAACTTTGGAAATTTGCTCGACTTAAGCGGCCTCTCACAGTCTATTTTGCTGCTTGCTGCTGGCCATACATTCTTTGTTCACTTCCCTGTCTCGATTCCAGTCTCGTTGCAATCCTAGCAATGACAGGGGCCTTGTCAGACGAGTACACGCCGCTCCTTCGTCCGCCGCAGACTCCCCGCGCCGGTTCGTTGAGCGGGAGCGGGAGCAAGCTCAATGATGAGGACAAGGTCTTCTCGAAACGAGCCCTTATTCTCTCCGAGTTTTGGCTACTCTTCAAGGGATCCTTACCGGTTGTCCTGGCATACACGTTGCAAAGCAGTCTTCAGACAATCTCTGTGCTGATAGTCGGGCGCTCGTCGCCCGAGAACCTCGCGACGGCAGCCTTCGGGTACATGTTTCACTTCGTTACAGCTGGGATCATTGCCTTGGGTGGAACGACGGCCCTGGATACGCTGGCATCGTCTACCTTCACGGGAAGTTCGGACAAGCGTGACCTGGGGATTCTACTCCAACGAGGGATTTTTGTCTTGAGTCTCTTCTACATTCCCGTCGCTATTCTCTGGGCATGTTCCGAGCCTGTCTTCCGGCTTCTGGGACAAGATCCCGATCTGTCCAGGGATACGGCCAAGTTTTTGACCTGTCTTATCCCCGGGGGATTGGGGTATATCTACTTTGAAGCCGTCAAGAAGTATCTACAGGCTCAAGGTATGGCGGCCTTTCACGTTCAGCCATACATTACGTCCACTGACCATAGCCTGTTTTATAGAAATCATGCGAGCCGGGACATACGTTTTGCTGATTACATCTCCTCTCAATGGGGCACTGAACTACTTTTTCTGCTACACGCTTGGAATGGGGCTTCTTGGGGCCCCAATTGCAACGGGTATCTCGTACTGGCTCTCTTTTGGACTTCTTGTCTTGTATGCAAGATTTGTTGCTGGATCGGAATGCTGGGGAGGCTGGTCTCGCTCGGCCTTGAGCAACATTGGCACATTTTGCCGTTTGGCATTTATGGGGATCATCCACGTCGGTACTGAGTGGTGGGCTTTCGAGATTGTCGCCTTGGCCGCCGGCCGCCTGGGAACAATACCTCTTGCAGCTCAGAGCGTGATCATGACCGCGGACCAAGTCATGAATACGATTCCATTCGGCGTCGGTGTTGCCGCGTCCGCACGGGTTGGCAACCTTCTCGGCGCAAGGAATGCATCGGGAGCCGCGCGTGCAGCCAACACGGCCGCCTGGCTCAGTATGGTACTAGGGAGCGTGGTGCTGGCGGTGCTCATGACATCCAGACACCAGTTCGCCAGGATCTTCAATAATGACGACCGCGTGGTGCGTCTCACCGCTGATGTGTTGCCGTTTGTCGCGCTTTTCCAGATAGCGGATGGACTCAACGGGAGCTGCGGCGGCAGTCTGAGGGGCATGGGTCGTCAGCACGTCGGCGCTATGGTCAATCTCGGCAGCTATTACTTCGGGGCGCTGCCGCTAGGCATCTGGCTTGCATTCCACGGCTGGGGGCTCAAGGGCCTGTGGGTGGGACAGTGCATCGCTCTGTATGCGGTGGGATTGTTTGAGTGGGGGATTGTGGCGCTGAGCAACTGGGACATGGAAGTGACCAAGGCGTTTTCCCGGATGGACGTGCACGAGCGTCTGGAGACGGGGATCGAAGGTGCGCCGTAAGGAATGAGGATTCTCCCTGCAGTATTGTTTTTTCCGTGGTTTCTGTAAATAGATAGATAGGATATATACGGAATGCAGGTGAACCACTCTTTCGGGACTCGATCTTATAATGCATTTACAACGCCCTTGACCAGAATCCAGCAATATCCTGACTCAGGCTCGCCGAGTGAAGTACTGATAACCATGCGTCAGCCAACCCTAGCGACCTCCACCACAAACTTAACTCTGTTCCCGCCGGACCCTTTGGACCCATTTCTACCGTCATTATCCCGGTTGGGAAAGGCGCATTCCTGGGATGATAATTAGCGTCTACTCCGGACGGAGCACTGTGTCCACCGTCTATATTGTGGACAGAAGACAACCCTCAACGCCGATATCAACATCCGCTGCATTCTAGGAAGGCCACCGGAGAATTGCAAACGACAAGCCTAATGAGGTTAATCGGAAGAGAACCGGTCGCAGTCTTGGTGGCCCTGCTTCACCCACCATGATGTTGAAACCTGGGCACTCTCTATCCAGAGTCGAGAGCGCTCTCAGCACTATGGATGGTGCTGTCCTGTAGATATCGGGATATCGGGATTCTCTTCTTTTTTTTTTTTTTTTTTTTTTTTTTTGGTAAGTCTGGACTATCGAATTGGAGACTGTTGCTCTGCATGTACGCTGTGGCCGGTAGCTACTTATATCTTGAATTTCCCGGTCATTATTCTCACTTTACTCTCTATCTATCTCTAACATTCTTGTCTTCCCTTGTCTTATAGTTAAACTGGACTTATCCTCACCATGATCCTTCCGGCCTTTGCTCTTCTCGCCCTCTCTTCCGTCGTGGCCGCGCATAGTGACCATAACCAGGCTCCAGTGGCTGGTCCATATAAGGATATATGGTATAACACACTCCCTGGCGATGGGGGAATTCAGGTACGCATACCACTACTATTACCGTTTAAACCACTGGAATTTTCCCAGGACCTAAGTGTTGTAGGCCGACTCTGTGTTCAGCGGTATTTCGACCTTTGGTAGAATCCCATATCATCCATGTCTAGCCAGCGATGAGGAGAAATACGACATTGCTTTTATCGGTATGATTTGATCTATGTAATTATTTACAGGATAATTTGCTAAGGACGCAGGGGCTCCTTTTGACACTGGCACTTCGTACAGACCCGGTGCTCGGTTTGGGCCCAGTGGCATTCGGCAGGGATCGCGCAGATTGAACCTCTACGGTGGATATAATGTGCCCTTGAAGGCAAATCCGTTCCATGGTGGCCTGAAGGTGCTGGATTGTGGTGATATCCCTGTTACCTCGTGAGTTTCCTTACCCTCAATTGCCTTCTGTCGAGATGTTTCCGGGTTAGTACTGATGTATGATCAAGGTACGACAACGAATGGGCCATCCGCCAGATAGAAGAAGGCCACAACAGCATCCTCATGAGAAAGCCCTTCACAGATGCCAACAAGAAAGGCATCTCCAAGACCGGGAAGACACTCCCCCGCATCATCACCCTCGGAGGCGACCATACCATCACTCTCCCCATCCTCCGCAGTCTGAACAGGGCCTACGGACCGGTCACCGTCGTCCACTTCGACAGCCACCTCGACACATGGAAGCCCAAGGTCTTCGGTGGTTCCCCGTCCAAGACTGCGTCCGTTAACCACGGAACGTACTTCTACCACGCTGCCATGGAGGGACTCCTGAAGAACGACACAAACATCCACGCGGGCATCCGGACGACTCTTTCCGGTCCCTCGGACTACGAGAATGACGGATACTGCGGGTTCGAGATTGTTGAGGCGAGGGAGATTGATACCATTGGTTAGTAGCGACATGCCCATGCTTCATTAAACCGAATAGTTAGGTTGAAAGTTGGCTAATATATAAATACAGGCACCGACGGCATCATCAAACGAATCCGCCAAAGAGTAGGAACTAACCCTATCTACGTCTCCATCGACATCGACTCCCTCGATCCGGCCTTTGCCCCGGCAACAGGCACGCCCGAGACAGGAGGCTGGAGCACGCGCGAACTCCGCACCATCATCCGCGGCCTGGACGGTCTAAATATCATCGGCGCTGATATCGTCGAGGTGGCGCCTGCTTATGATACGGCTGCTGAGCATACTACTATGTATGTTTCCCTTTCTTCCCTTTACCCTTCCATATTAAATCCACTAGGTTGAGCTGAGTTGAGTGGGATTGAATAAGCCAACTGACGGCTAACGGTGCGAATAGGGCCGCCGCTGATGCACTCTACGAGGTGATGACGATCATGACCAAAGCCGGTCCATTGACTCTTCCTGAGAATGAGGCTGATGAGTGGTAGCTGCTTGCGTTTGTGGACGGGGGTGTCCGAGCCGTGCTGGGTCGGGTCGTAGGGTGTACCGTATTGGTTTTCCTGGTTTGGTCTGTTCTACTGGGGGAACTGTGTTGATGTATATAACCCCGTGGTGCCGGTTTGTTCTGAAAAGGAATGAAGGATTTGAGTGTATAGTATCAAGTGGAAGGCATTTATTTATTTGTCAGTTCAAGGCCGTCATTATGCATGACTGAGTAGGTGTCATACCCCAGCGTATACATGAAAATAAAAGATATCCCAACGCCAACCCAACCATGCGGAAATCAAGCTTACACAGACCCAAATAACTTCACTTGGTAAATACAAGTGACATTCCCGCCCCAGTTCGATGTGACCCGGAAAACGACCTTGTTAACCCTGATCCCCGGTAGATCAACGATCGCCTCTAGGGGAAACTCCTGCGCATAGTCTCGGCCATGGAGGTTGTATTCCCAGCGACCGAGGCGGTAAAATCCCTTACCCATGTACTCGTCACCGGCGGCGTCCGTTGAGTACGAGGTTTCCGGTTCCTTCTCGTAGACTTTTCGTAGGACGCCCATGATGGTCTCGTGGAGTAGGAATTTCCCCGATAAGCTGTAGGAATACGGTGTGGGGGATGATGAGGTGGGGATCTTTTCCGGCTGCAGACGAGATGGGATGATTGACAGCCATCGAGGGAACCAGGAGAACAGTGAGGCTGACGGTGAATCGGGCACTTCGCCCCAGTACTGAGCCCAAAGTTCCATGCGTCGCGGGGCAACGTCCGGCATGAGTGTCGCCTCATGGGGTATGTGTTCGATTTCCACACTTGCGGGGACAATCTGCCGGCCGAGTGATACTGCTAGCTGTACCATTCCATTCCGGGGAGTACTGCACCAGCAATCGCCGACATCGTTCCAGGGGAGGAAAACGGTAGCAGGGGAGTTTTCTTTCCGTCCGCCAAAGACCCAGAAATACACTCGCTGAAACCAATTTGGCTTCTTGCCAGCCGTCGGAGTGGTTCTGTTAGGATCGACGATGGGCCCGGTTCCATACGACAAAAAGTTGATCTTCGACTTTGCCTTGTGACCCGGTATGGGTCGGGCGTTGTTATCGAAAATCGTGTTGGCTAGCTCGGATTTGACCCCTTTAAGGTCTTTGGACAATGCCAATATTTGGGAGTTTAGTTCGTCAACTTCTTTCGTCAACAGATTGACTACATTTGGATCAGAAGCGTTCCAGACACGTGGTTGTCCACCAAAAGGAAATGAGCAGACGCCACGGGAAAGTTGGGCAAGTCTTTCACCGTAAGTATACAAGGCAAGGCAGGAGAGTGTCGTTAAGAGCGCGATGGTAGCTATCCGAAAGAACAAGTTTAGTCGGGGCACCGCAACTTCAACTTTGACAGGGGATTGTCGGCGAGCACGGCTTTGACGCACGACTGTAGCTGGAGGAGCTGGGGGAGGCTCAACAACTGGTTTCGCCTCCGGTTCCGGCTCTGGTTCCGACTCAGGTTCCGGTTCAGGTTCCGGTTCAGGTTCCAGTTCAGGTTCCAGTTCAGGTTCTGGTTCAGGCTCTGATTCATGCTCTGGCTCCGGCTCTGGTTGAGGCGCCGGAGGTTCCTCTTCAATGGTCTCGTGTATTAATGCGAGGCCCGAAATACGGCGAGGAGGAGCAGATATGTTGCGTCCACGACCGGGATGTGTTCGTTTAAGATCATCCTCGTGAACATCTCGCTCCACTGTCCACGAGTTAATGGTAGAATCATTGTCCATGGAGCTTTGAAGTGGAGAACTCCCTAACGGAGTGCCAAGACCATTCACAAGCCCGGGGTGAAAGAGCGAGGAGGGATAAAGGCCATTTTGTCGAGGCGAATGCGTGACTGAACCTGAAGTCGTCGAAAGGGTATGAGGTATGGGTGGTGTTGGTGTTGGGGTGGATCGCCCGGGTTCTGGAGAAGCCGAAGCGCTCTGAATATCCTCTTGAAGTGTGTCGAGGAGTTGAATCTGATCAGGCGTTGGCTCACGCTTCTTAACTGGGGTAATAGATCGTTTCCTGCGAGTGAAACGCTCAGCCTCGAGAGCTTCCTGTCTCTCTCGGTCCTCAGCCTCTATCCTTCCCCTCTCAATGGTTGCGGCCATCTCTGTCAGATCCATCTTCTCTTGTACCACGAGCTGCCGCGGGAGAATGGCAGTAGCTTGCGAGCCATAGGCAAATGAGGTTTTTGTTGGAATGTTGGGTAGAGCCGGGTTTTTCGGGTCCAGATTTGATAGCTCTGCAATTAGAGAGCTACGATCTGGGCTTACCGCAGCCGCAGAACGGCGCACTGTCCGTCTGAGAGGCATTTCCACCAGCGGATGTGGTAGAAGCGCTGTCGTTCAGAACTGCTATATCGGTCAGTTCGAACTGAGCGTCTCTGTGCAAAGGACACGGAAGATCAGAGATATTCACTTACGAAAAAAGTGAAGTCGAGAATACGCCAATGGCGAGTCGCATTCCCTACGTCGGGTCAATACAACACGACGGTCGTCCTGGGCCTGGAAAATTCAATGCCCTTTCAGAAGGCCGCGCAGAACACTGGGATGAGACCCGTACCAGACCGTAAACGGGTTGAATGATGTAGAAAGTAGATAGAAATGTCGCACTGCACCGTCGTCGTCCTCGGGAGACGCAGTCGAGGGTCCCGGAAAGACGGTCAATATCGACTTGATTCAAATCAGGCTATGGTTGCTCCTTGAATATTCCCTTCAGACGAGACAGTAATTCAGAATATCCTTTCCGTTGCCTAGTTGATCGGCGATTATGTAGTCTAAAGGTGTTCTTCTTGTCGTGTTCTGTTTAAAGACGCGACAGTCAGAACGCGATGAGTCGCAGTTCAAATTTTGCAGCAAGTAAAAAGGCCAGATCGCAACCTCCTCAGGATATGCTGAGCTATCTCCGATCTTCTGCCAGGAAAAGAAAGACAGCGATACAGGCGAACAGGCTGATCAGGGATGCGAGAAGAAGCGTTGATGGCTGATGTCATCCAAAGTTGTCCCGAGCTGTGAACGACGCGTCCTCGAAGGAAAAAAAGGAACAACTTTGAACTACGAAAGAGTGAAGTGAAGACAACGGATACGCGAGGTGGGCAAAACAGCTCCTTATTCACCTCTTTCGCTACTTTCTCTACATGAGCGCAGTTCTGCTTCCTTTTCTCTTTTTCCCCTGCAATCTTTGTCTCCACGCGAGTTCCAGTCCGTTCATTCACTGCTTGGCCGAGTCTTTTCTTTCTGCGGCTGCAAAGAGCAATAACGACCGTTTTGGGATTCCCATTTCTATTTATATCATTTGCGCACATAGGATGCGTTTTTGGACGTCTATGTGACTTCGTTGGTGATTGCACAGTTACTGTCAGGGACAAAAAAAAAAAAGAAAAAGCATGGTATGGTATTCATCTACAACTGCCAGCACGTAAATCTACCAACTCCAAGCACGGAAGTAATGATGATAATCTACATAAACAAGACACAGAATAAACTCTTCCGGCCTGTTCGCCAACCCCTCCTAAGTCCCGCAGCGAAGAAATGGTAAAGGGGGGTGGGGCGCCCTCAATATAAGCATGGCTGGCACAAGAACCATATATCCATGTGTATAACTCGTTTTGTCGGGTTCAGCAGGTCCAGGCCCCTATCATGCCGTCGGTGCGGCCTTCGAGGAGATACCCGTCTTTGATCCTCACGCGCTCAACGACTGCAGGAGGCGACGTGTCTCGTTCATCAATGCCGACCCCGGAGCCACAATCCCAGTGACGCCCATCTGCCTTGTCGTAGACCTTCACTACATTCTCTCTCGCTGCTGCCACAATGCGTTTGGCGTCGAACATCATGCTCGTGACGGGTTTATCGTAGGCGAAGGCGTCGTAGATGGATCCCGTTCGGAGATCCCATACCTACAAGGCATAGTTAGAAAGAGAAGAGTCTCCAATGGAGAGGGGCCGGGCAAAAAGATAGTACATACCCTGATGCTGCGATCCAAACTGCCCGTTACCAGGTGTACATGATCAAATTGCAGGCTCGTCACAGGGCCAGTATGGCCAACCAGACTGCGATGAACCTGGCCACTACGGAGATCCCATAAACGGACCATCCCATCGGCCGTACCACAGGCCAGAGCGGCATCAAAGCACTGGAGGGCACCGACGAAGTCTGCAGAAGCATCGGGCAGGCGGCCAGTTGGCCGCCATTGGTCTCCGGACATCCCCGTGGTAGAGGCTTGCGCCGCAGCCCACAGAACATCCAGTGTTTGCACACATCGTCCGGTGGTCAAATCCCACTGCCGCATCGTTTTGTCTGCAGAACCCGAGACCAAGGTCTCGCCTCGGAAATGAAGCGCCGTCACTTCATCCAGGTGCGATTCGAGAGAGAAGACATAACAGTCGTCCATCTGCATGGATGGCCCTTTCGTTGGTGTATTGCCTGAGTCATCCTCATCGTCAATGTCGTCTCCTTTGCCGATCTGATTCCCCTTCGATGCAGGTCGCGCACGACTCAAATCCCAAAGTCGGATCGAAGCATCCATTGACCCCGTAGCTACGATGTTATCCTCCATCTGCAAGCACCGGACAGATGCGTTGTGTCCTTCCAAAAACCCATTGCATCGTCCAGAGCTAAGGTCCCAAACTTTCACCGTATCATCCAAGGCGGCACTGACCATAGTCCCAAAGGGAAAGTCGAAATCGACGGCGGTTATTATATCATTGTGGGCTTGGATCTCGGTAATGGGTGACCCGGGTTCGAAGTGTTCATGTAGGATAGGCATCGAACGTTTCCCTATCGGTTTCTGCTGTTAGCCCACAAACAGACCCCCACCGACCAACTGAAACGACGCACTTATGCTCTTATGTTTCAACCTCCCCGATGAAGGTGACGGCATCTTCTGGTAAATTGATTCGGACATGAAGGAGGCATCCATGGCTGGGTCCTCGGATATAACAGACCCATCGTTCACGTCCGAGGATTTCGGAGTCGATACATCAGGCTGTTCGTCAAGATCCTCCAGTTTGTTGTCGATGTCGGTCACTAGTTTTCCCTGTGTTAGACGAACGAAGAATGCCGTAGATTGAGAAAAAGGTTCACCCACACTGGCGTTCAAGCTCGACCTCATCCATCTCCAGCCCCGCCAGCCGATCCAGGATAATTTTGCGCATGCCGTGCAGATTGGCGATTTTGTTATCGATTTCGTGAATCTCCGAGCTGCACATGTTCTTGCGGATCCCCATGGTCTCCAGTCGACGATTCAATTCTTCCCGCTCCTGCTTCAACCCCTGCACGGTATTCGGTAGCGCCGGAGTGTCCTTCTCGCCATCTTTCAATAATTTCGAGCTGCGTCTCCGACGGGACTTCCGATGACTATCCTCGGGCAGGGAAACCTGGAATCCTTGGAACAGAGAGAACGGACTCGATGTTTCCGGGATGTTGAGAAGAAGCTCGTCGGGAACGGACGAGAGCGCACGCGATTGGATTTCGGTAGTCGACAACTTGGACCGGACAAGATCCGTCGGGGTGGTCCGGGCCAGAGCAAAGACCTTGCGCTGGGTATGCGGCCGTCTCAATTCGCGATGGATGTCATTCATGGCACCCCTGTAGACCTTGCCAACGGTTCCGTCCGATGCTGGTCCGATCAGATGCCCGGCAGTCGAAGTGACCTTTCTTCCGAACGCTTCAATCTGGCGGCTCTGCAATTGCAGGCGGAAAAGAAACGGTCAGCATATGAATGTGACACGTAGGGAGGCATGTGAAAGGAACAAATGGACCAATAATCCGTACCGTTATGCCAGTTCCCAGGAGACCCTCGCCCTCGCCAAAATCTGATAGACCGGAAGGCGAATCATCGCGGCGGTGACTCGCCATGGGACTGAGCAGAGGAGCGATGGCAGATTCAGAAATTCATGCGGACCGAGTGGCTTTCGTTTGGGACGGATCTCTGAGCGCAAAAAAGGAGACCCGCGGAGGTCTGCCGGTAGGATGGGGAAAGGAATGGGAGTGTTTGCGCGAGAGGAAGAATAGAATAATTCCCAGCGCGTTCCGGCGAGAAGACAGTCTACGGCTATCTCGCCGCCCGTACTAAGATTTGCTGCAACCGCGGATGTCCGGCCGAGCTGGAAAAAGAGACTGCCACAAGTTGGCCCAAGCATGGATCTTATTTATTTACCTTAAAAGGGCATCTATTCTTTCATCCTCCGTATCCGTATGTTGTCTGCCTACATCCGTGTAGAGCAGAGGGAAGGCATCGACTCTCACGACGCTCTGGGAGTTCAGTTCTCCGGCTGAGAATCGGAATATATTCATTAATTCTCCTGATCATCGACAGGAGGAGTATTGCCAATAATAAACACTCTGTGCTGCTCAAGTCTATTTTTCTTCCGTTCCTCTTCGGAGCAAACGACGACTTGGCCATCGACTAATCCATCCCATGTCTCTCCATCCAGATCCAGCCCTTTCTCATCAACCAATCGTAGAAAATCCACACCCTTTCACGCTGCTTGAGACTGATCTTGAATGAACCGGCGAGGATTGGAGCAGGTCGAGGAAGGAGGACGCGTAGGCGATACCAGAGGGCAGGCGGGGAGTCTTCCATGATGCACTCGGTGTTTGCAGTTGCAGGAGATTCACGACCCAGTCCTCATGAAGAGTAAATTGGGCCTAGCTTCAATGGCATGATGACGGTGGTTCAAGGGAGGGATCCTTGGTATGGCAACCCCGTATACTTCCACTTACCATAGATCCCAGTCGTTCGTCTCCTTCCCTGTATGATATAGTCAAAAATGCATATCCAGCCATCCCATCGCCCATCGACTCTCGCTCGTACAGGGAAGGGCAATGCTCTCAGCAATCTCCTCAGGCTCCCCAGTCCCCCTATTTGGATTAGCGCTCTTGAGAATATTCAGAGTCTGCTCAGTCTGATTCCTCATGAAAGGTTCGACTGCGGTAGGATCCGGAGCGATGCAGTGCACGTAGATCCCCTTTCGGCTCAGATCTTGGGCATGACCCTTGCTGGATACACATGGTCGGTATGGAGGCATCGCGGATGATATTGCGCACAGGGAAGTGGAAATCAGGACAACATGAGGCCGGGTGCCACGCGTGGTGCTGTTGCAGTCATCAGAGATGGTTCGGCGATCGTCAGCATAACGAACTTACTGACTCGTTACCCCTCCCACGCACGAAGATCACATTTTCCTCGAGCCATCATTGTCAACCCAGGCAGAATCTCATTCATCATGGCTTCAGACCAAGGGGTTTCTCTTCATCGGTCAACTCTTTCAGCCCGCGGTGAGCAAGAGTCTGGCAGCGTTGAGCAGGCCGCCGCCAACCCAGGGGAGTCCAAAAGGACTAGGCTCTGTGTTCTATTAGGCTCTGGTATTCTGCAACTACCGATATGGGGTACGATGTTCTCCATTCCCACTGCAATCCCATTCTCACGAGGGTACAGGCTTTGCCACGACTTACGGCATATTCCAAGAGTACTACTATAACAACTGGACGCTGGATGGCGATCGGAATACCACTGGTGTCATTGGCACGACTGCCAACGGGGTCATGTACATCGCCATGCCTTTTCTCTTTGCTCTGTTCAGCATGCGCTGGGCCCGTTGGCGACAAACCGCAGCCATTTGTGGGACGATTCTTGCATGCGTCAGCTTCCTCGTGTCTTCATATAGCACCCACGTCTGGCATCTTGTCGTGACTCAGGGTGTCACCTCGGCGTTGGGATGCACTCTCATTTATAGTCCAGCCACGCTATCTCTGGGGGAGTGGTTCACCACCAGCAATCGAGCGTTGGCGTATGGGATCACCCTGTCCTGCAAAAACATTGTCGGGACCAGTTGTCCGTTCCTGATGCGAGCCTTGATCAATGCCTATGGCTTTCGCATGAGCCTGAGGATATGGACGGCTATTATGGGAGGCACCAGTATCATTGGAATCCTCCTGATTCCCACTCATCCTTCGAAGATGTCATTGCACAATGCCAGAGCACGGAAGATCCCATGGCATTTCCTCAAGCACAAGGCTGTCTACTTCTACGGCATTGCTATCTTGTTTCAAAGTTCTGGATACGGCATTCCGCAGACCTATTTGAGCACGTATGCACGGGATATCACCCTGCTGTCCGAACTCTCCGGCACTCTCATGATAGCGGCATTCAACGCACCCGGTATCATTGCATCCTCCTTCTTCGGGTGGCTGAGCGACAATAAGATCTTCCCTCTTTCAGCGCAGGCAGTGTCTTCTATACCGCCCATCACCTGTGCTCTGAGCACTTTTCTCTTCTGGGGCCTAACAACGCAAGGTAACGTGGCGCTTCTGGTGGTGTTCTCCATCACATTCGGCTTCTTCTCCAGCGGCTACAGCGCCACCTGGGGCGGGATGCTCAAGCATCTGGAACGCGAATCCGCCGAGAGGAATGAAGCTCTCGACTCGGGGGTACTGTACGGTCTTCTGAATGGTGTGCGAGGGATTGGATATGCAAGTGGTGGGTTTGCTAGTGTAGCGCTTCTGAACGCGGGAACTATCCGCTCGGGCGGCCATTTTGGCTATGGAACTAGCTACGGGCCGCTTATTATTTTCACGGGGCTCTCTTCCATCCTTGGAGGCTGGGTCATTCTGTGGAGGTGGAATCCAAAGAGATTGTTGCTTTAAGTGCAGCGCAATTCTAGGACAGAGGTGCCAACCCTCACTGGATAATCCATGTCATTACATATACGACGCAGCCAGCTCTCCCGGAATGCGGATGCTAGCTTATATTATTATACATATAATGCGAACCTTGCAAATTCTGTGCGCATGCGCCCCGACGTCCATTTGGCGATAGATTCAAAACCAGTAGATGCAGACAGAGATTCAACCAAGAGAACCCTGACATTCCAGTTGTTCACAGTGCGTCTCATGATAAGTGAGGTATGGCGAATGGGCAGCAGGAAGGTCGAGCCGAATGCCGAATCTCTCGGATGCAGCGCCGTTGGAAGATAAATCGCAGCACTCTCCATCTCTGCATCTGATGGTGTTCTTCTTTTATATATTGGACAGACTGTATTCTCATTGAAAGAAGTCTCCTTCCTTCCTGCACTTCCACATCCCAAGATCACCGCAGATGTCGCCACCAAAGTCAACACGCATCGCCATCATCGGCGCCGGAGTGTTCGGGTTGTCCACCGCACTTCGTCTGGCAGAGGAAGGCTATACCAATATCTCTGTTTTCGAACGGGATGGCCAAATCCCGCCGCGATACTCGGCTGCATTCGACCTCAACAAGATCGTGCGAGCGGAATACGAGGATCCGTTCTATACGGATCTGGCGTTGGTGAGTCACCCAGTCCTCTCGCTTCTGCTTGCATTATAACAATGGCCAATGCTGACAGTCGACTCAGGAAGCTATCAACGCCTGGAAAACCCCTCTGTACAGAGCGCACTACCATCAAACCGGCTACCTGCTCGCAACCTCAGCAGCAGCACCGGCAAAAGCGAAGGAAACGCTCCAACGCTCCGTCAAAACCATCCTGGACAAACCGGAATTCAAGGACCAGATCGTCCCCGTCAAGGGACGAGATGATATCCGTAAATTGGTCTGGCAATATGATGGGCCCTTGACGGGGTGGACGGGGTACCTCAATCGACTCGCCGGGTATGCGCATTCATCGAACGCCATCGAAGCCGTCTACAAGGCCTCTGTGGCCCGGGGCGTGAAATTCTTCTTAGGAGAGGAACTCGGAGCTGTTCAGCAACTGATCTACGACAGCAACGACAGCAACGACGACAACGCTCCACGGAAGTGCACTGGATTACGCACCAAGGACGGCCGTATGCACGAAGCGGACCTGACCATCGTAGCCGCAGGTGCATACGGTGCCAACCTAGTCCCCGAAGCAGGTGCCCAGATCGTCGCTAGATCCTGGTCCGTCGCTCACATCCAATTGACAGATGAAGAGGCATCAGCTCTGCGTGGCATCCCGGTAACCTACGCCCGTGACTTGGGGTTTTTCTTTGAGCCCGATCCCAAGACGAATCTCCTCAAGCTCTGCCCCATGGGTGCCGGGTACATCAATACCAATCCGAAGGGTATTTCTGTTCCTCCGTCGTCGTTGGCTGAAAGCGAATTCATCCCCGCGGAGGATGAGATGAAATTACGCAAGCTGCTCCGTGAGACGCTACCTGCGCTGGCGGATAGGCCGTTCATTGAGAAAAAACTCTGCTGGATTGCTGATTGCACTGACTCGGAGTACGTCATTGACTATGTGCCGAATACGGGGTCTTCTGTGGTGTTTTTGTCCGGGGATTCAGGACATGGGTTTAAGATGCTACCTGTTTTTGGGAAATGGGTGCAGACACTGCTGGAATCTGGAGGAGACGAACAGCCCATCGCTCGCTGGCGGTGGAAGGAGAATGCTAAATCCGCGGATTGGGGTGGTGCTGTTAGTTGGCGTGTAGGGGAGACGAGGGAGTTTAAGGATCTACGGCCGTCGAAACTGTAGCTGTCTCTCATAGCATACGGGGATAGACTAGATACATGCTGCCAGCTATTGATACCATCGTATGGCTGATATTTCGAAATTTGCGCCCAGTTGTACGCAACCAGCGTCATTAGTTAGGGTTGCTGAATAGCCGACCCTAAGAGAATCAAGGCTGCAGTATGGTCAGCATCTATGTCAATAGACAATCCATCTGCTGGGCTGCCTCTGCAGTAGCAATAAATTCATGTTCCCTCCCTCGCAGTATGAAAGTCGACGGCCGCGCGTAAGAGCTGTTCTTTGGAATGGTCGGAACTGCATCATGGCCAGAACCCCAAGCACCACCGCCAGGTCTATGGAAGTTGGCATGATCAATCTCAGCTTGATTTCAGAGAGATACATACGTGTAAATAATGACCCGTTCCCCAGGATGCACGTTGAGCTCCATCTTCCCGTCAATATTGATCATATGTTCCGAGCCATCAGCTACCTGGCCAGATGGGTTAAGCAGCGTCCCCGGGGAATGGGGACATTGCACGGCATGTAGAAATGGGCTTGCTTTCTACTCGGTGGTGTCTTGAACTGTGGCAGTTATCATGACTTTCGAATATCCGAATGAATCTAGAGCTAACCGCCTCGACTCCTCTGCTGCTTCATGAGATACGCTCGCCGCGGCTCCTAAAGACTGCTACGAGCTGGTACATTGCAAAACATCACAGCGGTGATAATACCCCATCATCATCGCCGTCGGAAGATAATATCGAATACATCTACGTCCGCGGTATATTAGACCTCATCGCCGTTAACACAGATGTTCGGACTTGGGATTACGATTGGTATGAATGCAAGCAAATATTTCCATACGACCTATCCTGGGTACTCGAGATGTGATGATTCATGCCGACAAAAACCATAAGAAATCACGCGCTTGGCTTTCGCCCATATACAAACCACGCATTTGTATATAAATGATTTGACAGGTCCTTCACCTCCTTCCGTACGCCCATGAGAAAGACTTCAATTTCACTCCTTGACCAACCCAAGATACGGGTAAAGAGGGCATATGAGTATGGACCAAGACTTTCCAACACGTTGACTTGATGATTACGGCCAAGTTCATTCAGCTTGGGGTCCTTTTCCCAGGAACTCTGAGGGAGCTGTATGATTGTTAGCTTGAACTAGTGGCAGGGCTAGGGTCGGCTACCTTGAACTTTTGCTCATGGACATCCTCAAATCCAGCCTGTATCATCTTCTCCTTCCATGTTGTAACAGTATTCAAAGATTTCCCAAACCTTCTAGAAGCCTCATGACATAGCTCACATAGCCGAAGGAACTTTTCGGCTTTTAGATGTGTACCATCATCTGAAGTAGTAGTTATCTGTATAGTTGCCAATTCAAAATAGCCGCCAGGAGTCAAGTTGTTGAAAGCTTGCTGGAAAAGCCTATCATGATCTTGAATGGAGCCTTCAAGCTCCCGACCATGGATAAAATCAAATGGACGGGAGTATTCCCACGGCTGTTCAAAGTCATCGATTTCAAATCGGCAATTAGGTGGGAGCCTGAATCTATTAGAACTTTATATAGTAGTACTATTAAGAGGTGAGGAATACCAGGTTGGTTGAATAACGCTCAGGTCATTTCCTACGTCTATTAGCAAAACAATTCAATCTTACTTTTGGGGAAGACGAGTATCATCAGGGAAAAGATTACCGATGACTTCGGCATCAGGATGTTGACTAAATACATGCATGGTTAGCAATTACGAATAAGCGGAAGAACCTTGCTCTTTCGATTCAACAGAAGAAGGATCTTACTCGGCAAAATCAATGGCCCAGATCCCAGTACCAGTTCCAATATCCAGTATTCTCTTGGGATCCCGGATAGGTGCCAGCTGCAGTTCACCACCGAGCAACAGTCGATAGACATGGTGGCTCTGTTGGGTGTTGAACCAGTTAGTTACCAGAAAACCGGTCTGAGGGGAAGCTACATACCAGGTCCAGCCTGTCCTGCTCTGTTTCATCATTTGGCTTTTAATTACCACAAGTCAGAGATCCAACCCAAACAAAGGATATAGAGATCGCTGTGTCAAGGGTTTACCAGGAAATATTCGCCTTCATGGAAGGAGTGGTACCGGCGGCCATTTTCGTATCTGAATAGTTCAGCTTTTACCCATCGACTGACATGACCGACATAGAGATTCGTACTTGTAGTTCATAACACTCGACGTTATGGAGCTTGTGTAACTGGCATCGCTGACACTGTATATAGCAGTTAGTTATGGCCGGTGTATCCTATCGGAGAATAAGACTGAGGAAGCACGCACGACTCGGCATAGGTGGAATCATAATCGTCGTTCTCCTGTATTACAATGCAGGATTGAGTCAGTGAGATGCAAGGAGAAGCTCCAATAGTTCAGGAAATGCTCACAAGAGCCTCAAGAGGGGGTCGACGTTATACTCTTGAGGAGGGTTTTCGGGAGTTTCAGCATGGGTGCCGGCCATCTTGAGGTACGCGATAGCAAGGGAGAACAATAATGTGCTCCAGACACGGCGACGGCACACCCTCAAATATGAAACTGAGAGTTCCCCTCCCGTCGTACTTTTGCATCCCGTCTCCGGATAGCCAATGTACCTGATAATCATAGCCTCAGAACGGCAATTTCAGTGATTTGCGAATGCCACGGGGAAATCCACTTGGTTCTTTAGCTATGCATGACCGTCACGGCCGGCGCTGCAACGGAGCATGGTACGGCGGATTAGCATTGCAACATAGTCAAGGTTGCCATGCCATGTCGACAGCGACACGGCCGCAGCGATTCGCTGGTTAATGCGCGCTTTCATATCTCCAGGTGAACTGTTGTCTTTATTGAGACTATAACATCGGCCGCGTTAGATCTCTGCATAAGCGCCGAGAAGCTAGTTAGCTGGCCCGAAGCTATTACTTAGTGCACGAACGTGGAGAAAATACTCTATTTCTGTCGTAAGTTGTTTCCTTGCTAACGAAGCGTCGGTGTAGGGTTAGAGATGTGCTGTTACCATTGATTCACCGTTACGCTTTTATCACTGACAACAGAAGAATCAATAAATTCCTGTTGACCTGAGTAACATGCTAAAGGCTGCTTGGGTATCGCGGAGCCACAGTTTCTTCAGACTCTCGAGTTTGTTCGTCAATGGAAGATCTCGGCGAGTCTGTAATGACCGTTCATTCAGAAACCCAGCATCTGATGGCTTGATGTTCTCAGCCCCTGGACTTGCTTTAAATCGTGGAAGTAATTTGAGTTGATTCTCATTGGAAATCTCCTAGAGCAGGCAGGCAGGGTGCATTAATGGCTATTGATGTGTATAGGAACAGCAATTGCCAATCCCCATGCATACCGTACGTTTAAATGCCAATGTAAAATCCGAATTTGCCGTAAACGAAGGGCGATGGTATTCGATGCATCGTTAATCAGAGTGGCGTTGGTCCGTTTCTCGAGTCCTGGGAAGCAGTGATACAGCAAGTTTGGGGGGCTTTTCGCCCGCGGACTGCAGTACGAATATTAATATCAGTACACCAGTACCAACTCAGGCTAGATCTTACCTACCTCTTGGTCCTTGTATGATTCGTAGCAGAATGGGATAACGTGGGTTACCTCCAATATCACCAGGCCCCCTGCATTTCTGTCATGAGACATCAATCCCAACCCTGTCACTAACCATGCCGTCATTGTGGCATTCTGTTCTACTGGGATGTGAGGCTGTAGCGAATGTACTGTTCTGTGAGCCACATATATTCCTCTAGTCTTTAAAATAAGAGACTATGGTAAGGTATCCCTGATTTCTTCAATATAGCCAGAGAGACGTAGAAAGATCCGGTGCTGTGATACCCTAATATCTCAAGCTCTTTAACCGTCAGTAACTATAGCAATCATCGTAACTGTAAACAGAGAATTTTCAATGAAATCGACAATACCTTGGTTCCAAGCAGTTGACGATGGTGTGCTGGCAGTGGTCTAGTCCTCTTTCAATATCAGGACATCGCCAAGGTCGATATTCACTTGAATAAACCTCGACATACAGACTGGAAAAGAACATCAACCAATTTAATGTGGCAGGCCGACCTGTAAATGGTGAATGCAGATGTCACCTAATGATAATAATATCCTCTGGGGAAGCTTGCTACATAGTTAACTAACGTATCCGGTAAGCGAGCGGCCACCTCTCCGCGTTTTGACCGTGGTCAAAAACCTCACTCATTTCAACCACCAACCATGCCTCCAAAAGCACATCAAATTTCAAAAGATATAATGGAGCAGGAGGGAAGGGTCCTACTTGCTATATCTGCTTTAAAAAAGCAAGAAATCTGCAGTATTGCAGAAGCAGCACGTGTTTACAATGTTCTGCGTACAACACTTCAAAGACAACTAAATAGCCACATTTTTTGACCAGAAAAACGCACCAACAACCATAAGATGACTCAAAATGAAGAGGAATCACTTATGTCAGGGCCCTTACCATGTAGACCAGGACGAGCACGTGAGTTTCTTTATTTGGATTAGCGTGGCGCGTGGATAGGAATACGTCGTCCAGCTTCACGTAGATCTCTTCCTTTTTCCCTCCTCTCCATGCTTGAAGTTCTCGTCAATAGCTGCCTAGATAGTTGAATAGCATCCTATTCATCGTCTAGTTGAGTTCCGTGACAATATCCAGCTAAAGACCCCTACACCACCAGGCAGTCAATCAACAGATTCAGCACCCAAAACACCCTATACTGCTAGGCAGCTAGAAAAGCAGGCATCTGCAACAAGAAAACTGCTTAGGGAATATGTTAAAAGCCCTTCATCTTTGCTAGAAACACGCTTGGACAAGCTTATTAAGGATCATGAATTGGCTCTAAATGAGCTGATGATTACACGGGAAGAAGTACGCAAATTTCGTGCTAATAATGAATGGAAAGGCCAAAAGCAGAAGTGATCTAATAGGCAGCTAGCTATTGCAGAAGGGCCAGCTATTCAAGAGGGTCTAAAGCAATTTCAGCACAAGAATGAGGTCTATGAAGCTCAAGATGCACTTCATATAGATCCAGCACTTTCTACAGTTGGGCCACGCGTACAAGCCCCCCCACAGTGTTCTAATTGTCATGTTTGGGGACATACTAGAGTTAGATGTCCTAAACCACCTAGTAATTAGTTTTTATATAGAAATGCAATTGTTTTGTTGATATAGACCCTAGAATCTCACCTAGAGGTGGGATTGGAGCGGAGGTGGCCGCTCGTTTACAGTGGCCGCTCGCTTGCCGGATACGTTATTCAGGGGACGCTTATCTAAGGTTCTGGCAGTGAATGCCACCAACGTTGAGGCTTCTTATGACTCCTTATTGCTCCTTATTTCCGTGCTGGAAGCATAAATGTTGCATTATCGCCACCGGAAAATGTCTATCACGGAGATACATGCCCTTATGCCCGTGAAGATCCACATTGGCAGTCTTCTTGGGGAGCCCATGAGGAATTATGAGAAGCATCAAATGCCCGAAGTATCCACCCTTCACAAGCTTTTTCTTCAAACCGCCAGGGAGGAGACCAGCTACAGAGTGCTCCGTATCTAGTCCGTAAACGCAGACTGAACGATGGCTTCGTTCATCGACCAGGGTGTTTGGATTCCACACCCAACTCTGACGGAGAAAAACCTCGAGGATCAAACGGGCAAGGTATGTTGCCCACTCTTCTACTCTTGAGGGAACGCTATTTCTAACTTGTTTCAGGTCTTCATAGTAACTGGTGGCTACGTTGGCGTTGGATATGCGCTTAGCAAGATCCTCTATCAACGCAATGGAACCGTCTACGTTGCCGGGAGGAGCAAAGAAAAGGCAGAAAAGGCCATCTCTGCTCTGCAAGAAGAAGTATACGACTCTTCCGGGCGTCTGGAGTTTCTCCAGCTAGATCTTGCGGATCTACCGACCGTACCTAAATCAGCTGCGGATTTCATGTCCCGAGAAAGCCGGCTGGATGTTCTGGTTAACAATGCAGGGGTCATGACGCCGCCTGCCGGTTCGAAGACAAGCCAGGTGAGTGGGCATGTTTGTATTCTGCAGTTTAGACGACTCCAGATTCTGATGCGGTACGGAATATAGGGTCTTGAACTTCAACTGGGGACAAATTGCGTAGGCCCCTACCTCTTTACAAAGAGTCTGCTCCCTATTCTCCGTGAAACAGCCCGCGCATCCCCCCCCGGTTCTGTTCGCGTTACTTGGGCTGCATCCATCGCGACCGAGGTCTTCGCGCCTGAGAATGGCGTTACTTTCGAATCCGATGGTACCCCCAGGATTTATGACAACCAAAGGACGAATTACGGTGCATCCAAGGCCGGAAATGTCTTCTTAGCAGCGGAGTTCGCTAGACGATACCGAGAAGATGGGATTGTCAGTGTGGTATGAACTGATTCATAAATCTCTTTCCTGTTGACACGCACATTACTTACTCTAGGCACAGGCGTGGAATCCGGGGAACCTCAGAACTGAGCTTCAGCGACACTTGAACTTCCTCGAACAAATAGTCGTGGTCAGCATTGATACTCCCCTTCCTAGACTGCTGTGGAAAGAAAGCTAACAACTATTATCCCTATTGTCTTAGAATCTGATCAGCTATCCTGCCGTCTACGGAGCGTATACAGAGCTTTATGCCGGTTGGTCGAAGGACATCAGCTTAGAGAACACTGGCAGCTACATCATCCCTTGGGGTCGGGTTGGGAAGCTCAGGAAAGACGTAGAATTAGGATCGAAGAGAACGGACGAAGGAGGTACTGGGCACGCAGAGAGATTCTGGCAGTGGTGCGAAGCTGAAGCCTCTCGTTTCGCGTGAACGAGTTGCTCGGATTGTAGACATATAGATCGTTATTCTCTCCACTCAATAATAATACGCTAGCCATATCATTTTCCTCCTCTTAATTATGTATCTATCATCTTAGATTCTTAAATACTTTAAAAGACTGCGATATCGGACAGATGAGTCAGTGCCTTGGCATGCCTGAGGTTGTCGATTTGGCTTTTCCCGATCACAAGAGAAGCTTGCAAAGCATGAAGTACGCAACATATCACCAGCAGTCTCTCACATCGTCGTGTCAGACAGAGCTATGGACGCAGCGATCGACCTTTCAGATGCCTCCAAGGCACTAGATCTTGCCAACATCCGCTTCCAATTGATGTAAGTTCTATTACCAGACCATCTTCCCCGCACTCCACACTTGCGCGCGCAGGATCAGTTTCATTTCACTGATCACACTCAGCCGCCTCGAGGATACCATCACCTTCCACCTCATCGAACGAGTCCAATTTCCCCTCAATAGAACCATCTACGTTTCCGGTGGCGTCAGGATCCCCGGCAGCGATCTCAGCCTGCTCGACTACCTCCTTCGCGAACAGGAGCGTCTCCAGTCCCGCGTTCGGCGCTACCAATCCCCAGATGAATACCCCTTCTTCCCCGATGTGCTCGAAGCCCCTATCCTCCAGCCGCTACAATACCCCAAGATCCTGCACGATAATGACGTGAACGTGAACCCAATAATCAAGCAGCGTTATGTCGAGGAGATCCTTCCTGCCATCTGTCCCAAATTCGGACGAGAGGACCGTGGAGAGACGCAGGAGAATTACGGCTCGTCGGCTACGTGCGATGTCAATTGTCTCCAGGCACTCTCTCGTCGCATCCACTTTGGCAAGTTCGTGGCCGAGTCGAAGTTCCAGAAGGAGACGGCGAAGTTTGTCAAAATGATCCGGGAGGGGGATCGTGCGGGCATCGATGAGGCTATCACGGATCTCAATGTCGAGCAGAAGGTGCTTGAGAGGCTTCGGCTCAAGGCAAAGACCTACAGTACTGATCCTGCCTTCCCGGCAGAAGCTGGCCAGAAGATTAATGTTGACGCCGTTGTTGCCATATATAAGGTGAGGAACGCTCTTGTTCAAACTGCCTCCGCTGTCTATTCTTACAAGATATCACAGGAGTGTGTCATCCCTTTGACAAAGGTTGTCGAGGTGGAATACCTTATGCAACGCCTAAAAGGTACTGAGTGGGAAACGCCTTAGCAGTAATTACTATGCTTTGCCATTACCTTTAATAACTACATGCCCACACTAAAAGCGGAATCTTCTATGAATGCCCTAATTATCTAAATAGACTAGGACGGGGTATGATGTGAATTGTTGTATAGAACTGAAGAAATGGGGAAAAGACAATCCATCAAATGATGATCCTGGAAACCGCTAAACAGGGGGCTTTAGATAGTCAGACACGGCTTTCACTGCCGTTTCAAACTTCGGAGCTTCGATCAAGATCATGCTTGGCTTAGTTCTAATACCTAGTTCCTGGAAAGTCCGTTTCGAGTCGGAGTGGCCTTCATCATGCTGATGAGTGTATTCGAATGAGCCGTGACATAGTGCATGCCTCTGAAGAACCTCATCTTCGGGATGGAAATAGAACTGTTCGGCTTTGTTCCCGGCCTTCTTCTTCTTCTTCTGGGGCCGCGATTCTTCCATGTCCAACTTGGACTCGACCTCCTCGTAGGTCTTGGATATGATCAGATAATGAGTGAAGGTGTAGGGCTCCTTTTCTTCGATCGCCCAGGCTATTTCTTCCAGAAGCATAGTGTACATCGGAGGGACAACCTCAGACGGCATGTTAATCAAGCGCTCCGTGAGGATCAGGCCGATTGGAGGAATGGGATCTTGAGCGAGAAGGCCGGCCAGGGGGGAAAGGGAAGGGGAGGAAGATGCTTTGCGCTGTAGATATGTGATCACATCTTTGATGAAAGGTTTATCCTGTGCATGGAAGATGAGGCGCATTAGTTCCCTCGATCTGCACATCTCGTAGCTGCGGAACAGTAACCGCCGGGCTTTTGCATACCTTATGCTCCTGCAGATTCAACACCGACAGAAATGCGTACGGATCCGACTCGTTCCCGTCGACTTTGACCGTCGATCCCAGGAGTGGTTGCGACAATATTAAATCGGACAAGGCAGACAAGTCGAATATCTGGGCGTCGGAATCGAATAGTTGTCGCAGAAGGTTCTTGATGCCATGGAAATCGACTGCGGGCTGAGGATCAAACCACTCGAAGTCTACATTGATCATGTCAAAGTCCTAGAAGAGCATTCATTCTCAATTATTAGCAACAAAGCGACTGCAGAGAAATAGGAGAGAGATCAGTTAGTTTGTGTACCGTACTTCGTCGCTTTCATCTTCGTTGTCTTGGGCGGGGGATTTGTCCTCCATGCCTACATCGCCATCGAGGTCCTTGAGTTGCTTTCGTTTGGCCATTGAATATGTCCAACCTGTAGGATTTCTGTCTTGTTCTTTGCCGATCTTGATAATCTGGTGTCTTCTTGGGCTCTCTGTCGTGATATTCAGGTAGAGAAAAGATGGCCCAGTAGTTCCAGCCGCCTCGCTAAACTTTTTTTCCCTCGATATCGGCCGGTTCTTATCGGCGGGCGAATAACTTTCTTTCTCATCTGGATTTTTTTTTGGCTCTGGATTTTTCCCTTCGGAGTCATTCCCATCCATCGCCTTTGTCTTGTATTTCTCTGCATTTCCTCCAGAGCCATCCTCCCTGCCTCTATCATCATGGCTGCCAATACTGAGACGGCCATTGAGCCGCACAAGACCTTCGACACCATCCTGGTCTTGGACTTTGGGTCAGTCAAAGGAAATGTACTCTGAAAATGAACCACATAAAAAAACTGACAGCGCTTCTTTCTCAGATCCCAGTACTCTCATCTGATCACCAGACGTCTCCGTGAACTCAATATCTACTCTGAAATGCTTCCGTGTACCCAGAAGATCGCAGAGCTGCCATGGAAGCCCAAGGGTGTGATCCTGTCGGGCAGTCCATTCTCTGTCTACGAAGAAATTGCACCCCACGTCGACCCCGCCGTCTTCGAGCTCGACGTGCCCATTCTGGGTATCTGCTACGGTCTTCAGGAACTGGCCTGGTACCACGGGAAGAATGTTCTCGCCAGCGAGAAGAAAGAATACGGTCACGCATTTCTCGACATCCATAGACACGCTGGTGGGGAGAGTCACATCGACCGCCTATTCCAAGGGATCGCCGACCGCATCCAGGTGTGGATGTCCCACGGAGATAAACTGGCAAAACTGCCTGAAGGCTTTGAGGTGATTGCTACTACGGGTAGTGCGCCATTTGCTGGGATTGCGTACACCAAGAAGCCGTACTTTGGTATCCAGTTCCACCCTGAGGTTACTCACACCCCGCAAGGGACCCAGATCCTTGCGAACTTCGCAGTGGGTATCTGCCACGCCAAGCAGGAGTGGAGCATGGAGAAGTTTGTTGATAAGGAGATCGAGAGAATCAGGGCGCTCGTTGGCGAGAAGGGCCAGGTCATTGGTGCGGTTAGCGGTGGTGTTGACTCTACCGTTGCTGCTAAGCTGATGCATGAAGCCATTGGGAACCGTTTCCATGCCGTCCTCGTGGATAACGGAGTCATGCGCTTGAATGAAGCCCAGCAAGTTCAGGAGACTCTCCAGAAAGGTCTGGGAATCAACCTCACTGTTGTCGACGCCTCCGAGAAGTTCCTCGGACGCCTGAAGGGAGTTACCGAGCCAGAGAAGAAGAGAAAGATCATCGGAAATACCTTCATCGAGGTCTTCCAGGATACCGCCAAAGAGATCACAGCTGCCGCTTCCGGATCCGCCGAGGCGGGCCCCATCGAGTGGCTTCTCCAGGGTACCTTGTATCCCGATGTCATCGAGAGCATCTCGTTCAAGGGCCCCAGCGCTACCATCAAGACACACCACAACGTGGGCGGCTTACTCGAGGGCATGCACCTCAAGCTGATTGAGCCTCTGCGCGAACTGTTCAAGGACGAGGTTCGTGCTCTGGGAACCAACCTCGGCATCCCCGAAGAATTGGTCTGGAGACATCCTTTCCCTGGTCCCGGTCTCGCCATCCGCGTCCTTGGTGAAGTTAACGCCGAGCAGCTCCGCATTGCGCGCGAAGCGGATGTCATCTTCATCGAAGAAATCCGGGCTGCCGGTCTATACCGCAAGATCAGCCAGGCCTTTGCTGCCCTCTTGCCCGTTAAGGCCGTCGGAGTCATGGGCGACAAGCGCATGCACGAGCAGGTGATCGCCCTCCGTGCGGTGGAGACAACTGACTTCATGACTGCCGACTGGTATCCGTTCGATGGGGAGTTTCTGAAGCGCGTCAGTCGCAGGATCGTCAACGAGGTCAACGGAGTCTGCCGCGTGCTCTATGATATCACCAGCAAGCCTCCTGGCACGATTGAGATGGAGTAAAACAGGGGCGGGAGTTATGATTTTATTTTGCACTGGTTTTCGGTCTAGCTTATATAGTCATGGATAGATAATTCTGGCTTAGATGTGGCATGCATAGATGATTTATGAGATGGTTACTCTACTTTGTACATATAGTTCTGTACGCAACTAAATGGCATTGCTTCTTGAGATGAACCACTGCTCTTGTCGGACTTCTCGCTGCATAATGATCTTCAACACGACTCGAACCATCTTGATGGATGCTGTCATACTTCCCACTTGACGTCAGCGACGACGCTCGTTCCTGTGGAAGTTTGAAGTCTCCACAGAACCCAGATGCCAATGACCAAATGCGAGACAATGCACCTATTGTAGTTGGCCAGGACGATGTATTATGATAGTATTCCTCTACAGTCTCATATCCAAACTCCAACCACAGGGGCGGGGAGGTGAAGATCGAAAGCCCTCCGTGACTCCAAAGTGACATCACAACCCTACAATGCCAAAAGCACCGGATACATAAGAGCAGCTTCACCCCTGTTCCCTCAGAGGTTGTCATCGTCAAATCTATCTATCAGTCTTTAAAAAGTATACTTGCATTGCTACTATCGACAAACAACCCCGACCTACTAAACTCCCACAAAATGCCTCGAGAAACCCGCCACGGCGCAGCTCACTCGAACGTCGGCTCCCGCGCGCTGTACGAGGGCCAGGATCAGATCAACGATCCCCAATCCGTCATCAACGAGAGAAAGAGATACGGCGGCGGGAGGGCTAGCGGTATGGATCGCAGAAGCAAATTCATCCTTGGTTTATGTTACCTCGCCAACTAACCTCCTCCGCTTCCTCGGATAACAGATGATCCCATCGAAATCGGCCAGGCAATGGCAAATCAACCCTCAGATAAACGCCGAGGCCGGGAGGCTGAGGAGGAGCTGAGTAAAATCGATCCTACCAAGCCGGTATGGAGGAATCATTCGAGGCGTTTCCCTAGTTGGGTGAGTTGGGTGAGTTGATTGCTGACGTGATTATTCTCAGGCGACTTTCCATGGAAATAAACCATCGCGAGGAGCGGAGGTGGATAAGAGTTTGATGGAGGACGATGAGCTGAGAATGCGGGAGAGGCTTGGTCGTTAATCATGGCTTTGATCTAGCCTCTTGTTGATGGTGCTTTTGCCCTGGATGTCATGGTAGTCGCATCATGTTAAAATGTTGGAATATGATTCTCTTGGCACGATAACATCGACCAGCATATTCTCTCGTCAAACCAACATCGTGACGAATTGCCACCACGGCTATTATATTACTGTTGTCATGTCTAAGCCTCCTTAATTTAACTTTGATTGATGGTTCTCGTCGATCATCCATTCTCTTATCCCGTGCTAGATAGCGCCATTGTGGGTAAGGCGAACTCCTCTCCTCGACCTCTTCCTCGACTCAAGCCATCGTGTTCTGTCCTCCATGGGAACTCCCCATCACCATTTCTCCCAGGCGACCGTTTCTCTTTTTATTTGAGTCTTCTTCCTTCCCCCCTCCCGGGTTGCGTTCCTTTTCCCCCTTCCCGCTGCGTCTCCTCCATCTATCCATGGAACCCCACGCTCTCCCCGATCCCCTACGCCGCGTTGGATGATGGCGACCATCGAGACAGAAGACACCAGCACGAATCGCACGGAGATGGAATTGTCTCCGAATATGAAACGGCCTTCGGAGACGCAGACGACGCAAACCCAGGTGCTTAAGCCCCCCAGAAAAAGACGAAGAAGGACCGTGGCAAGCGGTGCCCCATCGGACTGCTTTACTTGCTCGAAACAAGGAGAAAAATGCGATCGTCGCCGGCCTTACTGTTCACAGTGCCTCGACCATGGTCGTGGGTGTTCTGGGTACAAGATGAATTTGACGTGGGGGATGGGAGTCGCCAGTCGGGGCAAGATGCGTGGACTATCGCTGCCGGTGCTGGGTGCTGAGCCGGCTGGGATTCCTCCCAAACCGCAGCAGAAGGCCGTTTCCAGGGGCTCGAAGAGACCGCCGCATGTGCAGACATCCTTGTCGACAGCGGCCGCGTTGTTGGAACAGTCGACTGTTGCCTCTACTGTGCCGACAGCCACGACTTATACTGCTCACCCCGTCGCATCGGTCGCATCGGCCGCATCGGCCGCATATCCGACTCGACAACAAGGCTTCCCCGGGTCGTCGGGTTTAGGGGCCCCTGGGAGTGCATGTTGGGTGCCTCATACTCCCACCTCTACATATGTAAGTCCTTATCAGCCGATCGCCGGACTGGGACTCTCTTCGTATCCGTGTAAATACCAATCCCCATACTACCCTTTGCATCATCAGTCTGCGCAAGCATCTACGGGCCTGGTTCCAGCGTCGATGGAGCAGCAGCATGCTGGTTCTGAGATACAAGGAAGTCAAAAGGAGGCACTGGAGCAACGAAGGGGATATTATGAGTCAGATAATTTCGCGTGGCCCTTTTCCCATTCCCCGTCATATTCCCAGCTACTCCTGGCGCGGTCGGTTGGTCGCACACCACGCCTCAAATATCTGATCAGCTACTATGTTGAAGTGATCGCGCCGGTGATCATAACTTTTGATAGCCCGACAAATCCATTCCGCACTCATATTCTTCGCCTGGCCGAGGACAGCGAAGCGCTTCAGGAAGCCATTGCATCTCTGTCAGCCAGCAACCTGAGAGAAAGGAGAAACCGCAAAACGATCTCCACTGGCAGAACACTTCCCTCGCGCATGTCTTGCATGGCGCATCGTGCCTTGACCGAAGGAGCTTCGCAAGATAACTCTGCAGCATACATACCCGAAGGCATAGACCGCGAGGTACTTTACCATCGTGGAATGGCTGTCAAAGCGTTAAACGCAGACCTGGCAAACCCGAAGCGCAGGCTATCAGATTCCGTCTTGGCGACATTGCTGGTTCTTTGTCTTTTCCACACCTGCGACACGGGCATTGCCAAGTTCGAAACCCAGTTTGCCGGGGTGAAGAAACTACTCGCCCTACGCATGCGCGGTGCCAAAACCGCATCGGATGAACTGAAGTGGTTCATTCGCATGTTCACCTGGTTCGATACTATGACAGCAGCGATGAACGACCGTGAGGCCCTTCTGCAGGATGCATGTTTGGATATCGCCGCCGTCTCCGATGGGGAGTGCCCGCTCGAGAACATAGCCGGATGCGATGCCAATCTCTTCCGACTGGTGGCACAAGTAGGGCGTCTGAATCTGCGCAGCCAGAATAAACCTGTCGGCACATCTGCCCCGCGGGACATGTTTATGCCTACGGCACCACTTCCGCCTTCGATGCTTCGATTTTCGCCCGTCGCAAGCGCCGACAATACGTCTGTCTCCGGTGCTGTTAACAACTATGGGTTCTCCATGCCCAGCCCACCAATCTGTGAGGAAGCCGGCCAACATTCCTTGGCAGCGTTCTGGGCAGAATGGTTCTCCCTCCGCCAGAAGCTCGAGTCCTGGCATTTCGACCCATCGGTGTACTGCCATTCCGTCACTCCCCTCTCCGCCACATCCTCTGAATACTTATCCCCTCCATCCTCACCATGCTCGAGGTCCTGGATCGCGCCCGAAAACTACCAGGATATCTTCCACATCTCGGAATCATTTCGCCACTCGGCCATCCTCTATTGCGAACGCCTCGCATATCCCTCCTTACCCTCTAGTCATCCGCGCTTCCAGAGCATTGTCCACCTGGCCATGCAGCATATCTCCGCCGTTCAGTCCGATGTGTATCTCCTCTGGCCCCTTTTTATTGTGGGTTCCGAATGCGTCGACGAGTCCCATCGCATGGCGATCCGGAATCGCTGCTGCGACATTTCCAACGACTCGGGCTTCTCCAACAACCTATCTTGTCTTGAGTTGTTGGAGAAGATTTGGGCACAGGAATTGGATAGATCTTCTGGTGCACCAGCTGGTTTGTTCTGGAATAATGCTATGCCCGGTGGCTGGACTCCCCAGGGACAATTATCCGTGTACGGGAGGAGTGGGTTCCGATGGCACGATGTCATGGCAGAGAAACGAGGGGATGGGGAATACATGGTTGTTTGATGATCACTCTTCTCTCCGAGCTATGGGATATTGGTGTCTGGGTCTGGCGTTTGGAGTTCGTCTTTTATATGTAACGAGTCACGAATAGATTGTACATACCTGGCTGAGATATGACAAGATTCTTATATATATATACATATGCAATGCAATTGAAATCACCCCCTGATCATGGTATAATTCGTACTTACGACTCCCTCCAGCCCATACTTGGACAAATCCACGACCTCCTTTTCGGCAACCTTAAATCCAAACCTGAGGTACAGCGGATATCCCATCTCAGTAGCCCTCAACCAAACGGGAAGAGAGGGATGTTCCTGATCGATATCCTCCAAACCCGCTTTAAGCAGAAGCGAACCGACGCCTTTCTGCTGATGCTTGGGATGAACAGCGAGGATAAGGAGGGCTAATATATCAATCAGCTTCCGCTTCACGAACTGTAAAAACAAACGCGTCAAAGCAAAAAGGATGGAAGGATCAACAAACCGATATATCTCTTCCCCTTCATGAGCAAATTCGGCCTCCCAAAGAAATCATAAAAGGCCTGCGGAGAAGGCGACGTCGGCGGCGGAACACGCTTTTCCTCCTCTCTCGTCTCTGGATCATCAAGGTAGTACTTCCAGCCTGCCCAGCCGACTATTTCCTCCTCCTCCTCCTCCTCTTCTTCTTTGTCTTCTTTCGAGCGTCCATTGGCATTGGAACGGGGGGACCGAATGACGGCCTTGACCAGTTTAATATTGGGAGCTTGCGACCATCCCTCCAGATCTTTGCCGCGCGCTAGGACGCTTTCTTCGGTGGGAGGGCCGAAGCAGAGGGGTCCTAGGGGATTGGATTCGAAGGCGGCATTTTCGAGGATGGAAAGGGTGAGGCCGTCTTCTGGGGTTGCGGGGAGGGCTACTATGGACATTTTGTCTTTCTTGTTCGGTTCTTGGTTTTATATGCAATGGGCGATGTTTTTCAAGGGAATAGAGAAGGTACAGATACAGATGCAGCATACACGTTCCCCGTGCAGAGTAGTTACTAGTGAGCCAGGTTGCCGACTTCTTCTATCTGCGGAGGGCTTTAATAAATTGCTGGTCATCCTATGCCGGATCGGGACCCCGCCGGGTTGCGTTGCTCTGATGGCAACACCAGGCAAGTATGTCTTCTAGATTGATAGATTATCAACATGAACGAGGAGAGGATAGGACGCTCGAGGTACAGGGTAGTAGTCGTACTAGTCTCCGTCAGATTCATAAAGATGACATGGTAACACAGCCTCATGGCTCCACAAAGAAAGATCGCTGCATGCATGATACAACAGAGATTATTGTTTCGTCTGTAATTACTACAATCTGGAGATCTGATAGATGTAGATTGCTTTGAAAGTAAAAATAGGGTAAAAATAGGACAGCTCGAGCCACATTCTATTGTTGACTACGTTCGTGCATCTGTCAGGATGACGAGGGTTGGTCAGATTGGGATCTATCTTCGCAACACGCACCTCGAGTATTCTATTTGCAGCAAGTGACAGGATAGGCCTGCGCGATTATTCTATTCCATGGAGACGAGAACTGACGTATGGAGTACTAGTACAACAAGCTTCTCTTAAATGCATGCATTCTTATCTCCATGGCAGCAGTGCTCGTGACATGCTCTGCCCAACACGGCTCATTCAGAAAGCAAATCGACCCCCAGATCCTGCAGACTCACTCGGAAAAGGAAGGCCATCAAACGAGCAACGGCGGCCATGCATTCTTCCTTTGGATACTACTGCATCCTCCATGCAGGAGGAAGCATGGAGACCTGAACAAGGCCCAACCGGTGTTTCCGTTGGCGAGCCCGTAGTCAGTCTTGTGGAGAAAGACGTAAGTAGTGAGAAACGAGCAGGCGTGTCAAATGCTGATTTGCAGCTTGAATCCATCGGTTCGAAACATTATTCTCGAGGATGTGAAGAGGGGCTACGAGAGGAGAGTTGCTTCGAACGGTCAGCAGAGCCGTATTCTACATAGTAAGCAGCCTGAAAACGACAAGGATTCAGGCATCGATTTTCAGCCATTCTCCAGACACGAGGGGTTGAGTGAAACGTGCCAAGGACAGGGACGGAATTGTCGTGGGTTAGGCTGCATGAGGTGCCTATTCCTGCCAACGCAGCATGGTCGAGGGGGGACAGGGTATTATGACATGGAAATAACAAATAGACTGGTAAGGAATAGGATAATAGAGGTGGTGGAAGAGGATGGAATGAAGAATTCCTTCCCCCCCATTATCGTCTGCTCTGGTTGAAGAAAGATCTCGACCGAAAAAGGACAGACTTGATCCATGGCTGCACATACCGAAGATAAACAAAGAGGAGAAGATCTATGTATGGCAAAGCTCAAACAAAGTAGGGCACAGGGCAAGGGCATAGCGAAACGAGATCAACCCTGTCTTAGCACGCACAGAAAAAAAGGCAGGAAAAAAAAATCAGGGACAGGGATTATTATTATTACCATCATCCATCATGTTTTGCCCCGTCCATCCCAGCATAATTAAATTGCTTGAAAATTTTTCCAGTAGCTGGCCGTGTCCATATGCGTGCATCTACGTCGTACTCTGTACGGGAAATCCATAATATCGATCATCATCGAACGTACCAGTCCATTATGATGATCCATAATGCCGGGTCGACCTCTGCCCTGTTTGTGGCTGTGAGAATCAATGGTAGGTCTGGCCTTTTTTTCTATTCGCATTCCTATTAGACGGGCAGCTCCAGGTATGGAGCTCTGGATGGAGTCGTTCATATAAAATGCTTTTTTGGTACGGAGTATTAAGAATTACAGGTTTCCAGTATACTTCCTAATGGCCCATGCAAATTGCGGTCTGCCTGTCTCTTTCTGAATTTTCAGCCTTTCCTTTCTGTGACTCATCGAGAGCGAAGAGAAGGTTCCAGTGCTGAAGGAAATCCCAGGATTGATGCCCAGTTATCTGTTGCCCAATCTGGATGAGGTGACATGTTCTCATCTTCGCAACATAAAGATTATCCACAAGGGAACCAAAAAAAAAAAGAAAAACAGAAAAACAAAAACAAAATAAAAAATAAAAAATAAAAAATAAACAAATATATACAAAAAGAAGACAAGAAGAAAATAGTGGAGTTGGCCGGTTATTAAATATGATATGTTTGATATTCGCCGGAAACTGCATCCGCTTCCCCCAGTCCCACCCAACTCGAATTCTGGGACGGAGCGGGAGAGTCCGTTTGGTGCCTGGGTCAGCTACTCTCGATCCATGGTCCGTATCATCTGCTATCACAATCATAATCATACGTTGCCTGTTGAATCGCACACAACAAGCACCTTTCTTGCAAAGGGGGTCTCTGTGGGATTCGGTGCAATTTCAATAAATTGGCAGGATTCCGTATATCAGGGAGCTGCTGGTTCTTTTGTGCTCGTGCAGAGATGCCCGTGCACTGCCAGTTTCTAGTCATTATTATTATCATCCTGGATAACCCCTTTTAGCATGTGTACTCTGTACACTGAAACCAAATATAGTCACCCCATCGGCCATGCGCCACTGTCATTGTATAAAGGCGACCCTTGCTTGTTCCTCTCCCGTCGCCAGGAAAAGGGACACAGCCATATATCCAAGCACTCAATAGATCGAACGCTAGTCGAGTGGCAAGTGTCCTTCGGAGCGCCTCCAATTCTCCGGTCAGGGGCCAACGTAGCAGAATGACTCACTCTATTGAAAAACTCAGCTGCTGGGAGGATCCCACTGGACTCTTCTTTGCCTGTCCCGAAGATAGAGGCGAATAGCAACGTCGTAGCAGTAGCAGTATGATATGAGCCATGTCGATTGCTGCTCTTTTGCGACTTGCAATGCTGCCAACGGGGCATTAATCAGCAATGGCTGGATGCTTTGAGCCGCTGCCTAGTCATATCTGCGATGGAGGGAGCGGCGGGAGCACAGGAGGGCCGTTAATTGGGAATCACTAATATATGACTATCGTATTTTTGTCTGGGAGAGGGCGTTAGCGAAGCCACCAGGTAGTAGGCAGCAGGAACAGAGGAGGCTCTGGCATACGACGCTCCTCAGCAGGAAATGTTACGATTGGCAGATCTGTCAACCTCTGTGCGAGAAAGGGGCGAATATATGAGCGTAGAAGAGACAAGCTGATGGAAGCGAGAGAAGGGGTTCTTCCATGAGGATGCCTTCCATGTGCGGATCTAGGCTGCATGCAGGAGAATGATGCTGACGTACATATCATAAGAACATCCTCATGATTATTAAAGCTGAAAAGCCTCTGCTGCCTTCATTGCAGAGGCTCTGGATCGCTGTTCCCTGCCAGTCGAGCTGCTGCAAGCTGCCGGCCGCAACCTATCTGAGACCGTGGCTTGGACTGCGAGCCGCCAGTTGGGCAAAAAGAGAAAAAGAGAGGCGAAAAAAGGACGCCCAAACCGACGCTAATCTTAATAATATTTTTGTATTATTTTTATAGTTTTTTTTACGGTGGATGGAGACAACATCTCGCATACAGCCACGGCCTGCGGCCAATCGCCACGCAGGAGCCCGCTACAAAATTGCCGCTGGCCGCCCAACCTCGCCCGCGCCCTTTTCCTCTCTTTTTCTTCCTCTTCCCATCCCCAACCTCCAGGGTTGATATCTCAATTATCCACCACCTTGTCGCCTTCTTATCTATCCATCTGTTTTCTTTTTCTAGAAGTGGTTTCTGGTGGCAGATCCAGGGGCCTTTTTCATCAGGAAAACAAAAGGACACATTCTGCGAACAGTCGTTTGCGTTCCTGTTCTCGGGAATCCAAATCTGCTCCTCCCAACTACCATTATTCCCCCGTGTCAAACGCCCCCAACGTTCAAATGCACTCTCACCACGCCCGCACTTCATTCTCCTCTTTCCTCCGAATAAAAACCGTACCGCGCTGACAGGCCCAATCTGCACGATTGGTCTGTCGGAACTTTGATTGCATCGGCGTCGATTTGCTGCGTTGATCGATATCCTGTATAATATACTGGGGTGTTTGGTTTTTGCTCTTTTCTCTTTGTTTCCTCTCCTTTCTCTTGTGCGTTGTCCTTGTTTTGGCTTTTTTGTTTTTGCGTGCAATTCAGGGATACTCTCCATTCCCAATATAAACAGTTCCTCTTCCAGAAACTGTTGCCGACACTTCTCATGCCGGCTCCTTGAATAATGTATCCCTACTCCAGTCCACCTCCAGGGTGGTCTGCTTTCGACTACACCACATCGCCGCCCACCTCGCCTCACTACGTCCACTACTCGACTCAGTTCGCCAACATGTACGGTTCTCCTCGAGCCTCCTCAAAGCGCCATAACCGCAAGGCCAGCTACAGCGCGACCACTAGAGACTCGGGTGCGTGGTATTCCGGATACCCGCAGAGCTACTACGAAATGAGGCCAGAGTATGGCACGCCGCCTCGCAAGCACAATCATGTAAGTGCTTCTTTTGGTGGCTCCAAATACAAGACCTCGGCGTCTCGCCGCCATACAGTGTCTGGCAATCGCCCGTGGGACTGTGCTGGCTGCGAGGAGTCTCGTCCGTCGCGATCGCAGAAACCGCCCATCTTCGTAGATGAGGTCGACGATGCATCCGATGATGATGTCGAGCCGCCCTACGTCTTCCGCGAGCACAAGCATGGCCGGTCGGGCAGTTATGTGCCGCCGCCATCTGCATCTGCTCAGCGGGACGGTTTCTACTACCAGTCGCAACGGCATGCATCCCAACGTATGCCAAGGCCACCCACTGATCATTACTTTCACTGTAACCAGGTCCCTACCTACGAGGACATCGACTCCGCCAAGCGATCTCGCACCCGCCGCCAGTCCACATCTACTCGCACGCCTCAGAAGCCTCGCCCTTCTACGGCCTCCAAGTCACCGACCAAGGCAACTGAAGAGGATGCAGCCCGCGCAGGGATTCCCCCGGGTTACTCAATCAAGAACTGGGATCCGACAGAAGCACCCATCATCCTACTCGGAAGCGTGTTCGATGCGAATTCGCTAGGCAAGTGGATCTACGACTGGACCGTGTTTCATCATGGCGCATCGACCCCGATGGCGGATGTCGCAGGTGAGCTGTGGCTATTGCTGATCAAGTTGGCTGGGAAGATTAAACGAGCGGACGAGTGCCTGCCTCGAATTAAGCGCCGCGACGCCAGAGAAACCGTCGAGGATTTCCTAGAAGGTGGCGAGCGCCTGTGGAATCGTTTCAAGAAACTTCTCAAGGAATGCGAACATTACATGTGGAAGGCCGCCAAGCGTGAAGGCGGCAGGGGACCCGTGTCGATGGGTCGCAATGCAGGGTGCGAATTTGTCGAGTCGATTTTCGGTCGCGACCGCCAACTAGAAACCACGGAAAAGTTGATGAACAGCATTCGTGTGTGGAGCATGCGCTTCGACGCCAACTGTGAAGAAATCCTCCGACGACCATGTTAATCGGCATACGATTAAAAAAAAACCCCCCCCAACATTATTCGAAAAACTAAAATCGAACAACAGCGAAATCAATATATTATTATACGAGTCTCGTCACAACTCTTGGTCATTGACCAGTATGGTTTAGAAAATTCTTGCAGGATGCAAAAAAAAGGGGAAAAGAAAAGGGGGCGGCGCAGGAAGGAACAAAAATAATTAGAGTCCATCTGCTTGATTTGACGGCATTTAGACAGCTGGGCTGTTGCCCCTCGATATACCTCAGATATCGGGCTGTCTCGAAGCATTTTTCTGATTTACACGATTTTTAATTGTGTCGGCCTTATATCGTTGCATTTTCAGCGCGTTTGGTTTGGCTGTTTCCATTCACCCAGAACCAGTGTATGTCACTGGCTCAATCGCTATCAGGGCGAGTCATATTCTGGCGCAAGTGTTGCGTTCTTACTGTTCTTGCTGGGACGGGTCATGTTTTACTCGTGTCGCTTTTTTATGTGCGAAGCTTACAGTTCTTAACTGTCGAGTGTGTCGCTTTGATTCCCGGTCTGCTTGCTTCATTTCTTCGATGATACCATTTCGCGTTATCATTTTATATGTTGCTATTGTTTTGCAATGTGCCCATTTCCTTTGTTTTTTCCTTTGTCTTTTCCTTTGTTCTTGATTTCTTCCGTTCCTTTCTTTGCCTGGGCGTTGACCGGGTGTATCTACATACCCATAGACCGACTTGGCCTTTTGCAATATTGAATAATACCTTAGACAGCATATTGACTTCTGCAGCTTCCATAATATCTCCACCCGAAGCCCGTGCTCCATAGACGCCGTAGATTACTACTTACTCCCTTGATGACTCGACTGGATGTAACCCCGCAGTGGACATGGCATCCCACCATGCACGAGTATGTTAACGACAATCGAGCGGGTTAATGCCACATTCAACTAGCATGCTGCACGGAAACAGCGGCGCGTGGCAGTGGAAAAAGGTCGTCGGGCAGCAATTGGTGGATATTGTCTGACGGCTACTGGCACTAGCAGCTGCTGTGCATCCGGAAAACCGCCCGTTGCATTCTTGCCGTGAAAAATGCAGAATCGTATGGACAATGATACTTACTAATGCATGCACGGCTGCATGTCCATTGTGCATGATGCATGATGTATGACGTATGATATGTAGCCATGCAGCGTACATTCTACATAGTTCATCTCATTCCTAGTTAGGCTTAGCGCTGATTAGTACTGAAACGAAGCCGCGATACAACACGGCGAAGGACGATTTTAGTGGTAAGAAAACGATATAACAAAAGAAAAGACGCAACGATGATGGGGCCGAGCTCCGTACTACACGACGACGATAACGATACCAGTGAAGCAACTTGAAAACGGAAAGTATGCTCGTCCTTCGAAACTTCGCCTTAAGTACCCTCCCGCCACGGACTCCACCATACCTAAGTATGGCGGAGGCCGTGGCCCAACAATAGTACAAAGATACACCAAGGTCCGAAACCAGTTTCCGCCTCGTAGACACGAGCTTATTTCCAGACCCTAGCGCCAAGGCGCTAATACGCAATGAGTAGATATATTTATTAGATTAATATGATGTCACATAGGGCAAGCCCTTTGTTCTTGTCCTGGTATCGTTCTGTAATGTATCTAGGAAGGTGTAATCGAGATACAATGGCAGACAGAACTCGGATAGAAGGTTCTTTCTGCCAGGCGGTGAGGCTCTGTCCGGGCGAGTTGGCAAGAGTGGGAGCTTGCTCAGTATCCTACATTCCTCTCCCACATCTTGCAGTATAGGGCTGCAGGAGGAGTAGAGATCGCCTGTCAAGGTTTGACAGGTTGGGCTTTATTGGTACTGTGTTATTGCTTATTCCTCAAACCCCGCTCTGCTTATCATCATGCATAACCTCGTGTTATTGACCTGTCTTGGGCATCAGACGGGTGTGGGCTAACCCCTTGCGGCATTATAGGTCTATTGGATCCATTCCTTCTCCAAAGTATGACCAATGGCCTCTTCAACTATGATGATGAAACCTGCCAGTCCTGGGTGATCGACCCACGGGACGAAGACTCGCAGTATCCTCCACCAACTCCGGGAAACTTCGGTCGAACCCCTTGTACAGTGTCTTCGCTAAGCCCTACTCCGGACCCTACTTACCGCCAAACGCAATCCAATGATCTCGGGTTTCTTCCGTATGATGAGTGGAAGAGAAGGAAGGATAATAACTGCGAGGACCTAGGAGAGCAAGACCTCATTTACCACACGATCGCCTGGAAACTTAAGATCAATCGGACAACCGAAGCCAAGGAGACCGAACAGGACTTGGTCGTAGCTCCGAGTGAATATTGGGCGAAGTGCCTGAAACAAAAGATTGACGCGTTGATGCACGCTAAGAAACGGAACCGGCGGGTCCGGTTCGAAGACGTGGAGATCGTGGTATCAATCAACCACCGTAATGAGGGCCCTCTTGAGAAGCGCTCTGATGACACTAACATTGATTGGAGACCAGTGGAGACAAAGCTTCGTAAGTGGAGCAATCTGGTCCGCATGGGCAGGACACCTCAGATCGCCATCACCGTCAAATATATGAGAGATGATGACGCGGCTAAAGCGTACGAGAAACGAGGCTCTTCAGCCACCAAAAGGATGCTTGCTGAACGAGACGCAGCCATCACTGCTGAAGAAGAGTCAAGTCAGCCTTCATCCTGGAGATACGTGTACAAGCTGATGCGATGTTCTGTGACTTCATGCAGTAACTTCGATAAGTGGTGCTGGCAGGATCTGACGGGTAGGAAGCATTACGGACTACGAAAAGCCCACCTTATGAAGTTAATTGCCTATGTGGATGCCGGGGGAAAGCTCGACAGTCACGATGATGTCCCGGAAGGTATTCGACAAGCTCTCTACGTGGAGGCGCAGCAGAAGCTTGAAAGAGGCTTAAACAAAACAAATCACCAGGTTGCTTTTGGAGCCCCATGTCCAATCAATATCAATCTCTTGGCCCCCCAGGGTACGCATGAGTCTGCTATACCTCTATCACCTCCCAGACCTGCGATCTCGAAAAAGAAAATCAAGATTTCTGGGCCTCGAGATGATGCTGTCAGGGCATACTGTGAATGGCATGAACTCCAAGTGACCGACGAGAAGCGCAAGGCCGATTGGCGTAAGGCATGTGAGATAACCCTGTCTAATGGCCTTGACCTCGAGTTGGTGGAAGAAGATCAAGAGCATGTGCAGTTCCTGATTGAACAAGGCGTGACAAAAGGGACTGCCCGGCGATTTGTCCGCGACATCCCTGAGTGGGTTGAACATGTGAGAGAGCTATCATCGGAGGGATGCAGTCAAGGTGCCCCCGATTGCACAGACGACTGAACACTTCTTGGCTGCTAAGCGTGATGGTTTGCGTCTTATTTGATGAGCAGTGAGCATTTAGATTTGCTTTGCATTGTCGCTGCGCTGGCCGTACGATGGTCTAGTTATTATTTGGCTTGTTAGCTAGTTTATGCCTTAATACTCACATTTCGCAAGGTTGTTTCACAGCATGCCTGAGAACTAGTGGACTAGATCACTGGCTATATATCGCATACCTCTTGTTCATCCATTGTTTTATGGTAGCTGTTGACGTTCATTACAGTGGCTGTGGCAGATGCCAAGCCAACTCCACCCCGCAATTTAACATCGATATTTCCGACCAATGAACGACACGGACTGTCGTTGTAACCAGTAAGAGCTATTTCAAGTCTTAGCTGAGGCGCTTCAGCACGTCGTAAAAACCAGTCGAAACGATGAACCCTTTGCAGAGATCATCGCTCCATTCGGCCAAGTTGGCACTGAATCTTAAGGGTTGGCAAACCTTCGGTGACATAGCGTAAACAATTGGATAAATGGTGGTGGTGGAATTCCAATACAGTCGTTTTCGACAGGGGCTCGGAGTGCTGGAAGTTGATTAGTAAGTTGGGATTCTCCACCTAACGGAGACTCCCGATCGGATTCTGGGTCTGTTTCCGTGCGGCGATGAGTTGACCTCACCCCCCATATACCTCACATCTCGATTCCGCCTACCTTTTAGATTTTTTGAGGTGCGGAGAAGAAATTCAAATGGCGTCTATCCTGCGGGCTTTAACGAACAACATTCGGCGAACGCGACTGTCTTCCAGAGAACGCTCTACCGTTGCGCATATCCTTCCAACGGAAACTCCGATCGAGGAAGAAACCTTACCACACTACAAAGCCGCGCATTACTATCCGGTGAGAATTGGCGATGTGTATCACACCAGATACGAAGTTGCGGGAAAGCTTGGGTATGGGGCATATTCGACCAGCTGGCTCTGCCAGGATGTTCAGTGCGCCACTCCCAGTCCAATTGATCTTAGAGGAGCTCTGACGAGTTATGAATTAAAAGAGCCAAGAAATACAGAGTATTGAAGGTGTCGACCTCTTTGCCAGATTACCCCACTGCAACAGATCGCGAACTGCGAATTTATGAACACCTTGCAAACATTGACTCTTCACATCCGGGTCAGTCATTGATCCGCGAGCTATATGATGCATTCGACCTTCAAGGTCCTGGAGGCACACACCGGTGTCTTGTACTGCAACCGATGAATATGACACTCCTTGAAATGATGCGAATGAATCCACAGCCATTTGGTCTTCCTTTACTCAAAATGACTGTAAAGCGACTTCTATCGGCACTTGATTTCTTGCACGCGGAGGCAGAGGTTATTCATGTTGGTAGAGACCTACACTCTGTAAAGGGTTGGCTTGCAACTGATTTCTTCTAGATCTGAAGACCGATAACCTGATGCTCAGCCTGGAGGACAGCTCCATGCTGGCGGATTTTGCAACAGCGGAATCCGAAAACCCCAGCCCTCGGAAGGAGATTGACCAGTCACGTATTATCTATCGCAGTCGGAAGTTTCGGAGACCTACGGGAGGCAGGAACTACGGTCTTCCAGTCTTATGCGACTTTGGAGAGGCAAGGATTGGTAAAACACAGGAGTCAGGACCTTTCGTCCAACCACACATATACCGAGCGCCTGAGGTCATTTTTGAAATGCCTTGGGGGAGCGCTATTGATATCTGGAACCTTGCTGGCCTTGTAAGTCCGGTGCTACGGGCGTTCCGTGTTACTGCATTACTTTGCTGATGGTCGATTAGATTTGGGATCTGTTCGAAGGGCAGCATCTGTTTGGAGATATATTCGACCCCAGAGGTGGCCATGATCCGTTCAGACATCTGGCGCTCATGGTAGCCTTAGTTGGACCACCGCCGACTGAATTCGTGCGGCGCAGTGAGACGACGGAGCAGTGCTTTGACTCGCGCGGTCAGAACCCGTTTTTTATTACACGCCCTTTCGTATTGGCCCTGAGACTGATATAATTGCAGGTGATTGGATTGCGCATCATGAAGCGCCTGTGCCTCCTGTTTCACTTGAAACTCTAGAAACACGGCTTGTTGGCGAGGAGAAAGAGCTATTTTTGGGATTCATTAGGTCGATGCTGAAATGGATGCCGGAGGAACGCAAGACAGCTAAACAGCTGCTTGAACACCCATTCTTACTCTAGCCGCCGCCTATTTTTCTTTCGTAACTACGTCTAATGTCGAATCGAATATGATTGACCAGCGTTTTATGTAGCCGCCACATTCTTTCTGGTAAGGACATCCCCAGCAAATAGTATCCTGCGTACAGGCGCCAGGTGGATCTTTCCAGCCTTAGGCCATCGTTGAGAAGATATCTTCCTGATTCAACCCTGCACAGTAGGGATGGCGCTTACAGTCAAAGTAGGCTATTTATACACGATCATGTCGCTCACCATAGCATACAGGACTTTTACGCATCCCCGGTTTCCCAGTCATTGTTATCAGTGGCCTATTTCCCAACTGGCTTTCCGCTCTTCACTCATCTTTGGTCCTTGTCACCATGTCTACCGTCATCCGCCGTTTCATCTCTTACGTTGGAAAGTGCTCACTGAGCGACTTTAAGAACCCAACCCATGCAACCCTGGTTGACACCTATTGCAATGACCAGGAGAAACGAGTAGGTCTCCTGCATTTATTTCCGAATCTCACACTAATTAGTCTAGGACCCTCGCATCAAATATGCCAGCATTGAAGGGACGGAGTTTCATCAATCTCACAAAAGACCGGACCGATCCGAAGCAGGTGCTCTCCATTAAATTCTTAGACGAGGAAAGAAAGAGAGTGGGAACGGGACACCTACACGAAGATGGAACCTCTAAATTCCGCTACAAGCAGAAAGCTCCGGCCGAGTCACAGGACGGTGGATTTGAGAAGTCATAATCTGGCCCTTGTACAAAGCGGCTTGGTGTTATCGGAAAGGGCCCGGAAAGTCCCTCCATGTCGGTGTTATTGTGTGTCGCTGGGTTCACTGTATACCTGCACGTCTGTCGTTGAAAGTTCATGGCAGAGTACCTTGGAGCATCAGACTACATCAGAAAGCACCATGTTAGGTTTAAGCCATGTGCCACGTTCATCTAAGCTCTCAGACTTTCGTCGGCAGTTTATCGTATGTATTGAACACCACAAATGCTCGTATCGTTGTCACGACGCTGGTCATCTCGACGAGATTGGAAAGAATGAAAAAGCGATTACATACACTCTTACGAGGCACAGGATAAGGAGCCAAATGATGAAACAAAGCAAGGCATACAACTCCATTTTGGCCCAGGATGATCTTCTAAGAAAATCCCTTAATGGAAACTCCTGGCAGAGAGTATCGCGTCATGAATTGTTGCGAAATGATGGTCATTGCTTGGTGCCTTGGTGTAAGAAATAGAAGGAAAAGAGGGTCCTATCTATGGACTTGCAGTGCCCCCGGCATAACTCCAAATTGTATAGGGTCCAATCGATGTTGTGAATATGGTGGTAAATGTATCTTTAAATCCCTGGCATGACTGTGACGATCGGCTATAATAGGATGAGAAGAGGAAAGTAACTCGCTATTTGGCCGTACTGTCTAGGAATATCGTACATGAGAAGAAGAAGGAAAGGGAAAAAAGGTGAAAGACATGGTGGGAAGGAAATAGGAGGCGAGGGCAGCTGCCTGCCCTCAGCCCTAGCCCTGTGCCCTACTTGCTCAATCTGCTGGCACCTTCTAAGACATGCCAGGGTCACATGATGACGGTCATAGCCCAGGTACGGTCGTCACAATGACCTCTTCCTCATTACTCGCATTTCGCACATCCCATCCTTCAATCACACGACTATACATTGTTTATCACTATTTATACCATCTATACTGATCGCTCTTCCCCTCTAGACATGGAGGTAGACGATCCTCCTGCGGACGAAGCTTGCCCAGGGACTCCGCGCCTGTTCGAAAACTCTGATCCGTTATCAGGACCTCCCACCCCTACCCCCCTCCCCCGCATCTCCCTGAAAAGGAGGGCGCCACCCTCCCCCTATAGGATGCCTACAGCGATAATAGCTCCTATATCCAACACGCAGGCTGCTGGATCAATTTGCCAGCAGGCTACTGCAGCTGCAAACAACCAGCTCCTGCTCCTAGGTGACTGGAAGCTAGTGCTAACCTCCCTTGCAGAGGCACTTGAGACAACTGTCTCCTCTCTACAGGGCTGTCCCAAAGAGCTTGCTTAAGGGCTTGTAGCTAGGTTTATTACTCTGGCAAACCTCAACACCCCACAGCAAGGGGCAAAGCCTGACATAGCACCCCCCTAGATGGCGCAGGCATATCAAGCTAAAAAGACCTTACAGACCTCAACCTGGGCCTCAGTTGCCACCCTAAAAGCTAGCCAGGACAACTGGCAATCTGATACTCAAGAACATAGTGTGCAAGCCTCTTGGCAGCAGACACAAAAGCCAGCCCAGCAGCAACCCCAGCAGGAAAGTAAAACTGACTCCTGTATCTTTCTCTGGCTGCCAGTCTCCTCCAGCCTACAAGCTATTGGGCCACATGGCATCTGGGTCACCCTAGTGGAAAAAATTCCTAGTGGAATTGCATGAGTTCAGGCCATGGCTACAGGATATGCAATCTCAGCCACTGAAGAAGGTAGGGCTTTCCTACTCTCCCCACAGGCAAGCAGGCTAGCAGGAGACAGCAACTTTGAGGCTGCAACAGGTTTCCATCAGGTAGTAGTCCCTAGGATCCCTCAGCAGCTCTGGACCTGAGAGGGATAGGCACCCACCACAATCAGGGATATCAGTACAGAAGCAGAGCACATAACTGGTATGAAGCTGCTTATGACTAAGCTCTCTAAGCACCCTATAGAGGAGGGCTCTATCACAGCAGTCATAGCCTTTCCAAAGAAGCCACAACATGCCTTGCAACTCTTTGGCTCCTCTGGCCTATCATGGCCTACCTGCCCTAAGAAAAGACCACTACAGTGTACCCACTGCCACTGTTTTCATGATACATGAGCTTGCTGCTCTAGTGAGTGCTGCATCTCCTGTGGATCCTCTAAATAGGAGCATACCTGCTGCATGCAATGCATGAACTGCTGTGGTCTACATACAGCAGACTACCAAAAGTGCCCTGCTAGACCATATACACAAAAGGGTTCTATTATCCACCTTGCAAAGGACACCTTGGCTTCAACAGCAACTAGCTAAGACAGCCTCTAGCCACCAAGCTAGCAGTCCACACACCCCCCACCAGTCCTCAAGCCAGCTTGCCCAGGAGCTTGCAAATCAAACCCTCCCATCACCAGAACTATGAAGATATTACAGGCTAATGTTGGAAGGGGCAGCCCTGCCCACAACCTACTGCTAACATTCAAGGCAGACATTATCCTAGTCCAGGAGCCCTGGACGGACATAGCAAAACAACTCACAAAAACACACCCACAATACCAGCTCTTCAGCCCTGCCACTCAGTGGGAAACTAGGCCTAGAGCTTTGATATATGTTTGCTGGGATCTTCCAGCATTCTCTCTCCCTCAGCCTATCTCACCAGATATCGCAGCTATCTGTACAGCTGGCCTAACCATTATAAACATCTACTGCCCCCCAAATGACCCTGTTGTGCCAGTGGGATCTGGTTTAACCCTATCTACCCTACACACCCTATTGCAATTCTCCCCTCCGCAGAACACTATTATCATGGGGGACTTTAATACCCACCACTGTAAAGGGGGGCGTACGTGCGTTGTTCCCTGCGACAGGAACCGGGTTGTGATCGAGGGATCTCAGGAATGGACACACTGAACAATCTAGCAAAACGATATAACGATAAACGAAAACACAACGACGAAGGAGCCTCGCTCCGCTCTGTACGACGATAACGATACTAGTGAAGCAACCTAGAAACCAAAAGAATGCTCTATTTGTTGTAACTATCTGGGAGGGAACCCTCCATTAAGTACTCCGGCCGTGGGCTCCACCATACATTAGTATGTCGGAGTCGGCGGTTCTACGGTGTTCCAAGATAGGAAATATGGGAGATCCGGGGTTTCGCAGTGCCCCCGGCACATACTACCCCCCCTAGAGTCGTGACGCCCTCGTCACTCCTATGCCACAACCTTGTAGACCTTCCAAACCCCAGCCTCAGGACCGAGCTGCACGTAGAACCGTTTGAACCCTGTTCCTCCAGCAATATCTTTCAAGCAAAGCCCTTGGGTTTGCCCGGTGGTCAGCATCTTCAACGCGTAGTACCTCTGAGTCTCCGAGAAGACTACTCCTTTCAGCCTCAGCCTGCTCTCCATTGATTAGGTGCTCCAGATGCTCTCGTGCCTCCATGGTATCCACGCTTGCCTCTCTCCGAGCTATTTCCCCTTGTGCCCCGCGTTTGTTTTCGATGAAGTGTCCAGATCGATGTCCCGTTTCTCTGTAACTTCTGGGGTCGTCCTCCTCCGCTTCGCGTGCCAAGGCGCATGGTATGCCTTGTCTTTTCCTCTGTGGCGACGACGAAAGGCTTCCTGAGGTCGGTTGACGGAGGTGAATCCCTCCCAATTGTTGCCCTTTCAATGAAGGCACTGATGCCTCCCACCATCCTGTAGGTTCCTATCTTCCTTCATACTTTTGTATGACGGTCCTGAACATCAAACCTCCGGTAGCTCCCAGCTATCAATTTGGTGCCAAAAATCCAAAAACAAAGCAGGTAGAATGTAAGTGCAACATATGAAATATACAAATAATGAATGACATGGAATCTAATTGTTGAAATCGTTCCGTAGCTGTGTGTTGAATCCACCACACACTACTACCCCCCTTTGAAAGCAGATGCCCTCATCGGTAGAGGTAGCAACGTGTGGGAAACTCCTGAGATTGCGTTCAGATGACGACTGCAAAGGACTCCCCCTCTGGGATAAGGTCCTGCAGTCTCCAATCGTCATCATCTCTGTGACCCATGGATTCTCCCTCGTCCTCCGACACTGAGGTGGTACTTTGCGCGCTCGAGGTCTCCTCTGGCAGAGGCAGCGGTTTATAATAGATCTTGATCCGGTTCCCGTGGACAGGATAACGGAATGCTGTGCCATCTAGCTCCTCAATTTTGTAGGAGCCATTTCCAAGAGCTTCCTGAATACGAAATGGCCCAAGCCATCGAAATCCAAGCTTGTCAGAGTGGGATTTGTTTAATGGTGTATTGTGTACCAACACCAAATCCCCCTTTTCTAACGCATGCAATCGAGTATTTGTGCGTTCATTATAAAGCTCTCGTCCTTTCTCACGGAACCGGACAATCCGCGCCTGCGCTTCCTGTGTATCTTCGTCACGTCGTTCAATCTGGCGAGCTCGTAGAGCTAGGAGCTCGTCACGTGTTTGGACCTTATGCCAAGGCAGGGTCCTCCAGGTCGGGACCTCCACCTCCACCGGCAACACCGCGTCGAAACCAACAACATAATGAAACGGCGACATCCCAATCCCATCGCGAATGGTGACTCTTTCTGACCAGAGGAGTGCTGGGAGATGCTTGTCCCAGCCCTTGGCAAAACCTGCAGTGAGCTTTCTCAGGCCAAGAATGAACATGCGATGCGCGACCTCGATAAAACCATTGGCCTGCGAATTGTACGGTGAGATTGTAACGTGCTTCACCTTAAACCTCTTCATAAGCTCCCTAAAGACCTCCTGATGCTCTGGGCCATTGTCACTGACCATAACCTCCATACAGCCCCATCGAGTGATGATATTGCGGTAGACAAAGCTAGCAACAGTCCTCGCTGTCACTTCAACCACAGCTTCAGCTTCCACCCAACCTGAA